TGGGAGGATTACTTTATTGACTACAGAGACTTCATCAGATGGTTGTCCAGAGGTAACACCAAATGGCATAGAAACTCTTGGATTGGCTACATTAGATTGACCAGATCCAGAGTCGCCGGTTTCAAGAGAAAGGTCATCGGTGATGACTCCGAGAAGGCCGCTGGTGATGCTGCAAGAGCTCACAGATCCAACGTCTTCTTCTCTGATACTTTGCCATGTCTTCTTTACACTGCTGGTTGTTTCATTGCTTACACTTTCATGAACGCTCAGACTGGTGTGGTTGATCCCGAGCCAGTTAACTCTGTGTTGAGATTGGTCATTTGCTCTTTGGCCCCAATCGTCATTGACATTGGTGTCTTGTTCGTTTGTTTGGGTATGTCTTGTTGTGCAGGCCCAATGCTTGGGCTGTGCTGTAAGAAGACAGGTGCTGTCATGGCTGCCGTTGCTCACGGAACCGCAGTTGTGATCAACCTTGTCTTCTTTATTGTGATGTGGGTTTTGGAAGGATTCCACTTTGGCAGAATGCTGATTGGATTGATCACCATGATCTACGTCCAAAGATTGATTTTCAAATTTATGACCTTGTTGTTCCTGACCAGGGAATTCAAGAGTGACCACGCCAACGTCGCTTTCTGGACAGGAAAATGGTATGGATCTGGACTTGGATGGTCAGCATGGACTCAGCCATCCAGAGAATTCTGCGCTAAGATCATTGAGATGTCTCACTTTGCCGGTGACTTTGTTTTGGGACATGTGATTCTGTTCTTGCAATTCCCAATCCTCTGCATTCCCCTGATCGATAGATGGCACTCTTTGATGCTTTTCTGGCTGAAGCCAAGCAGACAGATCAGACCGCCAATCTATTCTCTCAAACAGGCCAGATTGAGAAAAAGAATGGTGAGAAAATACTCTGTTCTGTACTTCGGTATTTTCATCATCTTCATCGTTCTGATTGCTGCACCAGCCGCGGTTGGATCTTTGAAGAATGTCGACATTGAGAAACAGGTCGGAACCCTGCCAGAGTTTGCTGAGGGATTGTTCCAACCAAGACACCAGGACAATAACGACACTGGATACGGTACTAGTGGATTAACCCACCACTGGACCACCACCACCTCTTTGGCCACCTGGTCCACCAAAGCATGAGTGAAGCGTCACTGAATTAAAAAGTACAAGACATAGCAAAGTGTACACTAGTTGGACTTTTTGAATCCATCCTGAAAACTATATATATCTGCGTTTGGTTATATTTTGAGATACAGTTATCATAACAGTACTATAACAGTATCAGTATTAAAACATGTTTAATGGTGGAACAATCTGATAGGGTTTTCCACGTAAACCATCTCGTAAGAGTCAGCAGCATCAAAAACGGCTCTGTCCATAACAGAGCCAGTTGGAGCAGCAACAAACTTCACTCCAGATCTGGCAGCTCTGTGGATGTTGTCTGGGAATGGGAAGAAGGCGTCCGAGGACAAAGACACGTCTGTCAATTTCTTGAGCCACTCTTGTCTCTCTTGGGCAGTGAGTGGAGTTGGGACTTCCTCAAATTTAGATTCGTACTCACTCTTTTCTGGCTCCTCGGTTGGGATTTGACCAGTGACAAATAGATCAATAGCGTTCGACTTGTCTGGTCTCTTGACACCCTTGGCCCATTTGAAGCCCAGGACTCTTGGGTGGTGTCTCAACCACCAGTTGTCTGCCTTGTCTCCGGCCAGTCTAGTACAGTGGATTCTGGACTGTTGTCCGGCTCCCAAACCAATAACCATACCGTTCTTTGCGTAACAGACGGAATTAGATTGAGTGTATTTGAGAGCAATGGTAGCAACAGTCAAGTCGATCGAAGCCTGCTCTGTCAAGGCAGTGTTCTTAGAAACAAAGTCCTTGAACGAAGAAGAGTTGATAATGGCATCGTTTCTCTTTTGTTGCAAAGTGATACCGTAAACCTGTCTAGATTCGGTAGTCTTTGGGGTGTAATTTGGATCAATTTGCAAGACACAATACTTGCCACCCTTCTTCTTCTTTAGGATCTCTAGAGCAGCCGGCTCGTACCCTGGGGCAATCACACCATCGCTGACTTCTTTGGAAATGATGGATGCAGTTGGAACATCAACAATGTTGGAGAGTGCAATGAAGTCACCAAAAGACGACATTCTGTCGGCACCTCTGGCTCTAGCGTATGCATTGGCCAACGGAGAGAGATTCTCAATCTCGCTAACAAAATAGATCTTCTTCTCCAGATCCGACAATGGAAGACCAACAGCTGCACCAGCTGGAGAAACATGCTTGAACGAAGCGGCGGCTGGAAGGTTCAACGAGGCAGACAACTCCTTGACCAGAGGCCAGGAGTTCAATGCGTCCAATAAGTTAATGTAGCCTGGAGAGCCGCTCAAGACCTTGAACGGAAGTTCTCCTTCGGTCACGAAAGCCTGTGCTGGCTTTTGGTGAGGATTGGCACCGTACCTCAAAGGTAGTTGAGAAACACCCTCGGAGTATCTTTTTCTGAAAAAGTCGGAAATTGCACTGTCATAATCAGCAGTGTGCTCAAATGCCTTCAAAGCAAAAATTTGTCTAGCTTCAGGAGAAACATCGCCCTTAGTGGCCAGCTCCTCCAAGAACTTGGAGTAATCTTTAGGATCAGACAGAATAGTGACTCTGGAATGGTTCTTGGCCGCAGCTCTCAGAAGAGTAACACCACCAATATCAATTTCCTCAACTGCCTCGTCGATGGTCACGTTGATCTTAGCAACAGTCTGCTTGAATGGGTACAAGTTACAGACGACAAAATCAACCATGTCAATGTTTTGTTCGGCAAGATCTTTTTCGTCAGACTCGTTATTTCTGGCAAGAATACCACCATGGACAGCTGGATGAAGAGTTTTAACACGCCCTCCCAGCATCTCAGGAGCATGAGTGATACTGGAGACGTCTTCCACAGGGAAACCAGATTCTCTGAGCAATTTGGCGGTTCCTCCAGATGCGAGAAGTCTCACATCAGCTTGGACAAGACCTTTGGCGAGATCCAGAAGACCTGTCTTGTCGTAAACAGAGAGAATGGCAATTTTGGATTTGCTCGATTTGCTCATGATTGATTATAAAATTTACTAGACAGTTTCTCAACCGAATTCCTGTAAAATTGGTAAAATTAATTGATCATGAGCTAAAAAAAAATTAGAGGAAGCAGACAAATTAAACGTCATACCGATTTTACCGTAATTGTCAGGTTGTCAACACTTTATTCGATTAAGTTACTTCGAAATATAAACACGAACAAAGCCCTAACAGCGGCCTCAACACCCAGCTTATTTTCTGTATCTCCACAAAGACAAGGTGTTGTGTTGTTTCCAGGTGTGTCTTCTTCCCTTTCTGGTCTTGTTGAACAAATGACCCTTGGCAATACCTCTGGATTTCTTTCCAGTAGCAGTAAGACCTCTGGCCTCTCTGTGCTTGTGGACAGGGTTGCAGATCCAGTTGTATCTTGGGTCTCTTCTGATGGCCTTATGTTGAGGGTCAACACAAATAACCTCGTAGTACTTGTAAGTAGAGTCCTCGTTAACCCAGTAGGAGTTCAAAACTCTCAGGTTGGCGGCCTTTCTTCCAACTCTCTCTTCAGCAGTAGATCTGAGAGCCTTTTGGTACTTCAATTGGTTGACACCCTGGTTGGTTGGCTTACCATAAGTAGCACCCTTTGGAACAGGCCTCTTTCTGCCACCTCTTCTGACTCTAATTCTGAAGATGACGAAGCCCTGCTTGGCCTTGTATCCAAGTCTTCTAGCCTTGTCTGGTCTAGATGGTCTAGAAGCTCTGTGGATCACGGTCTTCTGTCTGTACTCCCAGCATCTGATTCTGAGAAGGAATCTCATGACATCAGACTGCTTCTTTCTTTGCAACTCCTCGAGGTATTTGTAGGCACCCATGGTTGATTAACTGGTTTTGAGTTTAGTTGAAATTGAAAAATTTTGATGAAAAAAATCAAGTTCCCGAGGGTTTGGGCCAGAATAAAAGATCACGTGAGATGCTAATCGCGAAAAAAATAAAAACAATGATCTATTGTTCTGCATCCCCCACCCCTTTAAGATCCATGTGTACGGATGTGCTGCTTCTTGCGCGTAAACATCTCTGACAACGCCCCATCACACGACTATCATGCACGTGACCATTATTATAGTCTTATCTCTCTAGAGCCCTTATCTGATGATTCCAACCACCTAGCGTTCTTATAGCTCAAGGACATCACCTAGATCATCCCGTGCACGGAAGCATGGGCAGCTTAAGAGTTCAGGTTTTGGATTTCAAATTCGCGCAAAACCTACATTCCTTTCGTCCTGCCCCAATAGCAATTAAGCTTGCAGCAGCAATTTAAATAGCACTGCCCGAAAGTGGTACGATAGAAACCTCCTAGCAATTAATAACCTGCCCACACTTTATACTCTCATACTAGTAAAATGTAAGTAGAACAAAACCAACTGACTAACCAATATAGGTCTCAAGAAACTAAAGCCACTGCCAACGATGTTCAGAAGAAGGTGAACAAGTCTGCCGACAAGACTGAAAAGGAGCTGGATTCCTTGGCTCATCAAACCAAATCGAAGATTGACGAGGTCTCCCATAACCTTTCCAAAAAGGTGGATGATTTCAACGATGACTTGCCAGAGAAAGAGGCCAAGGTCAAGGAGTTTTTCAAAAAGGCTTACAATTCTGCCGTGGGTACTGCCACCAGCCTCTACACAACCAGCGTGGAGACCGTGAAACAGAACCCAGTCACCACCTCTCAGCTCTTCCTTGCCCTCGTTGGAACAGCAGGAGCTGTTTGTGCTCTCTCAACTGACCCTGACATTTTCAACAAATGGATCAGCAAAAGAGAGAATAAGGCACTGGCCGGTGGAATAGCAGCCACCTTTGCTGTTCTAGACGGTCTCTTCATCTCCTACGTCAAGCAGAAGAAATAAGCGTAACTGAGATTGCGTATACGGCGAATATATTTTATTCATTCAATGTACTTATTTTTCCAATTCTTCTAGGTGTCTCACTCTTTCGTCTAAAATGGATTCTATATCCCTTGTTTCTCCCTGTTTTTTAAAGATGCGTGCAAAAGCGTGATCGTCGCCTCGATGACGAATAACCTTGCCGCTAGGCAGCATCTCCTGATCTGAAAGGTCAAATGATGCGATCGTCACGCTGGCTGGAGACCCAGCGGGCAATTCTGTGGGGTTCACAAGAGTCTGCTTCCGTTTTCTGGTTTGTTTGGAAGGATGAATGGAACCCTTTTTCATCAATGACCGGAAATGATAGAGTCCCTTTTTCATGCTCGAGTAGTTTTCTATGTCCTGTTCGACTAGCTGCGATTCATGCATCCATGTCCAGCTCTGCGCTAGTTCGTCAAATGCATTCAATTCCATCTGCTTGCGTAATTTGTTATTCTTCTCGAGCACTTGGAATGTATCGGTGTCGGTAGGCCACAAACTGACTTTAACCAAGTGAAATAGCATATCCACGGAAAGCCCGACCACAATCAGCACCAGAATACTGGCCCAGAAAGTGACATCTTTACCAAAATGCTCGAACAGCCCGTGAGCAACATAATATATGGTGCTGTCTTTCGTTTTGTATAGTCCAACGAGCAGCACGCACCACAAGAGCCAGCCAAAAACAGACACACAGAAAGATATCACGGAAAGCTTGGTGATTGAGTGCATCTCGATAATGTTACATTTTGCATTGATGATGACGATCAGCACAGTGAACATCACCACTCCCAGCGGATAGGTTGTGTTATCCAGCGTTGCAGGAAATCCATAAACATTCCACAAACAGAAGCACAGCGCTGTGCTCTGTGAAGCTGCCAGCAGGGACCAGAAAAGGAACAATTTGAAATTGAACGACTCGTAGTTTCGTCCCTTCGCGTACAGCTCGGGAACAGCAATGAGAGTCGATGGCCGAAGGTCCTTGTCAAACATACCAATACACAACACTGGCAAAGACGTGAACAATGTATTGAACATCGACAAAGACCACGACTCATACAATGATGTTCCAGTAAAAAGCGTGTATCTCTGGTACAGTAGCTGTGTCAAGTAGAAAAGCAGTTCCTTGTAGAATGTGCAGAGAACAAATTTGGAAGTCCTGATGTAGTTGTAGCGACCGTGAACCAGCAAGAGCTTTAGCAAGTACCGGAATTGAGCGATGGAATAATCCGATGTTCTCGCAGCCTGCAAGCCTTCCTTACCGGTAATTCCAACGCCAACGTCTGCGCTTTGAATCATGGCGATATCGTTTGCACCATCTCCAATGGCAAGAGTCACTTTTGACTTATTTAAATTGCGAACACTTGTCACCATTTTGGCTTTCTGCGAGGGAGATGCACGACAACAGATAACAGAGTCCGACTTCATACAGAGAGAAATAAACACCGTCATCAACGTGTTGTCCATTTCAATATCCGACAAAGTGCCTCCATCAACGACCACCACACAATGAGCCACGTTTCCTTCTTCAATTTCGAGCTCCGCAGCTGTCATCATGGAAGACAGCCTTTCCGTCCCTTCATCATTAGAAAGAACAATCACTTTCGAATAGTCCTTGATCAGTCGACAAGAGTATCCAATGTTGATAGCAGTCTCCCTTTTATCTCCCGTTAGCATCCAAAGCTTTATTCCTGCTCGTCTAAGCTTTTCAATAGCAGCTGGGACCCCCTTTTGCAGTTTGTCTTCTATGGCAGTGGCTCCCAAAAGTTCCAAGTTCTCTTCCAACTGACAGCCAATTTTCTCAACGAGTTCAGCACGGTTTGTCAGAGAGGTCTTTGCCTTGCCATATTTTTGGGACCATTCTGAATAAACCTCTTCAGAGAGATAACGGTACGAGTAAAGCAAAGTTCTCAGGCCTTCCGTTGAAAAGTCCTCCACATGTTCAATTGTCTTCTCTAGAACGTATTCATCGTTAACGACAAGTCTATCTGACGGAATGTAGGACACCTCTTCGCGCAGGTTGTATTTTTCCGCCTGTTTCAACTGCAAAGATCTTCTAGCTTTGCTCTTGATCTCTTCAAGTTCGTGTCTTTCGGAGTCTTCCGAGAGAACAGAGTCTATAGCTCTGGATGCATGACCCATGCGGATAGGTGACACGCCCTCCACGGAAGAACGAGACAGACTCAAACTTGGTCTTGGAATTGAAGAAGTCGAGCTCCGCCCCTCTCTAGAACGGACAGAATCCATCGACCGTCGCTGTAAAATCAGTTCTGCCTCATACCGTTTCCGATCGGCCACGCTCCGCGAAAACTCTTGTTGTTTCGAACAGGCCACTTGGGAGTTCCGCAGTCTCTCCATGATGACATTGTCTGCTCCCTTACAGAATAGAACAATCTTCGAATCCGGGAGTCTAAGTATCACGGACATTCGTTTTCTGTTTGAGGAGAATTCAACCACATCAAGAATTTCATAGTCTTCAAACACAGGCTCTTTATCAAATCCGTGCGGGTGCAGCTTGAGAGTGACAGTTTTCTGTTTCTTCTCGAACAAAACAAAACCCATCTCGCAGGCTGCCTGAACTAGAGCCAGTTCATCAGGAGAAGAAGCCTGGTAGTCTATGGACTCCATTTCATCCTCGAATCCTTCCATAGTATCCATCTCGGGAACGGAATCTGTCTTGGTTTTTTTCGGGAGACAGGAGTGACACAATGCAATAGAAAGAAGAAAGAATGTCACACGCTTGGCATATATGGTGTTTGGATTTGTCTGCAAATACCTGATGAGTTCCGCAGATGACTTGATGCTGGGTTTGAAATCTAAGTTTTGTATTTTGGCAGTCTGCGCAGTTACTAAACTTGGATTGACGGATGACATGCTTGATCGACCTGCAAATGGTGTAGTGCCTGCTTTATTTACGCTTTTGCTCGAATCTGCAGCTCCATCTTGAGAGTCCACTGTAAGCGGAACTTGGGCCGTATCCGGATCCTTTGCATCAGGCTGATCCATATCATGAATCCAAGGCGTACCGCATACGCTAAACTTGCGAAAAATCATAACGTTATCGGTCAGGGTACCAGTTTTGTCTGAAAAAATATAGCTAACTTGGCCCAGCTCTTCTAGAATAGTGGCAGTCCGCGCTTCAGCAGGAGTGTTCGATTGCGGATGGTACATGTCAATATCCCACTGCAAAAGAACCATCTGAACGGCCTTGATGATTTCCATGGTAACATAGAGAGACAAAGGAATAAGGGTGTTGTACATGATGATGAAACCCATGATTGTTGGGGCAATACCAGCATCTTCGCCTCTGATGTACCAGTTCTTGTCTCCGTATCTGTTGTAAAACACTCTCTCGGCCATAAAAGAAAACATAGATAGCGAGGCAACCACAAAAACCATAAACGCGACTATGTAGTTAATTGATCTTTGCAGTTTCGGTGCCTTGATTCGGGGGTTCTTGATGGAGTTCATTCTGATTTTCGTTTCCTCACCACTAAAAACAACCACCCCCAAACACGAATCAGTGTTTCGGATAATGGACCCTCTGTAAATGATATTTTCGGGGCCCAATGCAAATTTTCTAGTTTCGTGAGATGCAGGGTCTTCGATGTCCAATGATCCCTCAAAGTTGTAGAGATCCGAGTTTGGATCTTCACAATGAATATTGGCTTTCAGTTTGCGCAGCCCTTCTATTGAGTTGGCTAATTTGTGGAGTTCCTGATTTGGCAGCTTGGACTTCAAATTCGTTTCTCCGTCCAAAGCCATAGTCTCTACCAGGGTCTCTCCCATGTCGTTTGTTGAAGTGAGTAGAACAACGTCCGCTGGCACCCATTCATCACATTCAATCTTCACGATGTCTCCCACTTTAATGTTCTTCCATCTAGTGTGTATTGTCGAAATTCCCTCTTTGCTGAGAAGCTGTTCGTTAACGAAGGAGTTTTCGTCGAATATCATGTTCTCGTCTTGCGAGTCTAAATCATCGGTATCAAAGAACTGAGTGCTCGATCTCAATCGCGAGAAAGATGTTGCACTTTTGCTGTAAACGTAATGCGACGAATAGTGGGAGGTCCCCATCTTGAGCACTGTACCTGGTTTGTTATTTTCGACCTTGTCCAGTTTATGTCGTCTCAGATCGTCCCAGCCTTCTCTCAATATAGATATCGAGATGAAAATAGAGAGGGGAATGATTGTGGTGGAAGTACCTGTCGTTGACCACGAGGGTATCAGCTGCAATATGGCCACAGTCATGAAGTAGCAATTGGCCAGCTTGGAAAATTGAGCAATCAGTTGTCGGGGAAGAAAACTCAACAGGGTGTATTTAGATGAGGTAATGACGTTGTTCACGTAGGGCTGATTTGTGCGGTTATCAAGCAGCAGCACCTCTCCTTTCTTATTGGTTATAGATGGCTCTTCACTTCGTTTAAGGTTGACCGTGATCGGGAGACGGCGGCCACCCTTGGACTCTGGAGCATTGGAGACTCCCATGAGAGCATTCAAGGTGGCCTTGATGAAATGATATTTGCTCGTCGTTCGCTGTGTATAATTGTACTTGTATTGCGGTTCATCGTTCAGATCAATCACAGACTGATTGAGCGACGCAGAGCTGCCATAGAGGTTGTTTTGATTTGCTGATGAATCATCATGTCTAAAGACGTCGAGCTCATCAGCGAGATAAGAATTATCCACCTGTTTGAGCTCGATCTCGGGAGTCGTTAGGTAGTTCTCGGCAGACTGCACAACGTTCTTGCTGAAGAGCTGCGTTCGGAGACTAAAGCCACGTTTCCGAGTTTTCACTGGTTTGGATAAGGGTCCCTCCGATGAAGTCTCTTGCTCCACCGTGATGGTGGGAATACCATTCGGACGCTCTGAAGACGAAGTCATGTGGAAGACTAACTCCAGATATGTCAAGCGCGCTGGTTAAACGGACTCTATCGCGGCTACCTTGGTATACAAGACTACCCTATTGAGATTTTTAATCTTCCGGATGATTTGAAGAAATCGTACGCACACGTTTAAACATTTATTTCTGTCAGATTAGTGCATGGCGCAGCATCAGTGAAGCAAATGACCATAACCATGGCAAAATTGACGAAGCCTGAATCTTGGCCGGTTCCCGAAACGGATACTGGCCTGTTCACTCTTCTTCTCGCAATCAGGCTCGCCAACTCTGTGTCAATCAACACTTTTTTCCAAGCTGACGAATACTGGCAAGCACTTGAACCGGCGCATTATCAGATTTTTGGGTATGGGTACCTGACCTGGGAATGGCGTCAGGGAATCCGGTCCTTCATGCATCCTTTGCTTTACGTTCCAATTTACAAGATATGCCAATTGTTGCGTCTCGACTACGCATATCTACTTTATCTGCCCAAATTGATGAACGCGTTGATCTGTGCGGTGGGTGAGACTTTCCAGTACAAGCTGACATGTAAGTGGACCAAAGATCCTTCAGCTAGACGGACAATGTTTTACCTGAGTCTATTTTCGCCCTTCAATTGGTACTGCTATTGTCGATCATTCTCCAACTCACTCGAGCTGGCACTTACGACTATAGCACTGTTTCTGTATCCTGAGACTTTTGATGATTACTACATCTACTCCATGATAATTGCAGGATTTTGTTGTATAATTAGACCAACGAATGGCCTGATATGGCTGGTGTACGGACTGCGAAACCTCCGCAGAGGTCCTCGGCTCAAAATAATAGTATCCACCATTCTCATTGGGATCGCCATATTCAGCATCGACAGCATAGTGAACCGTCATTTCTACGGCGCTTGGACTATCCCGTCCATCAATTTCCTCAACTTCAATGTGTCTAGGAACCTCTCATCTTTTTACGGTACCTCAAGGTTGGACTTCTATTTTTTCCAGGCTATTCCTGTGATGTTATTGACCTACCTACCATATTTTATAATTGGGCTGCTAGTCAAGGAAGCAAGGGAGCTCAAGTTGGTACTTATCATTAATCTACTGGCATATTCATTGATTCAACACAAAGAGTTCCGCTTCATATATCCCCTGATGCCCATATTGCTCTTCTTTACCACATATGGGGTGCTTTATACGCTCAGAAAACTCAAACCTGTTACATCGTCCAGCTTAATTCTTCTCATTGCATTACTGAACATTACTATCGCATTCTATTTCACTCAAATTCATGAGAGTGGGGTGATTACCGTCACCCAATATCTCAGAGATGAAATCGGTAGCAAACAGTCCTCCATCGGGTTTTTGACCCCATGTCACTCTACTCCATTCCAAAGCCATTTTCATCTACATCCAAACCAGGTCGATATATGGTTTTTGACATGCGAGCCTCCATTGCATTTAGATTCTTCAACGGATCTAGCTGCTTATAGAGACGAGTCGGATGAATTTTATGACGATACGTTGGGATTTCTGCAACGAAATTTTCCATCCCTTACTGTTGAGAATTCTAGAGATGACCTCAGAGGGTCCTATCCGCATACCTGGCCGGAATACCTTATATTTTTTGAGAGCCTGGAGCAATTCATGAAAGAATACCTCCATAATAGCGGCTACTCTGAATACCATAGAATTTTCAACAGCAGATTTCATTGGGATTCTCGCAGGACTGGAGATGTAATTATATACAAGCTTAATTAGACGTCCCATAACGATTTATTTTCTTGTTGCGTAAGGGGAGCAGCTGTTTCATGCTTTATCAGAAGTTCAACTGAATCTTTTCGAAGCGATTTTATATCCAGATCAAGGCCATTTAGTTTCGCGAAAGAATCCAAGGCATCAATAGTCTTTCTTGCAGACTTCCAATTTTTCTGTCGTATGTATACGTCGAAAAGTCCGATCATGCAATTGTGGTCACCCAGCTCTGCTCCCATCTGAAACCATTTTTTAGCCTTGTAGAGATTCTTGAAGTAATTCAGCTCCAAGAACCCGAGAGTTTTGAAGCTTTCCTTGAAACCCTGTGTGGCTGCCATTTCGAAGTGGTAGCGAGAACGGAGAGGATCAATTTCGTATATCAGACCCAGCATGTAGTGAGATTGTGCTACTTTGGAAATTGGAGCTAGCTTGATGGACTTTTCAAAGAAAAGCTTGGCGCGAAGAAGCTGGTTTTGCTGGAAGTGAATCATACCCATCGTTTTATAGACTTCTGCGGACAAAAATGAGTTAGCATCGAGTTTAATAAATTTCCAGTACTGGTTCACAGCTTCTTGGTATCTGCCCTGGTCAAAATCATAATCTCCCCCCATCTTGTAAACAAGAGGATGCTCAAGCTCTTTTAGCTTTTCTATGAATTTTTTAGCCTGGACCTTGTCTTCATCTGTGTATTCTCCGCTTGGATCCCGTAAAGCCCTATAAGAGATAATTGTCAATGCATCTCTACTTCCCAGCTCCGCTGCCCTCTCTATAAGTTCATCCTCCAATCTAACAAGGTGCTGATTTGATGTGTGGGTTTGAGTTCGTATTTCCGACAGAACTTTCTGAAACAGAAGAAGATCTGATCCTTGCACCTTCTTTGGATATGATAATTTATCTTTACCAACATTATCGTATATGTTTTGTATTACTGGCATGTACTTTCGTAGGTTCATTCTAGCATCAAAGTCAAAAAGCAGACGCTTGATGAGTTTGCGCTGGGGCAAAATGTCCAGCAACAATGGTCGTTGAGTGGAGTAAGCACGAACCAGCATATCGAATTTAAATTTCAAATTCTTTTAAAATAATTCATGGTATTTAAATTTCAAGGTGATCAAATTTCATGCCCCCCTCTCCACAATTGAACCACACTCAAGGGTCTGGTGGGACAGTCCATCCAATAGAGTTGGTTGTACAATCATTGATCGAGTCACCGCTTGAGGTGCTAAACCTGAACCTCACATCTCTCTATGAGTCTCAAGTCATACTTTCAAGCATTCTACGTCAGCTTGAGGGCAAGTTGGAGCGAACGCGGGAAAACTTGAAGGAGAATGAAGACAGCCAAGACAATACCACACTATCGTTGGATGAGTATGTGAAGCGAGTTACAGCTATTAAATCGCAGATGAGCGCCATTAGCTCGAAAATGGAAATTATCGAACAACGAGTAGACAAAATACTTCAGAACATGGGCTCAGAATAACATAGTCATATGCATCGTTTCAACTATATAATAGGATCAGAACTTGAGAAGCCAATAAGGATAGCCTGTATTTTTGGCATGGAAACAAGTCACGAGAATGCTGTATAAAACGAAAAGAGCAATAGATAATCCAACGGAACTAAACAATCTCAGTTTGGCATTGTCAAACTTCTTGAACAAGTCCACCAGGATCACCATACCAGCGCAGAATAATCCATAGATGACCGAAATAATCTGTGTTTCAACTCCCAGTTGTGCTTGGTGTCCGCCTATGAAATAGATGTTGGAACCATCTTTGTTTGTACGAATGTACTGTGTATTTCTAATAAGGTTGAACATGTAACCAGATGTGAACAGAATGACAAGTAAGATGCTAAGCGCCTGCCAGCCTCTTTTGTTGGTAATGATGGCTAGAACCCTTTTATAATTAAGTATGATGGTCACTCCGAGTCCGAAAACGATGCAAAATGTTAACAAAAGCTCAGTATAATTGACTTTGGTTCTTAGATTGAATAGTTCGGGGCTTAGGTGCGTCTTAGCCACCAACCAGCTGGTCAATGTAGAGAGCAGATCGGTGCTCATAAACATGAACTCATCACTTGGTTTCAGACCAATTCCTTGCTGTGCATTATAGTAGTATACTTTCGGGACGTTGTTCAGTGCCAATTGTTGAAATAGCTTTCTAGAGTCTGGAAAATCAGAGTACGCAAAGATCAACTTTGTATCATCAGAACCAAGACCATGCGTTTCGAGATTCTCGTAAAATGAGGCGGCGAGCTGCTCAAATACAGGCTGGAACTCATTGCATAAAACGCAACCAACCTGTGGGCTGGATGCGGTCAGGTACAGTACTATGTCAAAATCCTCGTTGTTTAAAAGATTTTGGTAGTTAGCATCGGTAATCTTAAGGATGTTCTTCTTGTACTTAGATGTCAAAGTTTCATATCGCACACCCAAACAAGCGGGGATCAACAATCCAATGGATAATAATAAAGAGGCAAATCTCATTGCTTGGAGTTGAACTGAGCTTGGCTAAGTTTGGGTACGTGTTTTAATTTCAGTGTCTCGAGATTCCCGACGCGGCGATCGACGCCGCCCAGACATCCGGTTTCGTCCATGATTTTTTTTTTCAACCTTTAAGCTTCGTGTTTAGTCTCAATATGCCCATTAGATCCCTCGAGCCCTATCTATTTGATCTAAAAACTGTATCCAACTGTCCCATGGAAGTGCTAGAGAATGCAACCATTGGGATTGAGGTTGAACATTATCTCTCGAGACTTCTCACACCTAGGAAAGAGCCTAACCTCGAGGCAATTGGAGGTTTCCCGATGACCTTGAAAATGCTGATGGAATCGGATTTCAAGGCATTTGAGGAGCTTAAGGTAACCCCAATATTTGTGTTCCCAGGTCTGAGAACTGTGGATCAGTTTGATTATATCAAGGAGCCTGAACTACTACAGCATGAGAAGAATTTTAAGAAAATATGGGACGAAAAAGTTGCAAGAGAACACTACAATGAAAGTTTCAGGGATTCCAATACACCATTGGCTTTGAGGCCAATCATGGACGACTTCATGCATATTCTGGAGTCCAAGGGCGTGGACTACATCGTCGCTCCGTATTTTGCATGGATTGAGCTTCAATATCTGCTGGCAGAGAACTTGATACACTGCGTATTTGGATCAACAGATGGCCTTCTTATTGAGGGTGTGGATAAGTTCATTTTCAGCATGGAATTTGAAAGCAAACAGTTCAAGTACCTTGAAAAGTCTAGTGTACTTCGGAAACTCAACCTCAGTCCCAAACAATTCAAAGACCTTTCTATGTGTGTTGGTAACGGTTTCCAACCTTATAACATCAATATCTTTCCCCATATCCCGTCGTCTCCAACGTTTCCGTCTTTACACGAGTTTATCCTCAATGGTGGCTCAATTTACAATTCCCTTCTTGCATTACCTAACGGGGGCAGATACATGGAAATATATCAAAAAGGATGCGCTTCTCTTGACTACACTCCTGTGCTGAAAGTGAATGGAAGAACTGAACTGTTACAGATGGATACTGACGCTTCTTTTCTGTCTTCTGTGGCGGCTAGTCCAAAGGCTCTCAATTCTTCCAAAGCATCTACGGAAGCAACACCATTAGAACCTTCGAGGCGGATCCCGGACGATTTGCACGAGGTGATTGGGCAAAGACTACCAGATGAGCTATTTTTCTACCAATCCATAGGTCTTACAGCCTTTGAACTTTGCGAGACTTTGATCCATGGAACACAAATCGAAAGGTTGCCCTTAGACATGTCCGTGACACCTCTCTACCAGAAACTTGTTTGTGACGAGGAGTCTTTAGAGATACGAGGTAAAACTCTCAACTTGTTTGCCAACTCGCTCAATAGGTACTACCAATTTAAAAAATTGCGCCTAGAGACCGTTTTCAACGGTCGCCAAGTGTACGAGCTTGTCCAAAGGATGACTCCTCCCCTTTATCTCAAAGTTAAACCATTGCTTGTTAGACACACCACTGCTAGATCATTCCAGTTAGCCGCTTTTCTCTCGGGAGTGAGCGACGAGTTTTTGGAAGACAACGTGGTTGCAAAGGCAGATGAGGAGGGTACCCGAATTTCTACCAGCTATGAAATAATTTCAACAGGCCTGATCAGAACGCTCTACATCTATGGATTCTTGTCGGAAAGAGATTTCAAATTGACTGAGTGGGGAAAGCTCTTACCTCAACTTTCCAAGTCAATCAACGTGGAAACGTTATTTCTGCTGCTCATTTTCTTCAAGCGCTTTTCTGAATTAAGGGCAGATGATATTCTACAGCCAAACGATTTGAAGACAGACAATGAGCAATACAGAAACGCCGCAATCTTCATTTCCAAAATCCTCTCTCTTCAACCAATGTCGAAGCTCAGTCCTGTCAATTATGTCTATAAAGTTCATAGACCGTTGCTTCAGTTCAGATCGGTGATGGATAAGCTGAAATCATATACCAAGGACCTCCTGACTTCCAACATCATTGCTTTGGAACTGTTGAATCATGATGACTTGGACAAATTCCAACGAGACAATAAATCTTGGAGAAAGCTCACGACGGAGATTCCGTTCAGAAAATCACTCCCCAACGTTCTTTTGGGAATTGTGGCACAAGAGTTCTTAGAAACGTACCTTGCTGATCTGGATGCTGAGAAAGCATCTGCCTCCTTGGATGAATCATTACTGAAATCTGTAAATGAAAAACCATCAGCAGAGTTTTTGAACGGCTTAAAGTTTGTGAAGCAAGTGATTGCTCTCATTCGCGTTTTACTACAAAACAAACTGATCAAAGTGGATGAGGCATTTACTTCCATGATCGACACGAGCGAAGAACTTATTGAAAAAATCGAATCCAAGTAGGAACCCAACTTAATTAAGTTGAAATAAATCTAAACATTGGTCCATAAGCTCACAGATCAGTTCAAGCTGATTCTGAGCTTCTTTCCAATCTCCTGCATCGATCGCATCCCGAACACCAGGGAAGGAATCATATATGAATGACGTTTCCGTTGTTTCGGGAACTCTAAACTCATTTCCAAATAGAACATTCTTATGCCATGGTCGATCATAGATGCCGTTAGAGGATTGCAGTATTTTTTCTAGAAGGACAAGCTTTGCGTTCCAGTCCCACCTATTGACGGCCAAGAGGTTTGGCTCTGAGCCCGAATCAGCGTTTACGATTTCAGTCCAGGTCTTGATAAACGACTGCTGCTCTCTCGCAATACTTTTGAGTTTTATCAAGGACGTATCAAATCTAGTGAAATCCAATTTGGAGTTTTTATCTTTGAACTCAACATAAGAGCGCAAATCCTTCATATTCCTGTTAATCGCAGAGACCATGTTGAATATATCGTAAGGAATGATTGGCTTATCAGTCAATTGTAAGATGATTTTCGCCACTAATCGAGTCAGTGCTTTGTGATATTGCATTTCGCTGTCGATGTTCTGTTTCTTGAAATTGTCGAATGTGTCCAAACAGCTGTTTTTGGGATAGCTTCTGCCCTTGAAACGAAATTCGGCGGAGGGCATACCAAAGTGTGAAATGAACGGCTGATAATTCTTTGTATTATCTTTCATGGACAAAAAACTCTTATCCCAAACTTCAGCAAGTGACTTATTTGTGGCTGGATCTTCCACTAAACTCAAGCAATCTTGAATCAGAGAATGTAGAATCGGATCTGCCGCGATCTCCAGCTTAGAGCCCGACACAGCATCGCTCAAGTCAATATAAGTATACCCCTGGCGGTTGAAAAAGTCGTTTTTACTTTGAGCAAAGTAGGTGGAACCAGCCATATTGTAGTCTGTTCCCGAAAACGAGACGAAATAGATTGATCTGAGAGGTTTCCACTTCATTGCACGCATCATGTTGGAAAACAGAGAAATGAGCTCGAGAAGAACCGCGGTCCCCGTGCTGTCAACAGCACCATATCCTGGAGAATCTCTAGCTGCCCCAATGACAATTGCAAGGTTGTTTTGCTCAGATCCTGTTATCCGTCCAGCAACGTTCCAGACCTCCTTATTCATTCTTTCCACCACTTCGTTGGACATATCAACAACAAACTCGTCGCTACCCGTCCAAACCTCAACCTTTTCATTACCGAAGTCCAAGTCCCATCCCTCTAGCCTTTCCCCATGTCCTTGCAAGGGGATCATGATGTTCTTTGCGCTTTCCCACGAGATGGGGATACTTGGAATGCGCGGGGTGCAGTTGTTGGAATTCCACATGATGTTCAAATCGAAGTAGTCTGGGACTCTATCGAGGACCCCCCCGCCAGGACTCACCATATTTCCAGTATAATAATCAGGTAATGCGACAGGTTCTTTTTGTATAGAGCGCATGTTGTAAGCAGAATCCGGTTTCGGATCGCTGATGAAGAGGACTCCAGATGCCCCTTGTTCGTGTGCGTAATACAGCTTTTTCGATTCCATCAAAAGGCCCCCGTACTTTACCACCACGACTGAGCCCTTAATATTCACATCTTTTTCTCTCAACACTTTATAATCCTCTAATGTGCCATAGTTGGCGTAGATCACACGACCCTTGGCAGACCCTCTTTTTGAGCCCGGGTTGAATGCCATTTGTTGCAATTCAATGTTATTTTCATTATGGTCTTGGCCAGTCAATTTTTCGATCAGATCACAATCGTGTATTAATTTGTCTCCATGGTATAGTTTAGCATGCACGTTTTCGGGATAGTTGACATATGCAGCGAATTTTGAGTTTCCATCCAATTGAAGCGCGGAGTCGGAAACAATATCCTCAATATATCGAGCAAGAGCGAGATCTCCAGCCGTACCGGCCATGTGTGGCATGGAGGATAAGTACTCCAGATTTTCTTCGATCCTGCTGACCTCCACGTGGGAGTCAATGTAGGAATGGAGCTTCTGTACATCGTAGAAATCTCCGTATAATGTCCCGGCAGCATCAGGATACAAGCCAGACATCGATATAACGTAAATGATTGTGGCAATAAATAAAACATAGAGGAGTCGTTTAATGATAAGCGGATTGCCGACTTTAGAAATGTAACTTTCGGTCTTGGTGCTGATGAATCGATAAAGCTCATAGACCGGATCCAGAGCGTTGTTTATGGGACGAAAAAATCGTTTGTTGAAACTCTTTGCGAAATCCCCAGCCTTGTAGAACAGCTCACGCGGGCTCATTCTCGGTCTCTGTGCCGGTTCATCTATATCAAACTGCTCATAGTTTGCAAAGTCCCCAGATGTATCCTCCAAAGTATCATAAGCCGGTGGCTCCTCTTCAGGTGCATTTGGGATCTCCAGGTATTCTCCCTGGTCGGTCATTGAGTTGTCTCAAAGGATTGATCGCCTTTGAAAAACAATAATTCTGTTAAATCTTGATGCACTGCCGACAAAAAAAAGTGACTTTTTACCATGAAGAGTTACAACATCGCGTAAGTAGACGTCTATTGACGCCTAACAGCCAAGAATGATCTCAGATTTTTTCTACCCGCAGCCTGGGGGTATGGAGCTTCATATATATCACCTTTCGCAAAAGCTCATAGCCCGAGGACATTCTGTTGTGGTAATCACCCACGCATACGGCGACAGAACAGGAGTTCGAATGTTGACTAACGGCCTCAAAGTATACTATGTCCCATTTTTCATCATATACCGACAAACCACTTTCCCAACGGTCTTTTCTTTGTTTCCTATACTTCGCCAGATCCTGATCCGCGAGAGCATTGATATAGTTCATGGTCATGGTACCTTCAGCTCCATGTGTCACGAGGCAATTTTGCACGCCAACACCATGGGAATCAAGACAGTGTTTACAGACCACTCACTGTTTGGATTTGCAGACGTGGGCTCGATCTTGGGCAACAAATTGCTAAAATTCACTCTCACCAACATCGGTCATGTGATATGTGTCAGCCATACGTGCAAGGAAAACACCGTTCTAAGAGCCAGCCTGGATCCTTCCTCAGTCTCTGTAATTCCAAATGCGGTTATTGCTGATGACTTTAAACCCGCCGAGGTCAAACCGTCTTTGAATAAGATCACTGTTGTCGTGATCTCGCGACTATTCCAAAACAAGGGAGCTGACCTTCTTACAGCCATTATCCCTCGGTTGTGCTCCACTCGACCTGACATACATTTCTTGATTGCTGGCGACGGCCCAAAGTTTATCGATTTAGAGCAGATGAGGGAAAAACACCAGCTACAAGATAGAGTCGAACTGATTGGAAGCATACGACATCAACAAGTCCGGGACGTGATGGTGCAGGGACATATATATTTGCACCCGTCCTTGACGGAAGCTTTTGGAACAGTTTTGGTTGAGGCTGCTTCCTGCGGGTTGCTAGTGGTAACAACCAAAGTCGGAGGTATCCCTGAGGTGCTGCCCAATAAAATGACTGTTTTCGCTGATCCAGACGAGGAGTCGCTGGTAGATGCTGTGAATTTGGCAGTGAGAAAACTCAAAGAAAACAAAATTGATACAAGCAGTTTCCACGAGGAGGTCAAGAAAATGTACGATTGGGGCGACATCGCCAGGAGAACGGAAAAGGTGTATGATATGGTCATTGAAAGAGAGTCCGCTTCGCTTGTGGATATTTTAGTAAAGTACTACAACTGTGGCCCCTGGGCTGGATTACTATTCATCTTGTGCGTGGTTGTCGATTTATTTATTCTCGAGTTTCTAAACTGGTGGTGGCCCGAGAGTGATATAGACAAGGTGAGGAAATGGCCACAGAAAAAAGGCACTATAGCCAAATGAGCGCGCTTTCATCCCATCAGAATGTTGAGCATTTTGGTGTAGCTTTTTAATGCATTTGAGTTATCGTTTGTGATTTTTGGAATCTGAAAGTGTTCAATGTTAGCAGACAGCTCATCGGCGCTCACCATATCGTCGATGCTGGTACTCAAGTCCCACTTTATTGGACGAATGTCAGGTAAAAAGTTACAGGCAAATTGCGGGTCGCAGTTTTGGATGGTTCTGGAGGTATCAAGCTTGGCTACTAATGCTCTCAGACTCGAAATTTCATTTATGAGTTCAATTTTGTCCAGTTTCATGAACTCTTCGTAGACACCACGAGATTTATCGTCTCCGTAGAGCTGCAGCTTTTTGGTTGTCTCATCAAGCTGTTTCAAAACTGCTTTGTAGTTCTCCTGTGCTCCCATGTATTCTTTATTTAATTTTTGGTTTTCTAACTGCATCCTTTCAAGAGACTTGGACAGCTGTGTAAGTTGCAATTCTTCTGTTTGGTGCTTACTCAATCTCGCTTGTAGCACTGAGATCTTCATTTGAAGTTCCTCAATAGTCTGGGCCTGTTCTTTGCTCACAGTATCATTCTGGACCTCTCCTTGTCTAGTGAACCAGCTGGTGGCTGCAGGTATTCCAATACTCTCGAGTTCAGGGAAGTCTAGCTTAGTTGAGGATATTTTCACCAGCTCCCCAAACACAGTGATCCGCTCTCCTGCTCTAATCTTTCTATCCAGATCGCAAAGAGCAGCAAAAAGATCATCTATAGTTCCGAATCGAATATCAGGCCCATTTATAAGCCCTTGCTTATTTTTCTCTAGGGTTTCCAGTGCACGGATATGGCCGTCGAGCTGCCCCATCATATCCTCAATAGGCGCTTTCACTTCACTAAACCCATACTTTGTCCCATTCAATGACAATCCGTCCTGTAGTAGACCACTCAATAGGAGACAGTACTCCAATTTATGGACAGCCAGCAGCATGTGCATGAGCACCTCCTCCCTGTTTTTCACAGCCCCCTTAAATGGAATTATGAAATCTTCTTGATACTCATGTGCCTCGAGCATTTTGTCAAACCTTTCCAAAAACCCAGAAACTTTTGGCACAAGAGCAGCTGGAACCTCTCTGTAATATTCGCAAATCTTTATTATACAACCAGCTTCTATGGCAAAAGCTCCTAATGCAAAGGCATCCCGAAGGCATTGCGATTGGTAGAAATAGTCATCAATACTTGCAACCTCACCCAGCTGACTGATATAATGATCTTCGAATTGGTGGCACAAGGTTTTGAGTCTCACAACTTGGGCCATCTTCTGTAAGTTCTCTGAGCCTCCTTCAGATCTTGAAAGAATGTTTGAGTACTCATTTAAAGCCAAACCTTCTGCCCTATGTAACACCTGTTGAATTTCCAGCTGATGTTTAAGTTGCAATATTTGAGAGTCGTGGTGCTTTAATTGAGAAAGCAGTTTTTCGGTCGGTTCTTTCGAAACACCGGACTTTCCTGGTTCTGAGTGGTTCTGCAGAAGTACTTGATTGAGCTCCACAACTTTGGTCTCGAGGTTTTTGATGCGAGCTTGATCTTGCTCAAGCTTTTCTTGTGCCTGCTTTATCTCAGTTCGCAATTCATTTTCTATCTCTATATGGCTTTGCTCCAGATCTTTATCAAGTTCCAACAGGCTTTCCAGCTCTTTTATGGCAACCTTGCACCTTGACAGCTCGTCTGTCAAGTCAGCATTTTGAACTGTTAACGACTCAATAATAACCTCCGCGTCAGCTAGAGACGACACTTTGCTTTGAAGCTGGTCATTGAGTTTTTGTAACTTGTCGAGCTCCTTGACATAATGCTCTATTTGATCGCTGTCGACATCTCCACGCCTGATTGAGTTGACCGGAATTTCTTTTGTCTTGTTTTGCAAGTCAGCCAACCGGTCAGATAGTGTCATTTTTTCCATGATCTCTCGCTCCAATGATTCCTCTAAGGAGACCACAGCACTTTTTGATGATTTCAATTGAGCTGTAAGGTCGTTCATATCCGACCGTAGTTTCAACACCTTGTCTTCCAGAGATCTGATGATGGCCTTTAGACGAACGTCGCCCGAGTTTGACGGTTGCAACATTGCAGGACGAACGAAGATACCGTGGTTATCTCGTGCCTGGAAATACCTGACTCCTGCGACAAACCCATCGTTCTTGCCCACCGGTCGATCCAGCTCAACACCAATCCATTCACCGGGCTGAAACTGGGTAGGGCCTATATATTTAATAGTTCCTTCCACATCATTCACCACCACTCTATCATTGATATTATGCATATAGAAAATCAACCGATCGCGTATTTTTTTATTTTATTTTAAAAACAATCAATTAACTAAATCATCATGTCGTCTCTGAAAAGCGGAAGACAGATGAAAGTTGAACTGCTCAATGAGCAGAAACAGGAAATCAGGGAGGCCGTAAGTATGGCAACACGCGATCTAACCTAAGTTTACCCTATTTGATATGAATGGTGATGGATACCTCGATTACCACGAACTGAAGGTGGCCCTCAGAGCACTGGGATTTGACATGTCCAAGAGAGAAGTTCTCAACATAATAGACGAATATGATACAGACAACCGCAAGCTGATCAACTATGAGGATTTTTTCCAATACGTGGGGAATAAAATCATTGAGCGCGATCCGATAGACGAGATCCGCCGCGCGTTCAGATTATTCGACGACGATGAGACAGGAAAAATTAGTCTTCGAAATCTTAGGCGCGTTGCCAAGGAATTGGGTGAAAATCTGACAGACGATGAACTCCGGGCGATGATTGACGAATTTGATCTGGATGAGGATGGAGAGATCAACGAGGAAGAGTTCATTAATATATGTACCGAGAACTAGAATGTACGACCAGCAAAAACGAGCTTCATAATACGGCTAGTAGCAAAACTTAACGCGCCCTGACCCTCCCCACTATTTTCACAGCCTGAAAAACTGGCGCATCGCCAAATAAAGGATACAGAAATATCCTAGACTTCTTATTCACCTTCAATATGAAAGATGTTGAGAAACTCGAGCAAACGGAAGTCGTTGAGCGAACAATCTCTGTTGATCAAGAGAGCAGACGCGAGGAGACATCGAATGTGGTGGAGTATACTTTGGCGGCATTAACTTGCACCCTTCCCATTGCGGTTACTTTATATCTGAGTTGGAAAGATAAACAGTTCATGTCAACGGAGCTATCGAAACAGGAGCTAATCACAAGGCTATCACTGTACAAATCAAAACCACCAACTATGATATTCATGAATTTTCTAATCTCCCTAGTGGGTGTAGAAAATATCCTTGGAATCAGGTCTTCTCAATTTGTCACTTTTGCATCGTTCTACTTGGTTGCCATTTGGTCACAGGCATCGATGGTGATTGTGCAAGTGGTTGGAATAGTTAATGAAATGCATCTAGAGAGAGAATATTTTTGGTCAATGACGCTTCTGATTATCGTTTTCATATCCATCGCGCTGGGGTCTTGCCTTAATCTCTACAGAGCACAATCGACAATCATGAACGATGCACAGAATGGTCTCACACTTATGAGCTCGTTCCAGGCGTGGCTCACAGCTTTTGGTTGTCTTTTCGAATTGTGCCATTACTCGACAATCAATTTCAACAATATGGTGAACTACTACTCTTTTCTCACTAACAGTCTTGCCGAACAGCGGACACTGATTTTGATGGTCACCATACACGTTTGCTCAATGATCATAGTCGGAGCTGTGCTCCTGACAAACTTTTTATGCTGTCTCGGATTTGAGCGCGAAGCTAAACCTTGGATTATGGATCAGCAATCTACTGCCACGAGGATGATGATTTGTCCGCTAATTTCCATCTCAGTCCTTCATTGCATGCAGAACGAGTGGGCGGACTTGTTTAATTCCCGGTAGCTAGTATTATATAGAATAATTGCACCCGTACACCTGTAGCGATGGGTTGAAGAGATCCGTTATTGGAAAAAAATATTACCCAGTGGGGAGATAAGACACCGAGTGTACTTTGAGTTGACAAGAAGGTAATAATTTTGGCCAACTTAGCGCATACTTTCCAACAATTGGAATAGCCCCGTAAAATCAAATCCATTCAGAGATTCAGACCCCGAGAAATCAAGCTAGATTCTATTAAAACTATGTCCAAAATTGCTCAAACTGCGAAGACTGCGTCGACCTTACTGAGGTCCTCTATTGGCAAAAACATTAGAACTGCATCTTCCGGCGCTGGTCCAGCGACTATGACTGTTAGAGACGCTTTGAACAGTGCCATGCAAGAGGAACTGGACAGAGATCCAGATGTGTTTTTGATGGGTGAGGAAGTTGCTCAGTATAATGGTGCCTACAAAATTTCCAGAGGGCTCCTAGATAAGTTCGGCCCAAAAAGAATTGTGGACACTCCTATTACTGAGATGGGTTTCACCGGATTGTGTGTTGGTGCGGCATTGTCCGGCCTTAAACCAATCTGTGAGTTTATGACTTTCAACTTTGCCATGCAATCCATTGATCAAATCATCAATTCTGCAGCAAAGACTTACTACATGTCTGGTGGTAAACAGCCATGTAACATCACCTTTAGAGGTCCAAACGGTGCTGCTGCAGGTGTTGCTGCTCAGCATTCTCAAGATTACTCCGCTTGGTACGGATCCATTCCAGGTCTGAAGGTCATTTCTCCATACTCCTCGGAAGACTGCAAGGGTCTTTTGAAAGCAGCTATCAGAGACCCTAACCCAGTCGTCTTTTTGGAAAACGAACTATTGTATGGTGAATCTTTCCCAATATCCGAAGAGGCTGCGTCTCCTGACTTCGTTCTACCAATCGGCAAGGCCAAGATTGAGCTCGAAGGTTCGGACGTTACTATCATTTCGCATTCTAGAAACCTGACTTTCTGCCTTGAGGCAGCCAAGGTGGTGAAGGAGAAATACGGTGTTTCCGCTGAAGTTTTGAATCTCAGATCCATCAAACCGCTGGACGTCCCAGCTATCATTGAATCCATCAAGAAGACCAATCACGCTATCACTGTTGAGGCCGGTTTCCCTGCTTTCGGTGTTGGTTCGGAAATCTGTGCTCAAGTGATGGAATCTGAAGGTTTTGACTACCTCGATGCCCCAATTGAAAGAATCACGGGATGTGAAGTTCCAACTCCTTATGCCAAAGAATTGGAAGATTTCGCTTTCCCAGATACTCCAACCGTTGTGAGAGGTATCGAAAAGGTTCTCTCTTTGGGTGAGTTTGCTTAGAGGGGGTAATTGTAGAATTACATAAAAATATATTATATTGAATTCAACTCTATATTCTGTCCACGCGCGCTTTAACCCTCTCAAGACTTAATTTGACGTCTCCTTTCTGGAAGTGATCTAGATTGTAGTATTTCGGAGCCAGTTCTATCAACCACTCTGGCTTGATAGCAGTGACTGTACGAATATAGTTCTTCGACGTCAGAACAAATTCGTTATAAATCAACCATTCATCTTGCTTCCCAAGAACGGTCGATGGATGAATAAGCACCTCTTGATTATCTTTCACCGTAATATAACCCTTTCCTGCGCTCTTCTTCTTGGCAACTTGCATGAAGAAACCAGCAACCAATGCTTTGCGCAGCCTTAGATGATGCTTTGGATTATCGTAATCAGTGTAGTTAAGCTCCAAATCGTATTTCTCCATCAATTTCGAGAGCTGCCATCTGACATTCTCGGCCGACTTGAGAGATCTGTAAGACAAAAAGTTGTTTTTACACCACTTGCTAACGCCAATTTCCTGTGCTTCTTCCGATTTGAATGCGTTATAGACATTCAAGAGTGTCAGATGATCTCCGTAAGGATGAGCAAACACCTTCTTAGCTTCCTCAGCTGCAGCCTTAGCCGACTTTCCTGATGGACGAACGAAAACTGAAGGAACTGACAACATGGCAACAATCGTCAGGATGTCCTCTGAACACTTGAACTCGGGAGAACCAATCAGCATGACAGCTAACATAGGATCCAATGGGAACTGCGATGCCAATCTTCCCAGCGCAGTGAGGTCTCCAGCATCATCCAAACAACCCAAGTAGTTAAGCTCTTCCAAGGCTCTCATCATAGTTTCTGGAGCAGGTGGGTCCATGAAATCAAAATGCACGAGATCATCAATACCTAGCTTTTTAAGTTCCAACACGGTGGAAGACAGGTTGGTTCTCAAAATTTCTGGGTAGCTCTGCTCTATGAGCTCTTTTTGGAAAGCCTCTTCTGTGTATAAACGGAAACATTTTCCGGGACGCGTACGACCAGCTCTACCTGCTCTTTGCTGTGCCGAGGCTTTGGAAATTGGCGAAACCAAGAGCGACTCCACCCTTATTCTTGGGTTGTAAACCTTTTGTTTCGAGAATCCCGGATCTACCACATAAACAATACCATCAATCGTCAGGGACGTCTCCGCAATGTTGGTGGATACGATTACTTTTCTTCCTGGTTTTCCACCTGGTCTAAATGGCTGTGGAGCAGGTTCGAAAATCTTCTGCTGCTGGTGAGGAGGTAGCGAACCATACAGCGGGTAGACAGCGAGCGGTCCACACCCCTCTTCCCTAATCAAATGATCACCTTCTAAAGAGATTTTGGAGCATGCGTCTTCAATTTCCTCTTCACCTGTCAAAAACAATAATATGTCACCTTCATCTTCAGTAGCATGGATTTGCAAAACCGTGCGGATAGCGGCATCCAGATAATCTCTCTGGAATTCAGGAGTGTAATAAATTTCAACGGGATAAGTACGACCAGGGACTGCCAGCAATGGAGCATCGTTGAAATAGCTCTGAAACTTTTGGGCGTCCAGAGTGGCAGACATAATAATGATTTTTAGGTCTGGCCTTCTAACGCTGACTTGTTTCAAAAGTCCCATGAGAATATCAGTTGCGAGCGTACGCTCATGCGCTTCATCCAAAATTATGCATCCATATCTCTTCAAATCGTGATCCTCCATCGCCTCCCTGAGAAGCATACCATCGGTCATGTACTTGAGGATTGTCTTTTTGGATGTTTTGTTCTCAAATCTGATGCTGTAACCAACCTCTTCTCCCAGATTCACGTCCATTTCATCTGCCACTCTTGCCGCAACCGACATAGCTGCAACTCTTCTAGGCTGTGTACATGCAACTTGCGTGCCTCTCAAATGAGGCATCTCGTCATAAAGCACGAATTGAGGGATCTGTGTGGTTTTACCCGAACCGGTCTCACCAACAAAAACCATGATCTGAGTCTTATGAAAGATTTTGAGAAACTCGTCTCTTTGAGCGTGAACTGGTAATTCTCGACGGACTTTCAGAATATCAAAGTATCTCTGTGAGAAGGGCTTACCCGTGAACGGGTTCTTCTCACCATCCTCAAGTTTTTTGGCGTATTTAGCCGTAGTCTTGTTACGCTTAGAGATATTGAATTCACCTCCATCGTAAATTTCAAGCTCTTCTTTTTCCCGCACATGAGGATGGATTTCAAGTTCATGTTCTGCCTTTTCTGCAGCAATTTGAGGAATCGATGTCTCAGCTATCTTGGAGCGCTTTTTAGGTCTTGATGATTCCCCCATTGTTTTAGCACAAAAAAATAATTTTTCTAATTTTTTTCAGAACTTTAAAGCAAATGTAAAGGTGTGAAGTTTAATTTGAGCTGTTGAAAAGACAGACCGGTTTTTAACTTCATGTCTTCCAAGTTCCTGTACCAGACATATACTCTTGCCAATGGTAGTAGTAAAGTTGTCAAGGAAAGTGCCCGTGTGGTTGTTGCCAATTGCTCACTACTCTCAAACTTTTTAGGCAATGACAAACTCTATGCCGATTCGAGGGCCATGTCGCAGAGGGCCAAAAAGCAACCCCTAGAAGAAAATTATCAACAAGCGGAGGAAGACGATGTGTTCCAGGCAGCTCGCGAGAAATCCAAGAGTGTCAAGCAGGCTGAGAAGAAACAAAACGATATCCTAACAAACAGCAAGAGGCCTAGAGGCCGGAAAAGTAACATCTCTAATAAGAGAGAATTCGGCACCACTAGGTTCCTAGAGGATGAAGACAACTCCAAAACCAAACCAGAGGTTATTGGAAAGGCTGAAAAGGCAGAATTTGAGATGTCACAGTCAGCAGTGCCATCTTCAAGGATCAGCAGATTATTTCATTATGGAACATTGGCTGCGGGAGTTGGACTTGACGTACTCCGACAAAGTGCTGAAAATTATGCAAAAGGCCAGAACTCCAAGTCTGTTGGATCTATGATCATGTCTCCTCGGAACATTGAGCGCATTGCTCGCAAATTTAGTCGAATGCGTGGTGCTGCGCTGAAAATCGGACAGATGCTTTCTTTCCAGGACGCATCGGTGCTGCCTCCTGAAATACAGCAGATTCTCCTTCGTGTTCAAAATAGCGCTCACTACATGCCTGCGGGACAGCTGGAAAAAGTCATCTCTTTTGAGCTTGGCGATGGCTGGAGAAGTCGGTATTTTGCTTCCTTTGACGATGTCCCGATTGCAGCAGCTTCCATCGGACAAGTCCACCGGGCAATCACTAAAGACACCAATGATAGGGTTGTGGTAAAAGTGCAATACCCCGGAGTGGCAGACAGCATAGACTCGGATCTTGATAATATTCTAACTCTTTTGACAGCATCGAGACTGCTTCCACCGGGGCTTTTTCTTGAAAAAAGCGTTGCCAACGCAAGGGTTGAGCTGAAGTGGGAATGTGATTACCTTCGAGAGGCTCAGAATATTGCTCGTTTCGGTGATTTGCTAAAGGATGACTCTGTATTCGTGGTTCCCAAAGTGTATCATGAAATTAGTGACGAACATGTCTTGACCATGGAAGAAATGAGGGGTACAGAGATTATGAAGAAGGAATGGTCGCAGGAGACGAAAAACTGGATCTCATCAAATATCATGAGACTTACGCTCACAGAGATAGCCAAATTTAGGTTTATGCAAACAGATCCCAACTGGGCCAATTTCCTTTATAACGAGAAGACTAACAAGATAGAGCTTTTGGACTTCGGGGCATGCAGAGATTTCAAGAAGGACTTCATTACCACGTATCTCAACTGTTTGCGCGCCTCGGTGAAAAAGGACTATAATAAAGTGCAAACGTACTCTAAAGACATGGGATTTCTCACCGGTTTGGAAACTGACAGCATGACCCAGGCCCATGTTGAGTCGATCATTGCGCTGGGCGAACCATTTTCTCCGGTTGACAACAAGGGATCTGATTATGACTTTACCAATCAAACAGTGACCGATCGTGTTCGCGGAAATATCAAGTTGATGTTGAATGAACGACTAACACCACCTCCCGAAGAGACGTACAGTTTGCACAGAAAACTCAGCGGTGCCTACCTCCTTTGCGCAAGGATGAAAGCTGTTGTTCCATGCGAAAAGATTTTTGAAGAAATTGTTGGTCTAAACTACGAGTGACTGTATATAGTGAATGCGCATCTACATGCAAGATAAATCAAAATTGCAACGAACCGGCAAGACGGTTAATGGCTGTGTAAAAATTATTTTGCCACGATAAGATTCAACGTTCCTTGGAAGAGATGTCTATTGGGTATTCTGACCCGACATTTGGAGAGTCAGCAGCCTTCCTTCCGATGGACAGAGCAGTGGCTGGCCAAACAAGGCCATCGCTGAGACATAACTCGTCACTTTCGAGGGGCAACATTCATCGTCGAAGTTCAATTATAATGGCTGATACGGGCCAGAAAATACAGCGATCGTATTCATTTTGGGACCAAACGCAGGACGAAATTGAGTTGGAGAATCAAATTGGAAGCAACAGACGGAAAGTAGAAGATAGCAACCAAGGGTTTCAGGGTAGATTCAAAAGTATGGTCTCCTCTGACACTTGCAAAGGAGTGCTCAAGGGAGCTTTGGCCTATTTTGTTGCTTCGTGGGCTGTCTACTCGTCCACGCTCTCTAGTATATTAGGGAATGCTGATTCCAAGCATTTGATTTGCACAATTGTCGTTTACTTCCATCCAACAAGGACTAAAGGGTCTATGATTCAGTCTTTGATTTTCGTGATCTTAGCCCTCTCGTTTGCATTTTCAATCTCGGTGATCCTAATGAGCATTTCGGCCAAATCATATAACATGGAAAGCCCTGAGCTTGGGTATGGTATTGATCTTGTATTCAGCTGTGCTGCTCTTGGTTTAATATCATTAACTAAACAGTGGGTCAGTAAACCTACATTCAACACCGCTTGTTCGCTGAGCGCCATAGTCATCATTTCTTGCGTCATTAAGGAAGGTAGTCAAGATGGTAGCGTTGTGCCATGGGCCAAAATAGGGTCAATATTCAGAATTGTCCTGGCAGGATGTATAGTCTCGGCATTGACCTGTTATCTGTTGTGGCCCACATCTGCTGAGATGAAGCTAAAGCAACACTTGAACGAAAATGCAGATGCACAGTCTCATCTCCTCAAACTTGTATCAAGGTCCTTTTTAGGGTACGATCACATAGAATCGTCTGAGACAAACGTTCTTGTTGAGAAAGTCAAGTCGAGCCTCAAAAACCTTAAGAGATACCTGGAAGAAGCCAAGTTCGAACTGTACTTGAAGGGAAAGGAAAAGGAGTATCACCTACTCAAAGATCTGGTGGAGTCGTGTGGAAAGCTCTGGATGACCATGGCTGGAATGAGGATGTCTGTCGAGTTCAAATACGAACTTCTTGACATCGGTAACCATGTTCACACGGAAACCACGTCCTTGCGCAGCTACTACAGTGAACAGGTTGACGGGAGCACATCTAATGAGAGTGATTTTGACGACGATGAAGCTGTTGCAATAAATTCCAAAGAGCTATTTGATTTGTTTGTCTACTATCTGGGACCGTCTATTAAAAGTTTCTCGTATACTGTCAGACAAATTTTAAGCGGTGTTCCTTTCAATTCAGAGAATCAGATAGAACCGGCTGTTGAACAGTACTCTAAAAGCTTGGCTCTGGCAAAGGACTTATACAGTGACAACCAACTCAAGGCCCTCAAAAAACTATACGACCAAGACCTCTTCAAGACAGAGACGGACTTTGATTCCAAAGTCGATCAAGAAGAAGTGGCTGCATCCTGCGGAAACTTCTCTTTTCTGCTGTTGGAGTTTGCCTCGGAGCTTTTTGAATATTTGCGAATTTTGAAGGAGTTAAATGCCGTGTCCACTTACAAAGATACCAAAACTTTTGAGTTTTTGAAGTTTTGGAAACGATCATCTCCTCTGTCGTCCAGTGCTCCACGAAAAAGTACTATTAACGATATGATATCTCGAATACAAGGAACTAATGAGGATTACAGTGCCAAAATGTCCCTAAATTATAGAATCTGGAGAATAGTCAAAATCCTAAGAAGTGTGGACGTCCAATTTGGTCTGAGAGTGGGTATTGGCTCACTTTTCATAGCCATATTTGCATACATCGACAAGACGAAAGACTTCTTTGATGACTGGCGAGGAGAATGGGCTCTGGTGACATTTTGCATTATAATGAACAAGTCTGTTGGAGGAACCACTATGACCATCAAATGGAGATTCCTAGGAACATTTTTAGGGGCTTTCACAGCTTATTGTGTTTGGGTGCTATTATACCCAAATGCGCTGCTAATGGCAATTGTGGGATTCTTGTTTTCCATCGGGTGCTTCCATATCATCATCAACTGGGAAGCAAATAATGCATTTGGTAGATTCATTCTTCTCACCTACAATTTGACCGTATTATATTCGTGGACTATGGCCAATAAGGTGATAGATAAAGTGCCCGACTATGACGATGAAGGAGGAGACAACCCGATCATATTTGAAATTGCTATTCACCGTTTTCTGGGTGTCTCATTTGGAGTCATCTGGGCTTTGATCGTGACAATGTCTCTGTTCCCTAATTCTGCTCGGAGCAGGATACGTAGAGGGCTCTCCATTTTATGGTTGCGAATGGGCATCATTTGGCATAGCGGTCCGCTGGCTTTTGAGGTTGACGAGCACAATGAATACAAGCTCATTGGTATACGAGACAGGAAGACTATTCACATGATCATGTCTGAGTTGGAGACTTTAGTCAAACAGGCTCCAATGGAGATAAGACTCAAGGGGCCATTCCCCATAGGAATTTACGAGAAACTACTTATTTCAACTTCTCGGATAATTGACGCTTTCGAGAACTTGAACTCCATCATTGAAATCAATAAAAGGCTTACTCCCAACGAACATTCAGTGCTTCAGAATCTAGCAGGTGAAATGTCGGAACTTGAGAATCGCGTTTTCCTTATTTTCTACATGTTGGCTTCAGCCATGAAGCTGGGGTTCCCACTCGCAAACAAACCTGCTTCTACCGAACATTCAAAAGAGCGAATGCTCGCTAAAATGAGCGAGATTCGCAAAAGAAGTACCTCAGAAAAGCAAGTGCTGTCGGACGAAGACTTTGTTCTCCTTTACACGTACAACCTGGTCACAAACTCAATTACTAATGAGTTAGACGTTCTTCTAGGACTTGTGGCAGACTTGTATGGTAGAGTTTCTGAGGAAACTCTCGAATTATGATGGACTTATCGAGATCGCTGCCATTTCTAATTTACGTGTCGCCAAGTAATTTATGTTTTCATTTACGCAAAAATTGTAAACTTTTTTATAAAGATTCGGAACGTATATCCACGGCATATCCACTGAGTCCAGAAATCGAGGTGACCGTACGTTTGTTGTTGCACGTTGACAATAGCGATCGAAGGCATATTTTATAAATAATGGTCAAATCGGCAAATGAAAGAGCCGTGCCTTCCGTGGTTGTGGATCAGGTAGATAGCTCTTATATTGAGGAAGACGACCCGGATTACACATCAAACGGAGCTTCGGAAACTTTTGATGATGAAGAGGGTGACACGGAACTAGAGTCCGAAGTAAGTGACACAAATCCGGGAGATCTTTCTTCTATATCATCGGACTTTGAAAACATGGATAAGAAACCTCTCAAACAGTTTTATCCTGGACAGGACTTTCAGCACCAAAGCACTGCAGACATACTTCTAGAAACCCACAAACGCTTTAAAACCCTCATACATAAGCATGAGGTGCCGCGCAAATTATTCCATGTCTCCATCGGATTCATTACACTATACTTATATACTATCAACGTTCAAACTCCAATGCTTATCAAACCACTGGTGACGGGATTTTTATCAGTGCTATCACTGGATCTCTTGCGGTTTAGATCACAAACTTTCAACGGATTATACTGCAGTGCGGTTGGCTTTTTGATGAGAGATAAAGAAATCAATACTTACAATGGCACCTTATGGTATCTTCTGGGTTTAAGTCTGGTTTTTCAAACGCAAAAGAAGGATATCGCTGTTATGGCAGTTTTGCTTCTAAGTTGGTCAGACACTGCTGCATCTACGTTCGGTCGTCTATACGGTCACTTGACACCTAAGATCACCAAGTCAAAATCGCTTGCCGGATCAATTGCAGCATTCATTACAGGTGTCGGATCGTCGTACTTGTTCTACGGTTATTTTGTGCCAGCATATCCTGAGGTCAACTATTATTCCGAGTTCGCATGGGAGCCCTCAAAGAGTTATCTTAGCCTGCATACCCTTTCATTCTTGTGCGGATTGGTTGCATCGGTCAGCGAAGCTCTAACTATATTTAATTGGGACGATAACTTTACCATCCCCGTGTTTTGCAGCGGTTTCCTATGGGCGGTTCTCAAGTTCTCTGCTAGAGACTAGCTCTGAGACATTATTAAAGTACTAATATAAAGCAACTTCTGTTTGTGCACAAGCTAGCTGAAGTAGCGTTTGTGTTTAATTACTGCTGTGAACGAATCCAAATATCCCCAACCGTTATGAAGATTCCTTCTGATGAGCAGTTTTCTAGCAATTGATAGTTTTCTTGCAATTGATCCCATGACTTTCCACGGTTGTGAAAAAGTCAATAGCCTGAACCAACATAGCAAACCCCAAAGGTCCATCCATTCATGATTTGAAGCATCGACCATGACTGACTGCTTAAATGAATCCATTTTTCTTCAAAGTTGGTAACCTGTAACTATCTTCTTCAGGTTCTAAATAGCTCAACTATTACTAGAATGCCTACATCAATGGCATCCAAGACAGCGATTGTTCGCCATTCACGATATTAACATCTGTTGTTGACCAACACTATTTTATGGTCACAAGCTTCAAGGGCACGGTCCAAGAATGATGATCTGCGACTGATGATTCCATCGTGCGAAAGCGGTTTTGACAATTGGCTTTTCTTGAGTCATCCGAAATTATCAGATACCTTCGAATTTACGAGAATTTGATTGAGGCCCCGGCTGTACGTGAACTTCAGCGTTCCAGCTTTTATCTCTTCAGCGATCTTCATACTTCGAAGTTGAACCTTATTTCATACGCCACAGCTCATGACCATACTATGGATCGAAATTGTAATTAGCATATGAGGCCGTTACTGGTGACCTATCCCTTGCTCGTCCTTTGAAAAGGGAGACTTGTTCAAAGCATCTAGAAGGAGGCCTTCTACAAGAAATGAAACTCTTCATTTTATTAAGCTCTTATTTGAGACACGAATCATTGAAGTAAGATATCACAATGCGCCCAGCTCACCTTTCTCTGCTAAGGTGTTATGAGAAACTCAAAATGCCCTGGGATTTGAGAGACAGACGATTGTTAATAATCCAAAAAGTCTTCGCATATTCCGGTTGCAATCTGCTCAACTTTACTAAAGATGATCGGGAGCTCATTGCCCATCCAGTGAACATTGGCCCTCAATGACGAGTTTTACAACCCAATATGAATTGCGTAGTCGTAATTTTTATCAATTTGCCAGACTAAAAGGACTTACTCTCGTGCTTCAAGGCAAAATCTTCACTTTACCCTAACACTCAATATCTCAATGATAATTGATCCAGCCAGGCGTATCATACTCAGTCGACAGTTTTGCGATGTGGGCCCTTGCCCGAAGTATATTATTTATATTAGTGTAATACATGCACATGCTCCACGAATAGTTATGTACACATTAGACAGAAATTATTTGCGAGCACCTTCAAAAATCGTTAGCAGCCTTTCTCAAGTCTTGTTTCAAAATCTCATCCAACATGCCAGAAGCGGCAGCAACCAATCCCAAAAATGGACGGGACGGATCCAAAACCTTTGAGATGTATTCTGGGTGGTACTGAGTGGCAACGAAAAATGGATGATTTACAAGCTCCAAGATCTCCATTCTCTCAGCTTTTTCATCTTTTCCAACAAACTTCATTCCGTGCTTCTCAATGGCCTCAACCATGGCTGGATTGATTTCGTATCTATGTCTGTGTCTTTCCAAGACAGATTCTGCACCACCGTAGAGCTTTTTGATAATGGAAAATTCAGCAGTGGAATCAAAGCACGTTGGTCTCAGGCCCAGTCTCATGGTACCTCCCATATTCTCCTTATCAATTTCAGGCATATAAACAACAGCTGCTTGCTCGTCGGCGATCTCTGGCACAAATTCAGCACTGGTTGCACCCTCGACATGCAAGACATTCCTAATGAACTCAATAACCGCCACTTGCAGTCCAAGGCAAACACCCAAATATGGAATATTGTTCTCTCGAGCCCATTTAGCAGCAGCAATCATTCCCTCAACACCTCTAGTACCGAAACCGCCTGGAACCAAGATTCCATCAGCTTTACAAACCAGCTGCCACGCAGAATGGAAGTCGGCCTTGTTCACTAATTCAGTTTCTGGTTCCAAATTTCCCGACTCGACCCAGACAATTTCCAGTTTCTTGGAACATCTCATTGCACTGTGCTCGAGCGATTTGATCACAGACAAATACGAGTCATGTAAATTAGTGTACTTTCCGACAATTGCAATGGTGACTCTCTCGTAAGATCTATCATGCTGTGTTGTCAGCTCAACCCAATTCTTGTATAGCTCCTCTCCTTTGGCGACCATCAGGGGCGGAATGTGCATTTTGTGAAGTTCTAATCTTTTGGTCAAATAATTAATCATCTTTTGTTCTTTCAAAATGAGCGGAACATGATAGGTAGAGTTCACGTCGTGAATGGCAAGAACTTGCTCAGCACCAACATGGCAAAACATTGCGATCTTGTCGATCGTTGGCTTTTCCAATCTGGAGGAACATCTGCAACCAATCATATCTGGAGACAGGCCAAGAGATCTCAGATCTTTGATCGCAGCTTGGGTAGGCTTGGTCTTTTGCTCGCCATGAATCACTGGGACAAGCGACACGTGAATCAAAGCAAAGTTTTCATGTCCAACTCTGAACTGAAATTGTCTTAGGGCTTCAACGAAGGGAGCAGACTCAATATCTCCAACTGTTCCTCCCAGTTCAATGATACAGACATCTGGTTCCATTCCAGAGGGATCGACTGGAATTCTGGCAACACGCTCAATCCAGTCCTGAATGGCATTAGTGATGTGAGGAACAACTTGAACAGTTTTACCCAAGTAATCACCTTTTCTTTCTTTTTGAATAACAGCAGAGTAGATCTTGCCTGTGGTAATATTGTGGTCTTTAGTAAGGGAAATACCCAAATATCTTTCATAGTTTCCCAAGTCAAGATCCACTTCTCCACCATCGTCCAGAACGAAGCATTCTCCGTGCTCTAGAGGAGACATAGTTCCTGCGTCGATGTTCAGGTATGGGTCAATTTTGATAGAGGTGACTCTTAAACCAAGTGTTTTCAACAGCATACCAGTAGAGGATGCCAAAACACCCTTTCCAATGCCTGAGATAACTCCACCAGAAACAACGACGTACTTCATGATAATCTTGTGTAGTCAGAACTTTGAGAAAGAAGACTATCAGATGAAACCAAAAAAATTTTGAACATTTTTTTTCACTTCGACGCGACGCGGTGCGTCTATCGACTTTATTTATCACTAAATTTCACCCCGGCTATTTTACCATTATCGTCTTTCATAATTTGCGCTCTATCCGTCTTGACTAGTACATTCAAGGCCTTTATTAGGACAGTTGGGCTGATTCCATAAAACTCTTGCGTTTTAGCGAGGTCACCTTTGCGCAATTCGTACAATGTCAGCACAGTGTTGCTCTGCCCTGTAATGTCAATCTAAAGGTCAGTATACAAGTCAAAGATGCACTTACCCATTCGAATATTATATTTGCCCACTCCTCTAATGTATGCCAATAGACGATGATTCCGTGCTTGTGATTTTTAGGATTCACCCATTCCGCTTTCTCTTTGGAAATCATTTCGTTGTAGATCTCCATAATGAACTCACTCTTTAAGCTTCTATCAATCTTGTTGTTCGTGAAGATAGATTGCTTGGTAACTTCTGCGTAGTCATCGTCATCATCTTCGTCCTGAGGATCCACGTGGTCCAATGCTGAGTCCCCTGACTCCCCGTTCAACGATAGTATCCAGATCTTGTTGTACTGGCAGTAATCTAATATCAATTGGATCCAATGAGATTTCTGTGTTTCCAGCGTTTGACTATGTATCTGCTTAGTGAAAAATGGAGGAAAGTCATATATCGTGGGGAACTTAAACGACATGAAGAATTAACCAAATTAAAAAAAATAAATCAACAAAATATTTTGTCTATCAAACAACTCGAAATGGCTTCGTTGGAAGATGAGCACGCCGAAGTTTACAGACAGCTAATATCAGTAGTAGATCAGCTGTTAATTGCAACTAAAAAGGCCAAATTGGAAGAGCTTCCTCAGACGATTGATAAAGAGTTTGATGAAGCTTTGCACAAAATGCCAGATCTTCAACTGGCTCTTCTGCACGCAGAAATCCTCAACAAGGATACAGAGGAGACGGTGAATTCATTTTTGGAGAAGATGCTGAATATACGGCTTCGCATTATAGAACAGCATATGATAACCTATCCCATACTACGTGCTATTCATACAGATAATGATTCTCATTTAGCCAGACTGGCAAAAGATTGTGACACCTCAAACAAATCTCTCATGGATGAATTGAACAAAACCGATAGTATCCATAGTTTCCTTGATGGATCAGTTGCCAGCGTAAATAGGTCTCTTGGAGGTCTTCGCGAGCTGGTGCAAAGCTATCTTCATCTGGTGGAGCAAAATAAAGACCTCTCTTTCCAAAATAAAATCCGAGAGGAAGAGCAGATTCCAGAATTGGAGCGGTTGAAAGAAAGAAGTACCCATCTCATCAAGAAGAACCTAGCCTTGAGCAGTTTCAATATTAGTCTCATATCTTCACTCTCCAAATCTGATGTGTACAATGATCCATATTTGCGCGAGACACTGCTATTTTGTGGTGATTACGATGATTACAAGCTTGAAGAATAGATAATGATCCAAGTATAATTATGTCTATGTACATTAGAGACCTATATTAACAAAGAGTCTATTGTTAACGACCTCCCAATTGATACAGTTCCAGAAGTTTTCAAGGTAATCGGCTTTACCGTTGACTCCATAATCCTCAATGTAGGCGTGCTCCCAAACATTACAAACCAATAGCGGAACGGTATAGTCTTTTATTTTCTTGTTCAGTCTGTCCTTGTTGGAAATGAGCTTTTCGAAGTCGTCAATGCTGATGGCACCGTTAAGGTCAGACGATTGGTTTCTGCTGTACAAATACGGGGTGCCATCGTTGTTGCAAGATATAATTTTTACGGTTTTTTCCTGTGTCTCCACAAGAAAAACCCATCCATTTCCAGTCAGTATATCAGCTGCATACAAAAAGTCGTTTCTGAGGTTTTCTAGTGAGCCAAATGCAGTGGTGATGTGTCTGTCGAGACGCGATTTGAGCGCCGGTGGATCGGTAGAGGCGTCCTGCAGTTGTTCAAAGAACAAGTGGTTGTTGTGAGATTGCGAGGCGTAGTGGAACAGTGGGCCTAGTTCGGGCTTTTTCGCCGTGGCAAGGGTGATGGCTAGTGGCGTTCTTGTCTCGTGCTCGGTTCCAATGGTTTTGAAGGTGAGATTGGTGGTCAGAAACTTCTGGTAGTCTGTCCAACTCGTCTTGTATTGTTTTGGGGACATTAAGCCCTTAATGCCATCCTGTGACCACTGCTGGTGATTCTTGAGCCTGGGCACCAAGTGAATTCCCCTCGAAAACACTCTAGACAAACGCATCTGGAAGCTGGCGATGAGAAAGTTTTGAAAAATTTTAGAGCCTTGGAAAAGGTAGTGCGGGAGAAGTAAAAACTTCAATATAATTAAAGGCAAAACAGTATGTGGTCATCGCTGATTCAGTCAGTAAAGACAGCAGCTGGACAGTCGAAAGGAAGTCGCTCTGGTATATGGAGCACCAGGTGGTACAGCAGCCGGTATGGAATGAGAAAGATGACCGGTCGCTATGGAAGAGAGGATTACTCGCGATCCTCGTCTCACACGAGCTATGTGCATACTCCCAATCCTGGAGGAATCATCAGTCACTCGGATCCGTTGGCCGCGATATTGTCACAGCCTACCTTGGTTATACAGCGGCAAATTGAGTACATGAACTTGTTTTTGGGATTTGAGCAAGCTAATAGATATGTTCTGATGGATTCCATGGGCAATCAGTTAGGTTGGCTTCTGGAGCGCGACTTTGGATTCACCAAAGCGATAATGAGACAAATATACAGGCTTCATCGTCCGTTCACTGTGGACCTACTCGATAACTATGGCAACGTTTTGATGACTATCAAAAGACCGTTCAGCTTCATCAATTCTCACATCAAGGCATTTCTTCCTAATGTGATAGATCCCCGCTACCCGGATGGGGCCTTGATTGGAGAGTCAGTTCAGAGTTGGCACTTGTGGAGACGCAGGTATAACCTCTTCAAAGCGAGTGGGGATGACACTTTCGACCAGTTTGGAGCCATTGACTCTGGCTTCCTATCGTGGGAATTCCCTATTAGGGCAGAGAATGGAACGATATTGGGCGCTGTTTCAAGAAACTTTGTTGGATTTGCGAGAGAATTCTTCACAGACACAGGAATCTATGTGATTCGAATGGATCCGTTGAGCTTTCAGGGGCTGGAAGATCTGTACTACCCCATTTCAGATAAAGGAATGACGCTCGATCAGAAGGCAGTGATGCTAGCCAATGCCGTGTCCATTGACTTTGACTACTTCAGTCGACACAGCTCTGGTCCTGGAGCCGGCTTGATGTTTTGGGAGAGCGAATAATGTAAATAGACTACGATTGCGGTAAAGAATTTAGTGGGAGTTGACGAGATCAACTATACAAAACTTAGGAAACAACCCATAAACGTCATTTAGGAAGAGAAGCCGATGACACCACAGGCTGGTCTGCCACCGGCATTACCAGTCTTCAAAGAGTCTGGGTGGCCACCCTTACCCAAGTCATCAGTACCAGAGTGAACGACGACAGTTCTTCCCAAAATGGAGTTCTCGCCGAAAAGCTTGATCAGACTGTCCTGTTTAGCACCCTTAGCAACTCCATTTGCATCGGTCGTGATGTTACCAAGGTCACCAACGTGTCTCTCGGAGTCTTCTGGTGCTCCGTGGTTTTTGCCGAATGGGTTGAAGTGTGGACCAGCAGAAGTGCAACCGTTAGTGTTGTCACCGAATTGGTGAATGTGGAAACCTCTCAGAGCGTTAGGATCGTTACCGGAGATTTCCCATGAAACGGTGGTTGGTTCAGACTCGGAAGCCTGCTCAAAAGTAACAATTCCCTTAACAGTAGAGTCTCCTCTCACGACAGCGACTGCATTGTTAGCAACTGGTTAATCTTCTTCTTACTTACCAGCTTTGACCATTTTCGAAAGAAGTTTAAGAAACTGAGTTTGTTCGGAGTCTTAAATATTCTAGAGCTATCTTATTGGTGGCAATTACTAATTTGCACTACCCGCTGACATAAGAAAAGGAGGAAAGGCAAGTTGCGCAAGGCATGACAAGCTCCCAAAATTCAAAAAACGGTTCTCAACATCTTGATTCTTATCAACACATCTTATCAATTAGATCGTATGTATACAAGAGATTTAGGGACCCTTTTAAGCCGTTGAACAGAGATATTTGCTCATCATAATATTTGCTCAGTCCAAGTTCCATTTATTATTATTTTCCAGGCTGTGCTATTTTAAAGTCCGAAATATCCCAATTTGGGATAACAGTGATCATTTTCCATGAGAACGTTATTACACGGATTGCTATTTCTATGTGGTGTGGCACTCGCCTCACTTGTAGAGGTGGATGACTCGAATTTTGAAAGCCTAGTTTTTGGCCAGCCGGGCAAATACTCGTTTGTTTACTTCTACGCTCCCGGATGCAAGCATTGTCTGGATTTGGAACCCCATTTTGAACCGTTGGTGGATTTGTACGAGGGTACAAATCTCCAAATCTTCAAAATAAATGGTCGTACGAACAAGAGAGTCCGTGACAAGTACCAGCTTTTTGGATATCCCACTCTCAAGCTCTTTTCTTCGCAAGGAGACGATATTGGAGCATACACAGGTATTCGGACGACCGCGAAAATGATCGAGTACCTGCAAGATGCAACGGGGATTCATCCAATATACCCACCAAAGACCGTTGTCGAAGTCTCACCGGAGAACATCGACCAAGAACTTTTCGAGAAATTACAGAATGACGTGTTGCTCGTTTTTTACGCTCCGTGGGCTGAACGATGGGACAATGCCCATAACTCTTTTTACGAGAGATTAGCACAGTATTACAAAAATGAGGTGAAGGATGGAACACTTTTCAGAGCGGTAGACGTTTCCAAGGCCGAAAACAATGTTCTGCTGGCACGATTCAAGGTCACGAAATACCCTACTCTTTTCTATTTCCCTAAAAATCGTGAGCACAATGAAAAACCGTTTAAATTGGATCACGACGTGGGCCCAGAGGAAATCGTCGAGATGCTGATGGGGTCGGATGTTGGACAAACAGAATTTTCACTAGTGAACAGTTTGGAGTCTACCGAGGTCGAGGAAGATATTGAGGACGACGATGTGAATGCTCAGTATCGCGATCTCTGAATTTATCTGGTGCAAGGAGGCAGCCGATAGATTATATATTTGTGATAAAAAACAAAATTCATTTGCGTGTTAAACAAGCATAAAGAAATGCTGAATATTTTCCGAATTGCCGGAGATCTGAGCCATTTGGCCTCTATCTTCATTCTCTTGCACACAATTTGGACAAGAAAGTCAGCTAAAGGCATTTCCTTGAAGACAAACATCCTGTATGCTTTGGTATTCGTGACTAGATACCTGGATCTATTTTACAGTTACGTGTCGCTGTACAATACTCTTATGAAGATTTTCTTCATTTCATCTTCTATATACACTATCTTTTTGCTCAAGAAGTATACCAAAAACATCGGAGAATACAGTGATGACTTCAAGATTCAATACTTGATTGCGCCATCCTTTGTCCTTGGTTTGATTTTCAACCACAAGATGACCATTACCGAGGTTTTGTGGAGTTTCAGTCTATGGCTTGAATCCATTTGCATTCTACCACAGTTATTCATGCTACAAAAGAGCGGAGAGGCAGAATTGCTTACTATCCATTATATTTTCGCATTGGGTCTTTACAGAGCATTGTATATCCCAAACTGGTTCTACAGATACTTTGCCGAAGGACACTTGGATAAGCTGGCACTGACAACGGGTATCATTCAGACATTGGTGTATTCAGACTTCTTCTACGTCTACTACCAAAAGGTTATCAAGAACATCGGTTTCAATTTACCTCAATAAACTACCTTCAATCTCTCTTCAGTGGATAATACTCAGTCCTCACTCCGTCTTTAGTCACAATCAAAATTTCCAATCCATCACCAACCTGTATATGCCTTTCGGTGGCCGAACTGAAAGCATCCCTCACCAATTGTATGACTTCCTCTAACGAAAGGAAACGTAATGGTTTACGCTTTTTGCCATCACTTGCAGGGTCCATCTGGTTTTTGAAATTGACTTGGTTATCCAAGAATGGCATAATTAAAGAAGCTGCAGCTCCTCCTGCACGACATTGTTCTCTTTCGTAGGATCCCACTGGGTCGAATGAGTAAATAGCACCTTTACCTTCCTCATCCAGTCCCCCCAAAATCGTGTGGACGTAGTAAGGGAAGAACCGTTTTCCATAAAGAAGGTGCTGTATAAATCTGGCGGCGCTCTGCGTGCTCATTGGCTTGTTGTGGTCAAAATGATACCATTCCAGTTGGTTTTTAAACACCTTGATAAGTTGGGCGGAATCGGCAGCAAACCCATTGGCTGTCAACAGCAGATTGCTACCAACATGAAACACCTTCGGCTCATAGCGTGTGTTTATACTGTAACCAGACGTGCTCCTTGTATCACCTGCTAGGACAGCAAAGTCCTCGCCTGCAATTCCTAACACGGTACCACCATTATCTATAAGGTTAGAATCCCTTGTGGACTACACTTACCTGTATACGGGTTAAATCTGTGCTCTATTGGTTGAAGAGGAACCTCATTCGAATATTCAGATGCCAAAGTCGCAGGCTGTACCATCATTGAGTGCCTGTTTATTCAAGATCTTTTGCCTTCCAAATTTTAAAATCGTCAAATTTACACCGTGTAAAGATTTATTTCAAGAAATACTTAAGATGTAGTTGTAATAAAATGCAACAATGTGCAAGTGGGAGTCGGCATCAATGTATTCGTTGATACCGTGGACTCCAGATGTCATTGGTGTAAATCCAGGTTGTCCTCTGAAGATGTGGTCGGTCAGGTCCCAGTAATGTCTGGTGTCGGTGTTACCTGTCATGATACCAGCACTAACAACAAGAACGTCATCTTCGAACTTCTCAGGATAAGTGATGTCTTCATAGAAAGTTCTGTAATGTCCTGCCAGGGATGCCCAGATCTCGTCGTTGATGGGCGTGATTGGTGCAACCGGAAGCTTGTAAATAGCCTTGATATTGATTGAGCCTGCCAGAGTAGGTTCAATTAGAATTTCTTCCTCGACAATCAGTCCCATGCCGTGCTCTTTGGCAACACCTGTGGCAATTCCTGTGATTCTGTCCATGATGGTGTCAAAGTCGTTTCCGTGAGCAATTCTATGGTTAATAAGCGCAGTGACGTTTTGCGGAAGAGCATTTGCCTTGTCTCCACCGTTGATGATATCAGCCGCGTGAGTCGTCAAAACATTATACTTTGTATTGGTGTCATCTAATAGCAGCTGGATGACTCTTTCATTCGACTTCTCGTCAAAGTGTGCTCTCAAAATATCCTTCTTCAAGCTCTTCTCAATGTCCGCGTATTCTGCTATGCACTGCAAAGTGTTCAAAGTCGGGTTGACATTGACGAGAATAGGATCGTATAATCTGTCCTCATATCTACTGATCAGTTTCGAAATTGTACCAATGGCTGTGTGGTCTGGTGCAATCGAAGAGTGTCCTCCTGGCTGCAAGACCTCAATTCCCAGATCCAAGTAGCCTTTTTCGCCGGTAGCCAGCATAGCGAAATTTTTGTTTTGCAGTTCCATGAAGACACCAAAACCCTCGTCAATGATATGGTACAGAGAGTTTGGACCGTACTTTTCCAGCAAGAACTTGCTGATGTGAGAAGCACCATACTTTCCGCTGCTCTCCTCATCGAATCCAAATGCAAAAATAATAGTTCTTTCTGGCTTGAATCCCTTGACAAGCAAGTAGTCCATTGATTCCAACAGACCAATCAACAGATTCTTACAGTCGCTTGCACCGCGACCATAGACCCTAGTTCCATCATAGTAGCCACTGAATGGGCCCTTGTCCCACTTTTGAGGATCTCCTGGCGGAACGGTGTCTTGGTGGGCAGTAAACATGGCAGGCTTCAATGAAGAGTTTGAGCCCTTGAACTCCAGCACAATTCCGTAGGTATTGACCTTGAAAACATTAGCAGCATCGAAGACTCTTTGGAACTCGGTCTCCAGGTACTCATGGAACTTGGTGAACTTTGTGAAGTCTGATCCTTCATCGTCAATCCAGGTTGGAATTTGAATTGCTCTACTCAATCTTGAGACCGACTTGTTCTTGAACTCATCATCGTGGAGGATGTAAACACTAGAGTCAGGATCCTTGAACTCAACCTTGTCATACAGGGGACACAATGGCTCATCGGTTGAGTCGGTGGGAGTGGAGAAATATCCCGAGACTCGTTCTTCCGACCGCATCATACATGGAGATAGATGGAAGAATTGGTATAAACCACAGAGAACCAACATAGCCAAGAAGCTGCGGAAAGCCAATTGGCTTCTCTTACGCACTTGATTGTGCGAAGGCATCTCGCAAACGTCTTTTTCTTGCATACTCAGAAATACTGAAAACCCTGAGTAAAGAGCTATCGTATATAATAGATACTGTCCTGCCGGATTCTGACTAGAGATATTCCTAAATGGGAAAAAAATGAAAATCATTTCTCCAGCTGATATGAGATTATTGTGTAGCCCTGATTATTTATGCACTATAGAAGAGAATTCCATATTGTACGAGCCTACACGCATGAAAGCAGCATTGGGCGGTATTTTATCCAACACTGAAAATCCCCTCTTTACGACACCAGCAGTCATCGATCTCATTCTCGTACTGAATGTAGACCTTTGATATGGATTTGCAGCTTTTAAAAAGCTTGTCGATTTTGCTGCGCAGGGAAAGCGACGTCTCGGTACGGTAATACTGTATGTGAATGTAGCCCGTCAATTTTGAATTGGCATCACTAACAGGCCAAAAACGTGGGGTTGTATAAGACCTCACGCCAGGAACCTTTAGGACCTCTCCTAAAACATATTGGAGCTCGCTCACTGAGGAATCTTGTGAGGCAAGAAGAAGATTGGAGGATGACGATTTAAGAAGCGGGATGGAAGACACCAAAATCAGCAAAGCGATGAATATGGATGCGATTGGATCAATGACCTGGAGTCCGGTCATTTTGACGATCAGTGTTGATAAAATCACACCAACAGAACCTAGGGTATCTGCCAAAATATGAAGGAAAATACCATGCATATTGTCACTCAGATTCGGAGGCTGTTCATCAGGTTCGGAATGATCGTGAGTATGTTGATGGGTATGTTCATGAGAATGGCTGTGCGAGTGTGCATGACCATGGGACCCATCGTGGCCATGGTTGAAAGCGAAAATTCCAACCAAATTTACCACCAGTCCAAGAATGCTGACAATCAAAAGCTCGTCAGTCTTGCGCAAGTCCACTGGATGGAATAGACGTTGAAAGGACTCATTAAGAATTCCAAATACCACACCCAAAAGAAGCGAACCATTGGTGAAGCCTGCAAGAGTCTCAATTCTTGTCAAGCCAAACGGAAACTCCCTGGTCGGATGCTGTTGGTTGTTTTTTGCAACTAATGAGGCCAAAAGGCCAAGGAACAGTGACGTGCAGTCTAACATCATATGGAGAGAGTCACTCAAAAGACTGAGAGATTTGGATCGGAAGGAATAAAGCAGTTGTATAAACATGAAAGACACATTCAGTAGCAAGAAGTTAAAAATGGATCTTGTCTCTTTCGAGTTGAAGAGTTGGACGACTAATGACACAAAAGTCGAGTTAGGATGTGACTTATCAGACACAGTTTCGCCAGGCGATGGACGCTCACTCTTTTTGACAGGATTTACTATCAGCATGAATAGGATATTGATAGCGAAATTTACCATATTCATCTTGAGTGCTTCCAATTTGTTATGAGAATCGGTTGTTGTTTGGAGTATGAGTGCCATAACAACATTCAAAATAATGATGTTTCTTTTATAATTTGTCAGAAACAAGCTCTTATTGAAAAATTGATTTATAGGGTTGGAGTGGTTGAATTCCAGTTGACTTATTGTGAAGATTGTCAATGAACCAGCAGTGACAAATATCATTTTCAGGTTGTAGCTCTGAAAATTGTATGATAACATCATGATAGTGCAAAGCAACAGCAGTACTCCTGAGGTCTGAATTTGGAGGTGGCCGAGAATTGACGACTGCTGCTGATCTGTTGATGGCATCAAAAAAACAGCTATTGGGATCAGAAGAAGGACATACATCAGCACGAGCGACATGAAATCCTGGTTCTCGATACTTGCAATGATGACATCGACTAAAAATGATAAAGCATATATGATAGACAGTTGATGCTTCCCAATCATATGAAGCAGCCCATCGTTATCAATTGCATAGGTCTCTTCCAGTTTAGCAGACATATGGTTATCCTTTGGGCCCGACAGGAGCAAAGCAAAAATGACCAAATTCATGAACCGTGCTGGACATAGTAGCTGATCGGCGAGGAAAATCAAGCTTATGGCACCAAAGAGCGTCAGCTGTCGCCCAAGTGACGATTGTATTGATTTTTTTGTTTCTTTTACAGAGGGAGTGCCATCTCCCAGCTTCGCCAGTATAGCTACCACGAGCATAAACAAAGACGACAAAAACGCAGACTGCACGAATGAGACTGTATAAAAGGCGAGTGACGGGGTCTCAAACTCAGAGGCTGCATTTGTAAGTTTAAGAGACACGAATAGGGTTGGTAATGCCAGAAACAGTGGTGCCAGATCTATTACTTCCTGCATTGATCGTGTCTCTATTTTAGTACTTTGAGCAAAATTATTTCAACACATGTGTAGATGGAGGTTGGGTCGATCGACGCCTAGCGTCCCACCGTAAGGACATAGCTCTTGATCCATTATGCTATAATCATTCCGAGTAAGCTATGCAACACATACTCATGGATCACTTTTGATCGAAATTTACTGTCATGGTTACAAATATAATACTCGAAGTACCATCACTATAAAGTGTAAAGCTTATTATTTTATTTTTCAATGCTTAAAAACCATGTAGGATCTTCCTGGTTTCGCTGGGGCAAAGGTTGTCGGACCATAACCAGACTGAAAATGGTACACCCGGCTCTGGAGATCCAATTTCTCAACACTGAAAACACAAGCCGGACATCGCTTGACGAGACGAAAATAATTGAAACACTAAACCTACTCACACCGAGCGAACTAGTTCAAGACAGTCAATATTATGATTTTCGCAAACCAAGACCCATCAAGCACTACCCACCACCACCTCCAAAGACTCTGGAAGAATACAGCATCAACAAGTATGCTCGAGACCTTGCCGTGGCAAACTATCAGTATTCTTTCCAGGCGGAAAACTATGTTGATCAAACGCTGCAAGACTTGATCAGCACAGGGGTGTTGGACCTTGAAACTTACAACTGTATTTTAGAGTATTACGTTCGAAAATCAAACCACCACCGCGTAAGCATGGTTAAGAAAAGAATGGACGAAGATTATGTGGAGCCTGACATTCTAACCTATAACCTGCTTCTTCAATTATACATGAAGCTCGATAAGACCACAACAGATTCGGTGATGAGTCTTCTTGAAAAGATAAAGAAGGAGGAGATGGAGCTATCTCGGTCGTCTTTGTATTTCGTATACTCAAATTTGAAGCAGATGGATCATATTTTGCTTGAGAATATGTTGGTCATGAAGGTGCCTCTCGAACACATCAATACAGTGATTGTGAAAAACATGAGTAGATCAGGCGTCCCACCCAAGCTAATACTTCAATTTCTTGAAGAGCAGAATATCCACTGCGGCATTCCGATTCACAATGCAATGATTGAAGCTTATTTGCAGCTTGAACCTGCATCCGTGTTTGAATATATTAACCATGTTTCTCAGAATCATGGCTTCAAAGGGAACACAAAAACTGCAAAACTCTTTGTTTCTCATTATTGCCTTAAGGGAGAGCCATATTTTGGTCTTTCGTATGGCAAATACTTAGCAGAGAAGTTTCGATTGACCAATAGTGAAGAAATCTACGTTACCATGCTCTCGCACCATCTGAATGTAGATCTCTCACCCGAACAATGGACTCTACTGGCTAGATATTACTATCACAAGGCAAGGAGGCTTGTTCCCATAAAACTGAAAAATCAAATTATTGCCAAATCCCCCACTCATGACTCTGATACTGATTTTGATAAAGAGTTCAGCAAAGACGAGTTACAGGTTTTCAGAAGAATCGATTCCGTTTTCAGGTGGAGGGGGGCGCCTATCACAAATATCTCTGAAAATACCCCAGATTATCAACGACTGGTAGAAGAATATTTCACAAAGACTAATTAGAGCAATTACTCGCATACTTCTCCCCAAATTTTGACCCCCTCATCGATCTTGGCCATATCCAAATTACTAATGCTCATCCGGACACTTCTCTTGCCCCATCCTCTAGGATCTCCAGTCACTTCAAAGTTGTCTCCTGTAGCAAGGACGACACCTCTTTTCCGACACTCATTCGCAACTTCCTGAACATCGATGTGCTCTGGAAGAGTGACCCAGTTAAAATAGCCACCATTGATTGGAGCAACTTGAGTACCTTTTGGTAGGTATTTTTGAAGCGCCTCATTTAAAACGGCCGCACGTTTAGAATAAGTAGAGTTAAGCCTGTCAAGTATGTCATCAATTGCCCCCATTCTGTAAAGTTCGCCAACTATCACCGTATTCAATTGCGAAGGGGTACCACCAGACTTAGTTGCACCTCCTTGGGAGAGCAAATAGGCGAGTTTCGGGGTGGCAGATTCTTGGTAGCCGGTTCGCAAACCCGGCCCAAGAATTTTGGAAAATGTAGTGTTGGAGATAACATTACCGTATTCTTCGCCCTCAGGCAGCGTCTCTCTGTCTAAGTATACCATTTTTTTGTGAGGCACTCGATTATGGAAATCCAACAGTTCATACACGTCATCGCAGATAATCAGCATGTTATGTTTTCTAGCAAGCTCAATCAAACGCTGTCTATTATCTTGGCTCAACGTCCCACCCCTAGGATTTGAGAATGTAGGCACAATGTACATGATGTATCTATAGATTTTTTTCAAGGGCCTATCTGGATCATGAATATGAGCAATATCTTTTTCTGAGATGGACTTTGCAACCGCTTCCTGAGAATCATAAAACTCCAGTTTCTGCTTCAGCGTTTCTAAGTCAATCTGACCGTTATCGTCTTCTTCTATGGACGTCATCTGGCCTCCAAACCCAGCATCGATGAATATCGAGTTCATCAAAAAGTACGTTGGACTGACAAGAAACGCTCTACGCGTCACTCCATTGTGCGCGCATGAGAACTGCGCTAGAATATTCAAGATGCCGTATGATGATCCCGAGGTTAAATTGATACAGTCTGGGTCGGTCTTTGTTTTCAGTTCAAACTTCTTATCATTCCAGTCCGCGATCAGAGCTCTGACCTCTAGATTGCCAGGATCTGTGCCATAGTTCAGCGGATGCGTGTTATTGACTCCGTCGTAGTTGTCCATGGTATTATCAAACCTGGACAAAACATTTTTGGAGGCCTCCAAAATCTCCTTGTTCGGTAATAGATCGATCGAAGGGTGTCCTTTGAAGAAGTTAAACTTAGCCGGAGCTTGGTGAGACATTTGAAATACTATATTGAAATTGCAACTGGGAAAAAAATTATTGATCTATACTGCGAATTCAGCCAAGCGATGAACGGATTGAATCGCCAACTCATCACCATTATAATTGTTGAGAGCTGTAAGCAGCGAACTGCTTCACTGAGCTTGTATTTGTCTATTCTGTGCAGCTCACACTCCAAAGTACACACCTCGTGTCATGTGCTGCTTTGCACAGCCATGTTCTCTTTGGTGATAAACACCTGGGGTAAATTAAATTAATTGCTGAATATTTTAAAGCTATATTGTACAATGTCGAACACTAGTCCAGAGAAGCCGGAAGAAAAAGGCCACTCAGATGAATACGAGGACTGGGTAGACTCCCCTGACGACGACCTCTTGGAAGAAGATGAAGGCGTTGCTCCGTTGGATGATGACGATGACTATGATTACGATGACGATGGCGACGACGACGCTGATGACGATTACTATGAAGACTAAATGTATACCCAAGTGTTTACTTCAACTCAATGAAGTAGCTTATATTACCTCCTAAAATAACCCTTAAAATAAAACATGTAAAATCGTGAGAGGGCTAACCCCATGGAAAAGCGAGCAAACAAAAGTCATGAACAAGTGCCATCATCCAAAATACCGTGATTGAACCAATTATGACCAAGAGCATCCATTGCAGTTATACGTTTCTCCGGATCAAATGTGAAGAGATGTTTGAGCAAGTCAATAAACCAATACCAAAATTCATACTCGTCATACTGTTTTTTCGAGATGTTGTACTTTGCAATTGACTCTTTCAAAGACGACTTCATGTCAAACGGAAGACCAACCTTCGAGCCGATCAGATCAGCAAGCGTTGGAAGCCTCTCAACTTCGTCAATCAGCTTCATAGGAGTTTGCGGTGTTGGGAACAAGAGTTTTCCTGTAGTCTTTGAAAAACAGTTCGCGATACAATCGGAGTTTGATGTCGACTTGCGACGCGAGGAAGAGTTGTAGTAATACTGACTGAAACATTTCCTCACAAGTTTGAGATCCACAGGTTCACCAAGAGTCCGCTCCATCATAGCTAAATGCTGAGCATTCTCGTGAGTTTTGAACAGAGCATCACCAGTCACTAATTCCACCAAGATACAAGCCACAGACCAGAGATCGCATGGGTATGACCATCCTATTCCCAGAATGATTTCAGGTGCACGATAATGTCGAGTTGACACCACTGAAGAGTGATACTCATCTTCAAAAATGGCAGATCCGAAATCAATTGTGTAGATCTTTGGGTCATTCAGAATATTTCTATATGTTAATGAGCTTGAACTTCCGTTTGGCTTTAGATATGGTTTCCTCGTGTAAGAATCGTCTTTGAGCAAGATGTTTTCCGGTTTGAGATCGGTGTGGATCAAATTCAAATCATGCAAAAATGCAACCGACCTTAATAGCTGTTTTGCAACAGCTTGTATGTGAGAACCAGGGAAAGGAAGAAATTGGTTTCTCTCTAGAAAGTCATAAAGAGATATCTTCAGGATATCAGTGACAATGCAAATGTGACCTCTATAATCGAAACATTCCCTCAAGTGAATACATTGGTTCTCGTTTTCCGGGTCATGCTTCTTCAACATCGTGAGTACTCGCAATTCAACCTTTGAGGCTTCTCTGTATTTTGGAATGGCACGTATTATCTTGATTGCCACTGAACAGTTATTGTATTTGTCGTGGGCTTTGATTACCTTACCGAATGTACCTTGGCCAAGTAATGATTGGATTTGAAATCGGTCATTGGCAAACGATGCTCCTGGCACTATAATGTAATGACCATCCTTATCGTCACAAGGGGTATCCTCAATCGAAGTTGCCGAAGTATTTGCGGAATCATATGAATCGGACGACGAGTTGCTGCTATGTTGATTGAATGTACTCAAATTCAAAGGGGCATCAGCATTGAATGATAGCTTTCTACTCACAGACTTTGGCGTGTTGTAAGTATAATTTGTGAATTGGTGCTGTATCAGCGTAGTCTTCACATCTCCAATCTTCTCCTGGACTGATTTCTTATCGAAATTTGGCTGATAATTGAGCTTGGAATACGAGAGTTGAGGAAGTGACTTAGTTCTCTTCTTCTTAATTCGGGGACCACTTGATGTTGAGGAACCAGATAATTTTAGGCTAGCGATCTTAATATTGTTCGTATTATAGTAAGAGGAGAAAGAGTTTCTGGGACGGGAACTATCCCTGCTGATCAAACCAGAATCGCTGTCAGTACCATTCATCAAGTTCATATCGGGTTCGTCGAGACCCAAATAATCGTCCATCCCGTCGCTGTCTTTGAAGATGTAATCTTCGGCTTCCGAGTCAAGATTGATGACCTCTTGGTCAGTATAAGATGCTCCAGTGGAGTACTGCTGATGGTTCTTCTTGTAAGCGCTGTGGGACGGACCCTCAGAGCCTTTGGACGAGACTAGTTGTGTGGAAGAGAGTCTTGGCCTCTTCCTTTTGTAATTGTTAGCAGTTAACATATCGAAGATTAAACCTCGCTTATATCCGCTTGGGAAGAGTTTCTTAGATCACCTGCGTTGTGCGAGATCCCACGGGTCAGATATCCTGTCTTAATATGAACTCCTAGTAAAAATTTAATATAAGGTTTGCATCCTACGTGAAAGATATATTGCCCTCTTCAGCCCCCTATATATTTTGCCCCCCCTAGTTTCAATAATTAAGCAGCCGCATAATTAATTGATTCTACCCGGCGTCGGCCGCAAATTGCAGGATTTCCGTGGGGGACAGCAATCGATTTCCTGGTTAATTTGTCACACTTTTCTTTTGTTTTGCACGGGGACACGATAAGCCGCTCCTGTGTTGCACCACACAACACGCAGACCAAATGAGGAGATCATAGTTTACAGGGACTTTTTATTGTAGATGAAACATACATGGTCGCTTCTACGTAGACGAAACAAGCGCGCTATCGCGATGATACTGTCACCGGTCTGGGGATCAAAGGAGCAGCATTTCCTGGGCACGTATCAGGACCCAATGCGAGCATTTGGAAGTTGCAGTATAATTTTGGCCACACTTATAAGATGGCCGGAATCATATTGTATTGAAGCAAATCTAGCCAGTAGTCCGAAAAAAAACCCGTCCTGCTTTCGAAAAGCAAGGTAAGCCAGACTCAAATTGTGCTGCCTGCGTAGGAGCAGCACTGAACGGCTTGGCACCTCTACACCAACTTAGCCACCTTTTTTTTTCCATAAAAGTTTCCAGCACCATTTGCCACACTATTGTTTATCCTGATTAGATCGTCCTATTTAGCACCCATGTCGCAATCACTGACCATGTTATCGAACATAGATTCGAGCTTGATGAACCAGCAAGCTGTCGGGACAGGTGATCAGCATGGAGACTCCTCAAAAATCTCAGGAACAGACTCGTCATCGTTGGGTCAGCAAAGCAACTCCGAAGACGATGACGAAGAAGACAAGAGCGGGCTCTCTGAAGAGAAAAAGTATCAATGTAGCCAGTGTCACCATTCATTTACCAGGAAACATAACCTAAAATCGCATATGCTCATCCACACAGATGAAAAGCCTTTCGAATGTACCCATTGCAACAGTAAGTTCAGAAGACAGCATGATTTGAAAAGACATGAAAAGCTCCACACCGGTGAAAAGCCTTATAGATGCGAAAAATGTGACAAAAGGTTTGCTCGTGCAGACGCACTGCTGAGACACGCGAACTCCTCGTCCGGGTGTGCTGGAGCAGGATCCACTTCCAGCATGGACCCGTCCTTGTCTCCTGGCTCCAGTGCTGGAACGACGTTGGGAAAGCGCAAACCCTACGATGAACAAACAATTCAAATGCACCCTTACAAAAAACCGAAAGATGCCACCAACGCTGAGGCTGCTGCTGCCGCCGCAGTGGCTTCGGCCGTGTCAAATTACTACGTGCAACAAGCAGCCATCCAGACACAGCAAAGACAAAGCAGGTCTCGATCCACGCAACAGTCCTCTCAGCCGCAGGTTTCGCTCAACTCTACAAATAACTATATGCAGTCGGCGGGATATCCTCAACAGCAGCTCGCCAATTATGGAGGAAACAACTCGAATGATGCCACTTTGGCTGAGCTCTACGGCACTATTGCTATTTTAGAGGCCAAGGTGAACACTTTAGAGTCCCGAATCATGGAACTGGAAGGTAAAGTGTCACATGCTGGCCACTAACTCGTCTACTCTTATGCTGTATTTGCTATTTACAGATTGTACTATAAACAATGATGAAATCATTTCTTTGTATTTTTATCATCTTCGGGAAGTCCGAGGTCCTTCCAGTCGACTCGCTCCATAAGTTCGTGCTCCATGCGACATGCAAGGTAATCTTTCGCTAGTAGACGACAGTTTGGGGCGTTCTCATTTCGCACAAGCTTCATGCATTTGAGGTACTTCTGCATGTGCTCCTTGCAATCCCCATAATGGTCCAGAGGAAACGCACCCCTATCAGGAGGCGTTGGGTTCCATTTCTGAAGGCGATTGCCCGGGTTCGCGGACATGTGATTCTAAAATACTTTTATCTACTGAAATATCAGTTTTCGTTGATTTTTTTGTCTATACAACCGTGCACCAAGTTAATTGAAGTATGCATTGGACATGTAGTTGGCGATATTGAAACCAGCCAGAGTGAGCACTATCCAACCACAGACGAGCACTGGGATCGGCATAAGCAGGTACTCGGTTTTTTGGAGGAACGGGAGTGCGTTATAGCCGTAGAACGTAATAATACAATAATATGAGGTTGATGCTAGATAGAGTGTGTTTCCTAGCAGTGTGGAAATCCAGTTGTTGAGTCTGAGTAATGGCAGCAAAATAAACTGCACCAGATAAAGACACACCCATATTATCAGATATGCATTGCAATGAATGTCAAAGCAGTATGCCCACTCCAACATGGAGTCAGTAGGCAAGAAAATGTTGCGTAACCTTTGGGATGACGAGGAACCCATGTTCATGTTTGGATTTTGAATGAAAAAGTTGTTGGCAATGATCCAGCCCACTGTGGCAACCGACAGGCCTACCAGGACAAAATCGACAACAACCATGTACAAGATCAATTTGAAAATAGTCAAAATGTCTGTTGAGTAGACCAAGCCCCAAAGTATCGCGCTGACTGTGAGGAAAAAGCTCAGAAGAATAACAAAACTAGGATCGTCTCTTGACCACTTATTCTTGGTCTGCTTCTGGTAGTATAAGCTTTTGTAAACACGCTTTGGCTGTATAATAAGGTTGAGCATCTCCCAAAGGGCGGTCTCGAAATCCAAGGAGCGTACATTCAGTAGTCTTTTGAAGTAGCGCGGAATAGTGAAGCTGGAATCCATTGACTTCTTTAGGCTTTTGATCTTTAGTTTGCGCTGCTGTCGTTTTGCAAATGATGATAACGTTGTGGACGAGGACTGTAATGAATTGGCTACGCTAGCCAGGTCATCCGCTTGAGGGGTCGGTGCACCAAGAATGTCATCCTGCGTTATGGGGAGTATCGGGTTTGTTTTTGAATGCAATCCTAGTCCTTCCAGTTGCTTTTTTGGCATCTTATCAACGGTTTGATGAGTTCTACGTCACTAAAATGAATCAAATTAATTTTGGTCGTGTACTTAGCGCATCTTTTTAGTCGAGATATCTGTCTAAAGGCTCTCCCATGGTCTGCTCTAGAACCTTCACAAGACCAGTCCGCACTTCCATCTCTACTTCTTCATCATCATCTTCCAATAGTTCGGCCACAATTGGAACCAATTGAGGAAGCAGCCCAAGCCAGCTCTCTCCAACTTTCTTATAGATATTTTTCAGTGTTCTTACAGCCCAGAGTTTCTCCTTAGGCTTACAAGTGGCCTTCATATGGCTCAGAAGCAAGCTATTGATAGCCTTGTTGTGCTCATCCGAGGAGCTCGTCGCTTGCACGAGGCTCGTGACGGCTCTAACAAGGTACTTACCAATAGAGTCTTCGATCGTGCTGAATTGAGAGCACAGAGCTGCTGAAATCGGCGTGAATCTTGTATCTGAATGCCAGTACTCATCCTGGTCATACTTAAATGATGATGCCAACGAGAGTAAGATCAATCTCTTCAAACTGGTCTGGTCACTCTTCTGCAATTTGTATAGCAGCGATTCAACAGAATCCACCAAGTATGAGTAGTAGGAAGTGATAATAGACTTGAGGTTCTCCTGCAACTTGTTGAAGAGCTTGAAGAACGCAAGAAGTCGGTCTGTCTCGGTGATGGAAGTGGTGACCTCCTCACCGTCAAACGCCCACCTAACGATCGAGGCGAATAACGGCCTGAAGGTTTTGTCGTTCAATTTGAGCACAAACTGCAAACCACACTTGTGAACTGAGGCCTCGATTCTATTCACCGTGTTGATTTCCAGGTCAGTGTCTGCTCTGTATTCGAGTGCCAGCAAGAGGAATTTCACGAATGCACCCGAATTGCTGACTGCAGTTTTCTTGTCAATTTTCTCTATCACCATCTCTAGAGCAGACAGATGAAGGCCGATTGCAATCACGTCAAGCTTGGAGACAAACTTCCAAAGAGAACAGAATGTGAGTAACAAGGTTTTACCATCCATATGATCCACCATTACCGTCAGAACAGACGTACGCACAGAGTCTGAAACCTGAGACGAGCGCAGAACGATTTTTACCATGTCTGCCAAATTGGGAGTGACAAACGATGGCATCTTTTTGACGAGACTGGTAAAGAGAACAAGCATTGCAGTCTGAACTAATGGAGCCGCAGTTTCGTCTGTTCTCTCAAAGATGTCAAACAGTGGAGGAAGGATTTTCGTGAAGTAGCCAATCACCTTAACACCAATGACGCTGATCACATTCGTGATGCAGTTGATTGACGAGACCACAATTTCCGGGGCGCCATTGAGCAGACCGGCAGGGGACGTAACAACATTCAATGCCTTCAGATACAGTGACGAGTCGATGTGAATGGTGTATTTTTGGAACAGACTAGCGAGCGTATCTAGTGACGTCTGTGAGAGTTCAACATCCCTTTGAGAGCTTATCATGTCCAAAAGAATAGGCAGTAGATGAACAATTCCTTCATGAGCATTGGGATCTTCGACGTGCTCAGAATTGAATTTGAATGCCGTAAGAGAGGTGATGTGAATCAAGGTTTTCAATGAAGCATGTGGGGAAGACAAAATGCTGGAGATGGACTCCACGAAATGCTCAATAGGAAGTAGACTCAAAATATCATTTAGAAGCTTGTAGAGTTTGTGCATTATCTCCTCTTCTTCAATTTCCTGCTGACGCGAGTCGATAATCTCAAGCACATCCTGCACCAACTTGGCAAAACAGTTTAGCAGTGGCCGAGGATCGCCTCCTTGAAGACAAGCGGACGCTATCTTCAGTCTCAATCTGGATATACCATTGATGTCCTTAGCATCAGAAATGGTATGTCTCAAAAAGGAGAGCAGGCATTTTCTCAAGTTGAATAACTCCGATTTGTTTAATGCCACAAGTGCGGGTCCGAATATGACCCTTGAGCTTAGCTCCATGAATTCAGGCGACTCCTTGTCCAGCGGCTCTTCGGGAACCTTTTTCCATAGATCTAGGAACTGCTGAACGGCTTCTAACTGTTCTTCGACCTTGAAATTTTGCAAGAACGAACATGAAAAGTCTGTTAGCGCAGAACAGTCCCCCATTTTGTGTTTGGCGTAGGCATTCGCATATTGCTGACCGCACAAGAACAAAATCAGGTGAATTGAACTCGAGCTACCCAATGTTCTGGCTAACGTTGTGAACAGCCTAGCTCTTCTGTGACGAGGGATATGCTGGAAAGCACTCACAAATGAAGTGAGCAGAAATTCCACTTCTTCCACCATATCTGAAGTAGTGGCTTCTGCTAAAGCTGGGACCACGCACAATATCGTTTGTTCAACAACATGAAAAGAAAACTCGTCGTCCTGCCTAATTGTATGTGCTCCCATAAAGGTGAATATCGGCATCACAGAATGCAATATCAGCTCTGGAGAGAATGTTGCCAGCGCAGCAACGACCAGAAGCAATTTGTTTTGGACCTGTGGCGAGCTTGAAGACCTGATTGCTGAGACAACAATGTCTGCACGAATCGAGGTGATCTCTTTGCTCTTTATTTGCGACCGTTCAAGAGACTTGATCACATTATTCATGCAGGAAGCTAGTGTCTCCTCAGAATATAATATTGGCAGTTTTCCGTCGGTTCCCAAAGTCTCCAAATCATCAAGGATATCGAACAGCAATTTTAACAACTCGAATGAGCCTTTGAAGTTTTCCCTGCTTTCTTTCTCTAGCACGTCCAGTATCATTGTCAATTTCTTCAAATGTGTAGAGGCCATGAAGGAAACTTCTTGTTCCTTCATTGCTTGACGAGTTGATGCAGAAGATCTTCTTCTTCTTTTAGGAACATTTGACTGCTGTTCGGACGAATCGCTGAGAGACGAGTCTTTCAGGATTTGCACGAACAGCTTGTTTGACAAAGTTAGCGATTTCAGTAACTCAACGGTATCGTAACAAATAGTAGTATCGTCTTCCGATAATCCTGTGTCAATTATGCTTTTGACGATACCGATCTGATGCTCGAATTTGAGCGTCGGAAACAATTCGACAAGTCTTTTGGCAGCTGCATTCGACAATGACTCAGAAGAGCAGTTCAGAGCTTCCACAATAAATTTGATGGCAGTGTCGTGGTGCTCTTTTTCTGAAACGATGTGAACGATCTGATTCTCAAAACCCACGTAATCAACACCTGAAGAAATACATCTCGATCTCCAAACCTCTCTCTCGCTAACGAACGACTCCAAAATTTTCTCCAAGATTTGGGACGGAGGCAAGGCTCCTTTGATTGCTCTCGCGGCGTCAGTGACCAATCTGATCAAATGGAGTTTTGGAGCCGGTAACATGATGATGTTTGCATGCGAGGCAAAAAATGCTAAGATGATTGTTCCCGACTTTTTATCACAAACTAAAGACACAAACAGCTTTTCAAATTGATCCGCAGTCGTGCTTATGTCGGTGGCTTTCTCAATAATATTTTCGACAAGTGTATGTCCGACTTTTGGAGACACCATAGAAATATTCTTGGTTGAATCACCATACAAAGTTGTCTCCAAAATGGACTCCTTTCCAGCAGATCTCAAATTCTCCTGTTTCAAAACCTCCAATGCATTGGAGCGGATAAGTCTATTTGTGTCAAGCAGAAGTGCAGATAGAATAGGGACCAGAATGTAAACACTGTATTTTGCGTCCAATGCTTGAATTTGAGCACAGACTAATTTGAGTGCGTATGTTCTTGCCTTGAGTGGAATGTTCTGCAACAAAGACACGCGTAGAAGAAAGGTAATCAGGGAATGTGTGTCTTTGAAACACGAAGAAAGGAAAGAGCTGGTGGAACCATTGAGCATGGATTTCATATAGTGTTTTAGTAACAGAGAGAACTCCGTATCGATTTGAGCATCACATTGCATGTAGGACGCAAAAGAACTTTTCACATTTTCCAAAGCTTCGTCCAAGTAGACAGTTCCGTTGTTTTCATCAATCGTTTCTTGCTCATCAGTGTCCTGAGGTTCAGAAAAAGTTGTCTGGAGGGACATTTCTAGTTGATCAATGCTGACCTCATTCGCATCCAAAAGTCTACCGAACCACTCTGGAGATTGGTTCTTGATGTGTTTCAAGATGTTAGTATAGACAGATGTGTCTTGAACATTCAAGTTATCAAAAATTGCCCTGCACAAGGCTTGGGTCTGCTCGAAATTGAAGGCGAAGTGGCAACTGGCGATTGCAGCTCTATCGTCTAGCTTTTGGTTGAGTATTAATGTTATCAAATAAGAACACACAAATTTGGTGTCTTGAGACCGATGTATGAGTCCAAAATAAGGGGATTCCTCGTCAAGAAACTCAGGTATCCGATTGAAGATAGGAAGAGGAAGCGAGTCTAATGGATCGGTATGCACTGCCTGATATAGTTTGAGGATGCTGGTAAATGCCTGTGTCTGTGGTCTATTATTGTCGAACTGAGCGTGAATGAGAATGGTTTCAATGGATGCCATGAGAACGTCCTTCGAAAGAGGAACTGCAGACGATAACACTGTCATGATGGTGTAACCACTAACTTTCGAGTCCTGGTCTTGCGACACAAGCAGAGACCCGCAAATAGTGAGTACGTGGGGAACAAAATCAACCAACTTTACTGAGTTCTCAGATGATAAGGCAGCGAGCGCAGAAATGGTCATGCTGACAAAGAAAACAAGTTGCAACCGATATTGATTATTCTTTGCAATTTCTTCGGCAAGAAATTTGGAGTACAAATTGTAAAAGTCAGTATCTGTGAATGCCTTGATAATACTGTTTCTTGACGGTAGCTTGTTATTTGCCTTTTTAAATGCAGAAAGCCATTGGAACAACAATGGCATTTTTGGCAAAACGTATAATACTCTCTCAAACACAGGCTCTTTGTAATATGGAAGTGTAGTCAAGAGAAGATGCTCCGCGTTATGGTAATTAATCTGAAATCTTCTTAGCAGCCACTCGGAGGCCCTAAGAGCAATGGCCAGATGCCAGTAAGGTGCAACCAAAGATAGAAAAGCATCTATTGTCTTGTCAAGGTTTTCATTTTGCTGTTGAGATTGAACCTGTCTATCAATACCTATCGATGTCTCACTGAAAATTGACAGCTTGAATTTCCCAAATCGCTTGTCGATTTGTTCCAAACGATTAAGGGCCTCGAGTGCTTCATAATAGATTGTCTCGTAATCTTGAGTGGCAGCCTCCTGTGAACTATAAATGAAAGATACAGAATGGATTCTCGACCTCTTCTTTCTATCCAGTGCCACAGTCTGGGTATTCTGTGCAATGGCAGAGAGCTGCTGTTCCAAAAGAGACATGATGGATCTATTACACAGGGATTTATGATATTTTTTTAAGCTGATTTGAAAATTTTATTTGGTTTGTACACGATTTATCATATTGAATATCATTTAATCGAAAAAAAAAAAATCGGTTGTTGGTCAACATGAACACTAGTAAAGGAGCCAGTGACGTTCTGAAGCGTACGTCAGATTTTTTACGCAGTGGCCTTGTGACAGAGCAGCCTGCGTGGTATAAGCCAGTTGCGTACCACCCTCCCAAACAGATTCAACACAAGACTATTAGACCCGAAAAATTCTCCAAATTGAGGAAACTTTCGGTACCACCCCGGAGCGGAAACTTGTACAATACCAGATTGACACAATCTGATTTAAAATTGAATCTTCTCAAACCACAGAATTTGAAATACCTGGAAGACAAGATAAGAAACGTATTTTATCAACAACACCCCTGGGAACTGGCAGATCCGAAATCCTTGATTGAAAACGAGCACACAATCGATAACAAGAATCAAAACTGGTCCCATATGAGACAACTCACTAAGAGGTTGGATGGAGAGAGTGTTGTTCAACGTACGCTGTATGTGATGCAAAACGAAAAGCTCAACTTAGTGCAGGCTTACGAGAAAGCTAAGTATGAATACTACAGACTTAAAATTGAGGAGGAGACGGAGATGAACGTTGCGAGAGAAGAACACGAGATGTTTGGTGCTGTATACGATAAGACTGTTGTTGAGCAAGGCTTCGACAAGGAAACTGAAGTGATCAAGAAATGGAAGGTGCGCGCACTCGAGGAGACTCAAGTTTTGGAAGCCAGGTTGAGCAATCTGTCGTCCGATCTTGGTGGGGAAGAAGACGTACAAGCTCCAGACGAAGACACTCTGTTCAATGATTTGGAAGATGTTGAACTCGAAGAGCCTAATCAATAACTACCTGTTTATAGCGCAAAAAAGTATAAAGTATCATATGAGCACGCTTAATTAAGACTATGTACATTAAAACCACGTTTTCCTCTCCAATTCTTTTCTTTCAATCCGCTTTTTGTATTTTGATCCCTTGGCCTCCACAATGACCTCTTCTGCCTTTGCCACTGCATCAGAAATTCTCTGTTTTCTCTCGTCGTAGGTTCTTTCCCATTTGTGGCCCTTTGGACTCAACACACCCTTCAAAAGCGCTTTATTTTCATACTTCTCGGCATAGAATTTCTTGTTATTGCGCATTGTCGGCATCAAGTCGGCTATCCCGAACTTGTACGCAAGCTTGTATAGATCTGATTGCCTTCTTAGAGAATAAACAGGCTCTTGAACTTTACCGGTGACCGGATGTCTATTGGGAATAAATGGATTGGCATCTGGGGCATTTGCAAGAGTTTGCTCAGACGCATACTTTCTGAAAGGGGCTGGAGGGTAGCGAGTAAAGAAGTTCCGGAGCTGCAATGGTAGCTTCTCAAATGCCTCCAGGGCAGAGAGGTTGAACAACTTCGACATGTTCGTTCTGAAGTTTCGAAAAATTTAATTAGAAGATCAGTATAATGAAATTTATTCTCTTTTTGTCGCGTGATCATGGTCACGTGCTTAGTTTTTGTGAGCCTGTCTTCTCGACAACCAAAGCAGCGATATGTAAGATATATCGTGGCCATGCAGTTGGGCCTGCTGTGTCTCACTTTTGAGTCGCAGTCACCTAGACTCATATAACTTTTACATCTTATCATCCGGATTTTTTCTTTCGAAAAATTTAGTCACATATTTTATCATGCTTCAACGGACTACTTTTGTTCAAAACGTGCAAAAGCGGCTGTTCGGTAACACGTCTTTTGTTTGCAAGGGATCCTCTGCATCTTTTGTTGCTGAAGTCGATCCGTATACCGTTACGACTTACTCAAGACCGCCGATAGTTTTCACCAAGGGAGAAGGATGCCACCTTTGGGATATGGAGGGAAAGAAGTATACCGATTTTTCTGCTGGAATTGCAGTGACTGCCCTTGGACACTCGCACCCCGAAATTGCAAAGATCATGTACGAGCAAGCTACCACTCTTGTTCATAGCTCCAACTTGCTTTACAATCAGTGGACTGGCGAATTAAGCAAACAGCTGGTGTCCAAGACTCTGGAGTCAGGAGGTATGAAGGATGCGTCTCGTGTTTTCATGGCCAATTCCGGCACCGAAGCTAATGAAGCTGCGCTGAAGTTTGCAAGAAAGTACGGCAAGTCGTTTGCGGATAACAAAATTGAGTTCATTACCTTCGAACACTCTTTTCATGGACGGTCCATGGGTTCACTTTCGGTAACACCAAATCCAAAATACCAGAAACCATTTGCGCCTTTGATTCCTGGAGTAAAGATTGCAAAGCCCAACGATATCAAGTCCGTGGAAAGTGTTATCTCTGATAGGACGTGTGGAGTGATTATAGAGCCAGTTCAAGGAGAAGGTGGTATATATCCTATGACTTCCGACTTCATGGTGCAGCTCAAAGAGTTATGCAATAGGCATAATGCGCTTTTGATCTACGACGAAATTCAGTGTGGATTGGGCAGATCTGGAAGACTTTGGGCGCATTCCAAGTTGCCAGAAAGCGCTCATCCTGATATTCTTACAATGGCCAAGGCTCTCGGTAACGGATTTCCTATTGGTGCAACGATGGTGACCGAAGAAGTTGAGAAGGCTTTAAAAGTTGGTGATCATGGAACTACATATGGTGGAAATCCATTGGGTGCTCGAATTGGATTATACGTGCTGGACAAGGTTTCTGATCCTGAATTCTTGCAACAAGTCGAGAAAAAGTCGGAACTTTTCAAGGTCAAACTCAGCGAACTGAGCGAGAAATTCCCAGATCAAATCAAGGACATTAGAGGGGAAGGCCTTTTACTTGGTGTGGAGCTGAACCAGGACCCATCGCCAGTGATTCAAAAGGCCAGAGAGCTTGGACTGCTGGTTATCACTGCTGGTAACAACGTTATCCGATTTGTTCCTGCTTTGAACATTGAAGACTCTGACATCATCGATGGTCTCGACATTTTGGGAAACGCTTTCCAAGAGACATTTACCAAATAATTAGATATATAGATATAATTGATGTTGGTCATAAAGTGTGTATTATGGACACCCCATTCGCGTCGATGACGAGCGAGAAGTAAAATCCTGCCAGAACACTGATATAGACCAGGATCAGGATTGAGCCCTTGAAATAATTGGACTTGCCCTCGGCATACACGTAGGTGAACATATACACCGAGATGAGTGACGCTATGCAATCCCAGCGAGGGAATATCAATGAAAATAGATTGTTAATGTCAGCCGGTGTGGCTTTAATGTTTCTGAACGAGGAGTACATGGTGACGATTGGAATTTGCAACAGACAAACCTGTAGCGCATATGCAGATCCAATCTCCATTGAAAGTGCCACATTTCCGTGTGTTGCAAAAGAAATAGCATTGACGAACTCGGTAGTGTTGGGCACCAACGCAAACACTGTCAGTCCAAGGAACTTTGGATCGATAGGGAAGGCACTAAGAACATCATCCACTACGTCCACGAGAATTTCGGCAATGACAGCATACATTAAAGTTGCCAGAAGCAGAATTGTGGTACTTTTCGTTCTGGACCAATTCGGAGCGTCATGGCCACCATCGTCTGTTGTTTGTATAGTTTGCGCTGGCTGGCCCGGCTGTCCAGGTTGTGTAGCTTGGAAGGCTGGGCTTTGCATAGGTTGCTTCCCAGGTGTTCCTTTCTGACTATTGCCCTGAGTTTTCCTATGGGTGAGAGTGTTATCAAGACGAAGAGATTTGATGCTCGTGTTCTCTGTCGCAACACCGCCATAGTTCTCCGTTTTCTTTTCCTTTTCAGACACCACGGGAGTACTCCAAATGAGTGCCGCATGTGTTTTGAGAGTAAAGAGCAGTCCAATGCAGTACGCCAAAAACAGCCCAATGGCACAAATTGCGGCAAAAGGCCTCAAATAGTCCAGATATAGCTTATCCACCGCGAGATTCGGCTGCAAGAAATGACACTTTTTGCAATCTGTTCCATTTTCGGTGTATTCAGGTTCGCAGTCAAAGCACTGAACCTCATATTGTCCATAAATCTCATATAAAATTGTGGGAGAGAGCATGATGAATATGGCATAAAGGAGCATTGTGGAGGAAACGCCAGCAGATGCAGGGTTGTATCTTTGCGTCTTTCGACGAAAAGCCCCGCCACACATTGAAGTCCCGGGCAGAAGTAGAACAGCTCCCAAAATGGACCCTATCATGGATCCCTCAACAAGCTTCCCTTTTGACTGATTCAGCGCAATACAGTACAAGAACACTTCCACGATAGTGGAGAAAAACGCATTGATGACGGCACCCAAACCCATTGAAGTTTGCGCAGAAATTGAGGCAACAGCTTGACCGATGAAATATGCTAACGGAATAACAGAGACAAGGCACAAAATAAATATGACCACTGGAGAAACAAATAGGGATTCAAACCCAAAGTACTCTTTTAGAACAAAGAAATCGAATATGGTAAAGATCACCAGGAATATGAGGTTGATAAAGAAAATGTTCGTACCGTCCACGGTATATTTGTAGTAGTGGAATCCAAGACTTCTGTAGGTGCAAATCAAAATGGATTCGTTTGACGTGTTCGAAGCCAACTTGCGTTGGTAATAGTCCTTTTCAATTTCGATGGACAGTGCTAACGGGTGTCTCCTGATATGATAGCACACAGTAAAAAGCACCTTGGCCATCGGGATTGTGAAAACAAGTAACCATAGAGCTGCACCCAATGCAAGCATAACTGGCTGGGCACAAGCATAGAACAATACATAGAAGATAAGTCGTCCAATATTCCATTTTCCTCTTCCAAAGAGCCTCTGCTTGTAGAACGTGGTATCTTCGTCCTCATCAAATAACTCCTCGTTGTTTTCGTAATTTCCATCAGATGCATAGTTAGCACCTACATGGGAATTCAAAGGAGTAGTCTCGCTTGCACGTCTTTTTCGATCGGGGGCAGCATAAAAGAGACGTCCTTCATCTTGTGTTCTCCATCTTGCAAACTCGGCAAGCGTGCTTCCCACGTTCGCATCTTCTGTGAGATAGTTTTTGTCTGCTCTTAGTAGGATGATTTTTCCAAATGGAACAAACAAATAAGTGCCCAGATGCAAGTACAGTTTTGCATATCTGATGGAATCATTGTTTTTAGGATTTGTAAACGCCGTGAACACTAATGTGATGCATCCCATCGCAACACATAGCATTAACAACACAAAACCGAAAGTGCAACTCCATATAAAGTTGCAAAATGCATTTGTAGCAGAAACTTCCCTAGCGATTTGTGGTGTCGAATGAATATCGTTCTCTGCCTCGATCTCGACGGATCTGTTTTTCTTGTAGATAGCTGGCTTCCAAATACGTATACCGAAAGGATGCGTCTCATTGATAGCATCCTGTCTGCCCCTCAATGTAAAACTCTCAGCAGAAGATGTAGACTCAGCGTCAGAATTGTCGCCATCTCTTTCAGAGAGATCCTGAGCGGAAACGCGAGGTTTTATAGGCTGGCTATCTTCAGCCTGCACGAATGAACTCTCCTCACCGTCGTGGTGGATATAGTCTCCCTCTCTTTCTCGTAAGATAGCCAAATCCTTTGAAGTTGCCAATAGGTTTTGCGCAATCTCGGCCTCCAACTCTTGAATCTTGCGGGACTTTGGATCATTGGAATCTGCTTGTGTTGTAAGAGCCTTCTTGAAGCGATGACGTAAGGCATCTGAATAACCTTCCAAGTACTCTCTGTTCAAGTCCTCCTCAACTTCGTCCTCGTCGTCGTCAACGCTGAAAATGTACTTTGAGCTTGGTGCTTTTCGTAAGAATGGCTTTGCTTTACCCGGGTGGACATTAGGCCCCGTATGTGAGGGCGTACTCACTTTTGGAGAGGACACCGTACTATTCCCAGCTACATTTGGCGAACTTGTGGCGCCTCCTTTATCTTTGAGTAGGACGTATTGTCTGTGGTGAGATGCGGAACCTGTGTGGTGCGGTTGGTAATTCATAAGCACGTGAGTAGATGGAATTGGAGTAACTCTCATTGACTTAGAGGACTTTTGGGCTTTTGGTTCCTGTACGTTTCCGCTCTTTGCAGATAGTGCAGGAGACGCGGGGGAAGGGCTGATGGCATTGTTATCTACTTGTGATTTGGACAGCTTTTTTGCGGTTTCGGAGTCGGACATTGGACGGCCTTTAACTCTTCAATTACCAACAATTCGGGCCTTGCTTCTATGTTTAGAAATTGAACGCGACTCTCAAGACTCTTCAGGTCCAATTGATGCTATTTCAGATTTTATATATAATTTAATTTTTACTATCCCCATGCATTTTCAAAACAGGCATGTCATTTTCAACTTACTTAAAATATAAATGGAATCATGGCTTTTCTGTTCTTTGGATATTTGTCACCAAAGGTCTTTTTGTAATTTCTGTGCTTCTGCTTGGCCCAGTTCATCATGGTCAAGGTTCCAACGATGAGGAATAAGTAGCAAGACCAGTTATTGATCATGATGGCATAGAACAACCAGCCCAGACTCTCAAAAAAGTAGTTTGGGAAGGAGACCAATGAGAAGGCAAAACCATACGGTATTCTTTTCTCTCTCGATCCGTCACTTCTGAGCTTCATGAGGATGAAGTGACAGTAGAAATTGGCCAGTTCGCAAAGAGCCCAGAGCCCAATATAAATGTATAGCTGCTTCAGAGGTCTGTCTTCAACGTAGAAAACATATTTTTTCCAACCAGTATAGTACCTGTCCTGAGGAGCGTACACGGATAGGGCAATAAACAATCCGTTAAATACCCAATAATGTCCACAATTCCTGAACAGATACTTCAAGGGCATTGTGTCGGCAGAGAACATATGGATGAAAGTTGTCTCATATTCTCTCTTCAAATAGTGAACCATGGTTAAGATGTAGGCAGCAATTTGAGTGTACGTGTTGACGTCTGGGTCATACAAGCCGTAATAGACCAAGGAGTGGAACAGCATTGGACCAAAGTATTCGATCAAGTAAACTGTTCTCCAGCCAATTTGGGGTCCCACGTCTTTAGCATAAACCGTGATAGTATCCGTCGTAGAGAAGTCAAGTCCGTTAGCTTCCAAGGTCTTCTCGTTTTTCAATGTTCTACGAACGGGCTTCTTGTCAGTAGATCCTTCTTCTTCCAGAAGAGAAAGCTTAACCCTGTTGGGATCAATGTTGTTGACCTTAGAGTACTCGCTAATAATAGCTTGCACCTTTGCCTTAGGGTCGGTATCGCAATTGATCTTCCGCAAGTTCTTAGATCGAGGAACAATAATGAGATTGACCATGTTATCCAAAGAAACAAAGTTAAAGAAATTTTTGGGCTTCATAACCTTGTTGATTTTATAAATATACCTGTTTGAAGAAGATTCATCATCATACAGAGATCATGAAATTGGTAAAGTTTTTGATGAAACTGAACAACGAAAAAGTGCAGGTAGAACTGAAAAACGGGACAGTCATTTCTGGGGAGATAATCTCTGTTACGCCGTCTATGAACATCAACTTGAAAAATGTCAAAATGACTATCAAACACAGAAACCCAATAAGTCTGGAATACATCAACATAAGAGGGAACCAAGTTCGCCTTGTAATTTTACCTGATGAGCTCAACATAGATAGTATAATTTCGGACTCGATGCTGAAGCCGAAAAGTCTATCTACTGTTGCTCCAGTCCAAAAAGCAAAAGCTCCTATAAGAGGAGGAAGGAGGGGACGCGGAAGAGCTAGGGCATTTTAATAATCATTACATATATATTGAGCTGTCATTGATGCTCATGGTTCCCAGTCGTGGAATGATCGTCGTCACTTTTGATAATTTCTTCTTCACACATGCTCTCAGATTCTTCTGGCATCGAACTTTGTCGCGGCTCTAGTAGCTCCTGGTCTTCGAGCACCAATCTGTCAACAAGGCGAGGGAGCACCATATCGCGAAACTTGGTTCCTTGCAACAGTTCGTCGATATACTGGCCCAGAGAAATCGACTTGACTGTTTGGCTGTCAATGATGTTTAATCGTCGTTCGTCTGCCAACAAAGGCTCTAGCTTCTGATAAACTATCACCGATTGGCAAGTGATTCTAGCGTACAAAGCTGCTAATGCTGTCAGGTAGACAAAATCCGTCTGCACGAGCAAATGATCAATTATATCGGCAGCAGGTTGGAGCTGCAAAAGTCTGAGCAGGAGGCAAATAAATGGGGTTGGAAGTGTGCGTCCGGCGTTTGCATACGTTCCAATCTGCTCTAACTCGGCGCCTCGATCAAGAAGCACTAGCAAGTCAGCGTGTTGGCATTCTCGTTTCCAATATTGGCTGTCGAAGATTCGTTCGCGTAAGATTTTTTCGATGAGAAAGACAGGATGAACACCATGGACTTGTTTGGCATTCGCTACCAGTCCTCTGTCAATAGTTACTGACATATGATGTAGTATAGAGAATGAAAGATTATGATATTAATCTCCGGGTAAATTGCTGGTTGGTCGTGGCTGTTCTTCCAAAAAAATTTGTCGAAAAACCAGCGACAAAACAAGGTTTAAGGATTTAATTGTTTGGTGTATTAGACAAGACCTCAAGTTAATTGAACCCTAAATAACCGATAAATCAGAGCGCCAAATTACGGAAAGGTATGTCTCTAGCATGGTTTGGGCAATGACAAATATGAATGCACGAAGAAAAAAGTCAACGGTTTTCATCAAGAAAATCTTTGTTTAAACGTTGGCAGAATTGTCTCCCAAATTGTGGCCCAAATACTCTCCTACTAACTCACCAGATGTCTGAGGAACTAAATCAAGCAGCTAAGGACTTGTCTCTCGACGAAGAGAAGGACGTGACAGTCCTGGACTCTAGAGAAGAATTTAATGTGAAGCACCCACTGAATTCCAAATGGACTTTGTGGTACACCAAGCCAGCGGTGGACTCTAGTGAGAGCTGGTCTGATCTTCTGAAGCCAGTTGTTGCTTTTGACACCGTCGAAGAATTTTGGGGTATTTTTAACTCCATTCCAAAGGCCGACGAGCTACCATTAAAATCTGACTACCATTTATTCAGAGAAAACATTAAACCAGAGTGGGAAGACCCAGCCAACTCCAAGGGTGGTAGATTTTCTTTCCAGTTCAAGGGTAAAAGGCTGGAACACGGAATCAACGAAATTTGGACCAGAGCATTGCTGAGTGTTATTGGTGAGACCATAGAAGACGACCAAAATGAGGTCAATGGAGTTGTTTTGAACGTCAGAAAAGTGGGCTACAGGGTGTGTCTTTGGACGAAGTCCTGCGATAGAGCTGCTCTTGTGCCTATCGGAGAAAGATTGAAGAAAATACTAATGCTCAGGGAGGGTGAGTCAGTTGAGTTCATCAGCCATAAAGATTCCAACGACCGTGGAGCAAAACCTGCATTCTACGTTTAAACCTTTTATCACCCCCCCACAGCAAGATTTTACACACAGTTCTCAAGCTGGACATAACTCGAGTTTCGTTGCATCCATGACCCAATGTATTGTGCTGATGCGTTGTATATGTGGTTATATAGCTCAAAATGCTTAAATCAACAATAATTTATTTCTTCTGACTTTAAAAATACACATATCGCCATCATGATTGTCATCATTTAGCTGCCGACGATGAGATAGTAATGGTACGGTATTGTTTAACTGTACCCACAGTCTGTCCGGAGGTAGCGAGGCTCCCCAAACCAACAGATCCTGTCGACCATGACTCAATAGTAGAATACAAGGAGTAGAAACTCTGCGAGAACGTGATCGATAATGTTTTGACAACGCCAGCCTCCGTTGTTGTACGCCATGCAATAGTAGGAGACGCAGTCGTAGAGCCTGTATCTGTAGAAGTGAGGTCACTGTTGGTAGACTCGGATGTCAACGTCGAGGTGGTTGGAGTGGTTGCGGCAGCCGCTGCCGCCGGAGTTGTCGTGGTTCCTGTGGTACCTGTCCCTGTTGTACCCGTTGTTGCTGTAGTTCCTGTTGTTGGAGTGGCTGTAGTAGCTGCGTTGGCTGGCGTCGTGGTGGTTCCAGTGGTGCCAGTGGTGCCAGTTCCCGTGGTTCCTGTAGTTCCAGTTGTAGCAGTAGTTGGTGTCGCTGTAGTAGCCGCGTTAGCAGGAGTGGTGGTCGTGCCTGTAGTTCCAGTAGTGGCAGCTGTAGGCGTTGTTGCCGTGGTAGAGGTCGTGTTTGGTGTTGTTGTTTGTGCCGTGGCCGTTGTAGCAGCATTTGCTGTAGTTCCTGTAGTTCCTGTTGTAGTGGCTGGGTCGGCAGCCAACGCGAGTGCTGCAAATGTAATCAGCCAATATACCAACCTCATTCTATATATTAAAGGAGCAGTCGACTATGATAAAATTCAGTATCTGTTTTTCTCAACATTTCCTCCTATGGCAACACCCCTCCCCTGAGCCTCAGGATCGCTTATGTAAGCTCGATTGTATTTTATATTGTATTTTGGATGGGGAGATGCATTATAGTTGCCAGGGTTCGTTGCTAAGCATACAAGCTTACATGAACACCACTAAGTCAAAGCTACCAAGATCATTCCTTACGACTACACCTTTTGGTACTTCCTCGAGCAGTCGAAAAGTACCAAAATGTAAGTTACACGTTCCCTATTTTTAGAAGAATGTACTTGCTGAGGCGGGTAGATCCTTATATATTGAGTGGTGTAGAGATGTGATGAGCTTTCATTGCAGAAGGTTTCCCTGACACTTTTTTTTGCCGCGGCCATTGCCCAACTGCAAGAGTCCAAAAAATAAAAATAACAATTTGGAGTAAAAATTGCCACACGGTCTTCGGGTTTCCAATTCGGTATTTGAAATTTCGGCTTTCCAAAGAGGTCGTGCATATTTTTTGTGCTTAGCCCTGGGTATAAAAAATCCGATATCTGTCGTTCTGTTCAGCTACTTAGCGTTTCAATGGTTCTTGGAGGCAACTACATTGCGCTGGGAGCATCCAATAACCAGGTAGATCTTGCCAAAATCCGCCATTATGGTTTATGGATGTTCCTGCTACTCAACATTGCCATCTTCTTGCGCTTGTCCTATTCATTATGGAACATCAGGACATCCACGGCGCCTTTTATAGATTTGAACGTCACAAACTTTGAGCAACACCTCCAGCCTATGGATTTTGCGAATGCCTCGGCTGTTTTCAACGAGGTGTATGATGTTTTGAGGCAGAAGAATGCGGACATCAATCCCATCAGTGTCAGTTTTATCCCAGCCTATATCCCAGAAGGTACCCTATTATACCACTCTAACCACCGTGGCCAGCCTCCAAAGTCGGTTGAATGGGTTGCCATGGACTATGAGTTCAGCTATAATTTCGCGCATCTGAGTAGGAACAGGCCAAGAAAAGGCCATGGTCCCGGAGGTCCTGGTGGCCCTGGTGGCCCTCCTCCAAACTTCAAACCACCGGGAGGTAAAAGTCCATCTCATGGTGACCATCCGCCCAACTTTGATGGTCCCTCATCTTTGTTCACATTCCAGGTTACCAAGCCTCTGGATAAAGTCATTGTTTTTGGGGGTGCGTCGGCTTCCAAATCCCTAACAGGAGAAATGGACACACAATTTGTTTTGTCTCAGGTTGCAGATTACGACGATTTCGATGAGCGTATTGCTGCTGATAAGATCTGCGCATGGGGAAAGAAACACGGAGGTCTTGACGGATATGTGCGTCTGGAGGTTGGCTTTGAAATGGTGATCTGCGATTTCGAAGAAAAAATGGTTCCAATTTCTAATGTGTCGTTGGCAAATGCAACAGAGTTTATCGACTTCCCTCCAGAAAAGTTTGCAGCTCTTGACAAGAGAGAGGATCTGAATGCCGAGAGAAGTGCGGTCATTGACGTTGTCGACGCAATGTCGGGATTTGAGCACTATCTCGCTGGTGCAAGGGCTTATGATGGTGACAAGCGGATTCTACTTGACTTCTCGAAGTTTGTGACTCCGCTCAACAGAACATTCATTCATCCGGATCCGTATCTCAGACGGATCCATAACATCTCGTCGGAGCTAAAAACCGAACTGGTCAACTCAGTGGAAGAGATGCTGTCAACACCAAATGATCCATACGGCTCTACAAACTGGCAGGTGGTCACTGATTATATTGTTGACAAGTTTGCGCCAATGCTTGTCAATATAAACTCGTCCTTTGCTCTTTACGGCCAGCACGAGAACTATCAGACACTGGGAACTAACCTTACTGCTTATACCTACAATTTCATCAGGCGATACTTGAGCGAACCTGACCACGAGCTGCTTCCAAAACATCGCGCAATGGCTATTTGGGATTATTCTCATCCATACCAGCCTTTGAAATCGACAGCAGACTTTTTCGTCTGGAACGCTATTACCATTGTTCAATCGAAAATAGTGGACACACTATACGACTGCTTCACCCTGAGCAAGACGCTGCTATCGCCATTGACAGGGACTACGCTTCCTGAGGACATAGATGATCAGATTCTGAAGGTCAAATCTGAGCTATCTGGTCTCCTTGAAAGTTTACATTGGGCTTACTACTACAGATGCTCCCAGAGCTGCAACTTTGACGAGCTTTGTTTCGTCCCTACCTGGGGACCATCCCCACTTGGTTTCAGCAATGCCAACTCCACTGGGTTGTATGATGACGGAACTGGAAGAGTAAGAATTGAAAAGGAGCTTAGATGCATCAACTACGATTTACTTCTTCACAACAAACGTGGTTGAAGCACAATATCAGTTCAAGTACATAAGCTTAATGAAGGAATTCGAGTCATAGGACAATGGGCGGACAGTGTACTCGACAGTTAAGCGCGTGATGCGCTCTGATTAAGGCTTGTACTCCAAATCGTACAAACTGCCTCGTTTATTTTGTACCTTGTGCACTTAGTCTTTTTTTATTCACTAAGCACCGGTTTTATATAAGCTGTCTCAAGCGTGAATTATCATGTGCCACGATTGAAACCGTTCTTTGAGTGTACTGATTGCGGCATGAGGCGACTTCAAAGGTGACGATTGAATTCACAAAATTAGGCCTGAAGCTTATCTACAGTTGGCTTGGGATGGTGGCTACATTTTGCCATATAGTTGGTTGCTGCTCGCGGTACAAATGTCTATCTTCAGCCGCTCCCAAGCCCGCGTAAATAGAGAATAAGCCTCTGTCTATGCTTGGATAATGCGCAGGCCAAATTGCAACATGATAGTCCTATAGCACTGAGTGGCCCTAACAAATCATTTGTGTAATATAATTCAAGGCTTGGTCTGGCTTACAGACTCGTTATGTAATCAAGACTGGTGGTGTTTTTTTCCTCGAACCCATTTTTGAGAATACGTTATACAAAGCATTTACCAATACTATCATGGACCGCGTGGATCAATATAGAGATCAAGCAGCTGTCCAATGGGCTCGGCTACGCAACACCTACCAGCGGTATCTGGATATCGCTACCCCACACACAGTGTATAGATGGGCTGCAACGTATGTTTTGATGTTCCTGTTTGCTTTGAGAATTGTGCTATGCGAAGGGTGGTACATTGTTTGCTATACATGGGCGATCTACCTATTAAGCATGCTGCTGCAATTCTTGACGCCCAAGTTCGATCCATCATTGGAGCAAGAATATGAGAACGAGTCCATCGAAGAAGGTACAGCCAAAATGAGTGACAAGGATGAAGAATTTAGGCCGTTTATCAGAAGACTTCCTGAGTTCAGGTTTTGGTTGAATGCCACCAGAGGTACAGTTATAGCTTTGGTCTGCTCATTGTTCAGAGTGTTTGATATTCCTGTCTTCTGGCCTATCCTCCTGGTATACTTTGTGATTTTGTTCACTTTGACCATGAGGAGACAAATCCAGCATATGATCAAGTACAGATATCTTCCATTTGATATTGGGAAAGCACGCTATGGGCGCAAGTAAATTCTCATGTGAATAATGTGTGTCCGTGGAAAATCAGGTAAAGCATAAAGCACCACAAAGCAAGGATAATGCGTCCTTTTGTCGTAAGGACAAGATAAAAAACGAACCCCAGTATGTTGTCATTATAGTTCGCCACGGCCCGATAATAATTCCATCGCTTCCGTGGTTTTAAATCAACCTCATTATTAGAAAGATGAGTAAACTTGTCCATAAGGTACCCCTTAGAATTGATCAAGGACATAGGGGCTTCCAACGGTACGTCTATTCTCATGTAGACTGGAATGTGGTCGGACAGTTTTATCGACGGAACCGAGTCGTATTTGATGACGCGTTCCTTTGATTCATTCAGCCCCACCAAATCTTCCTCGAGGTCTTTGTAATCCAGATATAATATTCTATCGCACCAAGAAGGGGTCCTTTTATAATTGTAGGTCGATGTTCCCGTTTTGAACTTGTAAGTCGGAAGAAACCTGATTTCCGGCTCCTTAAACCCCCACAATATCCTGCCAGAAGAACGCATGATGTTTAGTTCGTCCAGTTCCATGCCAGACCGTTCTTCATCAGGGTTTGCGGCAAAGTGGTATGCACCTGTTTTCCTGTAATTTAGATCTCCCATGATAAAGCAATGTGTATTGGGCTTGTGCAATCCGTAGCCATCCTGGAAACTGAGTCCATGTAATATGCTATCAAGATCGGCATTTCTTCGCATCAGATATTTGACACCTTCGCTGGCAGCCAAGTGAGCCACTACAAACGTCAGCTCGGTCGCTTTGCCGTAATCAGCCTCGTATGTGACTCTCAACCCCGTGGCTCCCTTGATATTGGTCATGAAATATCCCAAGGGAACATTCGCTGATCGTCTCACCTTTCGACACCTGGACTTGTATGGAGAGACGAGAATGATTCCCACGTTTCCCACATGGTTGATCTCGATCACTTCGAAGTTGATCTGTGTCTTGGCCACCAAGCTATCCAACAATAAGTTACCCAAAGCCAAGAGTTTCATATTGATGGTGTAGTGATTTGTCCCCTCGCTAACGGAGGAGATTTCCTGGAAACCAAACACCAGCAGATCAGGCACGTGTCCCTCATTCTGTTCGATCAAATTGGCTATGTCCTCGCCAAATTCGGGCACAATTGGCGGTTTTTTACCGCAATTATAGGTAAAGAGGAACAGAGACAGAGACATCAAGTTTCAGACACGGCCAGATACTGTTTTAAGCAAGCAAATATTTTTTACATACAATTACAAAAACGAGTTAGTAGGCCATACTTGGGCTTGATTGTGTCCCTGGCTTGTCTCCACTGAAAGTTTGCAGCACGGGCGAGTCAGTGGCAGTCATAAGCTTATTTGGGATCTTATCAGGCCTGTAAAATCTCAAGTCCACCCTTCCGAGTAAGTAAAGCAGATTGACAACAGCCTCCAAAAATCCCCAGAGCATATACATAACCACTGGTTTTGCGAGCCACCCTTGTGTAGCGTACGTTGTATCGAAGAATAGAAGCACGCATCTGAAGATCGCGCCAATAAAGACACATGCAGATGTGAGTGCAACCAGCAGAATTGAGCTATTGTGCTTAATAGAATATCTGGCTTCCTTTTGAGCTTCATATTGATTGAGCTGCGACGACTCATCCGCCATCGAGTAAAGATGTCCTCCTTTCAGGATGGTTCTCTCCGAATACTTGGAAAGGTCACCGTGCCGTTGTACAAACAGGTACCGTCCTTCCTCGGCAGCGCCCCGAGGAACGTAATAAGTTGGGGCAAACGACGTGATCCAAAATGGCTGGAATACAGTTGCTTTTTTGTCCCGGGAAGAAGGAGGAATCAAGAATGCGCATAAGACAAGCAATATGGCCAACAGCGAGTAGAGACAAATGAGCACGGATGTCACCTTTACAACGTTGCGGCACATGTTGTAGTGGCTTTGGTTCAGGAAGTATAAATACGGCACCACGCCTGCAACAATTGTCATGATCACGACTGCGACCACAACCGAATAGATTGTCATCATGGTAGTTTGAAAGAGTTTGTGGTTGCCGCCAACAGGGTGGCGCCAAGTGAAGAGCCGTTGTGCCAGTACAAGGTTGAGAGAGGCTAGAAACACCGTTGGAAGGACAAGCAGAACCTCGGATGCTATGCCTGTGTGCAATCTGAGGATGTCTTTTGCCCAAGCAATTCTTAGAGCAAAGCCCAAAAGTCTAATCAGGCAGTAAGCAGCGAAACCGAGTGATAGCGGGAACCAGTGTCCTCTTGTCTTGTTCTTGGCGAAGACAAATAAGTGACCAAGCATAAGAAGGAAGAACACAGCCGTAAAGACGCTGCTTGGTGCTATGTCTTTGTGGTCTGGATATGAACCAAATTGAGACTGCTGCTGGTCTTTGAGATATGTGATAAGTGCATCTGGGATCTGCTGATTAGATTGCAAGTGAAGAGTGCTCTTAGCAATACCAACAAGCTTCACAATCCCTGTGCCCTTTGCAGCGTTATCTGTCAAGGAGTTGATAAGAGAGGGTAAAGAAGACATGTCTCAATCGCTTTTTGAGGCAGAGGGTAGCAGTTATATATAATGTATTCTGAATGGAGACAAAATCGGGAATCACAGAGAAAGTATATCAAGTAGTGAGGGGTTTTTTCAAGGAGCGGTCTCAAAATTCTGGCACTGAGTTAGCTTCCGCATGGTGAAAACCTTCTCCTTATTGAGGGGTATAGTGTTTGATACGATGTCCACCCAAGAACGCAATTCTCTGCCAAGACACAGGACCAAAAAGCAGAATGCATGAAATTTTGGGCTTTGAGTGCGGGCTTCATGGTGGCGCATTCACCAGCTCCCTTTCCTCAAGCTAAAGCCTCTCGCCCCAGTAGTGCGCACAGACGCAGAAACAGATAAAAGTGCTAGCTACCTGCACTTCTGCTATAAGTATATTTAGTAAGATATGCATAATTTCTAAGCGATCTGAAAATTATATGTATCTGCATTGTCTGCGAAAATGGTAGCAGCAGAATTAAATATGCCAAAAAATTGAATTAAAAAATTCTGTGTTCTGCAAATACTGTAAAAACGGCTCATCACCGAAGTCCCCCGAAAACATGCATTTTTAGTGCAGTAGAACATCATTTTGAGAGCTCCAGGTCTTATAAAAGGCTTGCCTGGGATTGATCGAAATTCCATTGCCCGCTTTGAACGATGACTATCGAAACTGCTACCTTATCTGCCAATACAAAAAAAATCAATGGTGACTCTCTTTCCAGTGAAATGGAGACCGCTGCCGACACTCATAGTGCAATGGTCAAGGAGACTGCTGCTGAAGATGGTGTTTTTGGAGGCTACGACCATATCACGTATTATGTGAACTCTGCAGACATCACGGCAGAGTATTTTGTTCGCGTGTATGGCTTCACCCCATATTGTCACAAGGGCCTCGAAACCGGATCTCGCATCACGAACGCCCGCGTCGTCCGCAATGGAGATGTAATTATTCAGTTTGTGAGCTGTCTCAGACCACCAAATTCGAAAGGCCTTTCCGAGGACGACATGAAGCTCATTCGCGAGATCCATCACCACACTACTACACATGGAGACGCAGTCAAGGACGTTGCGTTCCAAGTCAGTAATGTGGAGCAAATCCACAAAAGAGCCCTGGAGGGTGGTGCCACCTCGGTGCTGGAGCCCACAACCTACGAGGACGAGCATGGTTCAATCACTATCTCCCGGGTTGGCGTGATCGGAGACACAACTCATACGCTAGTTGACCGGACGTCATACTCTGGTTTTCTTCCTGGTGGCTATCAGATTGACAATTCGGAGAATAACTATGCGACAGAGGTGAAGTTTGACGTTATTGATCACTGTGTTCAGAATCTTGGTTGGAACAAGATGGTCAAGTCCTGTGAAATGTACAAGAAAATCTTTGGCTTCCACAAGTTTTGGTCTGTGGATGACAAACAAGTCTACACGGCTTTTTCTGCTCTCAAATCCACAGTTATGGCGTCACCTTCCGAGAAGATTAAGATGCCTGTGAACGAGCCAGCTAAAGGCCTGAAAAAGTCCCAAATCGAGGAATTTCTGGAGTTTTATGGTGGTCCAGGGATTCAGCACGTTGCATTGAAGGTTGATGACATTTTAAGCACCGTTGAAGCCCTTAGATCACGAGGTGTTGAATTCATTCATGTTCCTGAACAGTATTACCAAAACCTGGAGAAAAGACTGAAGGAAAGCAAACACCCCGAGTTCAAGGAAAGCATGGAGAAGATCAGGCAGCTTGGCATTTTAGTCGACTTTGACGAAGATGGATACTTGTTGCAGCTTTTCACGCGGTCAGTGTTTGATCGGCCCACCTTTTTCTTCGAAGTTATTCAAAGACATAATCACAATGGGTTTGGTGCTGGCAATTTCAAGGGACTCTTCGAAGTACTAGAGGAAGACCAAAAAAGAAGGGGCAACCTGGTGGATCAAAACGAGGAGGTCGATCCTTACGACGTTAAAGAGGACTAAACTATATTCAAAATGCAGTAGCAAAAATTCCTGCTACAACTAAGGAAGTATATAAATGTCGTTTGAGAAGTTTCGCTATCATGCTCACCAGGTTTGCATCTCTTCAAAGTAGTCAATTCTCTTCTGGTTGTCCAGGTTTTTGACGACAGCAGCTCTGACGTTATCCGTCATATTAGGGTGAGCACAGATACCGAAAGCAATGGATCCCGAACTTTCAGAAATTTCCTCCTGGACGAGCCGGTCAACATCGATTCTTCCCCGTCGAAATTCAACGTACTCAAAGGCCTGTTGTAAAGCGTCCAAAGTAACGGTTTGCTCGGTAGTCTTTTCTCTTTCGAAATTCTTCTCCTCAGAAAATTCCACGGAGCTACCCGAATTCGAGGTTATGTCAGCATCCACTTCGGCTATACTGGAATTGGGGTTGGAGACGTAGATGATAGGTCTGCAATTGGTGCCCTTGAACTGCGTGAGCTCCTCTTTGAACCAGTTTAGGGAGTTGAATTCTCTAACTGACCAGTAGAGCTTTACCTCTGTCTTGACTTCTCTAGACACCAGGTCCAGTGCATAAGAGAATGGACCTGGGATACCATTACCGCCAGCAATAAGGACAGCCTTGTCGTACTGGTGGTACGGGCTCCTCAAACCGTATGGGCCTTCAACAAGAACCTTGACATTGAAAACCTTTTCGTCGTGGTTTCTGACTCTATGGCTTATGAGCTTGGTAACACCACCTTTAATTTTGCAGTAGAAGTGGATATGGTTTTTATCTGTGATAGAGTCTATCAAGGTAAAAGGATGAGATTGCCAGAACGTCTTTGGAGTCAAAAAGTAGACAAACCCGTGAGCAGCTGGAGAAGGCTTCCAGTAGCTCTTTGGATAAGGAACTGAAAGTTTGATGGTTCCTTCTTTTTCAAGGATTTCACACCTAGCAGTTCTAACACCAAACAGCACAATTCTGGCAATTCTGACAGCTCTATCAAAACACCAGATTGCAGCACAAGCGTAGTAGTACTTACCGTAGTTCTGGGAATCGGCGTGCAGCCAAGCAGTCCACAAGAACATAGCTATCAAAACGATGTGGCTGATGAGGAAAAGCTCATACCAGTATCTTCTCACTCCATAGGCAGCGAAACCCATAGCTACCCAGCAGCACACGGTTGCTGCAATACCCTGTTGGAAGTAAGCTGCATGAAGTCTGGTATGCCACTTCTTAAGCGCAAAAGACTGGACAGTCATGGCAATAGAATGCACAAGCACTTCCAAGCACAATATTCTACCAAGTCCCTTGTGAAATGTGACAAATCTAGAATATGGCCACCTGGTGATCCATTGCATGATGTTGTTTCTTCCCGGGAAACCAAAGAGCAGAGGGAATAAGTAAGAAAGCAGAATAGCAGATCTATCACCGATATATCTTGCGTATGCGGCAGACTTTGTTTTGAACACCATATCGCCCTTATAGTAGGTGACTCCCAGAATAGCATTTGCCAAGAAAGTGTAGACGAAGAATACCACAAGAACGATCGACTCGAATCTGTCGGGGAATAATCCTAGCAATCCAAAGTTCTCCATATGTCTGCCTCCAAAAACTGCTGGCAGGGCAATGTGTTGTCTCCAGAAAGTACTGGCTGGGCCTACCAACTTCCTTCTCAGCGAAGGTATTAGGATGAGCGACCAGTTAATGAGTGCACACACAACTAGCAGCAAAGCCCAGGCTGACAATGATGCAATACCCAAATAGTGAGACACAGCCACATTGTTCCATCTATGGACGTTACCCCAGTAGTAGCCAAGGTAATTTCTGGTTAAGTTTCCACCCGTGATCGGGTAGTTGATGATAGTGTTCTTTTTGAAGCCCTTGACGTCGCTGATGTTGACCATGTATTTGGTAGCATTTTCATATGCTGCGTGGATACTATCAACGGTGAATTTATACTTGTGGCAGCTATTCATCAGAGCATGATCTGCAGCAGGGTTATACTCTCCAGTGTTATTATAGATACAGGAGATCCACGAACCCAATTCTGCGGGATTGGAGCAAGCACAAGTGTTTGACTTGCTCTTTCCTTCGCAAAAAGTAGCAGTTGCCTCAACTGCTGACTTGCAAGCTAGTACAACATAGTCCTCGTGAGAATAAGTATCTTCAGATGCTGCTAGACTAGCTAGGCCAGCTAAAGGAAGCCAACTTTTCAGTTTCATGAGGGAGCACTGGTGTACGATTAATCAGGGTGGCCAGACAATATATAAGAACTCTGAATGGAAACGGATAGTATGATGCATCTGAGAAATTCACCAAACAAAGTCCTCCTATTCGCTATTCTCAACCTCTTCGAAGTGAGGCATGGTAAAAACTGCGACATTCAACCCAATGCACGTCACCTGCAGCTACGTTTTTATCGATCTTTGTTAGGATGGGCAGTGATAGCGTGAACACCAGTCTCTCTATTCTGGCAGCCATACTTTGATATGAATCTGGACCTCTGCTTGAAAACGGTCAAGAAAGATCGACAACTCGCTAAATCTTGCACAGGTATAACAGTTACTGATCGTTGAGATAATTTGCGTTTCGACCACAATAGAATGCAGAATGCCGCTTTCGTGCATCACTAAAAAATTATTGTCCGATTCGGATGGCTGAAAAACAGTGCTTAGCAAGGTACTACAGGTTGCCAAGACCAATCAAAAAGCCACGCTCTAGGCATCTTCGTTAATGTTACACTAGAATAGCATTTACGCAATACACTCGCTCAGTCTCGTCCACGTCAGGCTCCCACACCAGCCCAATTTGTGTACGGTGGCCGATAAATCCCAATGGTTTATTGTCGTCACAATACCTTTTGCGAGCATCAAAGTTACTATTTTCAGCTTTCGCTTTTTTATGTAATTGTGCAGCAAGTTTTTGCGAATGATTCACGACCAACCGGCACCTGGAAAAAGGATGGGCACTTGGGTCCTTTCCCACTCATCGTTGTATCGTAGAAGCACGGGCCGTTAGTCAAAGTCACCTGCGGCGTACTTGCAACTCTCCTCCAACTTGTTCTGCTAGAGCCCCATTTATCACACGAAGCCATTCGGGTAAGCACGGACATGCTCGACTGGTCAGCGCACCGATAATCTATGAGGTGAGACTCCTTTAGAATCTCTTGTTTCTGGCTTCCTCTGGCACAGAAAGTCAGAACTGCAAACCCATCAGCACACAAAACAAACCTTCCACTATCTGGAAAGGGTCTAAAAGAGTCAGAAGGGGACTTGTGGACAATAAACGGTCACCATTACCTTTTTCAGCGTCGATTTGTGCGCCACGGCTGTACGTGTAGACAGGCAACATGAAAATCAAACCACATGGGCCTGGCAGAGCAACTGTCTCTTCAACTCAAGCCTATGCGGATATTCGAATTCAGTTAAGTCACGAGGATTGTTACAGTCGAAAAGTGTAAATTGAACACCCTAACAGTATGATGTGGTTGCACGTTTGACCTCTTACATCAGTGTTTTTTCAATCAGTGAAGTTTTCAGGCAGTGAAAAATAGCCTATACAATCTATTACATAATAGCTTTTCTGATTTCGCCTGTAGTTAAATTCATCATAGGGCCCGAACGAGTATTTGCCTGAAATTTCATTTATGTTCAGGCCAAGCATCTGATTGAACTCATGTCAAGAAATTCAAGAAAACTATGGCCCCGGGCTGTTGCAGCAACGGTAGTTGTTGGATTGGTAATAGGTGCTTGGGCCTTCAAGACAATTAATCTTGGGCTTTTCGAAGAACCTGCAAAGACATCCAAAGCCAGCAAGAACAATACTCAATCTGTGTCACTGGTTCTCACGCAAAAAGATCTTGATTCTTTTAGTGCAGCTTACCTGAATGATTATCCAAGTTTGATAGTCATTCTTCATCCTTCGGTTGATAAATCAGATTTCCTATCTCGTTTCAATGTGCAGAAACATACACACAAAGTCATTGAAGTTAGGTCGGAAGAAAGTATTTTTCACGTTTTGAAACAGCTGAGCTCAAAAATCAACCTTATAACAATGAGTAATCTGGAAATGTCTGCAAATGAAGTTGAAGCGTTCCATTTGAATAAGTTTTTGGTTAACATTGACGAGGTGGATCATATAAATAAATATGTATAGTTCTGGGAGTTAACGCTAAACAATGTCCCTTCTCGCGCCAAAGACAATGTTTTCCGTCTTCTGATTACTTCCGTTCATATAACCGTACTCCATGGTGCTCCAAGCAGCACCACTATTAGCCGAAAACTTCTTTGGTTTTGGGGGAACCTTTGGGCGCTCATGTTTGGCAGCGATGGTGGGCCCTATAAGTGGGTATCGATCACCAAACTCCTTGTGAATCAGCCGCGAAAGCGACTGTATTGCCATCACTACCTGATATGGATCTTGGCGTTCATATAGATCAACTGTCTGAAATAATTCATCCTGAGGAACCCCTTTGGACTTGATAAAGTTCAAAAACTGCTCGATTGACTCCATTTGTACAAACGCCATCTTGCTTTTCTTGACCGGAAGGGTATTCGCTCCCCAAACACAATTTATCAATTGCGATAAAACCTCCCCCGACCTTAGAAAATCGACGAGGTCTGTGGACCTGAGCTCATTTTCATTGACACTTGAGCCCATAACCTGTAGAAGCCATTCTTTGACTTCATTTTGAAGCGACGGGTTGTTATACTTTTTGATCCTTGAGATTTTCAGGTCTTCATCTAAATTAGAAACGTCCTTCATTAGTCAATAATGTTCAGAGAGCATCGAGAGACGCGCTTAAACTTTTTGCTAATTTCCCAGCCGCTGCAACTCCAGGTGAAATTTCAAAAATTAGCAAAAGACACTCAGGTCATCTGCTTCATATTTACAAAACTTTTCACTATGTCTGCTGAAGGAGAGGTCCAGAATTTGCTACAACAAGCCCAGTCCTCAAATGGGGCTAATGCGAAACAAATCATACAAAGAGCAATTGAGATTTGTCAATCGCAAAGGGTGGACCCTAACCTGTTTTGTAAAGTTAGGATTGTTTTGGGTGATATACTTTTGTCAGAGGGTGATCAAAAGGCTGCAGTCGATCAGTATAGAATGGCTGCAGAGCTTGATGAGCAAGATGGAGTCATTAACTCGCCGGAGGTGCAACAAAAGCTGAACAATATATTGAACAATATTTCCGGATCTTTGCAACGTGAGGTTGAACAAAATCCGAATTATGGCTCAAATGAGAGAGGTCTGAGCTCAATGCTAATATCTCAGGTGCTGAGTGGAGGCAACTCCACCTCATCCCAACTGGGCATGCTATCATCGCTCCTCGGTGCCAGCGGAAGTAGCACGGGTAGTGGACTTGGAGGAGGGATGGGAGGAGGATCGAGTGGATTCGGATCACTCATCTCTGCCTTGGCTGGCGCAGGTGCCACTCCTCAACACCAGCAGAGCCAAGGTGGATTCAATCTCGGCTCTCTTCTTGGAGGCAGTAGTGGTATGGCTAGCTCCACGGGTGGAGGCATGGGAGGAGGTTTAGGCTCCCTCGTTTCTGGGTTGTTGGGAGGACAACATGGTGGCTCTGGTTTCGGTGGAGGACAGCAAGGAGGTTATGGATCTGGTGGAATGGGAGGCCAAGGTGGATATGGAGGAGGAAGATACGATAATGCCGGCTATGGTCAAGGTGGATATGGTGGCAGTGGAAGGTACGATGACAATGGCTATGGCCAAGGAGGTGGATTTGGTGGTATGGGAGGACGTCGTCAAGAAGGTGGAGGAGGTTTCTTTTAAGCTCCAAGCAATGGAATACCCAGGATGGAGGGAGACATGCTGATCATGACCTTTTATGTTTTTGTCCCAACTGATTTACAACTATTCACTGATAAGCGAAATTGAATGCTCAACATTTTGTTTCTGTAAGGCTGTAGTGCTATGTTAAGGGTACCAGGTGTCTTAGCTACTTGTAATTATACATCCACTTGCTAGTTTACCATGATGAAGACAACCACTCTAAAACGGTGGCTCTCTCTAGATTAAAAGCTACACACCAATTTGGGTTATCTCGATCGCTTCGAGAAAATAGGCAGAGCCACATACCGGATGCTCCATGACAAGCCTCAAAGAAAAATGGCAAAACGCGGAAACCCAAATGGTGATGAGTTTGCACAGAGTACTCAAATTCATACAGATTTAGCGATAATCAGGAACCTATGAGTAGTGGTGCCTTTACGTAAACCAGTGTTGAAAGTTGGTCTGCCAACTTTTTGACGGGATCAAATTTTTAACAATTGCCCTACAAATAGATAAGAACCCGAGGAGGGAATGAACTAAATTTAGCCCAAGAGTTCACGAAATTAGCACGCGGCCATCTTTATACCCTAAACAGCATCTACCTGATATTTTGGGGTTTTGAAGTTACCATCACCCCTAACGCGATTTTGCAGTATTTGGTGAATAAATTATAGACGGGGCTGATTTATCGTTTGGTCATGTTTCATACCCCTCCAACGAAAGACAGCTGGCAACCAGACACATCAGTCAAATTCTCCTACGATGCTGAACACTCGGAGGTCTTAGAGGATGCCCAACATACCGCTGTCAGCTCACAGTCGCTATCAGATAAGTCACCCGCCATTGGATCGGAGAGACGTGACAGCAATGAAAGAATTGTGAACGCGATACAAGCGACAAGCAAAGACGAGCTTCCAGCTTCTCTTTTAAAGCACTTACAGGATTTCATAAAATCTCTCAGAGAGCCTCGATATGCAAAGCCACTGGCTACGTTCGAGATCGCTGAGCTGTTCCAAAGGTTTTATACAGATTTCAACATTAAAGCAAATGACTTCACGCAAAGTGACAAAAGAGTGGAGCTAAAAGAGCTTGACAGACCTCTAAACAATCCTTCATGCAAGTACAATCTCATTGTTGAGCGATTGCTGTGCGAGAAGTTTTATTCATCTGTCATGTTTCCTAAGAAAGGCGTCCCGATAGATGAATTCGAGAAAAAACTCAACTATGATTTTGCAATCAAGCTTGCATACCTCAACAGTTTGGACATCAGCTTTAAAAACTTGGATATCCATCTGGATATTGATGAAAATTCGTTTGTGGACAATTTGCATGATCGCATTCTCCCTGAGTTTGAAATATTCACGGCTGAGCGCTCTCCTACGCTAAAGTTGAAGCATCTGTCTCAAGTCCACGCCGAAATTGACAAACTGATAAGAGAGCTTAGCAAAAACACCGTACACGAAATTAATACGGATATTTATCTTCCTATCCTCATTTTCGTTCTGATCAAACTTGAAGATCTGCGGACTCATGCACTCATTTCTCAATTTGAATTCATTAAGAGGTTTCGGAACGATTTTATTTATGACGGAAACGACGATGAAAAAGGACAGTTATTGTACGTCTTCACCAACTTTGAAGCGAGCCTCTCCTATCTTGCCAGTGTGACTTTGGACAATCTAAACATAAGTTTGGAAGAAAGTATCTCCAAAATTCCTGAAGAGAGTCGTGACCAGTTTGTCGATTTCTTGACAAGGCCATTGGTTTTAGAATCAATTGAAGAGGAAATCAAAAAAATCCGACCTCTTCCAACACCTTCTCGTCAACCTTCTTTCCTTCTAGACTCATCTCGGTTTTCCTTGCTGACACCATCTGAATTTTTGCCACTGTACCATGCGGATCAAGGTATCCGAAATATAAGTAATGCTGTGGACTCCAGTATCAAAAGCATAATTGGTAGGGTTTCGTGGCTGAATTCTATTGGAGCTGCAGAAAACCATGATCCTATTTTGGAGTCCACAAGACAGCAGATGGAGGAAAACCTGGCAATACAATCCGCTGTATCTCTTCCAAAGGCTGAAGAGTCCAAAATCACTCCGACTTCATCGATTTCCACCAGCGACTCTCGTCATCATGTACATACTGGCTCTGACTTATCATTACAATTATCGTCACATTTGGATCAACCAGAAACGGTGGAAGATTTGGGAGCATCCACCATTACTTCAGCGACATTGGTTCGCACAAGGTCACAAACAGATTCCATTGTTTCGTCACCAAATGCCCAGGATAAATTTATCAACAAATTTACCAGCAGTATGAGCGGAGTGATGAAGAACTTTCGACCTGTAAGCGCATCATCGTCTAGCTCTTCTCTCAATGTTCACCTGGAGCCCAACGCTTCGAATAATGGAGCCTCTCAAAATGCCATCAGTCCTTTCAATACAGGCAGCAACGCTCAGTCAGGAGACAAAAACAAGCCTTCACTCAACAAGATGCGCAGCCGTACTACAAGTTTGATAAATACGGGCTTATTTAATCAGGAGTATTCAAAAATGGGGAAAGCAGGGCTTCTCAACTCCATCGAGAACGCGTTTGAAAACGTCAAGAACAGAAGCAGAGGAAGTTCTTTGAGTGATCAATTTCAAAACCGTTCTGAAGACCATCACAGGCTTGCCAACATTGAGATCTCTAAATTGGATCGCTTTGGCAATAAGCCATTCGAACAGCTCACTGTCTGTGAGCTATCGCAGATGTATCAAAACTACCAGTATATTTTAAGCATGTTAAATAAGGAAGATAGCTAAACAGAATACATTTCAACACTCAGGCAGTGAAACTTGCCACCCCTAAATAAATTTATATCAAGGAGGAGAGTTACCGTCGTATTTTTGACAGGAAAAAAAATCCATCCTGAAATATAATTCTGTCCCCATGTATTCGAGCTTCAGCAGGTATATGGAGTCCCCTGGGCCGAATACTAAAGAATTGGCCCCATCCCAAGTGCCTAGGTATATTTACAACCTCTGGAGAAGCTATAAGTATTTGATTCTGTCCACTGTTGCCGTGTTTATATTGTTGAACTTGAGTCTGGGTGATCCTAGCAGTTCTGTCAGAAAGCGTTACAGCCTGTCAGACTTTTACCCGCAGAGCTTTTTTGGAAATGCGACCCTGATCAAGACACCACCCCCTCGAAAAAATATTCATGATATGTATACTATTGAGGCTCGACTTGCTCACTATTTTCCTTACAGCGCAGAAGGTGAAATCGAAAACAATATATGGCAGATGTGGCAGCAAAGGCCAGACGACAGGAAATTTCCAGTAAATTGCTTCCCCCACATTCAACGATGGAGATTGGTGAATGACGATTACAACCACAATCTCATTTTGACGTCCGAAGGAGAATCTCTAGTTTCAGATTATCTCAAGGACCAGGTGCCAGAAGTTTTGGATGCACTCCTTAAACTTCCAGATGCCCGGCTCAAATATGAGTTTCTTAAGTACTTGATCGTGTACATTGGAGGTGGACTGTTTGCAGATATTGATACTATTTGCGTGAAACCAATGAAATACTGGTATGAATCTCGCATAATTCCCGGCAAGCTGATGGTGGGAATTTCCACAGATTACAACGACGAGAACTGGACGTTGCTATACAATAGAAGGTTATCGTTTTCCAATAAGCTCTTCAGGGCAAAGTCCCATCATCCTTTCTTGGCAAAACTAATTGCTCGAATCACCTACATGGTTCACAACGATGATCGCATAACTCATGAAATTGACTGGAACACTGCTTTTGAAAATCTGGATAGCAATGGTGAACCGTTAACACAGTGTACTGGGGAATCGGTGTTCACTGACACTTTATTTGAATATTTGAATGAGCTAGAATCCCCTTTCGTCTACAGAGTTGCAAGAACAGACAAAGATTTATTACCGCAGAAGATTGTGGGCCCTGAAACACAACACCGGATTTCATACAAGCTGCTTAGCCTAGCTGTTGGACCGACACAGGTAGACGATGTTATCATTATGCCAGAAATTACATTCAGAGGATCTAAGGAGTTCGAAAGTCACAACTCAAAAAGCATGAAACAAGATTACACAGCAGAATACGATGATGAAAATAAAAGAGAAGGATACGAAAAACTTTACTACGCAAGATCACTGAACATAGTCACATGGGACGACTTCGATAATTCTTAGTCGAAATATAGTGTGGAATATAGGAATTACAGCATTTGAATCAAGATTCACACTTTGCCCCATGGTATGTACAAAAATTATGGGGGCCTTGTGCTATACTGAAGTACTGGCAAGTTTCTCCACAGCAAATAGGGACCAAGAGGAATTTCTATTGGATAGAGTCAATAGATCACATATGTCATGATATCTTTCATAAATTGTTTGTAGATATTACTTCATTTGATATGAGCGAGGACAAATTCAATATGTTGCTTATTGGATCATACCTAGCATTTTAGCGTAACAACGTAGTAATCAAACGACATGCGAGCCAGGTCAGAACAAAGAAAACAATGGGTATGACGTACACATTCATGATCTCAAATCTACTCCGAAGTTTCAGGGGAATCTTGGTTGATTTGGCCCCTTCCACCAAACTTCCTGTCTTGTAATAGTTGTCCATCATTTTATCCTTTTGCACCCAGAGTTTGTTCAACCAAAGTTCAAATTTTCTCATATCCTCTTCTTCTTCGTCGTCGTTCGCATCCTCATTGAAAGTGCATCCCTCAATCGATCTTATATCGATTGCTCTGACAAACATCCTCAAGCTCCTCGGACCCTTTCCAAGCAAATAAATTGAGCGCAAAGTAAACGAGTCCTGAGCATACTCTGTCGCAAGATGGTCGCTGTAAGCCATTGTGAAATCAAGGATAAGATTCGTCTTCTTGTGCATGTGTTTACATGCTAGGTACAACCCCTTCACGCGAGGCAACAACACATGATCTAGTTTGAAATCGAGCTGCTGCCTTGTCATAAAATCATCTGACCTTGGTTTGGTGTTGGGGCTCAAATTCGTACCTTCTGGGAAAATGAGCAGCCAATGTTTCTTGACAGAGCTTAGATGCGCAAACCTCTGAATCATGTACGACTTGTCTAGGTCCCATTTACGATTGAGAAAAATGAAGTCATAATTCTTCATGCCGTACCCCAAAACTGGTATTCTTTCCAGCGACTTCTTCATAATGATGTAAAAGTTCTCAGCACATTCATTCAGATACGATACAAACCACAGGAAGACCCAGTCTGTGTATAGTTGGTGATTGGCAATTAAAATCGCGCTCGTATCTAGTTTCAGCAAGGATCGCTCGGCATTGGCAACAACCTCGCTAGACGAGATTGTGTTGGAATCAAATGACAATTCGAGATCGGTCGGGCATGTAAGACTTGTGATGAAAGTGATCAGAATCACAAAATTGCGCTTTGTGAAACCGATCAGACGCGTCCTTAATCCCTCGTCGCCACCAAATATCACATTCACAAGCAATTGGGAAAAAACAATGCTCAAGCAACCAGTAGCAAAGGTGAGTATGGCAAATACCAACCGAACGACCTGATAGATTGTAGGCTTTCGATTCTGCTGTTGTTGTACACTAGACATGGAGAGAGACTCAAAACGAGCGAGCTAATTTCGCGTAAAATTCAATTTTTTTAACTATAAATGAAGCCTAAAACCGGAAGGAAAGCAAGTGCCTAAGAAGAAAGCGCAGGAACGTTGGAGGCACAACCACCAATCACGTTTCCTGCAGGGTCATAGGAGCATACTATGTAAGTTCCCCAGTAATCGTTGCAGTGCTTGTATCCACATCCAACCTTCGTTGTCGACTTCCAGATAACTTGGGTGAAGTGGTCGTAAACAGAACAGCTTGAACCATAGTTGTAGTTCTCTCCTTCATCGTACCACGCATCCACGGTACCGGTGGTGGTGTAGCCTAGGGCCAAATTTTCACCGTACTTTCCTCCGGAGTGAGTCAAAACTCCGGAACAATCGTACTCGTCAGCATAATTCTGAGCATACTGGGCAAGAGTGTCGTCCCACGTAAGGGCATCAACGCCGTGCAAAGCTCTCTTGTCGTTGTGTTCTTTAAGGATTGCCTCCTGGAAGTCCGAGCTCGAGGAATCAGACGAACTAGAAGAAGTGGTCGAAGTGGCAGATGTGGAAGATGCAGATGATTCGGTGGTCGAGGAGGCCTCTGTTGGAGTTGGTGTTGGCGAGGAAGTGCTTAATGTAGTTGGAGAAATGGTGGAGCTTGGCTGAGCATCGTTGGTCTCGGATGGGGTAGTTGAAGAGCTTGAAGACACCTCAACATTGAAAGTTCCAACAAGGTTGTCGTCGTCTGAGGCTGCCGTGGATGTTGTAGAAACAGGAGTACTGGTAGAGGTTGCGCTCTGAACGCCGCCCACCGCCTGAGTAGCACCGGGAGTGATGACAACGGTTTTCTTGACCGTTTGGGTCACGACAACCATTTTTGGATCAGCTTCTCTCTTGAGATGAAAGAAGGGAGCGGCACTTGCCAGATGTCCCAAGACACAGAAAGTGACAATTGATGATAGCTTCATTTGTTTGGACTAATGAAAGGAATGGAATGAGTCTACTATTGTAAGACACGAAAGAATGAAAGAATGTTTAGATACTGGCTGTGAAAAAAGAGTGATCACGTCGGCCACGAAGTAAGTATTGACAGATAACCTTTGAAGTGCAAAACTTAGAATAAACGTTAAATGTTTGCGTTTATATTCAGCACTGTTAGGTGCGTGTTTCAAGAGCTAGCCACAAGGGGATCTGCTACCAAACACGGTATGCAGAATAAAACAATGCCGACACGCTTTGAAACAATGCACAAAAAGCGTTCACCACTCAATTCTTACGTCTAATTTTCCAAAGGTGCTTGATAATAAATATTGTCACAAGGTTAAAATCTATTGTGTTTTGGAAAAAACCGAGGCGGATCTGGTCTCGTGGCTGGTTTTAAGCGAAAGTCCAGATTCTTTATTCTGAGGGGCCAGTCCATGGCCAGCAGATATTGCTTGATTCGGAAAGATCATCAAGCAGTTCCAAAAGCAACCACCGTGGCTGCTACTCATGTACTTCCTACCTGGGTAATCATGGAAGCTTTGCTCAGGAACGTCATTTTTAGATCAAGTTGAGAATGATCTCTTACATCATTCGGTTGTTCGTTATATTTTATACCCTATTTAGAATTAAAGCGTAGTGCGTATGTTTGGGGTATTCAGGGGAAGCCAGTTTCGATCATTTGAAAGAACTTCTTGCTTCTTGGAAACGAGCCAATCACCGTCAAGTCAAGGACCAACTCCTCCACCTCCGATAACGCCTGAGGAAGACCGTCTCCCTCCCAAACCTCCACGAAGAATACGTACCTCCAAGGACTCAGAATTGAGGGCCTTGTAGTTATAGACTGCAAGTTGAGATTGAAGTTTTTGAAGACTTGGAGTATGTTACACAGGCTTCCAAAATTGTCGTTATCCTTAATTATGAAGGTGAGCAAAGTCATACGTTTGTTTGATACTGGATTGGAGTCAAAAGGAAGACGGGTGTCTGGTAATGGTTTTTTGCCTAGCACCAAAAATCTTGTAGTGTTGCCTTTGAAATCCTCAATTTGAGAAACCTTGACCGGCACGCCATGAATTTCACTGGCAGTCAGCGATGCCATGGCGGCAGTTGTCTGTCTTTCTTCATCCGTCTTCAGAGAAGCAACAATCTCGACTGCCTTCGAAGTAGAGGATGTGTCAATTTTCTGTACTTTGATATTATTATCCAGCTCATGCTTGTGTAGGAATTTATTACACTGTGACCACACTTGAGGATGCGAGTATATGGTCTTGATCTTCGATATGTCTGAAGCAAAGGTTATAAAATTGTGGTGTATAGCAACAAATTGCTCGCCAATCACTTGAAAGTCGGGAGTTTTGACCGAAGAAGCTTGTGAACTGCCACTTTGTTCCAACTCCCTTAGTTTGAGCTTCAGCTGATCTTCCTTGATGAACCAATCACGGAATAGGTCGTAACTCAAGACAACTTGCCCATTGGATGAGTTTTCGAATGGAATTATGCTGTAATCACACTCATCTTTCGAAATCGCTTTGAAACATGAATTAATTGAGGGCTGTGGAAGATAAATTACTGATGCCTCATCTGATAGAGCATAAGGCTCGAATTGTTGGCGTGCAGCCTGCTTAGTTAGCACTTATCTGAGAAGCCTGAATGAACTTACTTGATGTGAGTACGTCCCAGGGGGACCCAAATATGCTACCTTAATTGAAGTCATATTCGCTCATTGATTGACTTTACTCATAGACTGACTTATTTATAGGTAAAAAAAATATTTTATCATAGCAATGAATCCAGTTACATCAGTACACAAGTTAGTTTTCCATACTTTGGGCTAGCTCTATCAGTTCTCCCATGCTGAATGCAGGATCTCCGGAATTGAATTTTCTCAGCAATTCCAATCTCTTCTGGCTGCTTTCGGAAGTCGTCTTGGCGAGCCCACCATAGAATCTCTGAACATTTAGCAAGAGTAGTTGAGCTTCTTGTAAAGTCACAGGTGAGTCTTTCTCAACTTGTCCATTCATCATAACGATTCCCTTGTCCTCTTTTAGTTCTTGGTGGAACATCACTGTTGTGTGAGGTCTGGCGTATTCCTTGTGTAGTTTGTATTCTGCAAGAGACGTAATCAGGACATGTGTGGTATTGGGTCCCACAAAATTCCATTGTACGAAATGAATCTCAACCGGATCACCCTTACCTTCTCCTTCGACCTGGGCATCTTCGCGGGGCAATGGAAGGACAAATGTTGGATTCTTGATGGCATTCTTATGAAGTCTCTCGAACGTGTTGGTTGGAACAACAGCACTCAGGGTATTTTCCCCTTTTTGGAATCTCAGTCTCCAAAGGAACTCAATCTCGTCGGCCTTAAGACCCTTGATCTTCTTCAGATCAAGGTATGAGTTCAAAGTCTTATACGGATCTTTTGGAGTTGATGGGTCTATAGGAGACCTTTCCTTGGCCTTATTTCGCACTGTTTTTTGCTGTGTTTTCTCAAACGCTTCTAGCTCTTTCAATGGGTCTATCTTGTTCATCTCAAGCTTTTTCTTCTCTATCTCGTCCTTCAATTTCTCTTTCAATTGTTCTGCGTCCGCCGCACCCAGTTCCCGAGCCTTCCGATCAAGTTTCTCTTTATACCTGGCAATCACATCTTTATCGATAGCCTTGTATGCGACAAATCGAACCGGCGTGACTTTCGCCGTACGAAAGAAGCACCTTGGTCTCAGAAACATGTCTACCAAAAAAAAACGAAAAATCACGATTTGGCACTATTCTTGAAAAAACATTTATGACATATACATCAGGAGCCCGCGTGCACTAACTGCACTCGAAGTGGCAAATTGACCCAATTATCATTGACCAACTGATCCATATGGCTTTGCAATAGTGGACCTGCGAGCCAACTCAAGCGTGCCAACGTGCCGCCTAGAAATGCATCTCCAGATTCAGCGATAAAGTTAGTGCTTTTTTGCTTTTTTCAATAGCGCCAGTAGATTGAATGGCACAGTCAAGCTCTAAATATCTCTATGAGGGTAGGAAATGGCAGCCCTCGTCAACATCAGCAGTGTATTTGCCTACAAAGTACGCCTCAAAGGATCTTTTAGGCAATTACAATCATCGTGATTTGAGCTTGGATTCGACCCCAAAGGTTGGCATCCCACCCAGCGAGATACAGAATCCTTTCTTACAGAACACGTCTGTCCATCAGGGGACATTCTATGTCATATTTCTTCCCATTGTGGCCGGATTTGTGCTCGCTTTTTTGATAGGTTCCGCTTACCATAGGTTTCGAGCCAAGAGCCAGGCTAAGGACGTGAACTCAACGGATGAGTCTTTTGACTCAGACTATTCAGAACCACTTGATGAAGGAGGAGCAATGCTTGGATTTTTGAGAGACCGATCCCATCGTGTTGCAAACGAGATTACCAACCCTCGATGTTCCAAAGCGCCCAACTCTAGCACTAAGTTGCCAGCCAACAAAGAGAAAGTGTATTATCAGCCACTGACGGATAAACATGATGTCACTACTCTCCAGTTGAGGAAGCTCGAGATCTCTCCAAGCCCCAATTCACCCTTTTCACCGCCTCAGCGACCCTCGCTGCCAAAGAAAGCAATTAGTAGTGTTCTTCTGGATGAATTCATTGAAACCGGGGAGATACCTGCCATTGTTGAGCCGCTGGCCTCGAATGATACAAAAGAACACACACCTGATCCTTATCTGAGTTATCAAAGCTCTTCTCCTTCAAGAGCCTCGAGGACATCGCGATCGAGTCACAGCTACAGCCGAAGCCCTAAAAGGCATTTAGTGAGCTCTAAAAGTCTTTCAAGGAGTGACAAGAGTTTGGGGCTTCCTTCAAATTGATATTTTGTTGCGCTTTCATAATACAGTTTTCTTTACAAATTAGTCAACTACACAAATTAGAAGTGAAAATAAGTAAACAGAAACTTTTGACCTTCACATAATCACACAGCTTCTGCTTTCGTTGTCGGAGACGTTTGCAGCAGCGTTGGCTCCTTTTGGTTTAGCGGTAAGAGCAATACGGGCTGCTTCAGTGAACACTTCATTTACTCCACGATTCTTCATGGCAGAGCACTCCAAGTATCTCAGGGCACCGATCTCCTTCGCCACCCCAACTCCCTCCTCGTAAGAAACAAGCTTCTTACCCGAGGGAGCATTATTAATCAACATATCATTTTGACCAATATCTGGGTCGGTACTTCTCAAGTCCGCTTTCAAACCAACGAGGATGAGCTTGACACCTTCGCAGTGTTCAAGAATCTCACCGACCCATTTGTTTTTCACGTTTTCAAGAGAATCATGCGAATCGATAGCAAAACATAGAATGATACAATGCGTGTCACTATACGACAAGGATCTCAAGCGGTCAAACTCCTCTTGGCCAGCAGTATCCCATAACGATAATTGCAACTGCTGTCCATCAATGAAGATGTCATGAATGTAGTTTTCAAACACAGTCGGCTCGTAAACTTGGGGAAAGTAACCTCTGGTAAAAACATTCAGGAGCGACGTCTTACCACATGCACCATCTCCGAGAATGACTATTTTCCGCTGGACTGAAGGTTAGAATCTGAGTGTCAGTTACTTACCAGGCTTGGGAGGGCTTCCACAGAGTGGCATTTGTAGTAATGTACACTAGCGCGTTTTGATGCCGAAATTATATTGTAGAACCAAGAACTCGAATTTCAGTGTATGCGCTGATGCAATATAGTGTGAGGAACCTTGAATTGTATCAGACTGTGTCCGTTTTGAGGTACTGTTAATGTAAATAGAAAGAGAATTGTAGTACTTTTTTACAGACTCTAAAATTTAGTACGGTGTAGGGGTGCTATCAATATTTTCGAAAACAAACATTTGTAACAGTAGGTTCCAGGATGGTTTCCAAGCAGCAAAAGGCAAGGGATCGAAAGGGGAACAAACTGGCTCAAAATCCCTTGTTGAGAGCAATTAGCGGTTCTCAAACTGATCAGCAGAAAAGAAAAGAAAATCCTCTTATGAAAGCACTGGCGAGTACCAATCGGAAACCATTCAAGAAAAATACACTCGCGCAAGCTCTCAGTACAGCACAGGGAAGTAAGCCCTTTCGCCGAATAGCTCACGAAAGCAAGTCTCTAAAGTCCACCGACAAAACCCTTTCCAAACGAATCGGACTCTCTCCGGCCCAAAAACGAAAGCTAGAAGAGGAGAAGAAGCTTATAAACAGAATTCAAAGACCGTGCGGCTCCAGGTAGTTGATGACTTGCTTGTAAATAGTGAATAAGGGATAAAAATGGCTGCTGTTGTTGTAACTAAATATCTGATGTGCTACTAGAAGGGTCTGAATCTTGTTGGAGGTGTAGGGATGCGTTGTGTGGAGCGAAAAAAAAACTGACGAAAAAATACCCATCCGTTGGACTTCAAATATGTTGACTGGCTTCTCTAAATATGGACAGTACTTTCTTTTGAGTCCTCAATATAGATGCATCTCAATGCTCGGTCACTTGAAACCAGCGCCAAACTCTCAGGTCAACGAGAAAAGAGTTGGTAGAGGTCCGGGATCAGGCTATGGAAAAACATCCGGACGAGGTCAGAAAGGTCAGAAAGCCAGGGGATCGGTCCCCCACTGGTTTGAAGGTGGACAAACTCCAGTCTATAAACTTTATCCCAAGAGAGGCTTTATTAGACACCAAAAGCTTGACTTGCACGAAGTTCCGTTGATTAGAATACAACAATTTTACGATTCAGGACGTTTGAAGTTGGCTCCTGGTGAGACACTTACAATGAAAAAGATGAAGGAAATCGGACTGATCACTGGATCCTTGAAAGACGGAGTTGCCATCTTAGGTACTGGAGCTCCAGTCTACAAGCTCAATATAAACATAGAGTCGACCAAAGCTACGCAAACAGCGATCGAGACTATTGAAAATAATGGTGGGAAATATACCGCGAGGTATTTTTCGAGATCTTTGGGTTACCAAGTTCACATGGCTCCTGAGCGTTTCATGCGCTCGAAAGGCTACGTCCCCATGCAGGCGAAACCAATTGCTAGACGTGATATTCTCTATTACACTAGTCCAGAAAAGCGTGGATACCTAGCTGGCTCTGATTTTGCTCGAATCGTGAAGGACGGAGCTACAAGGGCTTCGGTTGCAAGAAAAGAAATCAAATCGCCATTGGTCAAACACTTGGAAGAGCTCTCAAAGTCCGAGCGGAAAGACTATGGCATCAATGCATTCACCAACAACACCATTGTGAACTTCTCTGACTTAAAATTATAGTGCACCACCCCTTTATTTGTATATATTGTACATGACGTCCGTTCTAAAAACCCATTTTTCTCCATCTCGTATTGTAGCAGCTTCATGGAGCAAACAGTCATCTCCATGCTTATGGAACAAAGCCATACCCTGTTGGGGTTTTATGCTTATTTGTCTTTTGCTTCTATCTCCTTGCTCATTATAGAAAATTGTTTCGCCTCCTTGCAAACCCTTGTCGCTCAAATAGATTAAAACTGTCCATTTTGATATTTGATTTCCAACCTTAACAGACTCATCATAGTGCTTGCCAAAATATTGGCCTTTGGAGTACCTGTAAAACCTCAGGTCCGGATTGAAGGCAGTGGAAAATCTCAATTCTTGCAATATCCATTCGTCCACGGCACCCTGCTCGCTCTGAAATTTCAGTATTGTTTGAAAATGATTATATATCAACCCCGCATTTATGGGATCTCTGATGCAAGCACGGTCATTGACTCGAGACGCATAAAGTTTGGATTTGATGAGTGGTGTGGTTTCGAGATCAAGACCCTTTTGTATGCTGCAGATCAGATCTTGACATTGCTCTTGGCTCCAGAAATTAGATATTGTGAAAATTTGCGCTGGGATAACGCTCTCGAAGCGAGGCTTGTAGAGGTTCACCTTTCCTAATTGAGGTGACTGGATTGATGGAGGGAAACTGAAAGTAGCTTTGCCCTGCCGTTCAGATGCTGAAGTCTTTTTCTTTCTAACCATCTACTATTTACAGAAAACTATACACAGCCTTAACCAGTAAAAAATTTGAGGCTTCGTCTACCAACCTCTGGCGTGGTAATTCAAATTATCCTCCCAATCATCGTCTCTATCTTGATTGTATGCAAGATGGTCGTCATCAATAAACGGCGCATTTTGGGTATCTGTGGTCAGCAACTTTAGTTTGTTTCCCATTATGCCATTTGCAATGATGTTGTTCGACGGCTCACTCTCAGAACTGCTATCTTCATCTGCTGTGACAATTCCATTCATCAATGTAGCAGTAGAGGACTGGTTGGTGTGTATATAGTTGTGCAAGCGTGCATGATTAGAGAGTTCGCTCAAATTCGTGGATGATGCATGAATTAGTTTGTTTTCATTATTGATGGATTCCACAAGATTGGATGGAAGCTCTTTGGTCAACATTTCTCTTGTAGTGACGGCAGGCGAAACTCTTGTAAGATACGAGCTGCCCCGATTTTCTAAACCTGGTCTGCTAGGGTGATGGACGGGGGAGTCCCGGTGAGAATGTGTTCTAGAACGCGTTAGAGATCCCGGGATCTCAATTGACTTAACACTGGACGAGACACTAACAGCCTCTTCAAAATTCTTATCGTTATCTTCCCCAACTGACCTTCCCCTTGATGCCTGTCTAATTATATCATCAGGATGAGATTTGGCTGTTGGTTTGGGCACCAAAGGTGAATGCGTCGAAGGTTTTGTGTCCCTAACTTTAGACTGGCGATGTAAATTCATTGTTGGAAGAAACATATGCGTGGATAGCGCAGTAGGAAGAAGTGTTGCAGCAGTTGGAGGCGCGTTCGACTCGTGATGGCGATCGTAATGTCCGTTATGTACTTCGCTTGCGGTTGCATGGGGTCTCCTATTATTTGCCAAAAACGACGCCAGTGATATTGCAGACTTGGAAAAAAGATGAGGGTTGTTGCTCGAGTTGTTCCGTGTCATTGTTGGCCGCTGGTGATCTGCTGTAGGCACCGGCGAGCTTGCCATTTTTCGCTGAGCCAAGGACTTTGTCTTTTCAGTTGGAGACGTAACCACGTCAGCTAAGGCGTTGACTTTGAAGGCAGAGGTTGAAGCTCTTGATGTTTCTGGGCGGTCAACTGGGCCAAAAGAAGGTGAGACCACTAAACCTGGGCTTTTAGACTTAGGCCTGCAGTTTTCACGCGACTTCTCTGAGACTTCATTACCCATCTTGTCCAGAAATAGACCGCTCAAGAGAGATCTCTTCATTTGTGGCCTTTCAGCTGGCTTTTGAATGTTCGTCTTGCTGAAATTCAATTGTTCTTCTTCTCCTTCATCGTCGTCATCCAAGTCGGAATCACCAGACATCGAAGACCAGTCTGATCCATCTGAAATCTCATCATCTGATGAAAACATGATATGTTGCTTAGTGACAGCCTGTTTTCCAGCTTTATTGTCAAATAGAGACACCTGTGACCTTTGGGTTTCTGACTGTGGTGAGTGCACGGCAGTATTCGTCTTACTGGTGCCATAAAGAGCATGCTGCTGATTTAAGCGCTCCAAGCTTCTATCACACTCTATATGCCGCGGTGCTGGTTTCTGTGGAGATTCAATTGGTGGTTTTTCGTCATTTACAGGTTGACTGAATAAGCTCTTAACTTTTGGAGAAGGGGGCGATTTTGAGGAACCTCCCTCAGCTTCGGGCGAAGGTGTATTCTCTATGAAGAACATATGCCCACGCGACTGCTTGGCTTTGTCGGGCGTTTTATGTATGAGACTTTGCTGATGGTGTAGGTTCTTCTGTGTTAGCTTTTTCGACTCGTCCGAATGTCGCTCATCTTCAGAGATCTGCTCGCTGTCGGAGACATTAGTGGTGATTTCTTTGGTACTCTGCTCAGTCTCGACTGAGGCTGGGCTCTTTGTCCTAGATGTTTCCGAGGAAAAAGCTTGTTTCGAGTGCTTTCTAGCTTTGGTGATAGGGTGCTCTACCTTCCCTGAGGAGATCTGTATCAATGCAGAGAAATCATTTTTGTTGAAATCATTCTTGAGCAAAATGTTACGATTCACAACGCGCCAGCTGATGTTTTCTAGTCGTTTGCCATTTTTGATCACGTCGCTCGATTTTATGAGGGTTGTCCACAGGGTCAACACGTTGCCAAAATCTAGTTGCGCTTGGCTCTGGCTATGCTGTAATGCCTGGACAGTAAGCTGTGATAGCTCCAGGAACGGAGGCGATCTCTTTCGATCTAGTGATTCCATGGTGCCATTAAGAAAGAAAATTCTTTTTGTTACACTGGTCTAGTACGCAAAAATATTTACCGGATGAATTCGTGATGCTCAGCCAAACGTTTTCCCCGGGAAGCGTGACCAAAATTTAGGGCTGTAGATATTGGTCTGGGCAGAGTTTGTTCACAGCAACTTTCAGAATGCATGCGCTTTTGCAATTCTTACCGCCAAGTCAGGATCACCGTTTGTCCATTAACAGACTTTACCGGTCGTTATGGTCATCCAACCAATATTTCTGGGCTGTGCAGGGTGAATGACCCACAGATGAAAAGTACAAAAATTAGGTCCGATTTTATACAATAAATATTTTTCCTATCTTCCCTATCTAGCCTCTGTATAGTTCTTCGATTAGTTTGTTTTCAAGTAGCGTCAGCTTAACAATCCCTTGGACGTGGTGCGGTAAGACCCTCCCATACCATATGACATCGCCGTTCCGCTTGAAGATCAGTACATTTCCTGCGTAAACATGTCCTCCGATATGTGAGATTATTCCCAATTTAGTACTCTCAACGCCATGCAGTTTTAGAACTTCCTCAAATTCTTTTAGGATTAATGGGGCCAATTCCCCGCATCGGACATCTCTTTTTAAGTGACCACAGATCAGCACCAGATCCTGATCTAACTTTTGAGCAGGAAACTGGGCCCTGAAATCTTCCTGCATTTTTGCCACGAGTCGTGAGTCTTCTTCGTCAAGATTATCGGGTATTGTGCTGAGATATCCGATTAAAAACTCTTCCACTTTGTCTGGAGCCACTTCCACCCTGAGACCATCCGGGTATATGCCAATCACTGTATTACCTTCTGTAGTTGGTTGCTCCTGCAACGTCGTCATGCTGGTGAGCACCGGATGGAATGGATCCAGCACCTTACGTTTGTGAGCTTGGATCTCCGATATGATTGTCCCTGGCGAAGTCTCAAACCGACTGGGCCAGTTTTTGTAGTCGGGATCACCAGAGAGCACAATCAAGTGTTTCCAGGGATTCGATTTCGTATGAGCTATGGGCTTCGTATGATCCAGCTGCTTGTTCTTTGGAAAGGTGGGTATTTGACAATATGTGCATCCTGTATCGATTTCGGGCTCTGGGCATGCGGGAACTCGTTTGAGAGGCACCTTGAACGAGTAGAATCGTCTTGGTACACGAGTCTGCCTCCACATCTTGACGATTCGCCCTATTTATCAGTAATCGTCTTCGAGGTCGGCTTTTTATTTTTCAAAAATCTAAAGCCGAGTTACGTAATCCAAGAGCGTCGGAGATCACTAAATGGCCTTGGCCACAGCGTCTTTCGAAACATCGTGGTAGATATCAAATCTACGCTGCAGTGTGATTGGGATATTTCTTCTGGCCTCGTTCAGGACCTCCGGCTTCAGTTCGCAGTAAACGATCTCTTCGCCATGGCTCGCCTCCACCAAAACGTCCCCGTTTGGATCAACCACCATGGAATGGCCATAGGCCTGGTACCCACCACCTTCAACGTTTCTTGCGGGAGAGCACATCAGAACATACACTTGATTATCAATTGCTCTGGCTACAGCAAACTTGGTCCAGAATCGAGGACCAGTGACTGTATTGAAAGCTCCTGGGTAGCACATGATTCCAGCGCCTTGTCTAGCTGCAATCATTGCCAGTTCTGGAAACCTGATATCGTAGCATATTCCGAGCCCAATCTTACACAAATTGTCCAGTTGAAAAACAGTGGCTTTATCACCTGGTGCTAAGGAGATGGACTCTTTGAAAGTCATTTTTCCAGGAATGTCAATGTCAAACAAGTGAGCTTTTCTGTGCTTTGCAACAATCTCTCCCTTATTGTCAAAGGTGAGAGAGGTGTTGTAGATTTTGTTATCTGAGCCAATTTCTGGGAACGATCCTCCTATAATATTGACACTATACTCTTTGGCAAGATCTGCTAGAAACCGAGTTGTCTCTCCTGATGGGATTGGCTCGGAATAGTGTTTAAATTGATCGACGGCATAAGGAGAGTTAAAGCATTCTGGCAAAACGAGTAAATCAAGACTTGGCTCTTTTGCAAGAGCCTTTGCCGCAAAGTCCTTGACTTTTTGCAAATTGGCCTGTTTGTCGGGGCCGGTATAGAATTGAAGTAGTGCAACCTTAATATTCCTGTTAATGATAGACATGCTGTTTTTGATTAACATCAACTGGCAAACACTACCTTTATCTAAATGAGTTTCAATATCGAGTCGGGTATTGAAGCGTTTTGGAAAATTGCCTAATTCGAACGAGTCACGTGCAGAGATGTGACTTTCTGGGCCACCTTACGTTCGCCATACTGGCGCGAATCTACATTCCTACAATGACAGTTTGTGGTAAAACCACTCTATTCCCCTAAAGGTCTAGATAAAGGTTGGAATTTCGTTCCAAGTCCATGGATCATTGAATCTCAGATCCTGATTCAAAGAGCTGATTTGCTTGATCTCTTCCTCGGAAAGATTGAAGTCATTGACCGTTAGGTTTTGGACCAATCTCTCCTTGTGGTTAGACTTTGGAATGACCAAAATGCCTCTTTGGGTAGCCCACCTCAGAAGAACCTGAGCTGGGCTGACATTGTGAGCAGAAGCAATGTTGTTGATGAGATCGTGCTTGAGCAATGAAACAGTGTCCTTGGCTTTAGCGTGGTTAAGCTCCACGAAGGACTGTGGTCCAAAAGAGGAGTATGCAACAACAGCAATGTCCTGAGCTTGGACGTACTTGATCAATTTCTCCTGAGTCAGGTAAGGGTGGTGCTCAATTTGCAGCAATTGAGGCTTGATCTTGCAGCCTCTTAGCAGGTCCTGGACCAGGGCACCCGAGAAATTAGAGATACCAATTGACTTAACAAGTCCCTCCTCAACAAGTTCTTCCATTGCCCTCCAGGTCACGGCCAATGGAACATCCTCAAATTCCCAACCATTAGGACCACAGTAGAATCCTGGTGGATATTTTTCCTCAAATGGGACAAACTTTTGAGCAATTGGGAAGTGGATGTAGTAAATATCCAAGTAGTCTAACTTTAGGTCGTCAAGAACTCTTCTAATTGCCTTTTTGACATTTTCCGGCTTGTGGTAACTGTTCCATAATTTGGAAACAATAACCAGCTCTTCTCTTTTGACCAAGCCATCTTCAATTGCCTTGGCAATTCCCTCTCCAATCTGCTTCTCATTGCCATAGTCCATTGCACCATCAAACAGACGGTAGCCAACTTTAATTGCCTCATAAATCTGCTCAGCACAGATTGACTTTTCGACTTTCCAGCAGCCGAATCCAACTAGTGGGATTTCAATACCATTGTTCAACTTAACTGTCTTGGAAACCATTTTTTCAAAGTGAAAACTGAAAATGTGAAAAACTAAATTTCAGTAAAGGTGTTTTTTCCAAGAAATTCCCCACATATATATGTTTGCTGTTTCAACTGAGTATATTACGTTCCCCACCACCGCCCTTATTCGCTGCGATATCGGGTAAAATTGGTGTGGGGTGTGCGGCCGCTAAAAAAATTACAAGATTTTTCCTGATCTGCGTGTGCATATTCTCATGCCCTTGATCGATGAGATACAGGGCATTCTTCCCGAGGATTTGCCCGACGATCTATCAAGCTACTTACTTTTTGACAAAGTACGCTCTCGATGGCTGATTGACAATCCAGAGGAGAAAGAGTGTTTTGAGTTTAATCCCATTTTGGAGCGTTGGGTACCTGTCATGCAAAATTATCAGCCCGAGAAGAGGCCTCATGAACAAGTAAGCACTTCTGAAGATTTGAAACGCGAAAAACGCCAGCGTCTCGAAGAATTGAAGCAAGAAAAAGAAGAATTGAGGCAGTATCGGAAAAGGAGAAACTCTTGCATCTACGTTAGTCAGGTCCCCAAAGACATCTCCTACGAGGAGCTGGAGGCAACTTTTGGTAAATATGGAGTCGTTGCACAGGATTTGCGCACAGGATCCTCCAAAATCAAAATGTATAAAGACGAGGAAGACCACTTCAAAGGCGACTGTCTAATAGAATATTTAAAGGAGGAGAGCTGTGATCTCGCGATTGAGCTGCTGGATGATACAAAGCTTCGACCTACAGATGAATTTCCCATTCGAGTCTCGAAAGCTGAGTTCAGTTATACCACAGAGCAGAAGCCTCGAGTAAAAATGAAACCTAAGGAACGTTTACAACTGAAGAAGAAAATTGAACGGATACACAAAAAGGTGAACGATTGGTCTGATACGGAAGAAGATGATGAAACGAGGCGGTTGAGAGAAGAAAAAACGCTGATTTTCAAGCACTGTTTCACGCTCAAAGAACTTGAAGACGATCCGGCAGCAATATTAGATATCAAAGAGGATATACGAGAAGGATGCGAGGAGATTGGCGAAATTACAAATGTTGTCCTGTACGACCTCGAAGAGGAGGGTATTGTCAGTGTTCGATTCAAATCTGCCACAGCTGCAAATGATTGCATAGCCAAGATCAACGGAAGATACTTTGGAGGCCACAGATTACATGTGGAGAAATATGATGGAGTAACACAGTACAAGAAAAGCGCAGGAGACGCTGCCGAGGGAGATAGATTGGATAGGTTTGCACAATGGGTGGAAGGTCAATAGATCGTCAGTATTTCGATGACGTAATCACACTCTTAAAAAAATTTTCAGCAAAAGGTCGAAAAACACACAAATCACTATACTATGCCACCAAAGAAGCAAGTTGAAGAAAAGAAGCCCTTGTTGGGAAGACCTGGAAACAACCTGAAATCTGGAATTGTTGGTTTGGCCAACGTTGGCAAGTCCACGTTTTTCCAGGCCATCACCAGATGTCCGCTTGGAAACCCTGCAAACTACCCATTTGCAACGATCGAGCCCGAGGAAGCTCGTGTGATCGTTCCCTCAGAACGTCTCGACAAGCTCTATGAGCTATACAAGCCTCCAAAGAAAGTTCCCGCTTACATTACTATCTATGATATTGCTGGTTTGACTAAGGGAGCTGCCGCTGGTGAAGGATTGGGTAATGCTTTCTTGTCCAACATTCGTGCTGTCGATGCTATCTATCAAGTTGTCAGATGTTTCGATGATGCAGACATCATCCACATCGAGGGAGATGTTGATCCAACAAGAGACTTGGACATCATTTCCAACGAGTTGAGACTGAAGGACATCGAGTTTGCCAAGTCTCATCTAGAAGGTATTCACAAGATCACCAAGAGAGGAGGTCAATCTTTAGAAGTCAAGCAAAAGAAAGAAGAAGCCGCATTGGTTGAAAGAATCATTGAGCTTTTGGAGAGTGGCCAAAGAGTCTACAACCAGAATTGGACTGCCAAGGAAATTGAAGTCATCAACACCATGTTCCTTTTGACTGCCAAACCAACCATCTATTTGATCAACTTATCTGAGAGGGATTACGTCAGGAAAAAGAATAAGCATCTGCTGAAGATAAAGGAATGGGTTGACAAGTACTCTCCAGGTGATGTCATCATTCCTCTTTCTGTTTCCTACGAGGAGAGACTGTCTCAAATGGAGACAGATGAGGAAAGAGCTGAGGAGGAAAAGAGGGTCGGAGCTCCATCTGTTCTACCAAAAATCATCACAACTATGAGAAAGAAGCTGGACCTTATCTCCTTCTTCACTGCTGGTGAAAAGGATGAAGTGAGAGAATGGACTATCAGAGATGGAACCAAGGCTCCACAAGCCGCAGGAGTTATTCATACAGATTTGATGAAAACTTTCATCCTGGCAAATGTTATGAAGTATGACGATTTGATCGAGTTGGGAGACGAGAATGCAGTCAAAGCTGCTGGTAAGTTGCTTCAAAAGGGCAAGGATTACACGGTGGAGGATGGTGATATCATCTACTTCAGAGCCGGTGCAGGCAAGAATTAGGTTTATGTAATGGTGTACGGATGTCATATTGGTCCTACCTCGTCAAGTTGTATTTGAAAAAATTAACCGACTTTAATACACCATTCATGATGCTACGACCACTCTTTAGGCCCGCTAAGAGAGACCTCCGTTTTATCACGAGAGGTTTTTCGCTCTCTAGAATGACTTTAAATGAGCTGAAGTCAAATGATCCAAAGCCCGAAGAAGAAGCACCCAAAATGAAAAGAAAGCCTTTGTCAAGACTTCCTGTTGGAGGCCCAGACTACTCTAAACAAACACTTAAAAAGAACCCGATTGAATTCTTGACCTGGAAGGCTGTTGTTGTGTTTGTTATATTTGGTTCTGCCCTCACTTATGTGTTCACCAATGAGAAAGAAAAGCTCAAATTGAGAAGGGAAGCTGAGCAAAACCGGGGTATGGGTAAACCCTTAATTGGTGGGCCATTCAATCTGATTGATACTGATGGAAAGCCATTTACACAGGAGAACCTGAAGGGCAAGTTTTCCATCATCTATTTTGGATTCACACATTGTCCTGATATCTGTCCTGACGAGCTGGACAAATTGGGTTTGATTTTGGACGGACTCAAATCAAAGCACAACATTGAACTCCAGCCAATCTTTATCACATGTGATCCAGCAAGAGATTCACCGGAGGTTATCAAGGAATATTTGAAGGATTTCCACCCTTCGATTATTGGATTGACTGGAGACTACGATGAGATCAAGAAGTGTTGTAAGAACTACAGAGTTTACTTTTCGACCCCCCGCACTATCAAACCAGGTCAAGACTACTTAGTTGATCACTCTATTTTCTTTTACTTCATGGATCCTGAAGGTGAGTTCATTGATGTTTTGGGTCGCCAGTACGATGCTGAAGAGGCAATCGACAAAATCAAGTCGAATATATCCGTCTACCAGCCTCGAGCAGAAAGAGAAAAGGCCAAGGCTGGGTGGTTGGGATTCTTGTACAAATGATGTTTCAGTGTTTTGAAGACCGCAAGCTATCATCTTTCACATGTACATAGATCAGATAAAACTTATGAGTACGAATATAGGCTAACACTTCGGGATATTTCCAAAACTTTGTGCTTTCTAACGACTACCTACATGCCCATATTGTCTTCTATCTTTCCTGCGTAAATTAAATCCTACGCTTATTTGGGAGTACAAGGATAGAAAATTTTCAACGTCAAGGACGGAAAACACAACTGAGGATTTGTGAATCGCCGCAGAGCCCCACGCTTATTATTTTTTTAGCGTCGACACAGCTCTATCTGTATTTATAGGCACGAATATGTGCAGTTTGTAATATTTGGCAACTTTTATAAATACTATTTGTTCCGCTATAAAGTAGCATCTCAGCCACACTAAAAGGTTGGTTTACGATTAGTTTTGAATGTGTTTCAAACGTGGATCCGAACAGTGTAACTGATCGGGCTTCTGTTATTTTATATGTTATTGAAAACATCGTTAGGGTAGCTATTTATCTCGCGTTTTGTTTGGTGATTCCACGACCGGTGTTTTTAAGTTTTCCTTCGACATGTCTCAACTTTTTCTTCAAGCAGAGGCAAATAGGATGAATTGTTTGTTTGTCAAAACTAATTAAGCTGAATAATCCTTTTTCCAAGCAAACGCGTTCAAAATTAAGGATCTCTTTATAAAACTGATAAAGTCAGGTTGAAAAGGGGGTGATTCAGAAATCCATCAGTGACTCCCGTAGCAATAGACAGACGTCCAACCATTCAACACTGAATACCGCTTTTGCTTGAATTCCCCGAAACCAAAATGGTAAGTATTTAAAGATGGGTTCTCCCAGACGGTATGGCTGAGAGACGTCAGTCATATGCGAATTAGTTCGAGACTGGAATTCTAACATGTTTAGGTGCTTTTCAAACGAAAGAAAGTAGAGTTCAGTCCGCCTCCGACTCTCCCACAGGACTTCGATTTATCAACTGAGGTTTGGTATATTCCTGAAACTGGAGAGTGGTTTTTAGATTACGATCAATACTTGAGTCGTATGGACTACTACAATATAAAGAAGTTTGTATGTGAAACGTCCGGAAACTCCAATTTCACATTTTTCGAGGCCCTCAAAGTTGAACAAAGTGAGATGAGCATGATGGAGGCAAGGTTTCCGGATCCAGTTAAGGAGCCAATTTTGCGTTACGTCTCATTTTCTACAACGCCGAGAATTGATGCATTGGTTGATGAGGTTTATGCAAAATTCAAGGACGATTTCTTTCCGGGAGACCAGGTAGTGGTCAAAACCGATACTGGCGACAAAGTACACGGAACTGTTCGCGAGAAAGCAAGATTTAATGCGATCACCTTGCCTGATGGAACCGTGAAAGAAGGCTACTGTTCATATCGAGTTCTTCTTCAAAATAACGAGGAAACTACCGTGAACTCCATTTCACAGATCGCAAGAGAAAGGAACTCCTTCACTAAATGGTACGTCAAAGCATTTTTGAAGATGAGTCTCACTAGATCCACGAAACTTGGTTCTCCCTGGGTCTTGAAAGACTCAGTCGCAAAGAAATACAGGATTTCATTGGAGTACCCTGATCATCTCAAACAATATGAACATCCAAAAGACTCGCTAAGAAAAGCCACGCTCACCAATAAACTCAAAGCCAATGAGCATATATTTGATAACCTCAAAGAAACTCCGCCCACCGCCCATGAACAAGAGAATGGGTTCACGTTGCAGCTATGGAAACAAAAATGGTACGACGCTCTCAAACACTGCACAGTTTATTTTCAGGACACTCCAGACAGTGATGCCGACCCAGAGATCAAACAGAAGATTCTCACCCTTTTCCAATACTCAAGCGTCAAAGTTCTGCCAAAATTCGACCCAAAGACGGTCAACTTTTTGGTCACTTCTATCCCCTACTCTCCTAAAGCCACCTACACGCCTGACAATATATTTTATCATGTTCTCGATAACAAAATCAAAGTCTGGCATTACGAAAAGTGCTTCCGGTTTTTTAAGAGCTTGAACATTACGTATAGAAAGATTATGGCAGCTCAGACCCAAATGGATGAGAACTCGGCATCTCCTGACGTGGCGTCTCCTAATCCTAATAATGGGTACGTTGATATATTGCCTGCGCCTGGGTCGAGAGCACAAGCTACAACTCCTTTGGATTCAAGAAGCTCCACTCCTATCAATGTGTTTAATGGTAGCAAGTTCAGACCACCAGGCCTTATTGATGATTTGAAGCTACCGTTCCGTGGAGTTTCAAAGTCACGTCCTAAACTCATTAAACTTCCAGGGGTGCAAGATAGTTCCGACATTCTGGAGTCTTGGATATTTCTAAATATGTATGCGAGAGCACTGATCATCGACAATTTCACATTTGATGATTATTTCGCTGCATTGAGATGGGAAGATGAAGAGACTGTCTGTCCTTTACTTATGGAGATTTACTGTGGTATGTTCAAGGCTTTTATGGATGGTAGACGTCGTGTTTTAGTTACGCTACCAAAAGAGAACGCTCTTGACAATGGCGATGATGACGACAAACTGAATGATGACGATCAGCCTGACGATGATAGCTCCGAGATCAAAACGGAGTCACCTAAAGCTCTCGCGCAAGAAGAAGGTGAGAAAGCCGAACTTTCTCATGAAGAAGACGAAGCCGAGGAGGAAATCATCAATCACAATGCATATTCTTTCCTCAGATACAAAAACCGTCCATGGGAAGATAGATTGGCAACTCGCCAATTCAAAGAGGGAAATTGGCTCATGGTGCTGATTGGAATTATGGCGATGGTCGAGTTCCTGCCAGAGTACAAAGATGACATCAATCGTATATTCGAAATACTTGCCCCAGCCGAAGAAGCATCAACCCCTGAAACATTGCAACACAACTACTTTAAAAAGCTTTCGGCCGAAGATCGTGCGAAGACCATTGCTATAGTGATGTCGCTGCTTTTAAATGGTACTGTAATCAGATCTCATATCGAAAAATGTCTGGAAGATGCAACTGCACTTAGGCGTGACCGACTTGAGCTCATTAAAGAGTTCAAAGTGATTATGGATCAGGCTATTGTTATTCAAAAGAACATCATCGAGACTCTCAAGCCCATCACCACTGCTCAAATTAAAAACTGGAACCATGACCCTGAAAAAACACAAGAGCTCATCGAACAAAAGAAAAAGGTTAGTAGGCTGGGATTCAGCTACCTTCCGCCTGAACCGACCACTTTGGAGAAGGCCGTTTGCGCAAGCAATCCGGAGTTCATGAAACTCATTAAACAAAGGGTGGAGAAGGTGAAAGAAATTGATGAGATGAAACAGAAGCGTAGAAACCTTGAGAAAAGCTTAAATGAAATCGATTGTCAAAGAATTTGCTACATTGGACGGGACAGATTTTACAACAGATATTGGTGGTTTGAAAAAAATGGTCTCCCCAACTTGAGTTCAGCCGCTCACCATGACGACGAAGAAGATGATGGAGCCGACATGAGCGACGCTGGATCTGAGTATGAAGAGGAATCCTATTTAATGGGTCGTTTGTGGATCCAAGGTCCTGGTGATGAAGACCGTAATGTTTTCCTAAAGTTCGATGACGATCAGTTGAAGAGTTGGAACGAGATAGTGCAGGTACCTTTGAAAGATTCTAGAGATAACAAGGACGATGGGATCAATCCGACAGATAAGCTGAATGATTTAACAAATGTGGCTGATGTTGAAGTTAGAGAAGGTGAACAAGAGATGGAATCAGTGAGAAAAGCTCATTTTGTTCAGGCTGCGCAAGCTCTCTTTGGTCTCAAGTTTGAAAAAGGAGAAGTGAGAGATGAAAAAGGATTTGTGGTTGTGGACAAATATGGCTCTACCATAGAGAGACAATTTAGTCCTATTGAGCGAAAAGTTTTAGAAGAAGGCAGCGATATCCTGATATCCTCATCTGACTGGGGATACCTTGAGCGTCCAGAGCAAATTGAGGAGCTCTTGAGATGGCTGAATATCGAGGGGGAGCGCGAAAAGCATCTCCGCAAAAAGATCGTGGATCTTCAAGATCAAATTACGAACAGTTTGAGCTCTAGGGTTAAAACTGTAGGAATTGGCTGTAAGTCGGAGGACGAGGTTAAATTTGAGAAAATCATTGCTGAAACAGAAATAAGTGATGATGATGAAGGCGGTGCCGAAGAACAGGGCTCTCAGGGCGAGACAGATGGCGACAAAGCATCCACGCGTTCCGAGGCCAAGAAACGGAGGCGTGAAGATGATGAAGTTCGCATGCCCAAACGAACCAGAAGAGGCGGACAGCGCGATTTGGAGAAACAAATGATGAAAGAGCGTCAAGCGAGATTGGACAGACTGGAACATGCAAGAGAAATGCTGCAATCTTTGAGGACAGACAGAGACAGGCAAAATTTACTATCATGGGTGAATTCTCGCGCAGTTGAAGCTTACGGCTATTCCCATTATGATGGTCCCAAAATTGCTGCAAAGTCCATAGGAAGAGGCCGTAAGAAGACTAGAAGATAGGTGTGGTTGTACTCATAATAAAGATATCAAAAAAGTTGGAGTGTGCAGTCCAATAAAATTCATATTAGATGTAAAAATGAAAAATAAATTTTCCTATACGGATTGTTTTGAAATGATTCCGAGACAGGTTTATAGGACTGCTGTTAAACAACATAGAGCCCACAGTCTTGCTGGTAGAAGGCTACAGTCGAATAGGGCGTCTCCGAAAGAGCTGGCGTTGCAGTCCCATCTGCCTAAAATAGAAAATCCAGATACCCCAGATAGAGACATAAATCCTAAAAGAAAACTTCCAAAGCCAGCTTATGAGTCCGAAAACTTTAAGGTGCCTGAATGGAAGCGTGCTTTTGGAGAGCTGTTTATAAATGTGTTCCGTATTGATATGGATAATGTGAGGGCTGGAACAATGGGAGGATCGAAATACTATTATATGTGCAAAGATCAAGGATTACAGTTCAAGGATGAGCCGTTATCTGAAACAGCCGTGTTTTGGTACCAAACTCTTGGTTTACCTAGAACATTTGGTCAATGGTTCCAGATCACTGGCCTTCATGTGTGGTTACTTTTTGTTAGAATGAGGGCCATGCCATTCAAAGTCGGGAAAAACTATCAACAAAAGCTCGTGGACAAGTTCTTCAAAGATATTGAGCTCCGACTCAGCGAGGAAATGAATATTCTCTCAGGACAAATTAGAGAAAGTTACATGAAAGACTTCCATTCGCAACTTTTAGGAATAACATTCTCTTACGATGAAGCTCTTGCATCGAACTCAGACAGCGTATTAGCTGCTGCACTCTGGAGAAATGTGTTCAATGGTGACAAGAATATAGACAACGTCAAATTGGAGGCCCTTGTGAGGTATGTGAGGATGCAATTATACATTTTGAACAAAATCAGTGATAGAGCTTTCGGTTTTGGCGATTTTGAATTTGTCGCACCGAATGAGACCATCGAACCACTGACACCGCAAGAAGAAGAGAAATTGAGGGAGGCAACCCGTCAAAAGTATGAACCGCAGAACGGTAAAATCCTGCCGAGTAACCGCTCGAGCCTTTCGCTAGACGAATGATTTTTGTATATAAGAAATTTGAAGAAAAAATAATTATCTGTATAGTTCGTATGAGACTTACACCGTTGTTAATACAAGAAGCGCCCTGTTTTCGAAATCCTGCAGGCGACCACGTTCTAAGCTTGCGAGGCTTGCAAATAACATTCATCGAGAGCTTCAATGAATATGATGATGTCAACGAAGCTTTGGACTTGACAAACAATGAGATACGCACACTTAGTTTCAACACCCGCTTGAAGAGGCTCAGAACTCTCTTACTTGCTCGCAATCAAATTATCGATATAGACGCTAACATCGCTGCACTGCTGCCTCATCTCAACACATTGTCATTAGTGGATAATAACATTTCAGACTTGACAAATTTACTTCCTTTGAGGCACTGCCGCAACCTGGAAAACATATACCTCACCGGCAATCCAGTCACATCCTCAAAATACTACAGGGAGTTTATTGTCTGGTTAGTGCCCGGATTAACTGTGCTCGATTTCGAACGTGTGAAGCCGCAGTTGAAAAAGTCCGCTGAGGAATTACTTGGCACATTTGACCAGCCGACCACGCTAGCATTAAAGCTCCTAGACAATAAAGAATTGGAGCCTCTAAAAGAGCCTATTTCTACAACAACACAGCAATCAATTAGACTCACAGAAGAAGAACGGTCCAAACTGGAGGCCGATTTAATGAACGCTACTAGTCTTGATGAAATCGAGCGCATAGAACTAGCTTTGAAACCAGGCTACATAGAGTAGACAATAATTACATTATTGTTGCATTCGTACCTAAATATGTCAAGACAGCATATCTTTGATTGACATTCGAGAATCCTTCAATTTGTCATCGAGGCCAAGTAATCCAAACTTCGCACCATTCAGCGCAACCTTGTTTAGAGATAAAACGTCGGGCAGCACATCTATTACGCTTTCGTCATTTTTCTTTCTAACGAAGCATTGGTGACATACTTCACCCTGGCTGCCTTCCTCTTTGTACCAGCTCAGAGATCTTGTGTTATGGCAGTGCTGGCATTCATGAGGAACAGGTACAGGAAGCTCAACAAGCGGAGTGCCTCTTCCAATCAACTCAAGAGATTCTTTGTAAACTTGATGCCAGTATTCCCCTGTTGCCCCAGATTTATTTTGTTTAAGCTCTGTGCAATATAGTTTGATGAGTGGCTGCTCCTTCTTTCCTTTACTCTTTGCAGGAGCGCGTAAAGGAACAATACCTGTTACCAAATGATCGCAGCATACAATCCGGGGCACTGGCCGCAGAGATTTGTTGATATCCTTCACTTTAACATTGGATGTTCTATCAGGTATCAATTCAAATCCAACAACGCAGCCCTTAGTATCTAAGCAACATGTTACGTGCATTGGCTTTTGGCAGATTTTACAGCCATGAAGACTGCCACCACATCCACAGATGGTGCATCTTTTACCTGAGTTTTTCAAAAGAGAAAGCTCTGTACCAGACACTGGTTGCAAAGAGTTGGACCCAAATTCGCAAAAAGGATCGAATACCGCACAGATTATATGGCACCAATTACCATTGACCGTTCTCTTCAGGGCATCCGGGTATGAGCTAGGAAATCCTGATTTACCTCCCCTACTGTCCTTCTCCTTTGCTGGACACAGAACACATTTGTAATGAGTGGAGTACAGAGGGTGCAGGTCGTTTGAACAAGCATCGCAAAGCCACTTGTAAGTGCTCAATTCCGTCAGCGGTTCCATATTGGTATCTCCATAGCATGATGCATGGACATTCAAGCCACATGAAGTGCAAATCAGGATCTCTTCGGCCATTCCCTGCTCTCTGCATACGCAGCATGCACGATTAGTATTCGCAAATGGCGGTTTGTACTGTTTCTCTTCCGTTAACTGAACCTTCGGTAGGGTGATATCGAACTTGCTTTCGTAGCGAGATTCCAGCGGAAGAGGTTTTTGCTTTTTGATCTTCCTTTCGGGAAGCTCCTCGGAAAGTCTTTTATTCACACTCTGAGTTTCTTCACTTTTTCGCAATTCTGAGTATGGTAAAGTAATGGTTAAAGATTGTTTCTGAACTGATTCTGATTTTGGAGGTTTTTTGACCTTGATTGACTTCTTCTTTGATTTGTCCTCGAATAGATCTTCAGATGAATCTATATCTTCCTTAATTTTTGATTTGCTTCTTCGCGAGTTATCCGACTTCTTATCACAGTCGGCATATTTGTGAGGGCGGAGTTGATACTCATCTCTTGCCTTGATAATTTTGCGAGCATCCTCATACAGCTCAAACTCAATTTTGCGCTTCCAGCCATTTCCGCCCCGTTGACTTTGTTTGCGCATAATCTCATAAGGATCTTCCCACTCTACACCATATTCTCTCCATAGACGGGCACATCGTAAGCAAAGGCCTGGAAACACCTGATCGTATGATTCTGGAAGGGTAGTTCCTGAAAGTTTGTACCATTTCTTGGACACTCTTGTATGACAGTGCTTGCACACAAAGGTCACATTGTTTTTCTCAATTTTCTCTATACTATAAGAAGAATCATCCTCAGGATCGTTAACATCAACACCGTCTGCTTTTGCAAGTTTTGTCAAACGGTTTTTAGGTCTGCCTGCGTAGTTATCCCAAATCAAATGGCCGTTTTTAGTTTTTTTCCAAAGGTAGTAAAATCTAACAATCATAGCTGACGACTGGGTCTTGACGTCTTTGAAGACTGGGAATAGCTCACTTCCATTTATCTTGACAGACTCCTCGAACCTCTGGACTTCTTCAGGTGTAAAAGTTGGCTCCTTCAAAGATGCTCTGGTAAATCTCGATACTTCCTGTAATGCTTTTTCAGGATTATAGTCATTATGCATCAAAGTTTTTAGTGCAGCATCAATGAAATTGGGTGTCGTGGGAATCATACCTAGCCTCTCCACAAAAGGCTTTGCATCTGCCAGATATTTTTCAACCATACCATCATCGTTTTCAGGTTGTTTCCAAAGGAGCTCGCTCGTAGCATCCGTGCCTCGCTCCACATATCCTTTGGGCTTCGGTTGGAGCCATCTAGGCAAGTCATCAGGATCATAATCTCTATACTTCTCCGGCATTGGAAAACTACCGCAGCCTTCCTCAGTCTGCGATGGAGTCTTCTTTTTGGTATTCTTTTTGCGACTTCTGGCCTTTGAATAGCTGGAGTCGTCATAGTATACCACCGGGTGGGCATACCAATCAACAATCCCCGTAAACTGGTGTTTTGATCCCAGTCTCGATGCTGCCCGCGGATATGGTCGGTCTTGAAGATCTAGCGCGTCTTCTAATTTGGCATGCATACCCAGATATCTGTATGGCCACTCTTCTAGCTCTCTCCTTCTTTCAAAACTTAGATTCTTATCTGCTTCAAGAAATGCGATGGCAAGCTCCTCGTACCGTGCAAGCTTGCCGTTCGGTGGTTCTGTTTCATTAGTTTGTATGGATTCAGACCTGGATTCTGCTTCCATGGGCGTCTGGGAGCTAGAAACGTCCTCACTTGCATCAGAGTCTTCGTCCTTCATCGATGCTGCAATCTGTGAAGGAAGACCGCTGTGGAGCATGTGACCCCGTTTCTCTGACAACTCTTCCTCCAGTTCTTTATTGCAAGCAGCACAAAACCATGCGAAACCTCTTTTGGGTTTGTTCATGATGGGTGGGTCCACACAAAGCAAATGGTAAATTTTTTGGCACCTCAAGCATTGTACTGAATCAGAGGATGCGGCCCACTGCATACACTTTTCGCAATTTTTGGGGTCCGACAAAAGATCCTGGCCTCGTCCCACTTCGACAAAAATATATTCATAGCGTTTTGTGAGAGCTTTATAGTAATTTGGCGGCAAGTTCGTGAGCTTGATTGTTGGAAGTACGTCGTACATTTTCACCATGTATCTATCGTAAAGCTTTTCAAAGTAAAAACAGTGGGGGATCATTCGGTATGCATCCAAATCTTCGATTTCTGCTCGGTGTTTGACGGTAACGAAACCTCGAAAACTTGGAATTGGACATTCATCCATATGTAGAGATGCAAATAGCAATCTTGAATCAGGGGACTTTCTGTTGAGATCGCGTGGCCGATAAAACCAGCATACCTCGAAGTTATAATTTTTTGCGCTTTTGGTGGCATTGTCCTTTTCTTTCCGAGCAAAACCCTTTATTCTCGCAATGTAGTATGGCTCTCCAGGAGGCTCACAAATCATGTATATGAAATCTCCCTTCTTTATTCTGGTTCCATCCTTAAGTGTGAGAACGTTGTTTTCCACTTTTGCGCCCTTGAGATCAAGCAAAACGTTGAAATCTTGATTACACTTTGGCTGAAAGTTCGTCGGTACCACTTCGTCAACCGGGACATATTGGGATTTGTCCTGGCTCCTGTTCTTAGCTACTAGCTTTGTAGGAGTCTCGGGCCTCGAAGGCTCGGATTTGTTGGCGGCCTTCCTGATAGCATTAGCTTCTCTCTCTTGTTCTTGCACAAGGTCAAGTTCGCTTTTTTCCTTGTAGTTGACGTTAACGGTTGTTTTCCGTTTGGGACGAGCGGAGTCCATTATCAGTGTGAGTCGATTATCACGCCCAGCCTTTGAGATATAACGAAAGCAGGAGTAAGAAGATAGCAGAGGAGACCGTGGCGTTGAAAGGAAAAGATATTTTGCGTGCAAAAAATCACTGCAAGTCTGGCGCACGCCTAAAGGGAGATGCACGTTAGACATTAGTAGGCTCATCTACTGCTATATATGATTACATTCGTCCAAGCTATATGGACATTGTCTAATATGAAACGCGCGACAGCTTGTTAAGTCACTTTCACAGAGCTGCAGACCATGCAATATCAACACTGCGACAAATAAGCGGAAACCGCGTGCAAGGTGTGAGTTTGCAGGCTGTTGTTGTGGCCGGCAATAGTTCTCATGCAGACAAAATTATCCTTGTGCTCTTCAAATTCTTCCATGTAGGTAGGAGACTACGGCAAAAAGAGAAGCGTTTTCCGAGTTCATAATGTGAACCGATTGATGTGCGCCCGTTGAAAAGCAAGACTGTCACTGAGGCGACACTGAGCGGCCGAGTATATCTTCCTTGCCCCAATAGCGGCGTTGCATGAACAACGGATGCAAAGATACTGAACAGTTTGATTTAAAGTTTTTGGGTGTAAAGATGTGAATGCCCAAACTTTTACGAAAACAACTAATGGACCAAGACAGAGGCGTGCCCGATATCCCTGGGGATTTGGTATCTCCTGAGGTCTCAGACTACTTGAAGTCACGGGTATCACGAATTTTGAGAACAAGATTTAATTCCTTTCCTGGTTCTCAACCGGTGAGCTTTGCAAGAGAGCATTTGACAACTCTAAAAAACAAAGACTATCTTGTCTGTGAAAAATCCGATGGATTGCGATGTTTGCTTTTGGTAATGATCAACGAGGATACTGGAGAAGAGGGGACGTTTCTTATCAACAGAGAAAACCAATATTACATAGTTCCTGGGTTCCATTTCCCGAGGACCAGCAAAAACTTCGACAGCTCGCATAATGGTACAATCGTTGATGGTGAGCTGGTTTGGAGCAAGAATCCAACCACTGGAATCAAAGAAATTAGGTATCTAATTTTCGATTGCCTTGCTATGGACATGAACAGTGTCATGCACAAAAACTTATGGAAAAGACTGTATCACGCACAGCATGAGTTTCACAAGCCATACATGGATCTTCGGCGGGCGTTTCCAGACGCTTGTGCTCAATTTCCTTTCAAGCTCGATTTCAAGAATATGACACAACCCTACAAAATCCGCAAGATATTCCAGGAAATGAAAAACTTGACGTACGTTTCTGATGGTTTGATCTTGACTTCTTGTGACACTCCTTATATTCCAGGGACAGATACCAATTTACTCAAGTGGAAGCCTGCAGAAGAGAATACAATAGATTTGAAGCTAAAGTTGGAATTTCCGATATACGTTGACGAGTCCCTACCCAAGCACGATCCGAACCGGGAATATTATGACTACGATGCAAAACCTACCATCAAATTGTATGTCTGGAAGGGTAAAGACGAGACCGAAGACGAATCCATAGAAGAGAACATTCAAAGGAATGATGGAGAATATGTGAACAGCTTCAGCGGTTACGAAGAATGGGATAAGTTAACGATTACGGACGAGGAATGGGAAGATTTGAAGAAAACAGGGGAGCCCTTCAACGGACGAATTGCAGAAGTTAGAAGAAACGAGAAGGGTGAGTGGAAACTTCTTCGTTTCAGAGACGACAAGATCCATGGAAATTATATCAGTGTTGTCTCAAAGGTGCTAAAGTCCATAGACGATTCTGTGAGTAAGGAGGAGCTCATAGCTGCCGAGGACGAGATCAGGGCCAGATGGATGGAGAGAGAAAAACTGAAACAACAGTATGCTCAACACGCGCAACACACGCATTCGCAGCAGTCTCATCCCAAGCCTCAACCCGCCCCTCCTCAGAAACGCAAAATAGAAGCGCCTTCAAAATCTGAGGACGATGATGAATACTACGAATCAGATGGTTTTGAAGAGTTGCCAACATACACCAAAACAAACAGTCCAAAGTATGGAGACGTGGAGCTTTCAAATAAGCGAAGGCATGAGTAACTAAACCAGTTGTATATTAATGCATCTCTATGTACAATCTTTTTCATATGTAAGAAAAAACACAGTTCTTATAGAGCTCGCGTGGATTTCCATTTCCAGAGAGCAAGTACTCCATTTCGGATAGTCTGGGCAAAACCTCCTGAATATCGTCCTGTCTTGAGAATCCTCTCTTTTCAACTTCATGGGGAATCACCTTACATTCCAGCATGTGCTCCACAAGAGCACGAACCTGTTCTTTGCTCAATCTATTGATGTGCATATGTTCTGGCTTGCCGTTTCTAGCTAGCTGTTCAGTGAATTTGCGATCCCACTGATCAAACTTGGCGTAGTAATCTGGCTCCCGTAATCCAAGCGCAACAGGGATGGTGTCATTATCCTTGTGGTCAAACTTTGTCGCCGTGACAATTGCACCTTTCTCGAATGTCTTGTCACCGCTGATAAAATCCACAAAAGTCTTCAGCAGTTTGAATTTTTGGAAATAGATTGGATTGTTGTTCTTGTCTCTGTACTTAGTGTTCGCATAGTGACAAAGGGCACTGAAGTTGTCAATCGTCAAGAACACAGGGATGCTTTTCTGAGCAGCAAGTTCGTCCATCAAAAACTGAAAGATATTGGCACGGCTCACTGCAGGGTTATACAAAAGTTTTCCTAGAACTTCACGTAGAGTGTTATTCTCGGTGAAACCAATGGGTTTTTGCTTCTTGGTTGATTCAAAAACTGGAGAGTATGGTTTCGAAAGGTTTATTTTATTGAAAACATTCTTGTTCAATGCAAACCACTTCTTGAGCAAGTCTCTGGTAGCCATTGGCTGTTCATACAACCCTGTTGCACTGTTGTACTTAAAATCACTGGAACCGTCAACAAGAGCATCCATGTTCGAAATATGAAGAATTACACTGTCTTGTTCAAGTGCTAGAGCATGAAATTGTGTAAGCATCGTCGATTTACCAACCCCCAAATCTCCCGTTATGATCAGTCTGTTTTCTTTCGATGAAGAAGTCAAGCTCTTGGTGAAAAACTCATGAATTTGACTAGTCTCAACTCTTCGCGATAAAGTAATAGGCCTGGAGTACAGTTCGTTGAACTGGTTTGGTTTGAATGCACCAAGGATATGCAATTTCTGGTAACTTGTTCTCTTGAATTTAGCAACCTCATCAAGGTGCAAATTTTCAGCAGAAAACACTGGAAGTTTCTCGTGAACTTCCTGATCAGTGGCGCTCTTCCTGTAATTCTCAGAAACTAAAAGTTTGTTGAATCTTTTATCCTTGCCGGGACCTTTTCTGTTTTTGGACGGATCGTATTTAGTTTTTCTGCTGAAGGACTTGGATTTGTAGACTGCAAGCTGAAGCGTAGAGCTCGAAAATGTACGCCTTTGGGAAAGGTGGGTAAGCCCTGAAGGCCGAAACATTCTGTGTCCTTCAAAATCGCTTTTCTTTCGAAGTTTTTTTTCGCTTTCAAATTAAACTCGACGAGTTTTACGTAATAACTAATAAAGTCAAATTAAGTATTATTACATAAAAGCTAGGTCAGAGGCGAGAGGAATTAGATTAGCCACTGCCCAGTATCTCAACATAAATAACATTCATAGCGTGCTCGGGGTGTCATTTAGATGTTGAAGACCTTCTTGAACTTGGCAAGATACTTTTTCAAGCCGGTCTTGGTCTCCTCAGTCTTAGCAGTCTCCTGAGCTTTACCCTCAGCATCAGTAGCAGCACTGTCAGACTTGTCTTTGGAGTCACCTAATGCAGCAGCAGTCTTATCCTTCACGTCGTCAACGGCAGTCTCAGCCTTGTCTTTAGCATCGTTCAGAGCAGACTCGCCTTGTTTCTTAGCATCCTCAAGAGAGGATTCAACCTTGGACTCGAACTCCTTCGCGGAGTCAGTGACGGTTTTGCCGGTTTCGTCAGCTTTGGTTTCAGCGGTGTTGATAGCGTCAGTAGCTTTGGTCTTAATCTATAGAGTGTTAGTTTACTACCACATTGAGTAAAAGAACATACCTCTTCAGAGGACATTATAAAATTTGTTTACTATATTTACAAACGTTTGGTTTCATTGCCCTTTATATACACATACCAGCCACACAGTACTAAAATCAGGTAGCATTATTATTGGAAGGCTGTGGAATTGAAAGGAACAAACGAATACAGGTAATTCTATTGTGGCATGTTATTATACTTTCTGACATTGATAGGTAGATATGTGTTGCGCACTACCTTGTGTAACTTTTTTGGCAATGGATCGGCCATTAGGGGAACGTAAATCGCGTGGCTAGTTTTGTTACAATAACATCACCTACTGAAATTATGTACGTATGATTTATCTTTGAAGCAGTTTTTTCTAGCCAGCCGTATATAATTGTTTACGTCACGTGCTATACGCGTTCACACACCATCATCTTCTTAGACCGATAGAAAACCTGATGCAACCAAAAACCTTCATCCGTACACCAGATGCCTTTGGGTAGGAAAAAATTTTCGGTGTAACAGAACAGATTAAGGCGTCAGAAAAACTTGGCGCGGCCAGGATTAACGGCAAACTGCCTACTTTTCTCAGCTGGCGGTTTGCGGGAAAAGTGTAAAAATTGAGTACCGCCATTTTCATATTCTAGTGTTTTAGAATTATATTTAACAGCACCTTAGCATATTTTTAGTTCTCTGGAGTATTCATATCTGACTCAAGATGGATTTAAGGGTCGGCAGAAAGTACCGGATCGGCAGAAAGATCGGGTCAGGTTCTTTCGGTGATATCTATCTTGGTACAAACATTATTTCCGGTGAGGAGGTCGCTATCAAGCTAGAGAACGTTAGAGCCAAGCACCCGCAACTAGAATACGAGGCGAAAGTCTACAAGGCTCTTTGTGGAGGAGTTGGCATTCCTTTTGTTAGATGGTTCGGAACCGAATGCGATTACAACGCTATGGTTATCGATCTTCTCGGACCATCTTTAGAGGACCTTTTCAACTATTGTAACAGAAAATTCTCATACAAGACTGTCCTTTTGCTTGCGGATCAGCTGCTCTGCAGAATTGAATTCATACACGCCAGAAGCTTCATCCACAGAGACATTAAACCCGACAATTTCTTGATGGGCATTGGCAAAAAAGGCTCACAAGTCAACGTGATCGACTTTGGACTTGCAAAGAAGTTCAGAGATCCACGGACTCATCTTCACATTCCTTACAGAGAGAACAAAAATCTTACTGGAACAGCAAGATATGCATCTATCAACACCCATCTCGGTATCGAGCAATCTAGAAGGGACGATTTGGAATCTTTGGGATACGTCCTCATATATTTCTGTCGGGGTTCTTTGCCATGGCAAGGTTTGAAAGCAGCCACCAAGAGACAAAAGTACGACCGTATCCTGGAGAAAAAGATGGCAACCCCTGCTGAAGTTTTGGCCAGAGGCCTTCCTCTTGAATTCAGACATTACCTGAACTATGTGAGAGCATTAAGATTCGATGACAAGCCTGACTATATTTATTTGAGAAAGATATTCAGACAATTGTTCATCAGGGAAGGATACCTATATGATTCGATTTTCGACTGGACCGTTTTCAAATACAAGTTGCATCAGCAGCAGCAGCAACAGCAGCAACAGCAACAGCAACAAAAGGCTATTCAAAACGGCGACGAAGCTGAAGGAAAACAGGAGGAGAAACAGGAGGAGAAATTAGACCCCACGCCATTACAACAACCATCACAGCAGCAGCAGCATACTCTCTCATCGCAACAACAATATTATCAAGATCCAGCCTCCAGCCCTAATGCCGTGAAACCACTATTACAACAATCGCAAAGCCAAGCCCAACCAGTGCCTGATCCATCTCCATTACCTGCAGGCACTCAATACAAGAGCGTTCAACAAGGCTACAACAATAAAGCTGCTCCTCAATTCAATGCTCCGCAAAATCACGAACAATCGAACTTCAATCCAGCGTGGCTCTAGTTGTCAGTTCAGGTTAAGCTTATGTATATCAACTTCAATCTGGTACTCTTTTGTTGATAGTTTGGCTGATGTCTGTTTGTGCGTTCGTATAGTATATTTTAGCTTCTCTGGGCCAATATTCTCTTTGTCCATAATCAAATCAAATCTAATGTATGTAAACTCTAATCGTCGCGACTACAGTCGCATCTCGGACTTAATTTTGAAGTTGCCTTGGCGCAGAGTCTAGACTAGAAGTCTTTTACCCGGGTATGAAGAACCCCATAGATAAAGTATTTCGTTCCCTGAATTTTGTTAGAGGAATTAAAAGAAAGAGGGGCATGACAGATATCTTTTTCGGAACAACTACAACTCTCAACAGGTTTTCATTCCTTCGAGCCAACGATGATTTTATCTCCAGAACCATTGTCGATCCCCTTTCCCCTACACGTTTAGTATTTTACAAACAGGATGGCAAAAATGGGGTTCATCCTTATATGATTCAAAGAAGTGGCAAGTATGGCTTGCTTAACTTGCAGTTGAATACTCTTCCTTCACATCTGGTTCAGATTTTTCATGACTGGAGTGCCAAAAATTCAAAGAAAACGATCGATCTGAGAAACGATGTTACGTTGGTCTTCTTGGGTCTCGATGAAGACGGATTGGACGAAAAATACCTATTCAACGAGAACTCTTTGACCAGCTCATTCATATACCCAAATTCTTACAAGCTGAAAGATTATCCTCAATTCAAGTACGACAAATTCCAGGGGACTCCTTACTATGCAGTTGATGTCACACACTGTCAGCAACTCCAAAATTATCTGTCATCGTTTGAAGACGTGGATATTGTGAACAGCATGATGAGCATTTTAGCGGTGTCCAAAAATGAGTCGTCTTTGTTTGCATACTCTAAGATGTATATGGATTGGCTTATGAGAAATAGATTCTGCCCTGGCTGTGGACAGAAAGTAATTCCAGTGGACTCTGGAACAAGACTCTTATGTCAAACACCCAAAAATGAATGCCCTGTGAAAAGTTCTGCTGTGAGTAACGTTTGCTTCCCTCGTACAGATCCAGTCATTATCGTGGGTGCTGTCTCCTCTGACGGGAAGAAAATTCTTTTGGGGAACAACCAAAGACATCCTGCTGGTCCAAACGGGAAGAGAATGTTCTCTTGTATCGCTGGGTTTATGGAACCGGGTGAAACTATAGAAGAGTCCACACTTAGAGAAATTTGGGAAGAGACTGGATGTTCTGCGCGGGAGGTCAAGATAGTTGCAAGTCAACCTTGGCCGTTCCCTGCAAATCTTATGATTGGTTGTTTCGGAGTTGTTCATTTTGACGGAGTCAATGAACTGATTAACACAGAGCTGGATAATGAATTGGCCGATTGTAGGTGGTTTGATGCTGACGAGATCAAGACCCTTTTGAATGGCGGAGACCTTGAGGACGTTTCTCTTCCAATGGAAGGAAGTATCGCATACGAACTTATTAAGAGCCTTGCTCTTGGTAAATACTAGTGATTCCAATTTACAAAACGCACATAGACATATTTGGTCATACTCATTCATAACATTTATCGTTTTGCTGGAGCCTGTCCTTCTTGAGCTGCTTGGATAGCCTGCTGCTTGGCGATGTCCTCGGCAGTTGGCATTCCCTCAGTGAAGATCTTCTCCAGGGTTAACTTTTGATCGGCTAGCAGCTCTTTCGTTTTTTGTTGCTCTTCTTGCAACAGCTTCTCTCCATTCTCCTTCAGATAGTTGTACATATGAAGGTAATTTTTTTGCCCGTGTTCCCTTATTAGGTCCAAAGGCATCTTTCTAGGTCTCATTTGAGAGATACCCAGCAATGAGGAGGTAAGGGTGGAGCCATTGATTTGCTTCTGTTCTTTCTCCCATTGTTGTCTCAACTTCACCTCTCTCTCAGCAAATTCTTCGGGGATCTTCTTTTTATCTTTAAACGACGCCAAAACAGGTCTCACATCCTTGATTGGCTGGGTGGCCAGGTATTCAAGGAAAGGAATCAATCTAACAAGCTTGTCGTCCTTTTTGCCATCCCATTTATCAATAGGAATGGCGTTTTCAGGCTGCATAGAATAACACGATTCATCGGGATCAATAATGATCAGTTTTCCCAAGTCTCTGTTCATCAAACTCAAATCCTTGATGACTTTCCCATCTTTGGTCCTGCAAGCCTCGCGGAACAAAGAGTAGGAAATGAAAGCGTGATATGGGTCCAGCTTTGCAACAGCCGTTTCAGCGAATGCCATTGAAGATCTGGAGAAAATCACGATTTCATAGTATTGGGAAAGATAGCCCAAAAAGTAGTCAACCCCTGGTCTCTTGGCAGTCTTCCATCCTTTTTTGTGATCCCAGTCAGCATGAATAAGCAGATCATCAAGCTCTAACACCAACGTCAATGGATGTCTGTAGGGAGCAGGAGGAGGAGGCGGAAGCAGATCGGTGAATGCTGGTTCGGAGAACACGTTTGTGACTCCCCACAATCTCTTCTTAAATCTTGTCCACACGTTGACTGGATTTAGTCCATTCTCTTCGGGGTTGTACAGATCCTTCTCTTCTTCTGGGTCCCAGTCTCTGGAGTTGTAGACTCCTCCAGCCAAAGCGGCCCCTAAAACAGAGAACCAAAACATTTTGGCTAGTCTGTCTTTCTTCTTGTCCAAGGAGGATTTGACATTGTTTCTTCTCTTTCTAGGTTGACCAAACTCGTCTTCTTGTGGCTCGTGCCTTTTAGGTTCTTCTTGTGACTCTGTTTTAGGTTCAGAATCAATGCCCGCTTTGGCAAGAAGGTCCTCGTCCAAAATGGAGTCGACTTTTTGCTCGTCCTTTTTCTCACTGTAAAATCTATACTGAGACGCAATTAGGGTGCGTCTGGCAGCGATCGGTCTATGGGCAACCAAACGTGCACATCTGGCAGATTTTGCCACCAGGTTAATCATCTTATGTACAGGTAAGAGGCGAATTAAATTTGAAAATTTTTTTCAGTCCTCCAGATTACTAGCTTTTACAAATAGATTAGTCTGTTGCAGCTGTCAGGTCATCATCATCTCATGAGTCAATACTTGCGTAGACCTCTACGACGATGGTTTTAGAGCTGTCAATTGATTTAACCTTTCAATCCCAAAACTAATGAACTGTAACATTACCTAGTATCATAAGCTTGAAACCAAAAGGTGAGTAGTAGGGAAAAGTTTCGCCAGAAGTTAATTTTATATATTTGCCTGGTCGTGTACTATTATCATAACGGCAAAGATATTTCATAATTAATCTTTGCTGGCATGTCGGACCCGTTCGCTTCACAACTGAGCCAGTTCAAGAAGACTGTGCGCAACTCATCCACCACCCTTCCCTCACAGCGTCGCATAGTTGATAAATCCTATCTAAAGCGCTCGAACGATCCCGACAACGATAATGAAATAAAAAGACCGAGAACAAGCGACTATGATTCTGCTCCTGCAAGCTCTCTTTCCATACGTTTAATGACCGCATCCGACTTCATCAAAACCAGTGACCATCCAGTGAAAATAGATGAGCTTCAGCAGCATATCAAATGTAAGGTGGATCCTAAATTATTAAAGGTGCTCACGAACGTTGACAGAATCAAGTATGATCCTGTGAACCAAACACTTGAGTACCTTTCGTTGCATAACATCAAAACTGGGGATGATCTGATCAAGGTTCTTGAAAATCAACCCACTTTTTCTGGCCTTTCGGTGAAGCAGCTGAAGGACGGATGGAATGGATGTCTCGAGACTTTGGCACAGCTGGAGAAAGAAGAGAAGATAATTGTGCACAAGACTAAGAAAGAAAATGCACCACGTCACATTTGGTTGAATGTTGGGTTCTATAAACTTGAAAATGTGGTGGAGCCAGAATTCTATGATATGTGGGCAAAAATCAAGGTTCCCAAGGGTGATGATCTAGTAAGAAAATTGATTGAAACTGGATCAAAGCCTACCAATGTTGACCCAGATTCCATAAAGAATAGGAAAGCTGCTCCAGTGCAAGAAAGGAAGCAAAAGAAGGCGAGAAGAGGAAAGATCACGAACACACATATGAAAGGAATTCTCAAGGACTACAGTAAAATGTCATGATGTAAGTTTCTACCCAAATGACATCCAGAATTGAAAATTTCAGCTATAGTACATACTAGACTAATCTTCTGCGTCTTTCTTCTTTTTATCCTTTTTATGCTTTTTCTCCTTCTTTGGAGAGTCCTCGCTCTTTCTCTTTTGTGGTTTTGGTGTGGCAACAGATTTATCCTCCTTTTTAGCCTCCTCATAATTGTCTCTGCCATATCCTGTTGGAAAATGCCTCATTCTTAAATCGGCATGTTGCTCCACATCATGTCTTTGGGTCACTACCTTCGCGTAGTTGATCTCTGGAATCTTGACCTTCTCCGATACACTGTAAAATCTCGAAACCTCCAGTTTGGGAACAGGTTGAAGTGAGTTTTTGTTTTGTGCGCTCATTATTTTATACCTTCTCTTTAAGACGCTCTGCTCTGCCGCCGCAAGGTCTTCGTTCAATGCATAGTCGGTATCTTTCACCTTGAACTCAGTTGTTTGACCAACTCCAAGATTCACAGGGAGCTTTTTGAGTTTTTTGATATTGAAGTCTGAAGGCACCTGAATCAGCCAGATTTCTTTATTTTTCAAAGTTTTCGGCGACAGGTTTCCCATTATTTCCAAATTTTCCACCTTCGTGAATCCTCTAGGTGGTCGAAAACCAGAGAGCTCCTGATCAGAGAGATCAGAATCAGAATCTATCACTCTCTCGCTTGAAAGCTGGCTCATTGAATTGATTTTTTTTTTTTTTTTGAAATTTTTTATTATGTCCGTATGTAGATTATCGTGCGCCAACCAGAGATAGAGTGAACCTAACTGTAGTCTCCACTATTGAAGATGGAAATATCCACAGAAGCCTTCACGTCTTCTATATCCAAACTCTCTATGCCTCGGTTGACCTTCGCAGTATTCTTAATTTTTTCATTTACAGCACGAGCTCTTTCGGCAAAGGACAAATACTCGGTCTCGTCGCCAGTGACATACGAGCCAGTGAACACACCTACCTCAAAAGAGTCAATAGGCGGAGATGTCTTATTCGTCAAAATCTGGGAATCGATTGTGTCGTCTCTGGAAACAACAGGGGTCAAGGCAAGCTCCATCTCGTGGTCTTTGATTCGATTATCTTTCACACAACACTCAATAAGATCTTGAAGGTTTTGGTAGAAAACGCGGTCTGCGCCAATCGCTTCTGATATTTGTTCATCCGTTCTATTGTAGCCAACAAGTGCACGATTGTCAGCAAGATCGATTCCGTAGATGTGGTTATGTCTGATGGCAGGGCAGCAAGATGCAATATAAACCTTCTTTGCACCCGCTTCTCTGGCCATACTGATGATTTCTTTGGAGGTCGTTCCTCTCACAATGGAATCATCAACCAAGAGAACCGATTTACCATAAAATTCGGAAGCCATCGCGTTCAGCTTTCTTCTCACCGATGACTGTCTTTGTTTCTGGTCAGGCATAATGAATGTTCTACCAACGTATCTGTTTTTGATGAAACCTTCTCTGTAAGGAATGCTCATCGAATTGGCGCATTGCAGGGCAGAGTGTCTCGATGTATCTGGAACCGGAATGACGACATCAATCTCTTTTCGCACGTCCAGTCCATCTTTCTTGAACTGATGAGTAATGTTCTCGGCTAGTTTGGTACCCATTTGCAATCTCGATCTGTACACACTGATTCCATCCAAAACGGAATCAGGCCTTGCAAAATACACATATTCGAAAATGTCGGGAGTGTATGATTGCATAGGCACGACCTGTTTGAATTCAGGAATCATGGAGTTCTTCGGTATTATGACTGCTTCTCCTGGCAAAATGTCTCTGTACACCTGAAACCCATGAGCCTTCAAAACAACAGACTCTGAAGCAAGCATGTAGTCTTTCGATCCATCGTCTTTGAGGCGCTCACCGATTAGGAGAGGACGAATGCCATGAGGATCTCTGAATCCTATGATACCATAACCTGCAAGCATAGCAACGCAGGCATATGCACCTCTGACTTTCTCGTACACCCCCTTCAAAGCCTTGAAAAGATCATTGTTATTGACTCTAGATTTTCCGTATGCAGCCAACTCACTGGCAAATAAGTTGAGCAAAAGCTCAGAATCAGAGTCTGTATTGATGTGTCTGTGAACCACCTCATCGAGATATGTCCTGAGCTCTTCTCCATTGGTCAGATTGCCGTTGTGACTCAAAGCGATACCATACGGAGAATTGACGTAAAACGGTTGCGCTTCCGAATTGGCACTGGATCCTGCAGTGGGATATCTCAGATGAGCAAGTCCCATATTTCCAACCAGTCCGAGCATCCTTTGCCGAGTGAAAACATCACTAGCCATTCCATTGCCTTTGCACTGGTAAAGTCTGGCTCTCTTTCCACATGTAACTATACCTGCGGCGTCCTGACCTCTGTGCTGCAAGAAAAGACATCCATCAAAAAGTTCGGCTGCACAGTTTTGGCTCTGATCAGCCAGCACTAGTCCTAAGATTCCACACATACTTTATCTTTCTCCTCCTTGTCGCGTGATTAGTGCAAGATAGATGCTGTTACAACTTGAGCTAATGCTGTGGATCAAGCTCTTTTAATGAATTTTTTTATCTTTAATTTAAATGACTCTGAAAATTTTGTAAATAACGTCGATCGTCGCTCGAGATCCAATAGATATACAATCCTTCAACATTCAATATCGCCCATGACAGACCACAGTGATCGCTTTATGGAGTCCTTCGCCCCAGCCAAACCACCAAAGCTTGATGAGCTAGAGGCAAAGAGACAGCAGGTGATCATGGAATATAATCAAAGTACGCTCAATGAACTGTTGAGAGAAAACTCGCTGCGTCCTGTCAGAGTGGGTCAAGTTAATGTTCTCGGAGACAATCTGCAATTTCGAGATAAGTTCCTCGCGCGTCAGTTACACCCCTTGTTAAAGAACCCAGGCTTGTTAACTTTGAAGTCATTTCTACATAAAGTCGATACCACAGCTCACAACTTTACGAAAACGGCAGCAGTTGAACAAGTGAGCTCCCAAATTGATTCAAGTGTCTTTAGATCACCAGGAAATTCCCCTGACATGCTTGAACTAGTAGCCAATGTGAAGCTCAAACCAGTTAAAAAACTATTTATGAAAGTTGGCACTAATGTTGGTAACGGAGAAGGAGACGGCTACCTATCTCTTCAATGGCGCAACATTTTCGGTGGTGCAGAAACACTTACCTTTGATACTAATATGGCCTCCAATCAGATAGGCACTAGAAACAGATCACAATATCTCCTGAATTACAGTATGCCAGTATTAAACAGCCCAGATCAAAAGATCGACATTTTGCTTTACCATTCTTCCAGATTCATAGATTATACCACTTATCATGAGCAAATCGTTAGCGGGATAACTACAAAGATAACAACCAATCACCTCCCATTCGAACATCGCTTTAACCAAGAGCTTTCATTAGAAAATCTCATTCGGGCAATCAGTCTCGAGCCATCTCCTAATGGCTACCGCAATAATTCACTAATCAATGACTACTTCTTGTTCAATGCTGGAGAGTCTCCAAAGTCGAGCGTTTCATACTCGATCTCCCACGATACAAGAGATCGGCCAGTGTTTCCAACTGCGGGACATTTGTTCAAATCTATCACCGAATATTCCTTTCTTCCTGCCTCTACTTTCTTGAAGACCACTCTGCAGCTTTCACAAGCATTCAAGATTAGCAATTCTTTGAGCTTAAGCATGACTACAAAATTGGGACTCATCAAGGGCCTGAACAATGCTCTTATTCATCCGATGGACAAATTTCAGTCTGGTGGGCCTAACGACATTCGTGGTTTTTGGACATCAGGCATAGGACCCAAGCAAATGGGACTCAGTATTGGAGGTGACGCATCTTTCAGTTATGGGCTCAGCCTCTTCCAACGCATACCATTCCTGTCATCTGACTCCAATTTCAAGCTTCACTACTTCTTCAATTCGGGTAAACTGATTAACCTGGATACCTCCAAATCTGTTTGGGGCTTGCCCAGTCTATTCAATCAGCTCAATACCACGGCAGGATTTGGAATTGTATATGCGCATCCGGCAGCCAGATTTGAACTTAACTTCACTTTGCCGATCGCGATACATAACGGCGATGAAGTGCGCAAGGGCATTCAATATGGTATCGGTTTATCATTCTTGTAAACTACATGACTAATAAGTTTAGAGAGTCTACAAACCCATCTTCTTTTTCTCTTCGATGGAAGATTTGTGTAATTTGATCACCTCAGGAATGATGAGAGACTCGATGTCAATACCTGCATCTACCTGTTCCTGTGACAAGCGTACCCATCTTTCGCTGTCTTTGGTAACAAAGACAACCTCGTATTTTCTGCTTTGCAACAAATTGCCAATGACCAGCTGATGACTGTACCTCTCGAGTGCGCCTTTCGCTTTTTTGATCAAGATTGAGCTATCAGTTTCCAGCTTAAACGATACTATCATAGATATTGGGGCCCAAGAGTCCACAAGCCTACTCAGAAACTTGGGAACGGGCTCGAGATCAACCACCAACTTCCCCCCCGACTCTTGACTCTGAATCTTGTGCTCAGGAACTCGAGAGGAAGGAAGAAAGAAGTCCGAGACTGCTGCCGCTAAGTAAAAGAGCGCATCGGACCCAATCACCGAAAGCTCTTGCGCAATAAGCTTCAATGTAAAAAGGTATTGGTGCACGGTGGTGAATGGAACGAGTAGAAGTAAGTTGTTGTTCTGAGCATGTCTATATTTACGAAGCACAACAATCATTTCCTTTTGGAACTCAGCATTGACTTCCACTTTCCCATCTTCTGACTCTGTCATATAATCTAGGAAACAATTAGTGGTATGACTGTAGTGTCTTGAATAAGGAAGCAGCGAGAATTCTCTGTGTAAGAATACCACTGCGTATCCATTTTCCAAAAAGTACTCTGCGCTAGTAGCACCTCTCGTCCCCGCACTGAAGTTGTCAATGAACCGGACAGTATTATTTTCTAGGGGCACAGTGGTACCTCCCGAAGTAACCAGCACAATTTTGCGCTTTTGGAGATGGTGGTAATTGATGAAGTCCGCAACATCTCTGGATATCTGAGAGAGGTAAGGGGGAGGTTTATGAAGCCTGAAATAATTATCCTCGTCAATAGGTTTTGCTGCAGGGAATTCAGGCAAGTTTCTATCTATTGCCGTCTCGGTGTCGGGGACAGAAGTATGAACTCGTCTATCGCCAGACATTATACGAGAATATAGTTTTTGATTATTTGGTTTACTTGCACCGCCAAGCGAAAAAAAAAATCCAAGCTCATACTCCAATGACCGTTGTATTTCTAGATGTTAGCTTGGGACCTAAACCTCTCGGGCGTGTGAAAATTGAGCTTTATGCCGACCAGCTTCCAAAAACGACTGAAAATTTCCGTCAATTGTGCACAGGTGAATACAGAGAACTCGGAAGGCCTATAGGATACAAAAATAGTCGATTTCATCGTGTTGTACCTGGATTCATGATACAAGGGGGAGATTTCGTGAGGGGAAACGGGACTGGAAGCAAGACAATTTATGGAGTGGATTCGTTTGAGGATGAGGGTTTCATGTTCAAGAATGAGCCGATGACCATAGCTATGGCAAACTCAGGCCCTAATACCAATGGATGTCAGTTTTTTATCAATCTGGCTCACAATAGTTTTCTCGATGGTAAGCATGTGGTTTTCGGGCGTGTTGTTGAGGGTGAGGAAATCATTAGGACAATTGAGCGTGTGACCGTTGACAATGAACGTCCTGTGATTGATATCAATATTTCTAATTGTGGAGAAATGTGATGTAATTCATGACGTGCTCGTTTGTCATACGTTGAAAGCAAAGTCTCATGATACGTGGGCCAATACAACTCCTCTTGGCTTTTGAGAAAATTGAAGTTTATTGCAACAAATCTTTTCTATTTGCAAGTCATGGCAAACTCAGCGGTTGCAAGATACATACAGATTAACTTTGAGAAATAATTGCAAGCCCATGGACACAGCATATGGCTACAGAATTGATCTTTGATCAGCCATCCGTGAGGACTTCCACATCTCAGGTGATTCTAGTAGAGAGACAGGCCACAAGCACAAGTCTGGGTAAGCAATACAGCGTTCCGGCAAGTGCAATTGAAGGGGACGAGACCTTCTTCCCCCGGTATTAGATGTTGGTGGGCCACACAAATCTGTGAAGAACAATACCTTGAGAGGGCTGATGGTATCCACGGGTGCTCCTATACTGAGCATGAAGCTCCTATCTGATAACAAACCTGGTTTTCATTAATCTTCCATAGAGTTTGATTCACATTGATCAGCTGAAAGCGCCTTGGAATTACTAGATGGGGCCATTCTGGCCGAATATCCAATCAACATTTCGTGGGCATTCCAAACACAACGTTCAAAATCTAGCAACTTCTATAATATATTTGTTGGAGACTTATGGCCAGACGTTAATGACGAGATGCTCGGTTATTTTTTTGGTAAATACAGATTTTCTGGCCAAGCGATTGTGATGTGGGACATGAAGTCTGGCAGATCGCGAGGATACGGTTTTGTATCATTCCAGGATGTTCCAGAAGCTAAAATTTGTCTATATGAAATGAACGGAGCTATTCTCGGAGGTCAGACACCAAGACTAAATACAGCGAATCGCAAATCAGACCGTCATCAGCCCTCAAAGCACTACACGACATTAATGCACTCGGAATCTCCAACTATCCCATCAAATCCTTTGAACATCCTGCCCATACCCCTACAAACTTATATGATACAATATACCATCAGACTTCTTTTTAGAATAGCACTGTTTATGTTCGAAATCTAGCACGAGCGAGATGTGACGCAAAATGGCCTTGTTTCATTGTTGCGAAATTTAGGCTATATCATTGACTTTAAATTGTGTTCCTAGCGAAGATGCGCCTTCGCTAAATTCGACCGTCATGAGCATGCGGCTGAAGCAATTTTGCGGCTTAATGGTGCGGTGATGAACGGCGATCAGCTTGAGTGCAATTGGGGAAATAGCATATTTTTTATTACATGAGTGATCTCAAAGGACAATAAAAAGGTTGCTTATTAGAGTGAATTATGACGCTTGGATCTAGAAGATGATGCTCCAGATGCGGGTTCGATTGGCGAAAGTGAGGGTCCCTCATTTTTATGTTCGTCCATCACATCCCTTCTGTTATCTTCCGCTTCTCTGTAGCCGCTGTATGAAGGAACAGACTCATCATCAAATTCGAGAGCTTCTTCATCCTCAGAATCATAATCCCTGGCTTGCAAGTTTCTCCTGAATTCTCCCGCCACCGCAGAAGCTTTCCTCTTGATAAATGGCCAGATGTTGCTCGTATCGAAGCCCTCGTTACGAGTCGTGTTGACCCTCAACAAAGGGCCATGGTGCGATGATCCATATGTCGGCGATGTCTGCATAGTGTGGGCCCGTCTCAGAGTATGGTGGGCTTGCAGATCGTCCCGCATCTTGATCTTGTCGGTCTCAAGCATGATAGCCCTGTCTATTGCATAAGGCAAACCTCTATGTCTACCTCTTACCATCATGACAATAAGCACCACTTTGGATAATGTGTTGAACTGTCCGCAAAACGACGGTGTTGTGTTTGGGTATCCTAGACTCAAACCCACAGTACCATAAGCAGAAGTGATCTCAAAAAGACAGCTAAAGATAGTGAAATGTATATCACCTTGAGTCAATCTTCCACTCTCTGAAATGCAAATGATAAACAGACCAAGAAACAAGAACCATAAATCAAAAGACAGCTGTTTGCGCAGATGTGTGCCGATAAACGATATCGTCTGGTTGTTTTTCCCATTTTCATTATTGTTATTAGTGTTATTCGTGCCGTTCGTAGAACTAGCGTCGTTGTTGTCGAAATAAACGCCTAGAGATTGCTCCTCGTAGACGTTGGTTCTTCTAATAGAGATTGCCAATGGCATGACAGAGATGTACATCATCACTAGGTAACTTACCTGTACAGCAGGACTCAATTGAGACAAATCCACCACTGAAAGGCCTGCTGTCCTAGTGGATATAGCTTGGAAAAGTCCATCCAAAACGCGGTATCCCGGTCTCACGCTTTCCAGAATGCTCTTATTGAAATCTAGAATGATGAAAAGCAACCAGTCTATGCAGTTCAACACAACCAGTACAAAAAGTAGCCACCATGTAGGCCCCGACGGGAATAATAAGGTAAAGCATCTTCTCGGGTGTTCTAACAAAAATGCCAACGACTCTCTGTATAGCGTAAGTGGTTTTGAAAAGCGATGTAGTATCCAAATGATGAATCGAAGGATAATTGGAAATCCAGTATTTCCAGCCACAATCAAGACTCCTCCCAAGATTAGAGTAAATGCATTCTCTTTGAATGACATCATTGAGTCTGGGGTAAGGGTAATTCCTAAATCGTTAAAACATGTTTGGGGATACCAAAACCCCCACCATGCCGGGGCAACGCCGTCACTCCTAATTATGTTCAGGTACTTCAATCTCTTCGTTATGAAAGGAACAAAGCATATGATTCCTATCAGGTGGAATCCAATGTAATAGGAAACTAGAATGGTACTGAGCAATTTCAGAGCACGGTATTCGACACCTCCTAACTCTTCCTTTTGTTCATCTGTTAGTGCCACAAAAGTGGAGTTTCTTCCAATGGTTGGTGTCCAGGACAAGTAGTTGGGCGGAGCATGTTTGCTGGACCTCGAATATAAACTAGCAAGATCATTATCAGATAAGGTTTCGATATCATCCGTGAATGCATTGAAATGGCCCGTACGAGAAGATGTAAGGCGTCTTCCAATTCTGGTAAACCTGTTGTACTTATCTTTCATATTTTTGCGTAGCATCTTGTCAAAAGTTGGAGATTTCACAATATTGACGCCTTTTTTATGCGCTTCCGGTTTCTTCTCTACTGGTACGTCAAAAGTATGGGCCCTTCTATCAAGTTTGGTTCCAGATTTTCCATGTGGTACCGTCATAACATGAGACTGCGTCCTTCCCACATGGCGAAAACCCGCTCCATCTTCCTCGTCGCTGAGATCATCATTAGCTAGCTGGTCGTCACCTGAGTCTTCTAAGCTCGAGTTTGCTTCATCGCTCAAAGCACTTTCGTCTTCTGCTTCTGGCTCCGGAACAGGAGACTGTGATTCCCACTTGATTGTTGAGCTTTTGCGAGGTCTGGCTGGATCTTGAAACTGTATCGTTTTTTCTCTTGTAGAATTTGCAAGAGACGATGGATGTCCATCCTGTCTTTTCTCCATTTTTCTGATTTTCTTCAGTTGTTTGCGTTTCATTTCCTTCTCATGGCGGGTAATGTGGCCTGGGAGCTTGCTTCCGGTCCTCTCTGCAGGGCCCTGTATAACTAGAGCCGGCCCGGACTCGTCTTCTGCGGTATTATTATCTTTTTGCTGTTGCATCATAGAAATGGACATATATAGATCACGGGGCTCAACATCCTTATTCCTCCTTTTGTTGGGTGGCTTCGGTAAATCCACAAACTTGATGTCTCTCGACCTTGTCTCGGGAACTCCTTGCTCATCTTCTTCATCGCTGGGCTCACTATAATGTACCACGCCTCCCATGTCCGTTGAGTAATCATGTGAAGTGTGAAGATCAGCTAGCTCTATATCCTGTCCTTTTTCGTGGTTCTTTAACTCCGGGGATCCACCTGAGCTTGAGGACATGGGAACTGTATACTCATCTTCAAACACTTTATCCAATTTTTGCTCTCCGTCCTCTGATTGTTGTTGTTGATTGAGTTTGTTTAGTCTTGTACCAAGATCCTCAGACGCATTATGAGTATTGTACCCTTTATCCTGGAAACCTGTAGTATTGGTTCTGTTTTGGCGCATACTTCTAGAGGTATCCATCGTCTGTGTTCTGAACTGAGCGAGAGTGGCAGATCGACGCATTCTGAAATTCTGCATCGACTTTTCCTTAATGTCATCAAATGATTTTTCGAACCAGAAAAGTCTTAAAAACACGATGGCCGAGTGAATGAATATTGGAGTTGTCAACATAGTCACACAGTAAATCACAATTTGTTGGTACAAGCTCAGATTGTTTGTGTCCACAGTATTTAGTCCCGCTTGAGTTGATGCTCCTGCAGCGAAAAACAAAGCATCAATGTATTTGATGTTTTTCTTTGGGTATATCAAAATGGAGCCAACTATACACCAGAGTATGATATATGTATAGTGTGCTACCAAAAAGTTAGGAATCAACTTCCTTACTATTGGTCCTACTTTGGCTTGAACGCGATATATTCGTTTTCGCGCTTTGAACCAGAATGTTTTGGTACCAAACATATCACTTTGCACGGAAAGGCTTCTGTGAGACAGGGGTCTTAATGCTTGTCTTCTCATGTTTCCGTTTTTCAAGCAATGCGGTGCTATATATTCATGTTTCACTTCGAAGCTATTTCTTAAAAATAAACTGAACTTATTTTTTTTCGGTGTAATATAATTAATATATTTTGGTACATTACATAAAGCCCTGCATAATTAGTTTCGAGATTGTCCCTGTCCACTATTTAGCAACGCTCGAGCCATATCGATCTCCGAAGAAGCGGCAACATCTGAGTTGTCATTAGTGCCTTGAGTATGTGATTTAGTAACGGCTGGATCAATGGGAATCGAATTAGGGGTTTTGTACCGCAAATTTTGAGAGTCTGCAGGAGTAGGGGTTTCTGAATGATCGCCAGGCGAGTCGTAGTGGAAGTTAGAGGCTATATTTGGGTGATAGTGAGACGCATAATCCGCAAATGAATGACTTTGATGAGGTTCTTGTATGTGGCGATGTTGTCGCTGAACCATTTCGACGACATCCGAGATTCCAGAACCTGCCAAAATATCATTGAGAGGATTAGTCGAATCAATGTGTGTGTTTTGATATATGTGAGCAATGTCCGGTGGCTGCTGTGATAAAGAAGAATTTGGGGACTGGTGGTGGATGTAGTGCGGTCTCGGCGACTTTGTTCGCAGCTTGGGTGTCGGTACTGTCGATCTTTTCAAGGATAAGAGGGTAGGGTCCTTGCACTCCGGGCAGGCTTTGACAACTTGAGTCACCATCTCTTTGATTTTTGGCCAGTGATATCTATCACATAAATAAGATGTCGTCTTGTTGATTCCGATGTGGCCACGTTCGTGCGCATCTTTGGTAATTCGAAGCTGTTCCTTCTGTGACATAATGACCTCTTTTCCTTTTAAATACAAATGACCATTTTCCACAGTATAGTGGGAAGCGAGAGCTCTTAATCGGGATTTCTCCTGTCGATCTGCATCATCTGGATACTTTCTTGTGAGTATGAAATTACGAATTTTCTCATATTTTGAATTCTGGTCAATCCTGGTTTCGGGTGGATCCAACTCTCTACCATAAGTGATAGCATCTATCAAGGAATCTTTGCTACTTTTGAGTAGTCCACAGCCTTTGATTCGCCCGACTTTTTTGAAGTGGAGGCTTTCTAAAACAGTTTTTGCCGCGGCATTCGTCTCAAAAATAAGCTCCATCATCGCATAAGTATAACTTAATTTTGGAGCCCATGCAAGGAAACATTCGGCTAATATTCTGCCTATGCCTTTCTCTCTAATACCTGCATTCACGAGGATGTTTGCTGTTGCCACATGTGCACATCTGCCCGGATAACTTGCTTTAATGAAAAATGTTCCCAGACATCTCTTGGCCCATTCCTTATGCGACCACGATGTGTCCAAAGTTGGGTCGTCCCCCAACACCATCACAGCAGCAAACTGACCAAACCAGTAATCCCTGAACTCGTCGATTGTTAAAGGTTCAAAGAAAGGTTGAGTGTCTCCCCTAGCGATCTCATCATTGTATTCCTGTGTTAAAAATCGCAAAAGCTCAAATGGCAAATCTTCAGACGAGAATATGGGATAAATCGTTGCCGTTGTCTCTTTATCTTTCAGTAAAACGGTAAGACGCTCAATACCAGTGGAAACATTGTAATGAGGAACGAAGTGACTGTTAGATAAGATAACGTTATTAAAACCACCCATTTGGGAGATACTATGCCAGTGACAACTTTTACGCGAATAGAAAATTTTAGACTGATCGATTGGTTTAGCATAAATTTCCCGGAAAGTGAGACCAAAAAGGTAATGCCGTGGAAATTATCTTGTGACAAATCGAGACTATCCGACACTAAACCTACATACGTATCTTGGTAATTTTGGCGACATTCAGTAAGTTACATAAACGTGCATTTTTACAGGGCGTGACTAGAGCTCTTATTTATCTGAAAATCATTATCGTGCTTACCATGCATGAGGGTTTTGTAGATAAGGGTGCACTATCGAGGATGTAGATTCAATTTGTATAACGTATCATCACCATTTGCCATATAAATCAGATCTGCTCCGCCCATTAAATCGTGCTCCAAAATGAAGTTCACTACCAAACAAAGTCCAACCATCGAAGCTCTCGAGGTCACTTCAATAGAAGACCAACATCACAAGAAGTCTAAGTTTGTTGCAGATGGTCATACGGTTCGAAGGTTACGTCGTCGCCACATCGACCTCATCAGTATCGGTGGATCCGTCGGCACAGCAATGTTTGTCACTATTGGAGCTTCCCTGTCCACTGGTGGACCAGGAAACCTTTTAGTGGCATTCGTTCTCCATGCTTTTGTGATGTATATCGTCACTGTTTCGATAGGAGAAGTTGTCTGTTACCTTCCCGTTGATTCGCCTTTTATCACGCACGCTGGACGTTTCGTTGATCCTGCCTTGGAGGCATGCTTTGGATATAACTTCTACCTGCTCATGGCTCTTTATGTTCCGTTCGAAGTGACTTCTGTTAATAGTATGATACATTTTTGGACAGAAGACTATTCGGCAGCTGCAGCGATTGTTCCGATGATTGTTTCCTATGTCATATTGAACATCTTTGCTGTGAGATGGTATGGAGAATCTGAATTCTTCTTATCCATTGGGAAGGTCATCCTTGCGGTCGGACTGATGCTATTTACCCTCGTCACGATGTTGGGCGGAAACCCAAATCACGACAGATATGGCTTCCGTAATTTCGGAAGCTACCACGACGCTTTTCCTAAGTATCTTGGAAATGGAGCAAACGCTTTCTGGTCTGCATACGCAAAGGCAGTGTTCAGCCAGGCTGCTCCAGAATATCTGGGTATGGTTGCAGGTGAAGCTGAAAATCCAAGAAAGACCATGGCAGTCGCGTTTAAAAGTATCATTTTCAGACTGCTTTTCTTCTACGTGTTTGGATCGCTCTGTGTTGGCATTGTCTTGAAACACGATGATCCTACATTGGTCAATGCCGTTGCAGAAGGCGCCGCCGGTGCTAATGTGTCACCTTATGTCATCGCAATGAGAAATTTGAACATCAAGGTGTTGCCTCATATTGTCAATGTTCTGTGTATGCTGTCCTCCTACTCTGCTGGAAACTCATACATGTATTGCGGGTCCAGATCCATGTTTGCGCTCGCCAAAAGAGGGCTGGCTCCAAAATTTTTTAGCATCACGACAGAGAATGGAGTTCCTATCGTGGGTTTAGCACTGTCAACATGTTTTGCGTGCCTATCACTTCTACAGCTTGGAAGCTCGGCTTCGGTTGCTCTGAACTGGTTGATCAATTTAACAACGGGTGCTCAAGTCTTGAACTACTTTTACATGATGATCGTTTACCTTGGGTTTTACAGAGCCTGTAAGGCTCAGGGCTTAGATAGGTTATCTCTACCTTTGCAGACCTGGGTCACCAAGTTGCAACCATTTCCCGCTATATTTGCTCTTATTATCACATTCTTGATTATTGCTTTCCTGGGGACATTTGCCTTCATTCCTTCCTTTGATGTCAATTCGTTCCTTTACTACTACCTGATGTTCTTCCTGAACATTGCAATCTTTGTGAGCTGGAAAATTGTCAAAAAGACCAAGTTGGTTGATCCTACAACAGCTGACTTGACTACTGGCCTGAAAGAAATTGAGCATCATGAGGAAGAATTTTATGAGCGAATGCAAAATTCTAAGATCAAGCCTGATAGTAGGTTTGATAAGGTGCTGTCTTGGCTTCTCTAAACTTTTAGGTTTGTATGTTTGAAAATTTCAAAATCGCGATTAATTAAAATGACTAAGTAATGGATCAATGGGTAGAGACATCTTCAGGAAATCGACTACATAAAACCTGTAAGATTAAAGGATTGAATCAGATAGCACTGGCGGGTCAGTGCACAATATGTGAGCAATCTCAATTGAATGCTCAGATCAATCCAATCAAGGTAGGAAAAAGCTGTTTTCTAGAGCCGTTTGTGACAATTGACTCTTCAAAAGCCGAAGTGAGGTTAGGGTCATACACACGAATTGGCTCCCGAAGTACCATCGGGAGCGGTGCAATAATTGGTAGCAGAGTGGATATAGGGTACGATTGTATTTTGGAACCTGGATGTGTTATAAGAGATTGTTGTGTAATCGAAGACCACGTTAGAATTCCAGCAAATTACCTACTACCGCCATTTACAAGAGTGACCATCGAAAATGACACCCTGAAAGAATACGAATTGCCTCCAAGTTACAGACAAATCAATGAGGACAAACTTCGTTATTTGCAAGTGGTTGGTGCCAGGGTAGGAAATAATAGAAATTAAGGGAAGCCTGCTCTAGAAAAAAATTTGTAACGTAAAACTCATCAACCTTAACAATGTCGGTCGATTTTAACGCTTTGGCTCAACAGTTTTGCAGCTTCTATTATGATCAATTCGACAAGGACAGATCTCAGCTGGGAAACCTTTATGTAAGTATATTTTTGGCCACATTTGTTGGCGTTTTGACTCAATCCTAACAACGTTAAGAGAGATCACTCCATGCTCACTTTTGAGTCTTCTCAAATCCAAGGTGCTCGCAACATCATTGAAAAACTCACATCTCTTGGTTTCAATAAGGTGGCTCACAGAATTTCCACCCTTGATGCTCAACCTGCATCCGAGAACGGAGACGTTCTTGTTATGGTTACTGGTGAGCTTCTAATTGATGACGAACAAAATACCCAGAGATATTCTCAGGTCTTCCACCTCATCCCAGATGCAGGCTCTTACTACGTCCTGAATGACATCTTCAGACTCAATTACGCTTGAAGAGCTAACCGTTTGTCTAGTTCCGTCTGCGCTGGGACATGATAAGAATTGGCTTCAAAGCAACCTTAGATGCTCTCTAGTTTGTTTGCAAAGTTAACGCTACATAACATCTGTACGTTTATGTTGTTGGTGTTGGTGTTTAGTGATGTATATAAATGAACTGGATTGCTTAGTCGCGAAGTAAAAATAATATGGACGTGCCACCTGTTCCAAGCCATGTAAGTGTATTTGCATGATTCTAACAATTAAGAGACCAAACCGAGATGCTGATGTGCCTCAGGTTCCAAGCTCGCGCCCAAGAAGGTCAGAGTCCTCTGATTTGCCCGAATTAGAAATCCCAGCGGTGCCTTCCACGAGGCCAAAGCCAAAGGACGAAGACGATACAAAGAGCAGCAAAGGTTTTTTTGACGCTGAAATACCGTCTCTACCAGCTGTTCCAGCGACTAGGCCACGCAAAGCAGCCACTCTGGATCACATCAAAACAGATTCCACTGTGGAACCTGCTCCCGGAACGCCAACGTACCAAAATGTTTTGGATATATACGCTCAGAGTCCAGAACAGTTGAAGAAAGTTGAACTCCATAACGTTTGGGAAGATGATGAGCCTGACAAAGTTGGCATGGTTGACCGAGAGATGAAAGATACAGAATTGCACGAAGCGACGAATGATATCGATTCTTTGGAGCATGTTTCGTCAGCTGCAGCACCAGAAGCAAATGAGACCACAAAAGTTACATCCATGGAGGAGAGCACGGTTTCAATTATTGGAATTGCAGAGGCTGATGAGAATCATTCAGAAGAGACTAAGGGCGAGTTATCGCCTCAACAAGAACCCTCTGTCATCAAAGAAAAAACCGATTCCAATCCTAAGGAACCAATACCGCCCAAAAACGAAGAATCTACACAGGATGAGGACCATGAGTCATCCAAATCAAAGGCTACAATACCTGATCCTGCCTCAAACTCAAGTAGCTTGGAGCCTACCAATGATCCGATCTCTAAAAAGTCATCTGATATGTCTTTAGGTATTTCACCTCGGAGCTCCACAGATTCGAATAAGCCTGCAGTTCCGAAGAAGCCTTCATCTAAAATTGCAGCCTTTCAGCAAATGCTTGCCGAGAGACAGCAGCAGGACATGGGGATGTTCAAGTCAAAACCTCCAGTTCCAACCAAGAGACCATCCCAGGTTGCTGATGATTCTGACCATTCTGACGCAGGTGTCCAGCATGTAAGAAAGCCTTTGATTGGGTTTCCCTTACCTGGTATGGCATTCCCGGGAACGCCAATGCCGGGAATGCCCTTCGCGCAGCCTGAAAGTGATGACGCTACCGATCACGTTGAAGATGTGAGAAAAGGGAGGATCAAAGGGCCGAGGGGACGAAAACTACCGTCTCGTGTGAAGGACAGCGTACAAGTCAACGACGAGACACTTGGAAATAAACTTAACATTATTGTGACAACGTCGTGGAATATTGACTTGAGGAAACCTGTTAAAATTGATGAGGAGCTACAAAATAATTCTTTGCCTTCTGTTGATAAAGACAAAGATAGTGATGGCTCGACGATTCAAGCCCAAGAAACAGACAAGCTAGCGGAAGAGCAACATGAGAACAGTCCTGACGACGAACATACAGAAATCATGAACGAAGATAGGCCAGATCTCGAAACTGAAGATTTTGGAACCGAAACCACGAGAGATCCTGTTTCTCCATCTGTTGAGGATCTAGACTCAAAGAATGATGTATCTGAGCCTTGTTCGGAGGGATCTGCACCAAATACGTTGAAATCCCAAGAAGCTGAATGATCTTTTGAAAGAGAAAGAAAAGTGAGTTTCAGTTTTTGGGCTGCATATCATGGAATCTTCCAAATCTGAAATTTTTCGGTATATTCATGCAAGTCCAATAAACAAATAAATAGTAGTTACCTTGAAAAAGTTTCGAAATATACTGAATATGAAATATTCGTTCTTGCTCTTGCTCCTCGTCGGTTCTGTAGCGGCATCATTGCCTGCTATCAATGTAACCGGTAATGCATTTTTAAACTCTGAAACGGGCGAGAGGTTTTATATAAGGGGTGTTGATTATCAGCCCGGCGGATCTTCAAACCTTACTGATCCTCTGGCGGATTCTGAAGTGTGTTCCAGAGATATTCCTTATTTCAAGGATCTTGGTCTGAACACCATCAGAGTTTACTCGGTGGACAATACTTTGAGTCACTCTGAGTGTATGGACAAGCTTGCAGATGCAGGAATCTATTTGATCTTGGACGTCACTACCCCTGGAACCTCTATTTCGAGAAGCAACCCTGACTGTTCTTACAATGCCGACTTTTTACAGAACATCTTCGCCACAGTCGACGCCTTTGCTAACTACACTAATGTCTTGGGCTTTTTTGCTGGTAATGAGGTGGTCAACGAGGAAGACGTTTTGTTTACTGCTCCATACATCAAGGCTACTGTTAGAGATCTCAAAAAGTATATCAAGGCAAGGGATTACAGACAGATCCCCGTGGGTTACTCAGCTGCGGATGTTTCTTCGGTGAGACTAGAACTTGCAGAATATTTGAACTGCGGAAACGATTCAACTGCCAGGATTGATATGCTTGGTATTAACGACTACTCTTGGTGTGGGCACTCCTCGTTCACCCAGTCAGGATATTCAGAGAAAGTGAAAATGTACTCAGGTTACTCTGTTCCTATGTTCCTTTCTGAATACGGTTGCAACACTCAAGGCACCAGACAATTTTCCGAGGTTGCCTCTATCTATTCCACTCAAATGTCCTCAGTTTTTTCTGGTGGCCTGGTTTATGAGTATTCTCAGGAAGACTCTGACTACGGACTTGTCGAGATTGACGGAGATTCCGTCTCCACTCTGGATGACTATGCAAATCTGAAATCTATGCTAAATTCTACATCTGATCCTCAAGGAACTGGAGGGTACTCTACGTCCTACAAGCCATCTGAGTGCCCAACTGACTGGAACTTCACAATTACGGTTCCAGATACCCCAGAGGATGCACAAACTTACTTTGACAATGGTGCTGGTGCAGGTTATGGTTTTGAAGCAGAAACGCAAGAGTCTTGTGACTATGACGAAGTTTCTGGTGTCAGTTCTCAATCTGTTACCTCAACCGGCTCTTCTACTGCTTCGTCATCCCCTACAACAGCAACCTCGTCTTCTTCCTCCCTTACGACTTCCTCTTCTTCATCAAAAGGTATTGGTGCCCAAATGCAAGCACAAACATTCTACCCCGTTTTCATGATATTGTCTGCTTTGCTGGTTTAGCAGACGTTCATACCAACTTCTTTTCAATCGAATATATTTAAGGTCCATAGTTAAAAAAAAATTTCAGAAATATTGTAGACCCTCATGATTAGGCAATATTGCCTGTTACAAAGGCCAGTGTTATGGGCTTGTAGGGGCTATGCGAGTAAATCAAACGAGCTCCAGAATCCTTCCAGAAAGAAGAAGACCAGACTCAAGCAAGATGTCAAAAGACTACACAAAAGTATTAGATCAGGCCCAAATAGAAAGATATATCAATATTCCACGAACTTGCAAAATGCGTCTAAGTACGATCCATTGCCCAAGTACTGTGCACCAAACTCGGAAATCCCCGATCTGTGCCATAACCTTGAGAGGGTTCTATTCTCGCCAGGTGTGCATTATATGCAGGATCCAAGAACAAGAAAATACAATTTCTCCTCTGACTTGAAGGAGATACCCAGTATAGATGATTTCAGATTCGATCTTATAACTGGTTTTGTTCCGCCAAACAAAGACCCTTTGATGGTGAAGATAGGAGAGGAGATCAATGCGTCGTTGAAAGAAAACCAGAGAAACATCAAGTATTTCTCTTCTACTTCATCGATGACGACTACATTAAAGCACTTTCATATGTTACTCAGTAATTATCGTCCATGCCACACAAGCAATTTCTCACAGGAGTTTTCAACGACGACAATATTCTCGAAAAGCATGAAATGTGCCGCTTTCACCGTGATTGCACCCAAAGGCAGTGGGATCCTATCTGTGGACGCCGATAGATCTACGGATACCGAAATCGCACTTTCGTTGCTTGGGCATGAACTCGAGCTCATGTTGACCGCTGAAACAAAGGAGTTTGAGAAATTCTTAAAAACCTCTGACTCAAAGGAAGCTCCGGCTCCTTTGCCCAACAATTATCAGTACGCCAGGATCGGCAGTTTCTTGATGAGATCTCAATCTGACGCCAAAAGTGACAAGCTGCCAGGCACAGGCATTTTCGATCTCAAAACCCGCGCCGTTTGTGCAGTGAGACATGATATAAACTATAATAATTATCATCTCACAAATTATGAGATCACCAGAAGTACTGGACTCTATGAAAGTTTTGAGCGTGAGCTGTTTGATTTGGTTAGAACTGGTTTATGGAAATACAGCATGCAAGCGCGCATTGGTAACATGGATGGTATTTTCATCGCATACCATAATATGAGAAGATTTTTCGGATTCCAATATTTGCCTACAACAGAGATAGACCATATATTCCATGGGTACGATGGTCCCGGAAAGTCAAAACAAAATTATGATGATGTCGTTAACGATTTTGGGAATCATTGGCAAACAAAAAGAGAAGCACTGTCATCTTTTATGGCCGACTTCGAATTTCGTGTTTCGATGGAGATTTGGCAAACGGTTCTAGATCTTATCACAAAAGAAACGAACAGTAAGCCTTTCCGCTTGATCACGAAATGCGACAGAAACTTCCTTGGAACTTATTTGGATGTCATTGCTACCGTCGTGGACGACGACATGCTTAAGAACCTTAGTACCCTTGCCGATGATATTGTAACACTTGACAAGGAGGATTTGGCTGCCACTCAGAAAGACGAGCTGCCTATGGAGCGCATCATTAGAATGGCAGAGTCAAGATCTCTCCATCACAAGCGAATGCTTTCCCTTAATGAGGAAATTCTTGGCTCCTGTCTTGATGACCCAAGCAAATGTCTGATGTTCAGAATCACAACTACACATTATTTCAATGGGAAACTATTCCGTGGCAAATATCCTACCCCCCCTCTTGATATTCTGGACAAACCTCAAGACAACAGCTGGGAAGTGAAATATCACATCAACCGTATTTTCAATCCGAAGAAAATTAAACAGTGTTACAACACTTATGTTACCGAGGCTGCTTCGAATTTGCAGGATCATCCTGTGAACCGCGAACACACTGAAAAGGCTTACATGGACCAAAATGCGTCTCATTTACAGCGTCTTCTCCGTGCCTACAGTGCCAAGTCCGAAAAAAGAAAAAAGCTTTATGGGGTTTAGTTAATAGAATGTACATAGCTTACAAAGTGAACCTTCAAATTAAAGAACGACCAAAAATTTGCCCTTGTCACAAAAGTTTGGTGAGCTCCATAGTTCAGAGTCCGAAGAGATCACGTCTTCTGGATGGAACCCTGACTGGTTCGCATTATTTGTGTTTTTGGGAACGAGCTTCAATTTCTGATCCGCATTGGGCTCATTGAACTCGTCAATTCTTGGAACGATGAGTTTCCGGAGATTTGTCAAAGCTATGTTTTCGGGGACCACGATTGCAAAAATGTCGTCTTTGTAGTAAAACTTCAGTTTGATTTTGTTAACAGAGTCTGACGCTTGCTCGCTTGGGGTATTTAAACTGCCATTCGAGATGTAATGAATGCCATTATTTGCAGGATTCGAAATTACTCTCATAGATGAAGACGAAGATGATACTGAGGACATCCGTCGCTGTTGTTGCTGCTGCTGCATTTGTATGCTGTTTGAGCGATTATTTGAATTCGTTCTTTCGTAGTGTGACAATCTGTCTTGTTGATATTGTGAGTTTCTTGTACTATGATGAGGATGGCCTTCTGAAGAATCGGTCTTATTGAGTATTATCATGTTAGGAGGACTTCTCAAGGGCTGAATCGGTATTTTCTGAATTCCTTCGGTGTTGTTAAATTCCTGATCGCCATCAAGTATTTCGAAGAAAGAATTCACTAGCACACTCTTAGAGATATAGTCCGGAAGTTGGATCAATCCTTTCAGGTAAACATCCAAATCAACAAGGCGCTTGTGACAAAGGCTCTCACTGACTTCCATCAAAGGACCAGGAATAAATGGGATGATTCTATCTCTCTTGTCTTTCGTGTCAAATTTTCCTCCCTCCTTAGGCCATGTACTGAGGACATTTTGATGGAAATTGAAGAAGTCCTCGTAGTAGCGACACAAGCTTCTAACAGCGCCATTATTGAAAATCACTCTGACTAGGTACCAGTATTTTCCATTAGTGCAAGAAAACGATTCTATGTTTACGTCGATCGCATAAGCAGGGGTTGACTCCGTGGCTCGGCTTCTGTTAGTGGAAGATGCCCTGGATAGCTCTGTTCGCTGAGCAGCCATTCCGACTGATCTTGCGCTTGCTTTGTGGCGGTTCTTAATTGCTTTCCATTCCTCAATTGTGGGTATTCTTTCTCTGTCGATTATGTCTTTTGCTGAACCCGAATACGGTACTTTGGATGTGATATCGAAAAGTTGGACGTAGCTGACGGGAACAAGTCCGGGCTCGCCTATTTTGTCAAAGAACTTTCCTATAAACCATTCATACTCGTGGTGAGCACAAATGATAATACTGTCTCCTGCTGACACGTCAAGCTCATCTTGTCTTTCGGCTTTGAAGTCGTACAGTAATCTTCCATAAAGCGATGGCTGAGGAGAGACCTTTTTCTTGACGCTAGTTGTGGGCGAGAAGTTGTTTCCAGAAACCATAGGGCTTGCACTGGCACTAGAGGAAGGACTCTCGCCAGTCGGCTTGTGCGTTTTGTCAAAAAATTTGAAGTGTGACGCAGGCACTCTACCCTTTATGTTCCTCACGGGATCATGTGCTTCAACGTAAATATCGTTGTGATCAACTTGCTGATTCACGTAAAAAAAGTCGCCAGATTTAAAGCTAAGTTCACCAGGCACCTGGGCCACGTAAGAACTCATTGCCTGAATGACCTTGGTGGGAGCATTCAGCGAATTTGACAATCGACTGGATCCTAAGCCAGCATTCATGGATACTGTGGATGAGGTGGAAGAGACTCGGCTCACCGACGCTTTGTCTTTTCGATCTTTGGAACTTCTTTTGAAGAATCCAGACATTATTTTATGATTATTTGTACTATTTGGACTTGATGTACCAACTGCTGTTTAATATTATTTGATTCAATTAGTTTGGTGCGAGTTAGGTCGATTCAAAGTCTCCTATTTTAATGATTCTATTGTATAGTTCAAATCAATATTTTTCTTTCGAACACGCTAATTGAAACCTGAGACACCTTTCTCCATAATATTGTTGGCATAAGAAAAAAACCGAAACAGGAAATTTAGCGAACGAGGTACAGCAGACGGTAGACGCGTCGTTGAAAATGTATCATATATAAAACCGTATTTATAAACTTAGCTTGGTAAACGAGTCATTAATTTTCCAAAGGATCTCATCCCAAGAGTCCTCCTGTAATTTGCTTTTGCGATAGATATCCAGTAGGTTCTTCGTTCTGATACCTTGCGATGTCTCTGCATTCATCACCAGTAAAAAGTCATACATTAACGCCAGCCTCAAAAGCTCCAGCTCATCTTCAGGAACCTGTGGCAGAGTAATCTTCGAGACTGACAATTTGATCTCATTGAGTAGTTTCAAATCTGGCAGCTCCAAAATATCGTTTGCATCTCGAAAATCATCATCTTGCAAGTTGGGCTGCTCATAAACAGACTCGCTTGAGGCCTCGGAAACTGACTTTTCGGTCGACGAAAATTCCGAGTTGGATCCATTCGACCCGCTCAGGCGCCGCGATTGATCCAGGTCTCGTAAGTAGTGAAGTCCAATGGCGCCACCAGGGTGTCGATCACCAAATCTTTTTTGCCTCACTTCTAAATCCTTGATATGTAGTTCGGAGAGGGCAATACTTATTCCATCGAGTAATGTGAGACAAACAGTGGTTGAGATTGTTGGCGCTTGAAGACCATAAAGGTTTTTTTCCGAAACCTTAGGTGGCAATTCGGCATAAAAAAGAGCTTTTACTTTTGGATGTTTCGATAAGGCAGACACCTTAGTGCATGTGACCAATACAACAGGAATTGAAGCCGGCACATATTCAAGTAAAGTGGTTAGCTCTGGAGAGTTTCCGGATGCCGATATTATAACCAAAGAGTCGTGATGGTCTTCTCTGATTATTCCCAAATCGCCATGCAAGGCTTCTGATGGGTGCAATAGAGCAGAATGAACACTCAGAGAATTTAAAGTAGCCACCGTCTTGCCAGCTATCTTGTAGGATTTGCCAATTCCGCTGACAATCACCTTCCCACCTTGATTCAAAGAATTGTTCAGTATCTTGAGAGCGGCCTTCATATGGTCTCGAGACCATTTTGAATTGCGATATTGGCCAACAAGGTATGAAATGGCTCTGTTCTGACTCGCTAGTATCGAATCAACTCTTCTCACAGCATCTTCTAGTAGCGGCGATGTATCGTCTTCTATGTGAAAGGACAGCTCTGAACCTCTCCTGATCATAGCAGCATTGATAAAAGTGAAAAAAATTAATTAGGTGTGGCTTTTTATTTCCGCATTTTTCGGGACGTCACAACGTGTGACGATAGGAGTCGTGAAAAGGACGCTAAATTCAGTAAAGACGACGCCGACCTGTTCAGTCACCACAGGTCCTCTTGATAACGCCCATTCAGTTTCAATTGTTTGAGCGTCTTTGTTGCCTCTTCTTCATTGATGCTCTTTTGTTGCGTTAATATCTGTCTGATTAATTTGCTCATATTCGATAGCTTCAGGGCGTCTCCACAAACATAGAAATGCGCTCCTTGCTCCAACAAGTCATAAATTTCTTTCGAACGCTGTAGAATAATGTCTTGAACGTATTGTTTGCGAAGAGAGTCCTCTCTTGATAAAGCAAAATGAACGGATAGTTTCGATCCCAAAGCTTTGCTATATTTTGGCCATTCGTTGGGGTAAAGTATGTCGGACTTATCTCTACATCCATAAAAAAGGAGCATTCTTCCAATATCATTTGCAGCAGACAAGGCTATGCGATGTTGGACAAATCCTCTAAACGGGGCAATACCTGTTCCCACGCATACCATAATCATTGGTCTAGCCCCATTGTAAGGCGGCTTGAAGCTAGATCTCCTAACAAAAACTGGGGCTGTCTGCCAATCAGTAAGTCTTTCAACTTGATCCGTCTTGTGAAAACATATGCTTTCGATGAAATTTGAGCAGACACCATAGAACATTTTGCCTTTGACTTGCTCCCTTTCGCATTTTATGGTGAGATGTGCTTGGTCAGGATATAACAGCTCTGATGATGCTACTGAATAATATCTTGGTTCAAGTTTACCCAGCGATTCAATAAGAAAAGAAAATGGGACATCGGGCCAAGGATGACCGTCGGAAGCCTCTAGTAATACCTCCCAAATGGTCAATCGTTTGTCAACCACTTCTTTCGTGAATGATTCCCTAGACGAAAGTCTCAAAAGGCGTTCCTTGGAGATGTTGGAGGGTGCGAATTTTGCCAATGTTTGCAACATTTGGGAGGATATAGCCGAGTTGATGTTTAGGTAATGTTGAACTATTGCTTTGTAAGTTGTGGGAGATGGGATCCAGACAGGCAACGTTGATCTCAATTGAACAACTTGTTCCGCTTTATGTCCGAGGCAAAATAGAAACATGAATTTAGACACGTCTTCCTGCCGATTTGTTGGATAGACCCCTAAGTGGTCTCCTGTTTGATACTTCATTCTGGCTCCTTCTAAATTGACTTCACAATGAAACTGGCATCTCTGTCCCTCAGTGAATTTTTGGAAATTGGTGAATCTTGCTTTGAATGGTTTTGCGACATGGTATGGAGGCCTATCGAGAAAATTCAGATCTCGTAGAGATGATACTATTTCTCCATTAGCATGCTTTCTTGGTGAAACCTCAGATATAGTGATTGAAGGCTTGTAGACTGTTTCTTGTGAAGGCTCCCAATTGAGGAATTCAGCTAAAGTAGGCATGAACTGGTTTTTCCATTGTAAATAGTCTTCCAGTAATTCTCCTTTTTCGTCGTTTCCTTCACCATATGAACCAAGTAAAGTGGAGCCCAGGTGACTGAGACAATTCTTAAAATCTCTAGAAGCTCCCTGATAAATATCGTAGGCAGAGTTTCCCAAACCAAAAAGACCATAATGAAGGTATCTGAAATGATGCTTTTTCTCGGAGCAGAGTTCTGAAAGATAGCTGAATGTTTTCGACGCATTATCACACTGCTCCCCCTCACCATGAGAGGAAATAAAGAATACTATTGTCATCTGTTGAGTGCTGTCGATAAGTGAACTGAAATCATAATTATCTATGGCATCAACGGAGACCTTTTTATTGTACTTCTCCAGAAGCTCACTGGCGAATTGGAAGGCCAGCTTCTTGGCCGAACCTGTCTGGGAACCATACAATATCAATAACGTATCTGCACTATCTGAGCTACGGCCATATGTGGCTGGATCTGGATCATCGCGGGCTCCGATGATATCCATGGTAATGAAAAATCATGACTTTATTTATTTTTTAAGGCAGTGAAAAGGTTGAAAGATATCCTCGCTAGATTAGGCTTTCGCTTGATATCTAAGCGTCTCTGTGTCCTAAGATTTGTCTATACAAAAGTTGTTTGGAGGATTCCAATTTGGTGATAGCAACCATGTTTAGTGTGTTCTTATGTCTCCTTTTCCTATCAAGGAAGTATCAAAGCACAATATAAGTTCAATGAAAGCTCCTGGTAAGAGGGAAGAATGTGCAACCTTGACTAGATCGAAAGGTATTGAACATTTTACCCTAGTATCAACATTTATTGTCATGTTCTTTCGTTATCAATAAACACATGTTTACATTATAGGTAGTGACTGGTTAGCCTTACTAGCTCAGCACGATAGGTGAATAGCCTAGCCAGTACCACGATTTGCTAACTATACTTTCTCTATAATACAAAGAGAAATGTTCGATCTTTTTCTCTGATTAATATTTATATCATCATTTCTTAGTGAAGAGTTCCTGATCGGCTGCAACAGCAGCTCTATAGGCATCCTTGTTGTCTGCAAATTCTAACAAGTATTCCAGTTCGAGTTCATGAACTTGGCTTCCTAGCATCACAACGGAGTGGAGTGGCTCACCAGCATCGTACTCTGCAAGCTCTTCAAGTGTTGCAGCTTTGAAGGACTGTGTAGGAGAACCCAAACGTGAGACGGCAACACAAGGAGTCTGCGGAGTATATGCTCTTTCTTTTCTCTTGTCTTCAACTTCCAGCAATTGTTGACAGCATGTGGCCACGGACATATATCTAGGAGGCTCATAAACAAGTCTTCCTTTCATTAACTCATCGAAATTAGGCTCCTTGACTTTGATGTCTAGCAAGAGAAGAGTGTGCAGTCCAATCTTCCTGTTCTCCATTATTTTGTGATAGAATGAGTCGGGCCTCCAATTATCGGTAAAAAAGACAATAGAAACTGCCTGCCCAAATGTGTAAAGCTGAAGTCCACATGCTCCAACTGCATTCATCACTGAAGCATTGTGTATCGCCTCCACTTTGATACCCAATTCTCGGGCTCTTATCACCAGGTCTGTGTGTGTCGTGGCGCCGAAAACATCTCCAACCACAAGGAAAGCAATGTCATCATCTTGGGCATTGTCCAGTATCTGATCTGATCCACTTTCAACTAGCTCTCTATCAGCAAGAATCACTTCTCTTCCGTAGAATTCCTCCAGTGACTCTTTATCAGCTGCCATGAGAATGGACGTATAAGCTTCCAAATATACACGTTTGCACCGTTTCACCACTTCCAATCCCCTTACTGTGATGTCAGTTGCATGCGACAGACCCAGGCCGATAAGGTACAACATGGCAGATCTTGAATTATCTTTAATTTTTTGTAATTTTTTGTAATTTTTTATCTCTTGATCGGGCTGTGTCTAAATTATTTATTGAAGTCTTGCTATGTCTGAAAGTACCCCACTGCTACCTATCAACAATGAACGCACCTCAAAGCCAACATGGAAACGCTACCGTTTAGACGTGTATATCCCTATGTTTCTGATTGCAAGCTTTCTTTTTGCAGCCTTACTCACTTTTGCTCTCAGAGTCAGACCGCAATTAGGCAACACAGTTGCTCAAGGTACTGATTTTGATTCAGATGAAATTAAGTTTTTGGGCCTGGAAGATGATGGAGGCATACTTCTGGAAGTGAAAGGGACGAACTATAACAATTACAGTCGTATTGAGGACCCTATAAGTAGGGCTTACTTCAAATTTGGGGGATTTACAGTTCGGAAGCTCAACCTTGCTGTTGACGACTTGGAGATGATGGCCTTTGACGAGTCCAAGGGAGATTATAAGAAAATGGGTACTGTGCAAATTGCCCCATTTGGAGTGAGGATCACCGATTCGACGCAGTCCGATCTGACATTATTTGTTAAGGTGTATCCCAAAGCCGAAGGCGTTCTGGGTGTGATAAAAAGAATTGTACTCTCAGGCGACTCAAAACTACGGCTTCAGGGGAACGCGAGCGTGAAAATACTTGTTCTGAACGGGTACATCCCGGTTTCCAATCTTATTATACCTTTAGATTTACTTATATGATTCAACCTGGAGGCAGCTGAGAAGCGTCAACAACGTCGGACGCATCTTTGCTTGGATCGGTGCCATTCTCTGAGGAGAATGCCTCTAATGGTGTTCTTGGAAGAGCCATCATCCCCGATCTGGCAATCTCAAGAATACCAAATGGCTGCACCAGGGCGATATAAGCACTCACTCTGCTTGGCTTAGCACATAGTTCAACCACGCAATTTCTGTCCGACACATCAACAACCTTTCCACCAAACTGTTTGGTCAAAGTAGTAATAGCATCAAGATGCTCGTACTTTTGTCTCAATGCTTGAGAAGGAGGCAAGTTATTAGGGTGGAACTGAGACTTTTGTAAATCTTCAGGGATCTCACCTGCTTGCTCATTGTGGTGGGCAATAAGCTCTTGGAAGTACTCAGAGCCAAGAAGCGAGATTCTTGCTAACAGAAGCTCTCTCTTGATGATCTCTGTGTTAGAATAGTCTAACACGGCGTATACAGGCACCAAGTCCTCAATTTGGCGTCTTGCTTGCTCAATCACGGCATCTTGACCATCCAAGACGATAGTCATACGACTCAGATCCTTGACCTCAGTGTTGCAAACAACTAGTGAGTCAATGTTGAATCCTCTGGCAGCAAGTGTCCCCGAGACCAATGACAGCACTCCTGGTTCGTTTTGAACCAGACAATTCAACACATGTTGGTTTTTTGGAGCCTTGGATGGAAGTGGGGTCTCATAGATAATAGAGGAGACGGCTGCACCTGCCGACCAGTTTGGAGCATCAATAGTAGGCAAATGCGGTCTCTTTTTATTTCTATGCAAATTCTTATAGGCCAGTGCTGACGTGGAGGAGCTGTTGTTCCTTGCCAGTTTCAGCATACGGCCAACAAAGGCTCTGCTAACTTTTGTACTGAGCATTAAGATATTATCTTCAAATGAATCACTTCCAGGAAAAATAATTCCGTCACCGGCGCGGTGAAATGGTAGTGCATGAATTTTTTTTGAGCCAGTCGTCGCGATATTGTGATTAGTATCTATCCTATCCTACTTATTAGGTACTACTGGTACGCCAGTCAAGAAGTTCCCTTTCCAACAGTAAAGCCTTTTCTCTTGAATCATCAAGCTCCCGCAGTGCTCGTTTTGCACGAAGAGTGGCTTCAGCTTCCTTCTGCTGCAAAGCCTCCAAACTCGAATCAAGCCTTGCCACCGTTTCCTCTAAATTCTTGATATCATCCTTGTAACGTTCAATAGTAGAAGCCTGGATCTCGTCGCGATGCTCGTAATCCTTGACCAAACGCTCAAGGTTGTAGAGCTTTTGGTCTTCATCACGCTTGGTGGCATTATGCAAGTATATTTTCTCTTCCAGTTCTTGAACTCTGGTAGTCCAGTGTTTCCGCTCAGACTCCATCTCCTTCTGGTGATCCGAAATAGTATCGTCGAGCTTTGTCTTTAGCTGTCTGTTGAATTTCGTCAAAGCTTTGTTTTCCTCCACCACCATCAGTGAGTCTCTTTGAAGATCAGCCATCTTGGCTTCGTATTCTTGCAGTTTCTCAGTATGCTGCTGAAGCCTCTCTTTCAGGGCCAATGTCTCTTGGCTTGTCTTCTCTAGTTCTCCACGGAGTTGAACAACTGTAGCTGCGTTCTCTGCATCATCCTTGGCCTTGGCAAGATATTTATCAAATTCTACAGTGATGTCTGACACCTTCACCTCCAGCTCACGCTTTGACTCTAGCAAGCTATCTCTCTCTTGTAGAAGATCCTCATTCGAGGTTTTAAGGGCCTTAACTTGTGATGTAAGAGTTTCTATTCGCATCAAGTGCTCTTGTCTCTCCATTGTGAGTTTGTCATTTTTGTACATCGTCTCAGTGAGTGCTCTCTTGAACTGTTCATTTTCCTTTAATAGTTCGCTGTTGCTGAACTTGATGGTACGAACTTCTTTCTTGGAGCTTTCGAGCTGCATGGTGACATTCTTGATTTGTTTGTTCAGTTCGGTCTCTTTGTCCATAAGCTGTAACAAGTCGTTGTTCAAGAGCTTGATTTCCCGGTCTTTTGAATCCGCTTGATTGGAAGACGAGGACATTCTAAGTTCCTCCGCATTCTCATGCTTGTCTTTGAGAGCATTGTACATTTCTTGCAGCTGTCTCAGCTCAAACACCTTGTCGGACAAATCTCTTTCAAGATCTCTGATTTGAGTGTTCAGCTTAGCCACCGTAAGGTCTGAATTGCGGTACTCCTGTTGTGCCTTGGAAAGCCTTTGTTTCGTCTGGTTCAGTTCATTTCTTAGAAGTTCTTCGGCACGTTTGGCGGTTTGAACAGCAACCTCCGCTGCCTCAATCTTACTGTAGTAGTTTTCAGCCCTTGCCTTATAAAAGTCCAAAGATTCTTGCAAAGACTGGTTTTTGTTTGACAAGATTTGCAACTTCGAGTTTAATTGAATGGACTGATCTTGTTGCGCAAAGTTTGCAGCATTGCACATTTGCAATCTTCTCAGTTTTGTTTGAGACTCGTTCAGCATTGAGCTTAACCTCAGATTCTCTTGTTTGACTATTATTGGATTCTTCTCGGTAGCCTCAATATTAGCTTGATTACCAAACTCGTGGGTGCGATCTTTCAATGGACCTGATAATGAGATCTTGAGTTTGTCTTCCATGGACTGCAACTTGAGTTCTGCAAGCTGATATTTCGACTTGTAGTCGTCCTCCAACCGTTCTAACCCTCTAGACTCACGAGAATTGTTTTTGTAATAAAGAAGCTCTTTTTGTAACTCAATGTTCAACTTCTCAAGGCGCCTATTAGCAGCCCTCTCAGATGAAAGCTCGTCAGACAGATCGCCTGACACTGTCTCCTTTCCAAGAGCTAGCTTCTTGAGCTGAGCTCTTAATTGTCTGTTTTCATATGCCTCGGATGCAAGCCTAGTTTGAAGAAGTCCTATATCTGCATTTTCTTGCCTTTCAGGCCTCTTGGATGATTTCAACTGATATTCTGCGAGCTTAACATCTAAACCTCTCTTGATTTTGTTCAGGTGATTTATCTCGGACTTTGCGTTTTTGAGCTCCTGAGACAATCTTGTCGAATCCCTTTTCCCAACTTCCACCTCTGTCTTCATTTCTTCCAACGCCTGCTTCAGGTCCTTAATTTCTCTGTCATACTTTTGCTTACCACGATCAAAGTTAATCTCGTCAGTGATTTTTGCCTCCAGCAAAGCTTTTGCTTCTCCATATTCGTGCTGCAATTGCTTATACTTATTTTGAAGCTCGAGATGCATGATATTTGCTTTTTCCATATCTGCTTTCTGGTCTTCTTTATTTTGTATAGTTTTATTCAAGATGGACTGTTGTTGTTCATGCTGTCGAAGACTATTCTGCAAAGCCTCAAATTCAACTAGTATGTCTTTGCGCTGTTGATGGCTTTTGAGTAATTCATCGGTCTAAAGTAGTTAGTACTTGATTCAAAATGATAGAGAACATCATTTTCGATATCCCGTCGCCGGTTTGAACATACCTTTTGTTTGAGTTTCTTTTCTAGGTCAGCATTTGCAGATTCAAGGGCTGCTTCAAGTTGTCTAATCCGTTCATCCTTCTCCACAGACAATTTTCTCAAAGATTCGATTTGCTCCCTAAGAGAGTGTGCATCTTTACTGTTTGCTTCCAGCTCCCCAGTCAAAGTACCAATTTGATCAAGAAGCTGCTTTTTTTCTTGCTCAAATGCTGTCTTAGAAGCTTTACAGTCATCCTGGAGCTCCCGTATATCCGTCTCTTTATCCATCAATTGTTTTTCAAGCTTGACATGATTAACCTGTAGCGTTTCCAAATTTTTGGTCTTGTCCGATAGTAATTTCCTATCAATTTCAATTGCTCGTGTTACTGACGCAAGCTCCTCCGAGAGTTTATTCTTTGTTTGCGCCTCCATTTCCTTTTCCGCATTTAGGGCATTAATCTTCTTCTCCAGTGACCTTATCCTCTGATTAAAGAAGGACTGTGACGAATTGGAATCTGCAAGCAAAGGCTTCACTTGAGAAACGATCCTAAACCATGGATCGCTGGAGACGGTGTTGTAAACGGTAAAGTTTTTTGCTATAATACGAGAGGCTTGCATCTTTGCTAATTGAGCTCTGGTTTTCTCCCTCAATATCACTCCTCGTGCAACGGCATTAAACTGAGAGACTATTGCTGACAACTTTCTTGTCTTTTCTTTCTCCAGCTTTGCAAGGACTCCATTACGGAAAAACAGCTTAGTTGTACCAATCTTGTAAACCTCAGGATCCAGGTGCAAATCATTGAGAATGATTTCACAGATGTCTTTGCTCCTCCTTCTCAAGTTTCTTGAAGAGACTGTATTCTTAGCCAGAAGCCAATAAGTCTCCGCAAACTGGTCAAATTCAATTCTATTGGGATATCCAGATCTGGCTATACGAATTCCTTCCAAAACACCATTGCATCTAAGTTGCTCGAGAACAAGCCTTTTATCAAACTCTCCTGGCATTTTATTTGTGTTGGGCAAGATACATCTCACAAAGTGAGGGTGGGTGGCAGACAGTTGCTTCATCAAATCGTTGAGTTGTTCTTTATGTCTCTGCGCGACAGTTCTGAACCTTCCACCTCTTCTTTGACCTCCTTTGACTGGGGAGTTTGTGAAATTTGTTTCAATTGAGGAATCAAACAGTCCTTTGACAAACTTGTCTTTGGACCCTGACAGAATCTCAACAAGAGTGCTACTAAGCGGGTCTTTGTTCTTGTCAAGCCAGCCATCCACAGAATATTCAACTGTCCCAGCATAGTGTTGAACAACGAATCCGTCTCTAAGTTTGCTTGGCCTGTACCTAGGGTTCTTTTGATTCGTTTTAGAGTGTAACTCTCGGTGCAGTTTTTCGAGAAAAGAGGTATCTGATCCTTTAGGAACGACACATTCCTCATTCAGTAAAGAGAATATTCCAATCTTGTTGGAGGAAGATCCTTCAATCAGTTCGATCGTGGGCTTGAGCTCCTGACCAAAGTCAACATAGTTCCAGCTGATACCCTCCCGCAGATATTCGCTTTGTTCCAAGACAAACATATGGTGATTGAAGAACTGCTGTAACTTCTCGTTGGTATAGTTAATGCATAGTTGCTCAAAAGAATTTCTCTCAAAGATCTCAAACCCTGCAATATCAAGAATGCCCACAAAATTCTGTGCCTCCATTGATAGTAGGGAGTTACGGCTGAAATTGTCGTTGATCTTATCCACCAAGAACTGGAACAAACGTTCGTATAATGACTTCGAAAGTGCATCGATAGCAAATTTGGCTTGCGAGGCCGTACGTTGCTGAGTAACAAATTCTCTTCCAGCTTTAACCTTGGATGTTAATAGGGCGGTTCTGATATCATTTTCTGACACTCCCAGAAGCTCAGAGACTATACTCAAGGGAGCGTCGTCGCTGAAACTGGCCTGCCGGTCGTCTTGACTACGGTTTCTGAAGGTGAGGTTTCCTAGATGCAAAATGGTGGCAATGACTTTGAAGATGTCGCGCTTTTCTTCCTTGCTGAAGTTCATCACCTCCAAAGCTTTTTGAAGTCTAAGGTACTCCTCCTTGTCATCTATCCCAGCGACGGCATAGTTGGTGTCTTTGAGGTAGCCATACTGCTGAACTGAACGGGTTAATCTGAGCTTTTTGAGCTCGCTTTCAGGTGCACTTTTGAGGAATTGATAAAACACATGATAATTTCTCTCTTTTTTATCTTGAAGAACAACTCGTGATTTTTCCAATAGATACCAGTCAATATGAGCACCCACCAGTCGCCTTGTAGAGTGTTGAATATGAATCTTGATGAATTTGCCAAATCTTGAGGAGTTGAGATTTTTCACTGTCTGAGCATTACCGAAACTTTCAAGTATCGGGTTGGCTTCCAATATTTGGCTTTCGAAACTAGAAGGTGTGGAATTATCCTTGTCTGTGGAAACGACCGCGAGAAGGTATTGAATCACTTTCTTTGTAGTCTCCGTCTTACCGGCTCCCGACTCTCCAGTGACCAAAACGCTTTGATCCTTGCCGTCAGTGATCAAGTTTTGGAAGGCCTCTTCACTAATAGCGAAAATATGTGGCTTGCAGCTGGTTAGCTTCTTATATTTCTCGGATGAATCACTCTTGTTTGACCTGGAATCCTTATACATACTAATGAAACTCTTATCGTAAATATTCAATTCCTTGTAAGGGTTGATTGCAACCAGAAACAGACCGGAACAGGTGTAAATAGAGTCTTCTTTATATCGTAACATAAGGTTGTTAACAACTGAAGGCTCGCTAAGATACGTCATCGAAGCCATATCCTGACACTTATCAAAGTGTGGAGGATTGCAACGATCAATCTTGTCGATGTCCAAAATGATGGGATCTTCCTGTGAATTTTCAGGTCTCACTTTGACCTGTCTTCCGTCATTTATTGTCTCGATAATACGTCCTTTGACAAATGTCTGGTGCGGGTCTGGCAACCAGACCAGACCATCAACCAGCAAGCCGTTGTCAGCCATTAAAATTAGGGATAGACAGATTAGATCTAGCGAATGTTATTGATTTGTTGCAAGTAATATAAACAATATCTATAATCTCGGAATTTGTTTATTTATTGCCATATTCGTGTATAGGTAAACTCTTAAGTATCACAGCCGTAAAACAGGTCTTGTCCACCCAGACACCATAAGGTTCAAGGAGTACCTGATTTTGTGCTTGAATGTAAAAATGAACTGATCTCATTGGCCGGGTAAAGATCTTTAAACCACCAAAAATATTTTACTGTCGTCAATCATCTATCTAGCCGGTGTATTCCATTTGCTTATTGATGCTTCAGTCTTATATATAAATAAAGTAGACAAAGGATCTTCTAACATTTCGCATACAAATTCTTACGAGGTTCCCAAGAATTGTGTACAGTATATTAGATATTGTAAACTTCGTCTGCTTTTTGTTTTCTAGGATTTTTCCCCTCGCGTAACTGGCAATGCCAGGATCTAGTTTGCACTGAACAACTCCTCCTTCAAATCAATTCCCAACTCTTCTCTGACATCCTTGAGCTCATCGAGGTAAGCTTGATACTGTTCTTTGTTTTCAACTTTGTGTTTCAAGCCCTCGAAAACTCTGACGGCAGTAGCGTAGTCGTTAACTCTTCTGCAGGCTCTTAAAGCTTTTTCGATAACAGCTGGAGATGGCACCAGGTCGTACGAGAAACAATTGTTCAAGACTCTTTGAACTTCAAAAAGGTCGTAAGCTTCATCGAACTCTTTCTCGTATCTAATGGAGAACTCCTCAAAAGTTTCTTCGTGGTGGTCAGAAGAGTACTTTCTGATGCTCATGAATTGGGCTGGTCTCATTGGTCCAGCTTTCGACACGAGACTCACATTTCTGGTGATCAATCTGCTGTTCTGTCTCAATGCACCTTTGATGACGTTCGAAATCATTATGTTTTGTATTCTATGAATTTTTTAAAATATCTGAACAGTTGAAATTAACACTTTGATTATTGGACAAAAACTTCTACATATAAAAAGTTTTCAGAACCACGCCAGCACAAGTTTTCATGTTTAGGTAAGCACAAAAAAAATAGGTAAACTGGCATCGAGACGACTGGTTGACTACTCGAGAATCTAACTCAATGCTTTTATATGCTATTATCTAAGTTTTTCTTTCCAAAATCCGTCTTTATGAAGTTTCATGTTCTCCAGCATAGCAGACCACCTATGTGACTGGTCGTCAAATTTGAGATACCGTTTTTTCTTGAGGGTACTTATCAACAGTTTATGATTATATCCCTCCTTCCATGAATCGGTTATGATTTTGTCAATCAGCACTTCTGTTGCCCTTCTTTGTCGCCGATACTTGGCATAGATAGTTGAGCCACGACTCAGCAGCAATGCCAGTTTGTCGAGATACCTGTAGACTTGGAGCTTTTCTGAGAAACTGAATTTTGATTCCATGATGCAGATCATCATCTGATGAATTAGTGCAGGCGGTATATCTGTGTCATAATCAGTGTAATATTTGTCAAGCACTTTGTCAATTAGATGCGGACTGGCTGAGACTAGATTGTGTACAATCCACATTTTGGTCCTCACGGTAGCTTGTAATCGAACCCGTTCTAACGCGTCTCCACGCGATACCATACTCCTGGTTCTCACAGGATCAAAGCAGTTGGTGATATAGCCCTCGTCTTCTAGTTTTGAGCACACAAGCTTCAGCTTTTCCAACCCAATTTCTTCGTGGTCATTTTGAATACATCTATAGCGTGGGGCGTGGCCTGCCAGGAGTTTATCTGCTAATCCGCTAACTGTAGAATCCACAACTTTGATCAAGCTTTGCCGAGTCTTGAGATTTCTAGCATGAAATGACCGTGACTTGCTGACTGTATAATTGTCGAGAATTGAGTGAACCTCCACAAATGTCTTCCAGTTCATACGACCCTTCTTCAAAACCAAACGAAAAAGCATGTCAATAATAAAGCTCGCAGTCTGTATTTTCTCGTGAACTATGTGGTGAGTGTAGCTTTCTTTTGTGAACAAGCTATCAATGTAATTGCCGATAAAGGAGGAAATGCTATCGTTGTCCAGTTTCCACAGTTGCTTGGCTATGAGATTCAACTGCATGGCATCAGACAGCACAACTTTTGGCACTTTCGAACCCAGTACGTAGAGGTCAGCGTCAACGGTTTTTGAAAGGTCTCTAACTGCATGTAGTGATCTGGCAAATAAAGCTCCAATTCTCGTCTTTCTTTCATCATCAGGGGCTTTTAGTTGAAGTGTTCTGAACCAGCGCAAAACTAAAGGCATTAGTGGAAGTCCGCATGAGCTGTTTTGGTGCTCAAGTATTGAAACAAGCTGCTTCAGCTGAGAGCTGCGGGGTGGAGGTTTGGTGAAGGCAGCCCCAAATCTGGCCATATTTTTTATCACGCTAGTGGGCAATTTTTCTTCGAGTTTAAAGAGCGTTTTTAATAATCGCAGCCAATCATCTATCGAGGTGATGTACTTTTGAGTCTCAGACTCAATGATATAGTGTAGGGTTGCTTGGAGATAATATTCGTCAGACATGCCTTTTGCATAGGCGAATATTCTGCCCAATTCTTTAGGATTTCCTGCTCCCTTTAAATAGAGCTCAATTAAAACTGTTTTCTGCATTGATGGGGGCAATTGGGAAAATGACTCGCACGTCATGTGTTTACTGTAATGCCTATGTTGAAAGAATTGTCCCTGAAGCCAGATGTCTGGTTTTTTGCAAAATTCCCAAAGCGTTTCTAGCTGCTTCTCGTTGAGTATGAGCTTATCTAATATGACTCTCACGTCGTTCACTGTAATATGTGACATCAGGAAGGACTGAAAAAAGATTTTTGAGAACCACCAGCTCTTCGTGTCCTTCTCCAGATGCGGTATGCATGTCAGGATGAAATATCCAACGGTGTCGGGAGACTTAGCAAAAAGCTGCTTGAAGGTTTGTGCCACACGAAAAAACTCGTTGACCTGGACTTTGGGATCGCGCACAGTTTGTTGAATGTTTTGAATAAGGAGTTTTAGCTTGGTGCTTTCAATGATATCGCTACCGTTTTGGCCCATGATCTGGTTCAAGTGGAGTTGCAAAATTTCAAAAGGATGGCCCGCTTCCGAATATCTGTCCTCCAGCCGGTTCGCAAGCTCTAGATCTACCAGTAAATCTTTCCTGTCTATCTGAAGAAGTGTTCGTGGGTTTGATACTTCTCGCATAAGATGCCTAAGAAATTCTTTCCTCGACCAGTCTGAATCAAATTGCTGCTCCAAAAGAGCGTTAGTGTAACTTAAAAAGTCTGTGAAGTTCATATCTGCCCCATTTAATAAAATAGAGGCATTGGCATACCATCTGGTCCTGACCAAAAATTCTATTATTGTAGGAAGCTGGTCTATAGTCCCGTTGACAAGATATAAACTTAGAAGAGTGGTATGATGAGGTCTCAAACGTTCCCTAGTTCGTTTCCAAGCTGCGCTATATACACGATTGGAAAAAGGTGTAGAGTTTAGTCTCTTGATGTCCGTCGTACTATGAAGATTCAGGTACTCATGCTCATTTCTATTATTTTTGTAATTTGCTCTTTGATCCAATTCTGCTCCCTGATCGGAGAGGTACACTTCAATGCTTTTCAATGTCGGCTCGACAATTCGTCGTACGTAGCCTCCAAAGACGCTGTCGGCCCAGCGAACTTTTTTAAAGCCATCTTCACCTGCTGTGACCGACTTCGGTCGGTTGTGAAGACACCTTCTGACCAATTGATGAGTCCTGTGTGCCTTCATCAAAAAGTAAAAAAGATCCTATCTTCCCCACATCCAAAAATATTAGAGGTGTATAGGTTTTTTAAGCCATAAATCAACGAGCTATACAATTATTTCTTTTGTCCTTGAGCTGCAACGGCAGCTGCACCAGCAGCAGCTGCTTCTGGGTCCAAGTAGTAGGATGGCTTAGTTGGCTTCAGATTCTCGTCCAGCTCATAGACGAGAGGAATACCGGTTGGAATGTTCAAACCAGCGATCTCCTTATCTGAGATGTTGTCCAGATGCTTAACCAAAGCTCTCAGCGAGTTTCCGTGAGCAGCAATCATAACAGTTTTTCCTTCCAAGAGCTCCTTGGCAATGGTGTCCTGCCAGTATGGAAGCAGTCTATCAATCACGAGTGCCAAAGATTCGGTCTTTGGCAAAACGTTAGGATCGATGTCTTTATATCTCTCGTCCCCAAATTGAGAAAATTCAGAAGAATCATCAATTGGTGGAGGTGGAACATCGTACGATCTTCTCCATGTTTGGAATTGCTCTGCACCATATTGTGCCAGAGTTGCTGCCTTGTCTTTACCTTGCAAAGCACCGTAATGTCTCTCGTTCAATCTCCACGATCTGACAACTGGGATGAAAAGTCTATCTGCCTTTTCCAATGCGATGTTGGCAGTTTGTATGGCCCTGGTCAGCTTGGAGGTGAAAAGGATATCTGGCTTCAGGCCTGATTCTTTGAGCAATTCACCAGCTCTAGCAGCTTCCGTCCGACCGACTGAAGAAAGACTCACATCCACCCACCCGGTGAAAAGATTCTTTTCGTTCCATTCGGATTGACCGTGTCTAACAAGGATAAGTTTTGGCATAATAACTGAAAATTGAAATTAAATGAAGAAATATTGTTCCTTTATATATCTTGTAAGTCACGTCACTGCATAGGAACTTACTATTCCGAAAATCTGTTGTCCCAGTTTTTCGGGGAACTGTGGTGGCAGAATTTAACGGATAAACTAAAACACTTGGCTAGTGAATCGTAACGATAATTAGAGATGCTGGACGGGCGATTGCTAGGGTCTCCAGTATACATGAAGTCAGTCACGTAAATAGAAGAATATCTGGGCTGTAGTTTCCAAACAAATTGAAAGGGAATAAAATGCTACCGTCAAATCAGACGAGAAAGAGCTGGAAATCTGCTACCTTACTCTTGCACTCTCTGTCATGGCTACATATGTCAGTGATTATTATACCGAACTACAGAAGCCTATTTTCGCACTTGTATCGTCGTCGATGGAGTCTTCTCAAGCCATCCTTGCACCGTTAATCCTCAAAAAAAAAAGTGCAAAACACTATGCTGAATTGTTTATTAGCCTGCTCAAGAATTAAGTAGTGTGTTTTCTTAGCGTAACCAATAGTTTTACGCGCACCCAATCACTCTTATAGAACTAATGTTCAATTTTTCAGGAAACTCTGGCCAAGGTAGCCAGGCGGGACAAGGTTTTAGTTTTGGAATAAATAATAACAAATCTGAAAACAACACCGGCCAAAGTACATTCAGTTTCGGCAAAACTGATGGTGCATCCTCGAATAGCGACAATGCAAGCAAGCCTGCATTTTCATTCTCCTCCGAAGACAATAAGCCAAGCTCACTAGTCGCTTCTAGTGCAGGTACAGAGAAAAAGGCTCCACTCTTTGGATCCAACCCATCATCGACCCAAGCTCAGTCACAACCTCAACCCCAGGCATCTTTGTTTGGCACAGCATCCAGCTCATCCAAAACCGAAAATAAGCCTGCATTTTCATTTGGTGCGACCGGTGCCTCGAACACTAATTCGCTATTTGGTGGACAGAAGACAGACTCGAAACCGACAAATTTCAGTTTTGGAGACGCCCAAAAGTCTGACGCTAAACCAACTACCGGTCTCTCTTTCGGAGGCTCCCAGTCTCAGAATATAAGCACATCTAATAGTCAGGCCGCTCAGTCATCAGGCAATGCTTTCAATTTCGGGTCTACTTCCAACGCAAACTCAGCAGAATCCAAACCATTGTTTGGGTCGGGAACTGTCAATGCTGGGAGCTCCGAGCCTCTCTTTGGTGGAGCAAATTTGTCATCGTCTAATGATAAGTCGAATGAGAAACCAACATTCAGCTTTGGAGGCCAATCAGATAAACCCACGTTTTCGTTCAATTCTGCATCTGAAAAAAAGTCAGAGCCTCTGGCGCCAGGCTCTGCATCAAGCTTTAGTTTTGGTGAGAAGAAGACGAACGATTCACACCCTTCCTTTTCTTTTGGCGATAAAAAAGCGGAAGAACCGAAGTCTACGACAGGCCTTTCTTTCGGAATGCAAAAGACGGAACAGCAGAAACCAAGCTCTGGATTTTCCTTTGGCAGTAACAAGCCCGAAGGTGACAAGCCAGCTTTATTCGCATTTGGAGATACGAAATCAGATAATGCAAAAGCCTCTTCAAATTTCTCATTCGGAGGTGATAAGACAACTACCAATAAAGAAGGCACCTCAAACAGTACCTCAACTAAGGAGCAAATCAAAAGCACTGGATTCAATTTTGGGGCCAAAGATGAATCAAAAACGACCAGTACATCCTCTGCTCCTTCCTTCTCTTTCGGCGCTCCTAAAACTGATGATAAGCCTGCTGCCACTGGATTCAACCTGAATCCTCCAAAAAGTTCCGACAAGAAAGTTGCTGCAAACCTTGACGAGAAGAAAGAGGAAAAAAAAGTCTCTTTTGGCTCTGGTCACGACAAAGCTCAAGTCAAACTCGAGGACATCAAGCCACAGCCAATTTCAATCAAGAATAAAACATTAGAGGATCTCATAACCAAGTGGACAAATCAGCTGTCTTCTTCTGTTAAGATATTTGAAAACTACAGTGACAAAATTAATAACTGGGACCAAATACTTGTTTCTTCGTCAGAAAAAATCTCTAAGCTATATGCGGACTCTCTGACATGCGATCAAAAGCAGTCAAAAATTGATCAGACTCTTTCATACATCGAAAGGCAACAGGAAGAACTTGACAAGTTACTCGATGGGTACGAAAAGCAGTCTGAGTCGCTTCTTGCATCGGTGCAGCAGGTGAGTACTGGCAATGGAAATGAAAGAGTGTTCACAAACGATCAAATTCGAGAAAACTCATACAGACTTGCTGAGAGTCTTGAAAACAAGCTTGATTCCTTGGAAACGAACTTTTCTTCCCTGATTTCTGAAGTCAATGAGGTGAGCGACTCATTTAACAGGTCTCTACTCTCTTCAAGCTCTAAAAGCTTAGAGGAGGAGTCCTCGCTGGAAGACATTCTTAAATTACTGAATAACCACTTAGAGAGTCTTAATTGGATTGAGAAGAACGAAAAACTTTTGAAAGAGCAAGTCGAATCCCTTACACGTTCTGCAATCTAGTACTTAATGGCCAAATAGTATAAATTTCTTGCTCTACTTTTTAAGTGCTTGTGACACCTTGTTTCGTAATCTTAATTCCAGCCTTGTGCGATCAAAGTCTCTCCTTTGATTGCAATGCGAAGTGTTATTTGTGTTCTTTCCAGAAGAACTTGATTTCTTTGTCCACGAAGTCGATCTTTTAAGCATATCTCCAAGCGGATATGATTGTATCTTGATAGGATTCGCAGACAACACCCCTTCTTTGTTCTCCTCATTTGATAGCCCCGAATATAACTCTATTATTCGGGCTCCTAGAATGCTCAAGTCTTGGTCAGACATGCGGTATAAAGTGATTGCGTCCTTGGTAATTTGTGAAATATCGAGCTGCAATAGCTCGTGATCATTATTGTTTGAGCCGACAAAAGCATATGACCCTGAATTTTTCGATTGATGATTTTCTTGAATATATGTGAATGTCGACTCTTCAGTAGGAGAGCCTACGTCTTCATTGACAAGGATTGCCGATGATGGCAAATGGCTTTTGTTTCTGTCGTCTATGGGGTAATGAAGCAATAAGTACAGGGCCTCACCATAATCCGAAATAATCAAGCGCGGTTTGATAAGAGAAAGGAGCAGGATGATAATATAAGGCAAGAGCAAGCTCAAATCTAATTTTTCGGGATGCTGGGTATATGAAAAGGCAACAAGCTTATCCCAGAGGTCAAATGAGTATTCAAGACCTATCTCACGGATCAGCAGCAGCCTCAAATAACGAATAAGCCAAATTGACGATTCTATGCGCAGCTTATTCTTCAGAAGATGATATTGGTACTTGTCCACAAGCCGAAGCTTGAGATCAAATTTGATACTTTCCTGAAGTAGAGAGGTCTCGTCGTAATACAGGTCAATTAATGATTCCGTCATCGTGTGGAACATGCTGAAAAGATCATGGCGTATATACTTAGAATCCATCAGCTCCAGGATAAGTGAGGTTCCCCGATCTGCATTCTGAAATGTTGTCTTGGAAATAGACTCTGTTTTGAGCACAACAAATATAATTCCCGCTATCTCGTGTAGTCCTTGTAAATACTGATCGCCATTGAGTTTCCACCAGATGTATAGTACTTCAATCAGCTGTCGTTTGTTTTCCTTGTTCTCAATAAAGTATTCCGGGAACTGAGGAAATAATCGATCGACATCTGCAATCAAGCTTTCAAGCGTCTGAATGTCCGTCATTTTGGGTGTTTTGGGGGTACTAAGTGGATGATGTTCGATTCTCATCCTAGATATTTTTAGTTTCTTTCCAAAACTATCGCTTAGATCACATTCAACATTCAAGTCACAGTAAAATTCATGGTCTTTTGCAAGCTCATGCCACGGCACCATGAGCTCACTTTTCAAGGTTTCATAGTCTTTTCTGCATTCCCTAAGCATTCTCAGATTGAGGTCTTCCAACTGTCCCGTGATTTGAAATGCTACAGTTTTCCAAAGTAAAGAACGGGAGAAGTAAGCCGATTGCCGCGAATACGAGCCTGAAAGTGCTAATTCAGGTAATTTCTCTGCCCTGCACTTTTGCAGAATATGGCGAATCCGTTCAACTGTATTTGACTCCTTCATGAATATGACATTCGAATTATATCAAATGATTCCATAAACTAATTTTCTGCTTACTTCAGCTATTTATCGGAGTCAGACGAGTTTATCGAACTAGTGTCTTCGTATAACGATAACTCGGTGTCAAGATTTTCGTCTTCATCTTCCTCTGGCTTATATAAGATGATGATCATCACTGATCCAACGATGATTGTTGACCCAAGAATAGTCAGCGGGCTGGGAAGGTGATCGAAGAGAACGTACTCTAAGACAGTTGTATAAAGCAACTGCGTATATGACATGGACATAGCTCTAGCGGCCTTTTCACGCTGCATACCCATCGTTGAGAAGTACTGCATAACAAAGCCTGCTATGCCAACTGTTGAAAGGAGAAGCCATTGTTTCAGGGTATGAGGGATTTGCAATGGTAGCTGAAATATTATGGCTCCAGCAGATGATACTATGAAGGTTATGAGAGCGAAAAAAGAGACTGTAAGAAGAGGATGCGCGTGAAACCCTATTTTCCGCATGGAGCACATTGAAACACCTGTCCCCAGACAGGACAAAAGAACTGCAGTTGTCCCGATGAGTCTCAAAGTGGCCGAGCTTGACTCGATTTCCTGGGTGCCGTCAGAAACATCTTCTTCGGAAGTAGTGTCCCGCCCGTAAAATATGAAAGAGGGTCGAGCAACGAAAATGACTCCCAGAAAAGCGGTTGCCCCACATATTGCTTCCAACCGAGTATACCGTTCGCCCAGGAATACATATGCCATCCATGATGTCACTGTGGGTGCCAAAAAGCTCATCGCCACCGTGTCAGAGACCGATAAATACATCAACGCACAGTATTGACCCGCTACTCCAACAAATCCGCCAAGACCCCGTAAAACCATGAAGATCCGGTAGCCTTTAGGACCAAATGGGTAATTTGGATCTTTCCATAGAAAATATGAGCAAAATATGTACGTGATGAACATCCGAATGGCTAGGATATGTAATGGATGGATCGGGGGGTCAAAGTCCTTATCTAGCAACAATAGCTTGCAGAAGAACACCATAAAAGAGTTGAAAAGATTTCCCAGGAGGATAAAGCAAATCCCCGAGTTCTTCTTGATGTAGTCTTCGTAAATCTCAGTAATCATGGTCAGATTTGAAGTGCGATGGTCATGTCAATGGCAAAAGAGGGATTAAATGAAGATGACTCTATCTATCAAATGCATCTCTGCACCAGGCCAAGATTTTTATTGTTCTCTAAAAAAACCGGTACTCTAAAAAAAAATATGGCACTGCCATTTATGTTTGCGGGTCATTCTCTATCACGCAATCCAATTGGTCTGCCAGCCAAACGGTTCTCCTATTTTGCTTTCAATATCAAATTGTTTACACTGTTTTTTGTACTTGAACACTTCCTTTAGATATAAAAACACGACCAAGCACGACCTTCAGTATGTCTCACAGAAACAAAAGACAAAAAGTTGATAGCTCGCTCATCGATGAAGAATTAATGAGTCAGACCCATGATCTAAATCAATTAACAAACTCTCAGTTCGTACCCCAGCAAGCCGACTCGTCCCTCATCCCTAAGTACAACGCAGATCTCTCTGGTCTACATATTCCCAATTATCCACAGGCACAGCAAGGACCTCAATCTCGAAAGATAACTTTAAAGCAAGAATCTGATGCTGAAACCCAAAGGATAGTGAACGAAACTATGGTCGCCCAGGCAGCCCAAGCTGCTGTCGCTCAACATCAGCAGCATGCACAACAGTACTTTACTCAGTCTCATGGGCAACCCCAGTTTGACTACCAGCAGACCCAGCAGTCTCAGTCGCAGCAATATCATCTCCCACCTCCTCCGCAAGTTCCTCAGAGTCAATCGTACCATATTCCTCAGGTGACTGGTCAACAGATATCTCACTCAGGTGATTACCAACAGGTTTCGAACCGCCATATGAATCCATCGGTGAGTATCTCAGACAATAGTGATCCTAGTGATTATCTCGTGACGCCTATGATGGAGGAGCAGGTGTTTGATAATGTCAACGTGTTGAAAGAGTTTGTTAAGGAGTTTGGTAAGAAGAACGAGTTCGGTATTGCTATCGCGCACTCTAATAATAAGGCTATATACTTCACATGTGAGCTAGGAGGTTCTTACAGAGAGAAGAGGAGTAAGAAGCATCAAGCTGGCCAGCGGTTTAACGAAGCCAACGACTTGCAGTCTCAATATGAATCCAAAAAGATTGGAACCAAAAAGATCAGATGTCCTTTCGCGATGGTGGCTAACTTCTCTAAGAAAAAGAACTATTGGACTTTGAAGATTACGGAGAACAAGCACAACCATGCCAAGCTAAACCCTCTAGAAGATTTCCCTATGTTGAGAAAACGCTCCAACAGAGTGAATTCTACCATCAAGGATCTATACTCAACGGGTGATAAGCCTTCCGTTATTCACCAAAAGCTCACGGCAATTTTCAGTGATATTGTCATCAAGAGAGAAGACATATACAATGAGATCAGAATATTGAAAAAGAAGGGAATGGTGCCCACGAACTCGGAAATCAAAAGTCGTAAGGTGGCAGACGAAGATTTGGCAGTTGAACAGCAGTTTCACCAATCCCAACAACCTATGTTGCAAGCGCATGGCCACAGTGGGCAGTCTCATGAGAGTCTTGGATGGCCTCAGGGGTATCCCACTATTGATGCGGACAATAAAAAGGAAGTCGAGCAGCAGGCAGCAGCAGCCGTTGCTGCAGTTCAAGCTTTGAAGGACCAACCACAGCACTACCCGTCATACCCTCAACACTATGGCTCTCAGCAAGCTTCATCATCAGTGCAGCACTACCCTACTCAACAGCAAGGATCGCAGACGCAAGCTTCATACCAATACCCGACAGCACAGTACTATGGTAATTCCCCTCAGAAAGAAGAGCATTTCAATATCGATGAGCGACTACTTGGAGGAAATTAGATTCGAGACTTTTCTAACTAATGTATTTCTAGAGTATACAAATTTTTGGGTTCGATAAATGTAATACTGGGAAACTGAATTTTACCCCGGAGAAAAGGATTGATAATCTGGGGAGAAATTATTCAGCGGGTGCATGAATTATATTGAAATGCGATATGATTGGCCTGAAAACTCGACTCCGAGATGGAGCAGAGATTAACGCACAAAACTCCGCATAAACACGAGGGAATATAAATAGAGTACAATCTAGATTTCAGGAACAAATAAGAGCAACATGACGAAAATCAAAGTAAAGACGCCCGTGGTAGAAATGGATGGCGATGAGATGACAAGAATCATCTGGAAGTTGATCAAAGAACAATTGATTCTTCCATTCTTGGACATCGATCTTAAGTACTATGATCTTGGCATTGAATACAGAGATCAAACTTCTGATCAAGTTACCGTTGACTCTGCATTGGCCACCCAGAAGTATGGCGTTGCAGTCAAATGTGCTACTATCACTCCTGATGAGGCCCGTGTCAAAGAGTTTGGTCTCAAAAAGATGTGGCTATCCCCCAATGGTACCATCAGAAACGTTTTAGGTGGTACAGTTTTTCGTGAACCTATCATTATCGACAACATTCCTAGAATCATCCCACACTGGGAGAAGCCAATTATCATTGGCAGACATGCTTTTGGAGACCAATACAAGTGTGAGAATATTGTGACTCCAGATTGCGGAGGAGAGCTCAAGATTGTCTTTGTTCCAAAAGACGGTAGCAAAAACATAGAAATTCCTGTTTATAATTTTGATGGCAAGGGCTGTGCCTTGTCAATGTACAACACCGAGGAATCTATCAAGGGTTTTGCTGTCAGCTCTTTTGAACTGGCGCTTGACCGCAAACTGCCATTGTACATGTCGACAAAAAACACCATTTTGAAGCAGTATGACGGCCTGTTTAAAGACACTTTCCAAGAGATCTACGAGTCACGGTACAAGGATAAGTTTGAGAAGCTTGGAATCTGGTATGAGCACCGACTGATTGACGATATGGTGGCCCAGATGGTGAAATCCAAGGGCGGATTCATCATTGCTATGAAAAATTACGACGGTGACGTTCAATCAGATGTTGTGGCCCAAGGATTCGGCTCCTTGGGCTTAATGACATCGGTTCTTATTTCGGCGGATGGCAAGTCGTTTGAGTCAGAGGCAGCTCATGGAACTGTCACCAGGCATTATAGGCAGCATCAGCAAGGCAAGGAAACGTCCACAAACTCGATTGCTTCCATATTTGCTTGGACTAGAGGTCTCATCAAAAGGGGAGAACTGGACAATACTCCCGACGTCGTCAAATTCGGTAAGACTCTAGAAAATGCCACTGTCGATACAGTCAAAGACGGCATAATGACCAAGGACCTTGCTCTAGCTAGAGGAGAGACCGACCGCTCTTCCTATGTGACAACCGAGGAATTCATTGAGGCTGTTGCAAATAAGCTCAAATTGCTTTTGGAAGCATAGATTGTTTATTTATTGGCCTAACCTACTTATTTATTTGCCGTTTTCAATCAAGTTTGCGTAAACGTACACTTTCAGGCAGTTTTCTTCTGGGGCACCAGAGTAATACACCAGCTCTGGAAGAATATCGGAATATCCATTAGGGTCGTTTGCGTATGTACACGCATAGAAGCTACCATCTGCATAATTGTTAGGAACAACTCGACCTTGGATATAAGTGATGCCCTTAGCAGTGTCATGAAGTCTAACTATCTCTGATAAGTCCCAAGTGGTGAGTGAAACACCCTGCGAAAGTGCCACAAATTTGTCCAGAAGCATCAACTGCCTTTTGGTAGCAAGCGATTCTGCTTTTCTGGTGGCCGTATTGTATATTAAGCGTATACTTGATAGCTCAGTTTCCACTAGGAAAACGTAGTCAATGCCACTTCCTTCATTGATTGCATTGAGATGAAGATTTGAAATAGTTGAGTTACTTGCCCTTACGAAAAGCTCCATGGGATAGAATGATTGAGTGAGTGATGCATTCTGTTTCACTGGATAGCCAAGCAACAATGTGCAAAGACACGAAAAGCATAAAAGCAGCCGATGGGAGTTCATTCTCCCATATCCAGATATAAAGCTAGCATATTTATACACTTTCAACTAAATGTTCTGTTATGGTATTTAGTTTTCCACGGAATTAATTTTCACTTTTTAAGTCGTTGGTATTTGACCAATATATTGCTACCGACACTAGAATACAAAAGTAAAGAAACTCCACAAAACAGCTTTAACCACCGAAACCGTACAAAGTTCTTCCTTGTCTTTTTAAAGCGTAGACAACGTCCAAGGAAGTAACGGTCTTTCTCTTAGCGTGCTCGGTGTAGGTAACAGCATCTCTGATAACGTTCTCCAAAAAGGACTTGAGGACAGCTCTGACTTCTTCGTAAATCAAAGCAGAAATTCTCTTGACACCACCTCTTCTGGCAAGTCTTCTGATGGCTGGTTTAGTGATACCTTGGATGTTATCTCTAAGGATCTTTCTGTGTCTCTTAGCACCTCCCTTTCCTAGACCTTTTCCACCTTTTCCTCTACCGGACATTTTGATTTATTATGTGATATATTATCCAGACTGTATGGGGACGCCAGGCTGTATTTATAACATTCGCTTGTGTTTATCCTGACGCGCTTCAGTTGGCATACAAAATCGTGTTCAGTGACAGAGTTTACGCACTATTCTTGAGTAAACTTTGGTCCTAGTTATTTTTACCGGCAATTTCGGACTATGATTTACTTCTGTATGCGCGTAAATATAGGAACGTACATCGCGACTGAATAAAATATTTGTAAACAGTCAGTCAATCCTATTATATAAAGGGACTGTACCCACCAACCGGTTTGATATTCTACATATTACTCTAAGATGGCCAGAACCAAGCAAACCGCAAGAAAGTCCACTGGTGGAAAAGCCCCAAGAAAGCAACTTGCTTCCAAGGCCGCAAGAAAGTCCGCCCCAGCTACTGGTGGTGTCAAGAAGCCACACAGATATAAGCCAGGTACTGTTGCCCTGAGAGAAATCAGAAGATTCCAAAAATCTACTGAACTACTTATCAGAAAACTGCCATTCCAAAGATTGGTCAGAGAAATTGCACAGGATTTCAAGACCGACTTGAGATTCCAGTCCTCTGCTATCGGTGCTCTGCAGGAGTCTGTTGAGGCTTACCTCGTTTCCCTCTTTGAAGACACCAACCTGTGTGCTATTCACGCCAAGAGAGTCACTATCCAAAAGAAGGATATCCAACTCGCTAGAAGACTGAGAGGTGAGAGATCGTAAACCTGGGTACATTGTATATTAGAAATCTATCGACTTATTTTCTGGTTACGTAACAGCGACTCGCAAATTTGAGATTTGTTTTTCGTTCTGCTATCATTGCTGTCTCGGATTTTCTGGAATATCAGAATGTCTGATAACAAATCTCAATTCTACGAGCTTTCCAATTCACCAGTTCCAGCTTGGGCATTTACTGCAGGATTGCTTGCCACAAATGCTATTAAGCCGCCAATTGAAGTCCAATTAGCTGCTGCATCACGAGCCCAAACTTCTCGGCTACTCCCTGCAATATTGAAACCATCCAAACCTATCTCTCCTTATCCGAATGGCATTCACACGTTGTTGTTTGGTTCATTCATTGGGCTTGGCGGATTCATGTGCTACGATAATGATCCGGTCAACGGCTCGGGATTGATCAGTGCATGGAGCTTTCTTTACTGTTTGGCCAACTCTCGTCGTGCCATCTGGAGTTGGAAACTTTATCCAAAATTTCTCCTAGCAGGGGCTGGCCTAAATAGTGTACTTTATGGTGGTCGGTTCTTCGGGTTCTATTGAGGTGAAGGCTGCCTTTGATCACCATTCTAGAGGAAGCCAGTTGCGGTCTTGTGCGTATTGTTGTATATGCGAATCATCGAACATCTCAATGAATTGTTGGTCTAACGGTCGCTCCTTTGGGTAGGCGAAACGTCGATACTCGTCAAAAATCATGCTTAATGACCACTTTTGTAATTTTCGAATGCATCCTACTATACATCCCGTTCTGTGCTTTCCCCGATTACAATGCACTAGTATTGGATGATGCTCAGGATTGGTGATAATCTTCAATGCCTCGTTCACCTGGTCAGGCTTGATTTTAACAAATGGTTCTTTATTTCCGCTCAGGCCCACTTGAAAGAATTGAATATCGTTTTCTCTCAGAAATTCCATATTCTCTGGGGGGTATTCCTCTGGTATTAGACACAATACAGATTTGAGTTTCAGTTTCAGCATGAATTCAAAGTTCTCAATTCGCGGGAACGAAGAGCGATATACTGATCCGCATACCAAAGCGAAATTCTCCGGAGGTGTGTAAGATATTCTATGGAGCCGACTCTTGTACTGCTCGATCAAGGCCGGATCTGTTGGAACAAACTTGTCGTACTCTTCTTCATCTGCACCGTCCGATTCCTGTTTGTGGCCAATGAAAATTGGTGGCAGCGACTGTGTGTTCAATGCTTTTTCATCAATAAGGATCTCTTCCTTATTCGCCTGCTCAAAATCAAAAATCTCAGCTTCTTCGTCCATTATCTAGGAAGTCTGCTGGTCACGTACTCAAAGGGGTGAAAGAAGGCTGACCAATATATACTTATTATAGTCCATCCTACCAGGCTTCGGAAGAATGCTAATGATAGTTGGGTCTAATTGTTAATTTTGTTGCGTTGGAGCTCGTGCACGGGTTTATTTTTATTTTTTTACCATAGCAGACACCTTTCTCTTAATCGAATAAGTGATCATACCAATGGTAAGCTATCATTATACTTCTATTCCTATGATCTAACCATCAGTCCGCTTTATTCAATTTCACGTCTCTTTTGCAGGTGCTTCTTCTAATGATTTGCACTGCCACATACATACACTCTTCATGGCCAGCAATATTGGACAAAAATAAGACAGGTGTGTTGGGAGTGTTTTGGAAATGCGCTAGAGTCGGGGAAAGACTGAGTCCGTATATTTCAATTTGCTGTATTGTGATTGCCATCAATCAGTTACTATGAACAAGGCTATATGCATCAGTGGAACTCATTCATTTCGTTGTCTCCTAGGGCGAGAACCCGAGAATTCTTCGTTCCCACGATTTTTTCCAATTTCATCAAATCCAACTTGCTAAACATCGCTCTCACCATACACAAATTCAAGTCGAGTACATCGCCAGAATTATCCGAATTGCTGTTAGCCATGTCCAGGCGAATTTTATTATCGACAATAAATTTCAGCACCTCGGAGTAGAAACTTGGATCTGTAGGAATACCATAGAATATGACGTTACGCACACCTTTGATATCGTAACGTTTGTAAAAATGCAACCTCTCCGTGTACAGCATTATTTTGGCATCACTTTGACCCTTCATGAATAGAGCACGATTTCGAGTCAATAAGGACTGAGACGAGTACTCGTCTATGGCAACAAAGGCAACGCTCGTTTCCTTTTCGAGGTAGTTTTTCACGCGAATGTAGTCGATGTATGATGGAAAATATATCAATGTGCCATTTTCATACGACACTTTGTGCTGGATTTGTGGAAGTAACACATTCTTGAAAAATGCAAATCGTTTATCCGGTTCGTCTAATTGTGAATCTGCCTCAAACCTCATGTAAACTTGCTTCAGCCTGGTCTGACTATTGATTATTCCAACTCTTGTTAGCTGGTATTTCAGGTTGGCAAGTTCACTATCATTTTCACCACAGATAGCCTTGAAAACCGCTGTTCCCCCCAGCAGGTTCACTGATATTTTGGGATTATTCATCGTAACATTGTTAAGCTCTGGGAATGAGTATTTCGTAAACCCTATCACCTGTGCAACATACTTGTAGTGATCGTTGATTGCCCACATCCTGATACGACTGAAATCAACTTTCAGGTCGTCAAAATCTTTTGGTGGAGCGTTGAGACTTTTGGACATAACTTCGTTCACATGATCCCAATTCTGCATTAGCAAACCTTCAGCTTTATCAAGCACAGTAATTTCTATGGAGCTCAAAAATGGTTTTTTCGTTTTCTCCAACGTCATTCTCAACCCTAGTGGGGAAGCAACAATCACGTCAGACTGATCAAATCTGGCAAACAGCTTAAGCGTCTTCCTTGTGAATTTTATTCCAAGGCAAAAGAAGTCGTTGGAGTTACCTTTGAAAAATTGTTTGAACTCCACAGGCTTTTTTGGATTGAGATCATTGACATCGAACGCATCATAGTATTGTTCCTTGAATCTGGTTTTGTATTCCACAGTATTTGGAGAAATGAGATCGATCAATTTGTTTACAACTTCCCACGCGAAGTTTCGCGTAGGAAGCAGAATCAAAACTTTAGGACGCGTGTATCCTTGATCCCTAAATTCGGGTTCCTCTGCAGGGTTTAATTTTCCTTCTTCAATCTGCCTTTGTACCTGGGCCTTTTTCTCATTGTTGTTCAGCACTCTATCCCTCGTCTTGTATATATGGTTCAAACAATGGAGTAGGTAGTATTCCTGATACCTGGTGGTCACGACATCTGGCATGCCTAGTAGCTGAAAGTTGACATTCTGGTAATTCAGCAATGATTCCAAGAGTTCTGATTCCAAATTTGTCGGGTTCCTGTCCATGAATTCGTTCTGAAGTTTTTGCTTGACGTTATGGTACTTGAGTTTATTCATAATGTTCTTTGGAGCACTTCCCTTTGTCTCAATATACCTGTAATCAAGTTTGATAGACTTCCCTAGTTGTTGTCTTTCGACCAATTTGATCTTGGGCTGGCTTTTCATGTAGTTGTCGATTTCCTTCTCTATCTTGTCTTCATCATTAAAATGTCTGTTGAATGCATCAAATCTATTGTGCACATCCTCATTATCCTGTTCCTTGTCATCGTCCGCTAGTTCCTCATTTTCTTCTTCCCCGTAATCATCATCCTCTTCTTCCGCCTCATAATCAAGGATCTCTTCACTCTTGACCTCCTCATCTTGTGCTACCTTAATTTTTGATTTCCTCTTCATAACTTCCGGGTGATCGCTTTTGAGGAGTGTGATAAGGGCACTATATGCCCCAATATCTGGTTTTTGAGCAACATTGTCTTCTTGGATTTCCTCCCCATTAGCTTCATCATTTTGGTCTACTTCTTGCGGATTTTCTTTGGGTTTTATATGACTATTTCTCCCTTTGTGAACTTCCCGAAGTTCCTTTCTTCCACTTTTGAACTTCTTCTTATTCGAACGGGTAGAAACATGCCCTTGGTTCTGTCTTTTCTCTGGTCTAGCCAATTTAGATGGCATCATCAAAGAGTGCAGCGATATCTATTAAATTATACCCTTAAAGATTTCGCAAAAAAATTTTTTGAAACAATAAAGTATAGAACGCTTTATCGTTACTTCATCAAGGCAATTTTGGCTGTTGGCAATTGCTGTTCTAAACCAAACGTTGTTGGACTGTATTGTAAAGAGCTAGTTGAAGATATAATACACACCGCCGTTTTGAAAACTTGACGCAAAATATCGAAATGAGCTCTCCCAAACAATCCCCCATTGGAAGTCGGACGAACTCCTCGATGATCAGCGATCATAAGAGGATTAACATATATGATACAGTTTTGCAACTGATACGAATATTTTTGGCATCGATATACCTGTTTTACATCGTTCTGACCATCCCTTTGAGCTTTGAAATAGGTGGAATAGACTGTGGCCTGAGTTACTCCATCACCATTTTGCTCATCTATTTCTGTCTCGCTACACTCAGAGTCCTCAAATATCATCGCATAATTTCATCATTCCTTTACTACACGCAGCACTTTCTGCTTCCTAGCTTGCTATCCATTTTTTTGACGGTGTTCACATCTTCGGACGAGTATAATGCAAGTACACTGATGAAGAAGATTTGGTGGAATTTCATTATAAAGTCCTGGAAATTATTCCTTATGAACTCTACTCCACTATTCACTATCTTGGAAGGATTTTGCTCGCTGCTTTCGATACAGGCTATCGGACAAATGTCACAATATTTGATTAAGCACAAATCCGACACATGGTCAATTGTCAACCTTATAACAAGTGCATGCATTTTATCCTCCTGTCTCTTCTTCTTTGTGAAAATCTATGTTTCTCCAATAGATTTGCAAAGAGTTGGACTTATTTCCGCCTCGTTGTTGGGATCTGCGTTTACTTGTACAATATTGATTACTGTTTTCGGAATCTATTCTGGAAAAGCGTCTCCCCTGGAGTGCTCCCTTATGGTCGCTTATATTGTGAAGTGCTGCTACGAATTGTTTCCCGAGCTTTCTGAGATGAACTTTAATATGTTACTCAAATTCATTATGAATGAGTTCAAAAATCTGGATTACCAAGCCAACTCATTGAATAAGGAATTTCTCAATTCAATTCAGACAACATTCAATAACTTCAAAACAGGAAGGGATCTTCTTGACTACGTGCATTTTGAGTTCCTGGCTAAGTCTACCACTAAGGACAAACTGCTTCTAGTTTACGTTAAATCGAAAGAATTCATTGTGGACGTGGTAATAAAATTCATTACCGAAAACTTCCCTAAATCATTTGAGTCTCTTTGGGATTTCCTTAAAATCTCTATCAGCAACCTCACTTTTTCGATTCTGATTCAGTTAGCATACAGAATATGTGTGTTTTTCGCCGCAACCAAAATAATTCCGATCCTTCAACCGGTTCAAAAAGGCTCCCCTCTTTCAACGCCTTCTTCACCGACTCCTCCGAAAACGAGCAGACATGAAAAGAGAGCAAGAAACAAGTCAACATCGAGTCGCTTGATTTATCTCTACTCACCTTGTATCATCATTGCTGTTTACACGAACCTCATGATCCAATACATTGATGAGCTTGACACGCACAATCATTTTTGGAATTGGCTCAATTTTCAGTTCGCAGGTTCCAGCACTCAGGTTGCCGAGGTCAGTAACTCGGTCCACTCCTGGCAAGTGTGGAACTGGATAAATATTTTCGGTGTGCTACTATTATATTCTCTTGAGCTGATGAGCCACGACCCTGACGATAGCTCGCTTACGGATCATTGGAGCATCTAGTGATCTCTTTTCGACCTATTATATGTATATTATATTCTGTTTTCAATTCAATACGCGATGTACTCTACTTACGTATACAGTTCCTCTCAGAAATCCTTACGGTGTTCATTTTATCGTCCACGTCATTAAGACTCGGAGCTTGACTCAAAAAACTAATCTCATCACATGAGGAACATGAAATCAATACACTCAGGATTTCCTAATTCTGAGTGCTTTGATACTTGCTATAGTTTGGCATCTTCGACAATGCTTATCACGTCTTGGCAATCACCAAAACTGAACAAACTAGATAAGGGCGTCCATGGAAGAAAGTGAGCTCCATTGGGTTATCAACAATAATGTTGACAATCATCATAACTATGGTTTAGATAGCTGTATCCAGTGCAGAATATCGGGAGAAGCCTCCCAATCAAAGAGCTAATGAAGCTCTTGAGTAGAACAGTGAGTCTTCAGACACATTTATAGCTCATTAAATACAAGCTCCAATTAGCCAACACCAACTAAGGCAAGAGGCTGAGGTGTTAGCCAATCGAAACAAGTAAGAACCATTCCTGCGACCTGACGCCTCACTGCTAATGGGTTATGTGACCCATCGACGTTTCCGCCTGCGATCTACTGCCGGAGACTTTCCCCAAGGCATCATGAGCTGACGCTCCGTATGAAAGCCTCGAAAGATGATTCTTTCTCCATGGACGTAAGGAAAAAAAAAAAATTGAAAAATTTTCAGCATACCATGTTGCGTTTGGTGGCCAAAATCAGGCAGATATTTTATACTCTAGGAAAACGTGCAATTGATTCGACTGACACTAGTTCATGTTGAGTGGTAATCTTAATAGTACTCATCATATCCATTGCCGTCTCTATGAGATAATCCATTCTCATTTTTTCGTTTTCTCAATTATGAAGTGTTAGCCATAATTAATTTTACATCAAATGCAAATAATTGGGTTTCTCTGATTCTCAGGCAAAAATCGTAAAAAATCGATAGTCATAGCTTCGAGGACTTTGTCTACAGATACAAGCCTCGTACTGTAACATGCGTCGTTAGTGTTCTGCCAATGCAACGACTTCAGGACAACGGTCACTGATTTTACGCGGAAGCCTAGCCAACTCAAAATACAACAGCACAAGTTGTCACAATATGACATTGCGAATTTGATCTTCAAGATAGCACAGCCGGCTTTTCTTTGGAACGTAAATTAACATGTCAGCGAACTACTGGACGTCTTCACAGCGTAACAAATGGCAATTCTCACGCCAAGAATTACGAGACGCTAGGTCGTCAGTCATAAAACTGGAGGTTCAACTTTATGGAAATGAGTCCACCATGAAATACGACATAAACATGAGGATATATCTACATCAGCTAATCATCAAACTTGGGCGGAAATTGAATTTGCGTCAAATCATTCTCTCCACAGCCGAAGTGTATCTGACTAGATTCTTTGTGAAAGTCTCAATTCGAGAAATCAACATCTATCTTCTTGTAACCACGTGTATATACCTAGCATGCAAGATGGAGGAAAGTCCACAGCATATCAGAACAATCTTATCGGAAGCTCGAAATTGCTGGCCCGAATTCATACCAAATGATTTGACTAAACTTGCTGAATTTGAGTTTTATCTTATAGAAGAGCTAGATTGCTACATGGTTGTTCATCATCCATACAATTCCATACTGGAGGTGGTCAACGTGCTGAGAGATGGTGACATGGCCTCCCGATTGGAAGTTTCTCCCGAAGAACTGCAAACCTGCTGGTCAATCATGAACGATAGTTACATTACTGACCTACATTTACTTTTTCCACCACATATAATAGCAACAGGAACTCTCTATCTAACGTTGGTCCTTGGTGCCGATGTTCGCAAATCAATCAATAATATCCCCAAGACTCAGAATCAGCGCATCGAAGCATTTGTCAACTTTCTGGCGGCCTCGAACATTGATTTGGATGAGGTGATAGAAACAATACAGGAGCTACTCACACTGTATGATGCTTGGAACTCCTATGACGAAATGTATATCAAGAATGGCTTGCATCAGATGCTGTTAAACATGAACAAATAGACAATGAATTGCAAAAAGAGCTAGTCTACCATATACAGAGGTTGAACTGTTTTAAATTGGGGCCTGCAAAGTCTCATTTCCGAAAGCTGGAAATACGATTCATAATAAGACCATCCCAGATTATGTAAAAAAAAAAATCAAGCTGGAAAAAAGTGGAATTATCAACAACGCATTAAGAAAATAGAATTGTCATCTTGTTTTATCTTACTTGGACGCCCAAAATAAGTCAACTAAAGGAATAAAGCCCAAAGTTTGATAGTTTCTGCATAATATCACTCCTTGGAAATGACTGTGGAATCTCTTCCGAGTGCGTCCTCCTCTGCTTTCAACCTTGATCGATCCACTTTAAAATCTCGAAGCAGCTTTAAAAATGACTTGAAGAATTCCACAGCTTCCCAGGCAGGTTGCTTGGAAGTTGCTAAACTACAAGATGACGCGTCCCGTCTTCGAAAACTAGAAAGTGCGGATAAGTTCCAGATACAGATGGCGCTTTTGATCGATCTTACAATTTTTGGACTTTCATATTATTACCCTTCGTTCTCAAAATTCTACACTTTACAATATAGATACCCACATAGCAACTTCTATGATATGGGTATTGACGACTCATATTTTGTGATTTTCAGTGTGCTGAATTTGGTACTCATTAGAGGATTTTGCATGTTGTACATATTAAAGCCTATTGCGCAGTCATTCCAAATGTACAAACTTAAAGCAATACAGAGGTTCAAAGAACAGGGATGGTCAATCATATACTTCTCATTCTCTTGGGCATTTGGTTTTTATTTGTACCTGCACTCAGATTACTACTTGAACTGCGATAAATTTTATGAGAGCTGGCCGAACGACAAAATGTCAGCCTCATTCAAAGCTTACTATCTTATCCAAACTGCATGTTGGTTTCAACAAATGATTGTTCTCCATATCGAGGAAAAAAGAAAAGATCATTATCAGATGTTTTCTCACCACATAATCACATCACTGCTTTGCATAGGCTCTTACGCTTACTACTTCACCAAGATTGGACATGTTATTTTTTTACTAATGGACATCGTCGATGTGTTTTTGTCATTTGCCAAGATTCTCAAATATTGCGGCTACCAGACTTTTTGTGACACAATGTTTGCCGTGTTCATGATCAGTTGGATTGCATTGCGCCACGTCGTGTACAATTATGTGTTCTATCATGCTTACAAAAATGCATACAAGATGCATGGAACCTGTGAAGAATTGGCGCCTCTTGGCGACTATAAAATCTGCTACCACAATGCAACGGTCAATATATTTTTATCATTACTTGGTGGATTACAAGTAATCACAATCTTCTGGATGTTCCTCATTGCTAAAGTTGCATATAGAGTCGTTTCTGGGGATAGTGCAGATGATGTAAGAAGCGATGATTCAGATTAGTTGCACAGTTAATAGATGTATATGTTATTGAAACAGCGTTGAATATAGGCAAATGAACATTACTGCAATTCCCCAAATGATCAGAAGCAGTGAGAGCTTTCGGAGTGCTTCATTTCGGAACACCCAGTGATCACTATCCAATGGTGAATGTGTCACTAAGGCATCCAACATTTCTGGATTATTAATCAGTTTGTATCCATAAAATCCAGGTAGCACAAATGATATCAGAACCCCTCCGGTGGAACCCACTAACGACAAGACCAGCTCGAAAGACTCAAGCTTGATAGCAGCGATATAGGCGACAATTAACATGGCTACGCTGACTTTCACAAATCTCGAGCCGGACATAGGAATTGCTTTAGCTTCACTGGATAGCAACGGTTGTGCTTCGCGCGAGCTCTTGAATTGGCTCTCTATCCAATGATATACGTTATTGATTGACACTCGAGCGGGGTGAAACATCAATGGGAAGGAGAGAAGCACCATCAGCGAGAGCAATCCCATACCCAATTTGGTAGGCCATGTGTCGTTGTACATTAAAATGATGTTTCCTTCGAGGGCATTTCCAAAGGTGAAATAGCCCGAGAGACCAACTGTTGCAAACAGAATTGTGGTAATGGTTAGAGAAATTGTGATGATTTTGAATATACGGCTTAACCTAGGGTCATGTAATTCGGAGATGATCGAAAATTGAGTAGGGCATGTGAAGGCAAGAACAATGATAGCGAAGGTTTTGAAGACCGGCTTGAAACCTTCAGGAGTCCACCAAGAGATGGGCCCCTGTTTCTGCAAAGGAATATGCTGGAACCCGGTGGCCAGCCCGTAAGCGAAATTGACATAAACCAAAATGACCAGATAAGCGATAGCCAAGAGGGAGACAACTGAAGCGTATTTCAAGCTGTCAAGCCGCCTTAAAAAGCACAATGGAACTGTAATGACAGCTGAGATGAGGATGTAGAAGAGTCGCATCTGAGAGTCTGTGAAACCAGATATGGGAATAATAAGTGGCATCAAATCACCAGTCAAAACAATGTAAGATATGTCCACACCGAAGCATTGTAATGCAATTGCCAAGTCAAAAACAACACTAAGGCTTGGGTAAGTTATTGAACAAACAGTAAAGAAGTTTGCATTACCTTCTCGAAGGAATTTAGAGGAGATCGCTTGCAAAAAGAGTCCAAAAACATTCGTTGCCGCGGCGAAAACAAGAATCAAAATACCGAACAGAACTGAGTCGGTCCTGAAAGCATATGGGAGTAGCAGGATGCCCGACCCAATGATGGTGTTGACGGTATTCACCACCGAGGATGAGACTGTGGCTGTAGACATTAAATTGAATAATTACTAGACCAAATAAATAATTTCACTCCAAGCGGAGATCAAAAAAAAGAGCCACAGGAAATATGTCGAGTGGAAGCCGTTCCCGATTGCAATCCAAAAAACGAATAGTACCCGCAGAGAACAGAAAGAGAGCTCCCTTCTCTTGCGATCGCTGCAAACTTCGAAAGACGAAATGCAGACGACTGCAGGATAACGATTTGAAGTACGATAATATTACACCCTGTGTACAATGCACCAAAGCGGGTGTATCTTGCACAACAACAATTCCTCGGAAGAGGCGATTCTATGGGCCAATAGAAAATATCACACTGCATTATAAGTGCTTGCTGGCTCTTGTTTCAGGGCTCTTTCCGGACAAGGACATTTATAGCATCGAGGAGTTAATGGAGCTAGGGAAATCATTCAAATTTGAAATGCCTACCGACGACAATATTCTAGACGATATTCAGAACATTCAAGAACTAAATGATACCAACATGCAAGACGTGGCTGAAATTAAGAAGGAAGAAATAGACTCGGCCATCCCCGAGGAAGCAAAAGTTGAGAATGAGGGTGATGACGAAGACAACGACTCGGAAAATAATACAGACAAACAGATCGATATAATAGACGATGATTCATCGGGGCAAAAGCAAACGCCCCGGCTTCCGCCAAACATAAACTTAAAGGCCACAGCTTATGATCGAGACCGACTAATCATGGATCGCTTTGGCCACACGCACTTTATCGGTAACTTCGGAACTGCATCATTATTGAATGGGCTTTGTGATATAATCATCAAAAGGTCTTTCAGCGTGAAGCCACCTGTCTCGACCCAGGATATTCGAAATAGTTCAGTCCAAACAATCACATCTGAAAATGAACCCGTTTACCAGTATCCAACACATCTATATAACTTGGATACTATAAACATAAATCGCTTCCCTCTAATCAACTTGCTGAAGAGAAAGGAGGCCGACGTCTACAAGAATGTTTTCTTCGAGAAAGTACATCCATACTATTTCATATTCAACATACTAAAGTTTGATGAGAAGTATGAAATCTTTTGGCAAGAGATAGCCAAAACAGATGTGAAAACAGACGAGCCATTTCCGATGAAGATTGGGAGCGCCGAGATATGCTGTATTTACATGGTCTGGATTCTTGGCAGACGATTTCAGCTGTACACAAATCCGCAAGACCTTCCTGCTGACTCTGAATTGAATGATGATCTGATAGGACGTTACATTGATATCATCAAATTGTCTCTTTCAGACATCGTTTTAACGCCAACTCTAGATGGAATCCGATTGCTGATTTTATTATCCGTTTATCTATCTAGCATCAAAGTGCGCGAGAGTGGATACTGCTTGATGCAAATGGCAGCGATACAATGTAAGAGTTTGGGATTGCACAGGAAATTTATTGTCGATAAGTTCAATGATGAAAAAGCAGATGAAATGAAGCGTATCATGTGGTCTTTGACCAAGAGTGAAACCACTCTATGCTGTTCATTTGGAAGAGCCAGCGCAATCCCTTGGGAAGAAGTGGATGTTGAGCTACCAACCATGTCAGATGTCGATAACGAGCTCTTTAAAATTTACTATGTTCAGAGTTGCAAGCTGACGAAGATCATTTTTCAAATTCTTGATAACAAACGCAAATCCTCTAGGGAGCCGCTGTCTCTAGTCAGCATCGAAAAGCTGCTTCTTTTCCAAAAACACTTACACAAGTTTTGGGATCGCCTGCCAGAAGATTGGAAAGATTACAAATCCCTCCCTGTTCGCCGTTACAAACCTAAGCTCCATATTCAATTTCATTACTACTTCATCACATTGACGTTACCCGTTTTCATGCATATTGTGAGCACTCAGTCTTCCATCATCAATCGTGATGATCCAATACAATCACTTCTTGTGAATGGGATCAAATCCTCTTTCAAGACAGCAGAAATTTTGACTTATACTGACTCTAATGGGTTTTTCAACGGAACACTGTATTATGATGTGTTTTATTCTTATAACGCTATCATGGTTCTCACATTAACTTACATCTTATTCAAAAGTCCAAAGGGGAAAGTGGCGAAAAGCATCCTTGATCTTGACTACCTGGACAAGGAGCATGACATTAACTTCTCCAGTCTCATGAAAGCGATAAACCTGATAAGAAATCTTATTTTGAATAATTTGCATCAGATTGACGGGACGATGAGAAGAATAAGCGATATCATTGAGACATTGTTGGAGGATCTAGGAATAATTCAGATCCTGGTCAAGGAATTCAATGCACGCCCTAGTAATGTACGCAAAATAGAGGGGAGAAAAGAAGGAGGCAGCACAAGTGTCAATGGGGGGATTATACCCGGTTATTATCGCAAGCTGCGTATGAATGATAAAACTAAAGCCAAAAAGCGTCGCCTGGACAAAACTGTGGAGGAGATCACCTTCTCGCCCGCTTCTCCTCGCCCACTACAGGCGGCAGAAGACCAGCCGAGCCTCCCATACTCCTCAATATTCGATTTCCCAAAATCCCGAAGCGCATCTTCAACCAACATTGCAGGCCAGATATCCAACTTTGAGATCCCTGTCTATGATGATTTCAGACGAGAGCAGCAACCCGGAAGCTCAAGATCACCGACCCCTGCGGATCTAAATGTGAATGAAGCATTAAACTCCATTCTTGACACAGAGCTTATGGAGGTTTTGTTTGGTGCTGATATGGCAGTGGCGAATCCTAGAGCTACTAGCGATGACTCGTAAGCTGCTTTTGTGCTCGGTGATTTTAAACACACCTTCCCGAAAGGTATAAAGAATCCAGGGTATTGTGCTGTCAAGTTCTGATTGTGCAAATACCTGATTTTTGTCACGGATTTTTTGCCGTTTTCGGAATAGGTTTTCTTATCAATTTAACGATGATAATATATATAACTGCTTGAGCAACCTATATCAGCAACTTTCATACATGATTGAGCAGTTAGATTGGTTTTTACTGCTCATGGTGAGCGGGGCCTGTGGATTTGCCCTGTTCATGGCCAGGTGGTATCTAGGAAAAACCACTCGATCAAAGTCGTCTGCTTCCAAAACCGAGAACACTTTTAAGAAAGGAAAGTTCCATTCCGATATGAACGCACCACCTCCTGAGCCGACACCGCTTTACATCAAGCCAGAGGAAGTGAGAAATAGAGACGACCGTCCTTGGAGGCCATTCAGAGTTCCTTACTATCAGACAATGTCTATATTTAAATTAGATATCAATCACTGGTTGGATATGGATAAATATTACATTCACTACATTGAAGAAAAACGGAGAGTTTTTCATACGTATGGCAATGAGCATATTGGGTGGAGCCCTGAGTCAACGGATGCTTGCTATGAATTGCTTGATACAGTCAAGAAGCATATGCTAAAAAGATATCCCCTCCTCTTCACCACAGAGGATGATGGAGTGCATGTGAAGAATGAACTCACAGGCGAGATTCTTGAGTTTAGCGAACCCCTAAAGGATCATCCCTTGGTATATGTCTCAAAATTGGCAAAAGAAGACTTTTACATTCTTCAAAAAGGTAGCGATGGGGAATACAGACTTGCCGCAGCCGCGGTTCCGTTCCCAGGGGGCTCCTTCAAAATTAGCGAGAAAATTGGCAAGACAGTGGATGCGATTCACGATGTTGTTCCTTACTACGCAGAAAAATTGAGAACCTCCATGTTGCGTTTTTTCGATAAGATGGCTCCCGCCGACCCCGTCGAAAGAGCATCTTTCTATATCTCGTGGGATCATAGATTACTTTTGAACAACATATATGCGATGAAAGAGGGTGAGAAGGTGGATTCGAGTGTCTTACCGACAGAATTCAATGTCAGAGTTGAAAGACAGACGTTGCGGAGACTACCAAAAACTAAAGCCATTATTTTTACGAACCATCCTATTTTTTACTCGATCGATGAGATGAAAGATGAACCTCTTATCCCTTCATTGCTGCGCAAGATCTTGGACGAGGCTCCAGAGAAAATCATGAAGTACAAGAACTTTGATGCTTTCAGAGATCATCTCATTCCTTACTTGGAGGGTCTGATACAGAGACAAAAAGATCTGGGGCTTATTGATGACAGCACTCCGGTTAGGACTCTACCCACGTACCCCTTTGCTCACTTTACCAAGGACTTTAACGAAAAAACTGGATGGTCTAACCCCAAAAACCCAGTCAATTACTCGGACAAGCTGCAAGATGAAATCAAAGCTGCGATACCTCTTGAGCAGTCAGCTTTTGGTGCACCTTCCGCTGCAAAAGCTGCGAGAGCTGAAAACCTTCTGGCAGCATGACTGAATATCTGCTGGATTATGTTTTTAGTTGACTAGCGAGTTACTGAAAGACGCACATATAATATTTACACAGGTGAGCACAATCCCGCCATGACAGCCACAGTCAATGTGCGTCTACTTGTTCTTCCTTATTTTATCGAAACCAAGGACTCATATAAGTCAAGAACCATATCAATGTTTGAAAATTCTTGAAGTAAGACGGGGATGGAGTGCGACGGAAAGAAAATGTGGAATTTTTCCATTCCGTTCTGGTCTGTAGTGACTTTAAGGAAGCATCATCATTCATATGGATGAACTAACTTATCATCCCAAATTGGGCTGGTGAGTAGTACGTAATTTGAGGCGTTAGAGTGAGCAGAGGATATTCAGGTTACTCAATAAATATCTTATTACTAAAAAAATGAAATTTCTCTATTTTTCAGTCTTTACTAAATCTATTATTCACTTTATTATCTATTATATGCAATTTTCCGTACCAGCCAGAATTTTTTTGAGAATTCCAATATCATCAATGATCTTGAGGATATCCATCTTTGGAACGGTAGACGATAGTCTAGAATCACCGTAGCTAATTGGCCCCTTGATTTTGGACGTAGCATGTATTTTCGCGTTTGTAGTAGAACAGATATTGATGAAAGAGTCAGACTCCAATGAGCTCAAAACTTCGAGAAATTCGCCTCGATTAAGAGCCCCGATGACTTTGCGCACATCTTGTAGTGATGCATAATATGAATAGAATGAGTTAATGGATGCAATGGTTTTGGACTTTTGACTTTTCAATACTTCTTCGTATTTGATAAGAGAGCACAGCACTGTTTTATGTTGAATGTTGAGATCCTTCAATTTGGAGTTGAAGTTTGAGCTGACTGTGCTGTTGCAGACTCTAGCCAGCTGGGCGATCATTACTTTGGGTGCGTTCTCAAACGTTAGACTGTGAAGCTCTTTGCTGCCTAGTTTTTGTGCTTGTAAGCTTTCTGTTAGTTCAAGAGCTCGATGCATAATATCAAAAGCACTTCTCAAATCTCCTGTAGTGATTGCCGCTTTCTTGGCACAAAGTTGGATTGCAGCAGGATGAACCAAAGGAGGAATAGTTGTCTTGTTATCCACAAGAGAGCAAAGCTTTGCGGTCAAAACTTGTTTGATTTGATCAGCGGTATAAGGCAAGAAGGGAATCAACCGGGGACTAATGTTGTTACATTTTAGCCGCGGAAGGAAACGATCGGTTAAGTCCAAAGCATTGGCAATTCCAATAATGGCTAGTTTCGGATTGTCATTTGACATATCCGACGCCCACGAAAAGAGCTCAAAAAGTACCTGCTGGCTATTACCCATGAGATTATCCATTTCGTCCAAAACCACAAGTGTGATATCGCACTTGGACTCATCTGCTAGAAATCTTTTGAGCTCCTGAGCTGTTCTTTTTTTGCGCGTGAACTGGCCCTCGAGATCGCTGTAGATCGCATCAAATATGTCTTCTGCTTTGCGCACAGTCATGCAGTTAATTTTTGCGATCCGAACTCTGCGGTTGATTCTTTTCGAGTTTATCCTCACGGGAACTTTGTAGATCTTAGCGTCCGCGTTTTCGATGTCTCCCACAATCAGAGAATTTAGTATCGCGTTCACCTGCGCGGTTTTCCCGGTTCCCGGAGGACCTGACACGTACATCGACGTGGACTCCAGCTTCAACAAACATTGGTCTATATGTTGTCGGAGTAAGTGAGCTTCAGGTTCTCTTGCAGTCAAAGCAAAACCATCAACATCCACTGCCGAACTCCTCAAGAACAATTTCTTCGCTCTTGAGTAAACTGAAAGGGGCTGCGATTTAGCGGCACCAAACAGCTTTGTATTAAGAGAGCTCACAGAGCTTGCCTGGACATTCAAGATTCGGTCATGTTTCTCAGGAGTAACGGGAGGAGAAAGAAGACCTAATGAAGTTGTCGAAGTCTGATTCAATTTGATGCGTTTGCCTTGTATTTCCCACTCTATAGGATCCAAGGTCCTTTTGATCGCAGACGACGTTATATTGGCCATTGGATTGGACATAGAAACGTGTGTGAAGAAAATTTATAGCTCTAGGTTTGAAACATGTCTCAGACGCTTCCTGTACTATCGCGACACGCTTAATTAAAGGAGCTACTCCTGCAATAAATAAACTTTCCTAAAGTAGTAATTATGGATAAACACGAAAAGCAGGATTATTTTCGAGTTTGAAGCTTTCCTAGAAGTTACCCGGCCAGTATTACGAAATATACTTGGTGTTGATTTTTTGAGAATTTAGACAGATTCTGCCATTGAAGGTACGGCTCATGAAAAAGAGGTGCACAAATAATTTCCTTTGAAAAGATTATCAGAGGGCCACCTTATTTTAACCCAGATTAATACAATATTAATTTGTGAATGGTAACGCAATAGGGACGCAAGATAAAGAGATACCACGGTTATTATATATAGCAGAGATTTTGCGAGATTTACACACCAAATTTTCAAGGTTTTGAGGGTTTAATCAAATCCAGGCTATAAATAATATCACAGGATGTCTCCCTCAGAGCATCCTAGACCAAGCTATAGTGGTTCGAATAACAGCAATACCAGAGTGTACAAAGATGACAATAAACGGTCACGAAAATACATGCCGTCTCATCACAGCAAATACAATGGTCATCACCAGTATCAATCCACAACTCCTCCATATGGCCAGAATAACAACATAAACCCATTTTCTTCAAGGCGACAAGAACCGCCAGGTTCATTGCCAGGTGCTTTGAACAGCGCCCAAGGCTCTGTGAGCGGTAATGGAGACTCATATAGCTCATATCGCTCGAGCAATAGCCATGACTCAGGGTTCGGGCGAAATTCGTTTTCATCAGGAGGGCCAAGACGGAGCATGGGGTATCGACCTTCTCGAGGACACCATAATACTGGCACTTCTAATGGCCGTGGAGGTAGCTCATCGTCGCATTATTTCAGATCATACAGTAGTGATGGCAACCCAGGTGGTTCAAATGGAAGGTTTTCAACTAGTTACTACGGCAGGGAACATTTTAGAATGGAGGACTTCAGACAAAGCCCTGTCTCTGCGAATGACGATGGACATTCTAGCGGAAGATGGGGTTCAGGCGATCGAGATCGCATCACTCCTCAGGAAGATGAATCCTCTAAAACCGGTGATCTCGTAGGAGGGCTGAGCAACAAAGGTGGTGATATAATACTCAGCAGGGATTACAGATACAACCGAGGAGGACTGCGTAATTATCGACCATCAAGAGTACACTCCACTGGTGGGGGTTATGCCCGAAGTCATTATAGGGACGAATATCGGTCAGAATATCGCGAAGAAGATGACCGAGTCTGGAGTGAGCGCCAAAAATATCACAATTTCAACCGACAATATGACTCTCTTTCTTTGGAGAGTTCACAATCCCCATTAAGAAGAGCGGACGCAGAAGATAGGGTTCACAAAACAGGAAGTACACAGACTGAATCAAATGAATATCATCATATGGGTACCACCATAAAAGACTCTGAAACACAGACCAACATATCTAAGTCTCTTGATCAAAGTGGTACTATCGCTGGAGCAGCTCAGAGAATGGCTGAGCGCGGAGAAACAGTCAAGGAGGGATTGTTGGCAAATGCTCAGGGTGGTCAAGAACTACCACAAGATTATACTCAGGTGAAAGATGGAGCCAAACTGAGCCATGATGCGAAAGAAGGTAATTCGGAAACAGAAGAGATTACTGTCGAACGTGATGTCGACAAGGACATCATTGAGAAAAGACTTCTTGGGGCAGAATACGCCGGATCAAGGCCAGAAAACAACGATCAGAGGGCACCAACACAAGAGATAAGCGATAATTTAGAAAATCTGGAAGGAGAGCAAAAGGAAAACAAAGCGGGGGAGCAAGAGGAAAAGGATGAAGAAAATGAATGGAGACAAGAAGATCAGGCTGCACCTAAAGCCGAAGACAAACTGGAGATGGATTCACAAACCCCGGCTGTCCAATCACAGGAAGATGTCAGTCCTATTCGATCAGTCGGCAAAGAAGACATTAACTCAAACGTTGTGGAAGCAATAGCAGAAGCTACGATAACCGTCAATTCTGCGAATGAGATTGCGGAGAAATGTTTATTCCCATTGCACAGGGTTGAAAGCAAGTTTTTTGAGCTCAAAAAAACTCCCAAGATGGAGCGTCGAAAGTCCTTGAAGTACCTGCAGCCAAACAAACTTTCTGATTTGCACCAATACAACTTCTTCGATTCAGCCTTTGTGATTTTTAGACAGGCTGATGGTCCTAACTTGCTGGAGAAATCATTCAAGCTGCAAAATCTTCTGGCGCAGAGGAAAAAAGATCTGACTGAGGAGTACATATACCGCAAGCATTCATGGGAACAGCGAGTCTCACTGATGGATGAGCAGTTGAGCAAATTCTATAATGTTGGTGAACCGGAACTGAAACCACAAACCAGCGAAAGTTCAAAGACGGAGGTAACCGATAAACCATTGTCTGGTCGCCGTGGTCGTCATCATGGCGACACTGTCAGGACTGAAGCAGAATTTCTGGAAATTTTAGCGACCTTGGAAAAAGAACGTGAGAAGGATCCTATGGTAAGAGCTCAACATGGGTGTGCCAAAATTCCTGATATGATAATCGATCCAGTTGAGCGATACGCAACAGTTCACTTTTTGGATTCAAATAATATGGTGCGCAATAAGTCACAGTGGGCCAGAAGGATTGAATTGGATTCTCTGGATACATTCACACAGGCCGAGCATGAGAAATTCTGTGAAGCTTATAGTTTGTGGCCCAAAAAGTTCGGACGTATCTCCAGCTATATGGGTGGGCTAAGAACACCCGAGGATTGCGTTCTACATTATTACAGGATGAAGAAACAAGTGAATTTCAAGCAAATCGTGGCCAACAGGAATCGGAAAGCAACAAGGAAAGCCTCCAGTACCAAAAGAAAGTCGAAAGACGGAAGAATTAGGACTGGTACCCACACTCCTGAACCTTCAACAGCCGATTCTCCGAACATCAGTATCGAAGGAACATTAGGAGAACCAACTGATGGGGAAGAGGAAACAGATATCAATAAGAGAAGATCGAGTACCTCCTCGTCTCCATCAGAAAAGAAAAAACAGAAGACTGAAGAACCTTTGTCGTTATCAGCTTCTTCATTGAATGAAACCAGCCACAATATTCCCGAAACATCGCTGTCTGTGGATGATGGTGAGAAGGGCGAAATGAACAAAAGGACAGCAGTCGCAGAACCAGTAGAAAGACCCAAAAAGAAAAGGGGCAGAAAGAAGTTGAATCCTGAGGTGCCTTCAAGCGTTCAAAAGCTCGCGGAGACAAAAGAAAACGTCCCTGTGTTGCAATCCTCCACTGGGGATCCTTTGAAAGTTGCCCGTGAAATGAACGAAGACTTTGACCAGAGACTGAAAGACAAATCACCACTCAGTCAAAATGACCAGGAGAGTCGGGGAAATATGTCTTCTGGTACAGAGGACAGCGAAAAGAAGAGGGAAAAACAGAAGGACAAAAGCCATATTACAAGCTATTGGAGTGTGCAGGAAATCAGTTTGTTCCCCGATCTACTTCAGAAGTACGGAACTGACTGGGAAACAATGTCGAGGCATATCACGACGAAAACTTCGACCATGGTGAGAAACTATTATCAGCGAGGATTGACCGATAACGTTAGATGGGAGGAGCTGGCTCGCGAAGCGGATCTCAAGCGTACAAAAGAGAAAGAGTCGGAGAAAACAAAGACTAAAAGTGTGAGTGGTCCTCCGTTGGGATTTTTCTATGACAGAAGACCTTCTGCATCGAAGTACTCAATGGATGAGCAAAAGCCTGCATTTTCTGAACCCGCCTCTCAAAAGAATCAGCTCCCTGCTTTACATACCTACTACCCATCGTCTTCCAGCGCAAGTGCACCTGCTGGGCCCGAAAGTTCCGTGAATTTACCCCCAAGGCTACCTGTGGTAAGCCTTCCTGAGAAAATCGAAGCTTCAGAAAAAAAATCACCATTGTTGCAGGTCCCATTTCCTGCAAATAACAATCCATTGTCCTCCCTAGTGGAGGCAGCAGGCTCTGTCCAAAAGGGTCTTGATGCCAACTCAAATCTTTTCAAGATGAATTCGTTGCTGAACACTGTATTGCAGCCCCCAAATCTAAGAAGTGCAACGCAGTCTCATTTGCCACCATTGACATCGACGTCATCGGTGTCTTCTTCTTCTCCATACACACCTAAGTTGCGTTCGTCTATCAGAAGTTTGCTAAATGATGAAAAATCCGACTCCAAGCCGCAACATGAATATCCCGCCACAAAATTCAACAATATGATAAATCCTAATGATCGAGCGTCCGAGTCTTCGGACCAAACTGCTCAGACCACTACTGGGATGAGTGCACTTGATGCTTTAGCACAAGTGGCATTTGAGAGAAAATAGCTGCCACTCCAATCCGCTCGCACACAGAAACCGTTTTTCTTGATACCGCTTTACTTACGCTATTGTACAAATACTAATCTTATAAATAAAGCAAAGCTTTATCCGACAGTTTCTGAACCTGTACCTATATGGAGCTCACTTATTCTATGATTGATGAGGCATGTCTATAAGAGAAGAAATTGGTTGTAGTTGACGAATCAGGCCTCATACTGATCAAGTTCAAGTCCAAGCCGCCACTTGGAACCTGATTATTCAAGTAGTATATCAGCTCGTAGCTCGGTGCAGAACAATTTAGGGGGTTAATCGTATTTATGCAAGAGTATGAGCCGCTCTGTGAGCCATCGAAGTAAAGAATGTCGCGAAAATTTGAATGATAGCATATGTTCGCAGGTTTGCTTTCTCTAAAGGTAAATTGGAGAGTCTCTTTTGAAGCCTTGGGATACTGGAGGTGGGAATCTGAAGGAATACTGTTCAAACCAATCAAGCCGAAGGTGGACATTCCTGCACCCTCACCCAAATATATAAGACCGTTTTCAGCTCTCGGGTCTTTTACGGCTTGTGCCACCTCTTCTATCTCTTCGTAAGAGTAGTCCACCCACAGATGACTTCCAGACACAAAATCAAGAAGGAAGCCGACAACTATCAGTAACCAGTACATTATAGATTGCTAATTGATTCTACATGACATATCAGAAACCTATATATATATACCTAGTTGGGGCCAAGGTATCATCAAAGGGACATAATTACATAGTAACGGTTTTTTTTCCGATTAGTTCAACGTGCATAATCCGAAGTGCAGATTATGCTAATGATTTGCACTAGTTTCCATAGATTAACTTTAAAAAGAACCGAGGCGTGGCAAAGTAACTATCACATCAACATACAAGTGAACGAGCTTACATGACATTTTGAACCGATAAAGATTAAAATCCGAAATTCCCTTTGCATTAATTGGTACTTCAGTCGATCACAAAGGGATCGTCCTCGTCACCATTACCCGTAAAAAAAACAGGCTCTGAGATTTGCGTCTTTTCTGCATTCAAAGTCGAAGTTTTAGGGTAGGAAACGTAGTCTGACTGTCGAGACCCATCTTTCAGAATTACCTGATCCACTATTCTGTCAATTTCATCTTCGAGTTCTCTGTCTGAGGGCTCGAATATATCATCCAGCATTGCCTCATCTTCAAAACGTGGTGCAGAAAATGAAGACGCCTCCTTTTTTGCAGCGCGCTCCAATTTGATTTTCGTAATCTCACGTTCTTCTTCAGAACTATCTAGATCCTCCAATTCAATAATTTCCGACTGCTTTGCGTCTTCTTTCTTTTTAGTCTCAACAAATGACCAACTGCCATCTTGAGATATTCGAATCTTGTCAACTGTAGAATCTACAGTTAATTGCTCCAAGATTGCCTGCAGCTCCCCTACTATATACAAATCTCCTGGGGTGCGGATGCTAAACTCTAGTTTGCAGATCGGGCAAGTGAAAAATTCTAGACCGTTGTTCGGCTTCTTCTGATCTTTGTTTTGGCGTAATTGGACCTTATATTGAAAGTCAAACGTTCTTCTGTTATGCTGATCGGGGTTCAGTAACCGCCTTTTCGTATCACTCAAAATTTCATTCGCATCTATTTTCTTTGTGGATTTTCTTCTCACACTAACTTGAAACGGCTCTAGATTATTCATTTGCATGAAACTTTCTAATTCAAAACATTCAATATGAGAGCAAAACCTGGATCGTAAGGGGTTTTTCATTCGCTTTCCTGAGAGAGGATCATTGAGCGAAAGCACGATTGCTTCTTCCATAATGTCATTATTTTCATGAGCGAGTGTTTTTTGTCTTTTTACGTGACCAAAAAGCGTGGTTTGTGGAGGATCTTTTCGTGGCTTCAGGATACTGGAATTAGGGACATGTTGCGGGGCGGAAAATTGTGTATCCAGAGCAGTCATAGCTTGGAAAAAGTATCCAGAGATTTGCGGACTTGGCCTTGGATCGATTTGGGGCGAGACAGATTTCAATATCGGGATGGCCAGGTTTGGGTCATTGTGATTGTCATCAGGTGGCTTAATCATGTCTTTAAGTTCTTTGAATCTAGCTATCTGTTTTTGGAGTTGTATTAGTAGTTGGTAGAGCGAGTAAGGATCCATGGTAGGTACCTGTAGCCAAAGACTGCCGTGAAGTTCCCTGAGGGAAGAACTCAGTTCGGCAGGTATGTCTGGATCAGAAAGTATTCGATCCAGGTACACAATATGATTTCGTACTATGTTGATTTGAGACTGTTTATCGTGGGCTGTAAGGGTTGTCTTTTGTAGGACGGAAGCATGCGGTGCTAAACATGTAATCCCTTGATCATTCCGCAAAAACTTTCTAGGTAGCTTCAAAGTGACCCAGAAAGTTTTCCCCTGTTCTTGTTTGTTAAGCCGTTTCTGTCTTTCTTTATGAGCTCTAGAAACTATTTCGTCTAACTCATCTGCATCACAAAAATCAGAAAAGACATCGCTCTCCTCTGTCACCGCCTGGCTTTCAGGCTCTTGTGATAGTCGAAGTCTCACAGACGGTGCTTTTTTGGCTTTTGCACGGGATTCATTCATGTCTTAAGTATGCATAACTCGATAATCTTAACACTAGCGTAGCTCAAGAAAGAATAAAAAATTAAATACCCAAAAAAAAATAACTTATCACCATGGCTATTGCATTGTTCATTTTGATGGCAACGTTTGTTGCCTTGGTGATATTCCTACCATTACTCTCAGGAATGTTTGCTTATAAGCCGAACCCCTCATATCTTGAAAAAAGGAAACAGGAAGAAAGAGAAAAGCTCAAATCGCATCACGATGACGGATATGGCGGATACATTCCTCCTGATGAGCAACTCGAATTGGAAAAGCAGGCCAAGTCTTCCGGGTCTCGAATTTACTCTAAGATAAGCCACTTGACCCCGGACGATATTCCTATCAAACTTCAGCTTCAGAATCAAGGGGAATTGAAAAACCGCACAGCTCGAAAGCCCGTGACAACAGACTCTAATCCCAACAACTTTGATTACGACTTAAATGAATTAATTGACGAGGAACTCGAAAGTGAAAGGGCGGAGAATTCTAAGGCTTACACACCCGGCATGATATCCAATCATGAAGAAGTGTAAAAGTTTACAAATCTAATAATGATTTAATTGTTTGATTCTCATTTATTCAAGTGAACAAGCAGCTACAAGTTGGCTTGTATGGCAATCATCTCATTTTGTCGTAGCTCTTCTTCTGTATTCACACGAAGATTATCGTCGAGAGGATTATTAGCATCAAGTGCACTTTCCAAATCCGAGTCTGCATTTTGATTCATTTTCGACTCTCTATCAACTTCAGTATTTGCTGGGGTCAGTGGTTCAAGTTCCTGGGATTCAAAGTCATCTCTAGGGTCGTTTCGAGAGCTTAGTTCATAAAATAGCATGAAAGTTCCCTGAGAAGCGAGAACCTCAGCCTCAGAAGACACCCTGACTATCTCGTCACTTATCCTCCACCAGACTCCACGGTACTTTCTGTATGCAATGTAATGCCCATAGTTGTGCGTTCCGAAATGTGATATGACTGATTTGAGCGAGTATTTCAGATTAGATGAGCTAGAATCTTCAGCATTTGCTTGACCTTTGTCTTCACCCCCATCATCAGTTTTCCTAAACGGTAATCGTGCATCCGTGTTAATATTCTCAGGCTCGGCGACGTAATCAGTAAAGTCAAGCCTAGTTGGGAAAACAATCTTTGCGTTATTTTTGCGTACAGTGTAGGTTCTAGGATCAAACACCGAGCGACTTATATGTATGCACAAAACTGGGGGAGGCCTTGCAAAAAACACTTGCTTAGTTTTCTTCGATTTTTGAATTTTGTTCTTGGTGTGGAGTCTTTCATAAGCTGCATCATTGATAATTGGTTTTGCTAGTTCTTCCTCAATTTCCTGAATTCGATTAAAAGTGAGCTCCACGAGTTTCTCCAATTTAGGACCCTGCCCTTTATATTTCTCAAGGGCTTCAATTAGAGTAGCTCTAATCTCAATCAAGCCGCATCTGTTGCATTCCACACCGTCAATGATTTCTTGTTCAATCCACCCGTCTAGCAATTCCTCGAGCGTATAGGTTGATTGAGTAGGAGAGGACAAATTCAAACCTAGTCCACTTATGACTGAGTAGCGTATTCCCCCCATTTCGCCACATTTGATACAACCAATCCGCTCACACTGAAGTCCATCAACTGGAGTTATAAGTTTCATTGGGTACACTTTGGAGTCTGCATTTGGATAAGAGGGGTCGATCTGCTTTACGGGCAGATAAATCGTTCCTAATTCACCTAGATTTTGTAATCCCGTCATCATTCCATCTTCGTAATCAATAAATTTGTCCTGTATTTGTCCCTTCTCCTTGTCTTTTGAATCGGGGCCAACATATTCTTTTTCAACTTGATTCATTACTAGCTGATAAAACTCTTGAGCATCCTCTTGATTGTAGCCCAGAAACAGATGCTTGCTAGGGCCATCCTTCATCACCTTCAGAAGATTGCGTGTTTTGTAAGTCGGTGATTTATTACCGTGCTTGTCGTTCAACTTTTTGAGCAATTCATATAGTGCAGAAGAAAAAGCAGGCCTATTCTGGGGAGGTATATTCTCATTCTCAGTGAAACTCTCGAGGAAGTCCATAATTTCATTCGACGAAGCCAGACTTTGCAGAACACTGTTCATGAAGCATGTGTTGCCATCGTTCATCAGACCGCCAATAGATCCGCCCAGGTTCATTGCTTTCTGATAACTCTCTCTTGCAGAAGGATCGTTCCCCGACAAAAGTGAATTACTGAATCCCAAAGCGGACGTAGATCTTGTCAGCGCCGAATTGAACTTCTCACCGAATCCTGTCATGATCCAATAAAAATAATTGTCTTTCGATCTGTTTCTGATAAAAGGCCTGGTGGTAATCACTGCTAATCCAATAGTCAAGACACTGACCACGACCAGGTTCCAACTTCTGTCAGTCCAAATCACTTTTGTAAAGGATTGCTTAAATGTTTGGACAAAATTAGCGTATTGGTCTACCAAACTTTCTTCAATATCAGCTGATTCTTGGCTTAAAACACCCAGGTGCAATGAAAATATCCAACTTATTACCAGTAGCAACTGAGGCATCAGCTATAGCTACCCTTGGATATATATCGAATTTCTGCGACTCTGGGCTATAATTTAACAATGAAGTACTAGATCTCCAAAAAATAATATAAATTCTTTCGACTACATTCGTTGATACACGACATAAATCATAACTCAACTCGTATTGGCCTTGCTTTGCACGGTCAAAATCTGATCCAGCAAGCTGTTGTAATCAGAAACGTCCAGAAGTTCCATAGGAATTTTTGAGTCGGTGACCTTTTTAACGCTGCTTGTTAACGGCCTCTCCTCCTTTTTCTCATTTTCGATTTCTTGCATCAAAGGTCGTATGCAACCTTTACCGCTTTCCGTTTGAAAATGGCGTCTCAGAGCATCAGTACGCGCAAAGCGTTTACCACATCCCCATATGGTAAATCCATCTGCCAAAGTTCCACGACATTGATACTTTTTTTCTCCGGAATGCAATTCTTCATGTCGTTTCCGGTCGTGTTGTCGCGCGAATGCCTTGCCACATATGGTACAAAGGAAGGGTCGCTCATTGGTGTGTGTACGAAGATGCGATTTCAGATTATACGGTCGTGTGAACTTCTTATCACACACAGGGCAAGCAAATGAAGCTGGATTTTTTTGCGATTTTCTATTAGGCGAAGGTGGGGCGGCAAGCTCAGAGAGTTTTTCACGCGAAAGTGAGGCATCGCTATCGTAGTCTGAATCATCTGAGTATCTGGACCTCGAAGTAGATCTAGAGCGCGAACTAGATTCCGAATGGCGTCGTTGCCGTCCCATTCTCATTGAGTTATGCGTTCTATCATCTGGCGTAAGATAAGCATCGTCCACCTGTAAGTAGTTAGTATTGTACAGTCTGTCGTTATCTGGAGTGCTATAGCTTGAGCTATCAATGGCTTGTGAACGTGAAACATCCTCTACATTGATTGAAATGGCAGGAGTGGAGGAGGAGTCTTCAACTTTGATGGTGGGGGTATTGCCTGCACTGGCTGACCTCGACCTATTAGGAGAGGAAACCTTAGATGATGACGCAGAAAACAGCGACGGTGTACTATCAGCAATTTTCTCAGGGTTCTCAATGACAATCGGCGGAGCTGCCGATATACGTTCCTGCTCTTTGAGATTCTGCTCTGTAAGGTTGATATTTGGTGCGTTCATTGCCGACAATGACAGTTGACGAATATTATCAGAAACCAATTGGCTTTCAAAGTCGTCTCGTGGCTCAACATAGTCGTCCCCGGCAATTGATTCAACCGCTGATAGATAGGGCGAAGTTGAAGCCGACAGCTCAGAACCCGTGGATGATTCTGGCCGCCTATATTGTCTCCCGAATTGTGGTTGTAAAAGCAAGCTAGTTTCAGCACTGAAATGTGAAAACCCTTGTGGTCTAATATTGGCTCCTGGGTATCCGGTGTCCAAATCTTGTGCATTGAAATTAGAGAAGTTGGCTGTTTCTGATTGCTGAGTCAGGTAATCGGAAAATGCTTTATCAATTTGTATCAAAGGGGCAGAGGTATCAGCCTTTGATGCGTTAGAATTTGGCAACGAGTCATCAAAATGGATGTAGGCTTGTTCTGGAGGTGTGTCTACTGACGGCATGTTTGCAAATTCTTGTGTAGAGCCCAAAACATTGAATGAGTTGTTGGTGGCATTATTGGAACTGTAATGAGCACCGGTCATAGTAATCGCGGAAACATCATCGAAAAAAGCGTTTCTCTTGTCGTTGGATGAAGGTTGCAAATTATCAAACGAGCCAGAAGATGGTTGGTGGCTTATTGAAGTCAGAGATGATGCATTCATAAAAAGTTCCGGACCTTCCTCTTGCACTGGTGTATATGAGGTGAGGTTCAAGAACTTGTCGATCACATCTTCCTCTTTTGCGGAGTCCCTCGGGGGTATAGAGCTGGAACTATATGACTTGCCCTGCGGGCTATCACCATAATAGCTTGACATATTTCGTGTGAGTTTTTTATATCACAAATACCCAGCTCTCAATTGTAACTAGTAATGGACAGCTTTTTTGGATGAGATTAGCAATAGATTATATTATGCTTTTTTTATTTTTAAGCTTTTAGTCTAGTAACACAATCGTCATAGTGTTACCCGCTACTCAATAAACAAGCTTGAGATAAACTGTAAGTAAAGTCTACACGACCTTTTTTTTAAATATATACAGTGTACTTTATTTTGAAGAGGGAAGAGGTTGTGGAAGGTCAGCAAGCTTTCCTTTTCCGACAAGAGTCCTTCCTATTGAGACATGCATGTTATCGACTTGAAGCTGAGCGTTCGAGTTCAGTGCATGAGACACTACCTCGGCGTTCACGCGTGACTGCTCCGTCTTGAACTGGCCTGTTTTGTAAAATTTGAGTTCTGGTCTTATACCCCTGACTGTGGTGTCGATGACGTTCTTGAAATCTGCACCTGATGATTTCGAAAGGGACTTGATGTCAGAGACCTTGCTGAATCCAGCCTTTGGTATATTCGGGTTGGCGAATGGATACAATTTGTTCATTCCATGAAGTTGGGATTGGCCAAGGTTTGTGGAATTCAGGGCCAAGCCGTGCTGGTCTGAAAACTTTGAAATCGCGCGCAACATTCTGGACCTCAAACTGAATGCCATCTGGGATTTGTTTAATTCTAACTCGCCTGGTGATGGTTCCTTGATCTTATATTGTAGCGGATCTGGGGCCTCAAAATAGTTTATGTTCTTGACGAACTTTTTGATATCATTAATCGCGTCGATAGCTTCCCAGGTGACTTTCAACTCTTCGTTGTCAACACTGGAATCAATTACTCCGAGTGATTTTAAGTCATGCAATTTGACCTCTGGGAGCTCACATTTCTTGAGCTTGTCCCTTTGTGCAGTAGCCTTCTCAAGTCTCTTCACGATGTTTTCCCAGTGGTCCATGTCAGGTTGAATGTTTTGGCTTTTGAGCGTCTTCAATGGTAAGTCGTCTAATGCCTTCGTAGCTATATCAACATAAGGTTTCATATCCTGATTGTCGTAAGCATCGTCGCTTTGCTTGTTTCCCTTACGGTAGTCACGAGCGGACCTCGATTTGGACGACGGGTGTTGTGCTCTTGGTTTCTTCCCTTGCGAACGCTTCTCTCTCGAAATGCGGGGCTTGTTTTGGTTTTGATTTGGGCTTCTGAATTGCTTGTTCTCTTTTGGAAGCTTGGACTTTGCAGTCTTATCCAATTCTTCTGGTACAGTTTTCAGTTTTTCAAGCAGCAGCTCTTCATTACCGGACGCCCCTTCAGTGGAATACATTCTAAGAGAGCGCACTAGCGCGACTGAACGTCTCAAATACATGTTGAACACTCGAAACAATTTTTCTCAAATTATATCTCGTCAACTTTTTGTGCAGGGTAAATTGCGTCGATAGTCCCAATGATACTTGTATTATAAAGATGCACCAGTTACTCTTCGAGCATGCGATAAACAAATTCAACCACTCTCCATTGGATGTCCTCAAAGTTTACAATGAGTACAAATACTCAAGATTGGACAACTTGGATGCGATGAAAGGTCATTTCCCGATGAAATCTCACTTAGCCTCTGTCAATACTCTATCTTTAGATCCTTTGTATAACCAATATTTATTTTCTGGAGGAGGTGAGTCTTCTGTCAAGCTGTGGGATCTAAAGCAGCAGGATGAAGTCGAAGAGCTGGAGCCCATTTATATTCTTCCATCTAAGTCTGTGCACAAATTTGGTATCACTCACATTAAATGGTGGTCCGATAACGGGTTATGGCTGTCGTCCTCATTCGACCATACATTAAGCGTTTGGGATGCAAATGAAATGAAGCATGTCCATTCTTTTGATCTTGGTTCCAGAGTGCTCCATTTTGATTTCGAAGACCATGGTCGCAATTCTTTGGTAGCTGTTTGCGCAGACGGGGGAGTCGGAGGACTCAGGCTCTTGGATTTGAGAACGCTAGCAGATGCTCATACACTGGGAGGCGGAGGAAAGCTTCAAGGAGGGTATGGGTATATGCTGAGTTGCCGGTGGTCACCCGCAAACCCCAATCTTGTGGTTGGTGGCAGCCAAGATGGTTATTGTATAGGGTGGGATGTACGACGTGCCGATGGTTGTATTTTCAAAATGGACTATAATCTAACAACAACTAACTATAGAAGCAATACCAGGCAGTTACTGCTACACGAAACCACTCCTAAAGCGCACAATGGTGGAATCAACTCGATACTTTTCACCGATGATGGGGCGGAACTTATAACCCTTGGACATGATGACAAAATATGCGTGTGGGATATGACTAGTGCGGAAAAGCCGCTTAACAAACAGGTCAATTTTGGCCCCCTAGTGAGGAATAAATCTACACAATACATCAGCATGGCTTTGAGTCGTATGAACGAAACAGAGCTACAATACCTATGGTTCCCATCCGAAAACGGTGAAATTCTAATTTACCGACTTGAGGATGGCAAGCTGGTCGCCAGACTAAATAAGAATGGGAGTGCTTTGAACAAAAGGACAACAAGCATCGTCTATGCTAAAGAGAGCTCGATCAAGTACTACAGTGGATGCAAGGATGGGACTATTTCCGTGTGGGGCTATAATTCTCTGCTGGATAGCAAACAAACCGAAGATGAACTAGATTTCAATAGTGAAAATCTTGGAAGCTTAGCGAGCGAGACGGAGAACTTTGACATCCTTGATAGGATCCATGACGAGATTGAAGCTAATAAGATTCGCGCAAAAAACACGGATTTTTGATGACAGTGATATGAAAAAAAATATTTTGTAATACTTCAAGTACCAGCCTAATACCACTCAAAGTTCAAGCAGTACGTGATTCTATTCTAGGAGGCAGGGAACTTCAGCATTACACAAGAGAAGAAGATGATAAAGCTGCAGGTCCACATTGTTCCGCCCAGCGCTGCGAAAGCAAGAAAACCGCTCGCTTACAATGGGACCGGAAATAATATCGATATGAGTGTGATGCAGATGCAATCGCAAGTTTACCCGAATTCTCAATCCCAGTCTAATAACTCATACTATCCGAACTTCACGCTCAATGGCTCAAGTACGCCACTGGTTAACGGGGTCTCGGGTTACAATTCCCAGCGTCCAAATTATGGCCCATCTTCAAATATGATGGGCACGTCCGATGGTATAAAAAAATTCCTTCACATCACTAAAAGTTCGAGCACCCTTCAAAATGTTTGCATTGAAATTCAAGAGAGATTTATGAGGCTGTACCCTGAACAAGAGCCCATCATCATTCACCAAATTCAGGATAGCAATGAGTGTGACTTGGATCCAGATTATTCAGTTTCAATGATTTTTGACACAAACAACATTTTGCGAGTTCTTGTGGAAAATGAATTTACTGTTGAGGAGGAGACTGATTCCAGAGGAAAACGCCACCTTCACAACGATTTGAATCAGGTCGTCAAGAAAACAAGACCGTCTTATAACCAACGTGTTTGGCACGAGGCTCGACAACCTCCTTTGATAGAAGCTGACGAGGAATCGCATCAGTCTAACTTGTCGCTACCAGCTCCTAACGACAGCAATCAGGATGGTACCGTAATTATTGAGCCAAAGAAGAACCTCAGCCCGCGAAATGCAAGTCCGGTGAACGCGCCTGGGTCCCCGACGAGAATAACATCTGGAATGCTCACGTCCCAATTTCAGCCCGATCTGTCGAAAGCTCTAGATGAAAACGAGAAAGACGAAGAACGTGATTTGCAGATAAATGATGTGCTCACCGATAGCGACCACTATCAAAGCGATTCTAATCAGGATACTTCTGCTGTACGAAAAAGACCGAGTGTGCCCACCAAAGCTGATGTGATGAACCGCATCTCTTCAGGGCAGCGAAGATCTCCAATGCAGTTGAATGACACTTCCAACTCCTCTTTCTCTTCCGTCCCTGCTCAGACTCCTACACCGGCAAATGTCGTTTCAAATCCATCATTCAAGGAGGCCAGACCTATGAAACCATCACAAGTCACGAAAAAACTGAATGACTCTGTCAAGGGTCTGGATGCAGGTCCGGGGAAGAAGACGCAACCAAAAGACACCGGTAAAGAGAAGTCTGCTACTCCTAAGGCTAAAGGCAAAAAGCCAAGGGAAACAAAGGAACAAAGTGAGCAGAAGAAAAATCTCAAAGAAGGTGCAACGCAACCTACCCCGGCTGAGGGAACGCCTACTCTCAAGCCTCGAAGAGGCCGTCCTGTTGGCAGCAAGAATCGCGTCAAGAAGACTGAGACTAAAGAAGGCGAGTCTCAAAATAGAGAGGACACCGCAAAGCCAGAGGAAAAGAAAAAGGCAGCCCGCAAGCCTAAAGCTAAAAAAGCAGAAGCAACAGCTGCAGAGAGCAGTGGAACTAAGGACAACAAGACAAGCAATATAATTGCGACCCAACTTGACCAACCAAATGGTGAAAGCAAGACTGGTGGTGATTCCGGAGAAAATGAATCTTCGAAGATTCCATCTAATGATTCACAAAAGCCTGGCACAAATTACTCCAAAGCAGAGGTGATTGGCCTTTTGAAAGATGGAATGGAAGACAAAGCAAATTCTAACAATAATCCTGCTCATCAGGTACAATTTGATGGTGATGAGAAAGTACAAAAGCCACCGGTCGCACCAAAATCCCAGCCGGCGGCGGCTCAAACAGCGGACAGTGAGTCGGATTCGAGCGACGATGATAATGACGACAACGATGACGACGAGTTAGACGATGAACAGGAAACAATGAAAAGACCGAGAGTGGTGAATGCACCAAAGAGTTTAATTAACAATACTTCTGTTCTTTCCTCGCATAATAATTCCACGTTGAATGAAAGCCAAGCCTCGTCTCCACCTCCAAGTACACAAGAAGGCCGTGTCATTCCTCAACTGCTTTCGCAATCACAAACACAGCCACCACATGCCTCTCAATCTGAAAGCTCAATTTCTTCTCTTCCAAAGCTATCTCAATTGATGGAACGTGGCCTGCCTGATGTTAGGGAATTCAGCCAAGGTGTCCGAGCAATTTCTGCTTTCCGCCAAGAGAAGCCTGAGTCCGATTCCGAAACTGAGTCTTCTGAGTCCGAGGACGATTCCGACGACTCGCAGGGTGACACTTCTGATTCAGACTCGGAAAAGGTGGGCTCTCAAAGATATCTTGATGCGAAATCGGCAAATAATATTGTCTCCAAGGCCAAGGGCAAGAAGAAAAACCACGGATTTTTGGATCTAATGAAAGATGCTCGAAAATAGCCAAAATACATTATTTGAAACAAACCTTATAAAACCTAGCGACGTTGTTGACCCTCAACAAATCCAAGCGCGTCGGCTTGATCAATTTCGCTCACTGTGCTCACTTTGTTGTTGAACATCACTCCAAAGAACTTGTCACAGACTTTGAGCATTTCTGGACGGAAAGTAGTGCATATGAATTGTGCGTTTTGCGAAAGCTCGTGAATTATTTGTGAGACAGAAGTTCTGTATTGGGCATCCAAGTTTGCATCTATCTCATCGAAGAGGTAAAATGGAGCAGGGTCACATTTTTGAATTGCGAGGATGAGAGCAATCGCACAGAGCGATTTTTGTCCGCCTGAAAGCTGTTCAATTCTTTGTTGTTCATCTTCCCTTGAATTGAAAGAGACAGAAATTGAGACACCGACGTATTGGTCCACGAGCTCAGTGTCTTCATCATCAGAGTCTGGCTCGATACCGTTCTTGCCTTTACCAGCCTTTTCACTCCGTTTCTGGATGATCAGTTTACCCGTTCCGGCGGGAACCAGTTTTTCAAACACCTCGGTGAAGCTGACGCTCACTTCTTTAAATGTTCTGATGATGGCATCGTCCTTTCTGCGCTCAAGAACCGAAATTAGGTCTTCAATGGATTCTTTAGCATCATCAAGTTCATCTTTCCGAGCCACCAGTGAGTCACGCTGTTTGGCAAAATTAAGAAACTGTTCTAGGGCTTTTTTGTTGACATGACTGTACTGTTTCAGGCTCTCAGTGACCTCATTCAATAAATTCAAAACTTCTCCCGAGCTCATATTCTTGTACGCAGTAAACGCCTCTTCGGGCAATACACCCAAGTCCCTGATTTTCCGGCTAATCTCGTCGCGCCTGTTACCCAGCAACACCTTTCTGCTCAACGACTTTTCAGAGCTTTTGCTATAGTTTTCGAGTCGCCGCAAGAGGTTCCGTTGCGACTCATTAAGTTTTTGAAGCTGATCTTCCAAACTCTTGAGCCGTTTGTTCAATTCCTTTGATTTGCTGAGCAGCTCAGAATTCGAGGACTCTAGCTTTTCTTTGGTCTGCTCCAATGTCTGCAGGTTTCGTTCGAGTTCTTTGACTTTGACGTCATATTTTTCCTGGGAGTTGAAGGTCCGCAAACTCAACTGCCTCAACCGAGGGTATAAACTACCATTCAGCTCGGAGATGAGCGACGAGGCTCGCAACTCCAGCTCGTTAAGCTGTTCATTGACCTCAGTGTACTCTTGCTCAGTACTCGAAATACTTTCTTCAAGCTCTTTGAGCTGCTGCAGCTGGGCGTCGCTCAAATTCAATTCCTTAAACTCAGATCTTAATTCATCCTGGTATTCGCTGATCTGTTGCTCAGAAAGCTTGATCGAGGTTCGTAATGACTCAATGCGCCCTTCCAGAGAGCCAAGCTCTTGATCATATCTACTTTTATCATTTCCAAGTTTAGACCTGGCGGACAAGTAAGACTCTTTTTTGGTGAACATGGTATCCAATTCTCTGCGCTTATTTGCCAATGCTTCGCTTGTTTTAGTGACTTGAGCATCTTTGTCGACAATCTCCTTCCGTACGTGTTCAAGTTTCTCCTGGGCACTAAAAATCTCAGATTTCCACTTGGTCAGGTTTTTGAGACAGTCCACTCTCGAACGAGTTTGGTCGCGGAATCCTCCCGTAAGCACGCCCTTACGGTCACATCTATCGCCATCTAGAGTAATGGTGTTGAGTTTGTAGGTCTGCGAGATTTCAGCGCCCTTTTCCAGCGTGATGCAGACAACTGTTTTGCCGAAAACTTGCTTCACGGCAGGCTCCAGATACTCGTCGAATGCAATCTTCTTAATGAGCGGAACGCACTCAGAGGTATTCGGATAAGACGGGGTTTTAGGATTCAGTCGGTTGAGAGGCATAAACGTCACACGTCCTGCTTTTTGTCTAATCAGCTCCTCCATGATGAGGGTCGCAGTTCTATCGGTATCAACAACGATATGAAATAAGGAGTTTCCTCCAATGACTTCCACCGCGGTCTTGTATTTTTCACTGACATTAATGAGTTCTCCCAGGGTCCCATACACTCCAGTCAAACCAAGATCCTTAGCTATACGTTGGACTCCTTCGAGCCCCATAGCCAATGAACGATCCATCGTTTCGCTGACTCCTTGCTGGGCTCTGGCTTTTTCAGTTTCGTACGTCTGGATGACACTATTAAGCTTGCTTTCTTCTCTCCAAAGCTGTTTTCTTTCGTCGATGAGTTGGTTGTAGTCGAGCTTTAATTTCCCCAGGTCTTTGTCAAGGGAATCCATTTCAGTGTCAAGAGAGTCAGCGCTTCTAGCAACGCTCAGCTCAGAAGCCAGGTTTCCCGCCATAGACTCAATTTCTTCCTTATTTTTCAAGTAGAGAGTAAGGTCTCCTTTTTTGGATTCGAGAGACTCAGCCAGACTAGCGATTTCTGATTTGAGCCAGTCATCCCGCTCCAACTTGCTCTTGAACTGTGAAAAGCGGCCCTTTTTGGAAAGAAGGGAGCGCTGCTGTTGCTTCATTTCATCTAGCTTGCCTTTGATAGCGCGCTCCTTCGCCAAAGCTTGTTTAAGCGCACACTGACACCTGCCAAGATCTCCTTCTTTCTGGGATATTAGACCATTCAGGTCCTCCAGTTGAGAAGCAATATCAACACCGGAGAAACCAGTCTCTGCTTTTGCTTCTTTTAATCGAGCGCTCGTGTCTCCTATACTGGTTAGCAGGTCTCTAATTTCGGCATCGTTTTCAGAAATGTCAACGTCAACAAGTTTCAAGTCTGCCGTAAGGTCTGCGAGTTGAGCCTCAATGCTCTGAGCCTGTTTCTCCCTTTCGGCTAGTTTCTCAACCAAAGAAGAAGTATCCTGAATAGCAGCTGAATAATCTGATTCTAAGGACTCAATCTGGTCGTTTAGATTCGTCAACTCTCTATCATAGAGATTATACTCGAGCGATTTTTTCTTATTATTGAGCTTTTCAAATTCCTTGAGATCATTTTTTTCCAAGTCGAGATCTTCCAAACGACCCTCAATGTACCTTAACATCTCGTCAATTTGCTCTCTTTTTTTACTGGTGTTTGTCATCTCTTTGAGTGAATCTTTCAATTTCGTTTCGAAAATGCGAGCTCCAGCAACTTCCTTTAGAAGCTGCAGCCTTTCAGAGTCTTTGGCATTAGTTAAAGAAGTGATTCGACCTTGGGGGACGATGTAATATGGATTAGATTTCGAAAAGCCAGCACTTTCGAGTAGGTTCGTAATATCAGACTTGGTAGCAAGTTTGGAGTCCAGCGAGTAATCATCCTTCTTCATACCAATTGTTCTTCTGATCACGACCTCGTCTTTGTCGATAGGAAACCTGCGATCCGTATTATCAAATACAATCTCCACATAAGCGGACATGACAGTACCTGAACCTTCGTGAATCAGTGACTGGCGTTCCTCTCTTGTCATATTGGTATATGCGTCGGATAGAACAAATCTGATGGCAGCGAAGAAATTCGACTTTCCTGACCCATTACGTCCAACCACCACATTGTGCTTGGGAGAGAAGGAATCTATGATTGTCGTATTCTTGTAGGTTTTGAAACCCTGTATTACGATCTGAGCGTTAGCACCGTTCCAGTCATCTACTTACTCTCTTGATATGCATATTTTGAGGATATACTTTCAAATCAACGCGTCTCAATATTTTCGTGTCGCGGGATTCCCACCTTACACCGAAAAAGATTAGGGGCGATAATATTTTGGCTCAACGAACGGCATCTTGGACACGATTGCGGGTCTTAGCTTGCCTCTAATTTCAATCAGGACTTCTGTGCCGGTCTTCTGATATGGCTTGTTGATAAATGCCTGGCCAATATTGCCTCCAAGAGTAGGAGAAGGAGATCCAGAGCAAATCACACCGATCTGCTTGGACCGATCGTCGCTAGCGAATATCCTATTTCCCTGACGAGGGGAGGGGCCTTTGGATTTGATGCCAACTCTCTTGAAAGTAACCGACTTTGGATTTTCCAGCTGGCTCAAAATCTTTTCACTTCCGTTGAACTTGTCCGACCTTCTAGACTTGGAGACCAGCCAGTTCAAGGATGCCTCAACAGGCGTTATCTCTTCGTTCAGTTCATGGCCATATAGGCACATTCCTGCCTCAAGTCTTAGCGAATCTCTTGCTGCGAGGCCAATTGGTTTTACAGCGTCGTTCTGCAAAAGAGCAAGGAAGAACTCTCTGGCAACGCCTATTTCTGGGATGGAAATTTCAAATCCATCTTCACCAGTGTAACCACCTCTTGCGATGTGGAATTTTTCTGGGGATCCGAAACCGTCCAAAGGAATAAATCTGGACTGACCAAAGTACAAAGTGCTCAGATCAGAGGAGGTGAGCTTAGAAATAACATCCTGAGCTTTCGGTCCTTGGATTGCGAGAAGGCCACCTTCAAACGTCTGGTGTTCAATGCCAGAACCTTCATTGTAGTTGCTGAGCTCTGATTTGATAAACTCAACGTCCTTAGCTCTGCATCCTGCATTCGTAACAATATAGAAACTATCTTCGTCGTGCTTCGTGACCATACAGTCGTCAACAACTCCTCCATTGTTGTTAAGCAAGACGGTCAGTGTGGAGTGAAATGGCTTGAGAGAGCGCAAGTCAGTAGGACACAACTTCTGCAGAAAAGAGGTAGTGTTTGGTCCTTTGATCCGATGCTGCAACATATGAGAGACGTCGAAGACACCACAGTTGTCTCTAACCCACTTGTGCGATTCGAGATGACTCTGGCCCTTGTAAAGAACAGGCATTGAATAACCCGCAAAATCGACCATGGTGGCTTTGAGCTTGATGTGAAGGTCTGTGAAAGGTGTTGCTAAAAGAGTGGGCTTAGAAGAGTAGTGCCTGACTTCTCTCGGCCATAGTAGCAGTGCTCTCCGAGAAAACATACTAAGACTGAGCTTTGTGGAGAAATGGGTAAGGATTTATAGGCAGCTGCGAGTACAAAGTTTCTGACCGGAATTTGACCGGAATTACTTGGTGACTTAATAGATTTGTGAGCAAGATTTTTTTATCTTGCAGACAGCCCTGCCATATATGAGTACGTAATCAAATGCGTGGCCAAGTGATACGAGTAAATAAATCAAATTAATCGGATCATTTCGGTATTGTTCTCGTCTCGCAGCCTATGGTATTGATTCCACTGCAGCCGACCGTCAGGATAAGGAGTGGTAAAAAAGCACTCGTTTTGTAATTGTTCACAAAGGTGGCTATGTCTGCTTTAAGCAAAAATAGAACTAGAACATTCAACCAGGATTATGGAAATAATTGCGATGACTATCGCTCGAACGACACATCATCGGGGATAGGCTGGAAGAGAAAACAACAGCGATCCTCCAAAGCCTGTATTTGTTGTCACGACAGAAAGGTGAAGTGCGATGTGTCTAACAAAAAAGACGGAGAATCGTGCTCGAACTGCAGCGAGGCTGGATCCAGCTGTGTAATTTACGTTCGAAAGAAACGTAAAAACCAGAAAGATCAGCTCCTAGAGTTATATAAGAAATTCCGGCCATTTTCCAATACGTGGGCCTCTCCCCCCAATTTCATCAAGCAAAGTCTTCAGCGCGAGCTACCAGATCTCAACGTCATTCAGCTGGATCCCAATGTCGTTCTCAAAGAAAATCTGGCTTCTCTTGTGCGCCGGGAGCACTCTTTTTCAAACGAGACCGCTAATTACATCCACGATATTATCGACGAACTCATCGCGGAGGACCGAAAGGAGAATCGAACTCGCGCATACCAACTTGACGAGATGGACTTTCAAACCCTCAGCTTGTATGGCTGTTTCAATCTCCCCGATGAGGCTACCTGCTGGAAATATATTGGCAATTATTTCAGGTATTTAAATCCGCAGCTACCAATTATTGATAAAAACCAGTTTTACAAAGATTACCACGACCTTAGAGACCCACCGTCGCTGATGCTGCTTTTTGCTGTTCTGTACGTTGGTGCTCGACACAGTGATACGGCAGACACCAATGATGAGGAAAGGCGGATCCTTACCGACGCGTCTGAGGTGCTATTTAAGCGTGCCAAGGCTTTGTTCGATCTATCCATCGAGACTGAACCTCTTCCGCTAATTCAATCGTTACTCTGTTTTATGTGGAATTACGAGAATTACTCGATGTTTTCCAAGAATGATTACTATTGGACGAAAATCGCTATTCAGTATGGACAACAATTTGGATTACACAGAGATAACGATAACAGCTCTCTCTTGACCTCCTATGAGAAGAGGATGTACAAACGATTGTTTTGGTGCCTTTTTATCAAGGACAGGCTGATTGGTCTCGGATTTGGCAGGCCTTTCATGTTGAGCCTCGAGGATTGTGATGTTAAAACGCTAAACGATGATGACCTATTGGACTCTGATCTCACTGCTGAGGAGAGGTCTTATTTTACTAGCTTCATCGGGTTTGCCCTACTAGTAGGCAATGTGGTTACGGAACAAGCAAAGATGAACCAATTGGTTGAATCAGGAAAGTCACCGCTATTCATAATACGGGATTGTGACACGCTCTTGATGAATTGGCTTGCCACTGTGCCTTATCACTTAAAATTCAAAATTGACGATCCGTCTACACAATCGCTTCTTAGTGGAATTCTGACTTCTCAGTATTACACATTACTTACACTTGTTCACAAAGCGAACATCCATAGAGGGATGGGACAGGTATATCCTTCGTGGGCTATTTCTTTCCAAGCTTCTCAAATGATCAAACTAATTGCAGATTCATTAATCAACAAGGGTTTTGCGTTTCACGTAGCGATGATCACACATAACACTCTATTTGCACCCGCAATTATTATGCTTTATCATTTGAAGAACGAAGATGAACAGATTGCACGCATCTCAAAACAGTTCTTTCTAAAGATTTTAGATGTGTGGAAGCACGTCTCCATTAAGTGGCCCACATGCCGACAGATGTGGTTCATTTTTGATAAACTCTATCACAGTGAAGAAAAGAAGAATGCGTTGCTTCACTCGCTGGTACGCCAATCAAAATCCACCAATACGATAATTGCAACGTCTAACGATATTGTTCTACCGCAACCAAGATTTCTGAAATCCTCGTACACAACAGAAGGGTTCATTGCCGGTGAGCTGGGAGAGAAAGGCCCAAAATTTGGCGCCTTTCGCGAATCCCGGTCTTCGAAATTGAAAAGCCTGAGCACATTAGATATTGAACTTGACAGATTGTTCACCAACAACGTGTTTTCAGAGTCAAAAGGTCTTCTTCCAAAGCTGGACCTGAACTACATCCACTCATCGCCCGGAGAGCCGTCAATTGCTCGTGAGAGCGAACAAGATGATGCTAGGGCATCGTCAGAGCTTCCTATAAGCCTTTGGCTTATGAATGCGTCCTGGAAGCCCAACTTTATGGACCCAGACACCGAAACAACTTTTGCAACTGCTTGCGACCAACTGACAGGCTTAATGACGGATAACTTCATCCCCAATAATGCTTTCCCTGCTTTTGGTCCAGCCGAAAGCCAATCGTACGGCAATCATTTTGGAAGTCTATAGACCACCATTCCAGCTTACCTAATTATTAACTCCGAATCCATAACACACGGAATAGCATTCTGGGACTGCTAACATTTGGCCGTCCAAATCATTGATCACGTAGTCTAGGGCCCGAAATAACTACCTTGATGACTCATGAAAAAAGGGTTTCTCGAGTTTTAAGTGAGGAACATCAATCACATGAAAGACGTTCGTACGAATCAAGTTTCTTCTTGTGCTTCACAAAGAAGGCCAACCAGAGCATATTTGCAGCAGCAAACAGAAGAACCTCGTATAACGGGAAATAAACCAATCCAGCACCCTTCCCGCCTGCGGTCGAGTCTGCGATCAATCCCATGATGTAGGGCATGACGGTGGAACCCATCGCTCCCAATCCACATATCACAGCCACACCTGCAGTAGAAAACTTTTTGGGTAGTGTTTTCATCGCTATAACCACAGTAGTAGAAAACATAGGCCCAACGAAGAATCCAACAAAGCATATAGAGCAAACCATCAATGAATACACGTGATTGAACAGCCAGAAAAGAACTGTTCCAATTGTGACAAGGGTGCAGTAAATGACCATTGCTTTGGTTTCGTAATCTTCGAATAGATGGCCGGTGATAAAGCTGAGGAAAAACCGGCCTGCAGTAAAGGCAATCCAGTACGCACTAGTGACATATGACGACGATTTGTCCGTAAAGCTGTGGATGTTCAAAAGATAGTTAAACAGCCACACCCCCATGCTTAGTTCTGATCCCAAATAAGTAAATAAACACAAGGAGAAGAAAATGATAAACTTGTTTGTGATAATCGTCCTAAACGATAACTTCTCATCGGTCTCATCCTTCTCACAATCTTGCTGTAGCTGGTACCTATATTTCCATCTTGTTTCTCTGCTAAAAAGGAAAATTGAGCCCACAAAATTTATTGCAATGAGCCCCAATATGAAAAGGTAGTATTGGTTCCACAAGAACCCACGATGAATCAGATAAGTGCATAACAAAGGGCTGATGAAACATCCCAAACCGTAGAATGCATGCATCAGCCCAAGTAATTGATTACTGTATTTCAAGCCACCAACAAAGAGGTTCATCGCACAATCGAGAGTTCCGAACCCAAGTCCGTTAATCATGGAAACTGAAACAAGCGTTGGGAAGTTCAGCTTTGCATAGATAGCTGTAGGCATAAGAGCCATAATCAGCAATGAAATTGGATAAAGGCCTTTCAGGCCCATCATTTGGCAAACCATGTTGTTTCCGAAACTTGCGATCATATAACCTATAGCTTGACAAAGAAATAAATATGATATATGTGTTCTATCAGTTTTGTAATCTGACAAAAGGTACTCCATAACCGATCCCAAGGATTGATCTGCCACACCTATAATCATGAAGCTAATCACAATTACTGCAACCTGTAATCTTAGTCTAATCGAGCGTTTTACATCTCTGCTTCCCAAAAACACTGTGTGACCTTGGAAGTCTATGATTTTTGGTATCTCAAAATCCTCATCCGGACCAGATTCATTATCGTATTCGCGTGGAAATTCAAAAGACTTATCTTCATTGTCTGGCGTGAGAGTGTTTAGTTCAATAGGTCCACCACTCATGAAGCAATTAATTAAAGATCCCTTTAAATTTTTTCCCCCCTTGAAGTGATTATAGATATCCAACGTAGTGGAACTCCAAAAAAACGTTTATGCGACATGGTAGCTATGAAATATATTAATTCTCAATTCGCGCTCTAAGCTTGATCGAGAGACTTTTCAGTGAACTGTGAAGAAGACTGGGTAATCCGTCAAACCCCATGTTTGTCAGCTCTTCCAATATATCTAGTCTCAAGTAGTCATAATCAGAATACATCTTGCGCCATTGTTCTGAATTACCTATAAGTCGATTAAATTCGGATTCATTCAATGGCCCAGCAAGACGAATATCTACCTCATTGAAGTCTTCAAGACGGGATATTATATCAGTAATCAATGAAGAATATGCAGGTGCATAGAAGACGTCAAAATCTTTTTTGATAGAATCAAAATCATAGTCCTCCCCATCGTCGATACTTGAATCGTAGTGATGATAGCGTTGTTTGAGCATTTTTGTTGTGAGAGCATACGGAAGCATGAACCCCTTGGCAGTCGACTTTTCGTTTTTGTCGAAGGCCTTGTCTCTCCAAACAATATTGCATAGATCCATCACGTAGGAGTTGTGCAAATTTTTAAGCATGCTGAACATCATATGAGTCAAATCCGAGTTTATGGCACCATGTCCTTGTTGTGTAGAAAGGAAGTTTGCGTAATAACGTTTGCAGAATGTTACATGTCGGCAAATCCCATCAATCAGAACGGAGTTTGATGAAAAGTAGAGGTCATAAAGTACAACTGGTGGTAGAACTAGATTTGACAATTTGAGGCGCTCATAGTCGATTCGGTATATCACACGCAAGAATTTGACAAAGCTTAGTTTACAGTCAGTATGTTGTTCTGCTTGGCCACAAAAACTCTCCGTGAAATCCCAAATCACATTCTCTATCAGGTTATTGATCGTTTTCCAAAATTCTTCATCATCATGAGCGGTTTGAACAATGCGCCAGTTTGTGATGAGAGCAGACGTAGATTCCAATGCACGAGATGCACTAACAGAGTTTCTCAAAAGTGGCTTGAGCTTCTCATAGATTGGTACAAATTGTAACCAGGGTCGATATCCAAGGTAAGGTATAAGCTCGTAAAATTTCACAGTACTCATGATGGGGTCCCCAGGTCGCAGGTTTGACAACAGGAAGTGCTCCAAGGCTGGAAGCAGAACCAGCGAGAATCTAGTGAGCTGAAGTAATCCGTTGAATAATGGTTCGTGCACAGGGTTTAACTTTTGTCCCTCTTCACCAAGAATAATCTCCATCCAGCTGTTTAGCTGGTGATGATCAAGCTGCAACAAAGCTATGTACAGGGGGAGCTTTGGGTAGAATTGAACGAAATGGCCGAGGGTTTCAGCTACTTTGAAACTTGGCTGCGCTTTGTAATGCGAAAACTCATCGATCTGGTATAACAACAACCCCATTTGACGAGGTACACGAACACTGTCTAAATTCAACAAATATGAAGGAATTGTGTAGCAATCTGCTACTGATCCAGAAGTCAGTATGTCCATGGTATTGAGATCAAAAGTAAGCTCGTCAAGCTTTTTGCGCTTATGACGATGTCCCACGGCTGAAACACCATATCTTAAATTGAGATACTCAAGCATTTGATTGAAGTCTTGCAAGTTATAGTAAAACTCCTGGAAGTCTTCAATTTCCATCAGTGGCGACATGGTATCAGTCCTTTGATTAAATTGATGGTATTGAACTTTGACGTCCACCAAAGAGTCCAGCACTTGGCGATCCACCTTGAACGCATCCTTTGGAAGCCTTTCATTCTCGACAATCTCCTCTAACTTATATCTGTAGGTATCAAAAAGAGGCAGATTATCCTTTCCTTGCAAATAGCCGTGGATTACCATCACCAAGGGCAACACGCTCTTGTCTTTTTCGTAAAGTTCGGTCAAATATATGATCCTGGAAGCGTTGAGGAAGAACTTAACATTATAGGACTCATCAATTTGCGAGCTCAGCTGAATCAAGTAAATTATGATCATGCTGATATGGGTTCTGATGTATCCGATCGGCAGCATATTATACAAAAAGGGAAGAATGCGCAAGTAGTCTTTATTCAGCCTGAAGTTGGAAAAGTTTGAGACAAGCCATTTGCTCATGTTAGTTTGAATCTTTTGGTGTAGTGTCGTTCCTTCGTTGGAAAACGTAGATAATCTGAAAGAGCTGATAATACGGAGAAAGATATCAAAGTCTAACAGTTCATAGCAATGCCAGATCTTCACAATTCTTGATTTAAGGGAAGTGCTAAAGAGTTTGGTGTTTGTGTCGTCTAGCACGATCTGAAGGAGTATTTTGAATTGACTCAGACTTATACCGTATTTTGGTACCACCAACTGTAGCTCGCGTACAATTTCTTTGACAGAATCTGTATCGGTTTTTCCGTTTGCACTCCTCAAATTTTCAATAGAGCAGTCAATAAAGTCGTAGTATCGCTGAATCTTGGCGTGCCTTTCTGAGTCCATCCTGAATCCTCAAAGATATAGCTTGTTTTTATTTGAGGTACGCGACTTGTTTTGCACACCTTTGCACCACGCGTATATTTAGCTTGATCAACACAAAAAAAGTCATTATTAGAGTTTGAGATGTCTTCGTCAGAAGAGGAAACTCCTTTGAGCGCGGTGAAACGTAAGCGGGTAACCAAACGGCCTGAACTTATGCTGTCTGAATCAGAGGATGGTTTGGCTACAGAATCGGAGAAGGTGAAGACGCCAACCACATCACTTAGCGAAGATGAGACCGATAATATACCCTTGAAGAAGCGGAAAACCAGCTCGAAAGCTGTACAAAGCAGACCCAGAGTCAAGAAGGAACTACAACCAAGCGTTCCGGTTTCCCCCCGGAAAAAGGGTCAAAGTAGTAAAGAGCCCAAAATCAAGAAAGAAGACACACCCAAAGTTAAAACAGAGGATGAAGCGGAAGAGGAAGAGAAGTACAAGTGGTGGGAGCAACAGGATTTGAACGACGAAATTGTTTGGGACACCCTTGAGCATAACGGTGTTATTTTTCCTCCTGAATACGAGCCGTTGCCTTCCCATGTGAAGTTGATTTACGATGGAAAACCTGTTTCTCTCCCACCAGCTGCTGAAGAGGTGGCCGGATTTTTCGCAGCCCTACTGGAGTCAGATCATGCCAAAAATCCGACCTTCCAAAAGAATTTCTTTGCTGATTTCCTAGAGGTGCTAAAGGAAAACGGTGGGTGTCCAGACGCGGAAATCACCGAGTTTGAGAAATGTGATTTCAGCAAAATGTTTGAGTACTTCCAAAAGCAAAAGGAGGAAAAGAAGGCCATTTCTCCCCAAGAGAAGAAGCGAATCAAACAGGAGAAGGAAAAGATGGAAGAAAAATACAAATTTTGTCTTTTGAACGGACGGAAAGAGCAAGTTGGAAACTTTAGAGTTGAGCCTCCGGGCTTATTTAGAGGTCGTGGAGCGCATCCAAAGACGGGTAAATTGAAGAAGCGCGTTCAACCGGAGGATATTACTCTCAATCTGAGTAAAGATGCACCAATTCCTCCGCCACCGGAAGGCCACCAGTGGGGAGAAATAAAGCATGATAACACTGTTGCATGGTTGGCCATGTGGAGAGAAAATGTGCTTGGGTCCGTCAAGTACGTGCGATTCGCTCAGAATTCTTCTTTGAAAGGTATGAGTGACTTCAAGAAGTTTGAAAAGGCGAGAGAGCTCAAGAACTGCATCGATGCGATCAGAAAAGACTACCGCGCTAAGTTGAAGTCGGAGCTCATGATGGATAGACAACTGGCTACCGCAACATATCTTATAGACGTGTTTGCACTCAGAGCCGGTGGAGAGAAGAGCGAAGATGAAGCAGACACTGTGGGTTGCTGCTCCTTGAGATACGAACACATCTTTCTGAAGCCTCCAAATACTGTCGTTTTTGACTTCTTAGGTAAAGATTCGATTAGGTTTTACCAAGAGGTTGAAGTTGATCCTCAGGTATTCAAGAATCTAAGAATCTTCAAAAAGAGCCCGAAGAAACCTGGGGACAACTTGTTTGACAGAATCGATCCCTCCGTACTCAACAAATATTTTCAATCGTACCTCCCAGGATTGACTGCTAAGGTTTTCAGAACGTACAATGCATCAAAGACCATGCAAGACCAAATCGACCTAATTATGAACGAAGGTACGGTCAACGAGAAAGTTGTGAAATTCAACGCTGCCAACAGAACTGTTGCCATTCTTTGTAATCACCAGCGGACGGTTAGTAAGAACCATGAAGCCGGAGTTCAAAAAATTAATGAAAAGATAGAAGAAATGATATGGCGCAAGATCGTGCTGAAGCGTATGATGCTGCAGCAAGACAAGTCGCTAAAGAAAAAAGATCCTAAATACTTTGAGGAGATAGATGATATGAGCAAAGAAGAAGAACAAAAGATTATCGAGCGAGTGTTACAAAAAGAAAAGGAAAAGATAGAAAAGAGATTCGAACGAGAGCTGTTGAAGCTGGGGTATGAAGAGCTTACTAAAGACCAGAAGACACAGAAGAAAGACGAATTAGCAGCAGATCACAAGAGCAGACTTCAAAAGCACAAAGAGCTAGAGAAAACGTACAAAAATGAGTTCAAGACCGGAAAGTACGAGATTAAATCCACGCAAACGGTCGAGAAGCTTCAACAACAGGTGGAAAAAATCGAGACAAGAATAAAAAATACTAGTCTTCAGCTTAAAGACAAGGAAGACAACTCTCAGGTTGCACTGAACACATCCAAAATCAACTATATTGATCCTCGACTAACAGTTATGTTTTCCAAGAAGTTCGAGGTGCCCATCGAGAAGCTGTTCACCAAAACCTTGCGTGAAAAGTTCGCTTGGGCCATTGACTCGGCCGATGAGAATTGGAGATTCTAAAGCTCACTATATTGTAACATAGAATGGTTAAATATTATATATATGTACCGAATGTCGCTATGTATAAAGAATATTCATGCTAAGAGATGCTTAGTATTGTCTAGCCGCGGCCTGACAAGCCTTTAGTTGTTGCAGGTAGAAGTCACAAGCTTGGTAGTTGCCATTCGACTCCTCCAAACATCTAGTAAAGTTTCTAGCATCCGCATCACAAGCTGGAGTAGGTTGTTGTTGGTATTGTTGAGCTGAAGCAGCCGGAACTTGCTGCTGTTGATACTCAGCAGGCTGGGAGGATGATCCGGAAAACAGGCCACTGATACCTGCACCTATAGTATGGCCCACTGCGGAACCGACAGCAACACCAGCAGCAGTCGAGGCCATTTGAGAAAACAGACCTGGCTGTTGTTGGGTCTGCACTGGATGGCTGTAAGAGTGTGTAGGAGCTGGTGCGGCCATCGTGGATGCTGGTCTGGCACCAGATGGGGCAGATCTAGCAGCTGGAGCAGGTCTTCTTGAAGATGATCTTGGCATGTTGAAAAATATTCAATTAGAAAACAGGAGAAATCTATTTGCCACTGCTTTTATGCCGCAGATTCGAGAAAATAAGGGCCAAAGGATTAAAATCAGCCACGTTCACCAAAGGCCGGGTAACTGTGGCTAAATTCCAATGTAGCACAAAAAGGTGGGGTTTTATATTCGCAGCTACCAAATGATTTGTTTTGGACTCAAGCAGGGTTGGAGGGTCGCAGCATGGAACTCCATAGGAGTTCATTCAAGGAAATTTTCTGCCACTGCATATAGTAGACAAGGCACTGGAGGAACTGGTAGCCAAAGGGCTGATGATAACGATTTCTATCAGATTAGGAAAAGAGGCAATCGACCAGGAGAAGGTGATCCGGACGAACCAGAGCTTGCATCAACTTACAACATCAAAATAAGTTCCGCAATGGGTAATTATGAACAGTTCATCAATGAGTCGAAAGACTGGGATACTTGGAATCTTTACAACGAGGATTCCCCGGACTACCCTATTCGTAAAAACAAGATTAGACATTTCACCCTCAATTTTGGACCGCAACACCCTGCAGCACACGGAGTGCTCCGACTGATTCTTGAGCTACACGGTGAAGAGATTGTTCGCTCAGATCCACATGTTGGCCTTTTGCACAGAGGAACGGAGAAACTGATTGAATCCAAAACGTACATTCAGGCATTGCCGTATTTTGATAGACTTGACTATGTCTCTATGATGACCAACGAGCAAGTGTTTTCTCTTGCTGTGGAAAAACTACTCAACATTGAGGTACCTATTAGAGCAAAGTATATTAGAACCATGTTTGGAGAAATCACCCGTATTTTGAATCATCTCATGTCTGTTCTATCGCATGCTATGGACGTGGGAGCGCTGACGCCCTTCTTATGGGGATTCGAAGAAAGAGAGAAATTGATGGAATTTTATGAGCGAGTCTCGGGCGCCCGGTTGCATGCTGCCTATGTGAGGCCAGGTGGGGTGGCACAAGACCTCCCATTTGGCTTGCTGGATGATATCTACATGTGGGCTACGCAATTTGGAGACCGTATTGACGAAACAGAGGAGCTCCTTACTGACAATCGTATCTGGAAGCAAAGAACAGTCGACATTGGAACAGTGACGGCCGAAGATGCCCTAAATTATGGTTTGTCGGGTGTCATGCTTAGAGGATCGGGCGTTCCATTCGACATCAGAAAGTCACAGCCGTACGATGCCTATGAGTATGTGGATTTCGATATTCCTGTTGGCACTAGAGGAGATTGCTACGATAGATATTTGATCAGAATGGCCGAATTTAGACAATCCCTAAGAATCATCGAACAATGCATAAACGATATGCCTGCAGGTCCCGTGAAAGTTGAAGACTTCAAGATAGCCCCCCCAGCCAAGTCATTGATGAAGACTGATATGGAAGCTCTGATCCACCATTTCTTGGTTTTCACTAAAGGTTACCAAGTTCCTCCAGGAGAGACATATACAGTTATCGAGGCTCCAAAGGGAGAAATGGGAGTATATGTTGTGAGTGACGGATCAGAGAGACCATACAGATGTAAAATTCGTGCTCCTGGATTTTCTCATTTGGCTGCGTTTGACCACATTTCAAGGGGCCACTTGCTACCAGATGCTGTGGCCATCATTGGAACGATGGATCTTGTCTTTGGAGAGGTTGACAGATAATTCTGTGAAACTATTTATTTGGATCTGGTCTTATTTATTGGATAAATTTATTAAATGTTACTATTCTGCAACCTCCTCAACTGAAGGACAGGTGCACATCAAGTTGATGTCTCCATAGGTGTCATCAACACGTGCAACGAAAGGCCACGTCTTGAAGTCTCTCAAAAATGGCAATGGAAAGCCAGCTTGTTGTCTTGAATATCCTCTCCTTTGCCATTCTTCTTCATCGGTCTCCAACAAATCTCTGAGCGAATGAGGAGCATTTTTCAGTAAAGCAGCGCTGCCTCCATTTTTGACATCCTCAATCTCTTTGCGGATGGAGATCATTGAATCGATGAATCTATTGAGCTCCTCGAGGTTTTCAGACTCGGTAGGTTCGATCATCAGAGTCCCGGGAATAGGGAAGGACATAGTTGGAGCATGGAAGCCGTAATCCTGAAGGCGTTTGGCCACATCGATGGCCTCAATTCCAAATTCCTTGAATGGTCTCAGATCAATGATAAACTCGTGCGCGCAGTATTTGATTTCATGGTGCGCTGACTCATCGCCCAAGAACATTATCTTGTAGTGGTCGCGAAGTCTGTACATCATGTAATTGGCGTTCAAGATAGCCAAACTAGATGCGTAGGGCAGGTTCTGGGCTCCGAGCATCTTTATGTAAGCGTAGGAAATGGGCAAAATTGAGGCAGACCCGAATGGCGCAGCCGAAACAGGGTTGATTGCAGTCGACGCAGTGTTGGTAGAAGGAAACAGAGGGTGTTTTGGAAGGAAGTCCTTCAAGTGATCAGCAACACAAATAGGCCCCACACCTGGGCCACCTCCACCGTGGGGGATAGCAAAAGTCTTGTGCAAATTCAAATGACAGACGTCAGCACCCAAGTCGCCAGGGGAAGTCAAACCCACCTGAGCATTCATGTTGGCGCCATCAAGATAAACCTGGCCTCCATGAGAATGGACAAGAGAGACCGCATCTCTAATGGTAGGCTCAAACATACCGTAAGTCGATGGATAGGTGATCATGATAGCAGCTAGGTTGGAGGCATGCTTGGTGGTCTTGGCTTCGAGATCCTGAAGATCTAGATTTCCGTTGCTCAGACATTTGACTGGAACCACCTTGAGGCCTGCCATTGCAGCGGAGGCTGGGTTGGTTCCGTGAGCACTGACTGGGATCAAGACCACGTTTCTGTGGCCCTGCCCAATGCTCTCTAGATAAGCTCTAATGACAGTCAAACCGGTGTATTCCCCCTGCGCGCCCGAGTTAGGCATAAGGGTTGTCTTGGAAAACCCAGTAATATCTGCAAGATCAGCCTCGAGCTCTGTGATTAGTTCCAAATAGCCTTTGGCCTGGTCGCTAGGCACAAAGGGATGAACATTTGCAAATTCAGCCCAGGTTATTGGAATCATCTCAGTTGTGGCATTCAGCTTCATGGTACAGGAGCCAAGAGAGATCATGGAAGACGCAAGAGAAATATCCCTTTGCTGTAGCTTGTATAGGTAGCGCAACATAGCAGTTTCCGAATTGTGCGTGTTAAAGACTGGGTTGGTGAGAATCTTGTCTGTTCTGACCAGATGGCGTGGAAATTCGGGAAGACGTTGAACATTGTCGAGATTAGTCGTTTGTGAAGTGAACAGTTCCACAAGCTTGGTAAGGTCGTTTTTGGTGACCGACTCATCAAGAGACAACTGGATCTGGTTGTCGTTTACCTTGAATAGGTTGATGTTGTACTCATTGAGGGCCTTTGCAATGATGTCATCTGCAGCACCTTCAACTTGAACTGAAAGCGTATCAAAGTAGGTAGCATTGAGAACGGTGTGCGGAGAATTCTCGGTTATTTGCTCGGCAAGAATGCGTGTCAGACCGTGAATTCGACTAGCGATGGCCTTCAAACCATCGGCACCGTGGTAAACCACGTAATTAGCGGCAATGTTAGCAAGTAAAGCTTGAGCAGTGCAGATGTTGGAAGTAGCCTTTTCTCTCTTGATGTGCTGCTCACGAGTTTGAAGTGCCAAACGTAGAGCCTGGCCACCAAGTCTATCTTTTGTGACACCCACAAGTCTTCCCGGAATCCTTCTTTGCAACTGATCAGTGACAGCAAAAAAAGCCGCATGAGGGCCTCCAAAACCCATAGGAACGCCAAATCTTTGCGAAGATCCCAAAGCGATATCGGCACCAAACTCAGATGGCGGTTTGAGAAGAGTCAAAGCCATCAGATCAGAGGCAACTGCAACCAAACCTTTGTTTTGGTGCATGATTCCTGCAATATCGGCAAGCGATTCTGGAGCAGGGATGGTACCATCTGTTTGAGGGTAAGAGATTAAAACACCACACAGATCTCCTGCAACGGGCTGAAAATTACTCAAATCATCAATAACGAGCTCGATTCCCAAAGTGTATGCCCTGGTTTTCAAGACAGCTATCGTTTGTTCGTGAGTGTTCTTATCAACAAAATATTTGGTTTTCTTACCACGCAATTGGTTGTAGGACAAGATCATGGCTTCAGCAGCTGCAGTACCTTCATCAAGAAGAGATGAGTTGGCCACTGGGAGCCCAGTAAGATCTGAGACAATGGTCTGATAATTCAAAAGACTCTCTAGCCGTCCTTGCGAAACCTCCGCCTGATAAGGAGTGTAGGATGTGTACCAAGCAGGATTTTCAAGCAAGTTCCGCTGGATCACAGCAGGAAGGATAGTGTTATAGTAGCCCTTTCCAATGTAGGACTTGACCAGCTTGTTTTTAGACGCGATTTCCCTCAATCGGTTTAGCATCTGGGTTTCAGTGTATCCTTGTTCAGGCTTGATCTTGAGAGGTCTTCCAACAAAAACATTTTCCGGAAGAACCTTGCTGATAAATTCACCAAGATCGGAACATTTCACAGCAGCGAGCATCTGATCAACATCTTGAGGCTTGGGGCCCAAGTGTCTGCGCGCAAAAGTATCCAGATCCGCTAATCCTCTGTCTGGGGGATAATATCCCTTGGCATAGGCCTTTGACGAAACCAGTCGAACGGAGCCACGGAACGCAATCCTGGACGACACGGACATTGTGAGAAAAGAAATTGATCAGTTTTGAACAACAGATACAGGACTGAGGGTGATATATAAAGGACTAATGCAGATTGACTTGGAAAAAGAAATCTGCGGGGACAAGAGTCAAATTTTGTTACTTGGTGACTCTGACAGACAGGACCTCAAAAGCAGATATTCGATATATTACATAAGCGCCACCGCTTGCGTTCTGCGTCCACTATTGGCAGCGACCCACGAACCATCGGTATTCCAACACACGTTGTTCACCTCCATCTCATCAAAAAAGCCAAAAATTGGAGCCACAGAGTTTTCTGCCTGACCGCAGTCTGTAAGGTCGTAAATCAAAACCTGGCAATCGTCTGCTCCCGTTAATAGGAAGTTTTTGCTCGGATGCCATGCTATGCTATTGACAGGTGCCACATGGTTTCGCAGAATTTCGATAGGAGTCTCGGGATACCTCAGATCTAGTATTAGAATGCGACTGCTATCAGCCTCTATGGCGGCAATTTGGTTGGCATTGTAATTAGACGTTGCTAGTCGGAGCAAAGGCACACGCTGACCCATGGCTGCATCCTGAGCGGAGCTCAATGTAGCGATACTTGCTATGGACGACCTGGTGGACTGGGGCTCGTATATGATTGTGGAATGCTCCAAGGATCGCAGATCGAACACTCGGATAGAGCCGTCGTTGGAGCAGCTGGTGAAAACATGCTTGTTACCATGCAGAAACTTGACATCAAACACCTCACTGTCGTGTGCAATCAACTGCGTTTTTGCCACTCCGGTGCCTCGTGAAATGTCCCAAAGCGTGCACGTAGAGTCTATAGAACTTGTTATTATATGTCGGGGGTCGGTTTTGTTCCAGTCGAGCGATGTCAGTGGAGGCAGTTGATTGAAATTTTTCGTTTTTGAGTTTGTCAGCGTCATCTTTTCAATGATCCTGGGGTTCTGTGCATATGCTTGTGAAGGATCGGGCTCCAATAGCTCGTAGATTCTCAAACATTCAGAACTTGTCGCTACACACGTCGCATCAGGATAGAGTGGCATTGACGGATCCCACTGAAGTCTTGTGATTGGATAGTTCACTGTAACCTCTGCCACCGAGGTGAGATCATATGCGTCTGTTGTCTTGATGCCATTTTGTTCGTCGTCGATATATATTGGAGAACCTTTGATGATCTTAAGTCTATTGGTAGAATCCTCACGGAACGAGCTAACAGCAATTTTAGCTGTGTCAGACTGAGCACTTGATGTCCAATCCAGCCCATACACAGGAAAACGAGAGTCATGAGACGACGACCTGGGAGTAGAGTGTGTGTTCCCAGGAACAGCAGACTGTTGAATGTTGGAGGGAACAAAGCGAGACTCTCCAATCTCTGAAAGGTTAGTTGAAATGTGGTTCATGCCACTTACTCGAAGGTCCTTGTAAATGTGGTTGTTCCACGGCAATGGATGACCGTTTCGCAAGCTTGCTGAACGGGTTGTTATCCATTTCTTGACAATTTAAATATTGTGGCGCAAGTTTTAAGGTTATATGTGGCTAGTGTAATTGAGAAAGGAGCAGAGGCAAAAACAAGCTACTTTACATGCTCAAAGGAAAATCACCAAAATTTAAGTAATTAATTATCATTAAAAGCTCAATGAAGTCATTGAGCTTGAGTCGATACAGACACTAAAGAGGTATCTATGCAAGGGAATTGAAAAGGTATCTAATAGATCACAAATGACGACCTTAGCTGTCACGGGGAAAAAATAATTCCGGACTGTCCATGAAGTCAATAAATTGAATTGAATACCAGGAAGTATCAGCACCAAATATCTTGTAACTTTGAGCGGCAAAGTCAATGATTATGGATTAATCGTGAACAAAATGGACTCGATAAGCCTTGCGCTTCCTTCAAAGTTGCTAGCACGCTTAGTAGAAGAAGGCAGCAATGAAAGCAGCTCCCAACAAGCCTGCTGAAGCGTAACCCTTGGCAGCAGCACCCTCCAAGATCGAGATGCTGGAGGAGGTAGCGCCAGAGCCAGAGCCAGCGACAGAAGAAGAAGACAAGGTGGTAGCAGCAGTAGAACCAGAGCCGGAACCGGTAGAACCAGTCTCGACAGCAGCCACAGTGGAGCCTGCACCAGAGGCACCGGTGGTGGTGACAGTGGCAACAGTGGTTGTAGTGCCGGAACCAGCAGCAGCAGTAGAACCAACGCCACCAGCGGTAGCAGTAACAGTGGCGGTCTCGGTGACCTCGTAGTACTCACAAGTGGTAACGTAGGTGGTTGTGACATCACCGCTGGTAACGGTGGTGGTGACCTCCAAACCGGTAACTGGAGTACTAGCAACAGGGTTATTGATGGTGGTGGTGTAGGTCTTGGTAACCTCACCAGCAGTCAATGGGCAGTAAGTAGTGTAGACAGTGGTCAAGTCAGTAACGGTGGTGAGACCAGTGACGATGGTAGACTCTTGACCCTTGCACTTCTCCTCAGTACAGGTGACAGTGATGGTGGTGGTCTCTGGAGAAGCAGTCTCGGTCTCGCAAACAGTGGTCACAACGGTAACTGGAGCCAGAGTGAGGGTGGTGGTGAGTGGGCAGTAGGTGGTGTAGACAGTGGTCTCATCAGTGACGGTGGTGACACCGGTGACAATAGTCTCCACACCGGTGCAGACCTCCTCAGTACAAGTGGTGGTGAGAGTAACAGTACTCGAAGCAGTCTGGGTAATGACAGTAACACCTGGAATCTCGGAAGAAGAGGCAGAAGATGGAACAGAGCTGGAAGCACCAGAAGACGAAGAGGACACGGCAGCAATGTACACGGTAGCAGTCAAATAGTAGACACGCTCAGCTCTCTTGCTGCTGTCTGGGTCGGTAGTAAGTGCAAAAGTAGCAGTGTAAGAACCTGGCTCGGTAATGGCAGCAGAGTAGATGTATGCGTGGAAGTTCTCTGGGCTGTAGCCAGAAGTGGTAACATCAAAGTCAATGTCAGTCTCAGTGGACTCATTGTTGATTGGAATGCTCTGTCCATCAGCGTCAGCAGTACACAGGCTTGGGTCGAAAGCACCAAAGTTTTGGCTGAGCGACAAAACACTGAAAGAAGAGAATTGAAGAGCAGCAGGGATAGTGATGATGTACTCAGCCTGGCCGTTGTTGTCAACACCCCGAATGGATGGAGCAAGAGAACTGGATGGAGCTGGTCCAGAGGACGAAGTGGTAGAGTTGGTGTAAGCGGCAGTCACAGCGTTGGCGACCATGGAGGCCACAACGGCAATGTTAAACAACGAAAGCTTCATTATAGCAGGTTCTTAGTAGTTCCGGGTGGTAAAGTTGCTAGCGAACGTGGTATCGATATCAACCAGAATTAAACCTAAAACGAAAGGGCTTTCTATACGGCTTTGGAGGCACTGGGAATGTCCTCTTATTTATAGTGATGCGGTGCTTTTGCACATTTGGCTGAAGGCACGGATCGCATTTACGACCACACAGGGGCTTTTGGGAATTTCTTTTTGCATAATCTTGCTATAAGGCTATTGTTAGAAGTTGTTTGGCCAGTATGCAGTATCTATTTAAACACGTCGGAATTTTTAGAAAACGCGGTCTAAGGTGACTATTAAAAGCAGTCGGAACACCAATAAAGGATTGCCATAGTAAATATGAAAGGAGAGAGTTGAGCTGTTTTCATTGGCTTCCAATCGGTGTACAACTGAGCATGCCATTAGCATTCACGCTTGCTAAATGCTAGCATTCCTACGCGTTCGACGAGCACAATTGACCGCACGTCGATGAAGAAAATCTTACTAATTTCTAAATTCGGGGATTATGCATGTCGCTAAATCTGGATAGCCTAATTCTGCATTCGGACCGGCCTCCTGAATGTCGCATTGAATTTCGGATCAACAACACTTCGAGAAATTCTAGTCCCTATGTTTGTAGTGGTCGTGGAAATGGTCATAGGGCAATGAAGTCTTAAATTAGAACTTTGGGTGCAGGTGATCGGACTTCTACTGTGTAATCCTTGTTGCTACAAATCCTCACCCGTTAAACTCTATCTACCAATTGGGGGTATCCTTGCTTCTCAAGCAAGGGACACCTTTGGGTCACCCAACTCTGTATGATCATAAACTACTACTGTTCAATCTCGGCGACTGCCACGCGCCTTAGTAAGATTATACATTGCGATCAACAAAATCACAGTATTGTCCATTCCAGTACAATAAAATAACAATACTGTACAATAGATTAGGAAATTTCACTAACCAGCCAACCTGAGCATGTTGTTTTTTCAGGGCCGAACACTTTAAAATTAGATCTGTCAAAATTCCAGTCGCCTAAAATAGCCACATTGCTGGAACTTTGAGATCATTTCCGGCCTGAACGCCGAGCGCAACTCTATTGTAGTGCATTCCAAATTGTATGCCAGCGTCCGTAAACGTGGTCCATATGTGATGGTGTTATGCAGTCCCCGTATGAGTATGTCCCACCATGATCGTAATATAGATTGCTGTCCTAATCAGGCAGCTATCATCGGTCGGTCGTATATGAGAATGATCTTCAGGATCCAATGTGCATACCCCAACTTCTGCCTACAACATTCCTGGATGTGATGGAGTTTAGAAATTGTTGTACATTGCTAATCAAAGCCAGTCGACCAGTTTACTGAGCCACACCTGCTGACACATAATCTGCCAAACTGGGTGGGCGGAGCTCTTAAAAAAGTTCTGGCAGTTAGTACTATATTAGCAAAATGGGTCTTAGAAACATCTTCAAGCCCCCAAAGGATATGTCCAAGGAGGACGTCAAGGAATTCCTACAGGACGAGGGTATCCGTGTTAGGGATGAGGAGAATCGCCACCGCAGAAAATTCAAGTTCGGAGAGTTTTCGAAGTACGCTCAAGATGAAACACAGGATCGACCTGTGCTGATGCCCCGAATCCATCAGGAACCGGCTTCGCATGAATCGTCTGCTGGATCTTCTGAAGATCCATACAATCCGGCTACACAGTCGACAATCTCTAATGTGACACAAGAGACTGCAAATCAACATGGAGGGCCTGGAAGGTACGATGGCGCTCCTTCCTACCATACGTTCGATCCTTATGATAATGACGGTTCCGCTTCCGTCAACCAGCAAAGCCTGCACCAACCACAGTTGCAGCAAGTACAGACAACACAAAAACAACAATCAATCCATGACATATACGAAACCCAAGCTCAAGATGACGATTTTGATCCAAACTCATATCCTCAAGCCGCTGCACGCACTTATGATCCTTACCTAGAATCGGAGCAGCAACAGGTAGAAGAGGAAGTGGACGAGGAAGAGGAAGAAATAAATCGTATAAAGCGACAGACCAAAGATGTTCGAGAAGCGACCTTAAAATCTACACACAATATTCTGGGCCATCTAAGACAGGCGGATGACACTGCTGTCAACACTTTGGGAACTATTGGTGCACAAAAAGAGAAGATGTATGAAATGGAAAAATCCTTGAATGGAATGGATACGCATCAACGGTTTGTCGATGAACATGTCAAGCAATTAGAGCATTATAACAGGGGATTATTTCACATAAAGGCCAGCAACCCTTTCACCAAAAAATCGAGGATGAGGGCCGCTGAGCAACGGTTCCTTGCTCAGAGGCAAGCAGATAGGGAAAGAGACGCAAATCTCAGCTCTAATTTGTATCATACTCAAAACGAGATCATAGATCAACTGCGCGATTCAAAAGAGCCCGTTGTCAATTCGGAGTTGAAAGAAAAGTACGAATACGAAAGACGTGTAAAGGAGGCTTCTAGATTTTTGGGTGAAGAACACGATGAGGAGGACGAAAGAATGGAGGTCGAGTACAGCAAGAATGTGGATGAAGCGCAAAAGCTGGCAACAAATCTGAGACGCAAAGCTAATTTACTGTCGCAAGAAATCATGTCACAGAACAAGAATTTGAAAGACATCAGCGAGAAGGTTAATAAGGTGGACGATAAGCTTGTGCTTACGACTAATAGGATCCGGGGTATATAACTGAACGATTACGTTTTTGCTAATTTGATTTTATAGATCAACTTCCGTCGGGAAACTGTAGTCAAAGTAGTACTAAGAAGACATTCTTACTTGGGTGTAGAGGAACTCGCCTTGCCAAGTTCACTAGAAAGTCCTTTGATCTTGATGGCAAGTCGTTCTGCTCCCAAGAAATCACGTAATCCGGGTAACTATCGTATTTCCCACCTGGCAGAAATCTCACTCCACCAATTAGAAGATGGTCAAAAACGGATTTAAAAAATTGATTAGTGGTGTAATAAACAGGCTTTCAATAAACCATAGACCAAAATGCTGAGAGCCATTGGAATTAGACAAGCGAGAATTGTTGGTAGAAGATTCAACTCCTCTGTGCAGAACGAGCCTGCTTTCAAAAAGGCGGACCCAGCTAAGGCCAAGGAATTCATCGAGCACTATGAGGCTGTGATTCACCATTCTGAGAAGACCTCTAGCCTGTGGAAGAAAATCACGTACTTTGTCGCTTTCCCTGTCATTGCCTTGACTGCTGTCAACACTTACTTCGTTGAGGCCGAACATGCTCATCACAGAGAACACACCAAGCACCTCTCTGACGAGGAGTGGCCAAAAGATTACCCATACCAAAACATCAGAAGAAAGGACTTCTTTTGGGGAGATGGTGACAAGACGTTGTTCTGGAACCCAGATGTGAACAGACATATCAGAGACTTTTAGTTTAGCACATACACAAAATCAATATATTTCATACAGATGACAGAATGACTATCACGCTCTGTGATTAAAGAGCAGAGAAGATGTATAGATTATTTGTGGCGGCAATGGCGACCGAGTTCTCGTTGGGATGCCAGCTCAAATGTAGAATTGATTTTTTGAAATCGATGGTGTCGAAATCCATCTTATTCATCATTGTTAGATTCTTCCGCTTGTTCGAATTCATTTTCTTTGCTTTGAATGCTGACTTGTCCGCTTGAAGTACAATTTCCTTTTCTGGACCTGAGTTGCCCACCACGTTCTGGTAGATCATGAAATTATTGTTGTATGAACCGGTCATAATGGATTTATTGTCTCCGCTAAATTGCACCTCAAATTTATCAAAGATCGCGTCATTCTCATATGTGTCACACAACCGATCCCGGAGCTGCTCGTGAATGCTGATTGTCTTGATTGGTTCCGATTCCATCGCTATGTCCCATATCTTTACTGTCATATAATCCCTCGACACAATGTATCTGCCATTCGAGCTGAATTTGACATCTGATATAGAGGATGTAATTTCTGTGAAAAAGTTGTGGTTGGAAGGATCCATGTATTCCTCAAATACACGCGCGTGGTTGTCGCACAGCGAGTTGACACGCATATCGTTCAACTTGATAGTTCCCTTCGAGGAGGAGTACATGAACAAGTTGCAATCTGTAGGGTGGAATTCAGCGCTCGTAATCACTTCCGTGAGCTCCTCCATATTTACCGGTTTGATGTCCACAATGTTGAAAGATTGATCGGCTATTCCCAAATTCCATAAATTGATTCTGAGATCATCGGAAGAAATGAATGTTTCTTGATCAGAGTTAACACTAATTGAGTTTACGTGGTAGGCATGAGCGTTTGCATATATTTTCTTTGGTTGAGCTGCTGTGATGGTATCGTGCATTGTTAATTTTGGAAGCTTGAGGTTTGCCGCAGACGAAAGCATGGGATAGGGTTGGGTAAGATTTGTATTTATGTGGAACGAGGAATACTGTGAGTGCATTTTTGGAGAGGAAACCGATTTCTCGCTAAGGTTATTTTCCGAGACCATCTTTATCTGCTTCTCAAACACCTTCCACAGCTTTATCGTTTTATCATTGGTAGAAAGCAAGAAATTGGATTGGTTGGAGCGTTTGAGCCATTTGATCTTGTTGATTTTCTCCTCGATCTCCAACGACTTGAGGTAATCAAACTCGGCATCGTGAGACTGGAACTCCGTGTAGAATCTATACTCACAGGTTTTCTTGTTCTCATTCCTTTCAAATAACACAACTCGTCCTCCACGGTCGCCTGTAGCTAGGAAATCGCCGGTATGATCGAATTCGACTGTAGAAATGATATCCGCCTCGGTAATGTTCTCAATGTCACCTTTATCGCCAAAACATTGGCTGAATTTCCAGGAATCGTCCATATCTGAGTCTATATGAATCAACTACCTATTGATGATGCTTCAGCAAAAAAAAAAACAGTGGATGCCCCAAATCAATTGACAATAAGAATGCGGTTTGGATTTTGACTTGCCACTATAGCTAATGCTTTTGTAAATATCTTTAGAATACACACCAAATAGTGTAATCGCTAATAAAATGCTTGCCGATCGCCTTCTATGATTGCCCCTCTAATAGTTTAGGTCCGCTTGGAATCCAGTACAATTTTTTGCTTGCAATAGCCAGTGAGATCGGTGTAAGGATGTTTGGTCGACTTCAGAACACTGTACCGCAATTATCCATACTGTAAGCAGCCTACTTTGCTATATTTTATCAACATATCATTACTGTACGCTATACATCAGCACTTCTACCATCCACTTTAAGCAGTGGCCTTCTTAGCAGCGTCAGCAGGAGAAACTCTTCTTTCTCTGTTGAATCTTTGTCTGACTGGTGGAGTTCTAATTCTTCTGTCGGTTCTAGATCTGACTCTCACGATTCTGGCGTGAATGGCACATGAGACACAATAAGCCAACTTGTGGTACAGCTTTGGCAGTGGGTACTCGTCGTAGACGGAAGCCTCAGACAGGTCTCTCACAGCAGCGGCCTCGACCATGTTTCTGATAGTGACTCTCTTGATGGCCTTATCCTTAGGGACACATCTGGAGCAGTTGACACATCTGACTGGCTTGACGTGTCCTCTACCCTTCTTGTTTCTTCCGTTGGATGATCTCTTCTTTGGCATGCTGGATGGTTAGAATATACTAAAATGGAACACGCAATGTTCAAAGTGTGGAGACAACCGATTCGTCGATTCTTGACTCGGTACGGCTGTCCTGCTGTTGAGCTTCACAAACGTATTCCTTGGACGGTAGGTACTTACTTGCACTAATATCTATAGAATAAAATATGAAAAATTTATTGAAAAATTCGTCGCAGGTGCTCCCACCGGGAACCCTAGCCAGTCTACCGCGAGTTTTACACCCACGCCCGGTAAGTGCACGGCCTGCTGGGGAAAGAAATTTATTTGCAGGGGATTTTTGACCCAGTGGAACATCACGTGACATTGATTATTACGAGATCATCAAGCTATCCGAAAGTTTGCGAGTCGCCATTAGCGTGTAAGGGTGTTCACATATCCTAATAATACGCATTTAATTGGCTAGCGTGAATCGTGCCACTACACCGGGTGAAAATATATTTTCGTGGTGGCCTACCAGGGATTCGCGAAGAAGCCAACCAGTGAAAGACAATTCAAAATTACAAAAAACAATTAGTTGTATCGATTTACAATCAAGGTAGGTACTTTTAGCCTTGCTTGTTGACCACTGCTTGTACTTGCCGGGATTTTTGTGCTAACTTTCTAGATGTTGAGACAGACCATTCGACTAGCCAGACCGGCCAGACTTTTCTCCACTTCTGTCATTGCCAGAAATGCATCGCAGGCCCCAAAGGAGTTCAAGACAGCCAAAAGCCTTAGTGAAGTCGTTGACAAGTACGACTTAGTCGGTCCCGGTGCTCAGCCTGGTACCGTCCCTACTGACTTGGAACAAGCTACCGGTCTTGAAAGACTTGAATTGCTTGGTAAGTTGGAGGGTGTTGAGGTTTTCGAGAACGAGCCTCTTGACTCTTCCAGAAAAGGCACCATGGCCGACCCAATCGTTGTGAACTCGTACGACGACTACAGATATGTTGGATGCACCGGTTCCCCGGCTGGTTCCCACGAAATCATGTGGCTGAAGCCTACCGTGGAGAAGGTTGCCAGATGTTGGGAGTGCGGTTCCGTGTACAAATTGAAGTATTTGGGAACTGGAGAAGGCCATCACCATTAGGTATAGATATGTTATAATACGAAATTCGCCAGAAATCTTTATATGTACAGTACAAAAAAAAAGTAAGCTCCTTTCTAGCTGGCCCCTGTTGCGACGAAGAATGATGACTGAAATGCGTGGTACGAAGCCCCGGGTCGTTTTCTTCGGGGGGCTGAATGAGAATTTACCAGAATTCAAACAATTTACGAAGACATTTGACGTCGTATTCTATGAGCTGGTTTCTAGAGAGCAGTTTGTGTCTGATCTGAATACTAAACTACAAAATGTCGTGGCAATTTACGGTGCATGGGCTCCATTCGGCAAGATTGGAAATCTGGACAAAGAGCTGGTGGTCAAGCTGCCGTCGTCGTTGAAACTGATTACTGTTTGTTCTGCAGGGTATGGTGGAATAGACCTGGAGGCCTTGCGTGTGAGGGGAATCAAATTTTGCAATTCACCAACCTTTGGTGCTTCTGCAGTGGCAGAGACTGTTTTATACCATGTCTTGAATGGGTTTCGAAAGTTCGGCTTGTTTGAAGCGACTCTTCGCCAGAATCCGCATACAATTGAGGCTCGCTCACTACTGGGAAATGTAAAAACTTTTGATGCTGACCGTGGGGTGTTTGTCTTTGACCACAGCAATAAGACAAAGTACTGTTTTGGACATCATGTGGGAACCATTGATGTCCATTCGCCCGTGGGGAAAACTGCTACCGTCATAGGTTTTGGAGCTATCGGTAAAGAAGTGGGGGCGAGGCTCTCCAGTCTAGGTATGAACATCATCTATATCAAACGAAACAGGCTTTCTCCAGAGGAGGAGGGTCAGCTGGGTTACAGAGTTCGCTACGCCGCCAGGATTCATGATGTGGCAGCTGAATCAGACTGTATAGTTCTTTGTCTTCCTGCCACTCCGCAATCGATCAATATGATCAATAGAGATGTCATTCAATTGATGAAGAAAGGCGTGGTTCTGGTTAATGTTGGTCGTGGGTCCCTCATCAACGACAAAGATATGATACAGGGATTGAAAGACGGGAGGATAGGATTTGTGGGTCTGGACGTGTTCCCCGAAGAGCCGCTAGTTCACCATTGTGAAAGACAAGATATGTCCTTGACTCCTCATGTGGGATCGGCAACAAGTGAGAATTTTGATCAGACAGCCATTTTCTGTTTGAAAAACATTACACAGTACTTCCTCCACGGTAAAATAGAAAATCTGCAAAACTAAATATCTAAAAATCTTAAATTGGATAGTAAATAAATATTATAAATAGAACTCGAGACGCTACAGATCGCTGCGGGTGACAGTGGAAACGTCCAGCGGCTCATTGACCAGAACCTTTGGCCCTGAAAATGGTTCACAGGAATCCCTTTTGGTTGTCCCAATAGGAACTTTTTTCCCTGACTTCAAGGCCTCTAGGATCTCCACAGCGGACTCGGCAGTCAAATCCTCGTAGTAGTCGTCATTGATCTGCATCATAGGTGCATTGACACATGCACCCAAACACTCAACCTCCTCGAGACTAAATAACCCGTCTGGGGTAGTCTGATTCGGTTGCAAGTTCAAATGTTTCATGATTGCGTCAATGACTGAATCGGAATTGCACAGCTGACAGGGCGTGGTTGTGCAAATTTGTATGTGGTACTTCCCAACTGGCTCTCTGTGGTACATAGTGTAGAAGGAAGCAACCTCGTACACTCTCATGGCCGGCATGTCGAGGAGCTCAGCCACATGATTCATAACAGCGATCGAAGTGAACCCCGCCTGTCTTTGTCCCAGATCAAGCAAAGGCATGACTGCAGATTTCTTGTATTGCGGCGGATATCTCTTCAAGATCTCCTTAGCGAGCTCTTTGTTTTCAGGAGTGAATTCAAACTTCATCTTTTGGTTGTTGTGCTGATTGTCCCGATGAACCGCAACAATGTGCAGTGCGCGTCCCATAAAGGGACGCCTTGCAATGCTCAAATGTGTATATTTGGAGAGAAACATGAATTGGAGTTGGGAACAAAAGATGGGGTAATTTTCCAAATTTACATATTTGATTAGCTAATCAACATTATGGGGGCCAAGCTACACAACATTGAAACACACGGCGCCAGCAACACGTTATGACCGTCGTGCATTACAATTGAATCACTCAAATGCATTGACTCCTATATGACTCAATTTGGAGAGATTTGTGACCTGCCAGTGAGCAATATAAATCAAGATGTGTTTTCCCTGCTTTAAGTTCGAAGAAAATAGAGCGAAATCCTTTTTACTGGGAGTAGAACTACACTAAATTTGACCGTACCCACACCTTCGATATCGTGCCCACTTGTCTCATCCAGATCATTCAACGATATCCCATTTACGTTAAGATCAGGCTATTCGTAAAATAACATTAGTGAGCAAATTAATTGGGATTTTAATCATCATAGCCAAGAATTAGGGATTATTCACCTCATCGCGTCGAAATTACTTTTTTTAGATTTCAAACTGCTTTGCCAAATGACTAAGAAGCTATCGCTCGAAACAGAACTTGTCCACGTGGAGGACACCAACACCCACAATGCCTCAATTACTCCAGCATACATGTCTGCAACTTTCAAGGCCAAAGACCTTGACGAAATGGGTCCGTACGACTACACCAGGTCGGGAAATCCTACTCGTTCAGCTTTGCAGAATCACCTGTCCAAGATCATGAAAGCCAAGCATGTCTACGCTCTGAACTCAGGAATGGCAGCTTTGGACGTCATTGTCAGAAGCTTGAACCCGGGTGACGAAGTTGTCGCTGGTGATGATCTTTACGGTGGAACTGACAGACTGTTGACATACATCAAAACTTTCAATCACATTAAGGTGGGTCACTATGACACTACAAATTTGGAGCTCATCACCTCCAAGATAACAAAGAACACAAAGATGGTTGTCCTGGAGTCACCAACTAACCCTCTGATCAAGATCTGTGATCTCAAGGCCATTGCAGATCATGCCCACAAGCAAAACCCGGACTGTGTAGTTGTTTTCGACAACACCATGATGACGCCTCTGTTCATGTCTCCTTTGGAGCTGGGAGCCGATATTCAATACGAGTCTGCTACAAAGTACTTGAATGGACATCACGACATTATGGCTGGTGTGATTGCAACCAACAGTGACGAGTTGGCCAAAAAGGTTTTTTTTGTCATCAACGCTACAGGTGCTGGTATCGCTCCTTTTGACTCTTGGCTGCTGCTTAGGGGCCTCAAGACATTGGCTTTGAGGGTTGAAAGACAACAGGAGAATGCCTTGAAAATTGCAAAGTGGCTTGAGTCGCAAAATATAAAGGTTAGATATCCAGGGTTGGAGTCTCATCCACAGTACGAGCTCCACAAGAAACAATGTAAAGGTACTGGAGCAGTACTGTCCTTTGAAACGGGAGACGTGGCTGTTAGCAAGAGAATTATTGCGGCCTGTGAGCTGTACTCTGTCACAGTGTCTTTTGGATATGTGGCTTCACTGATTTCTCTTCCATGCTTGATGAGTCATGCATCGATTTCCGCGGAAACTAGAAAGGAGAGAGAGTTCCCTGAAGACCTCATTCGGTTGTGCGCCGGTATTGAAAGCGCAGACGATTTGATCGAAGACCTTGCTCATGCTTTTAAAGTCGCTGGATTTAGATGATTTTAGACCTATAATACATGCTACACCTTAGCGTCCACCTAGTAATCCGTGCACCAGCGCCATAAAATTTTTCCGCGGCGAGAAATGATTGAAGCATATCAACAGATAAAAGGAGGAGAAACAAAACCAAGAAAAAGCATTAGTTACGATTGAGTCAGTAGTCCAAGAAACCGCGATTGTTATGAACACCTAAATTCAATCTATGTCAGCCTTGCAACATAAAAGATCGGGTTCTTCCAATACGGCTCAACAGGTGAATAGAAACATAATAGCCTCACACTATCAGATTGCGCAAAAAATAGGCGAAGGCTCGTTCGGTATCATCTTCAAAGGGTATGACTTGCTGAGAGACAACCAACCAGTGGCGATAAAGTTTGAGAGCCGAAAATCTGAAGCCCCTCAGTTGAAGGACGAGTTCAAAGCGTACAAGATTCTCAATAGTGCTATAAATAATTACCTGCGCGATGGGCCTGAGAACGACAACCACCACTATCTTTCAATTGAGGGTATTCCGAAGGTGTACTATTTTGGTCAAGAAGGTTACTACAACATACTCATAATTCAACTACTTGGACCTTCGCTGGAAGACTTGTTTGAGTGGTGCGGTAGAAGATTCAGCGTCAAAACGGTGGCACAGGTGGCCAAGCAGATGATTCAAAGAATCCAGTTCGTTCATGAGAATGATCTCATTTATCGCGACGTCAAACCTGACAATTTCCTCATTGGCGCAACCTCTGACGACAATCTGATATATTTGGTGGACTTCGGAATGATCAAACAATACAGAAATCCTGTTACCAAGCAGCATATACCGTATAGAGAACGGAAGTCGCTGAGCGGCACTGCACGATACATGTCTATCAACACGCATCTGGGAAGAGAACAATCAAGGCGAGACGATCTGGAATCTCTTGGTCACGTTTTTCTGTATTTTTTGAAAGGGGAGCTTCCGTGGCAAGGGCTCAAGGCGCCAACGAACAAGATGAAGTACGAGAAGATCGGGGAAAAGAAGCAAGCCACTTCAATCCAGCAACTTTGTCATAAACTACCGAAGGCATTTGCAGACTACCTCACATATGCTCGCAACCTGCGTTTCGAGGAAGAGCCCAATTACGAGTATCTCATTTCGTTGATGGATGCCGCGCTAGAGGACATCGGCGAGGTGGACGATGGCTATTACGACTGGATGAAGCTGAACGATGGGAAAGGCTGGGATTGGAATAAAAACAAGAAAACCAATCTCAATGGATACGGGTCTAACAATCACCATGCTAGCAGACAACACAAGTCAAATAAGGCTTTTGCTCCAACGCGACGCGTTTCGCAGCACACAAAGAGCGATCCACACGAGAGTCAACCACGGTCGAAAGTGGATGAGAACACTCGGCTTCTTTTAGGAGCTGCTAACGGCCATTACGACTCGTCAGGAGATCCGTACCAGCAGGACATAGAAGAGAATCCGGAAGGGATTTTTGGCTTTTTCAAGAGCGTGTTCTGTTGTTGTCTGTAGTGTATAATAGAGGTAGAATGATGAGACGAAAATTCGAAAATTTCTGATCGCGACAATAATATTCAATTCTTTATCAAGCACCAGACTGTTAAACCATGTCGGTGTTTGAGCTTGGTGACCGTGCGCTAGTTTATCAGGGGGAGTTGCTGTATGAGGCTAAGATACTCAAGATTTATTATCCCTTGTCAAAGATAATAAAATTCAATGACGAGAAAACCAAAGATGTTGCTGAAACCGCACCAGAACCGGTGTTTCTAGAGAAATATCGATCGTCAAAAGCCTATTTCGTTCACTACAAAGGATGGAAGTCCAAGTGGGACGAATGGGTCACACCAGAAAGAATCTTGCCTTATAACAAAGAGAACTTAATCAAACAGAAGGAGTTGGTCCAAAACCATCGATCTGGTGGATCATCCGTTTCGAACCGACCTAAAGTGAAATTAACATTGAAAGGCACAGTTAAGCAGACAAATAATGGGCCATCGAACTTTGCTGAACCCTCTAAAAAGGCTGAGCTGAGAGTCCAAATACCTGATTCAATAAAATTCGTTTTGGTAGACGACTGGGAAAATGTGACGAAAAAGCGCAAGCTGGTTCATCTGCCTTCTAAAGACTGCATCGCCAACATTATAACAGCATACACTACACAACTTCAACTTACTTCGACGACTCAAGACGATCCCGCGCTCGACAATAAGCTTGAAATTGCTCGCAGCCTACGGCTCTATTTCAACCAAGCGTTAGGCTCGTTGCTTCTTTACCGTCATGAGAGGACGCAGTACAAGATGGTGCTGGATAAATTTCCCGACTCTGAGATGTCGCAAATCTATGGATTAAACCATTTACTAAGACTTTGCGCCATTCTGCCCAATTTAGTGATACAATCGACTATGGACCCACAAAGTATTTCTCTAGTACGCAACTTTTTGGAGGACTTTTACGTGTTCTTGTGTGCCAACCTGAAAGATCTTATTGAAGATTATGAAAACGACCTGCCCACGTATTGAATTTAAATATAAGTCTCTATACCATCGATACAGAGATCGAGTTGTCGCATCAGCTTGTCAAGAGGCGCTTGTTCGACTAAGGTTACATCCGAATGATTACTGGGTTTGCGAGCTGATTGTTGTACGGACTCGTGATGCAGCCCCATGTAACTGTCGTCAAGACTTATAAGTTTCCCGTTAGACGATTTCAAGCTGACAATACCGGTCTTGGAAGACTCAATGGACGTACCACACTGATAGCTTTCATAGTCTTTTCCGCCAACGGAACATTTGACCGGGCTGTCTCTGAAGACGACATCTTTCATGTTCCAATGGACAATGCGTCCGTCTTTGGCTCCTGTAAAGATACTGTTTTCTGAAACCCATTCAATGGCTGTGATGGTACTTGAATGGCCGCCCATGGTGGCGAGCGGCTGCTGTTTCCGAATATCCCACAGCTGGATACTGCTATCCTCTCCTGCAGCGCATAGTTGATACGGATTTTGTGGAGACCATTCTATGATGCGCGTTTTGGTGTGCTTATATGAAAGATATGTCGAAGTGCAGAGCTCCCTCTGGGTTGCAGATCTCATATCGAACAGCCTGACACCGAACGATCCTGCGAAAGCGACCAGCCCGTCGTTATTTTCACTAGCTGCAAAGGATTTGATGCCGTGGGCTTTGTTTTTGTAGAGAGGACTTGAGGATCTTGAAGTGTCCCATAAAAAGATGTTCTCCTTGTAGATAGACATCATAGAATTCGTCATACAAGATTTCCATGACTTTGGACTTATCTCAACTTGGAAGTCGTCCCCAATATCGGTTAGCGAAGTATGCTTTCTGTGGTTGAACTGTTTTATGAGGTCGACGTGGGTCATATTAGCAGACCTGACGTTTGGAATAAGAGAAAGGTTAGCAATGCCATTAGTGTGGCCAGTCATCATCAGGTTCAAATCATTTGTCTCGTCAAGAACATTGTGCAACCAATTTACACAGCAGACATTTGGTGCGCTAAAGCTTGCCAGGTAACCAAGCAAGTTCTTCTCGGTGTCCAGCTTGAAGATCTTGACATTCTGGAGGCATGCGGAAGATCCAACGGCAGCCAAGCCCTGGCTGACATCCATACAATTTAAAAACTCGTATGGATTCAATGGAGAGCCGTAATCGATTTTCCAGTAGCTAGATTGCAAACCCTTTTGCACAGGCGACTCATCAATTGGATACATTAAAAGAATGACTAAAGTTGGTTTTGGGTATGATAGGTAAAGGCCAATAGAGAGAATTGCACTTTTATAGACCAGCCTTGTGTTTTATACTTTGAAACATCTTCGAGAAGGCTGGATTGAAACCAGTTTATTTTCGGTATGCACTGCCTGGTTTGGAAGCCAAGCCGGTAAAATTTAGATTTGCCAAGTTGTATTATTTTCGTACCCTGCTCCCAGATTGTGCACGTCATCTTCAATTGTCCGCTTGGTGGCCGAATGATTGGTTTCCTTTTCGCGAAAGAAATTTGGTTACATTTGTACTTTTGTCTATTGCAACTCTAGAACTCAAAAAGCAAGAACTAAAAGTTACACTCGTGTTCGCGAAACTCATGTTCCTTAACTTATCTAACTCATAATCTGCCGTAGGCAACTTTCTAGCTTGTTGAGGATATCTTCAAGATCTCGCGGTTAATGCGTCTGGTACGTTCGTAAATAACCAAAACGTATTAGCTAATGCTTAAATAATCGCGGGATTACAGGAAGGAAAAATATCAGAAGGCGATATTGACTAATTGATTTGTTTGTAACGTCATCATACCCATTTTACGGTTAGAGTGGGGGTTTTGCTTGGCTTTAAAGTGAAAAAAGACGGGTTCGGCTACTGCATCTATTGCTTTTCTAGGGTATCCAAGATCATTTACTGCATTGTGACCAGGTTTGTCACCAAAACTATAGGTAACCTCCTTTCAAAAACACAATTCTATTTTTCGGCCTACAATGTCAACGAGGTCTAAAATTCGGGTCAGAGTGATCGCAGCTGAGGGACTATGTAAGCGGGACGTGTTTCGGTCTCCTGATCCCTTTGCAGTTTTGACGGTTGATGGCGCACAGACGCAAACAACCGAGACTGCCAAAAAGACGTTGTCACCGCACTGGAACCAATCTTTCGAGTTTTCTGTGACGGAAAATTCCATACTGATAGTGCAGATATTTGATCAAAAGAAGTTCAAGAAGAAGGACCAAGGATTTTTGGGTGTCGTCAATATCAAAGTTGGCGATGTCATTAATTTGAACGATACATCGAGCGAACAGACCGTTGCTGAAGAGTTGAAGAGGTCTAACTCTCATCTGACGGTCTCAGGAAAATTGATACTTACGATCTCGCATCAGAATGCTTCTGCGAGAGACTCCAGAGATCCTTCCAATTTTGCGCAAACCAACACATCAGCGCAGACACCTGCGTCCACCATAGCTTCACCTTCGGTGTCCAGCCCAAGGGCTCCAGTGGATACTGGGAATTTGAACAATCAATTTCCAGGCTCCGCTGCTGCTGCGGCTATATCATCCTCCGTTAGACCTGCACCAGCAAGACAATTTTCCTCGTTTGAAGACCAATATGGTAGACTTCCACCTGGCTGGGAGCGGAGAACTGATAACTTTGGCAGAACTTACTATGTCGATCACAACTCGAGAACCACCACTTGGAAGAGACCCACATTGGACCAATCTGAAAGTCAAAGAGAACAAGAAAGGGAAAGAGCAAGAGAGGCCGAAAGAACGCAATACCGTAATAGATCTCTGCCCGAGACCAATTCTCAGGTAGATCAGGCTACTGCAATGACCATGGCTGCCACCGGAGCAACGAGTCCTGGCTTAGGCGAACTTCCTCCAGGTTGGGAACAACGTTTTACCCCAGAGGGAAGGCCATATTATGTTGACCACAACAGCAGAACTACTACATGGGTTGATCCAAGAAGGCAGCAATTTGTTAAAAGCTTTGGTAACAATGGAGGTTACAATGCACAGCGATTGTCAGCGATGGGTCCGCTTCCAAGTGGTTGGGAAATGAGATTAGCCAATACATCTAGAGTTTATTTTGTCGACCACAATACCAAAACCACGACATGGGACGATCCAAGATTGCCATCATCGCTTGACCAGAATGTTCCTCAATACAAACGTGATTTCAGAAGAAAGTTGGTGTATTTCAGATCACAGCCTGCAATAAGAATTTTGCCCGGGCAGTGTCACATCAAGGTTAGAAGAGATCATCTTATGGAAGATGCTTTCCGTGACATTATGAGACAAACTCCAGAAGATTTGAAGAAGAGATTGATGATTAAGTTTGAGGGAGAAGAAGGACTGGATTACGGTGGAGTTTCGAGAGAGTTCTTCCAGCAACTGTCGCACGAAATGTTTAATCCATTTTACTGTCTTTTCCAATATGCATCGAGCGACAATTACACACTTCAAATCAATCCAAACTCAGGCGTGAACCCAGAACACCTGACATACTTCAAATTCATTGGAAGAACTGTCGGTTTGGGTGTGTTCCATCGTCGTTTCCTGGATGCTTTCTTTGTGGGTGCAATGTATAAAATGATGCTTCATAAGAAGATTGTGCTACAAGATTTGGAAAGTGTGGATGCTGAGATGTACAAATCTTTATGCTGGATGCTCGAGAATGACATCACCGACGTCATTTACGAGACATTCTCGATTGAAGAAGATAGATTTGGTGAGAAGGTTATCATTGATCTGAAACCAAACGGAAGAAACATCGAGGTGACGAATGAAAATAAGAGAGAATATGTCGAGCTGAAGACCGAATGGATTATCTCCAAGCCAGTGGAGGCTCAATTTAAGGCATTCATGGATGGATTCAACGAGCTGATTCCGCAAGAGTTAGTTTCGGTCTTCGACGAAAGGGAATTGGAGCTTTTAATTGGAGGACTGGCAGATATTGACATTGAAGATTGGAAAAAACATACAGACTACAGAGGTTATCAGGAGAGTGACGAAGTGATCCAGTGGTTCTGGAAGTGCGTGAGTGAGTGGGAAGGAGAGCAGAGAGCAAGGTTATTGCAATTCACCACCGGTACTTCCAGAATTCCCGTCAATGGATTCAAGGATTTACAGGGATCGGATGGTCCAAGACGTTTCACTATAGAAAAAGCTGGAGAGCCAGACCAGCTTCCAAAATCGCACACTTGTTTTAACAGAGTGGATCTGCCTCCGTACAAAGATTACGAGTCGCTGAAAAAGAAGCTCACTATTGCCGTTGAAGAAACTATAGGTTTTGGCCAAGAGTGATCCATTGACCTGTTAATACGAATTCTCTTTTCTAATTTATGAGTATCTGAAATTAAGAGATATAGGCGTAATAATGATGTATGTGTTCTTGGAGACACCACTTTGTCTAGCTCGAGAGTGATGTACTATGATGCACAGTATTTATTTATCCTTAGCCAATCGGAGCCTCAGCTCCTAGATTCATGACAAAACATCATTCGAAAAGGAGCTGTAGACCAATGAAAAGATCTACCTTGAGAATCCGATGAGAAGGAATGATTAATTATACTTTTTTTTGTTCCATCATTTTTCCCAGGGAAGAGCTGTGTAAGGGTGTATCTGAGAAATAATAATAATCCCAAGTGTAATTGACATGCATTCATGCTAAATAATGGTATATATTTTTATCTGCTTCATCTCTTGCCAAATACTCTTTCTCGATCAAGTCTTCGATTCTCTGTTTGATAAAGGAAGGCTGTGGCTTAAATCTGCTTATGAGTTGGCGAATGACCTCGTTCACCAGCTCCTGGTGATTGGATTGTCTGCGAGCTTTCATAATGCGCACAACCGCAGCTTCAGTTTCAAGAATTCTTGATTTATTGATGGCATCCATTGTCTCAGATCTTTGTGAATCGTCTTCCACCTTTGAACCAGAAGACACAGTAGAAACCTTTATTTTTGTTTGAGGAGACTTGAACTGTTCATTCACCGAGAAGACATCTGTAGGGCGAATATCTTTGGACATCGGGGTTTTCTTCAGTAGTCGGGTTCTCGAAGCCACAGAAATAGATTGCAAATGCCGTATCAAGTCTGGTTTGGGAATTCTAGTTATTTCGTAAATCTCTTCAAAAGTATATTCTTGTTTATCCGAGCACTCTTTGAAACATGCGAGAATGATAATTGCAGAATATGTTGACATGTTCACTTCGTAAGTCTTTTTGGGATAGTGAATTCGAATATCAACAGTACCAAAGTTTGGAGCCCACGTTAGATTTCGTCCACCGTATTTAGTCATGTAGAATGACTCGTATCTATTTCTCAAAAGCTCCAGCTCTTCTGGGTATTGCACCTCACTCAGCGATTTGTTGATAGGCATAGGCCAGAAAGTGGTAGTTAGAATCGATGTTTCCATATCCAGCTTTCTACCATTGACTTTGCGAATTTCCTCGTCTCCACAGAGTTTTCGATTGAACTCTCCTGATAAATCTTGTGAAATCTTGATATCTTTGAACATTCCTTCGAATTGCGATGTGAATGAAGAGCCTATTTCTTGTTTGAGTTTCGTGATCATGTTCATTTCAATATCGTTAGAGCTTGATTTTTGTTGCAGCAGACGCCTTGCGAGATGATTCTTGTAGTATTTCTCAAAGACATCCTTTTCTTTGATAAACCGGAAAACAATGATTGATTTGTCCAACAGGTTTTCCACTTCCTCCTGCGATTTGTCCCTAAATGATTTTTTAATTCCATCGTCAATGTACAGCGACAGGTACTCGGCAGTTTTATTATCGAGATTCAGAAACTCGGAAACGGAAGATTCAACTTCCCTCACGATACCAGGATTTCCATCAAAGGCATTCTTGATTATCACGTCAAATTTCTCCTTCAGATCCAAGAAATTTTGAATCCAACGCACCGCGAACTGTGTAGCGCTTTCCTTACCGCTCTTTCTCTTTGCTCGCTTATCTGGGTCCTGATCCTCAGCGATTTTGTCTTGAAGTTCCAACTCCTCTTTTGTTTTGCTATTCAAGTCTTCACAGTTACTGAGAACTATGAGGCGAAGCTGTCTTTTTAGCATTTCAAACTCGGAATCAACGCGTCCTATGAGTCTGTACAAGGAGGCCAACATTTTGAAGTTATTTTCACTAATCCAATTTCGAAGTCCATCTTTTTCAAGTTTCATTATTGACTCCATATTCCGTGCTATCAGATCGTTGTCCATTAGCTCGATAAGTTTCGGCGACGTCACATCAGGAAGGTATAATTGGATCCTTGCCTCCTCATCTTGGCTGAGTTGCGTAACACTGTCAATGTATACCGTTCCCGATTGGTATGTTAAAAGCTCCGTAGCCTTCTGTTCAAAATACGTGTGACTTTGTTGTAATAGCACAGGTTCAAAATAGCGTAGATAATAATTTTCTCCATAGGGAACCTTGTCATCTGAGTCCAGGGATATTGTTTCTGAGAGTGAGCTAAACATGTAGATGATCGCCTTGATAATAAATTTGTCTATGATCTCGCCGTGTCTGCTGCGATTGATGTATTCGATGATGATGTCAATGACTGCCATACCAATCTCGTTTTGATTATATTTGATCACACTATCCCTAAAAGCCTTGAGCCCAACATCGTAGATCAGCGGCAAATGAAACTCTTTTGCATAAACCCTATCAAGATACATCAGCACATCGCTGATCATGCGCATACTCAGCAAGTGGTCTTCCCAGACATTGTTCAGTTTTAACAAGAATGATCGGTTATCGTCATTATTAAGACTTTCGAGAAGATGCATACGAGTTTCATTCAGCAAATATTGTTGTATGGTGAGTTCCACATGATCGTAAAGCATCTTACCCTTCTTGCGCAGCACTAAATTGTACGCCTTCCGGTAAAGTTCTTCAAATGACAACTTTGAAGCATTTTTGTGTTGTATTTCTTGAATCGCGTCTCTGATTATGGCCCATGTCTTTTCAAAATCTATCTCGCCGGAAACGATCTTCTTAGGTGGCCGAATCTTGGTCCGCCCACGAACTCCCCAAGCGTTAGACATGTTGATCTAAAGAAGCTGTAATTAGGTTACGCAGCCCAGAAAAAAAGTTGTTTTCGCAAACAATCCTCATTATGGCCTCAGACATCTTGGACGTGTTTAACATTAAGGAAGAGGTTCGCGTGCAGCCAAAGAAGCACGCTCGCGGAGACAATGACTTTGGGGCACAATCCAAAAAGAAGAAGCATGCCATGAGCAGAGAACTTTACAACCTTATTGGTACCAATTTGCCTCCTGTCGCTGTTGAAAAAGGCTTTAAATTCAAAGACAAGATCAACTCAGGGAAGGCCAGTCCGTGGGTGTGGGCACCATTCAAAAATGAAGCGAGGACAGACGAGCTCGAGCTTCATCACTGGGTAAAAGGCCCCGTCGTGTCATCAGACGAGAAAATATCATACAATTTTGCAAAGTATAACACCTCTCTTGATATTCCATCGTTCAGCAAGGAAGATTACGACGAGAAGCTGAAGGATCTGAGTGACGATTGGGATTACGAAGAAACCAAGTATCTATTCGATCTGGCTAAGGACTATGACTTAAGGTGGGCGGTGGTATATGACAGATTTGAACATCGTAACGACAAACATAGAAGCCTCGAAGATTTGAAAGAACGACTATATTCTGTGTCGGCGAAACTTTTGAATTCGAACCCTGATGGCACAAGAGATGTTGCTCTCATTAAAGGTCTTGAATCATTTGACAAAAAACAGGAGTTAGAAAGGAAACAGTACTTGAACCGTTTGATCCATAGAGCTCCAACGGAAATTGCTGAAGAAGAATCATTGGTGATCGAGGCCCGAAAGTTTGAGCTGGCTGCGAAAAAGATGCTCATGGAAAGAGCACAGTTGTTGCAGCTTCTCGACTCGCCCCAATCATCCGCCTCAATTGAACAATACACCACCTCGTCTGGTCTTACCCAGCTTTACAATTCTCTTATGACTGTGGACAAGTCAAAGAAACGAAAGCCAGAAGTTCCAGTTCCTCCTCAACTGGGTCCAAACGCCATTCCTCACACGCAACAAATACAACAAGCGCAACAACAGCATTTAATGAGACAACGCCAGGGAAAAAAATCGTCCTTGTCGCAGAAACTGTACGGAGGCAAACAGGAGATCTCACAACAACAGGCACAGTCCGAGGTTTGGCAGCTTCTACAATCCAAGCTTACAGCCGAAGAGATGGAGGTCTATGGATTGAGATTCCACGACGAGAAATTGCAACCAGGAGTTTACATTCGTTCTCAAAAACTTTCTACATTCAAGCCTGCAGTGCAGGCTAAGGTGGCAGAGGTCTTGAACGAATTGCAAATTTCCATGAAACCTACTCTACCAACAGCAAATGTTTGTTCGAAGTTTGATCAGTTACTGCAAAGCATTGCTACGTTGATTGATTTAAAGAAGCAAACAGATAAGCTTAGCGGAGAAGTAACTCTCATCAGGAGTCAGAAGGGGATTGAGTAGAGCGATATGTATATTAATAGCGACAATTACAAGCAGATATCTATCTTTCGAGATTAATGGCGTTGCCGAATTTAGCATAAAGCAGCTTTTTCAGATTATTAAGTTCCTGATCGATGTCCTCAATTTGGCTTTCCAGCTCACTAATTTTAGAGTCCAGCAATTCTTGATCTTTCTCCAATCTATCCACAATTTCAGATTGTTTCATCAAAACAAAGGAATCACCAATCTTGTAATTCAGTTTCTCATCTTCGTCGACAAGTTCAATCTCTAGTGCTAAATCGTCAAGGTATTCTTTCTCCTGTTTGTTCACATCGAGAGTTGCACTCAGCGCGTCTTTCTTTGATATCAATGTAGAGAAAGAGTTAATCTTTAGCTGGTCTTGCCAGGTCACCTCCGTAGTGTTTTTCTGACCCTCTGGTAAAAGTTCCATCTCGTGCAATTGGTTTATTTTTCGCAAATTATTTTTCTGTCAATACGCTATTTATCAACGCGTCATGGCAAACGTCCAATCTAAAGAGCTTATAAAACGCTATCTTACCGATTCGAAGGAATTCCCGCAACTAGTATCGCGGGACAAGTTTCACTCCATAGTTCAGCTAGTCTGCCGCAACCGATTATTGAACGAGGAGGAGGCTCAACTGTATGAAATACTATCGAGACAAAAACAGAACACTCTTGAGCGCGTTGAATTAAGTATTGACCAACTGGATCTGGGACGAATAGGTACAGATAATAATGAGAGTACTGTGCAGCTGGAAGATTTGAGCCTTATGCAATTGACAGAGTCAATGGATCAATTGAACCAGTCTCTGGAGTCACAAATAAAGGCTATTGAGCAGGATGTGAAAGTCGAGCTAGAGGAAATTAATGAGCAAATCGATGCTTTCAATGACCTCAGATATGGAACTATCAACTTTGAATCGTCAGTTGAATCATTATGTACAGATTTACAACAGCTAGAGAAACGCTTACTGGAACTGGGGAAGTAATCACACATTTATATGCTGATCTATATCGGCAACATCAAATTCGTTACCTAGATACTTGAAACTTTCGAACTTCCAATTCAAAGAGCATGACAGATGGAGCATGTACTTGTTGCCGCTTTCGACACCTATAGCTCCAGTTCTTTTTGAATCCTTTATGTATATTAAGCGGCTTATTCGGGAATGCAATAAAGCCATTGCGCACATAGTGCACGGCTCGTGTGTGGTATAGACATGATAATTGAGACAGAGGTAGTTTGTAGGGGATGAAGGGTCTGGATGAGCTTGTCTGCGTTGCAGCTCGTTCTTTGCAATTTCGTCAATGCAATTCATTATTGAATGTTTCATAATGTCCGAGGAACTACGCATATCAAATTTCTGGGCCATTATTCGATCTGTCGATGGGTCAACAAAGATGGTAACCACAGGGAGGTCTTTACTCGTCTTGGACAAGTCCGAAATCAATCTCAGGTAATCTTGTACTTTCTGTTCGCAGAACTGCTTATAGCTTTCATTCAGTTCTTGTATCATAGGATTACCTTTCCAGACAATAGGCCAGTATTTTGCTGACCACTCCGCATTCAGCTCTTTATCAAAAGGCTTATTGAGTGGAACCCTTACTTTTTCGATCCACGTGCGTTTCAACGGACCAAACAATATGCTCTCAAGCTCTTCTTGGCTATATTGATCGCAGGCGCAAAGAAGAACCTTCAGCCAATCTCTATCATCCTTTTCCGTTTTCAAAAACCGTTTCAAATGTCGTAAACTATTAGAGCTCTCTTTGAATTGCGTTTTAATTATCGCATTCATTAAAGAAGACTCTTTGGGTTCAATGTAGACTATCCAGTGGTCAACCAAAAGGGGCTCCACACGGTCTTGGATTTGAACTCTTCGATATTTTTTATAGAAAGTGAACGTTTCATAGTCTATATCATACATATCTCATCGTTGGTAAAAATAATTTCTTATGAAGCTTGATCAGTATGTTGATGAAAACACAACTTCTAATGATTTTATACCCTTGATCCGTGATCTTTTTGAAACAAACTGGTACGGAACAGGACGGGATATACAGCTCGAGCGTGTCGGCGACCGTAAGGTTCCGTCCTCGCTGCTAGAGCCAAACTACAGTCACGAAGAGCTGATCGATATGCTAGTCAAATATTTGGCTGATAATTGCATCGAAAATGCTTTGATCAATGGGATAGTGACAGGTGATGACTTACAAATAGCCAACAGCTATGGCTTCAAGGGCAGGAATGCTGTCACCAATCTATTAAAGTCCCCGGAATTCAGAATTGTACACACAATCATAGGAACGGAGACGTTTCTGGATCTTTTAATCAATTACACGGCACGAATGGAGAACATTTATCTATGGGGCGAATTGAACGAATCCAGTTACAGGAAGCAATGCAGATCATCGCTTTTGAGTATAAGGAACATGCTCTATAGTGAAGTATGGTCTTTGCAACGGCTAGATCCATTGCCTGAATCTGCCTCTTTGATATACGACGTTTTCAAAACCAAAAATAGTCGCCATCCAAAACTTGAGTTTCTGCTTCAATCAATGCGCATTAATCACATTAACCATCAACCAGACTATCCATATATATTAGACTCAATATGTCCCGAACCAACAAACATCAAGTCTAATTTTGACTTAGCGGTGGGAAAACCAAGCGTGATAAAATTCGTTACCATCATTCTTGAAAAGATCATGCCCAAGAAGTTATTTGGGTCGCCGCATAATAAGTCAGTGCTATTCAAAAAGATCGCCGAAGTTCTCAATAGCCATAAAAAGGATTCCATATATGTGTGTAATGTTGCAAAGAATTTCAGGATCACAGATATTGACTGGCTGGTACCACGCAAAAAAATGAACAAACACGAGTTTACGAGAGCGCAAAACACGTGGATTCAATTCATTTGGTGGTTTTTCAACTCAGTGCTGTTCAAGCTGGTAGCTTCTTTTTTCCATGTCACAGATATTTCCCAATCTTTCGAACTACTCTATTATAGACACGATACCTGGAGACGAATCTCAAAGCAATTCAAAGACAAATACTATGGCCAGTTCCTGCAGAGGAGACCCGAAAATCTGAATAGCTACTTCACTTATGCAAAAAATGACGACTTTATTGGTAGCCTAAAACTTCTACCGAAAGCTCACGATTTGCGATTCATTACAATGCCGTTCAAGGGTTCAGGAAAAAGTGTATTCGAGTACATGGATCGTCACAAGAATGAAGTGAAAGTGGCAAACCTTGTCCTTTCACACAAACGTAAGAAGAACTGTATCATTTCAGTGAGTGATCTCCCTTGTGAGCTGTTGAAATACAAAAATCAAATTACTGGCTCAGTATATGCCCTGAAGTTTGACATCCGGCAGGCCTATGATACCTTGCCCAGAACAATGATATTGCCACTGATTTCTGAGCTGCTCAAAGAGACACCCGAAACCTTTCAATTTAACATTGAACGCTATTTTGTACTTAGCGCCCCTACTGCTGCTGGGAAACGAAAGCGTCGCAAACTGTCAGTGTTGGAGGGGCATGAAAGCACAATCTCAGATAAAATTCTGTCCCACGCCAATAGCCCTTCCGTATTGAAGAAAAGCGAAATTATGAAGATTGTCGAGCAGCAACTGGAACACGCAGCTTTGTTCTCCTCATCAGAGACGTTTCACAGAAAAAGAGGTGTTTTCCAAGGTTTTCCCCTCTCTGGTATCTTTTGTGAAATTGTCTACGACAAGCTCACAGAATACCTGCTTTCTCTAGGAAGTGGAGATGTAAAAATCATCAGGCTTGCTGACGACTTTCTAATATTGTCAACAAAAAGGGACGTAATAGCAAAATATCAAAGCCTCATTGAGAATCGCATTCCCCAATTCAACATCATGGTAAACAAGCAAAAGAGTTTTGTGTCCGAGGATACAGTTGATTTTCTCGGGACCACAATAAATTTGAGGACGCTAAGTGTCACGAAGAATCTTGACTCCTATGATCTGACTCCAGTGCGAGTACCATCTTTTAAAGCTCTGTACTCCGCTCTGGTAATTCATCTCAAGCAGGCATTGGCCTCAGACTTTTTCAACTGTGAGATCAATGATGAGAAAACTTTGATACAAAATTTAGAGATCCTCATTCAGTCCCTTTCTGTGAGATTCAGGAAATCGAGGAAATCAGTAGCACGAAACGACAGACTCGAAAGTTCAAGGTTTGACCAATTTCTGCTACAAACGGAAAGGTTGATAATTACGAAAGTAGGTACATCACACTTGACGTATATCCGCAGGCTTCTTAAACATTTCTGACCAGCATTATTGGTCTCGTTACTAATCACCATTAAACATCATTATTGATACCATCGCCCTGCAACTCTGATGACTTATCTGACTCATCTTTGTCCTGGTTGCCAATTAGGATCTCCCTTTCCTTTTCTCTGACTTTCTCGGCCTTTATGATAGCCTCAACCCTGGAATCATGATCTGGCTTCAAACTAAGGACCTCGTCCATTAAGGCGTTTCTCATTTGGCTTATTGAAACAGATGGATCTGGAGGAGGGAGAGCTATGCTTCCACCGCGCATTAGTTTTGGGTTCTTCTCCAACTCTTCAACACATTTCACTATCAACGCATATGTATCATCCGCAGAACCTAGATCTTCCTCAAGCAAATGTATAATAGTTTCCTGCTCTTTGAAAAATTCTTGCTCTTCCAAGACGGCAGTAAGCTCTGCTTGCCATCTGGCGTTCCAATTCTTGCGTTCGACGGACATATATTGCAGGAGCGAGGAAAGATTCGTTTTCGTCGTCTGAAGCTCTTTTTGGACCTGAAGAATTTGTTTCTGTGTGGGTTTGCTTCCACGCTTGCTAATGTCCAGTTTCAGAGCTTCAATGATGTCCTGCAAATCATCAATTCTAGTGACCAAATTTTCGCACTCGGAACTAACCTTGCGTTTGCATTGTTCCATGTATGGGTCGCTGATAACTCCCTCGGGCGACAGACTTGAATTTTGAAAGTTTTCAACGAGCTCCAACGCGTCTTCAATCGCGGCACCAACACGCTTTTTTAGTGCTTTCTGTAGTTGTCTAGCTTTTGTAAGTTCAGTTTTGAGACTCTCAACTTCGGCTGTTATATCACTTGAGGTGAGATTGGAGGCTGATGAATTGACTGCTGGCTCTTTGGAAATAGCACTTGCACCTGAATTCCCCAAGCGACCACTTAAGTTCTGTTCAAGTTTCGCAATTTCATTTCGCAGCGTTTCAGTTTGGTTCTTCATCTCCTTCATTAACGTGGTAGTGAAATCGGGCTCTGAAAGTGAAATAATGACAGAGTCTGTGATTTCTGAAGTATCTTCAAGCTCGTATGCGACGTCTGTTGGCGACAACTGTATATAAATTGGAGGAAAATCATCCTCGGGCACGTATCCAAACTTTTCTGTGAAAAGGGTGCGCAGTTGAGTGATTGTGATTGGTAATTGTATCTGTGTTTTCTTAACGCGTCCTTCGAGCTTAATAAAGATAGTCTTTTTACTATCGAAAGCTTCCTCTAATGTGATCGATGGAGCCGTAAGCTGCTGATGAATCTCAGACTTCTTGATGTTCTTTGAGACTTCTGCTTGCAATGGACTGCTTGGCGGTTCGGGACTTAATGTCTGTTTCTCAGCCGGGGCTGGAGAATTGCGAGGACTGATTGCATTCATGGACATTATTTTAGAGGTTTGGTAGGCCGAGAACCGCTTCGAGGCTTTTCTCATAAGCGAGTGATTGTTTTGAAGACGGGATATAGCATCATTTTTGGACTCAGACGGGGGTGGAGGAAGCGGGGGACTAGTAGCTGAAGCAGACACATTTGCTGGGCCCGAGACAGAGCGGTGATTTTGAGACTTCCGCTTTTCAGCAACCGATTGAGACTCTGCCTGTTTTTCTTTCAGCGTCTTCATCAGCTCTGCTACAATCTGACCAACTTTCGGAAGAAACATATCGAGTGTGCTTTGTGACGGCTCCAAGATTAACGATTCCTCCAGCACTTTCCTCAATAGATTTGGAATATCTTTGACATCGCTAGTGTCAACACCACCAGCCACATAAGCTCTTCGGAGTGCCTTGAAATCATCACCGACTTGAACGAACTTGGCCGAAACCTCGCCAACAGAAGCAGTTTTGTTGGCCCAGGCAGTTAAAGACTGGAGCAAGGCCTTGGTAGAGGTGAGTAACTGGGCCGTGGCAGTCGAGATACTCATCGGGGTCTTCAAGTTAGTAGAACGAGCAGGGGAACTTACGGATTTACGTTTTGATGGTGATTTAGACGTCCGTGGAGTCGTTTGGTGGGGTGAAGACATTGTTTAGATATTTTTAAGGTTGAAGTTGTGCTGACATAATTTTTTTAACATAAAAAACGCGTTTTACAAATCAACTTGAGACTGCACAGGTGGTGTGAACTGTTGGATGGTTGAGTTTGAAGTGCCAAACTCTCCCATGCGAGAGGATGAAACGATCAGCTGGGATCTGGTTGAACAGCTCTTGGCCACTGCTTCTCCCGACCATCAGGTCACGGTACAAGACCGCATCAATGAGATCTCTGGAAGAAAGACGCGTAGACACGGATTTTGCCAACGGCATGTCTACACTGCGGATCTGGCTGAATACCTCAATCTTGCCTCTCGTACTGACTTAGACACCATTTCTCGAAATGGTGTCTCCGACGGACGAATATTTTACATGCTTAACAGAAAGTATATCAAATTACGACATTTCTATGAACGGCATCAAGTTGCCAAACATCGCTTCAAGAAAAGAGATTTCAATGTGTATCTGGAAGATTTCAAGCGCTACCAAGCTACCCGTGGCCGCGGTGGCAAAGCCTACTACGAGGCTATTGAAGATCGGCTCGATTCTAAAGCCGATCGCCGCAACCTAGTACGGTTGCAAAGAATGGAACTCGAACAGGTGAGCACTGACGAAAGCGAGGAATCTGTGGAAGAGATTGAGCCTGTGGCCAATGAATCAATCAGTCTTATATCAGACGAGGAGGAAACAACAGCACAGGGAGATCTACCTTCAGCAGCGCAAAACACTACGGTCGACGCAGAGAACAGCCAAGTCAGTATAGACCTTTCTTCGCCTCCTACTACTCCTGTGAGTGTCCAATCACTTAGTCCAGAGCCTCTGGCACAACAAGACTCTACAATGGGGCCAACCACCCCGGTAAACGCTTCCACAACATCGCCACAACAGACTCAAACAGGCACACAACAAATGCTAGAAGAGTATTCCATTCTTGAGCCAGACTACAGTCGCAGGACACGAAGGCATAAATTTTCACAAGACCATGTGTATGTCACTGATACTGCAGTGTATCTGGGTCTGTCGTCAATTTACCAGCTAAACGATCTCTATGACCAGGGAAAATCCTACAATGAAATCATGTCATATCTGGAATCTGTTTATTCTCAGAAACGAAAAGAACGTGAGAAAAAAGAGATTGGATATGGTCCTTTTTACAAGCCAACGTTTGCTGCATACCTCGCCTCCGAAACTCACAACTTGGCAGAGCAGAATAATATCGAGAAAGAGAAAGTCATGAGCGAAAGTGGTGAGGATGAATACGTGGATGACGAACCGCCTATCCTCTCCTCCCCTGTTTTGGCTCCAATATTACACAGACAAAACGATGACCTTTCTCCGATGGAATTCTCTTGTCGTGACGGACTCAAGGAATCTAGTCAGGACAGCCAGGAGGATGCTTTCGTATTTCGCAACCGTTTGCTGAAGAAAAAGAATGCTTTGAAGGGCGTCCTTCCAAATTCTTTTTTGAAGCTGAATAAACCACAATCGGTAATCAGACATCAACGAGGACCAAGGGCTACACGACCAGGCCTTGCACGCAAGAAGAATCACAAATACGCCAGAAGTGACGAGTTTTCCGATTTCTTGACCAACGAGGACTCCCAAACAGAGATTAGGCCGTTCAAGTACGAGGAGACGGAGGAAGGATACACGCCTTTGCAATTGGCCCCAACTTTCGAGAGTGCTGAAGATGTAAACGTGCTTTCTTCTGCATCATCCGACTCTGATGTGAGAGAGCTTTTTGAGGTGACTATTGGTAAAAACTATGCTGAAGAAGATCTATCAGCAGGCATTGATTACATGCTTAACAGAGCGCCGAACACCAAGGGAATTGCGAAGAGCAAACCTAGAAGACCACGCATAGGTGCATCTAGAAGGCCGCGAAGTGAAACTCCTTCGCTGAGGTACGGACGTAAGGTGCTTCAACGAACCTCAGAGCCACTGTCCAAACGACCACTCGAACAAATGATATGGATTAATGACGGTCATGATATAATCTACACAGAGAAGCCATCAAATGACATAGAGAAACGTGCCACAACAGCAAGTCATAAACGCAGAAAGAAGCTCGCTGCTGCGGGAAACCCAGGAGATCCAAAACATTTTTATTACCAGAGACGTCGAATTTTTGGCACTGCTCAACTGGAAGATATAGCAAACGAGGAAGTGATCGAGGTCAGGCAACCATTGCAAAACAAAACCAATACCTATACTAATGTCCTAGATAGATTGGGTAAGACAACTTTGCAAAAAGCGTTCCATATGGGAGATTTGAGTCTTGAGATATATCGGGATCTTGACCCTGGAAAGACCTCATTGATCAATTCCAACCTTTTCCATGCTTGTTCGAACGAGGATGGCGACTATTACAAGTATGAGCCTATTGAATTTTCATTTAAAAACCTGCATTACTCAATTGACAACTCCAACACAGATAAAAGTCCAAGACTGACAGATGCCTTGCTGAAGCAGGTGTTTTCATCTCTTGCTAGACAAGCATTATCTGAGGATGAACACAACAGTATAAGGAAAGCCTACATTCGCATTCTGCAATTGACTTGGAATATGTTTAAATGGAGCCGACACGATTTCATAAAGTTCGCAAGAGTGCTTTTATCCTCGTGTTGGACATTTTTGGACCTCGCCGCTGAAGCTAAAACCAAACTTCTATATGCCCCTTTTCATCTAACATTGGCTACTCTCACAGGTAGACTTATGAGACAGCTTAAGGAAGACCATCAGGGTTTCGATCACGTCGTGGTAAAGCTTCAAAGACACGTCAACAGATTGGCATGCACAATTTCCAAGTCTCAATTCTATTGTGCATTGAAAGATGACTCATCGAAGTTTATGGAATCGATGTCGATGTTTTTTGCCTTGTGCCCAAACCCGTGGAATCAGGTTGCATCATTGGCCAAAGAGCATGAGTTGCCATTTGAAAACGTGGTGAGCTATCTGTATTTTATTCATTCTCAGAAGCCAGTCTTGGTTGATTGGGAGTTTTTCATCCATGAGGTTGAAGCTCTTAAGGACGCCATAAATATACAGAAGTATCGTTCTGTTCTATCGACGATCATGAAAATTATCAAGGAGCTGAAATGGAATTTTGAGGAGCTTTTGTTGGTGAAAATCTATAGACTCATCAGCTACCACCGCTTTGAAAATATCGGCAGCACGAAGAGAGTTACTTGCAACGTGCCCTTGTCCCTTACAATCTCAGAATCTGATGGGTGTCTAGACATGTACATCAAATTCCTTACCCTTCATGTCCAGCAATATATGGAACCAGAGAAAAAGATGAGCCTGATCGAAAAAGTCACTCCTGTGAGCGATATTAGCACATGTACGGTCAAACTTCTTGGAAATCGGATTAGCCTTCTTATGGTGATGACTCGACTATTCAAACATGACTTTTCGAAGCAAGTGGCTAGTCTTTTTGGGGTTTTGGTTGCATTTGGATCAACATCTGCATACGAGCATACCCTCGATCTCGTTAGCTCGTACACACAATGTCAGTTTGAAGTTTTTAAAAAGATTCCTATGCCACTTATTCGTGGTTGCTTGGTTCAAGTTGTCGACTCAATCAATAGCTTACGGTTGACCTCAGATGCATCGTTGGATAAATTGCGCTATTTGGCGAAACAGCTATGTGATGCAGCTATTGACGATAAAGAAGACGGCAGAATTGGCCAGTACTTATTGCTGTTCATCACTTTATTGAAACTTCGAACATCCCACCTTTCAGTCATGATTCAAAGAACGATAGATGTTATTCGAAAACTCATATGGATGAAGCCGGCCGCCTTCCATAGTTTATCCCCCAAAATACGAACAGAATTACTTTCTGCGTTGAAATCGATTGTGCTAGCGCCAGAGTTGCTTAGCGACTCCCTCAAGAAGTCGAGCATTCATCTTTGGGTACATATCAGCTCTGTCACTGGAGTTGTTGTTGATGCTTTGATCCACCTGGAGTGGCAGTACTTTGGCGCTGCCGACATGAGGTCCAAGTACGAGTTGGCATTCTTCACATCAGTGATGACATTTTACAGGGACCAAGCTTCCGCCAGCTCATTTCCAGAGATGTTCAGGGTATTCCTCCAAAAGCTTGCTGATATATGCACTAAAGATCTCTTCGATTTCTGTAAACTATTGGCACAACAGAACGAACACAGCGGATATTTGGAATTTAGAACTGGAAAGAATCTGTCAGATATGACAATGGAGGAATTCTCGGGTCAAATAATGAGAGTCAGCGTTCGGATCCTTGCTCGTTTGGTGGTCGGTGCTAAAAAAGGCAGGGAACAAGATGTCGACTATCTGAAGCTGTTTGTGAAGTCCTTGAGCGATGTATACAAGAGATCTATCGCGCAGGGAAAGTTTGAAAAACCCAAAGAAGATTTCGTCACGTTGATCCGCTATCTTAATACTGTGGCAAGCTCCGTTTTACAAACAGTGCCAGAATTCATTGACTTGAGGCATGAACTGGCAATTGAGGACGTTCAAGCGCCACTTAACGAGCGCTTTGAATCAACAGATAGTATGACAGATCTCATGATCCTTTTGGAGAGCGAGTATATCAATTCGTTGATCAATTACAAGCTTGAGCTTTTCCAGGATGACGTGGTTGCAGACCTTGATGAGTTGCCCGTTTTGGAAGTCAATCCACTTCACAGATCGGTTTTTTACTCTCTTTTGACGATAATCTCGTTGCACGTGCATCAAATTCCTTCGGACAACTCCCACTGGATTCATCTCCAAAACTGGCTGGATATAATTATCCTTGCCGTGAAAAAACGCAAATCGTTTTCTCAGGCAGATGTCTGGACTCTAGTGAGATTAATCACCTTGTGTTCAGAAATTGGGGCTTATAAAACACTGAACGAGGAATCCTGGAGACAATGTTCTGACTTGTTATATCAGCTCCTGAATTACTTATCAGTTGCTTTCTTGGGATACGATGACATGGCTGATTTCAAGAGACTATTTATATTATTGGACTCGCTGAACGAGCCGGGAAATACCTCAAGATATGCTTTTGGAATTCCTGAAAGCCTACTAACAGAATTCAATGCTTTGTTCACTGAGTATTCCAACCTATTGGTAACGAGACTACAGGGCCGTGCGACGGCTACCGTGAACTGTGATGTTTCAGGCTCAAAAACTCTTGCTGAGAAATCATGTGGAATATATGGCTCTGATATTCCTGCAACGGCTTCCAATGACTTTGAAGGCATAGCATTTATTTAGATATTTTTTATATCTTTGTTCAAACTACATTTCCAGGGATATGATAATATCCCTAATTCGAGGCGCTAAGAAAGAAAAAAAAAAGTATTTGATCTTATCACTTCTTTGATGACTCTCATCTCAGGGAGAAAGGTCAACAGTGCTTCTGCCATAGAGGCTCAGAAAGAGTTAGCAAACGTGCAAGAAATTGGCTCCCCCAAAGAAGGGATAAACTATCACCAGTATGGCGTATATCAAGATGACCAAGAGAAAGAGATCAAGTTGAGAAGGAATACAATGCAATTTCCGGTCCCTCCGCTGTCTACCTCTCCAGAGCCAGCGGTCATAAGACTCAAGAGCGTTGATCGATTTTACTCCGGAAATATACAGCCAAGTGAGCCGCGGGAGATTCACTCCAGCTATCCTGACGAAAGAACCACTTCTGTAGAGCCTGAATCAATCGGAATTCGCAGAATGGAGCACAGAGAGACTTCAAATCTTATTGATCTATCCAGCGCATCTCCAGCCAACCTGCTGTCGCAGTTTGATCCATACGAACAAATTGTCAGAGAGGGAGACTCAGGAATGACGACTAGCGTTCTGGGAACCCTTGAATCGGCTGACTTGAAAGGCGAACAAACTTCCAAGCTTTCAATTCCGAAATTGAGAAGTCCGGATAATGGCAGCCCTGGTGACCGGCGAAGCGACTGGTCTGAAGGGCAAAACCTGATCCAAAAATTCGGATATGTATCGCCCAACGAGATAGAGGCATCAATCAAAAGCCAAAATGAAAAAGAATCAGTGACTGATGCCGAAATTGAAACCTTGCGTTCGTACAATAGATACAGGACGATCAAAGAGCATGGGCATTTGGCCAGCAATGATAGCGGCAATGCCATAAACTCTGCTGCCTCCATTACTGGAATGTCTAGCAAAAAGGGGTCTGTGTCTCAACCATGGGCTTTCGGAGATGTCGACGCACTTGAGAGAGCCAGTGTCAAAAGCTCGAAGTCTGAATTCTCCTTTAGTAAAGCGAGTGTGCGTAAATACACTGGAGGATCGACGAGAAAGACCATGGTTCACTCGGAAGACCGTAAGAAATCTGTGGAGTTTAAAGATGCAGAATGCGAGAAACTAGCAAAACCCGAGCCGGTCTATCAGTACCGCCTCACAATGTCTCCGTGGATTGGGATCTTTTTGGCCTTTGTTTTTATCCTTTTACTTATATATGCGACTTTGGTGTCTATCAAAGCGTGGTCTCCTTCCAAAGTCGGAAGGGAACAAGTGGCGCAATACTTTCAAATGTTGGATGAAACTGAGAGATATCCGGAAGTTACTAGCATTTTTAGTGATTTCAATCTCGGCAATGGCAAAATATCAGACAGCTTTTCCCTTCGCAATAATACCCTTCAAAATAACAACACTCTGTTTAATCACTCGATAATCAACTCATTCAAAGGTATCAGCAGCAAATACCAGGGCGACTACGAGATAAGGGCCTTGATGGAGGATGACAGATTAAAACAATCCTTTTACGGCCTATCATACGCCCCAAGAGGGGTGATTGAGCCGATGTGTCAGGTCACGGAAAGAGACGTTTTATTGGATGTCGCATTATTGTCAAGAGTCACAACTAGGGTCAGAACCTATGGGACGCAGTGCCGTCAAGCCGAACTTATCCTCAAAGCTTTCCAAGAGCTTGATTTGAACATGACAATCGCCCTCGGAGTCTGGATTGGAGAAGACGATCATTCGAATTGGAAACAGATGAATGAATTGAAATGGTTGCTCAGCAACTTCCCAAAACGCTACTTCAACTCAATAATCATTGGAAATGAAGTGCTCTTCAGGGAAGATAAAACTGTGAGAGAGTTAGTCTCGTACGTGGAAGAGGCTAGAACTTATACAAAGTCCATTGGGTACGGAGACATTCCAATTGGGACCTCTGAGCTGGGATCTCAAGTCAAGCGTGAAATGGTTGAAGCGTGCGACTTCATCGGTGCTAACATTCATCCCTTCTTTGGAGGAGAGACAGTCAAAGCAGGAGTGCAATGGACAACAGATTTCCTTGAGCAGCAGGTATTGCCTTTTGTCCATAATATACGGCCAGAAGTTCGAGTTGTCGTTACTGAAGTTGGCTGGCCAACTGGTGGTGGACAATACATGGCTTCAGTTGCCGGGAAAAAAGAAATGCAGCAATTCCTTGAATCATGGGCATGTTCGCCCAAGACGCAAGAATTTGCATGGTACTATTTCGAAGCCTTTGATGAGCCATGGAAAAAGATATGGCACGAGGAAGGCAGTACGTGGGAAACTCAATGGGGATTCTTCACCCACGATCGTAAACTGAAAGAAGGAATCAGGCTCCCTGAATGCGTAGATGCCGTCAATTTCTCCATTGGGCTCTGGAAAAATGTTAGCCGAGTCCAATGATACAATTTGAATTTATTATTTGGGTTTAACCTTGAAGGTTGCTTTGTGAATGATTTTGTAGTTTGCCCAACACCAAAACAACATAAAACAGCCAAAAGACAGTACGACATTAGAAATGACCCAGAGATGTGGCAGCTGCTTTGGGGGCTCAACAATATAATCGAGTATGTGTAGCAACGAGGCCAGAGTGTACGAACTGATGATGACAATGCGCCAAAATAAGTTGTGGGGGAGCACTGGCATTGCTAGTTCTCTGGCATAAATAGGAACTTTGGCCATTCTGAGATACATTCTGATCCAGCTCAAGTTACCCATGAGCCAGTTGCTCAAAATCCCTAGAACAAAATATTGAAGAGACAATTGGTCTCGCTTGAGAAGCGGCCACATGGAGAACAGGGCAATGTTGGCAATCCAGCAAACCATGGATATAACGTCGGGGTCAACTTCATTGAGGAGAAGGGTGATAGGCATTAGCGGCAGAAGAATTGACTTTTCGTGGACCTGAAACGAAAAGAGATAGAAAGCTAACGAGCACGATGCTAAACACCAGGTAAATAATGTCTTGCTTGGCTTGAGAAAGATAGTGATGGAAGCGGGAGAAATCCCTGCCAACGTCAACAGGAGAGAAAGTTTCTTCAACTGATTCTGAGTGAAGGTATTTCTGTATTTAATAATCACGTTTGTTGCGCACCAGAAATTGGCCACCTTATCTTCAAAAATACCTCTATCAAATGGGAACACACGAATCAGTATCTGAATGATTTGGCCGAATCCGCCCTTATACACGAAGGGTAAAAATATTAACACGAATGTGGAGATCACGGAGACTCCTATGGAAACTAATCTGAGAAGGTTCATCTTGGAAAATGGAAAAATGCACACGCTGAGGAGATAAAAAAAGAAGATTGGAGCATAGTAGAGTGCCATTTGCTTGAAACAAAGAGCCAACACAAAGAATATTGAGCACAAAGCATAGTTATTTTCCAAGAGGTTGACAATTGCAAAGAGAGAAAGACCAAGCATCACAGAGTTGTATTGAAAATGCCCATGGTCAATAATGATCAGAGATGGTTGGTAGAGAATGGCCGCTGCAATGATAGTTTGATCAATAGGAGAAGCCTTGTTGTAATATCTTCCCATCCATCTGGTGTACATTAGTACTGCCGGGATATAAATCAATAATTCACTCAAAAGTGCTGTTATTCTCATGTAGGATTTCAAGTCGTCGGTTTCCAGCCCTCTTGATACATCAAGAGCGAACCACGAGACGTCTGTCCAGGAGCCAAATTTTCCGAGAAGCCAGGAGTGAAAAGCAGTTAAGGGTGGATAATCCAGCCCCCAGTACTGAAGGTCATAGAAATACCACTTTGAGATTGGTAATTGCGTTGTAATCTCCATCCAATGGCGCTGAGCTTCGAAATCTCCGAACATTGGAGGTGTATTTTGTCCCGAGTAAGGTCCCAGACCAACTGCACATCGCACAATGATGGCGAAAACAATTATGATGTAGCGTGCAACCCACTGGTTCGGAGCTCGTTGGAAGGGGATAAGAAAGTCATACAGCGGCGAACTCTTAAACAGAGATACAAACTTAGAACGTGACATTTGATCTAAACATTTTTTTTTTTTTTCGCACTAACTATTGCAGTATAAATAAACCTAGACATTGAACAATTGTGATGACGTGAGGTAAGAGCTTCTTGCTTATTTACAATATTCCCCCAGCTTTTGTCCCTTTTCCCCAATTATTCTTTTTATGGTCATGATAATCTGATCGTGAACGTTTGTGGTAGCAGCTATAACACCTTGGCTGTTCAATGTTCTGCCATGGCTGAAATCTAGAGGTGAACCATAAATGTCAGTGACTTTTCCACCACTTTCGTTAACCAAAAGAGCACCCGCAGCATGATCCCAGATCTTTTCACGGTATTCCGGGTCTCTTGGAAGTCTCAAATAGATTTCAGCATCACCTTTGGCCAGCGCGCAATATTTCACTTGTGAGTCAAGGTTCACGGATTTGCTTTGTATATTGAGACCCTGCTTGATCAAAGATTGTAGACTATGAGATGAGTGTCCCTTTTCAACACCCTCTAGAACTCTAGCCTGCTCGACAGGAAGAGAATTATCCACCTGGATTCTGATGCTTTTGTTGAAAGGATACACTAGATCGGACTTGAGGTCCTGGAAATAAGACCCAGAGCCTTTGACTGCCGTAAAAAGTCCTCCCACAGGCGATGATTCGTCATTTAGATCATGGGGAAGATTTGGACAACCAATAACACCAACTTGGACAACACCGTCAACCATCAATGCAAGACACACCGCATACTGGTCTCCTCTTAAAAATCCCTTAGTACCGTCAATTGGGTCTAGAGCCCAAATACGGCCGCTGCGTCCTCCCTTGGATTGTCCCTTGTCGATGATATCACATAAAGCGCCGCTGTCCTCAATGACACCCAGAGAATCATTGTTGCTGGAGTCCTGCTCCTGAACATATTGCACTTGCGAAAGGATTTTGTCACCAAGGTTTTTCTCCTTGATCAGTTGAGAGTCTTCTTCACCAACAACCTCATCGCCTGGGAAGTTCCTTAGGATCGAATTGATGATTATTGCTTGGGCTCCAAAATCCCCGATAGTAACTGGTGAATGATCTTCTTTACTAATACCTTTCAAATGCTCAACAGCAACCTTTTGTGTCAGGAGAGTAGCTCTTTGGACTGCCAGCTGGGCAATGTATGTTTCTTTCAAGTAAGCTGACATTTTTAATAAGCCCATGAACAATTTTTCAATATTTACGAAAAAGATTTGTTTAGTCACGTGAAACTTTTGATCTCTAGTATAAAACTTTTAAAAACAGTGAAAGTACACCTTTGGGCCCAACCTTCTCATCTACAAACAACACCCAAACAACTTGGCAAAAAATCCCTTGCTGCTTTTTTTTGATGCCGTTTCCTGTTTTCCTGCTCCGGGCTGAATCTTGACTGGCTCACTGATTGCCTGAGGCTGTTGTTGTATGTTTTGATACTGATACTGTTGTCCTTGTTGTTGGACAAGAGGCGAGCCTTGATTAGCCGGCGAGAACCTGCCACTTTTATCTGGCAAGTTTGGCAGAGGTCTATCGCCAGAGTGTGTATCCTGCGTTCTGTAAACTTGGCCAGGAAGTGCTGAAGAGGGTAAAGCCTGTGTACCAGCTGCACCAGAGCCGGTCGGCTGCTGCGTGTTTCTAGGTCTCCTTTGTTGGCTGTGGCGGTGTCTGTCCCCTGGAGGGTTAGGATGGCCATAACCATGGAGATTTGGCTTTTTGTTAATCGTGGCATCCCACCCACGACCGCCGTTCAAGTCCATCCAATCGTAGTGACCATCAGCAACATCACCGATATCGTCTAAAACAGACAAAAGGAGCCTTCTGTATCCCTCGTAATCGGGTTCCGCATCAAATTGCAAGTTTCTAACATAATCCAAATACTGAGCAAATTGGCGTGGGAATCCATGGCACAGATCCAAAACTGGTGTTGTTCTTTTCTTCTCACCAATTTTCTCGTACTTCTGTTTATTGGTAGGTGCCTTGAGTCCCTGCCATGGTAGCTGCCCTCTGAGAAAGTAGAAAAACACATGCCCGAGTGCCTCCAAGTCGTCTCTTCTGGATTGCTCTCTTCCCAAATGTGTGTTAACAGACATATATCTAGCTGTTCCGCTCAGCGATTTTTTCTCTCTGTAAGGTATATGCTGCTTGGTTCTTGGGTCTCTGTATTGCTTGGCCATGCCAAAATCCACCAAGTGAACAGAGTTTTCGTCAGGAAGACCATGTCTCCCAATTAAAAAGTTGTCAGGTTTGATATCTCTGTAGATAAGATCTCGCTCATGGACGCTTTGAATTAAAGTTATCATCTGGACAGCCACCTGAACAACAGTTTTCACAGAAAACTTGCGGCCACACCAATCAAAAAGGTCCTCCAAAGATGGGCCCAGAAGATCAATGACCAGAATGTTGTGGAGACCCTCTTGACCGAAGTAGTATGCACTAGGAATACCCTTTACTCCGTTCAAATGCTTATAAGTTCTGTACTCATCTCTAAGCTGAGGAGCTTCCGTTTTTCTAGGCTCAAATTTGATCGCAACTGGGATGCCGTTGATTAGATTCGTTCCCTCAAATATAACACCAAAAGATCCCTCACCAATCTTCTTACCAATTTTATAGTGGAGGCCCACCACTTGGGAGCTCGAGTTTGAGGAGTTCTGTTGCATCTGTTGTTGCTGTGCCATTGCGGGAGCCTGTGCCTGCATAGGAGGAGGAGCGCTGGCGGAAGAGTATTGTGCGGTTGTTGACGGATTTTGCTGATATCCGTTTGCGTTGGTCATATTATTTGAAGCTGCCAATGCTGCTGCTGCTGCAGGAGATGAGTGGTTTGGTCTGGTGGACATTTGCCAAGTCGTGAAACTGATCCGCTGAGGAATGCAAGGAAATAATCAAGGAGTTTGTGCAAATTTTAATTCGCTGTAAACCCTTTAATCAGAAAATTAGACACGAAATCCACTAGGCGAGTATTGTACTGAACAACAAATATTGTTGCAAAATGTTGTCAAATAGGAATGGATAATCAATATCAGATGCCAATGTGTCTTTAAAAAAACATAAATCGATGGACCTGCTGAAGAAAATGTTTTGATTTATGAAAGTGAGCGAATGGACACTTACGACAATAAAAAAAACCAATTTACGTAGTAGGCAGGAGCGAAAAAAGAAAATTGCAATAGTGACCTGCTGCTCTTGATTTTGCTTTCAGCCAACTCCCAGGTATGAAATAAGCCTTGGGTAATTGCTGGTTTTGACTCAACTGACTATGCAAGCCTTAATAAATCGTGTGTCGATATTCTGTCCGTAAAAGGTTGTATGCGCCAAAATTTACCCAGTCTCACCTGCTCAGCTCCCTTTGCCCACGAAAAGACGCACGAAAATCATAATCTACCAGGAATACACCTTTACACCAATAAAGAATGCTGTGGTCTAGATCTCTACGCGTTGTGGCAAAATTTCGCTTCTCCGATTAGATTTTGTGGCGGAGATCAACCAAGACGGGTAAACATTATGCCCGAAGTGGTGGCGGTGCTCCTATTTTTTTCACAGCCGACCGTTATTTAACAGAAAAAAGTAATTCTGCTTTTTCGTGAACAAACTTGTCAAATCATATTTGATTCTGTAGTTGGTACAACTTCGTCGTCATTGTGGTATATTCAAACACAAAACTACCATGGTGCTGAAACGATCGTTTTCGACTCGACTACGGTCGAAGTTTGTCAAACTGAAAAAAAGTACAGATGATCCCTCCGTTCCTTCAAATGATCCCCTTGATCTTTGCCCCAGAGTGAGTTCGATCGCCACCAAATCAAACGGTGACCAAAATTTGCCATCACGCATTCAAACAGAGTCCAACTCTCAACGCTCCTCAGTGTCAAAAGATGTGGTATTGCTGCCATACGATCCTGAAGATCAAAACTCATTGCCTTGCAGTACAGAACAACTTACCCCAATTATGCCCCGCTCAAGTTCGGAGTTGCTTTTATTTCCTCTACAGTCATCGCCTGTCAGGCACTCGTGCCAAAGATCAGTTAATCAGAATATGGGAAGTTTCAATTCCGCCAATACCCCAACGGTATCCATATTATCACCTACTATAGATTTATTCGATTCGGCCATCTCAAAAACGGAATCTAACTGCTCCTTGCCTTTGACCGAGCCTCCACCCTCTCCACATATAAACAACGATAAGTCCATTTTTGCAAAGGCAAATCAGATTGATCATTTCGACAAAACACTCGACATGACTGAAAATGACAAACTGGCTGAACAGATGGCCTTAAATATCTTAGACAAGATTTCAGAAGAGCAAGTTGATGAACTTGCTTTGTTAAAGGACGAAGTGATTCGTCCGGTTCTTTCTCCATCAATTAGATGATAGCATGTTTGCGTTCGGGACGACTTGATGATTATTTTTCGCTTTTGTATATATAGAAACAACCTTAAAATTCATAATATTTTTAAGAGTGCATTTTTCAAAAGTCATTGAAGTATGGTAAGTAGGACTTGGGCATCTGAAATCTAACAACCTCAGCCTCGTCATTCCACTTTCACGGCAATCAACCATGTTGAAGATGAAGAGGATATTGAGGAGCACTCCCGGGAGCTACAGATTGAGCTTGGGTTCAAATTATTCGAAGAGGCTCTAAATGCTCAAAAGCAAGGTAATTATGACGAGGCCAATGCTAAGTACCAGGAACTTTTTGGTATGGAAGTTTTGACTACCAGAAATCCAACAAATAATCCCGCTATTGAAACACTCAAATACCTTTGCCTCCGCAATCGTGGTGTTTTGAAGCTCGCGCAAATTAAAAAGGGACTCGATGGTGACGATCAGTCGAATATCCTTGAACTTTTCAAGGATGCTGTTGATGACTTGGCCTCAGCTCTGTGTCATGGTAAAGGCGATCTGAAACTGATAGAGCTTTTAATTCAGATTTTCAAGCGTTTGAAGACCAAGAAGCTGAGCCGATTTGCATACGAGTACGAATTGCTCAAGAATGAACACGCTGCCCCTACACAACAGCATGCTGGTTCTGCAAACACTGAAGAAGACGACATCCAGTACGATTTGAGCCGTCCTGGCCATTTGCTACCTAATCAACTCAGCCTTCTGCGCGGTTACAAAGAATTTCTCGAGGAAATGGGCGTTGAGTCCGCTTCTTCTCAACTGCTGGTACATATTGAAAACAGAGCTTCTCCACGCAAACAGGTTGCCATGGATGTTTTCCCGACCGCCGAGCAGTTCAAAGCCTTCAATCAAGAGGAGCCAGATTGGTATTCTGTCACCCTGCCCTGTCGCGGTAATTCGGTAGCATTAGATGAGCTCTTGAGGAAACTTAACGAGCTCTTACCCAAAAAGGGACGATCAAAAATATATGATAGCTATATTCTTACTGAGCGTCCCATTGAGGGGGTTAATTTCGAGCTGGTGGAGACAAGGGACAATCATGAAGAATTGGAACCTAGAGCAGAGGACGATACAGAAGAGAATGAGGTGGTAGGTGTGCCTGACGATGAAGATATAGGCTCACCGTACAGGCTAAGCTTACCTCCTGCTGAAAATTCACAGCAAGAAAAAGAGGACATAAAAGAAACACATCAGAAGGGGGCAATTCCTGGTGCTAATCCTCCTGTAACGAAGCGACAAACAAGAGCTAATAAGGAGGCTGAAGTGAGCGAGCTTAGTAACGAAACTTTTGAATCACAATTCTTGTTTCTGGAACAGACTTTACCACAATACTTGCTGTATTGTGGTGTCATTGTGGATGGATCAGGCAAATTAACGGAGGCATTTCTTCCTAATGCCCAGTCACAAAGTGATCTCCAAGAACACTATGATTTAGCTCATATATTCAACCAGTGGAGTAAAGAGGACACAGAAACACTTTTTGTGAAACTCGAAGATGGCCATAGCAATGAAGAGAGCAAAGAAGCTTCAGTGAAAGAAATCCTCAGTTCGCTGAGCAAAGAAACGCTAGAGGAGAGAAGATCATTTCAGGAGTTAGATGATGGCGGGTTGAAAAATGTGATATTATCTATGACCGGGACTCGCTTGCAGTTCAATCAGATCCGACTATCAATACTGGATTATTTATTCTCAGTCAGGGAGTTGGGGGGGACACTTGTTACAGACGGGTTTGTGAGTGCAGATTCCTTGAAGCAGCTGCGTTTGTTCACCGATGCTGTTGGTTTGTATGTTTATCGACAATTGAGCAACAGTCTGTTGGAAGATGGGCCAACGGATGTCAGAGGTTTGTCATTTGGTGTTTCAACTCTTGAAATTCTGGTCGACTATTTCGTATCTTTGAAAGTGGATCGAAAACTCAAAAAGTTTGGAACTAAAGCGTTATATAACGAAATAGTCCAGACAGAACAGATTACATCACGAAGGATTGAGCGCTGGATTGCGATCCTGAATGATTACTTTGAGAACATGGATATGAATACTGTATGCTCGCAGCTATGGCTCAGAACAAAATGGTGTCAAATGTGCTTTCTGCAACACCTTTCCACTTTTGACTCTGAAGTGCTGTCCACGATTTTGACCACCATGGCCAACACTTCCAAATCTGTACACTTTGACGTTTTGATGGTCAACTTCCCCAATGTCCCACGATTGAATAGGTTGAACATAGAAGTCCAGCTTTCAAAAATGAAAATATTCAAAACTTTTACTGAAAGTGATGCTTCCAATGAAATTCTTGAAAGGATCCTAGTTGATGACGATGAAAGAAAGTCTACATATAATGAGGAGGAAAAAGAGATGGATGACTTCATCAGCAGATCACCCTTCGAGCTCAAGATGCGTTTATGGAGTATGCTTTTCAGATTTTATCGTGAAGCAAAGCTTACGGACAAATTTTTGCGAGGTTTTGAACGAGTGCTACAGATAATGCTGATGGAAGTCGAGGGAGAAAACTTCACCGAAAAGACATACTTCCAACGCAAGCAATTGCTGCTTAAGATACTCGGGTTTTTCGATCTATTTGCAAAGGATCTTGTCAACATCGGGGTCGAAAAACGATGGGATTTGCAACTGTCCAACACAAAGAACGTTCTTCATATATTGGCAAAGTTTTCAAGACTCGCTTATATCTTCCTGCTCCACGAAGATAGTGCGCAGCTTTCTAATACTCGGATTTCAATCAGGACAAAATCCAAAATGGCTTACAAGAAGCTAGCGGATATTGCTGTTGTCAGCTTCACACTCCTTGGCCTCTACTATTCCAGCAGTTTGATAGATCGAAAACCGGAGTACCTCAATGACTTCTACGCCATATTGCACGAACAACTCGGGCTTCGTCATATATGCAATGGATACAATAGCGTGTTCCTGGACTTTGTTGAGAAGAGGCTGGTGGATCTGGATTGGGAGCAATCTGATAACGACTTTTTCCAGACCTTAAAATGTCATTACGGAATCAATATATCGACCGATAGTTTCAGCACTTTCGATCACGGAGCCGAGCCAGGGACGATGGAAAGGGTCAATGCAATTACAGTTAACAAATACATGATGAAATATTGCTACAAGCGCAAGCATCCGATTTTCAATGTTCCCAAGGCAGACATCAAAAATGTTCTAGACATGATCTATGATGTTCTAGGAGATCCTGAGCCGGACAACTACTCTGTCTCAAACAATATGGAGACTTTAACAGAGTACCTAGAGACCAGGTCTTTGGACACGCGTCTAATGAGATTGTCGTTTTATGGTTTGTTGTCCATTCCTTTCGAGGAGCCATTAGTTGAGAATGAAACAGATAATTTAGCAGATGGGGTTTATTTCATGCAGGGATTACTTGCCTTGACGTTATTCAAAATTCGCAAAAGGACCATGCAAGGACGCTCGGCTGAGCTCGACTTTGTCATTAAAATGTTTGAGTATGACATTGCATCTGGCTCATACAGGTTTGAGTCGTGGCTTCTCTTAGCACAAGCCTATTCTTATCTGGTGGAAGATGATATCATCTGGACTTCTGACAAGCTCAACAACGTGGATAAGAAACGCAACACCGCTATGTTGCAACGCAAGTCGTTGCTCTGCTACTTCATGTCAATCAGTTTGTTCACGGGACTCAGTACTGAGAGGCAGAAGGAACTCACTCCGGTTGCTACAATGTTATGGACCTCTCTGGGGAAAGAACTGTATAATGCTATGATGAGTCCTATGGAAAGGCTGGCATTGAACGTTGATTCTGATACCGAAACAAATCACATTGAAAACTCGAGCACATTGTCACCTATTCTTCATCTACCTCTCAATGTCACAGTGTACAGAGTCTTGGAAATCTGTTTTCGTCAGGCTTGTAATTTGAACCCGAAAGATTGGTACAGCCATTTTTATCTCGCAAAGTCGCAATCCAAACTTAGAGGAAAGAATCGCTACAAAGTTGTTACCAAGAGTCTGCTTTCAGCCTGCGATCTTGCTTTAAAGGCAAGCGACCGTGATGATCATATTGTTGAGCCTCATTATTTTCTATGCTCTTTGACCTACAAGTCAGTAATGCATGGGGACGTATCTCTCGAGGAGGGACTAAACGTTCTAAAAAGCGATTCCCTGTTCCAGGAGTGCTTATGTGAAGCATCAAATTTGGACCAGTTTGGCAAAATGATAATAGGTCTTCTTCAAAGATGCATATCCTACGATAGGAAGAATTGGCAGCATAGGCCTAAGTATCGCATCGCCAGGATCTACATTGATCAATATAATGACCTGGAGGCCGCCAAAAATGAAATGCTCTCTATTATCAATCTTAAGTCTACAGTGCGAAATCTCAGCAATATATGGAAGCCGGAAAATGAGCGACCTGGAAAGCATTTTGTCTACAATTACAGCTACATTGTCTTTTTCGTTGAGCTTTTGGATCGCTCAAAGGACGTTCACTCTTTATTCCAGCTTATCAAAAAATTGAGGAAATTGGGCTCGAGCATGATTGACCAGATCAAGGTTTTTGACCTTGCAGTTGCAAAGACATGCGCTATCATCAAAGAGGTGGTGAATGTTGTGCCAGGATTTCTGGACGATGTATTGTCAAAGCTTGTGTATGCTGATTTTGTGGCAAAGAGCAAAGAATTTGTGCAAATGATGAAAGAAAAGGAAAGCTTCACAGATGAAGAGAAGCTGATTTTGTACTTTTTATTTGAAGTTGGAGAGTTTAGACGCATGGCCAATGGATTTGCTGCAACAGGTGTGATAGATGAATGTTTCCATACCTTATTTCTGATACTTTTCACACGCTTTGAGGATTGCGCTACCAAAACCTTTAGTCCCGAGCATGAAAAATCCTCGCAGGTTGAATTCGTGGGAGGTAAAAGCAAGCCCGGCCAGCCCTCGACCCCTAATCGTGAAAAAACCAAGGTGGCAAGAAGAGATATCACTCCCTTTTGTATTCAGACGATTAGTGCTGTGAGCAAGCTACTGGATTCAATTAAGCGAGAACATGGCGAGGGAAATTTGCTTAGTTATACAATAGACGATAAGATCAAGAGTCCAGAAACAAATAAAATTTCAAGCAACCCTCATGGCGACGCAAGCGAAAAGACCACCCGGACTCCCACAACGAACTACCAAGAATTGAAATTAGAGCCAGCAATCGAATTCAGCGGAAAGCGAGCATCAGACAATGAAGATTCGACTCAGCAAGCCAAAAAACCAAAACTCGATGACGGAACTCAATGAAATAGAGCCATAAATAGATTAGTTGTCAAAATCGGGATCGATTTTAGCAGCGCTTTCACTGATACCCCATTTTTCGGATACAGTATTGGCCTGGCTTTTGATTTGATTGATAGTGTCAGGCAAATTCGTAGTGATCTTACTTTTCAATTCTTTTTCGAGAAGATGTTTGTCTTCGGTCTTCTGCCTTTTGGATAGCAATTCCGAGTCTTTTAATTCGCAAAATTCTTTCATGGACATGTTACCCCTGAGAAGATCCTGGGCAAATTCGGTGCTCTGATTTTTCAAAGCAATCAGGTCTTTTCGAAATCGTGCCTTATAGTTGTCCAGATTATGTTTTCGTGATTCATAGAGTAAAGACTCGTATTCAGATGCTAATTGGCCAGGTGGGACGGTAGATTCACGATCCACTTGTGTTTGCGACAGCGTCTTCTCTATTGTAGACTTGCACGCGACCCGAGTCTGGATGTTAGCTTTTTAACATGAAAACTTACCTTCTTCCACACGTCATCGGAATCATCTCCCAAATCTTTATGTGCTAGTCGGGTTGGCCGTTTTGAATTGATTTTTGTCTTCCTGAAAGTGTTTTTCATAGAAGACTTAATCTTGCGAGCTAAAGCTACATTTTTAGCTTTGCTTTATTTTGGATTCCTCCACGACCTTTAACGGCTATATTGGAGGTATCAATTGTTGGGTTAGCGTGGCGACGAATGCTAAAACTAAACCCAGACGGATTCATTTGACGTTCTGAAGTAGTATAGCTCGAAACTGTGAATTCGGTCGATCTGGGTTTTCTCACTCTGTTGAGCGTAGCATTGTCCTCGTTTTTGTGAATGTTGGTTGCTGAGTCATAGCCATTAGGAGACAAGAGGGGCCTAGCTGGTGCTGTTTTTGGAATCTGAATTGGTTGGGTTGACCTCAACTGAATGAGACTTTCTTCCTGAGTTGCTATTTGCTTTTCTAACTGTTCATTCAACAATTCGTATTCCTTTAGTTTGCTCTGGAACAGGGATAATTGTCTTCTAACAATTTCATTCGACTTCTCTCGCTTCTCAAGACGCAGAGAATCTATTTCGCTCTCTAATTCCCTAATTTCACGCTGGTAGCTTTCATGGATATGAGCAATTTGCTGTTTATGATATTTGGCTACCTCATTCAGTTCCTGCTGCAATTGTAAGCTGTCAGCAAAATCCGATGGGGGTTCCGTCAATGTCTCCGTTGAACTCCACTTTGCAAAGTCCAATTTCTCCTCCAAAGCAATGTTGACCTCTTTCAGATAAATCGTTTCGTTTCTGAGCTTACTTAATTCTTCCCTCAGGGGGCCAAAGGATTCATCCTTGTCCCTAAGTTGCACTTCTAGTTCTTGAATCCGCTCATGAAGATGGCCGACTTCACTTTCCAATACTTGGACCTCAGCTCGCAATTTCTCGTTGTTCTTCAAAATGGATTCTTCACCCGTTTTCTGCTTTGGAGAGTCAGACGGTAGCATCGTTGCATTTGGGTGAGAAACCTCGATTTCCAACCTAACTTCCTTGGGATCGGGTTTCTCGCGTTCCATAGCTAGAGCATGTCGAACGTACTCAGAAAAACTAAGCTCATTGCTCAAAATTAGCATTTCGCGCTGATAAAACTCCAATGGCTCAGGAACATGCTCTTTCTCTTCGCTTTTGGCAAAAACATGTTTGTAATCATCCAGCAGATGCTCAAGATCGATCTCTCGAGCCTTTCCGAAATCTGAGACATAGGATTTCATTAGCTCTACTGTATCCTCTTCCTCAATTTCCTGCCCTTCCAGTAGGGCAGGGTGCAACCGCATATTGCTCAAAATGCTTTTGGATTTGGTAGCAAGCTGATTTCGCACGGTTGATATGAACTGTTGTGGTGAAACAGCATATAGAAGGCCTCCAAGCCGCAGGTACTCCACATTCTCATCTGCAAGTCTTACAAAAATATCACTAACCCTGTCAAACTGTTTTTTGAATGACCTTACCACCATCGGTGCCAAAACGCAAAGTGCATTAAGTGCACAACCTCGCACCGAAGAGTCGCATCTCTCCAGCACGTCTAACAAACTCTCGAATAGGGGGAGGCTTTCAAATTGAGCATTGAGGGGACTCTCCATAACACTCTGAAAAAGCGCGAGTGTTTGGAGTTCCTCCTTGACTAGAGTGTCTGCTAATATGGAGAATAACCCTGGAGCATCCACTTTGACATAAGATGATAGAACCCTGCGTATGTTTAGTCGACGGAATCTGTATTTCTCGTTGTCTTCAAAAGATAGATCTGGCGCTACGTCAAATGTTTGTAAATACCTCTGGACGAAAGAATGGGCCAGGTCGCGATCCATGGCACATTCTACCAATTTCGTAGCGAGCTCAGTTAGGCGAAGATTCAGGCCAGCTGAGTCTATTGATATCTCCGCATATTTTGTGGTCCAGACGTTCAAGTTCTTGACGTAATCTTTGAGCACGATCAAAGCTTCCAAGAAGCAAACCTCTCGATCCACGGAATTCACTATCTTGTTATACAAAACAGTCAGCTCATCTCCTATCTTTGCGTTTGTAGATTCCAATTCTGCTCGAAGACGTTCTGCACACGTATTGACCTCTTCATGATCAGTTGGATCCCTTTGAATAGCCTCCTCAAGTGCTCGAAGAAGGCTTTTGTGCATGGCCTGTGTTGGCTATGCTGATAAAAATTATTTCTACCACTGGCTGTGCACGTTAGCTTCTCAATGTCGTTCTTAGATGCGATCAAAAAAATGGACGTCGTGCCTTATCCTCATGAGGAAGGCTACGACACCTTTCAGGAGTCCGTCTATGTGTTCTATTCTCACGATCACCGCTTTAAGCTAGGGTATCTGCTTCCTCTTGTCGTCACGGAATTAGATCGCTCGGGCCTTGTATCTGTGGACAAAGACAACCGAAGCGTCCAGCTTTCTTCAGAACTATCTACTGCGGAGCTCAGATCCGACAAACTGAATCGATTGGCCAGGGAATGGAAGAACGCTGGACTGTTCTCCACTCTTGACGGCTGGAGAAACGAGTTGTACACGATATATACCCCGGAGAAGGAGCCGTACATGTACCTGGAGCGAGCACTATGTCCTCTTCTGGGTGTGGTGATGTACGGTGTTCACATCAACGGTTATGTACGTACTAAGGAGGGCTTGAAGCTCTGGATACCCAGAAGATCTGCCACCAAACAAACGTTTCCAGGGATGCTCGACAACACCGTAGCCGGTGGACTTGGATACCCGCATGGGCTAATGGAGACGTGCATCAAAGAGTGCTATGAAGAGGCAGGATTGACGGAGCACGTTGTCAAGCAGAGTGTGCGCAACGTTGGCGTAATGTCATTCTTCTACCAGTCAGTAAAGGGTGATTATACTACAGAGGCGGGCTTGCTCCAGCCCGAGGTAGAATATCTTTACGACCTGGAAATGAGCGGCAAGACGCTGCCAAGTCCTGTGGATGGTGAAGCTGAGGATTTCCAGCTGCTGGATATTCCCAAAATATGTGATCTCGTTAAATCCGGGCAGTTTACGCCAACGTGCTCGGGAGTTATAATAGACTTCTTGATGAGACATGGGTATCTCTTGCCCGAAACGGAGCCCGATTATATTGAGCTTGCTTCTAGACTGCACAGGAACCTGCCGTTTCCTCTTCGCTAGCTTATTTAGCGAAATGCAACTTGATGTCAAAGAATTGTCTCTGCAGAACTTCTGGAACAGACAGAGACACATTTCCGTAAGTAAGAGGAGCTAAATAGATGAACATACTCACCAAGGAAGCCGTGAGTAGCACAAGTACCGAAATGTATGGAATCCAGTATATGCCACCAGCCTTGGTAGTATCCTTAGAATCTCTAAACTCCTCAGCTCTGTTATCGGTGAATAAAAACTCCAGCAGGGCAGCCGAGAACATGGCTGCCAGCAAGTGAGCAGGAAGGTAGTGGTGAAGGAAACGCTGTCTATTCATGAGGAAGAATGGGAAGTAATGGGTGGCCCAGCCACAAAAGAAGAATCCAATGCTTTTGTACAATCTGGCCCTGGACTTGTTGTTTAAGACGTAAATCTCTCTTCTTCTGGTTACCTGATCGGCCAACAAGATTCCCAGGTAGGTCATTAGGAGAGCCACTTCGAGCCACCATCCAAACAGGTTTCCGATGAAATAGATTTGCTCTCTGGTTTCCGCCTTGGTCCAGAAGGATACACCAGATAACGAAAGAGGCCAGGACTCAGGCAGCGAAGCAAATGGATGCGAGGAGCTCAACTTGTTGTTCTGTTCAAACATGGTCATCTGCAGCTCGTACCACTTGGTCATAAATGGCAACTGTTTGACTTCCTTCGGAACGTATTCCGCGCGCTTATCAGAGAGGCCGATGATGGTGTCAATCGTCCAGTAGTTGTCGGCATCACCAACTTTCTTGTTACCGTTGACTTCTTGCTGGTTGAATCCCCATTCTGGCAGGAGCTGATCGTCGTGGGTCCACATGGTCACAATGGTGGGAACATGGAAGAACTTGACAACCGAAGCTTTAGTCTTGAGGACGTCACTTTTTCTTTTGTCGAATGGATCAAGTCTAAACAACGTGTCATTGAATCTAGTGGATTCTCCTTCTTCAATGTTGATGACGGTAAATTCCTCGTTGGTAGGATACAACGGAGAAGCAACATCGTGAGTGAGCAGGTATCCATCGGTGGCAACATGCTTCAGTCTGATTGTGTCTCCTTGCTTCACAGTTTGGCCTTGAAGTTGGCCATCCGGATACGGAAGAGCAGGAAGGATCTGCCAATAGTTATTCTCGTCCTCAAAGTCTTTGACACAGGTGACTTGTTGACCTTGCGAAGAAATTCTTCCGTCATCGTACCTTAATGGATAATTGAAAGAATGAGAGTGGAGCAAGCATTCAGTGTCTCTGTGTTTGATGGTGATGATGTCATGGTATTGAACCTCCTTGGCTTCTCGAGCAAGTGGAGAGTCTCCAAGCGTCTCCTGGAAGTCAGAGGACATGAAGGCATCGCCTGGTCCAGACTTGGTGAGGATTGCAAAATGGATATAGAACCAACCAAGGTAGATCATGAAAGGGAACACGATCAAACCAATGGCTCTGTGAACAACATGCCTGGCAAAGATTCTAATTGTGAGGCCTTTCTTGATGTCCAAAAGTTCCCATAGGTCCCAAATGACAGCCACTCCAATGCATGCAAAAGTGAACACACCAACATATTTGGTGGAAATGACACAGGAAAGAGAGAATCCAGTGAGGAAAAGCCATTTGTACCAATTACGAGAAAATGGCTGGTTTCTCTGCTTGACAAACTTGACATAGCAGTAGACCGACGCAGCAACGGAAACGATCAGTGTTGCATCCAACAGGATCAATCTTGTTTCTGCGACATGGGCATTATCAAAAAGCACGAGGAGCGCTGCGAAAGTACACGTTGGAATCGAGTAACCACATTCCTTCATGGTGTTGAAAATCAAAGGTACTGTGAGGGCTCCTAGAGTGGCAGAGAGTGCCCTCAATGGGATATAGGGGACGGAATTAGTGACGTAACTGTCTCCGATATTATCAAATTTGAACTTTCCATTAAACCCAACAAGATATCCCACAAAGGCAATCAGTAGCTTGGCAAATGGCGGGTGCAGATCAAAAAAATATGTCCGCTCTAGATAATAGGATGCAAACTTTCCGAAATGAACTTCGTCAAACACCACTTCGTCGGGGTACCAAATGAAGTAGAATCTTGTGGCCAGAGCCAAAAGAGTGAGCACGACGCTCGTCAGTTGATAATACTTGTCCATTGCTGGATCAATCACTGAATTCGTATCAATCAGCTTAGCTGACTGATCGCGTATAGAGCTTTTCGCAGGCAACCTCTGTTTGGGAGCCATGATTCAGTTGACACGACACGTTCGAGGCTTTTTTTATTCCTTGAAAAAGTAAATAGCTATCTGTCACAAAAAGTTGCGGCTCTTCATAATAAATTATTCCCTTGCTTTAAAAACCATCAATACAACATGCTGAGACACGGTCGATGTTTGAAGCAAACAGCGAGACTGGTCTCCCGCAGATACATTTCCGACTTCCATGCGATGCAGGAGGCTTTTATGAACGACCTCGGCGCCACTTCAGCGAAAACCAGCAAAACGTTCAAGAAGGCGCCAACCGCAGAAAAGCCTGCTGCCCCTGTTGATCCTGTGGTGAGTACTGCCTCCTCAGGAGCGACCGTTGAGTCTTCTGATCCCTCACAAGGACCAATATCCCAATTCTTTGAGTCGTCTTTGAACGATTATTCGTCCCAGCAAGTGGAAGGGTCTCACAACTGGTCGGAAACTTTCCATGGACTAGCCAATCAGGCATTCCCGAAGGAAGCACAGCAAATTCTCGCAGAACCAATCCCAGACAACGACATTGAAATCACGCCCGACGGACTGCTGTATCTACCGGAAATCAAGTATAGACGGATTCTCAATAGAGCTTTTGGTCCTGGGGCTTGGGGTCTGGCACCTCGTTCGGAGACGCTTATATCCAAGTCTGGATTAGGTGGTCTACTAACTAGGGAGTACGGTCTTGTGATTTACGGTAGACTGGTGTCTATTGCCAGAGGAGAGCAAACATTTTTCAGCGATAAGGGCATTCCGACCGCCACTGAAGGATGTAAATCTAACGCGCTAATGAGATGTTGCAAAGACCTTGGAATTGCCTCTGAGTTGTGGGATCCAAGATTTATCAAGCAGTTTAAGAAAAAGAATTGCGAAGAGCTGTTTGTGGAATACATTCCGACTAAGAAGAAGAAGAAGATCTGGAAGCGCAAAGACGAAGACGTTGAGTATCCGTTCAAGAAGTGATTGATCACAGACTGTATATAGAAGTAACGATTCATTCCTCTACTGGTTCTTATTAATAACCTATGATACTTACAAACCAGCCAAGGCTCTTCTTCTGTCTCTCTCTTCGGCAATGGACAATTTGATACCCTTGCCCTTTGGCAAAGAAACGTATGGCTTACCGGCCTCAGCACCAATAACAAACACGTTCGAGAGTCTAGTGACGAAAGTGTTCTCCAAGGCGTCCTTGATGTGGACCAAGTCGAAACCTCCCTCGTGCTTCTCTCTGTTGGTGATGACACCAACTCTACCCAAGTTACGACCACCAGTCACCATGACCAACTTACCAGTGTCGAATTTGAGGAAGTCAGTAATCTTTCCGGTTTCAAGATCGATCTTGACGGTGTCATTGACTTTGATGGCTGGGTCTGGGTATCTGATAGTTCTACCGTCGTGGGTAACAACGTATGGGATACCCTTCTTACCAAGCTGGACCTTCTTGACCTTGCCCAACTTGTAAGAGGCTTCTTCAGCAGTGATTCTGTGGACAGCGAATCTACCTTTCACGTCGTAGATGAGTCTGAAGTTTTCGTTGGTGGCCTCCAAAGTGATCACATCCATGAAACCAGCTGGGAAGGTAGAGTCGGTTCTCACCTTGCCGTCAACCTTGACGTGTCTTTGCATCAAGATGGCCTTGACTTCTCTACCGTTCAAAGCATACTTTAATCTGTTTCTCAGAAAGACAATCAATGGAAGAGACTCTCTCAGCTTGTGTGGACCTGGAGATGGTCTTGGGGCGTAAACACCCGACAACTTGTCGAGCATCCAGTGCTTTGGAGCTGCTAATCTCTTGAGATGCTTCTTTGGTCCTCTTCCCATGTTGTTTGGTCACTGAATAGAGTTCTCAATAGTGTAGAAAAATTTAAACCAAGTCTTCCTAAACAGGCTGCTGCGTGAAAATTTTCAGAACCACTCCTCGCACGCGCGCCCGGCGCTCGTGCTGGGGCCACCGGGAAATTTTTCGCAGGGACACAAACGCAGGTCACTTGCCCTGAAGTGATGTCACGTGCTATACCCTTTCTCCAATTCATTGCCAGTGTTTTAGAGAGTATTTTTTAAGCAGCTCTCCAACGTTATACTCTTGCTCGCAATCGTTGTAAAAAGTGAGTTGCTGCACCAAAGAGTAGTAAAGTAGGTTGTCTCCATCGCATGCTTTCTGCAATGCCCACAGGACATAGCCTTCAATAAAGTCGTAAAACACAACATCCACAGGCTGCTGCTGGTCTGTGTATTCAAAGGATTGGATCACATTAGGTACTGCAAATTGCGGGAGTGGACGGTGGATGGTATCGTCGCCATCGTTACCGAGATCATCTGTTGTCCTCTGACCGTAACGGAGTTTCAAAGTCAGCATCCTCGAATTTATTTCCCGCTGGTACGGAGACAGCAGCTCATCTAAGTCAATGGTGCTATCAATCCCGTCTTCCAAAATGTAAGGCCCCTTGTTCAGAATCTCCTGGATGCGAATTGCTATTCTGGCAGGAACATTCTGAAGAACTCTCCATTTGTTCTTGAATGGAGAAACGATGAACTGCGAGTTCCTGTTGAAATCTCCCTTGTAAAGGTCGTATCTAATGGAGCCGGTATTGATTAATACAATTCTTGAGTTAGACGGTGGAGGCCTTATTGGGTCCATGTTCTCGTGACAGATCTTTGGCTCCAGCTCTTGTAGGATGTCGGTCTCGAAAAAACGAAGCAGACTATTCGAATCGTTTGAATAGTAGTCTGCTCCCGTCATATAGTAATTTTGGGGCACAACACCAAAAGACTCGCTCAATTTCAACTTGTTGCTGTAATTCGTCAGCTTCTCTGATACCAGCAAGCCTTCGTCAGTGTTAAACTGTTCAATGGTAGCCCTTTTTGTATGATGGAGAAATGACTGGAGGTTGAAATCGATATATTTTCTGTCAATTGTAATATTATCACCCTTGATGTTTCTCAGAGACATAAACCCCACAGTCTCGCAGTATCTTCCACTTTGTAAAGCAAAAGCTTTATCGTCCAGCAATGTAAAGTCTCTAATATGTGAATGGCCGCCAAAGTACTGGACTGGAGTGTTGGGGAAGAATCTCCGCAAGACACCATGCAAAACGTATAGTTCTTGCCAACTGTGACTGACTGGAACGTGTCCTGCAACGAGAACTAGATCCACAGATTTTTTGGTGTATGTCTCAAGCAAGTCCAAAAACCAGTCTTCTTTGATGATTGTGTCAATAGGTGTGACTCTGACTTTCTCGTTGCCTCCTTTAAAATCAAACATGAAGGATAGAGCAAAGACGTTGTATTTCTTGGCCTCCGTGGTGAAGTATCTGTATCTCCCGTTACCAAAAACGACATATTCACCTTCGTCGTTGAGATACTCAACATTTGTGCTGATAAAGCGATCTCCGTACCTGGGAACAACGGTATTGTACTCCAGCTCGCTCACTGCCGCAAGGTATAATTCGTGGTTACCAACTGTCACAATATCATAGTCCTGTTCCATAAAAACGTCTGAGGAGTATAAGCCGTTTGGGGTGGTTAGATCGCTCAGTCCATTGCCGTCGTGGCGGTCTCCGGTGTCAATAAGTAACAAATCAGAATCTCGAGCATGACAAATCTCTCGAAAATGCGTAGTGAAACTTAGGAAATCGCCCCAATCAGCTGAGTACTGGCGCTGATTGATATGCCCCAGATACCATCCATGCGTGTCCGTGGTGTGCAAGAAATTGATGTCACCAAGAGATAGATCCCTCAACGTCTCATCAAAGTGAGGCAGTCTAGATTTGGGTTGCGACCATATTGTGTAGAACAGGAACACGGTAGCTGCCGAAAGAAAATATAGATGCATCTCTTTATCAAATTCCCATTCAAGAGTTTATTGATTTACCTATCTACCCCCTTGCACCAGTTTGGGGTAAATAAATAATTTGTCCCCTCATTTTACGACCTCATGTCGGAACGTCAGCAGTTCCCTGTCTATCCCAAGCCGGTTTGGCCTGCTGCCAGAAAGCCTGATTACCAGCCTGTTGATACGATTACTCATGCGGCAAAAGTCATTCTCTGCTCCGGCCTGATTCTGGGCGGAATGCACTTTAGAAGAATGCTTCAACATAGAAAGGGGTCTGCCAGACCAAGTCATGCCAGATACTTGGCCCTGTTCGAGCTTCAAAGGCATCATTTCATCTCCGCACCATTGGCGGCTGGAACGTATGTGTTTGTTTCTGACTCGCTATATAACATCAACGAAGAAACGAGAGCTTCTGCCGAAGTTGCAGCTGTTTCGTCTGCCTTTTTTGTGGCATCAATGTTCAAATCAATGCCGATGAACACAAGGATTGGAATCAGTCTTGGATACGGACTGGCTACAGGACTGTTTTTCTGGGCCGGAAAATGGGGTCTGGGCGAGGCTAGTTTGCATGCAACCAGAAGTAGGGGTGAAGTCCATGACCAGGAATCCAATAAGTCTTTGGATATTGAGACCGAAATGGGCAACTATCGGAAACAAGGCTTCTGGGAAACGATGTATAGAAGGCCCCTATCCCAAACAGTTGATGAGCTGGGCGAAGGAAGAGGAATTGTCAAGTTATGAACTTGCTATTATTTATTTAACTTATACAATTAAAAATTAGCAGATGTTAGTTACAAAAACCTATTCACCATTTTCGTATCGAATAACAACACGCACTTTGCCATTACAGTTGTAACGCTTGTTCAGCTTCTTAATCTTTTTCTGAAGTCCAAGAATACGGCTGCGAACACTGTAGCTGTACTTGACATCGTCACTTGGTAGCAGCACTAAAACCTCATTCTTGATTTTAACCTCTGCTGTTTCGTCGTCCGAAAGGTTTAGGTCATTGACGCCGTTGGTTGCACTTGCAATGTTGACCTCACTATTTCTCACATCCGTCTTCACCTGGAAAACTAGAGACCCTGGACGAATGTTTCCTCCAGGATTGATTCCACAGATCACGTGCATCATCTTTCCGCAAAATTTGGTCCAGTACATCAGTTTTTCGCCATTTTCAGGATCAGCATCCATGACCAGTTTTTCCAGGCGAGAATAGAATTGCTCCTCACTTGGAGGGATATCAGCTCCCCATCTCTCACAGCACGCAATTCCAATCAAGGCTCTTATTTTGTGTGAAAGCCCGTGGGAGCCAGCAATGATTCCCGTAGTTGCCACATGGAGAGCAGCAGTTGGCTGGAGCTCTTTTGGATATGAGCAATGGACAAAAGCGATATTGCACAGAGCAGGAATGACACGGTCAGTGACCTCGGAGGGCACCACGTTGCCGCTAGGAAGACTCGTCTTTAGTAGCTCCCAGTACTTGCCAGCAAGTAATGGTGCGTATGGTCGGGTGGCAGTCAATATAGGGTCCTCGAGCTTGATTTGGTCTGGGATCATCGAGTAAAGAACACCTTCCCTGACTCCTCCCTCACTGAAATGAACGGTTTTAATTTTGGGAAGGGACTCGAAAGCAGCAGAAACTAGCAGCCCCACAGCTGGAAGCTGTTGCTCGCGTCTGGCAGAGACTTTGAACAGCTTACCTATAGAATCAAATTTCGGAACCTCTCCTTTCAAAAGCAGATAGTTGGCCATCTGGCGCACGTTTTCGTAGGTGGTGGAATAACCATTGATGATAGTCTGGATGGGATAATTTGGATCATTTGCAAGCAGCAAATGTCCGAGCCCACGCAAGCCTCCTCCACAACAGAATAATCTGAATCCTCCGTTGGCTTCAGCCTCTTTGATGAGTTCGCCCGGTAAGTTGATCTTCTCCAAAGCCAGTTCATATGCTTTCTTGATTTCGTCATAAATGTACATGTGATCTTCATACTTTAGTCTATTGGTCAAAGCCGCAGCACCATAAGGAAGCGAGACGGGATGCTCACTGATATTGATTTCACCGTTCTTCGCTTGAATCCAACTGATTTGCGTAGATCCTCCTCCTAGATCCATGAGAAGTCCAGAGATGTCGTGAAACGAAGATGCTACTCCGTAAGCCCCAGTAGTTCCTTCCTCCTCTTTACTAAGTAAGAATACCTTCCATCCTGTTGCCTGATAAATGATGTCTCTAAATTCCTGAGAGTTTGAAGCCTCGCGGGTTGCTTCCGTGGCAACGACCTTGACACCGTTCTCGGGGACCCCAAAGTCTTCGCATATCCATTTGAAACGTCGCATGGCCCTGATAATTTCTGTGATTGCGTCATCCGGAATCGGCTTTTTCACGTTGGAGTTGGCTGAATCAGGCAGCTGTACATCAAAAAGGGAGATTCCCAGCCTATCCTTGAAAACACATGGCATGATTCTTGCGTGGTGGGGAGCCTTTGAAGATATGGAAAACCGGATTCCATTAGACCCAATGTCAACAATGGCTGTGAGAGCTCGACCAACCACTGAGGCTTCATTTTCGTCATCCAGAAGGTGTGCCTGGTGTTCATCCAAATGATGGTTATCACTGGCTTCTTGAAATAGAAGGTTCTCTTCGAAGGACATAAGATTGATAAAAATTTTGTGGACAAAAAAGATTAGTCAATTAAATTAATTGCAATGAGTTTGGACGGCCAAGATATAGAAGACCTTGTCCATCTGGCTGGTGATATTGGTACTGTTCATCAGCAGGTTGAGCAAAGCCCCAATGTGATTACCGAGCAGGAACGGAATGATTTGGATCAATTTCACCAGGATGCCAAACAAGAGTCTCAAATCTTGGCTCAAGAAGCTTTGACAGCAAACGAAAGTAACATCCAGGAATCAGCGGAAGTGAGCTTCACTTCGTTTTGGTCCTTTTTGGGCTCTTGCGGGATAAATCTTGTTTTGCCTTTTATCAATGGCGTGATGCTCGGCTTTGGCGAGATCCTAGCCCACGAGATCGGTTTTAGATATAACTGGGCAGGAGCAAAGGTAAGTCTCTAGGCTCACTGATTTTACTAACAAATAGGTTGTTCCGGCCCATAGAATTCAAAATAAGGAGCTACAAAGAAAGAGCGTCCTGCTGTGAAAAAAGAGCTACGAAGGGGTCGAAGTAAGCGGGGTTGCATTATCTAACGGTTGGTCCCATGACGGCAACGTGCATTTCTTTAAAATAAATAATCATGACATCTTTGCACCAATACCCCGGATTTTAGCAAGCTGAATATTCAACTAAATCACATGCAATAGTGGGGAAGTTTATATAAAACATTAGGAAAGGCCCACCAACCTCGCTTTAATAATGAATCGAGATGTTTCCTCCTCCAATACGTATTTACTACGAACCACTAGGTACCTGCTTGCTCAGTATGCCAAGCAGCGCAATGTGATTCTTCGTTTGGCCTATGCTACCATTATATATATGATTTTCAATGGTGGTTCCTCGAGTAAAGGCAAACAGTCGACTAAGGTTAAACCGGAGCATATCAATGGAACGATTATTGAACGTCTCACACAACGAGTCAAGTCTTCTCCGTTGACTCTTTTGGTGTCCCAATTAAGTTACAAAAATGAAAAAACGAGACCAATTCTGGCTTACATGATTCTGCAGATAGGCTTGTCACTGGTTAGGGCGCTCATTTCTCTCAAAGTTGCTGCTCTTGATGGCTACTTGGTCTCTTCATTGATAACGAAACGTTTCAAGGCCTTTTTCAAATATTTGCTCCTATGGACATTGATAGGTGTTCCCGCGGCAGTGACCGAATCTTTGCTAACAAGAACGAGACAATTGTTAGCCCAAGCCGTACGTCGTAATGTGACCAACGAGGTACTTGACATTTACCTTCCTGATAGTGGAAACAGCACAGTGTACCATTTGATCAACAAGTCCAAGCATACAAATCTTGGGAGCAGCATAGACGACCCTAATCACAGAATCACTACCGTCATCGAGCAATTCTCTAACAGTCTGAGTGCCATTCCCTCGCAGGTTTTGACTCCAACGATGGACATTGCTCTTGCGGCTCATCAATTGTCAAAGACAGGAGAAAATGCTGCGGAGGGGGGACTTTTACTGGGGATCATCACAAACATATCTACATTGGCTCTCAAAATCTTCACCCCAAACTTCTCGAAATTGAGTGCATTTAAAAACTCTTTGGAAAACAAATTCCATGCTCATCATTCTAAAGTGATCAACAACAGCGAAGAAATAGCTCTGGCCAAAGGGCACAGAAGAGAACTAGACCTATTGGATATGAACTATTTTGAGCTTGAACGGTTCAAAAGAATGGAACTTCGCAGAATGGCTATTTACGATTTTGCCGTTTCGTTCATTTTCAAGTATACCTTGGGGGCTTTTGGATTGCTTCTCTGTTCACTTCCGATCTTCACCACTGCATACAAGTTTAATTTCCGGATTTCTGAAAATGCAAGTAGCAGAATCTCTGCAGACTTTATCACTAACAGAAGACTATTGTTGACGGCATCAGATTCGTTGGGGAAACTTGTACGGGCCAAAAAGAATGTTCAAAATTTGCTGGGATACAGTGAAAGCATCTGGGAATTCGAACAGGTTCTGAGTGAGATCAACAACTCCATGGAGGAAGAAGCTAAGTTGGAGCAAGCCATAAATAACGAGCCATTGGTAAAAGGGCCGAATGTCAGTTATGGCGACGAGATCTCCTTCCTGCATGTTCCTTTGATTACTCCTACAGGAACGGTTTTGGTTGAAGATCTTACCTTTAGCATCAAACCAGGGGAAAATTTGCTGATTATCGGCCCCAATGGATGTGGAAAATCCTCTTTATTCCGAATTTTGGGCGGCCTCTGGCCCGTTCAAAATCCTGGTCATCTCGTTGTTCCACAAAGACGCCAAGACCTATTCTACTTGCCGCAGAAAAGCTATCTTACATACGGTTCTTTGTGCGAGCAGATTATATATCCTGACACTCTCCAGGATTATCAACAGAAACTCTGCGATGCAAGAGCTAGTGGAAGCGTTGTCAAAGATGATGTCTATCTCATGGAACTTCTTCGATTGGTCAAATTGGAACATCTTGCTGAAGTCGTGTCTGATGACGAGGACGAGGAGGAAAAAAATGTGTTATCGTCCAGCAAATCTCCTTTAGATACCGTGAAAAGATGGCCCGATTTGCTCTCAGTCGGCGAACAACAGAGGTTGGCACTTGTTAGAATGTATTATCATCAACCGCGGTTTGCTGTGCTAGACGAATGCACTTCGTCCATATCTCCGGATCTTGAACAGGAGTGCTACCGGCTGGCAATTGAGCATTTTAAAATCACTGTTCTGTCTGTGTGTCACCGTACCTCCTTATGGAAGTTCCATTCCCACATCCTCAAGTTCGGAAGCAATAAAAACAGGGAAATTACTGACGAGGAAGACGATAGTGACCCAGATAACGGTAGAATCAGTATATCTCCAGAGCCTGCTACCAAAGTTACGTTTAGCAAATTCGACCCTGCCAAAAGATTAGCAAGACATAACGAGCTGATCGAGATTGACAATATGTTGAAAAACAGATCCAACGTACGCAAGAGATTACAGTCTCTTGACGTTATGAGAAGTCGCAGCAAAAAAATATTATATATTCAAGATGAGGACTAAATCTAGAAAAACAGATGTTTTTTGTCCTCTTTCTGCATCACATGCCACCAGTCCTGGTCGCGCTCCCAGCACTGGGTCATAAGGTCCACGGCAAATTGTGCCGAGGGCGAGCCGGTATGAGCTATAGTTGTCATCCGTCTCAGGTGGCGGAAACGAAGTTCTTCGTTGCTGGAATCGCATCCAGAAACAAAAACCGGAAGAAAGATGCTTATCTGATTTGGTGAGTCATCAAGTAGATGTAAGTCAATAATAGAAATTGTTTCTGCGCACATGTCCTGAATCAGCGGAGAGCTTTTAGGGACCTTGAGTACCCTGCGGTAAATTTGGTTGAGTCCAAATAACGTGAATACCCTGTTTATAGCGATTATGGTATCTTGGTTTTGGGAAGACACCGAGGATAACCTTTGAAAGGTTCCGGCCATTTGAAGAGCGAGATCGATCACTGACGGCAACACTCCAGCAGAAGGATTTACCAGTGCACGAAGGTTTGCTTGCTTGATGAGCACAGTCGTCTTCTTGTACAAGGGAAGATATTTGATATTAAAGCCCAGGAAATAGTCCACATTGGCATGTGACTCATCCAACATTAGCGATTCAGCATCTTCGTTGGACTCGAATTCATAATCAAAGTCACTTGGCTGAGCACAAAGCTCGGTGATTTTCAGCTTTTCCGTGTATTTTTCAATTTCCTGGGGAGTTGGCTCTAATGGGGAGGCCAACTGGGCCAGAACATCAATGTAAGCAAACCATCGCAAGAGAAAAAATATCAGCTTTGAACGTTTTATCTCTCCGCTGATACACTGCGACTGCAAATTCTTGCTCTCTTTGAATAGTTTCTCAAAAGGTTTTTTGTAGCCTCTGAGCAAAAGGATCTGTTTAGCACCATTGAGATGCACCTCCCAATTATGCTTGAAAGTGAACACCATAAAAGAGCTGATTAGAAGAACGAGTGTCAAAGTGAGGTCGCTGGTAGATGTTTCTTTGTTCTGCAACAACTCCAAAAGATCTCCAAGTGATCTGCTCAGCAACTGCTCGAGCAATTCTGCTGGCTCGCTTTGGTTTGTGAGATATGACTTGTGTGCCAATCCGTAAGCCACAGTTACAGCCAATAAACCGTCATTGGAGAACGCCAACTGAGGTAGCACTTTTTTGAAAGGGTTGTACTTTTGCACGGCGTCGCCAAACGGCATGAATAGCTGTGCTGTGGAGCTGAAGAAAAAGTTGAAAGCCTCGTAGTAATCGGGAACGTTCAGCAGCAGATCGGGCAAAGGGACAAGTCCCCGTGGAACCGGCTCCAAGATTTCTGAGGTAGAGCTCTCCGAATATGTGCGTGAAAGACTGTATGTGTTGGATGCGGTGGAAAACTCTCTGTTCATGGCTAAGGACGCATCATCATCTTCTAGATCCTCTGTGTCCCATTTTGACATTCTACCAGACCATTTGCGCTCTTGGATAAAGGGTGTGGCATGTAAATTAGATTGCAACCTTGGATGAAATAGCTCTAGCTTCATAATGTCATCCGAATAATCATCAACCATATCTGTAAGATTAACATCAGCAGGAGGCGGCTGGGGTAAGTATGGCTCGAAATTCTCCAAGATTTGTGACGGCTTATTTGCAGAATCATACATGGAGTCCAGAATATTGCTTACCGAGCGGATGTTTTCGTGAAGTGACTGCGAAGATGAGCCATCAGCAACTGTAGGAGCCGCGGATTCTGGTTGAAGAAACAAGTTTAGCTCTTGAGGCTCCTGCTTAATTCGAACTTTACCTTGAGAGTTTGGGTTTGACTGCTGTAAGATGGTGCGCGATAATCCGGCGACAGGATTCAATTTTTCAACCCGGGGATTCTTGTACGGTCTGCCACCCCATATAAGCTTGATGGAGTAGTCACACTTGCGCGACGCCTTCTGGCAGTTCATGCAAACCGGACGCGTTTCATCACATTTGATACGAGCCTTCTTACAGGAATGGCAACCATTCCTGCTCCGTGTCCTCTTAGTATTCGACATCCCCACGTGAATCAACCGAAGGTAAGATAAAGTTTGAATTTATTCTGTCAATTTTCATAGCGTGCGCATTTGATTTTTGTATTTGCCAAAAACATTAAACCTTCGTTCTCTATGACGGGACCTATAAAAGAGGAAAACGACCCGCAAAACTTGTCCAGGTCAGCTCAGGGTCAGGAATGGGGCGATTCTCGTGCAGTTCAGCAAACACGGGCCCCAGGCACTGCCAATGTTACTCAAGGCCAACAGCAATTCTCTCAAGCTGACCTGAACCGAATTGTTCTCGAGTACTTGAACAAAAAGGGTTACCATCAAACAGAGGCAACTCTTAGAAATGAGGCCACGAAGATTCCAGGTGCTCCGACAATCCCTGTGAGCCCCGCAACAACAAATTTTCAGAAACCAGAAACCATCGTGTCCAACCGGTCAAATATCCACTTCCAACAACAGCAATATCTTCACCAACAGAACGCGTCGAGGCAAAGACAATTTGACGAGGATCCTCAAATGTTTGGTAGAGCTTACCTGCTGTATCGCTCATGGTGCGAGAACTCGCTTGAAATGTACAAGTACGAGCTGGAGAAATTTCTCTATCCGATATTTGTCCAAAGCTATCTGACGCTCATTCAGCGTGGGGACGTCGACGATGCCAGAAGCTTTTTTGAAAAGTTTCACAGCGATCACCTGCTGTCTCACAGCTATGAGATACGGTCACTTGCAGGGATCTCCTTACCAGACCATTTGGAAGAAAATGAGATTGCAAGGCTTTTCAAGACTGAAAAGTACCATGTGAACGTGTCCAAGGTTTCCATGAACCTCATTTTGAGTTTCCTGAATGAAAATGAAGCTATCGGAGGTGGGATCATAGTGAGAATTATCAATAACACCATGTCTATCACCACTCAAGTCGAGGTGACTACTCAAGAAGAGGAGGGACATGGCGAGCACACAGAGGGAATTGCTGCTGTATATCAGCTGCTAAATGACGAGTCACACAAACTCAAGAAGGATACAGAATCATCCGAGGTTTTCAACAGCAAGGCTGTCAAGCTGGGAAAATTCCCAGATGATCCGGAATTCGTCAAGGAGTTGGAGGCAGAGCTCCAGCAAAAGGACGAGGCACAAAAAGACCAACATCCAGAGAAAACTTTGATGGAAGAATATGAAGAAAACTTCAAGGTGGATCCTGCTGGCGAGGATACCCCTGCTAGAGAATCGCTTCCTCTACCCCAGAAAACAGCTTTCGACCTAAAACATGAAATCACCAAGATTCAAGATTCCCGGGCCAAAGTCAAACTTAACGCGGTCCAAGCCGCCTTGCCAAGCACATGCATGTACACATTCCACAATACGAACAACGACATGACTTGTGTTGAGTTCAACGACGATTCGACTATCGTGGCAGGGGGTTTCCAGGACTCATTCATCAAACTATGGAGCATTGATGGATCTCCACTGAAATCTGTTTTAAAGAACGACCCCTATGACCAGTCTGTTGATGGATGCCGTCGCTTGATAGGCCATTCGGGTGCAGTTTACGGATTAAGCTTCAGTCCTGATAACCACTATCTTCTCTCATCTTCGGAAGACAAAACTGTCAGATTATGGTCCATGGACACTTACACTTCGCTGGTGTCGTACAAGGGTCACAACTCGCCCGTGTGGGACGTGAAGTTTTCTCCATTGGGACACTATTTTGCAACCGCTTCTCATGACCAAACGGCCAGGCTATGGTCATGTGATCACATATATCCTTTGCGAATTTTTGCAGGGCATCTGAATGACGTCGACGTGGTAGAGTTCCATCCGAACTCCACGTATCTGTTCACAGGCTCTAGCGACAAAACGGTTCGGATGTGGGACATTGCTAGAGGAGAGTCAGTTCGAATCTTTATCGGCCACAACATGCCCGTTAACGCTTTGGCAGTTTCTCCTGACGGCAGATGGCTGGCCACGGCAGGGGAAGATTCAGTGATCAACATGTTTGACATTGCCTCTGGGCGCAAGCTGAAGTCGATGCGTGGACACGGACGATGCTCTATCTATTCATTAGCTTTCAGCAAAGACGGATCTGTGCTGGTCAGCTCCGGTTCAGATAACTCTGTTCGCGTTTGGGACGTGAAGAAGGGAACTATGGAAAGTAACAATCCACAGCCAGAGAAGTTTACATTGGATTCTGTCTTGGCAGCCAAAAATGGCGACGGAAATCAAGCTGCAGATACTCAAGATCAACGTTATCAAAGACGTCAAGAAGAGATGCGCAGAAGAAAAGAGTTTGCTGCTACGCAAGATCACATGGCAGTGTACTTTACCAGGAAGACTCCTGTTTACAAGGTGCACTTTACACGGCGAAACTTGTGTTTGGCAGCGGGTGTTTTTAATGGTTAGTGTACAATAAGGTGTAAAAATAAAGCGAAATATTTATTCTCGTTAAATGGTTTTGAATATTGGTTTTGCCGGGTCCCATGGTCCTTGCAATTCGTCTTTATACTTTTGCAACATGATGAAATGCCATGGTCCAATCACCATTATCCAGAACTGCAGGCCCACCCATAACAGGAACCAACCCACGCCAAATATTTTGTAGACGGCGAAGTCCACTGCTGCAGTGATGGCTACCACCTGAAACCAGTGAAATGCCCAAAATTGACAGCGACGCGTGAAATTGTTGAAGACAGGGAACAATCCAGAAACCTCAATTGAGAAGACTATGAAGCAGAAAGCGCTGAGATTCGAGTTAAGTCTGGAAGCTAGCACAATGGCATTGGACAGGGATATGTTTTTCGACAGATTGGAATTGGATGTCTGGAGTTCAAAGTTTGACGTCTCAGATTGGCGACTTGTATGCGAAAAGTCAATCGAGTAGTCATTGAATAGTACATTGAGCAAACAAAGCCAGGTGGACAATGCCCAAATGGAATCTGATGCAGTGGAGTTTGTTAAGGATTTCAAGACAGGCGAGAATGTTAGTAAAGTGAGAAGAATAAGAATAGCGGACTTGAGTGTGTTGAAGAGATCTGGTGGATTCGGTTCTCTCAAATACCTCTCCAAGTCCAATGTAGACTCTTTTGCTGTGAGTTCTAAGTTATGCGGAAACGGCGACGGTGATCTAGAAGGGGGGAGTGATTTAGATGAATTGAATTTTGAGTATCGTGTTGGGCGAGTCAGTTGCTCGATCTTTAGTTTTTGCAAATTGATAAGTTCTCTGTTTCTTCTGATCTTCAGTGTAATCACATAGACAATAAAACCCAGCGCTGTTAATGAAGAACTTAGTAGAGCGGGAACCAGAGGATTCCAATTGAGCTTGTAAATGCCGTAGAAGACCAGTATAACAAGCATGATAATGGAAAGATGAAGTACTATTAACGTAAAGTCTGAGAGAAGCTTCCAGTATGAGTAGTTAATCACTGTAGAATTTCGTTTCAGCTGTGATAAGAACGATGCGTCAGTATAATTATCCTCATAATCCTGTTTGTACCAAAGAAGCTTTTTCCATGGGTGCTTCTTAGCTGCCTTTACATGCTCCGCTCTTTCGGAAAGAGAGGTTATTGATGATGAATCTTCTTCGGAATCCATGCCAAAAAAAATATTTACCATAAATAATAAATACCATGTCAATATTGCAGGAATCGAGTCCTAACCTCGAGCTGCTCGAGCGGAAATCAAGTGGCAGTTCGTCGATAGTGCACAAAGATAGCGGCTACGATAGCGACGGTCCGAATGCAGACCTGAGTGCTGTTCAAAGCAACGTCTCGCAAGATTCTCAAGTTGTTTCTGCCAGTAAATTTGGAGAGGGTACTCTTTTCAATCGATTGCACAATGACCTAGACAGCGTAATCAGTGCACCAAAGCAGACCGGATCAACGAGCATAGACTACCTTCCTAGCAGATCAAATTATGAGGATACGGGGGTTCCAGACGACGACTTCACGCCTGCTAGCCAGCCACGACTAGCTGATAAGATTGCGTCAACAGGCCAGCTCATCGATGGTCAAGACGCTATTTACGAAAGCCTGCAGAGAAGACGGTCTATTCGGAAACTGAACTTTTTTGATAGCGTGTATTTGAACAATGTCGAGCAGCTGAAAATGTCGCAAATGGGGTTACTGGTGCGGCTTGCACGGGATAATAAGCAGTCTTTTTCGGAATTTCGAAATGTTTGGACGGACTACGAAAACAAGGAGTTTGATATTAATGAGAGCGAATTCTTCAACGCAATGGAAGAGAAGAACGAGGCGGCTGAAGAGCAAATTGATACACTGAAACAGCAGATTTTGAACATGGATGCGTACACCAAACAGCTCTGGGAGCAAGCAAAGTCGACCTGGAAGTCGGAAAAATAGCTGCACAGCCCGCACGGTCTCTTGCGGAGAACAGTTTTCCACGGTGTTTAGAAATGCGTAGTGGAAACGTGGCGAATGTCGGATGGTAAAATATTTGTGGCGGTGCTTGATCGATTCATATATAAAATAATTGGAATCTCCTTAAAACATCAGATAATATATTACTTAGCAATCGAAATAATGAGCTCGCCATTGGAATTACCTGCTTGGAAGAAATTACAAGCTATCTACGATGATTATGGAAAGACTTTCTCATCGAGAGATGCTTTTGCTTCCGACCCAGACAGATTCTCAAAGTTCTCCCAAACTTTTGAAAACTATGATGGGTCCAAGATTCTTTTCGATTTCTCCAAGAACTTAATCGACGAAAAGATCCTATCTTCTCTCATTGAACTCGCAAAAGAGGCTAAGGTTGAAAAGCTTAGGGACGAAATGTTTGCTGGTGTCCACATCAACACCACCGAGGACAGAGCTGTGTATCACGTTGCCCTCAGAAACAGAGCCCTTAAGCCCATGTATGTTGACAACGTCAATGTCACTCCCGAGGTTGACTCTGTGCTGCAGCACATGAAGGAGTTTTCTGAGCAAGTCAGATCCGGCGAGTGGAAGGGGTACACTGGAAAGGAAATTACGGACATTGTTAATATCGGAATTGGCGGATCAGACTTGGGTCCGGTGATGGTCACGGAGGCTCTTAAGCCATACGCTCACCCAAGACTTTCTGTTCACTTTGTGTCCAACGTTGATGGTACCCACATTGCTGAGACTTTGAAGAAATGTAATCCAGAAACCACATTGTTCCTGATTGCGTCCAAGACTTTTACCACTGCAGAGACTTGTGCCAACGCGAATACTGCAAAGAACTGGTTCCTTCAAAGAGCTAAGGACGAGGCCCACATTGCAAAGCATTTCGTTGCCCTGAGTACCAATGCCTCAGAAGTCGCTAAGTTTGGTATCGACACCAAGAACATGTTCGGTTTCGAGAACTGGGTTGGTGGAAGATACTCTGTGTGGTCTGCCATTGGCACCTCGGTGTGCCTGTACATTGGTTATGACAACTTTGAGAAGTTCCTCAGAGGTGCAGAGGCAGTCGACAACCACTTCACCAGCGCTCCTTTGGAGAAGAACATTCCATTGATTGGGGGATTGCTGACCATTTGGTATAATAACTTCCACGGTGCTCAGACCAAATTGGTGACTCCTTTCGACCAGTACATGCACAGATTCCCAGCTTATTTGCAACAACTATCCATGGAATCTAACGGTAAGTCAGTTAGTAAGGACTCCAAGTTCGTCAACTATGAAACTGGTATCGTTCTCTTTGGAGAGCCAACCACCAATGCTCAACACTCGTTCTTCCAGTTGGTCCACCAAGGTACCAAATTGATTCCAGCCGACTTTATTCTGGCTGCCAAGTCGCACAATCCAATCGAAGGAAACCTGCATCAAAGAATGCTTGCCTCAAACTTCTTTGCTCAGGCTGAATCTTTAATGCTTGGAAAGACCAAGGAGCAAGTTGAAGCTGAGGGTGTCTCTGGAGATCTTGTGCCACACAAGATGTTCTCTGGAAACAGACCTACTACCTCGATTCTGGCTCAGCAAATCACGCCAGCAACCTTGGGAGCCCTGATCGCTTACTATGAACACGTGACCTTCGTGGAAGGTGCTATATGGGGAATCAACTCGTTCGATCAATGGGGTGTGGAGCTCGGAAAAGTGCTTGCCAAGGTCATTTTGAAGGAACTCGAGAATGAAAAGCCTGTGGACTCTCACGACTCATCTACCAGAAACTTGATCAACCAGTTCAAGGAGTGGGCTTAGGTTTATAGATAAATTTTCGTTAATTCATTAAATGGAATCGTTACATTGGAAATTACTTCCTAAGAAAAATTCTTGTTAAATTCCATACTAAATTATAAATTCCCATCGTAATCGTACTGACATGCCGGCCTTTAATTACTTCATGTTTCTCTTGAGCTTAAGACTATCTCTCTTCCGCTGTGCTGTGACGTTGTAGAGAGGATCGACCTCAAGTTCAGGCATTGCCGCTCCTGTCGGTGTGCCAGGTCCAGAGAATAGCGAGCTGAGCGAGTTAGACTTTTGTGGTCTCTTGGGGAACACGGGGTTCGATGGAGACTGCGTAGATGGGCCAAAATGGAACTGTGTCTCCGTGAATGGGCTTTGCAACTTGGCGGTGTTTTCGAAGGAAAAGTGATCGATACTAAGTTTTGGTTTTGTTGATGCAGGGGAATAGCCAGCCCTGGACTGCGGCGGAGTGATCATCGAAATATCGGTCTGGGAGTCTCTATAAGGCATCTGGAGCGGCGGCACTTGCTGAGGCGTGATCTGAACAGAGTCAACAAGGGAGTCGGTAGAGGAGAGTCGAGTGGCAGAAAAGGTCGGGTTCTGGTGAAGCCAGGAGGGTCTTGGTTGGGGTATAAGTGGGCCGGATGTCGAAGACACAGAACTGCAGCGTGTGAGAGTCTCGGACTCGGCGGCAGCAGCACTGCACAGATCGAGTAATCGTCTTCGGATAATAGAGAGACATATCTCCTGGTTAGAGTCCGTTAGTAGATCGTCTGTGGTTTTTTGACTTTTGTCCAATTGTAATGTTCTGTCGCTTATCAAGCGTTGGTACATTTGCTTAGAAATCTTCGAAACGATACCAGATGGAGGAAAGTTGATGTTGAAAGGGGTTATGTTTGGTCTGTTCGCGTATGAGTGGTAAAGTCCAATTAAAACGTCATCGAAAACAGGACTGAACTCGTAGTTTTGCAAGTTCACTGGGCTGTTGTCAGCCGTGTCAAATGATGAAGTCATGGAAGAGAAACTGTTCACCTTAGACAGCTCCGGGTATTGCGAGCTGACAGAGTCCGACCGTTTAACACCCACTGCTGGCGTCTGGAACAAGAACGACTGGCCTTGGTCGACCGGAGTCATAAATCCAGTCACGCTGCTGTTTGGCGTCGGGACAGACTGGGATGCCGAACTCGAGTCCTTTCTCGAGAAGTTCAAGTTTAAATGTAAATTGGTCTTCATAGCCTTCATCTCAAATGTTCATGCGAGCCTCTGAGTGTTAGCGGCTAGATGTATAAAGCGTCTGTGGAGAGTTTATGAAGGACAATGGAAGAAAAGGTGATAGGTCTTAAGAGAATCAATTTGACGTATCCAAAGGGACGTGTCTCCTTTAAACTGCCGGAAGGGAATATTTCCCTATTTGTCGAAATTGTTCGCGTCGTGGTATGCCCAAATCAGAGTTTGGCGAAAGCGAGGCGAATAAAGGACAGTTGGCTACCAGATACATAAGGTGCACAGAAAGCATGTAGTGTAACGCATTTGAAGGTCAAATTTAGGCTCTGTCTGGCTAATTGTTCGATCCATGCTCTGAGTAAGGATATTAGCTACAAGAAAAAGGAAGTAAGCGTGTCCGGGTAAAATCTTAATTGCTTTGTAAGTGAAATTCCGTTACCCTCACTTAAAATGCAAAGGTGTCTTCGCAGAACACTTGCCTAATTATTCTGTTGATTTTTCGTATACATAAGACTGTGCCCTCGCAACGTACGCAACAGAGCAAAACCTGAAAAATGCAAATAAGTCCTAAACATATAGAGTTTGAGCGTAAGTACGCCAATGGATTCGATCCTAACATTCAGCACCGTTCACGACTTCGGCCACGAGCTCCATCACAATCACCAATGATTCGCAAACGAGTATCGCTTTCAAAGTGAAAACCACAGCCCCAAAGCTTTACTGCGTGCGTCCTAATGCGTCGATCGTCAAGCCGGGGTCGAGCATGGATGTCTCTATCATATTTCAGGGACTCCCAAAGGAGCCTGCAATTGGCACCAAATGCAAAGACAAGTTTTTGATCGTTTCTGTCCCATGCTCCGATGATCTCGATCCAAAATCCGTTTCTACCATATGGCCTGAGCTTCAATCTCAAGCAGGCTCCACCACCGATGTGAAGGTAAAGGTGGTCTTCAACTACAGTAGCTTGACCAACACTATCCAGGAAGAATCTTCACAGCAATCTAGATCAGACGACAGGGACACTACTGTGTTGGCAGCTGCTCCACTGGCCAACGGCTACAGTGGTGCGGATGAGAACCCCGTCGCCGAGAAGAACGCAGTGAGCTCCGACAATGTGCTACAAGAGACCATGCCTTTGGCCCCAACTACTACTAACAACAAAGAAGCTGCTGCTGCCTTTGCTCCAGCTAAGCAAGAACCTGCTACTACTACTACTAGTTCTGCTTCTTCTTCCAATGTGTACATCGTGGCCGTGCTCTTAGTTGTTCTGGCTGTCTTGTACACAAAATTCCTGATGTGAGGCCTATTTCTGTGCTTTGGCCGATTGATTTTGCCTGGGGTTTGCAGAAACTGAGAAAATCCAGCGTTAAAAGTTGTTTGGTCAGCTTCTGTATTGGAGCATTATAGAACAACGCAACGATATTACTCTGCTAAACATTTCGAGGCTGTGTATGTGTTTGTAATCAATTCTGGTTTTTTTCTAGGGCAAAATAATATAGATATATTTTGGTTGTCAAAAGGATGAGCTTTCGACATCCGAACATCGCATTGGGGGCATCTTCTATGCAGGCTCTAGATCACAACTCCAGTATTGTCAGTATTCAAAGTACAGAGGATAGCTCATCGGTGTATAACCCCTCATTTCATACTGAGCAGGATGTCGATCGTGGAGAGGAAAGCGATTCAGAGATCGTTATAACCAATAGCCCCTTTGAAGAGAATCCTAGAAAGCGCAAGGTTTCAGAATCCATCACAGACACAGAAGAGAGTGACGATGACCTTATAATCTTGGGGTCTGATGGCGAAACACAGGAAGAAAAGAAGACCACATCCGATTTATTGCAAGACGCCTTTAGTCACCAAAATAGCGTAAAGACTTTGAAAGATGTGACTTGTCCAATCTGTTTCGATGAGATCGAGCAATGTGTCGTGAGTCCGTGTGGTCACTTTTACTGTTCCAATTGCGTATATCGAGCTTTGGCTAGTTCCAAGGTCCGAAACGGCTCTCGGGGATGTTGCGCACTTTGCCGGAAAGTGGTCCAGTATAAAGATCTTGTTTGGCTTAAAGTGCGAATATTAAAAGATTCGCGCTGACTAGATATATTTATTATGGCTGTCACCAGCTACCCCAAAAGTTGGAAATTATCTCAAGACAACGAGCCCCTTTTGCTTGCTGGTTTCCAGCATTCGGCGCCTTATGCCACGATTAGAAAGGGGAAATTTAAAGGGTTAATTGACAGCAGGCCCCTGCGCTGTCGATACCATTCGGTGGATCGCAATTTTTGTGTTTGTGGATCTCTACCACTGGTCTCTAGTCCTTTGCGCAAGTGTTCTCCATCTTCCCCCGAGAACGCTCTCGGCCAGATACAAAACATAAACTTACGACCATCTTCTTCTTCGAGCTCCTCGAGTTCTTCCGGCTCTTTTCCCTCGCTGACACTTTCGTATTTCTCCAAAGTTGGGCGCCCTAGACAGTGGAGCTACGAAACTTCTCATAATGGGAAGGAGAACGAGAATAGCGAGAATACTACGTCGTACGCGGTACACGAAGCTTCTGGTCCGACAACAATAACCTTTGGCAAATCACAAACTAAGAACGTTACTGAGCTGTTGAATTCATTTGACACTGACGCATCCACCGCGTTTGATGGAGCATCTACTGGCACGGGGAAGATCATCAAGTTTGTCTCGGGTTCAGACTTCATGTTCAACAAAAAGTTGATGACTTTGCTCCATAAAGATAAGGAGATGAAGTACGAAAGCCTTGAAGGGAACAACCACAGTTTTGCACCAGACACTCATGGTCTTTCCAAACAACCAAACACTTATTCCAGCATATCCTTTCAAACTGAAACCAAGGAGGCTGGTCTCGACAAGCTACGTTGTCGTCCTTGTGGGAAGAAGAACAAGATCTTCTTAAACTAGCATCGTGGTCGGCTACCACTATTTATAAGCCGCACAGCTATATAATGCATGAATCACGTTATAAATTATTCTATTAGGCCTAATAGTGGAGGTCCAATGAACAAGGCATTGTATTTGTTAGTTGCGAGAATTCATTGGCTGAACGATATTCATTATTAGGCGCTCGCACTTTATCCGTCAAAAAAAAACCAACTGATCTTCCAGATTGGGTAAATAAAATTTTAGACGTTTTCTGCAGAATTTTGGCCAGTGCTTTTTAGCTACACTTCACGTCTCCTATCTCACTGGTTCTCGAAATGGAACCGGAAGACGACGAGCTCTCATCGATATCTGTGGAGTCAGTTATATCGGACTTCAATGATCGGCAAGATCTATTTGTGTCAGTCTCAGTCCAGGGAGAGGACATGAATGACACATTGGACCTTACCACGTCTCCAGTGAGTAAAAGTTCCATTTCATCGAGACCAGTTGCGCAAAGTCTTTTACGGAATTCGAACAATGAGCTGTCGAGGATAATCGAGCTGAAAAAGCTTTCACGAAGCGTGAGGACACCTGAAAAATTGAAGTACGATGTGAAAAACGGGTCACCTCTGTCAAAACTGAACTGGATGAAACTGTTAAATGGGTATATTCGCGGTTCACAGAAGCCACTGACGTTTGACGAGTCGGATTTCCCGCTTTGTCTAAAAACTAAACTGTTGAGCTATGCTGCCACCAAAGCATCGCTCTTATCAAAATTCTGTGCCGATTGTTCCACTATTTTGAACTCCGAAAAGCGAACACCAATTGTAGTCGAGGGCTTGATCATTAACCACCGTGAAGAGCTCCAAGACAGCAAAATGGCCTCAAACGAAGAGGAGAAGTCTTCGAGGAGAGGGTTTCTCTTTTTTGGTAAGAGGGCCACCAGCTTGATCAGCTACTCGTCTGCGCTTGATGAGCTTGTAAGTGTGCTGGAAAGAGTGGAAGTCGAAAGTATTCCACTGTCCCATAAGATCGAACGTTTTGTGAATCATTATTATATGTCCTTCATAGAGAAAGACTACCTGACTTTCGTGCAAGAAATCGAACAGGAATCAGAGTTTTTGATTGACAATTGGAAATGCGAGCTCAAAATCACCAAACAAAAGTCATAGGCTCAGCCAAGTACTATTTTTGTTTCACTTTTTGATCTTGCTCGATTGGTCGTGCAATTACACAAAAAGCTTAGACAAGTTTCAATTTCATCATTTCACTTCTTCTATGTACCCAGGAAACTCGCACGCCACCTACAACAACCAGTACCAGCGTCCTTCGGGTCCTCCTCCTTCGCGGATATACCAGCCCCCTGCGGGTCCACCGCCATCCCGGCAGTATGAGCGCCCAGCTGCTCCTCCTCCAAACTGGGGAAATCAACAGACGCAGACATATCAAGGTACCGGTGGTATTTCGTACCAGCAGCCAACCCAACAACCTCCAATGCCAAATTTCAACATGCAAAATCAGCAAATCAATGGCACCAACAATGTGCAGCAGTTCCAGTACTCATCTTGTACCGGTCGCAAGAAAGCACTGCTGATCGGAATCAATTATATTGGCACGAACAACGCATTGAGAGGATGCATCAATGATGCGCACAACATGTTTAATTTCTTGACCCAGACTCAGGGATACAAGGCTGAAGACATAGTAATGCTGACAGACGATCAAAGAGAACTTGTCAAGGTTCCAACCAGGGCCAACATGATCCGTGCTATGCAATGGCTTGTGAAAGATGCACGGCCAGGCGATTCCTTATTTTTCCATTACTCAGGCCATGGAGGACAAGAGGAAGACCAGGATGGAGACGAGGAAGATGGGTTTGACGATTGTATTTACCCGGTGGACTTCCAGCAAGCAGGATCTTTGATTGACGACGTGATGCACGACATATTAGTTAAGCCATTGCCAGCAGGTTGCAGACTCACATGTATCTTCGACTCCTGTCATTCGGGAACTGCTCTCGACCTGCCTTTCTGTTACAGAGCCCAAGATGGTGGCATCAAGGAATACAATGTCTGGAAGGAAAGTTCAGGCGATGCCGTCAATTTGGTGACAGGCTATCTTACTCGCAATACTGGCTTGATGATGAGCTCTGTCAACAACGTCTTCAAGCGTATCAAAGCAACTTCCGGATCACGAGCTGAGCAGATCAAGCAGGCCAAGATGTCACCTGCGGATGTCATCATGTTCTCTGGTTGCAAAGACTCACAAACCTCTGCGGATGCTAATGAAGCCGGCTCTTTCACAGGTGCTTTGAGTTATGCGTTCATCAAGGTTTTGAGAGAGAACCCTATACAGAGCTATCTCACGCTGTTGCAAAACATCAGAGCAGTGCTTGCACAAAAATACACTCAAAAACCACAGCTCTCTTCATCCCATCAGATCGATCCAAATGTTCGGTTTATTATGTAAAAAATAAAGGCTAATAAATAAAAACTGATATCCTGTTTTTCTAGAGCACAATTGTGGGGTATGAAGTCCTTCGATCTATCCGTGTATTTGGTCACTAACAGCGAAATGGTCCCCCCTGGGGTCTTGTTCCTGGACCAAGTCCAAAAGGCTATCGACAACGGAGTCACCTGTGTTCAATTGAGAGAGAAGGAACTCAACACTCGGGAGTTCATTGCCCGAGCTAGAGAGGTCAAGAAGTTGACTGACAAAGCAGGGATCCCTCTCATCATTAACGATCGCGTTGACATTGCGCTTGCTGTTGATGCTCATCTGCATGTAGGACAAGAAGACATGGAAGTTCCCGTTGCAAGAAAATTGTTGGGCCCAAACAAGATCATTGGTGTTTCGGCTAGCAAGCCTGAAGAGATTGAGAAGGCGCTCGAAGATGGTGCGGACTATGTTGGAGTTGGAATATGCTTTGACACGCAGACAAAAGTGACTAGGAAGCTGCCAATGGGCCCAATGGGTTCACAAAGACTGCTGCAGATAATAAAAGACTCTGGCAAGCCTATGAAAATGTGTCTAATTGGAGGTATCAACCAGACTAACATCCAAAGGGTGAGGGCCCAGGCCTCAATTCCAGGGCGTGCTGTCGATGGTGTTGCTGTGGTGTCATGCATTATGGCAGCACAAAATGCCGCCGCAGCCACCAAGGAGCTGGTCAGACTATGGAACGAGCCACCTATTTTCTGGGACCAATTGGACTCAAACTCGGATTTCAATTTAAGCGGTGCCATTACTAGCGTTCTGTCCACTCATCCGCTTGTGCACCACATCACAAATGATGTGGTGAAGAACTTTTCGGCAAATGTTACTTTGGCTGTTGGTGCGGCCCCCCTGATGAGCGAATGCTCTGAAGAGTTTGACGACCTGGCTCAATATCCAAATAACTCGCTTTTACTCAACACTGGAACGCCCAACGAAGAGCAAACCAAGATGTATATAACTGCCTTGAAGGCATATAATAGGTATGGCAAGCCGGTTGTGTATGATCCCGTCGGAGCAGGAGCCTCAACTACAAGAAGACAAAACGCTAAAAAACTGCTACTTGAGGCATACATGACTGTCATCAAAGGGAACCAGGGCGAGATCTTTACTGCTGCTGGAGTGGAGAAGTCCATGAGAGGCGTTGACAGTGGGTCTGAAGAGGCCCTTGACTCTGTCGTTGCGGCGGCCAAAAAGCTGGCTGTGCAAAGCAGATCTGTGGTTGTTGTCTCTGGGAAGACAGACGTTGTTGTTGATGGAATTTTGCATGGCAGAAGAGACGTTACAGGGGAGGTGCCTGTTGCATTCATCCAAGGCGGCCATGAAGTAATGAGCCATGTTACGGGTACAGGCTGCTCTCTGGGGTCTACTATTGCTGCATTTGTTGCAGCCAATAGAAGCAATCCGTTTTTAGCCACCGTGGTTGCCTGCTCAGTCTACAAGCGTGCTGGAGAAAAAGCTGGTGCCGAGGCCAACGGACCAGGAACTTTCCAGGCATTGTTTTTGGACAAGCTAAATGAATGCGTGACAACTCAGGAATTTGAAAATCCCAAAATTATTCTCACATAACTAGCGAAATTTTTTGTTTTCGTATTTTAACTGCCAACGCGTAGAATGTCAGAGGAAGTACAGAACGGCAAGGCGGCTGTTGAGATTTCTTATCCCAATACCGTTGCCGAAGTCCACGGATTGCTGTCGCGGCTGGTTGTTAGCAACAAGGATATCGAAAAGAAGAAGATTTTGAAGATACTGCAACAGTTAGCAAGGGAGAGACAGGAGTATGAAGAGAAATCGTTTAGCCTTGAAAAGAGTTGGGCCCAGAACAAAGAGGAAGTTGATCTTGATCTTTTGAAGGTTCAGGTGATGGCTTTCAACCTTTTGAGCAAGGACCTTGATTTGCCATTGGAAGTACAGACCAAACTATTAGGCGAGACAGATGTCGAGTCTTCAAAGAGTCAAGATGAGTATTTTAATCTATCTGCCGACTTTGATGAGAAAGCCAAGTTCTTTGGATTAGACCCACATAAGACGATTCCTGATCCTGAGATACACTCGGCAGGCAGCACTTTAGGAGAATCCATTGTCAAACAGAAGGTCGAGTCAAGAATACATGAGCTTGAAAGTTTGCCAGCAAACATTGGCCTATATGATGCTGCGTCAATTGAAAACGATTTGCAAAAGTCAGCCTCCGACATTTTGGATAATGTCGATGAAATTAAGATTCGGGCATTAAACGAGCTGAAAGCATTGAAGCTTCTACCAGAACAGAAACAGCTGCGTCGCAAACTAATACAAGATACTCTAACAAGCGTGGTGCATCAGAAAAACAAGTATGGATCCGACAGCTTCCGTGCATTCAAGCGCTCTTTTTCGATCAGAGATAAGCAAAAGATCGAGCAAACCTCGAGACTTGCAGAAAAGTTGCAGGAGCAACAACGTCGCGAGAAGGAAGAGTTGGAACATGATTACCAAACTCACAAAGTTAACAAACTCGCTGCCATTTTTGACGAGGTTCGAGACGAACTTGAAGAGAAAAGGAATGCAAGACATTCTTTGGCTAAGGCTTTGCAGCATTTCCATTCGCAAGTGGAAAAGGATGAAAGCAAGAAGCTCGAGAGAATTGCCAAGCAGAGACTGGCAGCTTTGCGGTCGAACGATGAAGAAGCTTATATGCAGCTCCTGACTAAAACCAAGGATACAAGATTACACCACCTCATCCAGCAGACGAACAATTTTCTGGATTCGCTTGCCAATGCTGTTAAGGTGCAGCAAGATGAGGCCCGTGCTAGAAGCTTGCAGGATCGCGCAGAGGAAGGGTTGGAGCCATTGCAAGAGGACGTCGAGGAAGATGCTGATGCGCGTCGTGAGAAAATCGACTACTATGAGGTGGCCCACAGAGTGAAGGAGAAAATAGAAAAGCAACCCTCGTTGCTTGTGGGTGGTACCTTGAAGGAGTATCAGATTAAGGGACTCGAGTGGATGGTCTCGCTTTACAATAATAACCTCAATGGTATTCTTGCCGACGAGATGGGTTTGGGTAAAACCATCCAGTCTATTTCGCTGATCACCTATCTGATAGAATCTAAGAAAGAGCGAGGAAAATTTTTGGTGATTGTTCCGCTTTCCACAATCACTAACTGGACGCTGGAATTTGAAAGATGGGCTCCGAGTGTCAAAACCATTGTCTACAAAGGAACGCAGCACCAGCGTAAACAGCTCCAGTACGAGGTTCGAAGCGGAAATTTCTCTGTTTTGCTGACCACCTACGAATACGTGATCAGGGACCGACCGCTGTTGTGCAAATTCAAATGGGCTCACATGATCATCGACGAAGGTCACCGTATGAAAAACGCCAGTTCCAAGCTTTCGCTAACGTTGACTCAGTACTACCACACGAGGAACAGGCTGATATTGACGGGTACTCCTTTGCAGAATAATTTACCTGAGCTTTGGGCACTGTTGAACTTTGTGCTTCCGAAAGTTTTCAACTCTGTAAAGTCGTTCGATGAGTGGTTCAACACTCCATTTGCAAATACAGGCCATCAAGACAAGCTAGAGTTATCCGAAGAAGAGAGCCTGCTTATCATCAGGAGATTGCACAAAGTGTTGCGTCCATTCCTGCTTAGAAGACTCAAAAAAGATGTTGAAAAAGACCTTCCAGATAAGGTTGAAAGAGTTGTCAAATGCAAGCTCTCCGGCCTCCAATCTAGCTTGTACAAGCAGATGTTGAACCATAACGCTCTTTTTGTTGGTGTGGGTACACATGGAGCTACGAAGACGGGGTTGAGGGGACTGAACAACAAAATCATGCAACTCAGAAAAGTTTGCAACCACCCATATGTTTTTGAGGAAGTTGAGGATATTGTGAATCCATCTAGACTGACCACGGATTTAATCTGGAGAAGTTCGGGAAAGTTTGAGTTACTTGACAGAGTTCTGCCCAAATTCAAGGCTTCGGGCCACAAGGTCCTTATTTTCTTCCAGATGACTCAAGTCATGGACATCATGGAGGACTATTTAAGATTCAGGGATATGAAGTACATGCGTTTGGATGGTTCCACGAAGGCGGACGACCGTCAAGATATGCTTAAAGACTTCAATGCCCCAGACTCCGAATATTTCTGTTTCCTTCTGTCTACCAGAGCTGGAGGTTTGGGATTAAATTTACAGACTGCTGACACGGTCATAATCTTCGATACGGACTGGAATCCTCATCAGGATTTACAAGCCCAAGACAGAGCACATCGTATCGGTCAGAAAAACGAGGTGCGTATCTTAAGACTGATCACAGAAGACTCTGTGGAAGAGGTGATTCTTGAAAGAGCACATCAGAAGTTGGACATCGATGGCAAAGTTATTCAGGCTGGTAAGTTTGATAACAAATCTAGTGCCGAGGAGCAGGAGGCGTTTTTGAAGAGGCTTTTGGAGGCGGAGAAGATGAAAGCAGAGGAGGCCGAAAATGACGATCTGGACGACGAAGAGCTCAACGAGATTCTTGCAAGAAACGAGGATGAGAAAAAATTGTTTGCTGAAATCGACCAGGCCAGGATTCGGGACGACCAAAAATTAGATGGTCCTAGATTGATGACGTATGAGGAGCTCCCTCCTGTGTTCAAGGAGGATATCACTTTGCATCTCGAGAAGGATAAGCCTGATGCTGGTAACAAAAGAGAACGCAAACAGGTTGTATATGACGATGGCCTAACGGAGGAGCAGTGGCTGGACGCAATGGATGCAGCGGACGACACTGTGGAGGCAGCAGCCTTACGGAAACGTGAGTCTATGCGTCAGCGTCGTGCGAAGCGTTCTGCTGGCGCAGATGAAGGGGAGGATGAAATTCCACGTAAGAGACGCAGCACGAGATCGGCAACTCCGATGAGCGAAGAAAGTTTCATCGAAGACGATGAAGATGATGCGGGCGAAGATCCCTTTGTGCAGCTGTGCGAGGGACTGTTGCAAAAATTGGTGAACGCTAAGGATGAGAATGGGCGCTCAAGGTCAGAGCTTTTCATGACAGTTCCGTCCAAAAAGTTGTACCCAGACTACTACCAAATCGTGAAAAAAGCGGTAGCGATCAAGGATCTTCAAAAGGGGCTGAAAAAAGGCTCAATTGTGGACTACCAACAGTTCAAGGAAGAGCTTCAACAGATGTTCGAAAACGCCAAACTTTACAACGAAGATGGGTCACTGGTGTACAATGATGCCATTGAGCTAGAGAAAATAGCCACGGAGGAATTAGCCAAGATAGACGCGGAGTTGGGCGAAGAATAGCGATGTATTATAAAGTTATACAACTTTCAGTTTGGGCTCGAGTTTGAAGTAGAGCAGGTATGGGACAAACATCCCAGCCGCTAAGCCAACAATTTTCTCTAGAAATGTGTGGTAAAAGATAGCAGTGATTGTGAAGAGGAGAAGCCAGGCATAAATGTAGACGCTACAGCAAAAAAGTAATCCCTTGAGCAGGAGTTTCGACGCGTCAGGTCTATACGTCTTGAACACGTTTTCTAGCTCGAGAATTAGACACAATCCAAAACAGCTCAAGATTAAAGAATGCCCACTGAATTTTGTTCCTCCAATCCAGTTGCCATGGAGGAGGCGGCATTGTCGATAATTAAGACCCGATTTCTGCAAACAATGGCCGCCTGTCAATTTGAGTATCCTATCAAACACAGAGTCCCCGAAAAACCACACGATTTGAATAGACAGCCAAACGTAGATCACTGCGAGTTTGAACGTCTGACGCAAGAGGATCGTCCCAGTAGACAGCCCCGAGCGACTTGTAAGAGGGAGCACCATTTCGGTCCTTTTGAGACTTACCACATAGAATGTGGACAATGCGAAACATATGAAAAACCCTTCGAATGAGTGGCCGGCAAAGAATCTGTTAAGAGGGCCCTTTGAGCTCAATAAAAATGATTCTTTGGATACCTTCACATCCATCAAATCAAGCACACACCTCACTACGCTTCCCCATATTAATATCGTCGGGTATAGTAAAAAGATATGACCCCTATATTGGCTTATATTAGCGAGGTTCATTTGAAAACAAAAAATAGAATTTTCTCCAAATTGAATTATACTTCATACGACGCTTGTGATCACCTCAAGGAATTTCTCATCAAAATCATTAAAGGATAATCCAGACAGTAAAATTTCAACCTGTTTGGATACGCTGCTCACCTCGGGATCAATGTAGGTGGCCATCACTTTGGTGACGCGGTACAGGTCGCAGATCAGAACTATTTCCAACTTATCTTTAAAGTTGACGCTTATCTTGGTGAAATCGAGATCGTGATCTAAGCCTGATGGAGATTCAAGTTTCTCCTGCAATCGGAGGAAAACGGCCTTCTTGAGCTGTAACTGTACAAGGTGACGGCGCACATGACCTGCAAATCTAATCATATCGTCATTCAAATGCTCGTAAGCAAGCGTACCGAGAGGAACATAATTGGGGATAGTGGTCTTGAAAACCTCCCAAAGGTCGTTTTTCGGATCCTTGCGTAAGATCACATAGTGTGGGGATGTGTATTTGAAGGAGTACGGGTCAAAGATATCGAATCTTATTCCCAGAAACCGGTCAGACTCGCCTTCCTGAGGATCATTGACGGGGAATGCAGTGAGTCCACCCAAACGATACGCGTTCTCGAGACGAATGGCAGGTTCTAGTCTTTCGCGTAGTTCATCATATTCGTCATTGCTACGTTTAGTCGCGCTTTCGCGCTTCTGACGTTTAGCATCATTCCTAAGGCGTTTGTCTATCTCAACTTGTCGTATCCCCTCGGTCATCAAGTTCTGTATTAGCTCATCAAAATATTGGTGGTGTGCCAATTCTTCGTCAATTCTTGTCACATCCTCCTCCACTTCCTCATCTAGACCCACTATTTCATCACCCAGTACCCTTTCCACCTGTTTGAGTTCTGCGATTTCGCGCTCTAATTCTTCTTTTCGCGCAAGAAGATCATCCACTGTAGACATGTAAATAAAGTGAAGATAAAAAATAACAAAAATGATAAAAAAAAATAAAAATCTGATGGATATCAACGTTCATTACAAACGCATGAAAGAGGCGCTTAGAGTAGCCGAAACAGCATTGAATGTGCAAGAAGTGCCAGTAGGATGCATTATGGTTTACAAAAATATGATCATCGCCCGATCCTTTAATCAAACAAATCTTACGCTGAACGGTACTAAACACGCAGAGTTCGAAGCATACGACCAAATACGCGCATTATACCCGGATACATATAGAGAAATTTTCAGGGAGACAGTTTTGTATGTGACTGTTGAACCTTGCATTATGTGTGCCTCCTTGTTGCGACAGCTTGAAATCCAACTTGTGGTATTTGGTTGTCCGAACGAAAGGTTTGGGGGAAACGGTTCTATCTTTACTGTGAACAAAGATATCTCGCACCTGGAGAGGCCTTACCAAGCCATTCCAGGTGTTCTCAGCAGAGAAGCGGTAACCCTTCTGCGTAAGTTCTATCTTTTGGAAAACAGTAAAAGTCCGACATCCAAAGATAAAAAGCACAGACGACTTGAGCTCAATGAGTTTCCACCAATAGATTATTCGCGATATCTTAACCGAGACGAATTCCAAAAAACGTTCGGGCAGGAGTTCGGTTTTGTATTTGACGGCAATCTGTTTCTCGAATTTGATGAAGAAGGAAACGTCGTCAATGAGCCAAAAAATAAACGTATCAAGACGTAGTTGACTCATTCATTTTGTTCAGGCTTTCTTCTAAAACTTCATTGTTTTTCACCACATCGTTATTGGAGAAAAACTCATCATCCTCGCTCAACTTGTTTGCAAATTCTGCGCTAGCTTTCGGATCTGTCTGCTCTAATTGCAGATTTTGCCAGTCATGGAGCAAGTCTGTATAATACTGTAAATATGAATCGCTTAATAATTTCAGAGACTCATTAATTTCCTCGGTTTTGATTTTTTCGAACAATTGATACTCCTCAAGGATGTCCCTCTCAAACTTCTCAAACACTTCAAATGCATTATTTTTTTCCTTCTCAAGCACCTCAATTCTCGCTTGAAGCTTCTCAATCCTCTCGTTAGTCAAATTCCCATGTGCATGCGATCCTATACCCGTCATCGACTCGAACTTTCTAGTCAAAAACGTGATGGCGCCCTCAGTTGAAGAGGTGACTGAGCCCCCGCTCACCAAATACTCTTTCTCCTGCTTGGCTTTTTCCAGATAATTGGACAACATCTCATAATCAAGAGCCTTTGCTTCTTTGAGCTTCACCAAACTTTTGAGCTGCGTTATATAGTGCTCGAGATCTCGCAATGATGTAAGGTAATTGTATTCAATGTCGTGGTTCAAGTAGTATGACCGCTCAGAAACCTTCTGAAGATTTGTACCAAAATTTGAGAACTGATCTGCAATCTGTTTTGTGGGCACATCCATGCTATCGTCTCTGCTCTTGCCATCGAAGTCGTTGCTAAAAAGAACATTAAGTTTGGAGAACTCCTGTGAAAAACGTGCAAAATCATCTGAAATATCCTGCTGTCTGGTCAGCACTTTCGTGTAGATGTGATCAATCTTCACAAGGTTCTCCTGCAATCTCGTGGATTTCTCCTGTATTTCCTGGAATTCTTGCTTGTGTGTTGACTCATAGGAAGGTTTTTTGAAGCTATTCATGATGTAATCTGTGACTGTTTCTATATTTTGAGATGCTGAATTGCTTGGATCGATAGAGCCTGACGATATCTTGAGGTTGGACTTGTAAGTATGCCAGTAATCAGAGTCCTCCAAGAAAACATGGAACACTTGAGACTTTTTAAGGGAAGGATGCTTACAGACACGCGTCAAAAATGTGTGCAGCGAAACCGCCCGCTTGGCTGTGAACTCATCCGTGAATCTGCCACCCTTGATATACTCTAAGCGCTGTTTGTTTGGTAGAGGAGGAATGACGAGGGTGGGAAAGTCGTTTGCTAGGCAGTCGTATAAAAAGCTGAAGTCAGAATATCGTCTGCGTAATTTGTATTCCTTTTGTTTGAAGGAGGGACAATTGGTGCGTATTTCAATTAGATATGAGGTGTATGGGTTCTGACCGTCATATTCTGTCATCGGGCTCGAAACTCGAGTCTCAATAAAATATTCCTGCAAAGTCCCATCTTTGTCCAATGTATCATGTGCAACCAAACTTTCCTGGCCATTGACTAGATCTGGAGTTTCAGGATGCGGCAAAGACGAGCCAACAAGCAATCCTGACCCGCTATCTTCTGGGTCTTCATGATCCTGCTGTGCATTGTCAGCTTCCACGGGAGTGACAGCACGCGATGATTCCTCGTCAACCGTGGGAAACAATTGGTCAGGGCCCGGCTCGTTTGTCGGATCGTCCCGATCCCACTGGACAGAGGTAAATTGATCAGACATTGTTGTGAATGAGGAATAAATTAATGGCAAATTATTTACACAACTTTTTTCATCCTAACACCAGTTAATTTCCTTCCCCCAATTCTAGATTTTGTTCTGGTTTTGGAGAATCGTTATCTAATCCCTGCTCCAACCGCTGGTCCGCAGGAAGAACCCAAAACCTTGGGTTCGTGTTGGCCCGCACCTTGTATAACGTACTACCCTCTTTCTCAATTACTCCGTATTCCAGGTTCATGCAGTGGGACAGACTTTCAACGACTAAGTTGTAGTCTCCATAGGAGAGGGCAGACACCCGGTAAAAGCCTGCTAGCACAGGCAGAGGAAGGAACCCATCGTCATTCATGTGCTTTCTCAGGAAAATGTCTTTAACCAGGTTTTGAGTGGAGAAATAGTAGTCGATCTGTTTGGCCAAAGTTTGAAGCATTGCATCCCGCATGTTACTGTCCTGTGGTGGCATGGCGATCGGTTGTGGTTGTTGCGCAATGACTGGGGCAAATGGAGCTGGGGCGGCCGGATATGGAATGTAAGGAATTGGAGTGTAGTAAGGCTGTTGGGGTATGAAATACTGCGACTGTTGGTAGCTCGGCCGACTGTGGTGATGTCTATTGTTTTGACCGTTGTAGGAACGATTGTTATATGGCGCATAAGGAAGTTGACCAATCGGGCTGCTGACTTTTCCGTTTGGGCCATTTTGGCTGCCGTTCTGGCCACTATATCTCCTGTTATGGTTATTGTAATTCGTTCTGTATTGACGACCAGAGAAGCCGTTTCCATTGCCGTTCAATTTGGAGTGCTTCTGCTGCGGCTCAGTCGACTTGATATCATTGGACTCAATGGCAGATTCAACAGGTTGTTCGGTCGTCGATGGCTGGTCTGGTTTCGGGGTGTTGCTCTCTGAGCCACTACCCTCGTTGGTATCAATCTCGCGCACTTCGCCATTCTTTTTGGCGCTCTTTTTGGCGTCCTTATTCTCCTTAGCTTCGCCATCCTTGAAATTCTTTTTCTTGTTCTTCTTCTTGCTAGAACCCTTAGAGGTCGGTTTGTTTGAGGCAATTACCACGGAGGCCTTGAGCGGGACCCATTTCTCCTTTCCTGGAGCCGCTTTGGCGACGGAAGGACCGTTTTCGGATGTAGTTTCCGGAAGAACAATAGGTTCGCTTGGAATTTTCGGAGGAATCACAGTAGGGGTCGCCCCCCAAACGTTCGTAGCCGGAAGAGGAGCAGGTGCTAATTTGACCTTCTTTGGCTCTGCGTCTTCCTTGGCGGGCTCAGGTTTGTTTTCTGGCTCCTTAGATCCAGATCTAGAAGCCTTCTTCTCCTTCTTTTCCAACTTTTCTGCCTTCTTAGCTGGTTTGGTGTCTTTTTCAACCTCTTTCTCGTTCAGATTCAAGTTCGAGATGCCATTTTCCAGTTCGGATTTGGAGGCATTCGACGAGGCTGGCGCTCCAGCGGCATGAGCATACGAGAATATGGCAGACATGATACGGGTAAATTAGTGAAAAATGAGTAAAAATGCAATCTGTGTAGTAAATCAACACCTTCCTCTGCCAACTAAAGCTGAACAATCTCCATATATTGAAAAATTTTTGTGTTTGTGTTAGTCCCCGTTACCCGCTCGATCTACCTTGCAAAAACACACACCCTTGCCCTGTACCAGAGCAATTTTAAAACGAGGATGCGCTTTTATTGTGCCACTATTGTTTGATGTATAAGTTCGTTCGACTTTTTCATTAGGAATTTGTTTTTTTTCGGCATCTCATTAACTCGGTAAAAGTCACTTTTTCGGGTAGAGAATGCCAATGCAAAGATGTATCACGTTTTCGGTTGGGCTGCTGAGCCACAACAGAACAGTCAATTTTTGAGATATGGATCTATAAAAGAGCCAAGTGGGGCTCTTCTTAAGGGCTTTGGCAATGTCGAATGTAGTTTATGATCCCTACATGCAAAGTGCCGATGCTGATGCGCCCAAAAAATCCGCAGTACCCAATTTTGTTTCGCATGTTGTCGTGAGCACGGTTATCGTGGCTGGTGCTATGATCCTTATATTTTTGATGTACAAGCTTCTGACCAAAGGAGCTGCCAATTGGATTTTTGGGAAATCCAGGGATGACAGTAACCTCTACAGCGGTGAGCAGATGCGACATATTGACATGGAGTTGAATCAGATCGATCCCACAATGCCTACCAGGCCGCAATCGGTATACCAGAAAGTGTAGTGTACCAGCAAAAGATTGGGGCTGGGGTAGAATGTGGCGATGCAGAAATTTTTTTTATCATCCGACGTGCACATTCCTCAAATAAATACTGGCGCAGCACCAGGTGGAGGTGTATACATAAAATTAATTTTATATCTTGAGCAAACAGCAAGATACACCTGAAACAGGTTAGCAAAGAAACAACTGGAGGCTTTGACAGTTCAACGCTATTTGGCCTTGTGCTTATATTCGGTTAGAATAAAGACTTGTCGTCCCCCTGTTTACAATTTTTATTGAGTGCGCAGTCTGCCTCAATTGAAATTGCAGTCCTTCATTTGTCATGAGAAAAGAGCTTCAATATATCCTGCTAGCACATCTGTTGCTGGTGGTATTTTTGGTCTATCAAACCTTTGACTTGATAACGCTGCTTTATGATGATAGTTTCCAGTACGCTTTGCTGGAATCTGAGCTATCTCCTACCGTCGATAGACCTCAACTCATCCCCAAAATAATTCACCAGACCTACAAAACAACTGAGATCCCTGATGTCTGGAAACAAGGACAACAAAGCTGCATCGACCTGCATCCTGACTATCAGTATATTCTGTGGACCGACGAGATGTCTAGAGAATTTATTTCTGAACACTATCCATGGTTCTTGGAGACTTTTGACAACTACAAGTATCCAATCGAGAGAGCAGACGCTATAAGGTACTTTATCCTGTACCACTTTGGTGGCATTTACATTGATTTGGACGATGGATGTGCCCGAAAATTAGATCCTCTGCTCACCGTTCCGGCGTTTGTGAGAAAAACCATTCCCACCGGGATATCCAATGACGCCATGGGCTCTATGCCTAGACATCCATTTTTTGCCAAAGTGATCGACTCTTTGAACAAATACAACAATAACTGGTTAGTGCCATATATCACAATCATGTACTCCACAGGACCACTGTTCTTGTCTGTGATATGGAAACAATACAAGAGATGGGGCGTTCCTGATGCGGGCGTGGTGAGGATACTCATGCCTCAGGACTACAGTAATGGAGAGCATCCCTTTTTCAGCATCTCGAAGGGCTCTTCATGGCACATGGACGATGCGAAATTCATGTTTTTACTCTCCAAGCATATTGTTTGGGCTGTACTTGGTGGCTTTGCAGTTGCGCTCTTGTTCTTTTACATGGAGTACCTCATGTACTCTTTCTTTATCTCCAACACTTTCAAGAGATTCAGAAAAGGAGTCTGGAACTTAATGAGATTAAGATCTTGGTCACACGGAAACAATTACACTCGTTTGAACCCACGGAAACAGGCCAAGTATCTCAAAACGAGAAACAGAAAAGACTCCAACTTGCCAGTCGCTATTAACATCGACGTGGAGAAAAACGTTATGGAGGTCTGAATGTGAGAAACTCACTTGTTGTGTATACTAGCATTTGCTGTCAATGTAATATATGAATGGAATAGACGGCTTGCATTGTCATGAGGAAAAAAAAAACCAATAACTCGCTTGTAATAAACCGTTTTTTTTCGGATAAAGCCAAGACCAATTAGTCGGCGATGTCGGACAGCGCCCGTATAAATTTCTTCAAGGGTCCAAATTGATCAACCAATAATTACCATGCTTTTCAGGTTTTTAATTCTTGCCGCGTGTGTTGCCTCGCAAAAAGTCCTCTCTGATAATGTCTGGACGTCGACGTCGTCCAACAACATGGTCCTTGTGACTCCTACAGTCACTGATGGAGTCACCATATCTGCTTCCCCTGTCTCAGACTCGGCTACCGTTTGGAACTCTCTTGATTCCTCAGGAATCCCATACCTGGTTACCCCTTCTGTTTCGGGTTCCAGTACCATCTCTGCATCTCCTACTCCAACTGATACTTCTTACCCAAGTCCGACAGGGGGAGCTCCTCCGGTTCTGCGCTGCATGAACGACAGAGCAGACGAATCCAACTATGGATATCCCTTCTGCATTGCCAACGGCACTGAAATGATCGTTGGTGAGACCTACTGGATCACCTGGGATCCAGAGTACTGGGGAAGCGATGACATCGTCAGAGTCCGTATTTCAACTAATGCCTATCCGGCGGTGGATGGAGACGAATCCCTTTTCACTTCTGATTACGTCATCAACAACAACGGATACTTTGCGTGGGAAGTCAAGTCGTCGTACCGCAAGAGCGACACAGAGGGTTACTGCTGGCTGCTGATTACACCACAGTTAGACTCGACCAGCAATGCCAAGCATACAGGAACCACGTACGGGCCGCTGATTCGGATCATCGAGCACGAGTCGGATGCCTACACTACCATCAGCAGGAAACCTTCTGACAACGGTGCGACAACAACGTCCAGCAAGTCCAAGGTGAAAATTATTGTTCCTGCAGTTGTTGTTCCTGTTGTTGTTTTAGGTTTCTTGATAGTTGGTATCGTGTGGTATTTCCGTCGCATGCATGGCAAGACAAGCCTGGCAAACCTCATTCCTATGAAGCGACGCGAGGCCGATGCGGTCAGTGTTACCACGGACGACCTACGCTCGGAGGTCACAGACATGCGTTCCGAGGTCACCGATTACTCAAGAAATACCAATCCTTTCCATTAATCAGAGAAAAGCACTATATTTAACATGTTGGAGTAATCAGGTGTGTACTTCGGAGTCTGAGTTGATCATGGTTCTACCTATGTTCCCGATGAACCAAATTACCGTTCCCATAGAACCTTTTAAAGTTCTGCGTCCAAAAAAAAAACAGAATAATTTCTATCAGAGCCCTAATATTAGTCAAGCTCACTAGATGTCTGATGGAAGTCTTTTGATCGCTGTAGCAAATACTATACTTGAAGAACTTTCTGCCTAGTAAGTCCACCCTCTACAATACAGTAATTGAGTTACACCTCTTCGGAGGCAATAGAGCCAGAGCAAGGTGACTACACCATTTCTTCTGGGCGGCAGCTGTGCTGAAATTAACCCAAAGGTGGCCAGGGTCTTTCATCATGACAAATTTTTGAAGCCAAGACCCTAGATAGCGAACACGAGTGCATACGAAGCCAATGCTATTTTCAGTCACATGACTGACATTACCAGATCCCAGAATTACTTATCTAACGGCTAGGTTTTGCTTATTTTTGATTATCCTACTATTAGTCAAATTTCTAGATAATATTTTACTAGGCTGTGCAATTACTAACAAGTTAGTAAAGACATGGAAGTGTATAAAATGTCTTCCAAAATACCGTTGATCCTAATTTGAACTGAAAATGGTTTCTTTTCGTACGATTTTGAAGTCGATGTACTGTATGGAGCAAGCTGAAGGTGTCGGAGCTAAAGTGAGGCGCTCTATCGGCAGCATGGGCATGAGAAATTTCTCACCATTTCTTATGCTGGACCATTTCAATGTGAGTCCGGACGCTGGATTCCCTGATCATCCTCATCGTGGTCAGGAAACTATTACTCTTGTCATGAAAGGCCAGTTTCTACACGAAGATTTTACAGGATCTTCAGGTGTTCTCAATCCGGGCGATCTTCAATTTATGACAGCCGGTAAGGGTATCTGCCATTCTGAAATGCCCTACTCTCCAGATGGTTCGAATGTGGAAGGGATGCAATTATGGGTCGATCTTCCTGAGAACTTGAAACACACCGAGCCCCGTTATCGCGATTTGCGGGACGCAGAAATTCCAGTGGCGGAGCCAAACGACAAGGTGAGGGTCAAGGTGATTAGCGGCAAGTCGTATGGTGTTGAATCCGTGAAAGATCTGGCATACACCCCTGTTGAGTACTACAATTATACGGTCAAACCTGGTGGACAGTTTGTGCAGGAGTTGCCTACCGATTTCAACGCTTTCCTGTACATCTTGAAAGGATCTCTTTCAATCAGTGGAACCACCATTCCTAAATACCATGCTGTGTTTTTCAATAGGGATGGAGAAGCAATTGGCGGATCTGTTCCAGAAGATAGCGAAGAAACAAACTTTGTTATTATTGGTGGTCAGGTGCTAAATCAAAAAGTCGTCCAACACGGTCCTTTCGTTGAGACTTCCAAAGAGCGCATCTATGAAGCCTTCATGGATTACCAGTACGGGCGCAATGGATTTGAGCGTGCTCGGGGCTGGTCCAGCAAAATTGGTCACGGAGTGGATGAAAAACTTTACCGTGTTTTAACTGGTGAAAAGGATAAAAAGGACAGCAACGTGAAGGTGGATCTGTAAACTAATTTATTTATTTATTAATGTTGTTTTATAATTGCTAAGTACATCATCATTTTTAATATTTTCATATTTTTTCGGAGATAATTTCTATGGCAAAGGTTGTGATAGCATGTCGCAAATAGAACTAATAGAAGATGCTACTTTGCCCAGATTGGAGTCCAGGCAACAGCCACAGTCTGGATCAGACATTACGATTGCGCAGAGGATGCTGAGTGCATGCACCGGGTCACTGTTAACCTCTTTGGTGGTAACACCCTTTGATGTGGTGCGAATCAGGCTGCAACAGCAACAACTGCTTTTTCCTCCCCATTTCCGTCAAACAGCAACTTGTTGTAAGAAGGTGTTTTGGGAGGACGTCACAAAAGCTAAAAAAGATTATTTCTGCTCAAGCAACGCATGTGCACAAGAGTTCAAGATTAATGGCACGTTCTCTGGACTTACCAAGATCGCTGTTAATGAAGGTGTTTTCACGCTTTATAGAGGTTTATCTCTGATGCTCATCATGGCAGTTCCCTCCAATATGGTCTACTTTAGCGGATATGAGTACTTGCGAGATAGATCTCCTCTGAAAGATCAATTTCCAATTTTCAACCCTCTTCTTTGTGGGTCCTTCGCGCGAATCATGGCTGCGACAGTGGTAGCCCCATTAGAACTGATAAAGACTCGACTGCAGGCTGTTCCCACATCAACCTCAACGTCTTCTGAGATCATGAAGATGGTCGTTACGAACTCGTTTAAAGAAGTGCAAAATAAAGGAATCTTTTCTCTTTTTAAAGGGTTACAGTTGACCCTTTGGCGCGATGTCCCATTTAGTGGCATATATTGGTCTTCCTACGAATACCTTAATGGCAGATTACAACGGTTGCAAACCTTCAACTCGTCAGAGCACGAGCATGCCGAGATTTTTGCTAGGTCATTCATCAGCGGCTCTCTCTCTGGCGTGCTGGCAGCAATCTTCACCAATCCTTTTGACGTTGGGAAAACACGACTTCAAGTAACTTTGGAAGATACCGGATCCTTGAACAAGCTCGTGAACTCAAAAAGCACCAAAGAATCGATGTTCAAATCGTTGCATACCATTTATAAAAACGAGGGCATGAGCTCGCTCTTCGTGGGTTTAGCTCCACGGTGCCTGAAAATTGCGCCCTCGTGTGCTATAATGATTTCCACGTACGAAATCAGCAAAAAGTTATTTGCAGACATGATATAAAGTGTCTGTCTGCATAAAGCAGCTACCATCCTTCCCCTGCACGAGACTTCAAGACGCTAGGTATGCGGATCCCTAGCCTTCCCGGCATGGCAAGACTTTGGGAGGACCCGGGTGGATCATTTGATCCCTGCTTGGAATAGGAACACACACTTGAATGTTGTGTGTGTTCGTTTTTGAGCTGGCACTCACAATCTGGACATTTGAGAGGTTGAGTCTGTAACGTCCCCATTTCCTCTTTAAGCTCATGGCCTGTCAGGTGTTCCGTGCTTGCTCGAACTTCAGATGGACCAGTGGGGTTGATCAGGTTCAAGTATTTTTTCTTCTTGCCTCCAGCAGGCTTGACACTTTCTGCTCGGCCCTTATATTGGTTCTCCTTATTTTCTGAAGTTTCCCTCGAGCCAAGGTACTGGATCTTATCCGAAGAGTCATCCAGTAAGTAGCTTTTGCGACAATTGTATATAGAATCGGCATTCAAATATTCGAAAAACTCATTGCAACCTTCTTTGATATCAGAAGAGACGCTTTGCATACTTAGGACATAATCCACCAAAGAGCCTTGTAATGAAGTGTTGATGGATTTAATTAGCTGCTCATCGACCACCTCAATGGAGATGTTTAGCTCTTCCAAGGCCTCTCTCGACAAGCAAGTGTTGTGATTGTCGCCGATTTTGCGCTCCTGATCTCTCAGCTGTTTGAAGGTTCTTGCTCTCTTGAGCTTAAGCTCTGCAGATTTTGATTCCCTTTGAGACACATGGTATAGCTGCAAGTTGATATTTTCTTTCTTTCTGATCATTTCTTCATCGAGTCTCCCTTGTAACTCTGCAATTCGGCTAAACTCCACTAGCAAGCGTTTGTTCTCAGGGTTACTCAATACGTTCACCCAGTGAGAAACACCACTCAAAAACTCGTGCCTTCTTTTCAGAACTTTCTTTTCGGCATTGATCAGTTTTCGTAACTTGTACATGACAGAGGCAGCACTAGGGGTATCTGGGCTCTTAGCGCCAATGAATTCCAACGTCTTCAGTAGCGGATTAATGATCGCTCCGGAGTGATTTATATTTTGGTATTGAAAAATACTTGAGCTTGAATCCATGGAGCTACCTAGGTTTCCTTGCTGATGGTAGATGGAAGAACTGTGAATTGGGCTGGAATGCAATGATTCAGACACATTGCTTTTGTCTCCTATTCTTGTGTTTGGAATTAAGGAGCTGAAGTAGCCTTCTTGATTCATTTGTCAATGTTTATAGTAAATAGGGGGATTTTGTTTTTTTGAGGATATTTTACTCCAGACTCTTAACGCCGGGAATAACAATTCAGATCTTAGTAAAATTTTCATAGAACTATAGACCCGATTTATTTATAGATGAGTTCTTTTGAGTTGGTCTCCTCATTTGAGGTGGAATATGCGCCTGTGAATGTGAAAAAATGGAAGTCCAATAGAACAGGTCTCGAGGTCTGCTTGATCGGAAAGGAGTCACCTTCTGTGAGCGGATGGTTCGCCCTGGCAACCGAGATATTTGACGATAGTGGGTGTCCGCATACCTTGGAGCATCTGGTTTTTATGGGATCTAGGAAGTATCCGTACAAGGGACTCTTGGACATATTGGGGAACTTGGCATTCAGTACCACAAATGCTTGGACAGCCACAGATCAGACGGTTTACACCCTCATGACAGCAGGTTGGGAAGGTTTCAAGATGCTACTTCCAGCATACTTGGACCACATCTTACACCCCACGCTGACTGATGAAGCCTGTTACACTGAGGTTTACCATATTGATGGAAAGGGAAAAGAAAAGGGAGTTGTTTATTCAGAAATGCAGGGAATTCAATTTGAGCCTTCCTTCCTTGCGCTTTTGGAAAAACAAAGAACCCTCTACACGAAATCAGCCTATAGATCGGAGACCGGGGGTCTTGTTGAGAATCTGCGTACTCTAACGAGCGATGAAATACGAAAGTTCCACAAGCAGCATTATAGACCGGATAATTTATGTCTCATAATAACTGGAATGGTTGACGAAGATGAACTTTTGAATATCTTGGACAAGTTCGACGCCGAAATAACCCCATTGCCAGTAACTCCGAATAAGCGGCCCTTTGTTGACTCTGTCCAGGATGGTCCATTGCCATCATCAATCACAAAAACGCTTTATTTTGGAGACGAGGACGAATCCAAGGGTGATTTGACATTGTCACTTATTGGTCCGAACGGTGTCGATTTGCTTGAATGCTTAGCAGTTGAAACACTCTCCAAGTATTTGACGCAATCGTCTGTGTCTCTATTCAGACAAGCCTTTGTCGAGGTCGAAAATCCGCTAGCTACGCACGTCTCTACATACAACGATGATTACATTAAGACCGTTATCAACATCGATTTCTCGAATATTTCAATTGAAGACATTGACGAGATGCCTAAAAGAATAACAGAAGTTCTTACAGCCCATGGAACTGAGCTTGACATTAATAGAATCAGAGATGTGGTTGACCAAAGTAAGTGGGATCTTATCTATGAAGCAGAGAACGACGACGATATATTTGTAACGTCTGTCATTTACCAGTTCATCTATGGAGATAAATCGAGCAACGATTTACCAGGCTATTTGAAGGATCTCAAGGATTACGAGATTCTCATGTCATGGGAGCCTGACAAATGGGAAACAATGTACAAAAAATACTTCGTCAATAATCCGTCATTGTTCATAATAGCAAAGCCATCCAAAGAGCTGTATCGATCCAACAGAAAGGCTAGTAAACAGCTTTTGAAAGACAGAAGAGCCAAGTTAGGTCCTGAAGGTTTGAAAGAGCTTGCTACCAAACTAGAGAGAGCTATAGAAAAAAATAATACTCCAATCCCTCAAGAAATCTTCGAATCTTTTGGCTACCCGGATGTTGCCAAGATCAAGTTTATTCAGACGCACTCGATTGCTGCTGGAAAAAACCATGATGCTGCCAACGATATGTCTTTGGCGATGACCAGGAAAGTTCTAAACGATACACCTAAGGATTTCCCATTATATTTGCATTTTGAGAACATCAAATCAAATTTTGTCACAGTCGATCTGCTGTGCTCATCATTTGAAATTGATCAGGAGCTTTTGAGCTATATTCATGTTTTTGGTAGTCTATTTACACTACCCATTGAGCAAGATGGTACGCTTGTGCCCTATTCGGAGGTGGTAAAGGATGTTCAGAGAGACACTATTTCAGCCACCGTCTCTACCTCGTTCGATAACAATTTCCAAGAGTTTATTGACTTCAAAATTGTTGCAAGAAACGATAACTATGGGAAGGTGATTGATTGGTATACCAAGTTACTATTCCATACCAAATTTACGCAAGACAGAGTAAGAGTCGCGGTTGAAAGAGCTTTGAATGATTTGCCATCAAAAAAGCGATCAGGATACTCAATGCTTAATACTCTTATGAATAAGCATATCAGGACCGAAAGATCTCTTGCCAGGGCTCAAAGAACGTACCTCGTGGAAGACTTCCTTAAAAATGTGCTGAAAGAAGTTGATAGCGATTTTGATTCGGTGGTTAAGAATCTTGAGCAATTCCGTCAGCAGCTTATAAAGCAAAACAATCTGCGTGTATTGGTTGTCGCTGATGTCATGAAGCTGGAACATCCTGTGGCCAGCTGGGAGAAATTTGCTGCAAACTCTAAATACACGTCAGAACCATTAACTGACCTGCCATATACGTCAAAAGTTCTGACTGATGTGGGAAAACTAGAAAAGTCTGGCAAGTGCTACATCATGTCAACGCCCGGATCGTCTGCCAGCTACATGGATTTGATGGCAAGTGTACCACCAGACGAAAGTGCTTCGGAGTCCGCGAAAATCTTATTGGCAGCGGAGGTGCTCCAGTGTGTTGAGGGTCCTTTTTGGAGGGGCATTCGGGGATCCGGTCTAGCTTATGGTGCCAATGTGTATCGTAACGTTGAGTGGGGAACAGTCATCTACGACATTTATCGCGGGGTTGACGTCGAGAAGTGTTTCGAAGTTGGCAAAGAAATTGTTGAGTCCTATGCATCTGGCGTGCAACAGATCCACGACAAAGAATTGCACGGTGCCATGTCTTCGGTGGTGAACTCTTTAGTTAATGGCCAAACCAACTACATCAGTGCAGCGTACAGAAAGTTCTTTGACCAAGTACTCATGAAAAGGGGCCCTGATTACAATCAAATGCTGGTCAAAAGTTTGTCACGAGTGACGGCGCAAGATGTCGTCGATGTGTTAAGGAAATACTTCCTGCCGATGTTCAATCCAAAATCGTCTGTATGTTTCGTTTGTTGCAGTCCTTCGAAGGTGAAGAGCATTGAAAAGTTTTTCAGCTCCAAAGGCTACGATACTTCTGTGGAACACATTGCTGCCGATGATGGAGATGAGGATTACGAAAGTGACGAAGATGACGATGGTGATGACGAGGATGATGTTTACAGTGATACCGACGATGATAGTGACGAGGGAGAGGATGAAGACGAAACTGATTCGGAAAGTGATTAATCGTTTGGAGTTAGATAGGTGATATCATTATCATTTATTTCTTTTCTCGGAGACTTTCTGTTCAACATTAAGCCCAGCGTAGGTTCCCACCATCTTCTTGGTTTCATTTATATACTTCCCAACAACAGACTCGGTTTCTGTGGCCAGCCTATCTGCCTGATCGATCATTTTGCTTGCTTTATTGAACAAATCTTTTTGGGACGACCAACGTTCTGGCTGGTGTTTTCTCTCGTAATTGTCAAACCAAAAAACTACGTTAGAGAATGTCGATGGAAGGAAGAACTTGAATGCAGCCACCCCGCAAAATAATGGCACTGTAGATCTGACCAAAATATTGCTGCGTCTGGTGAACACAACACCTGTCAGGAATCCGGTCATAACGTAAAGCGAGTTTGGAAACAGCTCTTCTCTTTTATCGTGGAGAGACGATAATGTGTCTGTCACTTGACGTTCCGCTTTGTAGTACTGCTCCGATTGTTGAATGTACTTCTCCTTGGCAAGATCAAGGTATTGAATGAGCTGCAATCTTGCACGTTTGATGTTATCCTGCAAGAATTTGACTTCTGAGTTTTTGGCCTCCTCAATTTTACTTGTCTCCAGCTTTAGTGGCTCTGAAGGAAGGCCCGGGATTGTGTTTTCAGTGGTTGCTTCGTAGAATTTTCTTTTGGTTTCAGATTTAATTGATTGGCCATTCAAGTAAACCAATGACGCCAGAATGGGAAAGCCAACCTATCTTGTTAGTCTCGGTAAGAACAATTACCTACTTTGAGTCCTCTGTACATGTTGATTATTGCAATCACGTTGAGTTTATTTTGTTATGGTCGATCGACGGGTCTATCACAGAATGAAAAAATTTTCAGAGGTCTAACTAGGTTTCTTCTGTGTTTTTGATAGAATGACCGAGCAAACAACGCAACATGCTAAGTTGACGGCCCAGGAGGTCGAAATAGCTAGAAAGTATGATCTGACCCCCAAATTCATACAATTCTTGGATAGACACTTGATTTTCCCTCTTGTGGAAAACCTTGACTCGATCTACCCTTCTGAAGAGGTTGATTCTATGGAGTTTGATCTTTTGAAAGACACCAACATGACCAAGTTCATCAGAGAGAAGTATTCTAGCTTGCATCCAGGGGAGGCTATTCCTGCCGATCTTGAAAAGAAAGAAAAGGCTATTGAAGAAGAATATGCCCGCTTGAATGCGGCAACCAACAAAACTTTGGAGATCCTTGCATCCAAGGATGTGCAAGAGTCGCTGAAACAGGACAAGACCTACAATCGAGAGTATCTTTCGAAAAACCACCATATTGACGACGCAAAGATTCTGGAGCTGTACAATTTTGGAAAGTTCCAATACAACAGAGGAGACTACGTGGTTGCCTCTGACCTTTTGAATAACTTCAGATTGCTTTCTGTTAACCAGGACCTGAACCTGAGCGCTACCTGGGGTAAAATCTCATCTGAGATCATCACTGAGTCCTGGACTGATGCTTTGGAAGAACTCAACAAGCTCAGAGAAATTATAGACAACAGACATTTCAAGGGATCCACTCTTGATCAGTTGAACAAAAGAACCTGGCTGATTCATTTTTCGCTATTCATTTTCTTTAACCTCGAAAATGGTCTGGAGAATCTTGTGGATTTGTTCTTTTCTTCTTCATATCTCTCTACCATTCAGGCTTCGTGCCCTTGGATCTTAAGATATCTGGTTGTTGCAGTGATAAATTCCAAGCCACAATCAAGACAGAAAAAAATCAAAGACCTTGTCAGAGCCGTGCAAACAGAAGAATACGAGTATCAAGACCCATTTACCAAGTTTGTGGAGATTTTATTCGTGACCTACGAGTTAGACAAGCTGCCAGCCGTGATGAAGCAATTTAAAGTACTTGCCACAACTGACTTTTTCATTGGAAGTTTGGACGTTGCGGAGCTTTACAGAAACGCCCAGGTTCTGGTGTTGGACACCATCGGAAAGCTTTACAAGGTGTTGTCTGTCGAGCAATTGAAAGAATTTTTGAACGACCAGAACATCGATATTGCACTTGCTAGAGATAACTTCAAGCTTGAAAATGACAAAGTGTTGATTCGAGGTGCCGAGACAGGTTCTGTCTACCAGCAAGTCTATGACAAAACCAAGGCATTCAATTTCAAGACTAACCAGCTGCTCAACAACGCTTTTAGCATCAATTCTTATAACCACAAACAGTCTTCGCAAGAAGCCTAAATAGGTTAATACGTTAATTCTATTTACATAAGCTTTATTCTTATTGACTTTCTCTCGGGACGACTTCGTAGTTCGTGAAGGTCTTGTGGAAACCATTTTTGTCTGACTTCATCCTTGGCTTAGTCTCGCTCTCGATATTTTTATACCATCTCTCTTTGCAAAGAGCCACAGCGTCTCTAAAAACTTGTTCTCCGTTTTTTCTATGAAGAAGCAAAGCCCGCACATTTTTCTCAGTCAACTTGTCTAGAGGCAAACCTTGCTGCTCCAGTCGGGCAACCACGCGCGCAAGGTACCAGAACTTCATTTCTCTGGTCGAAGAGTCCACTAATTCCAGCATAGCTTGGGGAGCATTGTCTCCTATCCGCGGCTCAAGCTTTATAATTCTTGTATACCCTCCATCTCTGTTCGCATAACGGTTAGTAAGCTCGTTGAGCATCTTGGGTATGACAACGTCTGGCTTATATAATTCGGCATCCAATTTGGTGCGCAGCTTGTCAAGTTGGCCCGACTCTTTATAATGTTTTGACTTTGTGATCAGATTTTCAACTAGTGCTTGCGTTCTCTTTGCTTTAGCCAGTGTAGTTGTAACGCTCTCATGCTCAATCAAAGATGCGCCCAGATTCCTGAGCATATGCCGAAGCTGCTTTGAGTTCTTGCCCAAAGTCATGGTGATCAAACTTAATGATTTTGAAAAGCTTTCAGTGGAAAATCATACGGGCTCGAAACCGAAAAAGATCTTTTATTTCTCTAGACATAAAAATAAAATTGAGTTTATAATTATGGCCGGACGCATTCACGGATTTTTGGGTGGCGTGCTGCTCACAGGCTCCATCGCTTACCTTACGGCTCGTGAATTCCGTCTGAATCAAGCTATCATTTCGCAATCCTTGAGAGAATCGTCGCGCATTATCGAAGAAAGAGATCTTCCAGTTTCTCATCAGTCCAACGTTCTTCAATTCAAACAAAAAACCCTCGCTGAAAGCATAAAAGACATTTGGAATCATGAAGTCATCAAAGGTGTCAATTATATCTATTCGCTCGATTTTTCCGGTGTGGGAGACTCGATTACCAGAAGTATAGACAGATTTATAAACAACAAAGATTAAATGTGTGATATTATTTTTCTTTAGCTTCTTCCTGTGATTCCCTTCTAATCAAATGCTCATGATACAGATCAACAAGCCGGCCCACCAAGGATCCAATGAAGCTCAGAAATATTTGTGCAAACCACCATTCCCTTGGATTAAGTCCTAAGCTAAAGGATCCCAGTACCCAGCCGATAAAATCGGTATAAATATAAAGGCTGCCACTCTGTAGAGACTTCACCACGATCTCCGCGCATCGTTCTGCAGATATTGTTGGCGAAGCACCTTCTATCTCCTTAGTCAAGGTTGGCTTTGTCAACTTCTCTTGGGCGTAGCCTTCCGATTCGAAATTCCCTGGAAATAAGGTATGAACCTTGACCCCATATGGTAAAAGCTCATGCCGCATGCAATCTCCAAAAGCCTTCACAGCAGCTTTCATTGGGGCATACTGGGAGTAGCCGTAAAAAGCATAAGAAGCTACGACAGAAGAACATAGCACAAGATGCTGTTCCCGGACCTTCTCGGTGATCAAGGGAAGCATGGCATGGACGAAGTAGACGGCAGTCTTATAATTGATATCAATTCCTTCATCAATCTTGGATATGGGGATCTTGGCGAACTTTTGAGGATAGGCGATACCTGCACAACAGATGAGATCGTCTGGAAGCAATCTCTTCAAACTTAAATATTCGTGTACTCTTTCACACTCTTCGTATTTAGAAAGGTCTGCTGCCACATAGTCGACAAACTGGTCCTCTTTCTGGCTGAGTTTCTTGAGCTCTTCCACGCAATTGAGTAATTTCGCTTTGGTTCGGGAGATAATGATGACATTAGCACCTTTCAAGTATAGATTCTTGGCCAAAGCAAAGCCCAAACCTTGCGATCCTCCTGTAATCACAATCAGCCTGCCGTCAACGTTATACTTGTTGGAAAACATATTATACTACTAGCGAGATTATTTTTTTCTGTCACAAACCTAGTGCAGGGGTAGGTAGATACAGAGCGCTGCTTACAGCTTATAAATAAATCACACAAAATAAGAACTGTCTTACTCCAAATCGTTCATTTGTTGGCATCTGATCGTTTCCGCTCAGCTTCAACGCGCATTTGTTTCGCTTGCTTCTGCATTGTTTTCTTCAAATCTCTTCTGTAGCCAAACTCGAATGCCATCTCCCACAAAACAAAGTAAGGTGCCAAAACGAGCGGCTGAATAAGGTTATCAAGTAGTGCGGGAGCCCGTTTCTCATAATATCCATGACCAAAAAACTGTGCAATCCAGCCAGAAACATGAACACTTAGTGCGTAAAGGTTGACCTGGGAGCTCGGGAAGTGAGAGTGTAAGTAGGTAGAAGAATAGGCAGCTGCAAATACAAATATCAGAGAGACAAGGCCCATGCCTGGATCCAACAAGAGATAATAAATACCATAACCGATCATTCCGGCTTGAGCAAGGGTGACGGGCCCCACATCAACTGCACCTGCCATGATCACTGCTGTGAAAAATATCAACGGAATACACATCAAGTGTATCCGAACGTTTTTTGGATGAAAATGGTAGGCCTTGTAATAGGCTAGTTGGTAATTGAGATCCAATAATCGTGACATGAATTATCACTTTGTTTAGATGGGGTAATTTTCCAGAAATAACAATTTATTTTGATCCGTAATCTATATAATGCATGCACTTTTGCTTTCCACTCCACATTATATTTGAAGGAAAATATATATATTACTCCTTAAATACAAAATGTCTTCTTTAGAGGAATTGAAAAACGAAGTCGATGAATTGAAAGAGCTCGTTGCAAGGCAAAGCAAGGTGATCAGCCGTACTGGAGAGCAGCTTTTAAGATTTCAGGTAAGGCAGACCGACAGAGAGCTCAGCTCTATTGATGTTCCAAAAGTTGGGCCTGATGGAACAGTTACAAAACAAGGGCAAATTGACGCGTCCGATTTTGCCACTAACGATGACATCGTCCAGCTTGTGGGCGAGCTGCAAGGTCAATTGAATATCTTGGAACAAAGATCGCTAAGAAGAACCATTAATTCGGGACTTTCGAATGATACTGATCTCATTGCTCCTGTTTTGAATTCCGATGGTGACGAGCCTCCTGAAACAATTTACCCGAAGACACTGAAAGAGTTCCGCGACTTGTCTGATGATTCGGTGCTTTCCCTTTGTCATTTCTATGAGCTGTTACCACCAACCTTGGAAGAGGAGGCCAAATTGCGTGCTTTCATGGAAGGTAAAATTAAGTCTCCAAACGTGGATCCATCAGAATTCAAGCCATCCTCTGCTGACTACTCTAGGGAAGTGCTTGATGGTCTGTACGACGACCTTGCAAGATTTCTAGGTCTAAAATTTAGGAAGACCGAACACGCATGGTAGGATTTTCATTAAAGTATAACAGTATAATTTTAGTCATCTTCTTTCTTTCCAAACTTTTCCAAAAAAGCTTGTCCAATGAACTGATGAAGGTCAGACGTTTGCATTGCTCTGTAGTGTTGCTCAAAAGCTAACTTAGAGGAGTATTTGGTGAGAATACTTCCGCCGTAGCAAGCGAGCATTTTTACCTCTTGATCGCTCAATACAGGTTCTTCTTTGGATTCTGACCAGAGCTTATTGCGATAGGAGTAGGTGCCCCAGGCCAGGAATGTGGCAATCATACCCGTAAGCGAGTCTCCTTGTCCTCCGACCCGTCTAAGGCCGCCCTCTTCTTCGGCAATAATCAATTGATCCCCGTCCACAATTATATCGACAGCACCCTTACGCAAAATTGTCACCTGTAATGCTTTCGAAACAGCCTTGGCCTCAAGTTTAGGGTCTGACTCATTGATGCCCAGTGCATCAGCAATGCGCTTAAATTCCACTGGATTCGGTGTTATGATAGCCCTGGAATAGCCACGAATGATATCTGGCTCCTGAGAGACGAGATATATACTATCAGCATCCAAGATCACAGGCAAATTTCTCTTTTTGATCTCGTCAATCACTATCTTCAAAGTTTCGAGCATCACCTTATCACGCCCAAATCCTGGTCCGATCACCACCACATGTATTCGGTCGAGCACTGAGGTGATTTTGGGTAAGATCTTGGTTCTTATGTAGCTATCAATCAATTCTGGTGTCGGGGTCTTGGATTGAAGACGGAAATGCTCCTCCATTTTGGAGCTATCTCGCATGTAGGGGTGAACCATAAGATCAGGAGAGTATGATTTAATCACTGGAGCGGCCGAGTACTCGCAAATGACATGGGATAAATCACATCCAAGAAGGGCGGCAGCATGAGCAGCAAAAAACGGAGCACCGGTGTAGTCTTCGCACCCACCAATGACGACTATGCGACCGCATTGGCCCTTGTGAAAGTTGGGCAATAAAGGTGGGATCAATTTGCGGGTCAAGTAGACAAGCTCGTTCTTTGACTTGAGAGTTTTAAACATTTTGTCAGGTGAGTTGATTCGCCCGGTCTAATTTATATCGCACTTAGTTCTAGAAGAGTACGATCGACGGGTCGTTATTTTGCTGGGGCGGCCTGATCACTCACATGATTGCTCTTGATCAGAAGACGCATGGTTGCAATACACGCGCATATCTACTGAAATCGCAAGTTGCAGGATTAGAATTGTGGCTTAAATTGGTTATAAAGACGCAATTTCAATGCTAGCACTCGCTTAAATCCGAGTCTCCGCCAATCATCGCTTTTTTTTGTTCTGTAAGCAATCGAGCCGAAAATTCATTTGAGTACTATTTATTAAACTTATTCTCTTTTGCCATGTCATTTGCTTTATCTAGTCTAGCACGTCTGAGAGCTAAGCATGTTCTTCCAATTTTCGCTGCAGCTGCCAGCAGCCTGTATTTTTACCACTCAATGAGCTCGATTGCTAGCGAGGCTCCTGTCGCCCTGAAGGGCGGCGATGAGTGGATCGACTTGAAATTGAAGGATGTCAAGCAATTGTCTCACGACACCAAGCTCCTCACTTTCGAGTTGCCAAGCCCAGATGCCAAATCCGGTTTGACCACCGCTTCCTGTGTTATGACCAAATTCGTTACCGAGAAGGGCAACAACGTCATTAGACCATACACTCCAATCAGTGACAATGAACAACAGGGAACTTTGCAGATGCTTGTTAAACACTATGATGGAGGTAAGATGTCTTCTCACATCTTTGATCTGAAGCCTCAGGACACCTTGTCTTTCAAAGGTCCTATTCAAAAATGGAAATGGGAGCCAAACTCCTTCAAGGAAATCTATTTGCTCGGCGGTGGTACCGGTATTACTCCATTGTACCAATTGATTCATGAGATTTTGAAAAACGAAAAGGACCAAACCAAGGTCAAGCTCTTGTATGGTTCCAAGACTGTTGAAGACATTTTGCTCAAGCCGGAATTGGATGCCCTGGCTAGCAAGCACCCAGATCAGTTCAAGGTTAGATACTTTGTTGATAAAGCTACTACGGCTCCAGACCGTAAGATCACCGAGGGATTTATCACCAAGGATGTTCTGTCTAAGGAGTTGTCCGGTCCCTCTGATGACATTCACATTTTCGTCTGCGGCCCTCCACCTTTCTACGAGGCTGTCTCTGGAAATAAGAAATCACCAAGTGACCAAGGTGAGCTCACCGGTGCTCTTGCAGAGCTGGGCTACAACAAGAGTCAAGTGTTCAAATTCTAGAGGTTTTAGATGATCGGCGCGTCGATCGGCGTGCTCTTTTGGCACTATATAAAAAATAGGGCTATAAAAAAATATTCAACGTATTATTCATATCCTTCTCTATGGCAAAGAAGATCTCCAAGCATTCTCGTGCAGCCCGCCGGGGTGAAATCAGCGAAACAACGGGTGAAACGAGAGATCTTGAAAAGGTTCCTCGTCTGGAAAAAACCGACACTATAGGGCCAATGATTCGTGCATCTGCATCTAGAAATGAAGACTTATTGCGCCAGAAAATGGAAAAAAGAGCTTCAAAGTCCAGTAAGAGTAAGTCTGCTATCTCCAAAGCGGTCAAGACTAGAAGGAAAAAAGCTCTGGTTATTGACGGAAGGCTTGGATCTAAAATTGAGGCCAGCATCAACAGAGCAAAAGAAATTCAATCCATGAGAAAAGCTAATTGGGATACCATAAATAAGCAAGCCAAAGAAGCGGTGAAAAGTAGGTTATTATACAATGACGACAAAGGCCAAACTCAAGAGCACAAGGACGCCATGGAAGATGTCAGTGACTGGGAAGATATGGATGAAGAAGAAGAATCAAACGATCCCGTGCCCTCTAATAGATTTGCGCTATTGGAAGAAGTGGAAGCATAAGCATGCAGAATTTCTATGTACAATATATACAAGCTTAATGGATCTTGACAGTTTCGCGGAATGTTTGTGCAAATTTGTCGTCAATGAGTGAGAGCACAGAGAGCGCTTGTTCCCTGGCTAGGTAGTCATTATCTGTTTCCGCTATGAATTTAAGTGTTGTATCAAGTTTTTCTCCAAACTTTCCCAAGAGTTGTAGTCCATCGTTGGTTGAGAGGATATCACTAACTAGAACTACAGCAGATCTTCTTAAAACAGCATAATCTGCGTTGGTCTCTAGTTGTAAAACGCCAAACACGCAGTCCATGATGTCTTCCATATGGTTCAAAATAGAAAGAGGATAGTGTTTGCACAAGGATCCAAGCAATGACATTGCAGACATTTTCATCGTCACCTCATTGTTCGAATCTTTCCTGACGATGGCCAACGTCGTTGCAATTATCGGACCTGCATTCTTTAAAGCAGCTCCAGAAAAATTGATGTATCGGAGGATCACCTCGCCAAGTTTGAGTCTTTCATCTATAGCTTTTTTGGGATTCGAGTAAATATTGAGATAGTTATTGATCAAATTTCGGTCAAACCTGAGTAGCTCCTCTAGTCCTCGAATGGCGTTTAAATAAACGAATGGTTCGGGATCTTTGAGCTGCAACATGTGTTGATTGATAGCAAACTCCAAAGATACTGTAGGCGTTTGAGACTCGACCAGTTTTTTAAGTAGCTGAAGCCCATGAACTCTAATAGGCGGCGAATTGTCTGCAAGATTATTCAATGCTTTTTGTCGGATTACTATGTCATGTTCCTCTTTCGTGACAATTTCCACCTCCTTTGTATCTCTTCCAGATACAATGGCGTCCAACTCTTGAGCTAGATTTGGATTGAGATTTTGTAGTGCTGACTGTATGTTTGATATTGTTTTCAGAGATTTTGACGAGAGCCTACCGTCGGTGATGATTGTAGATAGTATCTCAAAAACAATTTTGAGGTTTCCGTTATTATTGCTATCTTCGTCATCCGAATCTTCCTTTTCATTGACAACATTCAAAGTTTCATTGTGAACTTTTGTTTCATCTTTTATGACTGAGTACAATAGCTCCAAAGTGCTATCGACCGATTTAATCAAGCTGTCTTTAAAATGATCGCTCAAATATTCAATCACTTTGAGGTTTATAAGCCCAGAAAATGGATTCTCATCATCTTCTGTTAAGAACCTTTCATCGGAGTTCAACCAGGCTTTTAGGCATCTCAGGAAAACATACTGCACCTGCTGTTCATCGATGGCGCTCACTTCCTTTATCAGCTCCCCAAAAGTTGTTGTTGCGAAGTCCAAACTGTCGAGTACATCAACATTAGATTGAGTTGTGAGTTTCTCCTTGATATATGCTAAGCCATTTTCTCCCGAGCCAAATTCCCATGAGCTCCCAACAATCGCCAGTAGATTACTCAGAAGAGTGTTAAGAATTGTGTAGTTCTCGTCTGGCCTTGCCAAGACAGATACGAGAACTTTTTCAATCAAACTGTAATCTTTGGAATTCCTGCGTTGGTAGAGCAGGTATGACCAGAAGGGTACAGTTATGGGCTCAAACATTGTTTTCACAAAGTCCTCATTGCCGGAGGTTCTCGTAATGGAGAGTACCACATTGAAAGCGTTGTTGAGTTCCACCTCGCTTGTGAGCATGATATTCTCATCGTCATTTGAAATTTCCCTCAAATCTGGGTTAAAGATGACCCATATCCGTCTAAAAACGAAATCTTGCACGATGAGAGGATTCTTGAGATAAAGTTGTTCAAGAAGTTGAGTGACAATGGAAACCATAACTGGCCAATTCACGTGAACCAGAGTGTTGTATAGTTGGCTTCCAATATTTTGTAGGTACTCAATTTTGGTCAGCCTTGATGGTCTTGTGCTAAGCAGTAATTTGAGCACTTCATCAATCTTGGCAACATCAATAGTCTCGTTTTCTCTTAGCCCCATTACCACCTCAATCAAAGACTGGACTCCATTGTGCGCCCTCTCAACGACAAGGTCTGCCAAACGATTCATAACGAATTTTTTAAACCATGGTTGTGATGGTTGGGATACAAGAGCACCATAGAGCGAAAGCAACTGATAGGTTGATGAGATGGACTCCAAATATCTGAAAGTTGATTGATATTTTGGTTGGTCCTTAGCCAAAAGTATGCAACATGTCAACGCATCTGTATATCCTGTGCCGACAAGCAGTAAGTTTTTGAGGTCACTATCCGTTCTATAAATCTCAGTGAATGTATCAACAATGTCTTCTAGGATTGGTTTACCCTCGGGAAAGGGAACCTTGACCACTTTCAATGGAACCTTGAAATTCTTTAGTCTGCGCTTCACTAAAGGAAAACCAACTCCGGATGGTAGACAAGTATAGACGCCCTCTATCACAATGATGTTTACCAACTTGCTGACAATCTTCATATCGTATAACGGAATGGCTATCATATCTGTCTGGTTGCTACGTGGGACAAGGTTATGGATCTGTAGCAAGAATTCTAAAAGCTGGTGAATGACTAGCTTCCTTCTCGTAAGCTTGTCATCAGTATATTTGTCAACAATTAACTTTGCGTACATGTCGTCAATCGTATTGTGGCCCTCCTGCGTGCCAATGAAATCGCTCACCTTATCGAATAGCTTACCAAGAGGAGTCGTCCTTTTTCGCACATAAGTCGGATCTGGTTTGAATCCCTTCAACTCCTGCTTGATCTTCTCAAGATCTATCAGATTGCCGCTATTTTGGGCATTCTTCTGGTCTGTACTTTCACCGTTCGAGCTCTGAATTGAAGAAGCCATCTGCAATTTTGCCATTAAATAATCTGTGGCAGACAATACAGTGTCAATAAAAAAATAAAAAAAAATATAAAAAAAATATAGCTTCGATAATCTATCCAATATGGTTGACTTGCAAAAGACTCTGTCTCAAGAAGACATGGATGATATTATATACGAGGCTAGAGTAGGAGATCTTGACTCCCTAAAGGAAATCTTTGAGAAATTTGTCGATCCGCAAACACTAATGAGCATCAAGGATGAATACACTTTAGCTACCCCTATACACATGGCAGCGGCGAATGGATATGACCAGGTGTGTCAATACCTTTTGGAACTGCTTTCTAAGGATGATGCACAATATCTAGTTAATAAACAGAATGAATCGGGAAATACAGCGCTGCATTGGGCAGCGTATAATGGGCACGTAAAGACGATCAAGGTACTTTGCGAGTTTGGCGCGGACCCATTCCTCAAAAATATCTTTAGCCACGACGCTATCTACGAGGCAGAGAAGAATAACAAACCTGAAGTGGAAAAGTATTTCCTGGAGACGTTTGATGTTAAGCAGGACGATGACGAACCCGCACAAAAAGTGCAGTACAAGGAGGGAACAGAGATCAGGAAGGCAACGGAAGAATCGCATGAAGTGGAAGGTATCCGTCAGGGGCTTGAGGCTAATCAGTTGTGAATAGATTTATTTAATGTTACGTGCTATCATGTCGGGCTTACCCGGCTTTAGGAGCTCAGAAAGTGTTATGTTGAAAAATTTTGTAACGGTAAAACTGCTGCGAATCACAGTATGTCGGAAGACTTGGGATTTGATCCATCGCTAAAGAAGAAGAAGAAGGTCAAGAGCAAAACTGATGCTGAGGAGGTTACCACACCATCTGAGGAAAATTTAGACGAAATGTTCTCGACTCTCAAGAAGAAAAAGAAGAAGACAAAAGAAACCGATACCCCAGAACCAGTGGATGAGCTTGTCGACGGACTCGAAGGCCTTAAGTTGAAGAAGAAGAAGAAGAAGAGCACCAAATCCAGTGAAGCAGATGACTTTGACAAACAATTGGAAAAAGCTGGTATTCATGCTGACGATCAATCATCTCCCTCGACTGATCAATTACAGCAATCACAATCAGAAGACTCTCTCACTAATACAGTTCTGGCATATGAAAATCTTCTTTCAAGATTTTACAGCATTCTCAAAGAAAAGAACCCTGAATTGGCTGGAGGCCAGCAGACTAAGCTTAAGATCCCTCCCCCTGAGGTGGCCAGAGAAGGTAATAAGAAGACCATGTTCGCCAATGTGCAGACGATCGCTTCTGTCTTGCAAAGAAACCCAGAGCATCTCATTCAATATTTGTTTGCAGAGTTGGGTACTTCAGGTTCTATTGATGGTGAGAAGAGACTCATTATCAAGGGAAGATTCCAAGCAAAGAATATCGAGAGTGTGCTGAGAAGATACATCCAGGAATATGTTATCTGCAAGACTTGCAAGTCCATGAACACAGAGCTCAAAAGAGAAAGCACCAACAGACTGCATTTCATTGTGTGTCGCGCCTGTGGTTCCACCAAGTCGGTGTCGTCGATCAAAACTGGTTTCCAGGCTCACGTTGGAAGAAGAAAGAGAGTGTAAATTACTATTTAAAAATGGTGATTCGCGTCATACGTCATTATTTGAGCCTTCTCTAGTTAACATCTTCTCCTTGATGGTATTTGTCGTTAATGTATTGCATGAAGTCATCGTTCAATCCACTGACAACGTCGACATCTCGCAACTGTTTGAATTTTTTGTAGTTGAAATACAAGTTGACGAAGTCTTTCAGCACGACAACTGCGACGCATCCGACCAAGTTTCTCAGAAACTCCGCCTCATCTGGTGTGTTGATGTGCTTGTTCAAAAAGTCATTGATGTGAGGTATCCTGGATATCAAATGTCTACTGACCATCTCGCCTAAATACGGCCATGATAGTGTGGATGCTAAAAAGAAGTAAAATTGCGACCCCTGGAAAACCTTGGAATAGTCAAACTTGAAACAGTTGACTAATTCCCGTCTGAGTCTGGAAAGATGAATCCTTCTGATGATGGAATTAGAAGTCAGCGCTCTGAATAGTTTTTGTAATAGCCCGGACAACCCAGAGCCTGTTGGTTTCGAAGATTTTGTGTCCTTCTCTGCCTCTAAGTACGCAAATTCTTCCCTATTCTCTTCTTCTATGCGTTCCAGCTCTTTTAGTGACAACCTGTCGGCAATAAAACAGGGCTGAACTTGCTTACACCATCTGTAATAAAGCCTGTTGAGGGTCAAGCTGTAGATCGCCCTATAAAGATATTGGAGAGGTAAAGTCAAAAGTAGAACCTTCTTTGCCGGATTATCCTTTAGGTCCTGATAGTCCCGATAAAGGAGCAAAGGAAACACTCTTCCAATCATGTTCACCGGGCCAGTACCCAAAACGCTCATTCTCATGTACACCAAGTATAGTGGTATAGAAGCGGTAATAATAAGAAACTTAGGTATAGGAATCAGCCCTTTATCCAATGCGGAGACTAAAGTTCGCGTTGTGGTGTTTTTGACATCAAAGAGGGATAGCTGCACACTCTGCGGAGTCACCATTTGCATGACTCGGAGACCCGTTGCACTGAGACCGACTAAAAATCCCATGCTGACGGAGGCGACCGACGACGATATCACGGTAGAGGAGATCCCCACACGCATAATGTTGGATATACCTGCGTCGATCGTCTGTCTTATATTCAGAATACGAGAATTTGGGGTCTGGAAACATAATTGACGTTTGCATTGAGGACAGTCAATGAAGACAGTGATAATCTCTGATTTCTTGATAAGAGGCAACCCGAAAAAAAGACTCTGTATATTGTAATTAAACATGAGGGTACCTGGTCTGGTGCTGGGATCACCAGATCCGACGTCATCTTCTTGTCTTCTCTTTTGTAGATCAAGACTGGAAACCCACGATAAGAAACACTTTCGGTGCGCCACAAGCGAGCATTTGCAAGGCTTAACCCAATCATTGGACTCTTTGCGGTTACAAAATGGTGCAAGCTCGTCTTTTCCAGCCAAGCATATATAGCATGCATGGCTGGAATCGTTATCCACTGTGCTAAGTGACTGCATCCAACAAATAATAACCCCAAAACTAATTTGCTTGACTTATTTTTTTCTTTATGGATATTACATAGCTAGACAAATTTAGCGTCCAAAGAGACCAAAAAAGCCGGCTTTCTTGTCCGACTTTGAGTCACTGGCGGTCACCTTGGATAAATCTGAGTCGTAGTCTATATAATTGAATGCGACGTCAAACAACACAGGCTTCACTCCCACAGGTTTCACCCTAGCATCGAGATCGGCAATTTTTGCAAGTAACTCTTCGTTGGTTAGATCTGGAAATGAATCGACATTATCGATAAGATAGTCTCCAAGAAGAGGCTCGTGATTTTCTTTGGTGAAGTAAACGGTAAGAACGTGAACTTTTGTGAACAGAGAAGTGGACTCAGACTTGAATTTTTCAATCTCCTGGTTGTTTGGAATGCCTCCCTCAAACTCCTCCTCCAATGGTTTTGCTTCTTTGACGGTTTCCACAGTTTTATTGAGCAAGGCGAGTGACTCTGCATACTTGTGGGATATCAAGTAAGACTTGGCCAGCTTGTAAGTTTTCAGCGCAGAGAAATATGCTCGCAGAGATAGAAGAGAAGAGTAAAGACTTTCATTATGGGCCACACCCGAGAGCTCTGTGAGCTCTCTAAATGAAGAGATGACATCTTCGTACAGTTTGATGCATTCCTTAGCGTTCTCCAAAAAGGCAGCTTTTGAGACTGTTTTTTTCTTGTTCAGTTTCGCATTCACTCTGTTGAGTAGGGAAATATTTCTTCTAATTCTAAGGAGCAGCTGGTGGTAATCGATGTACGTCATTATCACATACTTGTCCTGATTCTCATCGTCAGCAGAATCTATGCCGCCCTTCAATGAGCTTTTGTGGGAGTTCGATGCATCCGTCCAAAGCAAAAACGATTTGTCAAAAGATGCAGGATCAGTCTCCACCACATTCTTTTCCTCGGTTTGTGCTTTGGTAATAGCTCTTGCAAGATCTAAATCTTTCACTGGAGCACTGAATTCGAACCAGGAAACTGAATCGACCAGTGTGGTCTTGGAGATAGGCTTGAGAACATCTCCATCTTTGGTCGTAACAATGTCGATAGCCTTACTCAAATAAGTAATGGTGTTTTTGGTGGCATAGGTCTTTGAGAATTGGAGCAGGTCGGGATTTCTGTCGTTCTCGAGCTTCAACGCGCAAATTTTCAGCTCAGAATCAATGTACCCCTCGATGATCTGGGTGTACAAGTCAGAGGCTTCCGTCTGGGACAAGTACTGCAACGAGCAACGAGCGACCGACAAAGCGAATGCGGCCTCTGTCCATTTGCTACGCGAAAATGCCAAGCGACCTTCAACATAGCTGGCTAAAATTAAAATTGCTAGCACTTTGAGATCGTCTTGCTCGTTCGTCAACAGAGAAAGTAGTTGCTTAGCATGCTGACGAGCTTTCTTCAATTTAGATATGGTCAATGTCTTTGTGGTTCTTGAGTACTCGATCTGGCCATATGTGATCTCCTCCACAAACACAAGGTCTCTTTCAACCAGATATAGAAGGACATCACCAAATCTTGGGTCCATTTCGTAATTCTCTGGACTAATTGAGGAAGTCTTTTCTTTAGCCTTGTAGTTTTTGGTGTCCTTGGTTTGGATATTGAGAGCACGGCGGAGCTTCGCAAGCCTGTTCGAGACTCTATGTCTTAATTTTGTATAGTCCTCGGTAGAGCTTGGAAACGACTCTAAGCGCTCACCAAAAGTCGAAATCAACGGAGACTCCATGATGTATGAAATGAATGAACAATATTTTTCGTCCACTATATTTGGAGGTTGCACTACTTAAGTTGGGGCATGTCAGACGAATGGATAAGCCTCTTGGGAAAGAACATTGAGCCAGTTTTGCTTCAAAGGTTTGGCTTGGACATCAATAGCGCAACAAAAGTGGTACTCAGAGACTGCGAAATTTACAACTTCTACGATGCCGGGGTCAGCTTCGTTATAATCAATAATAAAGTAGACAGTATTGATTTTTTCTTCAGGAACAAGTCGTTCAGACCATGTCAATTGGCTCTGCCTTATGAACTCGATTCGGGGTTTAGCGGAAAGTGTTTGCTGGAGGTATTGGGAGAGCCATCGGAAAAGGGTGGGGGCACTTCATCAAACATCAATATTTGGCTCAGGTGGAAAAATCTACAGGTCGAGCTTGACGACAAGAGCTGGGAGACGGCTAAAGACGCATTAATGAAGTCGCTTACGATATTCAACTAAATGTTAGCCATGTGAGATTACGATGTCGGCCCCATCAGGTACTTCATGCACATTTTCCTGGGTCTTGCCTCCCTCAAAGTTCTCGCGCACTGATAGATAGTGCTGGAGCTCTTCTGCCGATACCGATGGAACCAGTTCATCTCTAGCTTTGGCGAAATCTTCTGCTTTCACCAGTACTTCTGTGTCCTCGGGCTTCGCGATGTTATCAAACCAGTACCGCGTGCTGATCTTATCGCCGACAGCACGATCACAATTGTACTCATCAATCTTCTTCTCCACCGTACCAGCAGTTCTAGTCATGGCGTTCAGCATTGCGTCGGAGCATAAAGCGTAGAAATCTGCTCCCGTATATGTGAATGGACAGGTTTCGGCGATTTTGTTGAGATTGACCGCGGGATCGAGTTGGAACTTTCGCGTCAGTGCCTGTATGATTTTAGCTTGCTTGACATGGGTGTCCGCAATTCCCAAATAAAGCATTTTGTCAAATCTTCCCGGGCGCAAAAGGGCCTCGTCTAGCAAATCTGGCCGGTTGGTGGCACCAACGACAAACACTCCGTCTCCTCCTTCGGCTCCACTCATGCCATCTAATTCTGCTAGAAGCTGAGAAACGATACGATCCATCACTCCCCCAGAATCTCCTTGATTTCCTCTCTTGGGAGCAACCGAGTCCAGCTCGTCGAAGAAGATCACGCAAGGTTTCGCGTCGCGAGCTTTTTGAAACACTCGCCGCACATTTGCTTCCGATTCTCCAATGTACATATTCAATAGCTCTGGGCCTTTCACGGAGAAAAAGTTGAGAGCAAAATTGGTAGCAATTGCCTTTGCCAGCAGAGTTTTTCCTGTCCCAGGAGGCCCATAGAACAGGATACCGCTTCTTTTCTTCATTCCCTTGCTGAATAATTCTGGATGTTTGAGTGGCATTTCAATCGTATCCAGAATCTCGTCCTTGACAAGATCCAGTCCTCCAACATCTTCCCATTTGACGTCTGGTATTCTAGGAGTGCCGATCATGTCGCTGAATTTATTTCTGGCATCATTGATGGAGGTTTCGAAATCTTCGGGTGTAAGCTTGATGCGACCACCGTTGAAGGATAAAAGTTGCTCCCAATTGATCTCTTGTTCCTCCGAGAGCCTCTCAAGCCGCTCGACTGCTATAGCGATTGTATTGTCCACAATAGACACTAGGTCGTTCGCCGTCAATCCCGCGCTTTGAAGTGCCAACGTGTCAAGAGAAACGTCAGGTCTTAAAAGTACAGGTGTTTTGTCCTTAGTTTTCAGATCATCTAGCAAGTGTGTCAGAATCAATTTTCGTTCTGGCTCGGTGGGGACATTGATATTAATGTCAAACTTGAGCTTTGACCTGATCAGGTCAGAGATGGCATCAGCGTCATTTGTGGACCCAATAAAAATGACGCCTTTCGATGTGTATTCGTCGATCAATTCAGCAAGCCTCAAAGACATGGAGTCTTTCTGTTGCTGATTAGGGTCTGGCTTTTTTGCAAGCGCTTCGATGTGTCTGACAAAAAGTATTACCGAGCAACAACTGTCAACAACCCTGTCAGACTTGCCCCGAATCGTTCCAATGGTCTTACTAACAGATGATTGGTTGAGAAGCTCGTACGCGTCTAGCTCGAGCAGGTTTGCTCCAAATTCTGTGGCAATGCGTCTGACAACTGTTGCTTTGCCCACGCATCTTGCCATACTGGAGAGGAGAACGGTAGTTTGCAATGTTGACCTATGGCTGCTGTTGTCTCTGATACGGAAAGCAACATTCACAATCTTGCGCAACTGGTTTGCATAAGGGAACGTGAGCACGCTAGAAATTCTCAAGCAGGGATAAGCGAATTGTCGAGGAAGCTCAAAATAATCTCTCAACTGACTGTAGGATATACCTTCGCTCAAGGGTACTTTGTCAGAGCAGACTCCAGACTGGATCATTCTCGTTTTGGAAGGATCGATAATGTACTGTTTTCCTGCTACCATGCTCTTGCCATCATCCGTATCTGTAGTTCCATCTGTGATTTTGAACCAGGCGAGCTCGTTAGGTATTCCTTGGGGAATGATGGCAGGCTGCGTCTCGTCGCCCGATGCATTGTACGTGCTGAAAAGGGACTTTGCCAACACGGTGTCTATTGGCACGGGGATGTACTGGTCTTTCACAATCACCCGATGTTTTGATTCAAAGTATGACTTGAGGTTCGCCAAGAATAAATGCTGCATTGTTTTGTCAAGAGTTATTGGAGATGCAACTCTTGCAATTACTACCTCTTTGGCCAGAGGCAGATGATTTTCGAGTTTTTCACAGACGAGATCGCCATTTTGTCGCTGACTAGAGAATCTCCTTACGAAGACCTTGCGAGGGTTTCCTATACTGTTGAGAAAAACAGGCGATAGATACAATTTTTCCGGATCAAAGTCGTTTGGGTCTGCCAGTGAAAATACCCTTATGGTTATCTTTTCCCTTGAACTTTTATCACATGCGCACACAATCCCGGCTCCACAATCACAGGTTTGCAGCTGCACAAGATCACCGCTAAAGCAGCCAATTTTCTGCAAAACTGAAGAGCATACGCAGGCGAAAAGCTGATCGTCCTCGTTATCGAGTTCGTGAGAGGATTCCGGAATGTTTGTACATTCCATCAACGTGTTGTACTTCAAAAAGCCAGTTCGAAGCTCTAAAGGCTGAAGCGCCAAGTTGCTGAATATTGAAGTGTCATCGAATGTTAGATCCCCCAAATCAGGGCTGGAAACGGAGATGTCCGTAGGCGTAGCTATACGGAACTGCGAAGCATCAAGACGAGACTCTTGTGATTTTATGCTTCTTCCTCTCTTTACACCTTCCGGCTGTTTCACGATCACCAAATTGGTTTCTAAAGATAATAATCCTTGGTCAACAGGCTCACAATGGATAATTTGGCCATGCAGAATATTCAGAAAGTCGCTTTTGCGAATCAAGGTGTGGCCCGCGCCAAATCCTTTTTCACTGGCAATGAGCTCCAATAAACGCTCCTTAGAATATCTTTCAAGAAGCTGGTAGACTTCATGAGGGAAACTCACAATGACAGACGTCAGCGACAGCACTTTTGTCACCGGAACTATAATGCAGTTTTCCAGAATGAAATCAGATCCATACTTGCTGGAGATCCTGGGGCTATGCAGTTCAATACTGTTCTGTGGAAGTTGACTATCAAGTTCTGCTCTGAACAGCTGGGATTCGACAAATAGCGGGCTGCCCAATAACTGTAGCGAAACGAATCTGGCTTTATTATCTGATAAATCGCCATAGATAAGCTCATATATTTGACTGTTCAGACTCACATATTCTGACTTGCCGTCAGAATCCAGGGCCAGCTGAATTTTAGTCCTCACTGGCCTTGCATATGGCTCGGCAGGTGCTTCCACAAGACTAGGCATTTTGTTAGGAATATTTCTCCACTAACATAGATTTAAAATAGCCTCCAATATCTGAAAGAGATACACAGCCTGAAAAAATATAAATATTCGTATTTATACAGTTGTAAGTTGTTTGATTATACAGTGTGCGCTTTCACTCATCATGATTGTTGACAACAGCTGCCGCTGCAGCTGCCACCGCGGCGAATTCATCGGGACATAGCACATTTTTGACGTCTCGACTGGAATCGGAATCGGAGGAGTCATTGTAATTTGGAGAGCCCATACTCTCCGACTTGGTGCTCTGCATTATCTCCTGTTTCTTATCGTTGGTGAGCTTATGGGCCCATTTCTCTCTGATTGCAAAATCAAATAGACTTAGGCTGCCTAGTGCGTCCTGGGCACACAGACGCTGTTCTCGGCTCCACATTTCTTTTTTCGCTTCGTTCGACAGAGTCATCCAATTCTCGTACGCGGTTTTCAATTTCTCTTTGTAATCGTCAATTCCCAAGTTGGCCGATAAATACGGTAAGCGCTTGCGTAGCTCGGGATCTGAGTCAAGATGCATGATCAACGTCTCATGCGTTTGAAACGTTGGAGGATCATGAGGCCAATCTTTGGGAGCAAGGAAAAATAACACCATACGTGGAAACGAGGGATGTGCAGCCAAAAAAGGCGTACTTATGCTCTTATAGAATTGTAACTGTGCGTTCTCCCTAACTCTGTAGACCTTGCTCTGTGTTCGTCTTCTTTCTCTATTCTTCAGCTTCACGTAGTCTCTCCTATTGTACAGACGTGCCCGTTCTGCTCTGCGTGCACGTACTTCCTCAGGGTTGCCGCGTCTAGCCACATTGGAACGAATTCGTTCGATCTGGTCCGCTGGATGCATTGGAGACCCTTTGCGGTTGTCCAAATGTCTACCAAGGGACCCCGGGTGAGCAAAAGTCTTGCCGCAGAACCGACACATCTTCTTAGGGTCCACGTTCTCGGGAACCTCCAAAAGGCGAAACGAGCTGTTTTCGTTGACGTGAGATGGCTTATCTGACTGTTTCTCATCGTTAGCTCGCCGAGTCTCTTGGTACGCTACCACTGCCGCTGCGGCTGCACTGATATTTTCCTGTACTTGCTGCTTGGTATCCTCGTTGGCAATGGAAGGATCTATGTGGAAGTCTTCGTTGTTGAGAGACGACAAATCAACGCCAAAATTGTGTATTCGGACGTCATTCTGTACATCGTCGACATAGTTCATATCATTAAGGTATTCGTTGACCTGGTTGTCAAGTGTCTGATGGTCGTTTTTATGACCGTTCGTGGTTCGGCGTCGCTTGGAAACATCGCTCGAAGAGGACATTGATATACTATCAATATTTTCTAAACAATATTATCAAAAATATTTACGTTGAAATATGCTCCAAAAGGGGTATTTACAATTGATTTCTTTCACTCGTTGTACGGAAGATTGCTGAAACCAGAGCCAACTTTTGTTTTCTAGCCGATGCGAGCACCGAAACTAAGCTGTTAGCCTGGACCGTGCTAAAGATCTCTCCGTTCCTCTTCTGCACCGCCTCTGTGGCTAACAATATACAAAAATTAGTTGCATTATGTTCAGCCCGAAAAAAATATGTACATTCTTGTTCCTGAATTTGGATAGATTTATTCGACTTTCATGGAAGCCATTGCATCACTCGACCCACTCATAAAAGCAGTCTACTTGATGTACAAAAGTGATCCTCGATTTCTGAGTCACAGCATTGCGGAGATTGTGGGGATCTCTACTATGGATGTGAAAAGAAGGGTCTCTGATCAATCCACCAGCTCCAGCGGTTCAAAGAGTTCACGAAGCTCCGGGGAGACCAAAAACTCCAGAAAGAGAATACTCGGCCGGTTGCATGCTTCTAATGAGAAGCCCGAAACCTTCTTCATTGAGCTGGCAAATAAGCTAGACTCGCTTGCTAAGGGCTACCATACGGAGATAGAAGATTGGGGTATGAGCGCCGAGGAGCGAAAAATATTTATCTCCATGCTACTCACATTCAGGACTCTATACAATCCTGTGGAACAAGATATTAACAGACTGATAAACGACTTTCAGTTGGTGGCAGCAAAGAACATTCATGCGAGAGATCCGTCCAATGCATCTGTTCATCTCGTTTATCTTGCTCGATTCATTGACTATCTACTCATTTTGAGGTCCTCCAGTCAGCAGAAGGACATACTCATAATGCACAGGAACGAAATTTGCGCTAAGAGATTTTATCCTCAAATAAGGATCCAAGACTTACCAAAATTTGAGGTTATCTCCAAGGTGTACGGCGTCGAGTTTCTGCATCTAAACAATCGTGTTTTGGCCTTAAAGGGTGAATGCCGAGAAGTGGACATCATCTATGAACTAGAGAAGAAGGATACAAGACATCGCTTCAAGGAGTCTGATTTTTCTGATCCGGGCGATTATCGTGAATGGCTTCAGGGTAGAATGCGTTTTTTTCGCAAAGCCTTGGACAGATTTCAGCAAGAGCGATTTCACTTCAACGTGAGTAAATCTTCTCCACGCCCTGTAAGTCCGAAAAACCGTTACCAGACTTTCGATTCTGTGCTCGACGTATTTATGAATGGTTCCACAATGTGCCCTGTCTGTCAGGAAATCATCAAAGATTGCATGTTTGTTTGGCAACTAGATGGCTACGAAGTTTTCATGTCAGTTATCAGAGCTTACCTCAGAAGGCGTGATTACATTCGCAAAGATGATGCTTTGAAGCTTGCAAGAACTTTATTAGATTTTAGCGGGCTTCCATTCAAGCCAGAAATGTGGCCTATCCCTATCAAGTCACAAGTAGGAATCACAGAAAGCCTGAATACTCCGATCGTGCAAAGCCTAGCCCCCATTATGGATGATTTATTCAATCCCGCTACCTTGAAAGAGATCGTTACCAAACTCAAAGAGGTTCACAGCACAAGCTTTTTTGGAATTTCAGAGCACTCCAAACTGACCATTACGCTAAACCTTCCGAAAATATCCAAGAAGCGCTATAAAGCAATGACATCTAGTATCGAAAAAAACTCGGTCACCCTTGAAAACGTTTCAATGCTGCTAAATTGTGTGCTCAAAGATTTACAGTATTTGTCAACTAACATACCGTTGCAGTTTGATACTTTGTGGGATTTCTGGATTGTCAAGTATGATCTTGCAAAAAGATCTCTTACCGATACTAGAAGACTGGTAAGCTCCCTAATTACCGAAACCATAATGGATGGTTCCGGAAAATGGATTAGGAACTACAAAATTCCCACGAACACTGAAACCATGAAGTGCATCCTCTCAAAGATGGTGCAAGTTCGGGACTTAGCCCGATTTCCTTTACACGAATTCTCCAAAATTGTGGAGCCGTACTTTTATCCTGACTATTACTCACTGTGTCAGGATTGGTGCTTGGATATGATCGATGAAGCTTCTGAAGTGCTACAGGCAGAAACTTTCGAGTTATCCAAAGATCCATCTTACAGCAACAAAAGCATTGTTTCACTTTTCAACGTTTTCTTTCGTTATTTGTCCAAAGTGGAGCGGTTGAAATGGACTGACAAATTGCAAAACGCCACTCTTTTTACACTGGTGTGTGGAACCATCTGTAACATTCTAAACGAATATTGTGAGCATTTGACTCTGGATATCATAACCAATTTTCAGGAAACAGATGCATCTGATGTGGACCAGGTGTACTACGTGAAGATAAGCAACTTGTATGCCATACTCCAAAAACTGGATATGATTTTTTGCGACGATGTAATTGAGGACATGTCTTCCGTGATGGAATCGTCCAAGACAAATATAGGCAGCAGATTAATTGTTGTGAAGGTCAAAAGTGCAGAAATTCTGACTGATAAATTTGCACCCACTTCATATGTACAAATCTCCGGCTGTCTTAGCCAAAGAACCAGAGCCATTCGCGGTGACTGGCTACCTCAATGGCAAGAAGAGTTTCTTGCGGTCATTGATAACAAGGACTCTCAAGTGATAAGATTTGAACTGGTCGCAAATAATAATGTGGTAGCGAACTTCGCATATGACTTAGATCTAAATTCCACGAGTATTGGAACCGAAAATACTCTCACACTGACAAACAGCGACTTTATCAGTTTGAAATGGTCCTACTGGCATGAGACCTTATTGACTGATCCGCTTCATTTCATTGGGACGACTCGAGCTACATTAATGGCGTCAATCCAAAGAATAATACCTTTCTTAGGTTCAGATATTTGTGGGAGTATCAAAACACTGTTCACCAAATCCACCCTATCCGAAATGAGAGCAATGAACTTGGATATATGTAAGATTGGTGATTTTCTCAAAGCAGAAGATAACCCTGAGCAGATCATAGATAAGAGCGTGGTGGAAACTTGTGACCAGATCAATACAAAGGTGTCTCAGCTAAAGCCTATTTTGAATTGCTTAGCAATTGATGATTTACTGCTCTATATCTGGTCTCAAATAGTGCGTCATGCCACTGATTTAGCTATTCCCCCCCTTTCATATCTCAGAAGGATACGAAGCAAACACGATGAATTGTGCTCAATGATAGATTCAGTTAGTATTGCACCTGTGTCGCCAGAAATACTCGCCGTAGACGACTTTGAGCGAGTGGTTTCTTGGGTTTATAAACTGTTTGCTTTGGTTTGCTCTCACTTGACTTCCCAGCGACACGACTCACTGTTGACCTTAGACTTTTATGGTTTCCTGAAAATGCGCTCTCTATACCATCAAACTCTATCTGACATACAGAAAGAATACAAATCGTGCGTTGACAGATGTGAGAGCTTGTTACGGTTCCAGATGGGAAATTTTCGTACCAACTGTGGTGTGGCCAAGTCCGTAGCGCGGCAAAGTACTCAGAAGAAGCGCAAAGACTTGTTGGAAGAAGAGACAGATGTACAGATGGAAAACCTTGACCTTACCACGAGAGAAATCTTTCTGAGACTGATGTTCGCAAAAGATGGCTCTAGATCCATTGAGTATATCTCCCGAAGCATGGAAGAGTTCGATCGACTGACTAATGATATAATGACCGGAGAAAAAAAGGCATCTAAAAGATCCAGCAGATTAAATAGTCCAATTTAAATATTCAATTAAATAGATATGAGTGCCAAAGAAGTGTTGGACAAATTTCACGAGCAAAGTAAATGTAGGTGACTCATTCCTTGGTGCTAACCAGTAGTGATAGAGAAGCAGATAAGTAATGCAGATGAACTTACAGATTGGAAATCGATTAGAGAGGAGATCAACAAGTTCAAGCAATGGGTTACCAAGATTCATGAGATTGGAGGAATACCTCAGTATGACTTGAAAAAAATCACAAGCACAATTGACATCTGGGTATTGTCTCTCGATGACAAGAAACGTTTCTTCAATAAGAAGAAGTTCAAGTTCAGTTATAAACCAGGCAGAGACAATAGATCGTCCTACATCGAGTCTTCACAGCCTTCAACTTTTGGTACGCCGACTATGATTGGGAAAGACGGAATTAAATGCATCATCGAAAAGCCACATCAGAGTGTATCACTCTTTGAGATCAAGAACTCGATAATAATTATCCCAGCAGATATGGCCGCCGGAGCTATTACTTTGAAGAACTGCAACGATTCGATATTCATGATACATTCTGAGTCGTTTCTGTACGCCGAAGAGCTAGAGAACTGTATTATTATTGGAAGAACTCATCAGATGAGATTGCACAAGTCTATGGGTGTTTACCTCGATATTCAGATTGAGAGCACGCTCAACAAAATCATTATCGAAGAATCGACGTCCATAAAATTTGTTAACAGTCGCAATGTCGAAATAGATGACTTTAACGAGCCTTCAAAAAAGCATCTGAATTACACTATGGTGGGAAAGTTGGTGAACGAAGCGGAAATCGCTGAAACTCAGCCCGAATCGCTCCCCAGCCTGATCAAATCCATAATATAGGGCTGTGTTAGATCCCGAATATTTTTCTGTTAATTCAAATCATGACGCCATTGCCAGCGAAAGCTGAGATGAGTGCCAGAGAGAAACTAGAACAGCTGAAGAAGCAGCGAGCGGAAAACCTAACTAGACTTGCTGCCCCTCAGAGAAGCTATCTGAGCCCTAACGGTCCTGTGACACCTAATGTAGTGCCCACGGTTTCGCCAATGGATAGTATAATGACTACCAACGCGCGTCGAAAAATTAGATTGAAGCCAGGGCATTCACCACTAGACTGGGAGACAAAAAAGAAGACATCGAACATGAAAGGCTCCATTGATCCTAGAGATTTTCCATTGCGAGTGACAAAGGAGGAGCTGAACAAACATAATAAAGAGAATGATTTTTGGATTTGTCTAAATCATAAGATATACAATTTATCACCCTATCTTGATTACCATCCGGGGGGTGTTGAGATCTTGATGAAGTGTGCCGGAAAAGACGGGACGTTTTTGTTTAACAAATACCATAAATGGGTGAATTATGAAAGGATCCTAGATGCATGTTTTATAGGTTTTCTGGTCTGAAAACAGTATCAATCGCATTAATGTACATTAAATATAGCACTACTCAAACTCAGAACACACTTCTGCCACTAAGTCAACAAGCCTCCTATCATATCTTTCGCCATGGTTCAAAAGCTCGGCATAATGCCGTTTGAATGCAAAATAATATGAACCTTTCTCTTTCATGGGCAATGCATTCCAATTTCGTGCTTCACCTCCAGAAAGGCGCTCGTAGAGTTTTTGAGGGGTGATGATCTGATATCTAAACTCAGATGTGCTCGACAATTCCCTATATCGGCTATCAAGGAAAAGTCCAAATCGTTGTTTGACACTCAGGTTTCTTGACTCATGTAGTTCCGAATCAGAAGATTTTCGTTTCAAATTTAGCTGCTGAAGTGTGTTGCGCAATATCTCGTCTTTTTCGATATTCGGCTCGGAAAGTCTCATTCTTTGCAATCGCACAGTTTCGTATGATATTGTGGTCTCGTCCATTGAACATTCGTTTCTGTTTTCATGCCTTTCGATGAGGACGTTCTCTCCAGCCGATCTACCAGCCATCATTTCAAATCTATTGATCTTCTCTGGAAAAGCTAGGTCTTCAACACGCTCCGCACTCAACGGTTTATGAGGCTTTGATGGGGTGGATGTTATATCAAATTGATATGAGATATCTTGTTTCGGTACACATTCCTCATAGTCGATAACGGACCCTTCTGTCGTGTTATCAGTATCAATGTGGTGAGACTTTTCAACATTCCTTGTTAAATCGGACTCCAGCAGGTATGGAACACTTTCCGATGATTGTAAACTGGCTTCATCTGTTGACGGATCAGCAGAGATCTCTAGTATTTCAAATTGTTGGTTAAAGTTTGGCTCAACTGGAAGAGATGTGTCTTGGGTGTTTTCCATCAATACTAAATAAGGAGCCTGATTCAATGACTTGTCTGCTGTTGTGTTTATTTCGCTTTCCGTAGAGAACTCGATGTCTTCCTTCGTCGGAGAACTTTCAATGAATCTGCGGAGTTCTGAGTCGTTAGCAGAGGAGTAGTTAATGTATGCTCTCGTCCAGTCTTTTTTATCTAATACCATGGAGTATTCCTTTAGAGATGTGGTCCAGAACTCGACCAGGCTCGATCTGCTCGCAGGGGAATTTGTGAAGATGAGGTTGCGAGTTTCTAAACAGTGCCTAGCAAAGTTCGTTAGCGGCGTGGAGACCTCAAAAAAGATCCCCGGGTTATTATTGAGACACATAAGTCGATCTTTGAAAACATCAAAATGCTGTTGTATTTTATCCTTTGGTGGCTTTATACCGGACTTTTCAAGCTCCCGCGTCAACTTTTCAATCAGGTGACCTTTTTCACATGATATGATAAACACGGACGCCAGAAAGTCCATATTTCTTGACATCTGTATTTTGGAGTAATCTTTGCGCATCGATTTGAGGGACAACGTCTTTTTGAGTCTGCTGAATTTGAAGAGTTTATTTTCTGCTTTGTGTGTTTCTTTGATTGTGCAACGTAAGTAGTCAATGTAATCTGTAGCGGGCTCCATTAAGTACTGGTTTGGGATTTTGAAGTGTCTAACGATGTCATTAAAAGTGGATAGCGCGAGTTCATAATCAGCTTCGGTATACACAGTATCAAAATTCATAGGTCCATTCACCTTGACCCTTTCGGCGTTCAGTATTTCAGTATCCTCAAAAGTAGCTGATTGTGGTGTTTTTGGAGGTTCGATCAATCGTGTTTGAGGCATGAAAGGCAATTTGAGCGACACAATGGTCAGCTGTCCGGGCCGCGCCGGGTGTCTTCTTAACTTGTGGAGTCCTAGTTTTCCCATAACGTAATCCCCTGGCAACTGTAATGATGAAAGATGTTGGATTTTGTCGAAAGTGCGAATGGATTCAAAATACGCTTGGTCTCTGAAAACATGGAACGAGCCCAAGCACTTAAAGAAGCGCAAAGTGACACGAAGTATGAGACATAGTGGATCTAGACTCGTATCATGTGGTTGCATCATGAAACATGCTAGTGATTTGCGGTGTCAGTATGGTTTGTTTGGGGCTGGGGTGACAGGTATAAAATAATAATGTTTATTTTTTCCCCCATAGGGTCTGCAATGATTAAATTCACATCCCTGCACACAAAGTGGTTTTTCGGAACACATGTTATACAGCCAAAGCTGCTTCGTAGCTACCATCCACCAAATCGCAACTTCAGCGTCTCACATGGAAGCACAGTATTTTATACTATATCATAAGCTATAAATTAGATTTGCAGCAGGACGATTCGGCGCCGGACTCTGGGAAGTACTGGGACTTGTTGAAGCTCTGGGTCGACTGAGGCACCGAAAGAGCAGGGTTCTTGTCAAAAAATCCAAACGGAACAAGGGCTATTTCATGGGCCTCAACAGGCATCACCGGGAAGTCCTCGACTCTAGGGATGTGGGTGAAGCCTAGAGTTGCCCAGACCACTGGGTCGTCGTTTCTAACGTTTTCGTCACGTCTTGCCCAAACACCCAATCCGGTGTCTGTTTGGGATTGGTTGGTGAACTCGCCAGCAGCGTAGAGCTCATTATCTCTATATTTGGTAACCCAGACTTGCTGAGTGGCGAATTGAGCTCTCTTGTTGTTGTACGAGTCCTCGTCGGCGAGCAACATTTGTCTGGCTGGCATCATAATCTTGTATGCCACAGGTTTCTTAGATATTGGGTTGATTTTGTTCTCGTTGATAATCTTGTACGATCTGTTGGTGAACGGAGACTGTTCGACATAACCTGGCTTCTCAACAACGGTCCTCTCGGTCACAAATCCAACATTGTATGGGTTCAGCTTGGTATTCTTCTCCATACGAACCACGTCGTCGAAAACCACGGTGTTTTCGTAACCGTCTACAGCAGGATCAATTCTGAACGAAAGCATGTGCTGGTGATAGGCAGCCATGACTCTTGGGCCGACATTGGTACCCCAAGGGACAGTGACGTCTTTGTCCAGAGGCATGGTGGACAGAATACCTGTTGCTCTGACGTGAATTCTGATTTCGCCGGCCTGATCGAAAATGATGTTTAGCATGTACTCGTAGTTGGCAACGGTGGCAATGGTCTGAACAACGAATTCTCTCCTTCTGGCAATCACAGGAACGTTAGTTCTATAGTTGGTGTGTTTGTACAGTAGTCCTCCGTCCTGCTCGTGCAAACAGACAGTGTTAGGAATCAAAACAGAGTCACCGCTGGTGTTGACCCTTCTGCAGTCCATGTATTTGATGACTCCCAGGCAGTCACATCCCAGAGCCAAACTGTTTCCAGTGGCACCAAAACCGCAGTCTCCCAAGTCGAAGGCCTGTTTTCTGTGGAACGGAGCTCTTGGGTCACCGTACGGCACCGTCATTTCAGACAACGACAATCTATAAACGATAGATCTGCCCTTGAAATGGATGTCGTATATGGCAAATCCTTCTCTTGCAGTAGGTATCACGAAGAACTCCCATCCCTGCCACGAGATCTTGTGACCATCAACGCTAAAACTTGGTCCCTCAGGCTGTTGGACAATTAGTGGTTTGAGAGGTAGGATAGTCTCCCCGTTGAGATCAGGATGGTACTCCACGAAGGGGAACTCGTCCCAAGCCTGCGTCTCGGTCACAGTTTCATCGGCTCCTCCTGGCAAGTAGTCCATTCTCACAAACTTCTTGGTGAGACACTCAAAAACGGGGGAAAATTTAAGCGGCAGTGAGTAGTGGTTGGATTCTGGATGGGCAGCGTTGGCCAGATACATGTAGCACTGAATCAACACTCTGTCCTCCTTGCTGTCAGTTCCGTTCATCCAAGGGTCGCAGACGACTCTGACATGGGATGGGAGTTTGAGCTTTTCAATCTCTGCCTTGACGATTGGGTGTGTAGTTGCAAGCTGCTCGATTTCTTGAATGTCCTCGGCGATCAGTGGGCCAATAACGCCCTTGGGTTGTTTTTGATTGGTGATGATGTGTCCATAGGTCACGTTCACGAGAGCCTTGTAGAAGTCCAGGCCAATATAGTAGTAAACGTAAGTCATTCTCGAGATGTGAGGAAGAGGCTTGCCACTTCTCTCAGCCTCAAGATATCTGATCATATCCTTTTTTGGCGGGTCCAGTCTGTCGATCTGAATAAAGTGTGGCTTTTCTGGGCCCTTAGTGGCATCCTTGATGAGCTGAGAGGTGAGCTGGAGCTCTGCGTCGGAAATGGGGTCGAACGGGTGAACCATTTTGCGAATAACTTGTAATCCGGATCCACTGTTGGTTTATATATGCACCCCGGAAAAATAATTTTTCATGGATTACTTGCGAGGACCTTCCGGATAAGGAAGGAGAATGCATTGGGATAGAGTTGTCAAATTTAGCTGCTTGCGCTCAGTGTTATCGGCTAGAAAAAAATCCATATAGGTGGCTATTAGTAGCTATAAACTAGATTTGCAGCAAGCTCCTTCTGAAGATGCTTCCGGATAATACTCAGACTTGTTGAAGCTCTGAGTGGACTGCGGAACGTCCAACGCCGGATTCTTATCAAAGAAGTCGTTTGGCACGATAGCAATCTCGTGTGTCTCCACAGGCATCACAGGGAAGTCCTCGACTCTAGGGATGTGGGTAAACCCGAGAGTTGCCCAGACCACTGGGTTATCGTTTCTAACATTCTCGTTCCTGTAGGCCCACTTCTTGAGACCAGTGTCTTTCTGCGACTGATTGGTGAACTCGCCAGCAGCAAACAGCTCGTTGTCCCTGTACTTTGTAACCCAGACTTGCTGGGTGGCGAAATGTGCCCTCTTGTTGTTGTACGACTCTTCGTCAGCGAGCAGCATTTGTCTGGCCGGCATCATGATTTTGTACGCAACAGGCCTTTTCGAGATGGGGTTGATTTTATTCTCGTTAATGATCTTGTAAGATCTGTTGGTGAAAGGAGACTGCTCGACATAGCCCGGCTTCTCGACGTATGACCTCTTTGTCACAAAACCAACACCGTAAGGGTTGAAGCTAGTTCCGGCTGGCATGTTTTCAACATCGTCATAAACGACGGTATTTTGGTAGCCATCGACAGCGGGGTCGATCCTGAACGAGAGCAGATGCTGGTGGTAAGCAGCCATCACCATAGGTCCAACGTTGGTGCCCCAAGGCACGGTGAGTCCTTCGTCAATCGGCATGGTCGAAAGAATACCTGTTGCTCTGACGTGGATTCTGATCTCACCCGCTTGATCAAAAATAATGTTGAGAATGTATTCATAGTTAGCAACCGTGGCGATGGTTTGAGCAACAAACTCCCTTCTTCTGGCGGTGACCGCACCGCCAGTCCTATAGTTCATGTGCTTGTAAAGCAGACCCCCATCCTGTTCGTGCAAGCAAACGGTGCTTGGGACTAGTTTCGGCTGGCCTTTTGAGTCCGTAATGGAACAATCCAGATATTTGATCACACCGACACAGTCGCAGCCCAGCTTGAGAGAGTTACCAGTGGTTCCAAATCCAGAATCTCCCAAGTCAAATGCCTGTTTTCTATGGTAAGGGGGTCTCGGGTCGCCGTAAGGCACTGTCATCTCGGAAAGAGACAATCTATAGACAACCGACCTTCCTTTGAAATGGATGTCGTAAATTGCAAATCCCTCTCTGGCTGTTGGCACCACATAGAACTCCCATCCTTGCCACGAGATCTTGTGACCATCAACGCCAAAACTTGGTCCCTCGGGCTGCTGAACAATCAATGGCTTGAGTGGTCTAGGAGTCTCCCCGTTGAGGTCTGGATGGTACTCAACAAACGGGAATTTAGTCCAAGGCTTAGTTTCAGTGACAAAGGTTTCGTCAACTCCGGAAGGCAGATAGTCCATCCTCACGAATTTCTTGGTCAAACACTCAAAAACAGGTGAGAACTTAAGCGGCAGAGAATAGTGGTTGGACTCAGGGTGCGAAGCATTGGCCAAATACATGTAGCACTGAATCAGCAGTCTCTTCTCTTTAGGGTCGTCTGTTCCGTAGATCCAGGGATCGCAAACTACTTTGATGGATGGTGGCAGCTTAAGCTTCTTGATCTCCGCTTGGACGAGCGGGTGCACAGTCAATAATTCCTCTATTGCTGTGACATCCTCCCAAACCAGCGGCCCAACAACTCCTTCTGGCTGTTTCTGAGTGGTAATCAGGTGGCCATAGGTGCAATTTACAAGAGACTTGTAGAAGTCGGTTCCCAGATAAAAGTAGGCGTAGGTGATTCTGGAGATCTGAGGAAGTGGCTTTCCGGTCTTCTCGGCCTCTAGGTATCTGATCATATCCTTCTTTGGTGGGTCGAGTCTGTCTATTTGGCAAAAATGAGGCTTCTGCGAGGCTTTAAGGGAGTCTTTGATCACCTTGGAGGTGAGCCGGATTTCGGCATCGCTGATAGCATCAAAAGGATGAGCAACCATTTTAGCAGCCGATAAGGATGGAGGCAGCGTACTTTTGCACGCTTTATATAGAAAATAGCATCTGGGCCGTAATCGCGAATGGGATCCCGAATTTACCCAGCTGGGAAGATAATGCAGGTTGCAGAATACTTAGTCAATACTCGCGAAAAAGAATAAAAATAAATGATGCTCTCATCTAGGAAATTGGCGGCCCTGCGTATCCGCTACGGCCATTGAGCAACATACACTATGCTGGCGGCTCGTGAAAAGGGGTCCTAGCGGTCTGTCCCGATTAATGGGCTTTTTAGTGTTCCGTTCACTGTAGTGTCTCAGAATTTTGCCTGTTTGGGTATATCCACTAGGTTTACGCTGACCTGCCAATTACATATCTATGCAACTATTCCAATCAATCTAGTCAAAAAAGTCGTCTTCTTCGTCCTCCTCCTCGTCCTCGTAATGGGTCGAGCGGCGATCAAACACGATCTTGGTCTCGTTGCCCTTCCGTTCCTCTTTGGACACTTTTTCTAGAATCTCCACAATGTCGCTCTCCGAAATCTTTGTTCTAATGGCTCCAGATTTGAACAGCCTCAGCAGATAGCTCTCCACCGATGCTACTCTCTCAGGTCTGACCATCCGGACACGGGAGAGACGCTCTTTGGCCTGTGGCTCTAAAATCTGGGACAGTATCGACTGAGTGGGATCATTTTGATTTCTGAGTGTTAGTCCGCCGTCAGTCGCGTTCTTGCACTTACGACTTGTTTTCTTGTGTTTGTGATCCGCCACCTTGTGCGTTTCGCTGCAATTCGGCCAACCTCGCGGCCCGGATAGCTGCTAATTCTGAGTCGTCCATCGTATTCAAACTTGAGTGCAGAGATTTTTTTTGCGTCGATCGGCGCAATATCTCGATAGATAAGCACCTTTCTCCTTCAACGTTTCGCATGATTTCCGAGCAGGGCTCGCTGAAGCCCTTCATTGGGGAATCCGGCAATCCTTTACTCCCCAAGAGCAGCGGTCTGGAGCTTTCCGGCATGAAACATGTCTCGAATACCAAACATGCTCAGAAAGTGGCTATCCACGAGCTGCTGGACTTAGAGGACCTCGACCTCGACCACAGCTCACTGCGCAAAATACCTGGTTCTATCCCACCTGTCGCCTACCTGATCTGTTTGGTTGAGCTCGCCGAAAGAGCGTCTTACTATGGACTTACCGGATGTCTAAATAATTTCATCCAGAGACCACTGCCACCGGGCTCGACCACGGGCTCGGTGCTCGATCCGACCTCAGACGAGAGCGCAGGCGCTCTTGGTCTTGGACTTGGTGTCGCCTCGTTTCTGACGCAAATGCTCAGCTTTTTGGCCTATGTCACTCCGTTATATGGCGGATATGTCGCTGATACAAAATACGGCAAATTCAAGAGCGTCTGGGTAGGCGTGACCATTGGCTTTTTTGCTCATATGGTGCTTGTCGTGGCTTCTTTGCCGTGTGTGATCAACACCGTCTGGTTGTCTTTGCTTTTGACTGTCGTCAGCATTGTAGGTATTGGTTTTAGTGCTGGCTACATTAAACCGAATCTTTTCCCTTTGCTGGTGGACCAGTACGCTATTGACGAGAACTATATCAAGGTCCTTCCTACAGGAGAGCGGGTGGTTGTTGACCGAAATGCCACACTCGAGCGAATGAGTTTGATCTACTATTTCTTTATCAACTTCGGCTGCTTCGTGGCCATCTTTTCCTCCATCATCGAAAGAGCTTTTGGGTTTTGGATGACATATGGGTTCACTGCTCTCGTGTATTCGGTCCTTCCAATAATGCTTATTTACCTCAAACCTCGCTTGCATCTGGGTGAGCCAACAGGCGTGTCAATTTTTGACGAGGTCATTCTTTTGCTCAGAGAGCTATTTCAGTCTGGCTGGATCTCCAGAATGCGCCACGGCCAGTTTTGGGACATCCCAATCTCCGCAGCTACGCAAAAACTGGCTCCCTCCGTGACGATCGATGACTTGAACACCACGTTTCAATCTTGTGCCATTTTTCTGTACTTCATCATCTTCAACTTGAATGACGGGTCTATTGCCTCCATCCAGATCAATCAGGCAGGCTCAATGAGAACCAATGGGATCCCCAATGATATGTTCCAGTCTTTTAACCCTCTAGCAATCCTGATAATCATCCCAATCCAGGACTATGTGCTCTATCCATTTCTGCGCAAACGGCGACTTACCTTCCACCCAATTCATAAGATAACCGTTGGATTTTGTGTCTCGGCTACGGGTACACTAGTTGGGGCATATCTCCAATATCTAATTTACAACCGGAGCAATTGTGGATGGAACGGAGCCTCCGATTGTGAAACAGTGGCCCCGATATCAGCTTGGTGGTGCTCCCTGATGTTTGGGCTACAAGCTACCGGAGAATGCTTCGCGACTGTGACTGCCTACGAGCTAGCATATATGATGTCATCTCCGGCAATGAAAAGCTTTGTGGTGGCCCTCTTCCTATGTTCGAACGCAATCTCGAGCGTCATCGGCGAGATGATCAGCTTCTGGGCACACGATCCCAATCTGTATGCCATCTTCATGAGCTGTGCACTGCTTGGTTACGGCTTCGCTTTCGTGTTTTTCTTGCAGTTCCGAAACCTACATAAACATTTGGAAAATTGATTGACCTGACCTCCCTAATTCTATGTTTATATATACATGATCACACGTTTGTAAGTCCCTGTTGCTTGACCTCATTAATTTTGTCGTAATTGATTTCATCTAAAATGGCTTTGGCGCCTCCATTAATCAGCAACAATGCCAGCTCATGACCAAATGCAACAGCTTCTTCAAAGTTCTCGACCTTTCTAGTTAAGATCTTCTCAACAGATTGCGTTCCCTCGACACTTAGCACAACAGATTTCATGTACAATTCGTGGGTGTCTTTGTTATAATCGGACCAAACTCCCACTGGAACAGAGCATCCTCCTTCTAAAGTGCGCAGGAGTTCTCTTTCAGCACGGCATCTAATTGAGGTCGACTTGCAATCCAACCGTTGACAAATTTTTTTCATCTTGGGATCATTTTTACGGATTTCAACTCCAAGAGCTCCCTGTCCAACAGCGTAAAGCATCTCATCAGGCCCCAAGAATTGCGTAATTCTGTGGCCCATATTTATTCTGATCAGGCCAGCAGCGGCCAGAATGACACATGCGTAATCGGAATCCGGAGCATCAAGTTTGCTAATTCTGGTATTAAGGTTTCCTCTGATGCTCTTGAAAGTCAAGTTTGGATGGTTCTTCAGTAACTGCGCGGATCTTCTAACGGAGGAAGTTCCCACCACAGAACCGTCTGGCAGGTCAGAAAGGGACTTGTACGGGGAACCTTTTCTCATGACTAGCGCGTCTCTTGGGTCTATCTTAGTTAGTAAAAAGCAAATGACCATCATCAGAATAAGATCTTTCCTCAATATGATTAGGAAGTCTAACGTCTATTAAAAAATCTTTAAGTTCATCATGATGGTTCAGATGTAACTTACCTTCTCTTTGGAGAATGCATCCGAGTTCGAATTCGTCTGGTAGACTAGTAGGCATGTCCTTAAGCGAGTGGACAATCATGTCTATTTGTTCGAACTCACCAAAGCTCTGAAGTAGAAGAATCTCCAACTCTTTGGTCCATAGCGACTTACCGCCAAATGAGTACAGCGGTTTATTTTGCACTTGGTCACCCAAAGTGCTCAATTTGACAATGGGAGTTTGTAAATTTGGATAAAGCTTTTGTATGCCCGAACCAACAATTTCAGATTGAACGACAGCCAGCTGGGATTTTCTCGAGCCGATGCGAACAGTATTGTTAGGTATGTCAAGGTCTTCTTCCGCCTCAGCAAGGGTGGGTCCAGACTTTGATTGCTTATTAATAAAAACTGATGCCGACGAGTCGTAAACAACCGTTTCTTTCTTCACAGCGGAAGAAGCGGAGTTCGCTGTCTGCGACATCTTTTGCTGTGATTGTGGCAATTGTGCTGGTCCTAATGAGTGGATGTTATGCAATTTGTTGAGTGGTGATTGGTGAAGCGGTGACGACAACATTGGATGTGTAATAAGATTAAAGCTCGAAACGCTCTGACTGACGTCAAAGAAATTTAACTAAAAGAAATGATAGATTGACGAGAATAGAGAAGAAAACAACTTGAAAATCTTCCCGATCTTAATACTTCGTTCTAGTTGATAATTCTTTTAGTTTTATAGGCTGTTGAAAAGTCTTTTTTTTTTCCTCGCAGGTTCAAGGTGTAGCTTACTCTGGATTTCTAATCTTGATTGGGAAAAATGAACTTTTCGCCAATAAAAAAACAATAATTTGTAATTGGAGGACGGATTAAAACTGCTCAATGTAAAATCGAGAGAGTCTTATAGGCTTTTTTTGCTAATCCCTCGAGAACAATAGCAACAATAAAAACAGAAATTCCTACAATACAGTAAAATTCTTGCCGTTTTTTCGCACACCTCAGCCCGGGAGGATCAGACCAGCATCTTCAAACCAGAACTCTGTTTCTTCAATTTGCCCCACGCAATTGCAAATAATGTACGCGATCAATTAGACTTCCATCAGAATTACACAAAAATCGTTTGCTCTTTATTAAATGACAATTCCTTCATGTCTAAATTAGTACCCATAATTCTGTACTCACTAATAATGGGGGTCAGGTAGGTGATCTCTCAGCATATAAGGCCATTTCTAACTTTAGCTCCTTCATTTCGGGCCTGATTCCCTTATCAATCAGTTTCTCGGCAAATAGTCTTCATCTGGTTTCCGTCTTCAGTGTAGGCCTGCTAATCTCAACTGCATTTGTGCTTATCATTCCCGAAGGACTGGAACATTACACTGTTCATGAACCGATAGGTTTATGGCTTTTGGCTGGTTTTGTCGTGTTATTCAGCATAAATTCCATTACTTCCATAGCCAACTCCAACACGTGTCTCCCATCGCAATTCGAACAATCTTTTCAGCTATCGCATCTAAGCGATGAGTTCATACGACCATTGTCTCCTCCAGAGTCCGCACAGGCCGAGCCACAACTGGAGCGTCCATTCGTTGCTTCAAAACCAGAAAAGAATATGCTGTTAGCACCTTTCAAAAACCCAAGAACTTTAGGACTCATAATTCATGCGCTCACAGATGGTATTGCCTTGGCATCTTCCATAATGTCAGACTCTGATGAGTCTGTCAACTTCACATCTCTGTTTGTTGTTTTTGCCATCTTCATCCATAAACTACCTACTTGCTTCGCTCTATCCTCTCTCCTGCTTGCTGCCGGAACATCCAACAAAGAGATTCTCTACCATGTTGGAGTTTTCTCATCATCGTCACCAATCGGTGCACTTTTGACTTACTTCATGGTGTCATTTGTTATCAATGGTAATTTCAATGAGGCCGCTGGCGAGCTTCTGGTCTTCAGTGGCGGCGCTTTTCTGTTTGTTGGATTTCATGCTCTTCACGAGACTCTGAACCCTAACAAAAGTCCAAAAGATAAAACTTCGCAATTCAAAGGGCTCGGTCTGTGCTTACTAGGAATGATCATACCCGCATTTATTGCATTCGTCAAAGACGAGGCATAAACGATATAGCGCTTCTTTCTATAATAGACCAATAAATACACATCTTGTATTTTATTCAAGGCTTACTTGCGCCTGAGAGCTTTGCGGTTCAACCACTTATCCTTTTTCGACTTGATATTACTTGTTGGGACGCTCAACAGACCCCTGTTCTTGCTAAGAAGCTGAACTCGCACAGGACCTTTCCTCACAACTGTTTTACTCATTCCACGAGCCTCCTTGATCTTAGCTGCCAACAGCTCCTTTCGACTCATATCCGGCTCCTCATCGTCGAACACAATTTTTTTAGGCTTCTCGAGCTCCTCTTCTGCTTCATAGTTTTGCAGCAGATCTTGAGGAAGAAAGTTTGGGGTTTCGTCAACTTTCTCAGCCCGTTTTTTGCGTTGTTCCGCCTGTTCACGATTTCGTTGTTCAATCTGCTTTCTTCTCTCTTTCTTTTCCCTTTCAATGTCTCGCAGTGCAGCACGCTCAGCTTCTATTTTCGCTATCACTTTTTCTTTTCCTGTATGTAAAGTTTCCTCTTCAGGGGCGTCATCGCTGTCGTCTTGCTCCTCATCATTGATGTCTATATCGTCGGGTTTACCCTCTTTGACTCTCTCGTGTACATTTTCATCTAGCCTTTTGTGGCTTCGCAAATTTCTGCTTGACATTTATGATGGGTATTATTTTAGCAAATTTTTTTTTAGATCTCTCCATCTACGTCTATCGACGCGACTGACTATCTGACCGACAATCAATAAGCCCAAGTGCGCAAAGAATCTTATACCAAAGTATGACAACGATGTCACCATTCCCTGTGCAATATAAGATTATGCTAAGAATGACAAGAATTATGACAGCCCCTAGAGTAAAGTAGAGTTTATGAGCACTCACAAAGCTTAAAATTGGGGATGGTAGTTCAGAACCTTCCTCGCAAATTGTACGACAGACGGCGTCTCCCAGGTCCCTTGATACTGTCTCATCAATGACACAGGTTCCATCTCCTGACTCAAGTAAATTCTGAGTGTTCAAAAACTCCTCATAGTCTTTATATTTCCTTGGAACTTTCTTGGATTCTTCGTACCTGGAGCTGTATCGGGGCTGGTAGGGTTCCGGTACACTCAGTTGATTGTTACTAGAGGTGGAAGGTTGCCCATTCGTGGATCCATACTTTGAAGCAGACATATTAAATTACCTAGATATATTAAGCGCTAGACCCCCTTTTTCTAAAAATCCTGTATTTTAAAAAGCTGGGGGCTTGCAGTACAGAGGTTTATACCCAAACTCTGAATACGAGTATAAGGGTTGAAACAATAAGGAATCCAAAACCAACTAAGCCGAAGGCAAACCTGTTGCTGGAAATGAACCCCTTTAGACCTCTAAGGTACTGGTGGTATCTGGGCTTGGGATTTCTGGTATCGGAGGCACAATCCGCCTCACAGACAGGCAAGATCGGCCTAGTTTCTTCGTCTGTAGGCCCTGACGTTAAATAAGATCTGAGGGAATCAACAACCAGAATGTTTCTGAATGAAGGGCAATTTTCTGAGTCCTTATGCTGAGGTGGATCGTTTGCCAACGGATCTGGGCTTATGGAAATTGGTATCATATTCTCCACGTGAGATACCATACTACACAAGGAACCTCGCTGGCTTCCATATTCGTTTGTAGAGCCAAAGTTTGTCGGCTCTTCCTTCAACTTGGGAGACGGTGCCGCAGAACCGATATCAGATAAGTTGTCAAAAGCAGTTTTGATTTTTTTGGGCGACTTCGACCTTGTTGGAGATGACATGCGGCTTTGAAGTCTATTGAGAGTGGAGGTGATTGAGCTTGAAGACCTAGGTCTTCCTTCCTTATGGTATCCTCTCAAGGGATTCAAAACCATACTAAAAAAAATCAGGTATTAAGTTTTGGCGCCCATTCGGGGGATTTTAGGGATACGCGACATATTCGAATGTCGTACACCGCCTGTCAAATATTTACAGCCTTGATGCATACACTAAAGTTGAGACCGCCGTTGCCGTTTATTGCTCACTTCGGCCTCGGAACCCGACTTTTCAACGATACGCTTCAACATCGCCTTTCCTTTTAATTTACCACCTCCACTGATGTATTCGAGGCGATTCAAATTGAAACGCAAAGTTTCGGCCAGCAGCTCGTCCTTAAGGCCGTCAAGCTGGTACCAAACATGATACTTGGTAAGCCTCTGGCCAGTGGCAAAAATATCCTTCATTTTTTGCTGAACCTCTGGAAGCGGATTAGCACTATTCTTGATCAGTTCTGCAAATTTGTACGGAACTTCCACCAATCTCAAAGTACTGGTCGAGTAGATTGGGACAGGCTTGACATCTTCATCTCCCAGATCCTGAGGTTCCAAATCTTCGTCATTGACCTGCTTGGAAGTTCTAGTTTTTCTCTTTGCCGGCCCCCAATTCCGTTTAGTCCTTTTCTTCTTTTTAGTAGACTTCTTTTTATCGCCCGCTTCTTCAGCTTCTTCGATCTCAATTTCCTCATTCTCTTCGTCCTCCTCTTTTATCTCAACACTTTCCTCTGATTGTTTTTCACGTTCTTCCTTTTCATTTTCTGCTTTCATTTTTGCTTCCTCCTCCCTCTTTTTGCGCAATTCATAGGCATCAATCTCTGATTGATTGTGAACCATAACAAAAGAAATCAGTAATTCAACAAACAATTTCCTGTATTTTTTTGACAAATCCGAAGATGATGCTGAAGGAGGAGGAGAGGCGGACACTGCCGGTTTGAGCGAGCCTTCCTTTGAGTTACCGTCCTGTGGATGGTCACCGTTCTCATCATCGGCTTTGTCCCTTTCGTCAATAATTTCGATGATTGAGTCCTTGGGGAAATAAAATCGAGAGGAATTATTTTCATGGAACTCGATAATCAGCGTTGCGTCTTTTGTGTACCTCTCTTGAAAAGCCGTTAGCCGGTCGTCTCCAGCAAGCAACTTCTCCAATTTCGCTTTCTCCTCCTGTCGCTTCTTCTCTCTCTTCTCTCTTCTTTCTCGTTCCTTATCCATTTCAAATTCGTCGCCAAAATCTATAGGCCCAAGGTTCAATTTTTGCCGTTCCTGACGTTCTCTTTCCAACCGTGCCTTACGTTCTTTGCGCTCTTGTCTTTCTCTCTCCTTCTCCAGTCTCTCCTGCTCTTTCTGCAGCTGTTTCTTCCTCTTCTTTTCTTCCTTTTCCTTGGCTTTCCTCTCCTTTTCTTCTTGTTTAAGGCGTTCTCTTTCCTCTCTAGTAAGCTGTCTACGCTCACTATTCGCAGATTCCTGGCTTCTTCGAAAAACGTTCTGTCTATCCTCAACTTGTTGCTGAATTTTTTGAAAATAGCCTGCTGGATTCCCCATTTGACGAGCTCTTTGAATATAGCGTTGAAATTCTGCTATCTGATCACCGGAAGCGTGACCAGAGGCAACAATTTTCATTAGAGAGCTGAGATGCGAATCTGAGCGAGCAATAAGATTCAGGTTTTGAATCATCATTGCGTTTTCTGGGTTGGCCATGAGATCGTTAGATTTGCCGTCCTCAACTGGTTTTGGAGGTGCAGGCTGAGGAAGAGAAACAGGAGTTGACGGTTGCTTGACAGCCTTGGATGGCGGGGCCATAACAGAAGATTCCTTCTTGACTGGTGTTTCTGAGCTGATTTTAGTCGGATCAAGAGGCTTACTCAGCCTTTCATCTCGAAGTTTTTGTCTTTCCTCTCTTTTGCGTTCCAACTCTTCGAAATAACGTTTTTCCTTCTCTTCCTCTTTAAGGATAAATAGCCTAATCTCAAATGTATGCGGTCCGGCAACAAGCTTCATGTCGCACATCTTGCTGAGTCGGTCTTTTTTTCGGCCATCTGCAGGAGTCATATATTGTTCTCGTCTAGTCCAAAATGTCTTAAAAACATTATGGAGCCAGTGATGACGAGACACTATCAGCGAGTTATATAGAGTAGCGGAGTCTCTGATCGAGAGAGGGTTGTCTAGTTGTTCATAATCTGGTTCCTGCTGTGACAATGGAAGATTTTGTACGACTTTGAACGGTCTATTGAGACGTTGTTTGTATGCTGCCTCCTTGTCTATCACTTCGGACTGTTCAATCAAAATAACATTATTAGACCGACTGAGCTTGTGTTCAGTCGTTGGGGTTGTCACTCCAGCCTCGAACGAAGAACTGGGGTTGGTACTAGACATAACTAATATAGTTTTTTGCCTTAAGTTTTCACCCTTACACCTATTTTTTCAAGCTTGCACGCGTGAGATCAAAACATCTTTATGGGCACTCGTCTAGCATCGCAGAATGATCTTGATCTGAGCTCCTTCACCAAGAAACTGAAGCTACCCTATAAACCTGATCTGGAACAGTATGACACTGGTGCCATACTGCGGGTAAAGCTTCGCAACTTCATGTCGTACTCGCTCACAGAATTTCACTTCGGCCCCAAAATGAATCTGATTATAGGACCTAATGGAACTGGAAAATCCACTTTTGTCTGTGCCGTTTGTATTGGACTGGCAGGAAAGCTTGATTTTCTAGGTAAGAGTTCTATGAATGTGGATCAATTTATAAAATCGGGAGAAAAAGAAGCCAGTATCGAGTTGGAACTCAAGGCTGCTGAGCAGTTTGAAACGGTAACAGTTGAAAGAGAATTTGTAAGAAGAGGAAAAACAAGCTGGTACATCAACAAGAAGCCTTCGAACGAGGTTCAAGTCAAGAAACTGCTGAAAGATTACAATATACAGCTCGATAATCTGTGCCAATTTCTGCCTCAAGATAGAGTGGCAAGATTTGCATCACTCAAACCGGAAGAGCTACTCAAGGAGATCGAAAGACTATACAAAAATGGCGAGCTTTTGGAACAGCATAACAAACTAATCGAGCTTTACTCTCTGCGTCAAGAAAAAATAAAAGCTCTGGCAGACATAGACTTCCAGCTTACATCTTTGCGAGAAAAGCGCGAATCATTGGAGGAACGTGCACAGCAATACCACGAGTATCAGCGATTGGAAAAAGAGCTTCAAAGACATGAAACATTACGCCCTTATGTTGAGCTGAGTACCAAAAAACATGCTCGTGAAGAGTTGAAGCAGGAGGCGGAAGAGATGAGCGAAAAAATCAGAGAGTTTGACCAAAAGATCCTCCCAATGAAAGAGAAATTACAACAGTTTCACCGTAATTTGGGCAGTACTGAGACGCGAATAAACGAATACACTTCTACAAAAGAGAAATATACCGAAGAGCTGGAACAGAGTCTGGAAGCTATCAAGGAGATTAATTCCGAGATACAAAAGTTAAACGACCAGAGACTCTCGCTGGCAACAGATCTGGAAACGCACCGCAAGAAATGGCAGCAATTATCTGAAGAGCTTGACACGATGACGCACAAATTGGATTCGCTTGAGATTCTCAGTAAGGAGGAGACACAGGAGCTTAGGGATCGCAGAACATCTATTCAGGACAAGCTGTTGGAAGAACAGGAGCCAATAGATGGTCTGGAGACAGATAAAAGAGCACTGATGAGGATTAATGAACAACTAGAGAACCGCATCAAGACGAGTGAGAGCAGTCTGAAGTCTAAAGACCGACTACTTGTTTTAGATTCACAAAGATTTGGCAACATAATAAAAGCCGTCAAACTTTTGAGAGAAAACCGAAAGAAGATGAAGCTAGAATATTTCGAGCCGCCGATTATCTCATTGACTGTCACCGATGCGAAGTACGGGCCCGCTTTAGAACGGTCCATTAGGTTCCAAAATCAATGTGCCTTCACTGTGCGCAATAATGAGGACTATCAAAACTTGGCATACTTTCTCTATGAAAAGAATCCTGACATTGGACGCAACATTGGTATCCGTACCTTGAGTGAAAACTTCAATTTTCAGCCACGCATTCACAGGGAAGAGATAAAAAAGTACACTTTCGACGGATACCTGGTGGATTTCGTTGAAGGCCCACGGGAGGTAATTCAGATGGTGTGTGAGAATGACAGGATTCACAATATCCCAGTGTCTCATCGGGATATCGACGCGTCCATCAAAGATGCTCTTTCTTACAAGATCCGAAACGAAAACTTTCCTATGAGCGAGTTTATTGCTGGTGAAGCCTACTATTCGTTTAATAGGTCGAACTATGGGTCTAAGCAGGTTACCGCGAACATCAGGGGCTTCTCTGCAAATCGTATCTCCATCTTCTCAGGTGGTCTACCAGATGATAAACGATTGGAAATTCAGCATCAAATTGACGAATGCAGACACAAAATATCAATAAATAATCAGACACTGGAGAACCTTGTGCAAAAGATTAAGGAAAAGCAAGGAATGCTTAAAGATCTGGTCAAGGAGCGAGATGAATTGACGGCGAAAATCAGTCGTCAAACTAGAGCAGAAAAGGATAGGGAGAAGTATGTCACTCACATTGAGACATTCAAGGACAGAATGAGGGTCGAGAAAAAGGCCATCAATAAAATAAAGCACAAGGAGATTGATGGAACTGCTTCAAAGCTGGTCACCAAAATAGGCAAACTGGAAAAGAAGAAGATTGAAATATATGAGCGGATTGAGCCAACGATATCGATGATATGCGAACTGGACGAAAAGCTACTCGATGCGCAGATTTTTGCGATCCAGGAAAACAACAAGTTTAGCACCATCGAGTCATTGAACGAATCAATCTTGACTACACGTGAAGAAATGTTAGAGAAGAGAAAGGAGCTGAGAGACGCTTATGTCAAAGCCAAGGAAGAATACACTCAAGCTTTGAAAGACTACAAAGCCTTGCTAGAGACTTTCTCTGATGAGGATCGTTCAGAGCTCGAAAAATTGGTTGCAGAACTTCAAGAGAGAAATTCTTTGACGGAGGAAGGTCTCAATGCCGAAATCAGTAGGATCAAATCACAGATGCGTTTACGCCGAAACGGTGCTGGCGCAGACTCACTAAAACGCCTGGAAGAGGTTGAGAAGGAGATTCAACAGTACGAGCAGAAATTGCCTGAATTTGATGTTGACGTCGGTATTCTTGATCGACAAATACAAGATCTTGTCTCAATTTGGAGACCAAAATTGGACTCAGTCATTCAAACTATAGCAAAAGACTTTAGTGAGAATATGAAGGCCGTGGCTAGTGCTGGTGACGTGCAGCTTGATAGTGAGTCAGAAAACTTCTCCGAGTGGAAACTCAAAATCCTTGTTAGCTTCCGTGATAGCCACGCGTTAATGCAATTGAATGCGGCACAACAATCCGGAGGAGAAAAATCCGCCACGACGGCTGTGTTCCTAAACTCTTTACAGGGCCTTACGAATACGCCATTTCGAGTTGTCGATGAAATTAATCAAGGTATGGATTCAAAGAATGAGAGGCTCATCCACGAATTGATTGTTCGCAAATCGTGCGCGGGACGTGGCTCACAGTACTTTTTGATCACTCCTAAATTACTCACGAATCTCTACTATGGCACCGGAATGCGCGTACACTGCATTTTGGCTGGAAGATGGTGTCCGGACTATGAGGATACAGTGGAATTTTTGGAGATGGGGTTGACAGATAAATATTTTTGAGCTTGTACCATAATAATATACGTACTAAGAAACGACAAAAAGTTAGTAATTTATCGGGCTTTTACATTTTATGGCTGCTTTGGAGCGACAATTTACCAAACTTTCACTTCTTGAAGAGGAACTTGGGGCCCTAGTGGAAGACTTCCAGACACTGAAGCAGGTCGGAGACGCTCCTGTCCTCAATCCCAATGATGATCTTATGTTAACGTTTAGTAAACTTGCAAACTTGATCAAATACATGGAATTGCTTCTTGCCGAGAAAATAGACTCTAGTGAAGTGGGACCGGAAGTTGATCGATTTCGAAAAGGTCTAGAGACTTACAATGAATATCTGAACTCCATTAAGGAGGATCTTCCGAAGGACGCCAATCTGGAGATTAGTACAATGAGGCTTGACGAAGCTCTTAACAGACCCAGACCCAAGATAAAGAAATCCAAATCTGTGAGGTTCAAGGAGAATTTGATAGATCCTTCAGAATCACAGAAGCGGGCGCAAGCTGCTTCTTCCCGCACTTATAACGACGACCCAAGCAAAGACTCACTTTTCGAGACCAACACCTTATACAAGGACGACAGTGGGAGTACGATAGATCATATGCGAATGTCAAATAAACAAATATTTATGGAAAACCAGCAAGAATTAATAGATCAGGATGAAATCATCAATTCATTATCGCAATCGGTCAATAGACAGCACGAGATGTCTTTGCAGATCGGAGATGAAGTAGGCGATCACATGGTGTTACTTGATGACTTAGAGTCAGGGATATCAAGAGCAAATGCGAAAATCATTCGAGGACGGTCGAACATTGATCGCTTCAGGCAGAAATTGAAAGAGCATGGCGACTGGTTCACTATATTCGTGCTCGTGATTATTATGTTCATCCTGCTTGTTGTTTTGAAGTGATTCAACCCGAAACAATTCGCATTCTGCCAGGATGTTTATCCTCGGCGATCGAGTAAATCGATTGGAGCTGTTCTGCAGCTTTAGAAGACACCGAGTGAAATTTGAGCGACGAAGCGTTGGAGGACGCTGCTTCAGATCCCGTTGTTGGTGTATCTGAGATATAATTGAATTTTGGGTGTTTCGAGCTATGCTCTGCGTGAGTTTGGCGAGGTGCTATGGTATTTTGCGGGAGACAAAAAGCAGGGATTTGCTCGATCTGGGGCAGCTTTGGCGGCTGCTGATCTGCGGCGGCCAAGATCTTGAAAAGGGAGGCGGAGTCTATCTGATTAAGGCCCTGAGGCGAATGCAAGGTCGAGCGATGATCTTTGGTGTAGCGCTGAGAGCTTACGATAGGACAGAACTCAAAATCTTCCTCAGCATCGAATGACTTATATGTGTTGAGTTTTGCCCTTGCTAATCTAATCTCCTGGAGTTTGTGAGAATCCCTATTGGACATGCTATTCATTATGACAGGTATATATCGTCCCGCCAGTACCAGAAGAGTAAAAGAAAAATCTGAAAAATTTTGTAAACCCAGACACATTGATCTGAAATCTGAAAATGGTGAGAGTACGAACATTTCACACATCAAGGCGCCTTTTGTACACCTCCAAGCCACAATTGCATACAAGATTCACATTGAGAAGGAAAACTAACTGGAAAGAGGATCTCCCGATAGATCTGAAGACTCCCGCAAGAACAAGATTTGCTCCCTCGCCTACTGGATTCCTGCACTTGGGATCACTTAGAACGGCATTGTATAACTACTTGCTTGCAAGGGCTACAGCCGGTCAATTCTTGTTGCGATTGGAAGACACTGACCAAAAAAGGTTAGTTCCCGGGGCCGAAGATAACATTTATGATACACTGAACTGGCTAGGAATCAAAGTTGACGAAGGCCCTACAGTGGGAGGTCCCTATGGACCTTATAGACAGAGCGACAGATCTGAAATATATACTCGTTACATCAACGAGTTGCTGGACAAAGGACTCGCATACAGATGTTTCTGCTCCAAGTCTAGGCTGGATGGGCTCCGGGACTCTGCAAGACTGCTCAAGCCCCCCACTACTGTATCATATGACAGGCATTGTTTGAGAGTATACTCTAGAGAGGAGTCTGCTGCTAAGGCAGCGCAAGGAGAGGAGTTCACCGTCAGATTCATATCACCAGACAAGTATCCTGGATTCAATGATCTACTTCATGGAAAAATAAACTGGCAACCGCAGGTGAATCCGTTTGACAAAAGATTCGAGGATCCGGTGTTGCTCAAAAGTGATGGCTTGCCTACATATCATTTTGCCAATGTTGTTGACGACCATTTGATGAAAATCACTCATGTTGTCAGAGGAGAAGAGTGGCTTGCTTCCACCCCTAAACATATCGCTCTGTATGAGGCTTTTGAGTGGCGGAAGCCAGAGTTTGTGCATATACCGCTACTAACGACTGTTGATAACAAGAAATTATCCAAACGTTCGGGTGATATTGACATTATGTCGCTAAAGAACCAAGGTTACCTCCCCGAAGCTCTAATCAATTTTGCGGTTCTTTTTGGATGGGCCCCAAAACGGGCTCAGGGAGAAAAACTGAACGAAATCTACGATATGGATTTCCTAGAGAAACATTTCAACCTTGAAGGTCTGACTATTGGCAATGCCAAGGTGGATTTTCAGAAACTCAATTATTTCAATAAACATTACTTACAAAAGAGACTCCAAGATCCCGTTTTTCTGGATACTGTCTCCGCAGATATTCACTGCAAGCTAAATCAGAACCGCAGAATCACCCAGGATTATGTCAAGAATGTGCTTCTGAAAGCTGGTAGCTCGCTGACTACGCTCAATTCTGTCTTTGACGAGGGTTTTAGATTTTACTTTGAGCGTCCTACCTACACTAAAGAAGGGCTTGAAAATGTCCTCAAACCCGAAGAATTTGGAATTGTGAACTTGCTTGCAGAACAGTCAGATTTTTCTGACCTCAAAGCCATACTGTCGAGGGTTTTGGCGGTCTATCCTGAGACCAAGAAAAAAGACATTTATCAGACTATTCGTTATGCGATTAGCGCAGGACAGCCAGGAACGAAGCTTCCGGATATGATAGAGCTCCTGGGAAACGAGGAAGTGGTTGCACGGCTAAATTCTTTGAAAGAGATTTTATAAATAGCGCATTATTTCATCATCAATTTAGATTATCCAGAAATTTAGGGTCAGTAGCCAGCTTCGATTTGAACTTGGCCCACCAGTCGTCGAATTTCTTGATTGGAACCTTATTTGAAGAGTCAACAAAAGAACTGAGATAATCATAAGCGTTCTTAATGATCTTATTCGAAACAGACTCAACCTGTTCTTTGGTCAATGGTATGTCGTTAATGGATAGGCTAGGAGGAGCAGGTAAAGACAATTGAGGCGCTTTTGACAACTTTAATTGCTCCAGCTGAGCAGAAGCTACCACCAAGGGCTCAATGGAGATACCAATGACCAATGTAGTGTCCACGGGCGGCGCTGAAGGGTCAGTCTCTATGTCCATATCTACATCTCCTTCTTTTGCAACTGACTGTTGTTGCCCTCCGTTCGTGTAGGATTCGGGGTTTATCTTGAATATAGCACTTTGCTTGTTTGCATCAAGGCCTCCCAGAAGCCGGAAATCAGCCAATGGCACGCCGCCTTTTTGAAACTGATAGTATATCAGTGCACAATAGCTAGGATCAAAAGGTACATTGGGGACAAGGAATATCGAAAGGTGGGAGATTTTGTTAGCCGATATGTTCTCATACGTTGCAACATATTTGAGTGTGTCTATTTGATCAGCCAGCCTCACTGGCCGTCCCGCCAACGTTGTTCCAAACATGAAGTCATTAGATAACTTCTCTATTTTGTATTATTTATCTAGTCTGCCATTTTTCTAGAAGGTTCAGATCATGTGACTCGAATTATCACCAAAAAAATACGCGTTCTTTAGACACAAGATGGTTCGCATTGACCAGTTTTTTGGCAAAGCGGCCGTTCAAAAGGTATGTAACTCGCTGTTTTTCATACACTGACTTCCTAGAACAAGGGCAAGAAAGTCACGCACGACCATAGCCCCTCGCCGCAAAAGCCAAAAAATCAAGAAGCATACCAGAATTCCAGTTCAAAGCAACCTGCTGATTCAAAGGTCATTTTGGTAGATTCTGATGATGATGAAATTGTGACGCCCCAAAGAAAGCGGAAAGCGGAATTGATTGAAAGCGACACTGAGGTGCCCGTCAAAAAGGAGGCCAAAGTCCTGCCCAAAAAAAGTCCGAGTAAACCCAAGAGCACCAAACCGCAGGCCGGCCGATCAAGCCAACCTAGTCAAGCGGGCACTGGAGAGACAGCACAGGAAATACTGGAGACGATTCCCGATGCCGATCCGAAATACCTAGAGGTTGACCCGGAGATGGAGAACATGAACTTCTTCCAGTTGAAGGCGCGCACATCCGAGGCTCCTGCACCAACAGGAGACAGGGTACTCCCTGAAGGGCGCCCAAACTGTCTCAATGGACTTACAATTGTTTTCACAGGTATTCTGCCAACCATTGATAGGGATGAATGTGTGCGTATAGCTTCTAAATACGGAGCAAAGGTGACGAAGTCCATTAGTGGGAAGACAAGCTTGGTAGTGATAGGTCACGAGGCAGGCCCTAAGAAAATCAAAATGATCAAGGAGAAAAAGATTAAATGCATAGATGAGGATGGGTTTGTTGAACTTCTTCAAAAGATGCCTGCAGATGGTGGCAGCGGAGAGGCGGCTCAGGTCGCCAAAGCTAAGAGAGAGGAGGAAGAAAGGAAGGCCATAGAGGAAGCAGAAAGAGAAGAGGAAGAGAATAGAAAACGAAAAGATCAACTGAGGCAGGAACGGGCTGGCCAGTCTAGCCAACCGGAGAGACCTAGTGATAAACCGGACACAGAAAAACTATGGACGGTGAAGTACGCTCCGACAGATATCAAGCAAATATGTGGAAATAAAGGAAATGTGGAGCTGTTGCAGAGTTGGTTGGAACACTGGTTTGATAACGCAAAGACCGGTTTCAAGGGTTCGGGCATATTTGGTTACCGTGCGGTTATGATTAGCGGACCTCCAGGAATCGGCAAAACCACTGCTGCGCACATAGTTGCAAAATCACTTGGATTCGACGTGATAGAGAAAAACGCTTCTGACGTGAGATCCAAAAAGTTGCTGAATGAGCAGCTTCGGTCGTCGCTAAGCAATTCGTCTGTTGTTGGCTATTTCAACCAGCTCAAAACGCACGATCCAAATAACCGCAGAATAGTCATGATCATGGACGAGGTCGACGGTATGTCGAGCGGAGATCATGGAGGTGGAGCTCAGCTTTCGCAATTCTGTCGTACAACGGAGACACCTCTGATCTTAATTTGCAACGACAAATCGCTGCCAAAGATGAGGACTTTCGATAAAACGTGCTATGATCTTACATGGAGAAGACCCACTGGAAAAGAGATGAAGTCCCGGCTTATGACAATTGCCCACCGAGAGGGACTGAAAATGGATCCAAACATCATTGATCAACTGGTGGCTGCCACCAACAACGATATTAGACAAATCATCAATATAATGTCGACTGTCGCACGAACGCAAAAAACGCTCAATTACGAGAACAGCGAGCAGATTTCCAGGACCTGGCAAAAGGAGGTGATTTTGAAGCCGTTCGATATTGTTGGCAAACTTTTGAGTGGCGCCAGCTATGGTTCTCATGCCAGATACAATCTGTCCGAGAAGATCAATCTTTATTTCAACGACATGGACTTTACACCGCTGATGATACACGAAAATTACAGGTCCACTACACCGTCGAAACTGACTGGATGTCCTGCAAACAAGCGGAATCTTCGGCATTTGGAGCTGCTGGAAGAAGCCTCGAATTCTATTTCGGAGTCAGACCTGGTCAACCAGCTGATCAGAGGGGGCGAACAACAATGGTCATTGGCTCCATTCCATGCTGTGCTGTCCAGTGTGCTTCCCGGCTCAAAAGTTGCCGGTGGAATGAACGGACGTATCATGTTCACCTCGTGGCTTGGTCAGAACTCCAAGAAAATGAAGTACGATAGGATTCTACAAGATTTGCAATACCACTCCTCTACGAAGACAATGACAAACACCCAAGAGCTGAGACTTACCTACATTCCATTCCTGATTAACATGCTCTCGGATCCATTGATCAAAAATGGAGCCAGCGGTATCGATAAGGTTTTGGAGTTGATGGACGAGTATTATCTCACGAAAGAGCATTGGGACAATTTGATGGAGTTTGGCGTTGGAGCAAAGGGTAGAATGGATCAAAAGCTGAAGTCTGTGAGCTCTGCCACCAAGTCTGCATTCACTCGAAAATACAACTCTTACTCGCATCCTACTGTGATCTACAAAACTGGAGATTCCGTTACTAAAGGAAACCGGGCTCCTGCTCTTAAACCTGATCTTGACGATGTCATTGAGGATGACACGAAAGACGTACCGGACGAAGAGCCTCAGGAAGAGCAAGAGGACATTAAGAACGATAAACTTATCAAGCAGGTGAAGAAAAGCACGAAGAGGCGCAAGTGAAGTTGCGAGGACGGATATAGCGTTTACATAATCAGCCGAATTTTTTCGTGAATAACATGCGACATTTCTACAATAGGTAAACGGAATTTTGCAAGTAAGGGGGACAAGAAAACGGGGTAGTTTTAAAGGACGAAACTAGTCAAACTCACTCTCCTTGCAACAGTTACCTAGGCTGATTTGACTCCAATAATACGTGCATCTTGTCAAAATGACAGCACCGCCGCTTTTGCGTCCGCCAGGATCAAATCCCAAGAATGCTTCACGTCGTCACAAGCTGCCATCTCTCAAAATATCCACGCCATCGGGCCAAAGTCAAACGCCCCGGCTTCAAGATGGGAACACTGTGCCTACAGATGGCTTGGATGCCTCGGATCCAATGATTGTGAGACAGTATGAGGTTGTCGCATCAGAAAATATTGTTCGTCACTCAAGCGATTCAATGACAGACTCAAATCCTTCAATCGTGAGCAGCAAAAGCACAGAGACACTAGTCACCGAGCTGAGTAATCTCAATTTCATCAACAAGGATATTGACCCAAACGCGAAATTAATGAAGGGCTCCCTTGAGGAATTAGACGAAGAAGACTGGCGACAGCTAGCTGAACTCAACCAGATTCGCACACTGGAGGTGCTAGGAGAAGGAAACGGAGGCTCTGTCAAGAAGTGTGAGCTTGCCACTACTCGGCAGGTGTTTGCCCTGAAAACCATCACTGTTGATCCGGCACCTAGTTTTCAAAAACAGATAGTGCGAGAACTCAACTACAACAAAAAGTTCCAGAGCGATTACATTGTTAAATATTACGGAACATTCATTAACTCTGCGGATGCGTCGATTTGTATCTGCATGGAATACATGGGAGGACGGTCCTTGGACGCGATATACCGACAGTTCAAGAAAAAAGATATGAGGATTGGAGAGAAAGCATTAGGAAAAATGGCCGAGAGCGTGCTTCGAGGCCTCTCCTACCTGAACCAGCAAAAAGTGATGCACAGAGACATTAAACCTCAAAACATATTACTAGATTCAAAGGGGAACGTGAAACTTTGTGACTTTGGGGTTTCCGGAGAAGTGGTCAACTCGCTCGCTACTACTTTCACCGGAACCTCTTTCTACATGGCGCCAGAACGGATTAGAAATGAACCTTATACCATAACTTGTGATGTGTGGTCACTCGGACTGACTTTGCTCGAGGGAGCAATGGGCATGTTCCCCTTTGCCACGAAGGATCCAAATCTGCAAATATCTCCAATTGAGCTTCTCTTGATAATATTAGAGTTTGAACCGGAACTCAACGACGAACCCGAAGAAAACATCACCTGGTCAGCCAGCTTCAAAGACTTCATCAAGGTCTGCTTGACTAAGGAAAATCGCAAACGGCCTAGTCCACGACAAATGTTAGAACACCCATGGATGCGCGGCCAAATGACTAAAAAGGTTCGTATGGACAAATTGGTCCAGTTCTGCTGGGAGGACTAGATAATAATCAGATACATGGTGCGCCAAAGCTTTCAGATCAACGTGTATTTGCTCATATAACTTATATCATGCTACCAATTTTTTTCGTCGTAGATATGCTTTCCGAGATTTTCTGATTCATTTGCTTATTTCTTTTCCTCATCTTGTCGATCGTGTCCTGTGCACTTTCTCTTACAGCCCGCCTCTTTTTCGGATACTCGTCTTCATCTGAGGCGAGAGAGTCAGCATATCGCTTGCGACTTTCCTTCTGCAAGAGTTTGATATACTCGGTCTTCTCTTTGTCCAGCTCATCACGTTTGGCTTCCAAGTCGGAAAAGAGCTTTTCAAACTTGCGCTTGTTGAGCTCATTTTCAATCCTGAGCTCTTCATATCTCTCTTCAAATTTTGTATTTATCAGTTCTTGAGATGCTCGAAGATTCAAAATCTCACCTTTGAGATCAGTAAGCTTGTCCATCACCGTCTCTCTGCTTTCAGTCTTGAGCTCGCGAATGAGACTCTCAAGAACTCCAAATTTCTCGTTCAATGTTCGTTCCACACTATTGGAAGAAGTCCGAATCGGCTCGACAGGGTCGGTTGTTATCCTTTCACTGGGTCTCACCTCTTGTTTGATTTCTTGCTCTGATGCAATGTCTTTATTTTCGTTGTAGAGCACAGATTGCAAGAGTTTGGAGCCAATTGAGGTCAAAGATCCCAAAAGACCGTCATGGACACGACTGGAGGCTGGCTTTGTCACCCGCGAGCGGCGATCTGTAAGCGGATAGCGTTTTTTCTTGATGGAGCTCAAAAGGTCATCAGTCTCAAAGCGTCTAGAGTCTGGAATACTGCGAATGGGTGATTCACCGAGGAGTTCGTATGATTTCTTTTCGTGGGCGGATGGGCGCAAAATAGATCTGGGCGATTCGTAGCGCGTTTTGGTGCTTGATCCGATGGAAGATCTGTAGCGGTCCGACTTTAAATTTGTGCTGTTGTTGTTCTCCAAAAACTCGCTTGCTGCGGTAGACCGTCTTCGCTTCTCATAGTCTGACAGCTTTGTGTCACGCGAAAATCGGACGCGCTCAGAAGTTGGTGTCCTTGAGAAGTTGGCCATTTGATAAAATAAATATTTCAGACGCGTATTTTTTGGTATACGGAATATTAGAAGAGTTCTGGTATGGATTCTCCTGCAGTTCTGCCGATTTCTTTAAAACCATCCAACCTTCGGCCTCTGGCATACCGCGTGCTTTCGAAGAAGCATGGTTTGAATATCCAGTCAAGTGCGCTGGAGAAGCTGAGCGAGTACGTGGGCAAGAAGTTTGGCCAGGAATGGCGTGGGGCCAAAACGATTGCGTTCCTAGAGGAAGTCGCAAGGCTTTGGAAAGAGCAAAACAAAGGGCTGTTCCTGGATGGAGACAACATTGACATTGTGATCAAGGAGATCTCACTGAAGCAAGAGAAACAGGAAAAAGCCAGCCGACAAAGCTCGGCTGTCGAGCCAAAAACCAATCTGGCAGGCCTTGTGACCAACGAGCTGCGAGAGAGCCAGTCCTTTGAGGTACACCAGGATGCCCCGGAACCTGCCGCCCTAGAACAGGTGCAATGGAAGGATTTTTTCAAGGCTGTGGACATCAAGAACTACAGACGATACAGGTATAATCATGTGCGCAAACAATTCGATGTTTTGTCTCCTGACGCAGGTGGCGACAAACTGGTTTTGCCGTCAACACAAGATGCCGTTGACTTGTTTATCCAGCGATTTCATCTTCTAAAGGATAGGCTGTTGAGGAATGAGAATTTCCAGCCGACCGCTGTCAATTCATTTACAAGCAACGGGCCCAAAGAGGTTGAAAACCAGCAGGTGACATCGATCAAGAATTTGTTGGGTCGACATGGACAACGATTCTTCCTCTTTGGATTGCTGACTCGGAGCGCGCTGGGTCTATGGCAACTTCAGGACGACACTGATTCGATAGAGCTTGATCTTGGTCAAACCCTGTTTCCTCAAAACTGCTACTTCACTGAGGGAAATTTCATCATCTGCGAAGGTATATACTCCAACAGCGGCAAGTTTTATGTCAGCACCATGATTCATCCTCCCGCAGAAAAAAGAGAGACGTCTCTGGAAGTTTTGGGTAAGATGGATTTCAATTCTGTATACAGCAACAGCGGTCGTATAGACCCTGTTTTGCGCTCAAAACTATTGCATTTGGAAAAAGATCTGGCAGACCACAAGTTTATCTTTCTTGGGGGTGATGTATACCTGTCTGATGCGAGAGTGATGGAAGGTTTGAAAAAGCTGTTTGGCAAGCTCAACGAGGAGCTTGAAACAGGCTCTTCGACACCGGTAGCCCTAGTATTCAACGGATCCTTTACCTCGCGCCCTTTCACGTCGACTCAGGTCTCGTATAGCAGTCAGGTCACCTCGTCAGGCGAGTACAAGTCCTACTTCGATTCTCTGGCATCCATCCTGGAACCACTTTCTGAACTGTGTGCAACATGCAAATTTGTTTTTGTTCCAGGAGACAACGATCCCTGGTCGTCGGTTGTCACCAAAGGCTCCAATTCTGTGTGGCCCAAATTCAAGCTTCCCAAGATCTTTGGAAATCGGTTGACGAGACTGGTGAAAGATATAGAATGGTGCTCCAATCCATCGAAACTAACCTACTTGACCCACGAGGTTCTACTCGTCCGCGACGACCTGGCAGGACGGTTTCGTCGAAACGATATCAGCCACGTCTCCAAGATCAAGGAAAGCACCGAGGCAGACGAAGAGGAGCTGGAGATCGACAAGCTTTCAAAGTCCAAGATCTCGCCAGACGTGCTTGAGGCCAGAAAGGTCGTCAAAACATTGCTGGACCAAGGATATCTCTCACCTTTCATCCAATCTATCAGACCGCTGGTTGCCAATCACGCTAATATGCTAAACCTGATACCCCTTCCTACGCTCCTAATGCTTGCAGACACAACATGTCCGCAGTTTGATCTCATTTACGAAAATTGCCATGTCCTCAACCCGGGAAGTTTCTTCTCCAACAACAAGTTCAACTACATGGAGTACTATCCATCATCTAGAAAAGCCAAGCTCAGGGAGTTGTATTAATTGTATGGATATTTTTTGATTGAATTCGTAACATGATAAGGCATGCAGTAGACAGGGTCAACGGGAACCAGATCCTCGTATCCAAGCAGAGACAACCCTGCGATGCCAAAGAGGGTGTGATACACATCGACCTGGTTCCCAGGACGATCGCTGATGCCCCCTTCTTTGAGATCCTGGCACTGTAATATGAAATCTCTCAGTTTGTTTCCATTTATGTAATCCAGCCTGCCCAGTATACTGAGGGATGACATCACCCACCAGCTGTAGCACACATCAGGCAACTTCTCAGGACGGCCGTTCAAGCCTCCGTTTTCCACTTGTCGTTCACTAAGCCACCATTCAAGAGCCTCCCGATCTTTAATTTTGTCTACTTGCCCAGCAATAGCCAAAGTTGCCAAACATGTGAATATTTGTGCGGAATGCGACTCTGAGCCTGGCACCATGCCAAACCCTCCATCGAAATTTTGACATCTGAGTATGAAATCCACCGCCGGATCCACGATGTCGGGACTTAAACTTTCGAGAATGCTCAGCGATTGGATGGCAGTATAAACAAATCGCGTGTCGACTTCGCCAAACCTGTCCCCCTGGAATGATCCATCTGGCAGTTGGAGGCCTTTGATAAATTCAAGTATTTGTGATTTTTTGTCGTTAATGACGTCCAAGGAGTCGTACATCTTTAGTAGTTGTAATGCGGACAATGTAGAGAGAATATGCGAATCGTGTTTAGGGAACGCTCCAAAGCCTCCGTAGGTAGTATCATAGCAGCTGAGAATAAACTCCACCAGAGTCTTCTTGTCAAATTCATGCTCCGCTTTCATAAGGAAGAGCGCACAAGCACCCCAGTATATCCCGTTCATACGGAGGTGCTCGCTGAGCCAGTACTCAAGAAACTGCTTCTGATCGTCCAGAGACTTGATGTAAGCCACATGCCTGGATTTATCCAAAGAAGTCATTAATTAAATCGTATAAACATTGCACAGCCGTATTATAAATAATTAGAGCTTGTTCGTGAACCGGCCAGAGGACGATTCTTTGGGTGAGGGGGTCGCTTCTGCGTCTATGAGCTTGGAACGAAGCCTTCTTCGGTCCAACAGCATAAACTGTATTTGCTGTCTCATGGAAGAAAGAGCAGCGGTTTGGTTGTGTAATTCGTCTTTGATCTGGATATTCTCGTTGGCTACGGCCGTGACAAGTTGCTTATTCAGCTCAAACTCTGACGCCAAAGACCTCAAGCGATTCAAGTCTGTCTTGAGCACCTCAAGCTCCATCATGAGTTGGATGTAGTCTTTGTCCTGCAGGTTGTCGAATAGCCTGCCAGGATCGGTACTGCGATCGCGATCCATGATTTCTTCCAGCTGCAGAGAATAGCCAAGATTCGTCATCTTGCCCTGCGTGATAGAGTCGAGTATCGTTGATATTTGAGACTTGAGCATCTTGTTTTCATCGACCAGATCGCTCATCTTTGCTTCTTGCAGCTCGAAGTACCCTGAAAGCTTGACAAAAACGCACTCTGAAGAGTGGATCTGAGATAGCACTTCTCTGCTTCCCCTCCACTCGCAGCCGTACTGCTTCCCTGGACACCTCACGTGTATTTTCTCACAGTAGCTTTCGTGACTTTCGAACATTTTTTCTGGAAACTCAAGGTTACAACCATTGCATTTGTGAAAGTTCTTTGTGCACTCGTTTTTCAGGTGATGTTCCTCACTTACAATGTTTATTTTTTCGCCGCACTTTGCGCAATCAAATAGCTCGTGAGGACAATCGTCGCCTAGGAACCGACGTTCAGTCAGCTTGCCGCACACTTGTCCACCGTCCAGCTCGTGTTCGCAAGGGAACCGCGTGTGATCGCAGGAGTTGACAAGATGCTGCTTGATCGACCAGCGGGGTCCTATCCATTTACAGCCACGAGACGCATTCAGACATCGCACTTGAAGGTCGTCCGTGATGTTGCTCAAGATAATGGGGGCAGGGAATATATCGTTGTAGTTTTTCTCTTCAGTTTCTTGACGTTCCTCTTTGTAGTTCAGTTCAATGCGATCCAAAGGACACTTGTTCCCCAAGGGAGACTTGAAAGTTTCCAGAATACATGTCCTGCAGAACGTGTGTCCGCATATAGTTGTGTATGGATTGATGAAAGGGAGTTGACATATGGGGCAATTGAGATGTTCAGGAATAGACACGTACACCAAAGTCCTCAAGTCGATCGGGGCTTCGTCCAAAGAATCTGTCATATCGTACCCGCTACTGTTTGGAGGACTAGCAACAGAGACATTTTCCGATTTGAACGTGGAGGAAGGTTCGCCCTGTGGTGCTAACAGCGCCCTGTTGGCGGACTCTTCTTGCCCTCGTGTTTCAAGCTCAAGTTGATCCAGTTCCTGTGCAATAATATCCATTTGGAGGAAACATAGAATCGTAAATTGCTAATTTGTTATTTTTCACCCGCATTTTAGATAATAAATTAGTCTAGCCTACTGTCAAAAATTATAAATTATCATGTCTCTTAAAAATTATAGTACAGATGGTATATGAGTAGAAGTGAAGCGATGGTGACAGGAAAATTCATGCCATAAAGGCTGTCTATAGCAGACTCATGCATATTGGACACGCTGGACTTCGTCAATGTGTTCCAGGTCAAGCTTGTCTATAGAGCCAGCAGGAGAAAGCTTCTGGTGCTTTCTCTTCTCAGCCAATGCCAAAGACTCCTTGATGTTGAATCCTCCCTTGAGCAGGTTCTGGGTCTCCTCTAATGCCAGATTAGACAGTTCTGGGTAAACAAAGTAGACAAAGACAATCGACACAGCAGTTAGTGCTGCAAACAATGCAAACGTTCCGGTAGGGGTGATGTTCTCAAGCATGGTCAAAAACGTGGCAGAAATGACCAAAGAACCACTCCAGTTGGTTGCAGTAGCGTAAGATGCACCTGTACCTCTAACGTTTTGAGGGAAAAGTTCGGACTGTTGCCATGGGACATTACCAATGCCAATAGCGTATCCAGCAACATAAACGATCATAAACACCATGATAACATAGCCCCAGCTACTGACTCCTCCTTCAAGCTCGACAGAGTGGTGCTCAAACTTAAGGTCGACGTAATGGAAGCCAATGGCACAAATGACCATAGCGATCATCATGATCGGAAGAGAGAACAGCAGCATCTTTCTACGGCCCACTCTGTCGATGATGAAGAACGCAACAATAGTCATGAGGAAGTTAGTACCAGAGACGATGATGGACACAGCAGTGGAGTTGTCGAAACCAATGGCCTTGAAAATCGTGGCGGAAAAGTACATGAGAGAGTTGAAACCAGTGAACTGTTGGATACCTTGCAATCCACAAGCAATAATGAGCGCTCTGAAGTTTGAAGGCACGCTGTGGATTTTCTTGATACCATTCCATGTTCTCTGCCACACGTTCTTTCCCTCCAAAGAGGAATTGATGCTTTGGATTTCGGCAATCTTCATGTGAATGAGGGTTGCCGTAGCGCCGTGGTGAGTTCTGGCAATGACCTTGGCAGCTTTTTCCAGCTTGTTCTTGGAGATCAAGAATCTTGGGGTGTCTGGCAAGAACAGGAAAGCTGCAAGCTGAATAGCTGGAGGAACGATGGAAAGTCCGACCTGTATTCTCCAGCCATTGTTCACATGGGTCAGTCCTGCACCAATAGCATAGGCAATAAGCTGACCACAAGTGATACCCATACAATTGAGGATAACCAGACGTCCTCTAAATCTAGAAGGAGCAAGCTCCGAGATAAAGAGAGGAGCAATGAGAGAGCCAATACCAACACCAAAACCCATAACAAATCTACCTGCAATCATAGTCCAAACAGTCTCAGCCGCGCATTGGATAATAGCGCCGACAATAAAAAGTGTGTTTGAGAACATCAAGACAGGCTTTCTGCCAAAGATATCTGCCATTGGACCTGCAACTACTGAGGTGATAAGAGCACCCAGAGAAGTAGCGGCGGTGATAAACTCTTCTTCACCGTAGGTAAGGTTCTTACCCAAATCGGTTCCAATAGAAACAAGAGCAGAAGAGATGTATCCCGTATCATAGCCAAACATAAAACCTGAGATCGACGCGAGACAAACAAGGACCACAACAAGAGGTGTGGGTTTGGCGCTATCCATAGCAATCATATCAGACTGACTGTCTTTGGAAGAGTAATCAAGAGCATCCACATCGGTGGAGGACAGCTCGTCTTGTTTAGTTGGCTCTGACATATTTGATATTGAACGATTATGTTGATGTTTCCTAGGGAGAAAAGACGTATTATTTATATTGCAATGTGCAGGAATGGTTTATCGCTATCTTTCTACTGCATGGGAATCTCGAATTTTCTTGAGTCGGGATTTTCACCGAACAGGTGTCAGGGTGGTGGTACATTTTTCGGTATGCAAGCCGGCTGACACCTGTGATTGGCTTACGCGGCGGGTTATTGCCCGAGCATGATCTTTCACGGCCAGAAGGGGAGGGTAACCCCGCAGCAAATTCCAGCCTACAAAGTGCATTTTTGGTCACGTAGGCAGGGTAACACACTTAATCACAAGGCAGTCTGACGCGAAAGACAATTATTCCAAAAGCGGAAACCTAAAAGTTTCAAATCTCCTTCAGCTTTTTTCCACTCTCTCCTTGTTCTCCCTGTTTTAAAGTTTTGACACCATGGCTACCGTTGCGCCAGGATCGACATCAGGGATCAACTCGATCTTGCCTACTATCGATCTCAACTTCAAGTACTCTGAAATCAGGTCGCAGATTAAAGACTTCTTTCTACACTTCAAATCCACCTCAAACGTTCAGCCCGATGATGGAATCTATGATTATCAGATTGACGACGTCCAGATGGATGACAGTGATATTGGTCAGGGCCCCAAGTACATGAACCTTCTCCAGAAGATTGCAAATAGAGAAATCACCACGCTTTATATCGATTTAGACGACATCAAACTGTACGAGGACACCCAAAATATCGCGCAAAACTTGTCTCAGTCGCTGCCCCGCGGTCTGGCAGAGTTGATTGTCAAAAACACATACCATTATGTCGAGCTGTTCTCGCAGGTGGTGGACGAGATCATGCCTCTTCCGACCGTGAATATCACGCATAAAGACGACGTGTTGGACGTTATCATTCACCAGCGAAAGCTGCGTAACGCGCGAATCGAAAACGAGCACCGTGAAGAGCTTGCTGAAACTCAATTGGGCGAGGACCAGGAAGAGCTGAGAAATGTGGATACGCCAAATCTCTTCCCTCCTCAGCTGACCAGGCGCTACTGTATCTACTTCCGTCCTCTCACAGTTACCGCCAAAGGAGGCAAGGCTTTGGCTGTGCGCGATGTCAAGGGCTCTTTTCTTGGCCAACTAATCACAGTCAGAGGAATCGTCACCAGAGTCAGCGATGTCAAGCCGACTGTTAAGGTGACTGCGTACACCTGCGATACCTGCGGATTCGAAATCTTCCAAGAGGTCAACACCAGAACTTTCACGCCGCTCACAGAATGTACATCTGAAAGATGCACAAGTAACCAACACAGAGGAAAGTTGTTTCCAAGTACAAGAGCCTCGAAATTTTCAGCTTTCCAAGATGTCAAGATCCAGGAGCTGGCCAATCAAGTGCCTGTGGGCCACATTCCAAGAACTCTATCAATCCATGTCAATGGTGACTTGGTGCGCTCTATGAATCCGGGTGACATTGTGGATGTGACTGGTATATTCCTGCCTGCTCCGTACACAGGGTTCCGTGCTCTTAGAGCCGGTCTTTTGACCGAGACATATTTGGAAGCTCAGTTTGTCAAACAGCACAAACGCAAATACGAATTTTTAGGGCTCACTCCCGAAGTTGAGCAGAAAATCCTTGAAATTACGTCTCAAGGCAACGTGTATGAGAGACTTGCCAACTCCATTGCACCGGAAATCTTTGGCCACACGGACATTAAAAAAGCCCTACTTTTGCTTTTGGTGGGTGCTTCGCCAAAAGAAATTGGAGACGGTATGAGAATAAGAGGCGATATCAACATCTTACTGATGGGCGACCCTGGTGTGGCCAAATCCCAATTGCTGAAATCTATATCCACCATTGCTCCCCGTGGCGTCTACACTACTGGTAAAGGTTCTTCCGGAGTGGGTTTGACTGCTGCCGTGATGAGAGATCCCATTACAGACGAAATGGTACTTGAAGGTGGTGCTCTGGTGCTGGCCGATAATGGTATTTGTTGTATCGATGAGTTTGATAAGATGGAGGAGGGAGACAGAACAGCTATCCACGAGGTGATGGAGCAACAGACCATTTCCATTTCGAAAGCAGGAATCACCACGACCTTGAACGCCAGGGCCTCGATTCTTGCCGCCGCCAACCCGCTTTACGGTAGATACAACACGAAGCTATCGCCCAACGAGAATATCAATCTTCCTGCCGCTCTCCTTTCGAGATTTGATGTGCTATTCCTTATCTTGGACCGTCCTAGCAGAGAGGACGATGAGAGACTAGCAGAGCACGTTGCTTACGTTCACATGCACAACAAGCCACCAGAATTTGGCATCGATCCGGTCGACTCCTCGACCATGAGACAGTTCATCTCCATGGCCAGGAGGTACAGACCTGTCGTCACCAAAGAGGTCAGCGATTATGTCGTCCAAGCATACATCAAAATGAGAAAAGAAAGCAAGATGATTGAGAATTCCAAAAAACATTTTAGCCATACTACTCCTAGAACACTGCTGGCAGTGCTTAGACTCTCTTTGGCTCTTGCCAGAGTCAGATTCAGTAATGAGGTGGTTATTCAGGATGTCGACGAGGCCTTGAGACTAATGAATGCAGCAAAGCAATCGTTGTATCAAGACGAAGCTGCGGAATTGGAGGAGACACCAACAGCTAAAATTTTCAACCTTATCAAAGAGAAGGTTCACGATTACATTGCTAATAATGGCAATAAGCTGGTGCCGATGTCGCTGATAAGAGACTCTTGTCTGGGTAAAGGTTTTACCGAAAATTTGTTTAACGAATGTATTTACCGCTACCAAGCGCTTTCTGTTTGGCAGGTGGTGGATGACGGCGAGAACCTCGCGATAATTGGGAATGTCGACGACGAAGATATCGACATGTTCTAGTTTACTAATATAAATAATTGTTTAGTTCAGGCCGAGATCTTTCATCACCATGGCCTTGCAGATAGGATGGTAGCTTTGCTCATATTTCTTAAAGGTAGCTATGGCCAGCTCCCTGTCAGCCTCGTTAAGCAGCACATATCCTGGCCTAACAAATTTCATTCTACCAACGGTACCCAGCCAGTCGGCAAGTTTTTGGTATTCAGACTGAATTTGGGCCGTTAGCAGCAGTCGGAACCATCTGAAAATGACCTCAGCATTGCTAGAATTCTCGTACTTTGTGTACTTCTTTTTCATGACTTCAATCGCCTTCTGGCCATTTTTGGAGCTCCAATCGAAATCTTCTTGATTTTGATAAGAAACAAGCTTGTCCAGAAAGACACCATTCTGGTTGGAAGTGAAGTTCTCAATATCAGAAGGCGAAAAGGTGGACTCTAGCAACTCAGGAGCATTATTGATCACCTTAATCCATCTGCCCGCGAGCGAGAAACACTCGTCGGCGAGAGTGGTGTCAAAGTTCGGTTTTGGAGGCAGACCTGGAGCATACAACCAGGTCTCCCAGTCAATGGTGTCTAGTAGCTCCTTCTTATCAGAATAGAACTCGTAAAGAGTGTCTAAAAACTGGTACGTATCCAAGGACTTGTATTTGAACTTGTTGAAGTAATGCTTGATGAACGGGTCGAATGCTTCTTTGCTTCCAAGGGTCTGTTCAATATGGAACAGAAGGTTGAAACCTTTTTCATAAGGAACTGTGCTGAACGAATCGTCTGGATCATCACCGTGCTTCAGATTGAGCACTAGCTTGCTGTATTTCGAAGCAGTGCTGCCCATAGCAGCAATTGAGTTCTCCAGGTCAGTCCATCCAATGATCGAGCTAAAATGTCTATGCTTTTCACCATGCAATCTCTCTAGGATTCTGCGCTCCAGATAAACAGTCCATCCCTCATTGAGCCAGAAGTGTTCAAAGGATCCATTGGTCACTAGATTGCCTGCCCAACTGTGGCTCAATTCGTGCGCAATGACATCAACATTCTCTTTGTCACCAGAAATTAAAGTTGGAGTGGCGAAAGTGCAGTTAGGATGCTCCATGCCACCAAAAGGCATCGACTGAGGAAGCACTAAAACATCGTAATCTTTCCACTCATATTCGAAAACAAGACTTTCTGCTGTCTTGATGAAATTCTCAGTATCATCCTTGAACTCGCTTTGACAGGCTTCCAAAAAGCTGGGTTCAGTCCAAACCCTCGAGCGAGGCCCTATTCGTGCGTCTTTCAGGTCTCCAGATGCGATGGAGCACAGGTAAGATGGAATTGGAACCGGCTGGTAAAATTTGAAGAGGGTAGTTCCGTCTTCCAGATGTATTTTCTCAGACAACAAACCAGACATCAACACCGGCAGAGAAGATTGAATATTAAACTCAAATGGACTTTTAACAGAGGGAGTATCAAAGCACGGGAAGAAAGAGCGCGCATGGATAGCCTCGCACTGGGAGAACAAGTATGGAAGCTTTTTGCCGTCAGTCTGTGCTGGCTCGAGCCACTGCAAAGCGGTACCATTTTTGGTCGTTTCGTAAAAAATTTCAAGCTTGAAACCTTCGCCGGCTTTGAAGTCGTAGCCAACATGCAAGGGAACGCCTAAAGGACCGTCGCTTGGTCTCAGCTCAAAGGACTGCACAATATCATTGATTCTCACGTTTTTGATTTTGAGATGAGCAGTATCCAAAACTAGCTCTTTGGTGCTAACCAGAGATTTTATGATGTACGTTACAGAACCATCCAGAATCTTGTCCTCGAATTTGACTCTCAAGTCCAGGATCGACTTCTCGACTTTGAATTTAAGATAAGATGATAAGGTAGAGGGGTCTTGTTGTGGTGACGATTTAGGCACGTGTGGAGCGATAACAGACCATAGCTGTGGGCTGATATTAGGATAGTTTGCCGACATGGTGCTCGAAGATTTGAACCGTTGAGAAATAGTGTGCTTTATGTACCCCCAATACGTGCCTAGCGGCCTAATAGACATAAACTATTATTTAAACAATGCAATTTGTGTGCCGTTTCTTGGGACGGGACTGGTCTATCGACGCGGCATGGTTTGTCAGCCGTGCGGTAGCTAATTTTTGCGGCATCTGTATATGCGCCGAGGACAAAAAATGAAATTGTATGAGAGTAGCTCAGATTTTTTTGCACGTGACTATAGAAAGGGCAAGAAGCTCTTACTAAATCTTTGAAAATTTTCCTTGAGAAAATTAGATATTATCCAACGGTATAGTAAGTGCCTGAACATACTGGTGGCGTTGAAGGATTATACAGACAACATCAGCATCAAGCAACCCTTGAGTTTGATAGATCAACCCGCCTGTCATCATAGTCTAACATATAGGTCAAAATGCAGATTTTCGTCAAGACCTTGACCGGAAAGACCATCACCTTGGAGGTCGAGTCTTCCGACACCATCGACAACGTCAAGTCCAAGATCCAAGACAAGGAAGGAATTCCTCCTGACCAGCAGAGACTGATCTTCGCCGGTAAGCAACTCGAGGACGGCAGAACCCTTTCCGACTACAACATCCAAAAAGAGTCCACTTTGCACTTGGTTCTGAGACTGAGAGGTGGTATTATCGAGCCATCCCTCAAGGCTTTGGCTTCCAAATACAACTGTGAAAAAGCCATTTGCAGAAAGTGTTACGCCAGACTCCCACCAAGAGCTACCAACTGCAGAAAGAGAAAGTGTGGTCACACCAACCAGTTGAGACCAAAGAAGAAGCTTAAATAGTTGGTATATGACATTAATACTAGTGGAATAACAAAAGTAAAAAAAACTTCCTTGATGTTTGTTAATCGCTGTATAAGATTGGCGTTCAAAAGAAGTTTCAGTGCGCTGACTGTTCAAAATCCAGCCGAGGTGGTTCTTTCGCCTCCGAGAGGGCACAATTCGCTGCTCATGATATCCACGGCATCGCAGCTTGAGACCTCGATCGATAGCCTGATCAAACTCAACCGGTCAGTTCCCTCGTTGCAGCTAGTCTATTTTTGCGTTGACTCCATTTTGAACTCGAGAAACGCTGTCTCTGAGTGCTGGTTCGAGGAAGACATGCTGATCCAAACTTGCAAGCAGTTCAAGCCCTCAAAGGATAAATCAACCCCGCAATCGGGAACGGTGGAACTAAAACTCAATGGATTCGATGTCGTACTGCCATTGGCGCATACAATGTTCCAGAATACTTTGCCGGCTACGTGTTTCTTCGTGGACGGCGACAACCCTCACAATTGGAAGAGTCTTTCTCTTTTAAAAGTACAGCTCCCATTTATTAAATCCTCCCATTTTAAATATTCCAATTGCCTAGTTGAGCTACCAATGGAAAAAAACCCAGCACAGGAATACATTATCACAGAGCATGAGGGTAATATGATCAAGACAATCAACATGCTTCCTGCATCCCAGTATCTCATTGAAAATGAACATGTACAGAAGTCAAAGAGTGCTCTCTTCTTTAAATTGTATGATGGAGCGCAGGTTCCAGACTACATGGAATCCTATCACAGAATTACAGTTGGAGGCCTCGGATGGGGCGAAAAACAGGGGTATCTGGTTTTAGATCGGAATGTTGGCTCATTGGACCACAAAAAGCTAAAGCTTTACCAACACCGACCAGAAACGGCTGTGCACTTTGACAGAAATAAAAAATCCGTAGTTTTAGAGTGCTCCACGGAACAACAGAGTTACAGGCCCACCGACTCAAACTCGCCAATTGTAAGCAACCAGATAGGACTGGGTTCCGAGACAGGCTTCAAGCTGAATGGTGTCTGGCACACATCGCAGGGAGAAGTGGTTCAGATCGTAGTCACGTGACGATCTAAGGTCCGCGCTCGTTGAAAATACGCGCTACCCGGCCGAGCCAAATTCAAATTTGGCAATTACGTGTATAAACATCTAAACATCAACACCAAGCAAACACGCTATGTCGAGCTTTCTGTCCCAGCTTCAATACCAGCCGGTAAGTGCCAGCATCTGGGAGATTAACAGACTAACCTACTAAGCTCACGAATTTTGCAGACAACTTGAGCGTTGAGAGCGTTAAGGTAAGTGTTTGATTCCAGTATTGCTAACCCTTCAGCAACAGATCGCTAGTGTTCAAAACAGGTTCTCCTCGATCAGGCCACCACAGGAGTTCCTGGATTATAGGAGATTCTCCAAGCCCCAGAACTTTGGCGAAATTCAGCAGAGAGTCAGCTTCAATTTGCCTTATTTCCAAGCCAACTACATCGCCATCATTCTTCTACTGTCGGTGTACGCACTTGTCACAAACGCACTGCTCCTTTTTGTTCTTGGATTCACCGGGTTTGGTATTTATTTCATCTCCAAGTTGAAAGGTGGGGACTTGGAGTTACCTATGGGAAGACTCACCACATCACAACTTTACACAGGGCTGGCTGTGATTGCTGTCCCACTTGGGTTCCTTGCCTCGCCTATTAGTACTATGATGTGGCTGATCGGAACTTCAGCTGTTACGGTGTTGTCTCATGCCAGTTTGATGGAGAAACCTATCGAAACGGTCTTCGAGGAGTCGGTTTGAACGGATAGATGGTATAAAGTATGCAGCGGCATATCGAGCGAACGTACACTGCGAAGAAATAGGGAACTACAACTATGTAGAAAGGCTTACGCTCATGGTACTTTTATGTTAGTGCTTTCTCAGTCGAAAGAAGACCCAAGAATTTAAGTCATCGCAACGCTCATATACTATCTAAGCTTGACTATTGCGGTTGTTCGTCATCATAGAAAGCACCTCCCAACCAAAGAACGCAAATCCGTTTGCTCTCCTTTGTTGGGAGAAGAAAAGTAAGTTAAGAAAAATTTAGCTAGGGTCCCGCATATATATATGGATCTCTACACTCACTTGTGAGCGCTGGCAAGAGAAGACAGTATTTAATGCCAATCACAGTCTCAAGGACCCTACTTTTGAAGTCCAGCATCGGCTGGTACGACTTGTAACTACTATTACTCGTGCTATAGCTGAGTACCACCTCAAATCATTCTAATCAGTATTAATGCATACACACAACTCCACTTAGATGTTAAGCTTAGTTCTCTTCCAGTGTCTTCTTTTAGCGTTCCATCTGATCTTGTTGTTGGTTCTCAGTCTGATCCATTGAGGCAATGGTCTGTTTTGGTTTTGAGCCTTAGCAAGCTTCTGCTTGGTTTTGAAAGATTTGTGAGACTGAATGTTAGTAATGACGGTGAACACAGAGCATTCGCAGTTGACATAACTCCATGTTGAATTCAATAATACATACAGGCATCTTAATATGTTTTAGCTATTAAAAGTCTTTTTCAAGCAAAAAAGTTCAGCAGTGGTGCACAGAGTACGAACTCCTGGAACCGGACAATGAAAAAAAAAACGCAGTCACAAGAAACCGTGCACACAGAAGTCCACATCTTTGCACCAAGTCTTCAGATTTGAAAAATTTACAAATCTATAACTATACCACCATGACTAGAACCTCTGTTTTGGCTGACGCCCTTAACGCTATCAACAACGCCGAGAAGACCGGTAAGAGACAGGTCTTGATCAGACCTTCCTCTAAGGTCATCATCAAGTTCCTTACTGTGATGCAAAGACACGGTTACATTGGAGAATTCGAATACATCGATGACCACAGATCCGGAAAGATCGTCGTCCAATTGAACGGTAGACTCAACAAGTGTGGTGTCATCTCTCCAAGATTCAACGTCAAGATTAAGGACATCGAGAGATGGACTGACAACCTGCTGCCAGCCAGACAGTTCGGTTACGTTGTTTTGACCACTTCTGCTGGTATCATGGACCACGAGGAAGCCAAGAGAAAGCACGTCTCTGGTAAGATTCTCGGTTTCGTTTACTAGACCAGGTATATTAGAGTAATAAAGTCATCAGTTAATACCGAAGAGTAGAATGTAGTACCAATGGTTGCAACGCGGTAGCATTGGGAAGACGGCCTATGTTTCGAGGAAAACCCTGCATCAGTGGGCGCTGGTGGCACTAGACGGGGCAAGCTCCATCCGCGCAGCGTGAATCTCGATACCGACCCAGTTTGGCTGGTGTTGGGGAAGGCCCCCTCGAGCGGACTTGTTCTCGGTGTCAGGTGTGCTTAGCGCTCGTGACTGCGTTCTCACACTGCCACCACCTCGCGAATGAAAATTTTAGGTGTGGAAAAAAATCAAGCTCTCAATAGAATCATCATGGCTGCTGAAAACGTTACTCTCGGCCCTCAAGCTAGAGGCTCCAGCGAAGTGTTTGGTGTTGCACACATCTATGCTTCCACCAACGATACCTTTGTTCACGTTACCGATCTTTCAGGAAGAGAAACCATCGCCAGAGCTACTGGTGGTATGAAAGTCAAAGCCGACAGAGACGAGTCCTCGCCATACGCTGCCATGTTGGCTGCTCAAGACGTTGCCGTGAAATGCAGAGAGGTCGGAATCACTGCCGTCCACGTCAAAATGAGAGCCACCGGTGGTACCAGAAGCAAAACCCCAGGTCCTGGTGGACAATCTGCTCTCAGAGCCCTCGCCAGATCCGGACTGAAGATCGGCAGAATCGAAGATGTGACTCCTATTCCATCCGACTCCACCAGAAAGAAGGGTGGTAGAAGAGGTAGAAGATTGTAAGTGGTGGACATCAAAATCATTATACAATGGTCGTTTCGAGTGTTGTAGAGGTATAATAAGAGAATGTCAATTCGACGAATTATAATAGCAACAGGGAAAAGGCAGCGACATCACAGTGCGACATGGCTTTTCCGACTAAATCTGCTAGTTCTGATGTGGAAATAATTTGTAGATCGTTTTCATCTCTTTTTCTCCATTTATCTTTATGCCCTTAATAGTGGCCGATTACTTGCCCAGGCTGTCGACAAGAACTCTCATGGCCACCTCGCTGGCCATGCGGCTCGGATTCCTGCTTTTTGGGATCTATCAAGACGCATATATGGACCTTCCATACACAGACATAGACTACTTTGTCTTCACCGACGCTGCCAAATTCGTGTTCAATGGCCAATCGCCTTACGCAAGAGATACATACAGATACACGCCGCTACTGGCGTGGCTTCTTCTTCCGACCAATTACTGGTTTGAGTACGGAAAAGTGCTATTTGTGCTCTGTGACCTCGTGACAGGGTACCTCATCATAAAAGTCTTAGACAAGGCCAGAAAAGATAAGGCATGGAGCATTCTGTGGCTGTGGAACCCAATGGTGGCCACAATCAGCACCCGCGGAAGCTCAGAAAGTGTTTTGACCATAGTGGTCATGCTGATCACAAACTTCACGCTTAGCAACCAATATGCTTTGGCAGGACTATGCACGGGCTTGGCTGTCCACCTCAAAATCTATCCACTCATATACATCCCAGCAATTCTTCTGACTATTGACAAACTGCAGCCATGGCACCAGCCTGTGACCAGAACGAGATTGGTCTTTGTGCTGACATCTGCACTCGGCTTTGGTGTTCTTACAGCTCTCATGTATCACATATACGGCGACGAGTATTTGCAGGAGGCATATCTATACCACTTGAGCCGGATAGACCATCGCCATAACTTCTCAGTCTACAATTTGACGTTGTATTTCTCGTCCTACCAGGGATTTTCCTCGCTACCACTTTTCCAGAAATACGGAGTTCACATTGAAAAACTGGCCTTCTTGCCCCAATTGGGTCTTTCAATGGTGCTCATACCTCTAAAGCTTGCCAACATCGACCTTGTTGGCTGCTTCTTTGTCCAGACATTTGCATTCATCACCTTCAACAAAGTGATCACGTCACAGTATTTCATCTGGTGTCTGTGCTTTTTGCCCATATACACGGCCAATTCGACCATAAAACCTACAACGACCGTATTCCTACTCGCTGCGTGGATTGCAACCCAGGGACTATGGCTATGGAACGCTTACCAGCTGGAATTCCTAGGTAAACCGGACATTTTCACTACAGGCATCTGGCTCAGCAGCTGTTTGTTCTTCGTCTGCAATTGTGTGCTCCTCATGGCCTTTGCCAACGACCTGGGTGCCCAAAAGCGGGCTCAGCGGCAGAAAAAGAAGCGTTGAGCGATGTGTTCTATATCTGTCTCTTCCAAAACAGGAAAAATAAAAATGCTAGCCGAGGGGCGGGAGAATTTTATCAGGCCTGTGCGCCGTCGTCGCAGCCACCGGGCGGTGGGGAATTTTGTACTGCTACGAAAAAAAATAATCTATAATAACAAACGATTGATAAAGTTGTTAGTTGAACGCAGAACTCTGCAAAGAAGCAAAGAACAACCGTCTGCCTCGCCATGGAGAACTTCGAGGTGCGAGCAAAGTCGTTCACTATCAAGTGGGTCAATGCTCCAGACAATTCCACCGTGAAATGGGAATTAAAACCGTTGAAACGATCTGTCAACTTTGGAATCTACGAATACAGCAAAGCAGACTTCCCGGCCCCTTCGACGGCTCCGAACTCCTCGTCGACAACATTATCTGAGAATTTGAGCCTCGACGAGGTCAACGAGGTCCCACACAAGATGTTTGGAGTGTTGCATCAGAATCTACGCGATTCTTTCGAGTCCCTTGCATCTCAGAGTCAAGCCACCCCCTCGGCTCCCAATGATGCGTCCACAGGATCACTTCCAAGACAAAATACAGCGTTATCCACAAGCTTTGAGAAGAGAAAACGATCAGAAAGCGTTTCTTCTCTCCACGATTCTCGCAATCTTTTGGAAGAAAAAATAGATAAACACCTGGTGAAAAAAGAATGGATCGGAAGATGCCAAGGAGATGAGCTTGTTACAGGAACATTTGAGGTGAGCTCCGGATCCCTTTTTGCATTTATTTTCGACAATACCTTCAGCAGACACAAAGCGAAAACAATCATGTTTAACCAATACATTGAAACGAACGGACAAGTTTATCAGACAGCTGAATCTCCACAGCCATCACCTTCCTACCAGCTGAATCCCATAGCCGAGCAAAAGAGCGTGGACGAGACGGAGGTGTCAAGACCGCACGAGGCTGCCAGTGCGCCTGTTGGACACACCAACGGCGGAATAATCAACAGAAGGGCTTCTGTTGTCTCTGCGCCGCTACAAAATCATGTGAGATTCAGCGTCCCCGAAAATGAAATAGCCTCCAAATCAAAGAACGTGTCACTTTTGAGGGTAAAAGGCGGCCAATACCTCCAGGGGTTTCTGCTCAAGAAAAAGCGCAGACGGGGAGGAGCAAAAAGCTTTGCTAGAAGGTACTTTGTTCTCAACTTCAAGTATGGAGTGCTGGACTACTACTTCAACGACGTCACGAACCACGTCCGTGGTAACATGTTCATCAGGAACGTTGTGATTTCAGCTGATCCAAAGCAGCTGATGATGTTTCTGGATTCTGGGATTGAACAGTGGATCTTGAAAGCAATGAACCAGGAAGATTTCAAGATTTGGGTTCAAGCCTTCAACTTCATCAAAAGACAGAACAAGTTCACGCAACAGATGGACATTCAGGAACACGATGCGCTTCTCACCGCCTCTTCTCCTGGAGAAGCCCAGGAGGACAACAACAGGACTGATTTTGAGGATGAGGTCCGGGTTGGCCGAACGCTCTCAGTGATAAATCCTCAGTACAAGCTGGTGGAGCAAAAAATATCGCAGATTAAGCAGATGGCCGAAAGTCTCCAAGCACAGGCAAAGCAGCAGAAGAAAGGAAGCATGGACAGAAGAGGGTCATTTTTCCGCAAGAAGAACAAAAAAGAGCAGAGTGACGATCAATTCGACCAGGAAAGCATAACTGGATCAGTCACAGCCCCGATGCCTGGCGGATCTCTATATGATAGCTTGGTTTCTGAAATCAAAGAATTGCAGGTGCAATATATGTTGCTGGTCAACACAGAAACTAATAGGGGATTCAGCAGGCCTCCCCAATCTCCATCGAGGAGAACCCTTACGAGGACAAACACAGCTACCACCTCTGTCTTTTCCCAAGAGTTTTTTGATGCACAGGAATACATTGATGAAATGAACCGTGGGGTCTACTTGGTCCAGTCTAGCGACGAGGACGATAGCGAACACGAGAACAAGTACGACGACGCCAGCATGTCGAACATATTTGACAAGCCGCCTTTCGGGCTCGCAATGGATAACGATCTTTCGAACTCGACGTCTTCGTCGGATGAGGACGACGGAGATCAAAAGGGATCGGCGATTACGGCCGGGAGACGGTTTTCTGCTCGGGAGGACCTATATCCTTTGGAGCCCGGCAAAGTCGTGCAATACAGGAAGGACATAAAGGAGAGCCCGTGCGACCCTCCGTCCTTGATTGGATTTTTAAGGAAGAACATTGGGAAAGACCTGTCTTCCATATCGATGCCCGTTTCAGCCAACGAGCCGCTCTCCTTTTTACAGAAATACTCAGAAAGCTTTGAGTACACGCACCTGTTGACAGATGCAATGAAAGCGCCCGTGGAGAGCGGTCAGCGAGTGCTACTGATTGCAGCTTTTGCCGTGAGCTATCTCTCCTCGTTGAGGGTAAAAATCAGAAGCGTTAGAAAGCCATTCAACCCGCTTCTTGGTGAAACTTTTGAGCTTGTGAGAAATGACTTGGGAATCAGACTAGTTGCCGAAAAAGTGGTTCATAGACCTTTCATAATTGCCGCACATGTCGAATCCAAGGATTGGACAGTTGACCACGTTCTCTCGCCTCAGCAGAAATATGGAGGCAAGTCTGCGGAAGTTTCCATAATAGGAGAGCTGACCTTGAGACTGAGCAACGGCGAGGTTTACAAATGGAGCCAGCCTACGACGCTCCTCAAGAACCTCATTGCTGGTGAAAAATATTCAGAGCCTTGTGCGTCCGTGACTGTGAGCTGCAGCAGTGGTTACAAAGCGACTGTGAATTTCAAGGCATCTGGAATGTTTTCTGGACGCTCTGAGGAGCTGACTATCAAGGCCTACGACGGTGCAGGCAACAAGCTGCCAAAAGAAGTGGTTGGTACGTGGACCGACAGTTTTCGATACACCGACAATGGAGAATGCTTGTGGAAAGTTGGAAATCTGGTGCCAGATTACCAAAGAAAGTACGGATTCACCGAATTTGCAGCCAGTCTTAATCAGATCACCGAGATCGATGAGGGCTGCGCACCGACCGACTCCAGATTGCGTCCAGACCAGCGCGAATACGAAAACGGCGCCGTTGACGAGGCAGAGGAGCTAAAGCAGCATTTGGAGGAAGAACAGAGGAAGAGAAGAAAAAACCCAGACGGAACAGACTCAGTGCATGTACCGGCATTTTTCCAGAAAGCTGGTGACGGCGACTACGATTGGAGCTTCATTGAAGGGGAGAACAGTTACTGGAATCGCCGCAAGAGAAATGATTGGGATGGCCTTGTGAAGCTGTGGTAGATTAATAGATGTATATTGGAATGAATGATAGACTTCAACTCGGTGGAATCTCTCTGATGAAGTATCTGTGGTTATGTCCTCCTGCAACTACCACCTGGGCAGGGGGGCCTGTTCTTTGTGAAGTGTTGATGTTCATTTTTGGAACGTCATCCATACGGCCGTGCTGCTGCAGATACGGCGACAAGAATGGAGAAAGCAGCTCGTCGTTCTGAATAGCCTCTTCAATGGCCTCCTCAATAGCCTCCTGTACGACCTCGTCCTCGTTGGATAGATTAGCAAAGACAAACGAGGAGAAAATGAGGATAATGCCAAGATAATACCTAGCTGACGTGCTTTTGACTTTATAGAATACAGAGTCGCAAATCATGTTGACGGGAATTGCGGTGGAGAGCGACAATGCGGTGATCAGCGGAGATGTCAACAAGGTTGCGAGGATTGAAAAATAGTCCGAGAGACAGTTGAAAAGCCCTCCAATAAAGACAATCCAAAAGATTGTGGAGCTATCTGGGAGAGATAGATTCTCGAATCCAAGAAAGTTTGCGATCAGAAGCACCGGGCATGCCAATATGAGAATGCTGAGTCCCAAAAAACCAAAGATAAGCTTTTCGTTGTCCGGGCTTGTCTCTTTGCCTATCTTCACTCTCAAAAGGACTAGGTAGCAAGAATAGAGAAACGTCCCACAAAGGGCAATGCAATTGCCCAGCATGGAGTTGACGGGCGTGGATTCAGAAGACGGCGTGCTGTTGAGCGTAATCAAGCAAATTCCTGCGATGCTCACGAGGACAGAAACGATCTTGCCCAGGGACAATGTGTCGACACCACATATATAACTGAGCAGAAGCGTGAATACGGAGCTTGTGGTTGTGAGAATCGTTTGGTTGGACGCGCTTGTATACTGTAAAGCGATTGCGCCCAATGCAGCGTTTGCATAATAAATAAGGCCAGCCTGGACCGCAACAATTATCAGCTCTTGGAGCGAGAGGTTCGTGGAAGGAGCGTGGAGAACTATGCTTGAAGAGCCGCAAGAATCGTAGGAATTGAAGACAGAATTGTCCAGTTTAGGCTCAGAGGCTGCAAAAGCATTGATCAGACTCTTAAGTGCGGGCTTGATCCCAAACATAACAAAAAGACCTCCATTTATGTATGCCACAAACAGGGGGTGCTGATACGAGTCTCCTTTCAGAACATTGTTTGTGAGCTGCAGTCCAAACACCCAGGTTGCCACTGTCAGGAACAGATAGAGAAGTCCTTTGATCCAGTTTCTGCGCTCCTCTGTTTTGATGATATCCACGACATCCTCAACAACCTGCTCGCTGGGCAGATCGACATGAGAGTCCTTGGGTCTTAGCGACCGAATCAGCCCCCCTGGGAGAACAGGAGATTTTAGAAGGATCACCGGTGACCGCAGATGCGTCTGTTTTGGTGAAGAACTCATGTCATTAGTAAAACTCTAAGATAGAGATAGTAACAAAATTTGCATGAGATTTCTCTTGCCTAAAACGGCTGCTGATAAGTTTATATAGGACGCGGAAATTTACTGCGATTTAAGTTGCAAGAACTAAATTAAGACGAAAGCAAATCTTGAACATTAAAATGCGTAGCTAACTGGCGAAATAGAGGGTGTGTATGAATGTCTATTTTCTTCGAATACTAGAGCCTGGGTCGCAGTATTTCCACAGAATGTCCGGTGGCTTGTAGAAGGGATTGGTAGGGGAGCCCGAATTAGAAGATGCTCCAATCAGAGATTTGGAACGGTATCTGAAACTCTTCACAGGGGATAGTGACGGTCTTCTTGTGTGCAGAGAGCCCTTAGTCTCAGACCCGTTACTACCTGTTTTTTTGCTATCAAGGCTAAGTCTTTTCCTTTTCTCAACGATTTTTTCCTTAATGGCAGTCGGATTTGAGGCGGGTTCATAATTGGCCTTTTGGGTTTCGACGTCCTGGTCAGGCGGAAAGTTGAGATAATTATGCTCGATGTCGGCGGAGGACGAGAAGACCGTCCTATCGATTTCCCAGTTCTGGCAGAGCTGTTCAAAACCTTCCAGAGGCTTGAACGCCCATTGTTGGTCATACGAGTAGGACGATATCTGCGTAGATTCTGTACTCTCAATGGTAAGAGCAGGAGAGTCAAACGGATTAGGCTGGTGCTGCTCAGTTGGCTCCGCGTCCTGCGCTGGCAACTCAAATCCGTTCTTGTCAGAGTACGAGGCAAAGTCAAAACCATAATCAGTGTCCCCTAACGGGAACTCTGACTCCGGCTCATTTGAAAAGATTCTGTACTGGTCAAAGATGTCCATCTATGAGGTCTGCTCAAATAGAGGAAGCTTTGAATTATCGACAGATGGATTGAAGTGGAATCTGGCAATCTAATATAGGAGCTTAACAATAACAGCATCCAATTAATGCCATAGTGCAGATCTTGCGAGTGGACAATTAAATAGCGGTGCTTCCTCCCAGTCCTTTATACATTTTTATTGTAGGGGACAAAAGCTAATTAACAATAACCAGATTATGTAATATGAATCCGTTCTTGTGGGAGATAATTGTCACAGCTTGGAAGTGCATATGCAAAATAACCGTCGCAGGTGCAAACTACATTCATCACACAGCACGCACCACTTGTTTGGCATCTACGGACCGCAACCTGCTAAGACAGGACCTAAGAATATGCTCACAAACCTGAAAGCAAGCATTAAAAGATGACTTGGAGCCAGTAGCCAACAACGCAAAACTTTCAAATTACAAGTGATCCTCACACGACAGCACGATGTAACATGAAATAGGAAAATAGGGCGGGAGCGGCTCACTGCCCTGCGGCTATCGGAGCACAAAAATTCAGCCTGTCCATGTAAATCGGCATCCACGATCTCCAACATGAAACAGCCCACATGGAACACCAGGGTGCAAACTAGCGAGTGCCCCTTTGACACACACAATGTATCTAGCACTAAGGGGTAGCAGCATGTTGTGGGTGCGAGCAAATATTTTGTTGGTGCGCTCCCGATCGCCATTGCAGGCAGAGCTTCCTAAAAATAAGCCGCGCCGCCAGACTTCCTGCTTAGGACACAAACTTATTGACCCCGCTGTGATCGGTGGCAGCAGCCGCGGAATTCACACTTGCTGGCGCTCTGCGAGTTATGTTGGGAGCAACAGAACCACATCGAACCGACCAACTATCACGTTATTTGGGCACCCCTACAACGATTAGTCACACCCAAATTCGTGCATGAAATTCGCTTGTTGCCAAAGGTTTCAAAGCCTCAAAAAGTGGTTTCAAGGTTTGCTCAAGGTTTGCAGTGTGAATCGGTGATCTCATTCGGCCCGAGAAGTTCTCCGCAAACGTAATCAAATTTATTCATGTGCTTCTGATACCCTCTATTGTACATAATATACATCCTGTGACTTTCCTAATCTGTGTCGAATCTTAGTTTGCGCGGTCTCATTGAAGACTCTTCGTCCACAAGCTCCCGCACTGCCTTACCGGTCTTGTCCACGTATCTCAGATGACCCTGGCCTGCTTTGCGTGCTGATTGTGATCTTGCAGATGAAAGGGACTGCCCGCGAAAAGGATTTTTTATCTTCTCCTTTCGTATTATCTCGCCGTCGTCGCTCTCGTCCTCCCAGTCTTGTTGCTTGAAAGGTCCGGGCGTTACCTTATTGCGTGGCGTTTGGGGAGCCACGTCTTCATCAAGTGCGCTGCTGAAGTCCAGGCGGCGCGCCTTGATGGATTTCTCATAATCGGTCAGTTTGCGAACTATCTTCTCCCCTGTTTTGTTGTTCACCAGCTCCATTTCCTCCTCGAACCGAGAATATTTGGATGTTTCTCCTGCGCCCTTTGGCTCTCCGCTCTCCAGGAACGGGTTGTTGATTGTGGCTCGCGAGACAAATCGCTCGTCGTCTTCGCCGGAGTCGGGCCGCTGCGGAGCAATATGCATCTTGTAGGCTTGCTCCTCCGTCATTACCTGCTTGGCAGGGGTTGACGGTGCAACAAACTCATTGGTATTGAAATCGAGCTTCTTGGTGACTTTGTCCAGTCTCTGCGGCAGACATTCTCCCTCTTCCTCCGACGAAAACTGTAGCTCCTCCTCCAGGTCGATCTTGTAGGATTTGCTGAGATCAAGCCCGGCGTTCTCCAGTCTGGGCCCGCCGACGTGCGACTTGCGCCCAGAACCAACTGTTGAGGGCGCCAGGGGAAAAAGAACGCTGGACTCGCCGATTTTGGAGGTTATCGCATCTGTCACGTCTTTACGTCGGCCGATCCTTGGCGTCTGGTCTGGTGTTTGCAGCTGCTGCTGTCCGCGTGTGTGGTGGGCAACGGGAGACACTGCCACGGCCTGTTTTTTGGGATTATGATGGGGAGTATACGGCGTGTGCGGATGTTGCTTGGTATGGTGTGCGCTAACGGGCGTCTTGAGGTATCTGTTACTGCCCGCTGCTCGCGTCCCACTTGGCGGTGTCGACGGTTGCAGTGGCTCGTTCTGGTGTTCTGGAGAACTCATGCTTTTGCACTAGATCAAATTCACGACGATTGCTTATTTTGGCTGAGATCAATCGAAGGTTAAGTAAATTCCCAATCACTACTCTTTGTGTCGCAGATGGCTGGTTTATTTTTCGTGAGGTCTCAATAAGTTTTCCGTTTTGGGAACCACCGCCCAAATGAACAGGAGAGAAATTTTATTTTCGGAACTTACATAAGCTAGAGGTTTACCAGGTCGGGTGCAATATGTAGCAGTACACACGCTTGCGGATCTCCTCTGTCTCGGGAGGGTCCTCAGGGAACATAGGGTGATCCCAGTGTACCATCTCGACAAACTCGACGTCGAATCCGAATAGCTCTGTGGCGTCAGTGAAAAACTTAAAGTCATTTTCCACCATCTGCGGTTTGGGTCTGTGTGGGGACCACACAACAAGACATTTCCCGCCACTTCTGGGCTTCGATGTATCTCGTAGTGGTGTAATTAGCTCTTTGGCGGATTTGAGCAGCTTGTGGTGCTCTGAATGGTTGAATACCAGATCGCTCATGATGATTAAGTCTGCTGTGCTCTCTAGAGTATTTTTAATTTCTTGCGTATCGTTGCCCCAGATGAACCCTTGCACACAAATCCTGCTGGTTAGTTCCTTATCTGCGAGACTTTCCACGTTGATCTGGATATTCTCCAGCAGATCAGGGTCTGGATAGTCCGTGGCTACCACTTTCTTAGCACCGTTGATGGAACACAACAAGGACGGAAGAGCGGCAGCAGAGCCAAATTCCACAACATTCTTGTTTTTGACCAGCTCCCGTGCGTGCTCCTCAAGATAATTTGCCGTATAAATACCTGCATTCCACAGCAAATGGCCCCAGAGCGGTGATTTTCCAACAAGTCGAAGCTTGATCTCGTCGAGTTCGGGATGCGCCTGATTGTGCAACCGAGTATATTTCTGGTAGTGAGCCTCCGGCTTCGGGGGTCTGAAGCTCTCAGGTTCCTCAAATAGACCTCCATCCAGGCCCAGCTCGTTGTCCGACATTGAATGCAACTTTGGGTTAAATTTTTTTAGCACGGCTTACGTAAGATTTATATATGTCATGGACAGGTGGTGACCTCCCAGTCGGAAGGATCGTGAACGTCTGGGTGATCAAGTGTTTTCATCTCCTCATCCGACAATTCGAAAGAAAGGACGTCGAAATTGGTGGCCAATCTATCTAGATTTTTAGTTTTAGGGATGGGAACGTAACCCTTTTGAACCGACCATCTAACGAGGACCTGAGCAGGTGTAACGCCTTTTTTCTTGGCAATTGCAACCGCATCAGGGTCGTTGATGCGATTGGCGTGAGAAAATGGAGCAAATGCGATAACAGCGATGTCATTTTCAATGCAAAAGTTGCAAAGCTCTTGCCTCATGCACCATGGAGAAACCTCGATCTCGTTGGCAACAGGTTTGTATTTGAGACCCGGCCAGGATAGCAGCTCTTTCAAGTGGCCAATTCCGTAGTTGGACACGCCAATTGACTTCACAACGCCTTCATCAACCGCCTCCTGCATGGCTTGGTATGTCTCAAGTCTCATTTTCTTGCCCTGTGTAGGGGCATGAATCAAGAGCAAGTCAATGTATTTCAGGCCGTCGATTTGCTCCAAGCACCCTTTAATTGCTTTTTTGGCGTTTTCGTAGCCGTGCTGATTGGTCCACAGCTTGGTGATGTAGCAAACATGTTCTCTTCGGTTGTGCTCTGGGTCCTCCTTCATCCACTCCAGCACGCCCTGGGCACACTCCTTCTCGTTACCGTACAAAACTGCGGTATCGATAAGGCGATACCCGATGTTCAGGGCTTCCTTGACAACTTCGGTGGCGTTCCTGAGTTCCCAGGTGCCCAATCCCATGTATGGGAGATATGAACCGTTGTTGAGCTTCACTAGCTTGGACAACATGATGGTAATTGGATAAGAAAATTAATATCGAGATTTTTAGTTGCGATATGTAATGCAATTTATAGTGGAAAAAGAGCAAATCTAATCTAGGTAAAATATTGCTAGCAAAGCGATGATATAATTACGCCTTTTTATTTGGGTAACCCTGTTTCCAAGTTGACCAGCACCTCGTCTGAATCCTGTGGGCCTGCACCAACTTCAGTCAAGATTACTCTAGAAACGCCCGTGCCCCATGTTGGATCCAGCTCAATGGATGGAGGAGTCAAAAGCTCGGTGTCTATCTTTTGCCATCCATCAACAGAATTGAAGACAGCATGGAGCAGGCCAAGAACTCTCGACTCGTTTTTCTGCTCGTAGTAGATGACGGCGTTTGGGCCGGCGTCGTACGTGTAAGCTGCAATTATTTCTCCGGCCGATTCGTTCAGCAGATTGATGAGCTTGATGATCCTTTTGGACGTGTCGTTCAAGTAGAATATTGGAGGATAAGAGTCTAGACATGTTGCATGGAACGAATTGGAGTCTTTCATGGTCAGCTCGGCAAACAATGGGAAGTTCTTATCCCTAATGGATTTTTTCATTTCTTCGAATCTTTGCGGAACAACCTTTTCAACACGATGTTGGAACAATGACGAGGTCTTGACAGTCAGTTGCATACCGCTTGTACTTGGAACGTCTTTTTTATCGTCAGACACAACCAGAATGCACGCCTTCATGTCTGGCCAATGGCTCAGCGGAGCCACCTCCACAGCCTTGGAGTCCTCACCGTTCTCAAGCTGCCCCATTTCCCAGGCCACATATCCTCCAAACAGCGACCTGCACGCCGAGCCAGAGCCCTTTCTGGCAATCTTACTGAGGTCAGAGGCAGTTTGAGGGAGCTCGTATAGTTTTGCAATAGCCGAGATCAGTGCTGCGAATCCAGCAGCAGACGATGCCAGACCCGCGGCAGTCGGGAAATTGTTCTCGCTGACAATGTGCAGGTGCATTTTGCTGAGCTTTGGAAGTGATCCGTCCTGAGCTTCGAGTTCCTCTCTGTACTTTCTGAGATCCCGTAGACACTGTTGGGTTCTAGGAGTGTCCAGAGAATGAGATTGGCCATTTAGCCACAGCTCGTCTTTTGTGAAACTCTCAGAACACGAGGCAGTGGTGAGAGTTCTCAGATCTTTCTGCGACAAGGTAACACTGATGGACGAGTTTGTTGGGAGGTTCAGGTCCTTGTCTCTCTTTCCCCAGTATTTAAGGGTCTGAGGTTAGCATCGAAGCCGAAAGCATACTTACAGCAATGTTCACGGGCGCCGTTCTTGAGGCGTAGTAGATCTTAGCCATTGTTAGTGATTAAACAATCGGTGCACCAAATTATTCCCTCTATTTTTTTTTTTTCTTCGCGCACCTCGTTCGTATAAATCCTCAGATTTTCATATTTGTCAATATAAAACATATAGAGGGTGAATAGTACAAATGTTAAACAGTGGTGGAAAACGTAATCGAGCTGAAAGCAAACTTTAGATCAAGAAGAAACCTTCTCCCATCTCCAAATTCTGGCTTTGCAATCTCCAGAACCAGTAGCAAAGTAGCCCCCGTTGACTCCTCTCTTCTGGGTCATAACAGGCGACACATTCACGCTGATGACAGAGTTTCTGTGTCCTTGTAACATGATGTATGGCTCACCGGTGGCCTTCTCCCACATTATCACACCCCGATCTTTCGAACCCGACAGGATGAACTCGTCGTCCGGTGTACAGCAGACAGAGAGAACAAAGTCCTTATGTCCGACATAGGTGACCTCGCAGTTGGACTTGGACGATCCCTGCTGTTTCTGGAGGTCTTTCAAAGACCACAGCTTGACAGTTCTGTCCAGAGAGCCAGAAGCAATATCTTTTCCGTCATGTGTGAATGCAACCGAGTAGACTGAGTCCATGTGGCCGTTTCCGCTCTCATTAGCCGAGTCGAGTCTCTCCACCAGGAATCCTTGGTTGGCGTCCCATACCCTCACAGTTCTATCCAACGAACCTGCTGCAATAAGTTTTCCGTCCGGCGAAGCAGCCACCGTGGTGACACCATCCTCAATACTCAGAGTGAGCGAGCACTGGCCAGTGAACACGTCCCAGATTCTCACTGTTCTGTCTCCAGAACCGGAAACCAGCTTGGAGCCATCAGGGAAGAAGTCCAGCGAATATATGTCCTGTTCGTGTCCCTTGAGGTACTTCACAATAGTTCTGGTAGCAAGGTCCCAGATTCTAATGATCTTGTCTTCGGCACCGGTAGCGAGGAACTTTCCATCCGGCGAGAAACAAACAGATCTAATATACAAATCCCCTGTGTCTGTGTCGTACGACCCGTTGGAGCTGGCAGACGACTCGTCGCTCAATCTGGCAACCAGGTCGCCTGTCTCGACGCTGAACACCTGCGTGAGCTTGTTGCAACCAGTGGCCAAAAACTTGCCGTCTTTGGAGAACCGGACACAGCAAACCACAGAGGTGTGGTCAAACGAGTGCACCAGTGACGTGTCAACCTTCTTGGGAACCTTAGGGTTGTACACTATGTAGTATTCACTGTGCTGTTTCTTGTACGGCAGGGTGCTGTACGAGTCGAAGTCTTTCAGGAACGCTGGGATAGGCTTGTTGTGCTGGGACCTCATCACGTATCCAGCGTCGGCCTCGCTCTTCACGACAGAAGTCTGAACAGCGGCCGGAGGCTGTTCTGGTGAAGGCTGGGTCTGAGAAGCTGCCTGCTGCTCTTGGGTGGAAACTGGAGGCGGAGGAGGTAGCTGGGAGCTCTGGGCAATTTCAGGCTTCGCGCCTGAGGCTTGCGCGTTGATTTGGGGAAGAGCACCATTGAAGCCTGCGCCGCGGTAATCGGACGGAGAGCCACTGAGATTTGGCGGCGGCAGTTGCTGAGGAGTCTGTGGGAAAGCTCCTTGCGGCCTGTCAAGAAGCGGATGCTGTTGAGACTGGACCTGAGCCTTGACCTGAGCTTGCGCCTGGGCCTGGGCCTGGGCCTGCTGCAGGGATTGTTGTTGGAACAGTCTGTCTCTGTTTTCGAGGTCCTGCTTCAACCTCAGAATTTCCTTCTCGTAAGCCTCCTTCATGGTCCTGTGGGCCTGCTCCAGCTCGTACACGGTGTTTCTAATATTGGTGAGCTCCTGGTGTTGCTGGTTAATTTTCAGCTCATAGTCGTGATGGTGGTCTTTGTAGATTGTTGTTTCTCTAGTGAGATTGTCGAACTCTTTCTTGACAGCATCCAAAAGCTCATCCAGACGGTCACGTTCCGGCATTGTATGGTTGCTGCTGCTTGGGACGGCTCTTTGGTACGACATGTCGCTTAATTGTCAGCTTGTCAATTCTCCAGTTGGCGTGTCAAGGTACTCAACAAATTGAAAACTGAGTAGCGTAAATTAACGGATCTCGGTTTTAAATCACAGAAGGCTACTGTAGATTCAAATGTGGGTCTTGTTTAGCTCCACAACAGCACTTTGCAACTAGTAAACTAACGGCAAGAGGAAGAGCAGGTGATCAAAATATACGGAAGAAAGCAAGAAAAAAAAAACGGAACGAAAATGTGCATGGGGACGAAAAAGACGAAAGTCGAAAAAACGATTAGATGGCATGAAACTTATCGTCAGCGGTAGATGCGTCTGGTTTAGGGTAATTAACGTCCGGGAATGAAAATCCTTGTAATCATTCGCTATTCTGTATACGTGTTCTGATTGGCCCGTTCGGTTATTTCGCCCAATTTTGTCCGCTGGCTAGTCTGGCGGGATGTTGTTCTTTACGCACTATTTGCGCTTTGGAAATTTCTTGGCAGTACGTCCTTATTGTCTGCCTCTATAATCAACCCTATTATACATCACATTGTTCCGGATACTATTCACCGAATTGCTTTGTGGCGTGAAGACACCCGTGCACCATATATGAAACAATAGACGCGCATGGGGCTCTTCCACGAATTGCCTGCCAGCCAGCCACCGACCCGCCAACAAGACTTTGCAAAAAAAAAATCTGGCATCGTTCGGTACAGCGACGCAGCAGGAATCGCAGCGCTCCGGTGCAAGGATGTCCAATGAGAGGCTACCGAAACCAAAACATCTCGTTTTAATAGCCAGAACATGTCGAGTGCCAGCGAGTTTTTGGACAAGGGCGTGGACCTCGTGAAGAAAGCCATTGAGGCAGATAGTGCCAGCAAGTACGACGAGGCGTACAGGCTGTACTACAATGGCCTGGACTACCTGATGCTAGCTCTCAAGTACGAAAAGAATCCCAAGTCTAAGGAGACCATCAGATCCAAATTCACCGAGTACTTATCGCGCGCAGAACAGTTGAAGGAGTATCTTGATAAGAAACAGCAGCAGGACCAGACGGGCGAGGCAAGTGCGACGTCTGGGTCCGTGAAAGCGAAGAAGACTAGTGGAGGAGAAGATGACGACAACGACAGCGATACAAAGAAACTGAGAGGAGCCCTTGCTAGTTCGATTCTGAGTGAAAGGCCCAATGTGCAATGGAGCGATATTGCGGGTCTGGAACTCGCAAAAGAGGCACTAAAAGAGGCTGTCATTTTACCTGTCAAGTTCCCTCATCTATTCAGAGGCAAAAGAAAACCGGTATCTGGAATCCTCTTGTACGGCCCTCCAGGTACCGGTAAGTCTTATTTGGCGAAGGCAGTTGCCACGGAGGCTAACTCTACGTTCTTCTCTGTCTCTTCGTCTGATCTGGTGAGTAAATGGATGGGTGAGTCTGAAAGATTGGTGAAGCAGCTTTTCACGATGGCCAGGGAGCAAAAGCCGGCAATCATTTTTATCGACGAGGTGGACGCGCTATGTGGTCCAAGAGGAGAGGGCGAGTCGGAGGCTTCGCGGAGAATCAAGACAGAGCTTTTGGTTCAGATGAACGGTGTTGGTAATGACTCTGACGGTGTCTTAGTGCTGGGAGCGACGAACATTCCATGGCAGCTGGACGCAGCTATCAGAAGACGGTTTGAGCGTAGGATATACATTCCCTTGCCCGACCAAGAAGCCAGAGTCGAAATGTTCAAGCTGAATATCGGAGATACTCCGTGCTCCCTCACAACACAGGACTACCAAACACTTGCTCAAATGACGGAAGGATATTCGGGACATGACGTTAGTGTTGTTGTGAAAGACGCGCTTATGCAACCGATTCGTAAGATTCAGATGGCTACGCATTTCAAGAAGGTGGTGTCGACGAACGAGGAGGGACAGGAGCTGGAACAATATACGCCATGTTCTCCAGGGGACAGCGAGGCGATCGAGATGAGCTGGTTGGACCTCGACGGCGAGCAGCTGAAAGAGCCGGAGCTAGGTATAAAAGACTTCATCAAAGCGATCAAGACCAACAAGCCTACGGTGAACCAGAAAGACCTAGACAAATTCATTGAGTTCACCAACGATTTTGGCTCAGAAGGAAACTAAACAATAGAGCTTTATTAATATTTGGATATGTTAAAGTTAGAGTCCACCACCTTAGACAGTTCAACTTTGATCAGCAGCAGAGCAGCGCCCTTGTTTTCCAAGAACGGCTTGGCATCGGGGTTGCTCTTGGTGTGTAGGTCTCTGTAATACTTTGTTTCCTCCGAGTCCTCATCCTCGTCGAAAACTTGCTCGACATACCCTGTCAAATTGCAACTCAGCTCGCACAACTCAGATTGGTTAAGATCCTCGAGCAATCTGAGCAATTGACCGTGTCGCGACACTCCGCTTGCTTTCGTCGACGTGGTCCAATCATGAACCAGAATGGAACATTGTGGGTTTTGAGATAGATTGTGGTACTTCTGAGTATCCTTTGGCGTGGATATGAGCAAATAGTGGTTCTTGCCAGTCGTGTCGTGATACTTCTGTTCGGGGCTAATAAGCGTGTAATTCATCAGACTCACGTGGGGCACGTTGTTGAGACAGGTCCCCAAGTGGATGAAGTTGGCATTTTGTAGCAGATGCAACACAGAGCTGGGAATTTCGGTGGTCATCCAAAAGTGGTCAAATATTAAACGTCAAAAAGATAGGGGGAGACAAAAAAAAATAGTGTGAGCAGTATTTAATTAGTATTTATTTGGGTAAACAAAACTTTCATGGCATCCGGCCCTTATCTGTGGGAGCGGCTGCCGAAGCCGGAAATGACCAGCACAACGTTCCTTCTTCTACTAGACGGGCCTGATGATGCTTTTGGACTACAGGCAGATCGTCCTGAGACGCCAGTTACCCCACAAGGTACAGAAGTCAGCGAGGAGCAACAAAGGACACAGAAAATCAAAGAGGCAATTCAGCATTCACACGAGTCGCCGGTGATGAAGGCCAAGATGGCGATCTCACGAGTACAGCCCAAACCTTTTGCCGAATTGGACGAGGATTCAAGTCTGGATGACGTTGCTTTGCAGAAAATCACACAGCTAGTAAACATGGACGACGACAGCGACTCCGACCTGTCGGAGCTGAACAAGCTTTTTCCCAACGCAGTGCGCACGATCAAGCTTTCAAAGGGCGACCAGGACAACATCGACCGTATGTTGAGGCTTGAACGCTCCAAAAACGCAACAGTGAAAGAAAAGGTGCGCAAAAGAAGACAGATCTCTGAAGAGTCAATTTCGCTTGCATCTGAGGCGTCGAGCGATGTTGCCCTGACAAAGAGAGCGAAACGGAAATTTGCAAAGTACGGTCTCGCGCAAACTGAGTCGGAAAGGGAAGAGTCAACAGACGATGAAAATGGGGACGCAGACTACGCGCAAGAAAATGATAGAGACGAAATCAATGACCTCGTCGACAGCGACGATATTGGATCGACCTCTCTCTCCAGCTCTCAACACGAGCCTTTGTCCCAATCTTCGGATAACAAGTGTGTTACGATCTAACGATACTGCTTGTGCTAATTATTTGTCCGCCGTGCAGTGCATGGCCAATGACTCGGGAGTCGCCCGGTGATTGTGTATTATAGTGGTAATTCAAAATGTAGAGTAAATGCAATAAATTTATTTTTCAGACTATATACATGACAGTGAGCGAGCCGGAGCAGAATTTGGAGCTTCTTAGGCAGCGAGTGTTAGCTAATTTGTCCAACAGAACAAGTTCTGGGCTTGTCAAGGTCCGTCTCAACAATCTCGAGATGGAGCAGGTCCAGATATACAAGATGTTGGAGAATACGATTAAGTTCAACGAGGGTAAGTCCTGTCTGGTTATAGGTCCTCGCGGAAGCGGGAAAACCACCATGGTAAACAACGCGCTGCTGGATCTTCAGGAGAGGTTTCCGAATATGTTCTATGTGATCAGGATCAGTGGATTCTACCAAAGTGACGACAAAAGCGCGATCAAGGAGATTGCAAGGCAGCTTGATTGGCATCTGCTCAGACATTCGGGCAACTGGAGCGTTTCGTTCGAACGGTTCTCTGCCAACGATACCATGAACAGTGTGATGAGCGTTCTGGACGGCAGTCAGCTGATGGAAGGGAAAGACCAGAATGGAGACGACGACGAGATGCAGATGCCCATTATCTTTGTGATCGACGAGCTTGACAAGTACACAAACGATGCGAAACAAACACTACTGTACAACTTGTTTGACGTGGCACAGTCCTCATCGAATTCCCACGCCGTGGCCGTGATTGGATTGACCACGGTCACCGGTGTCCGAGAGCAGCTGGAAAAAAGAGTAAAGAGTCGATTTAGTCAGAAGGTGATTCAGCTGACGAAACCCAGACAGCTGGCAGAGTTCTGTGACAGCGTCTATTGCATGATCTCTGTCGATCCCGACGACTTTGAGCCGTCCATGCTCGAGCTGGCGCAGAGATACAATTCACACATGAAAACGCTACTTGGCGGGGCGAGCGAGCTCCGCAAGCTGGTCGTCCGCAACTTCTACACGGTCAAAGACCTCAACATTCTCAAGAGCCAGCTGACGCCTTACATTGCGAAAATGGACATGACTACGTTTTCCGCGGGGCCGATCCCGCTCGTGAACACCAACAACCGCAGCTTCCAGATTTTGGCGAGCCTCAGCGAGCTCGAATTGAAGCTCGTCATCTGCGCCGGCCGCCAGCTGCTCAAGAACTCCATGGACCAGGTCAATTTCAACATTGCATACGAGGAGTTTGAGAGAATCTCGAGCTCCCAAACCAACACGCTAAATTCGCAGCTTCAGACAATGGGGCGCGTGAAGCTCGATTCGGCACACCATTCGCGGGACCTGATGCTCGCTTGCTGGGAGCGGCTCATCTACTACGGACTCCTGGTGGAGCCGATCCGGCAGATCAACGGAATCAACTCGAGCTTCTACACCGGAGGAGAATCAAATAAAATGTTTCATCTGGACGTGACTGTGGAGGACGTTGCGCGGCTTTTCCGCCACACAGATTGGGTCACCAAGTGGTGCAGAATTTAAACCCCGTTTTTCCTAAATTTGGTTTTCCCTATACGGCCGAGTCAGCGTTCCATTCACCCCTAGGCTACCCCGCAGGAAAATGGGGTGGGTGTGCTCTAAGCGCGAAAAGCCAGGAGTATACACTTAGATAGCCACCGATCCACCGATTTCACCGTGGCCAAAGCAGCAAAGCCACAGTGGAATCCTATGTAATAATCGACCGCCTTCCTCTCGCACTCCGAACTCTGTCTTTTCCCGCACAAAGCCTCTCCGATAAAAACTTTTTCTCGCGTGGGTGAAGCTCGCTAGTCCGACAAAATAAATCATCAATCTCACACAGCCATTTTCTGTGCAAGAAAACCGTCCAATCTTTATTACTTTTCCCAATGGACCCGACACAGGACCCGAATTTCAGGCCTCCCTCCACGCACCCGCCCGTGGAGCCCACAGTTTCGTCCACCCTTATTCCGAACAGACGGCCCATACAGCCATACGTCCTTGCCGACTACCTGGAACCAATCGACCAACCTATAGAGCACACGAGCGTTTCCAGCGAGCCACCAGCGTCAGGCAACAACAACTACCCAAACGCCAAGTTCTCAATTGAGACCGTTACCAGATCTAGCTCTCCGAGCTCCATCAAGCACAAAATCCCCAAGTCCCGAACCGAACTTCAGCCGTTCAGTTCCAGCGAGGAGGAAGAGGAATCCGCCACGCCGGACCAGAGCGCTTATCCGCCGCTGGAGGAGAACCGCACGGGCTCCTTCTCCAGCACCAACCTGCCCCGGGTGCACTCATTCCAGATCGCAGATCTCGAGGAAGTTCCGCACGGTATACAGCGACAGTCTAAGAGCCTTGAAGACTACAAGTTCCCTACACACCGTTTGAAAGCACGATTATCCGAGCCAAACAAGTATCCTCTCGTGATTGTGGCGTGCGGTTCGTTTTCGCCGATCACATACTTGCATCTGCGGATGTTCGAAATGGCCCTGGATGCCGTCAGAGAGTATACCAGGTTCGAGGTCATCGGAGGGTATTATTCTCCGGTTTCGGACAATTACAAGAAACCGGGCCTTGCACCGTCCCATCACCGGGTGCGCATGTGTGAGCTTGGCTGCGAGCGCACCTCCTCGTGGCTGATGGTCGACGCCTGGGAGTCTCTGCAGCCCAAGTACACGCGAACAGCGTTGGTGCTGGACCATTTCAACGAGGAAATCAACATCAAGAGGGGCGGGGTGTACAAGTACAAGAGCAGCACAGAGAAAACAGGCGTCAAGATCATGCTGCTTGCTGGCGGAGACCTGATAGAGTCCATGGGCGAGCCAAATGTGTGGGCAGATCAGGATCTGCACCATATTCTTGGTAACTACGGATGTCTCATTGTTGAGCGCACGGGGTCGGACGTGAGGTCCTTCTTGCTCAGTCACGACATCATGTACGAACATCGCAAGAACATTCTGGTGATCAAGCAACTGATTTACAATGATATCAGCTCGACTAAGGTTCGACTGTTTTTGAGAAGAAATATGAGCGTCCAGTACTTATTGCCCAACTCCGTGATCCGGTACATCCAGGAACACAAACTGTATGTGAACGACAGCGAGCCGGTGAAGCAGGTGATGGAGCCCAAAGACTGAGACCGAGAACTGTTACATATTCCGAATAAATCTCTCTAACATCTAATTAAACCATGGTAACAAGTTCCTCTGCGGAGGTTGGGTGAATAGCCACGCAGTCGTCAAAGTTGGCCTTGGTTGCTCCCATCTTGATAGCCACGCCGAATCCTTGGAGAATCTCGGAAGATGCGTCTCCAACAATGTGCAGTCCAACAACCTTCTCGTTCTGGCTCTTGACACAGACGAGCTTGTATGCTGTTGGAGACTTGTGCTCAGACATGGCGTAGAACATCGACGTAAACTTGGACTGGTAGACCTTGATGTCGTCCTCTCCGTACTTCTCAATAGCATCCTTCTCGCTGAGACCAATCGAGCCAGCTTCAGGATGGGAGAAGATGACAGAAGGCACGTTGGCGAAATCCTGTTTCTGTGCCCTGAACACCTCTGGTCCAAATAGTCTGTTTGAGAGCTTGCGGCCTGTAGCAATGGCCACGGGAGTCAGCTCAACTTTGCCCACAACGTCTCCCAGAGAATAGACGTTTTTGACGTTGGTTTCCTGGTACTCGTTGACAATAACCTGATCCTTGGAGTTGAGCTTGAGGCCAATCTTGTGCACGTCCAGATTGATGAGCGACTTTCTGCCAATGGTCCAGACCAGCTCGTCAACAACGATGCTCGACTCGTCGTTCAAGGTGACCTTCTTGGAACCGTCTTCGAGCTTCTCAATCTTCGTCACCTGCGACTGCTTGTGAACGTGGATTCCCTCCTTGACGTAATGGTCGGTGACCGTGTTCTGGATGATAGTGTCGAATTTACGCAGAACAGTGTCACCCCTGATGATCAAGTGAGTTTCTGAGCCTAGACCGTTGAAAACTCCAGCAAGCTCCACACCGATGTATCCGGCTCCCACCACGGCGACTCTCTTTGGCTGTGTCTCCAGCTCGAAGAATCCATCCGAGGAAATGCCGAGTTCATAGCCTGGGATTTTGCTTGGGAAGACAGGAGTGCCTCCGGTAGCAATCAGAATGTGGTCGGCCGTGAACGTGGACACCTTTGATTTGTCCTCGTTGTGGACGACCTCGACCTTGCCGTCATCGGTGAACCTTGCGAACCCAAACAAATAGTCCACACCTTCCTTGGTCAAGTTGCGCTCGTAAATCCCATTGAGTCTCTTGATGTAGGCATCTCTTTTCGCCTTGAAACCCGCCCAATTGAAGCTGTCCGCGAGCGAAGCGTCAACGCCCTCAAAACCGTAGTCCTTGGCGAGCCTGATCTTCGCAGCCATGTCGGAGGCGTACCACATCACTTTCTTTGGAACACACCCAACGTTGACGCAGGTACCTCCCATTTGCTTGGATTCAATAAGCAGGGTTGAGGCTCCATGTTTGGCGGCTCTTCTGGCTGAGGCAACACCTCCAGAACCTCCTCCAATGACTAAGTACTGATAATGAGAACGCATTCTTTTTAGCATGCTTTTTTTTTATGAGGTCGCAATTTGAAATAAAAAATTGTTTTTCAACGACTATTGTGTTTATTCTACGTTGGTGATCCGTATTAATAAGCTATGAGTGACGAACATCCAGAACAGCAGGGCAACCTGTTCAGTGCTCAAGACGTGGAGGAGCTCGGCGATGACGACCAATTGGACGAGGAAATGGTCGAAGACGTGGGAAACAACCCTAACGAAGAGCAACAACAACAGGAACTAGAAGAAGACCCGGCCCTGGCAAAAATGCCTCCCATTTTGCCCCAATTCCCTGACCTCACCAGAAGCGACAAGACGCTCGAAGAGGTGCTGCAAATGATGGACGACGAGGAGTTCACACCAATCATCCCAGACAGTGTCACGGACTACTATCTAGCCAAAAACGGGTTCCAGACATCGAACGTGAAAATCAAAAGGCTTCTGGCGCTGGCGACACAGAAGTTTGTGAGCGACATTGCTACGGACGCATACGAGTACTCCAGAATCAGATCGAACACAGCTGTGTATAACTCGTCCAATCCGCACGTCAGGGCCCGTGCCCTGATGATGGCGACATCGAACATGGCCAATGCGCCAGATGAGTCGGTGGAGAACGGTGTTCAGGGAGCATCTGGTTCTGCTGGCGAAGGCCAGTCCAGCACGGCATTAGGTGGTGGCAGTCAACAGCACAACCAGAAAGTTACTCTGACGATTGACGACCTCAGCAGCGCTTTGGACGAGTATGGCCTCAACATCAACAGACCGCAATTTTACAGGTGATTGCGAGCGAGAGCGAGTTATGAATCATAAAGAAATACTATATCCTCATCAAAACATTTCAAATGAAGGGAAACATCTCCGTTTCCAAGAATCAATGCCCCAGTGAATAAGCCCTTCTTCACTGCCAATGACCAGCGAGCTACTATCGTGGACCCGAGAGACGTCCAGCCCGCATATTTCGACACTGCTGTCGAGATATTGCACAGTGTCTTCGTCCAGAGTGACTTCTCCGATGAATTGCTGAGGACTCTCGATATGACGCGGTGCAGGGTCGTCGCTCGTGTCGTACTGGAACCGGCGGGGCTGGTTTGCTCTGTCGTTGAGAATTGAACGCATTGGGGGACGCTGGCCCAAGCGGAGCCCAGAGCTCTGCGAGTTGGCCTGGTCAAGATGTGCTGCGTCCAGGGCGCAAACCTCCTCTACGGACTTGACGATCGGCTGGTTGTACGTCGACGCCTCGGAGTCGTGCAGAACCCTCGGAAGCAGAATCACCTGGTGTTTCGAATAGTCTCTAGTATCCACCACATGTACACGTCCCTGATGTTCAGAGATAAATAACAAATCTTCGGTTCCACCACTGAACTTGCAGACCCTGAAGTCGCCACTCGCGTCGAGTCGTGTAGAGTGGATTTCGTGGAGCGCGTGGTCCTGGCGTCTGATATCGTACACCAGGTTCGCTCCATCCTGGAAGCACACACTGAATTGCATTCCAGACGAGCTCCAGTCGGTGGATATGCCGCACAGGTAATTTGTCGATATGCTCTGCTGTCCCTTGATGTCTGCCATGTTTTCGTCAGAGTGCAACACAAACACTTTGGACGAGTCTCCGACCGCTATCATGCTTTTGGAGTCTGGCGAGATGCTCGAGTGGTTTAGCGGAACACCAACATTGATGTTCATCTGCGACTGGGCCAGACCGTAATTAGTCACGTCTAGCAAGTACATGTTGTGGTCGTTGTTGCAAAGAATTGTCTTGTATGCGGAATTCGATATCTTGTACAAGGATACGCAGTTATTGATCAGAGTCCCCACATTCTTGTTGATAACACTGTCGTTGACCTTCGTGTAAAGACCAAAAAGACCTCGACAGCTCCCGAGCGTCACTCCTTGAGGTGTTGCACTGACCACTCCTCCAACAGCAATCAGGTCGTCTTTTTCCTTCAGACATCGTGGAGAAGTCTCAAATTTGGTCACAGACTTTAGGCACTTGGTGGCCGTGCAACCCCCGTTGCCCTTGCGAGACAAGTCAAGACACATGAGGTTGTTTCCTGACGGGAAATATACAGAGTTTGAATTTGATGCGGCGCAAACCAGATCCTTCAGTTGCCAGTGGCTCATGGTGATATTGATGTTGTAGTAACTGGAATTGGGAACAAGGAAACTCGGGGTCGTTCCCTGAGATACATATTTTCTCGTTTCCCGACTGATTGTTAGCCAGCTGTGAGCAGAATCGCACTTACCTTTCGGGTGTGGCTAAAGTATCGATAGTCATGATCTTTGAAAATCAGAGACTCCAGATATTTTATAAGTTCAATAATTGCTTATCATCCACACTATTACATCACACGCCAGCCCGGTAACCCAATATATTACGTAATCGACGGTGAAACTGCAATGGTGCAATTATTTCCTGCCACACGCGACTAAACACCTCTTACTACACCTCTGCACCGCAAAAACGTATCTTTTGTTTGTAGGCCAGCAATATATATTCCAGCAGCGATGGCATCTGTGGTCTATTTTCTCGACAGCAAGGGCCGTCCGCTGTTGTCCAGGGATTACAAAGGGGATATTCCGGTATCTGCAGTCGAGCGCTTTCCGTACCTGCTGATCAATAACTCTACCAACACCGAGAGCTTTGACGACGGCTCGGCACGGCCTGTGCTTTACGACAATGGTATCCACTACATATATTTGATGCATAAAAACCTGTTCATTTTGGCCATGACTCGCCATGACACCAACGTCTTCAACATCATGTCATATTTGCACAATCTTGTCAAGGTGTTGGAGAGCTATGTCAAATCATTGGAAGAAGAGTCAATTAGGGACAATTTCTCTATAATATACGAGCTGCTGGATGAAATGATGGACTTTGGAGTCCCACAGATCACCGACACCAAGATCCTCAAAGAATACATCACGCAAGAGTCCTTCACGCTCGAGAATGTTATTGCCACAGCCACCGGGTCCAAGAGCGGCTCCTTAATCCACCAGCAGCCAAAACAGCCGCCTGCCACGCTTACAAACTCCGTCAACTGGCGGTCTCCGGGCATCTTCTATAAAAAGAACGAGGCATATTTGGACGTTGTCGAGTCGATTGACATGCTCATCAATGCAAAGGGACAGATGCTGAGCTCCGAGATCCACGGAGCCATCAAGCTCAAATCTTACCTTTCTGGAATGCCAGAGCTTGTTCTGGGTCTGAACGACCGTTTCCTCAATAGTGGCCTGAGCTCAATCAGGGGTGAAACCAGAGACTCCAACAGCACAAAGGGTATAGAGGTGGAGGACGTCAAGTTCCATCAATGTGTGAGACTCTCGAAGTTTGAGTCAGACAAGATGGTTTCTTTCATTCCACCTGACGGCGAGTTTGAGCTGATGAACTACCGTGTCCATTCGCATACCTTGAAACCACTATTCATGATTGACTACAAAATGAAAAACCATTCCAACACTAGAATAGAGATCATGATAAAGGTGAAGGCAAACTACAAGAGCAAGATCAGTGCCAACAGACTAGAGATCCGCATTCCAGTCCCCGAGGACGTTGACTCGCCCAAGTTCCATTATAACAAGGGCTCCATCAAATACATACCTAGCGAGTCTGTGGTCTTGTGGAAATTCAAAAGGATCGACGGTGGCAAGGAGTATGTGATGATCGCAGAGCTCTTGCTTCCATCCGTCCACGACGCTACTAGCTTGGAAAACTTCAAAAAGAGACCAGTCAACCTCAGGTTTGAGATGCAAGGATTTGTGACCAGCGGACTCCAGATCCGGTACCTGAAGATTAACGAGCCTAAATTGAACTACCAGAGCTATCCATACGTGCGGTACATCACACGAAGTGGAGATAATTATAGTGTTCGTGTTAAATAGCCCCAGGAAATTAAATATTTTTTCTGAGGAATATTTTTGCAATATTTTGCAACTTTTGTAGTGTGCCATTTTCCAATTACACATGGATCCAAAACTGGAGGAACGGTCTACCGAGCTCAAAAACTTGGGAAACCAGGAGTTGAAGAACAACAACTTTGATAAGGCAATCGAGTTGTATACCCAGGCGATAGACCTTTTCCCCACGGCGATCCTATACTCCAACAGAGCGCAGGCTCAGATTAAACTCGAAAACTATGGTTTAGCTATCGAAGACGCAAACCAGGCGATCAAGTTGGACAAAAACTACCTCAAGGCATATTATAGACGCGCCGTGTCCTACAGTGCGATTTTGGAATACAAAAAGTCTCTCTCGGACGTCAAAATTGTTCTTTCGAGGGCGCCTTCCGACAAGAATGCCCAGCTATTGGAAAAACAGCTGGTAAGAATCATCAACCAGATCAAGTTTGAAAAGGCCATTGCTGTGGAAGAAAAGGGCTCCGTAATCGCCAGTATCGACCTTGATGCGATCTCCGTTGAAAGCAGCTACCAGGGTCCTGACCTGGACATCAAAGTGGAAGACAAACGGGTGCGTGTTTCGATGACGCAGAAATACATATCTAATATGGTGGACTTGTTCCGCAAGGGCAGCAAGATCCCAAAGAAACATGCCTTTGCCATTGTGGCCGCTGCAAACGAGATTTTCAAGGAGCAGCCTCCGATGGTCGAGTTTGGTCTCAAGCGGCCCGCCACTGCCGCTAAGGAGCTACAGTTGGAGGAGGCAAAGAAAATCACTGTTTGTGGAGACACTCATGGTCAGTTCTATGATGTGCTGAACCTGTTCAGACGTTTTGGAAAGGTCGGAAAGGATCACATCTATCTGTTTAATGGAGACTTTGTTGACCGTGGCTCATGGTCCTGCGAGGTTGCATTTTTACTGTACTCGCTGAAATTGCTGTATCCGCAAAACATCTACATCAACAGGGGAAACCACGAGACAAATGACATGAACAAAGTCTACGGTTTTGAGGACGAGTGCAAGCACAAGTACAGCGAGAAACTATTTTCGTGTTTCAGCGAGTCGTTCAATTCGCTGCCGTATGCCTCTCTTATTGGCCAAGAGTATCTTGTCATGCACGGTGGTTTGTTTTCTTCTGACAACGTCACTCTGGACGACATAAGAAAGATCGATCGGTTCAAAAGCAAACAGCCTCCGAAGGAAGGAATCGAGATGGAACTGTTGTGGACGGACCCCCAGGAAAGCAAGGGAAGATCCGCTTCAAAGAGGGGAATCGGAATGCAGTTTGGTCCGGACGTCACGGCAGATTTCTGTGAGCGGAACAAGCTCAAGGCGATCATCCGGTCTCACGAGGTTCGCATGGGAGGTTACGAAATAGAACACAACGGCAAACTGGTGACGGTGTTCAGCGCACCAAACTACTGTGACATGCAGGGGAACCTGGGCGCGGTGGTCAACTTTACACTCAAGGACGACGAATACGAGCTGGAGTACGCAACCTTCACTCATGTCGACCATCCTAATATTCCTCCTATGAATTACTCCAAAAACAACTTTGGGTTCTAAATATGTCTGATCTCTCAACGAGGTCTCTAGAACGATCTAGAAACAATGTATTCAAGACCATATTGTTCTCGAAAAGGTTGTAGAGGGAGACAATCTGGGTGGGGCATTAACCTCCCTACAATATATACCTTTTCTGATAAAATGAGTATGAGAAAAAAAATATACGAAAAATTCTCCTTTATATACGCTGGTGATGCAAACGACCAAATACTTGATTTTCGTTTTTGCGCTTTTCGCCTCTGTTCTGAACGCATTGGCCGTTTCGGGCAAGCTGGACTTGCCCCAGGAGTCTCTGGCAGATCCTGCCCGCGTCTGGGTGTCTGTGTCTAACGAAACATGGAGCGCAAGATATCGTCTAAATCGACGCGGAGAGTTTTCTACGATAGATCTAAAGCCAGGTAACTACTCGTTTGTGTTACGGTCGCTTGACTTTGCGCTCTCAAAAACCAATTTCTTCCGTGTCGAAGTTGATGACGGATTCGACGTCTTCGAGGTGTACCCCGGAATCGCCGCTGCTGCCAATCCCGTTCCGCTTCAAAACAAGATGAACTTCACTGCCGAGTCAATCGTCATCAAGTCGTTTGCAAACGAAGACCAAACGGCAGGAATTCTGAAAATGATACCGTTCTGGGGACTTTTCCAGCAGTATCCAATTCTGGGTCCTGTGCTGGCCGGAATGGCATTGGTTGCCCTGCTACCGACCCTCATAGGGTTCATTGATCCTGAATTTACGCAACGTGCGCTTGAAACACGACAGCAAGCCAAACAGGAAAACAAGGCAAAGCGTGCTTAGAGCCGTCGATTACAGCTTAATTGTTACGCCGCCCTGCGCCACATATGGACAAAAAATTTGTTTGTTAAATTTAAAGGTGATTCTAGGGATCCGGATCACATGGACCTATAAACTGCCAAGCGACTAAACCAGCTGAGATCCATGCCTGTGGCTGAAACCGCCCGCAGCGTGCTGAAGAGCAGCCTCTTCGACTTGAAAGTGGTATCGCTCTGTTGCTCCTGGTACTTTATCTCCAGTCTTACTTCGCAGTTGACTAAGCACATCCTCAACGATTTTGACTTTCCCGTGTTTGTGGGCGAGTTCCAGTTCCTGTGCAGTCTCATACTCGGTCACATCACCATCGCTCTTCTCGGGAGACTCCCGCAATTGAAGTCCGCGATTTCGGGAAGCTCAAGGTCGGGCACAGGCTTTGTTTTTAATCGACGATTACTGAGAGTTTTCTTCCCCATGGGCACTTTCCAATTTATTGGGAAACTGCTGAGTCTTGCCGCAACTTCACTATGTCCCGTGGCGACTGTCGCGTCTATTAGGGCCTTGGGTCCTCTGCTGACGGTAATGGGATACCGCATATACTACAAAGTCCGCTTCCCGTCCTACACCTACCTCTCTCTCATTCCCTTGGTTTTGGGTGTCGTTATTATCGTCGTCTCGCAATCCGGAGACAAAGACTCCACAAGAGGCACTATATCAGATCCGCAGCTCAACAGCCAGGAGGACGGAGAGAAAACCATGCTGCGAGTAATGCTCCTGGAGAGGTCCGATTACCTCAAAGGTATAGCATTTGCGTTTGCGGCTGCAGTCATATTTGCTGGCCAGTCGATTTACGCCAAAAACGTTGTCACTCCGTCATCGTACTCTGCGGCTCGAGATCCAGGGTCGCTCGCCATCAGCAGGGGGTCGTCGGTCAATTCCGATGTTGAAAAGTTTGCTTCTTCTTCCGAACATCCAAAGCACGAACAGACCAGCGAGTACGAGAGCGCTCTTGATAAGCCAGATAAGCTGACAACTCTTATTTATTGTGCCACATATGGGATGCTATACTCGATTCCCGCATTCATCACCTACGAGTGCCACGAGCTATTCTTTGGTGTGAGAAAAGTTTCTGAGTCCACGTACCTCCCTAACTATAGCTGCATACCATGGACCATGCTGGTGCTAAACGGAATCAGCCATTTCAGTCAATCATTGCTGGCATTTCATATTCTTGCTCTGTTGCCCACTGTTACGTACTCGATCGCCGCCATGATGAAAAGAATAGTCATCATCAGCGTCAGCATGATCATTACCGGCAAAAGACTCTCCCTGCTAGAGGTCACCGGATTAGTGCATGTTGCCGTTGGCCTCTATTGCTACGATCGATGGGGGTCAAAGCGCTGAAAATAGATTTGTGCAATATGTAATAACTATCAACACCAGATCATTAGTTTTTCGCTACTGGCTGCTGCCAGCTCTCCGCGTCCAATGACCCGGCCTTCACCGTTGAGCTCTACATTGAGCTTGAGTTTGAGGCTGGTGATCTCCAAATCTCCAAACATGTTCAGCTCGCGTAGAATTTTGATAACCCAACCCTGGTCCAACGTCAATTCCACTAGCTTTATTTTTCCCCGGAAACCAAGGGCCAGAATCGAATGGTGCTTCCACTCGTGGTGTTCAATGTTTGCACAGTGATTGAGGTTTGCCTCACCAAAGGTGATGGACAGACATTCTTCATGCAGAGGTTCTTCCAGCAGCAAAAGTCCATTGATCGTCTCAAGTCTCAGCACATTTTCCCTGTCTACCACTGCAATGAGGGCATGTTGGTTCGATATTTCAATTAGCTTGCCATCCTCGGAGATATCTCGCATGTGTTTCCGTTGCAGGAGGTCCCACAGCTTGACTGCTCCATCTTCACTATAGCTCAGGAGAATCGAGTAGAAAGTGTTCACTCTGACCTGGCACACTCTGGATTGGTGTCCTCGTAGAACTCCAAGCTGGATCACTTCCTCAGATCCTCGTACCCTGCCCGTCTCAGCAGGTTGTCTCACATTCATTTTCTGGGCGTTTTTCAAACTAGCCAGCTTGTTCGATGTTAGCCTGTATATTTGCAGGGTGCCGTCTTCAAATCCAACCACAAACTCATCGAAGTTTAGAATGCCCAACGCTGATATCATGCTGGTACTTGCGTTCTCAAATATAACTTGGTTCGCCTGCACCGAGTTGCGGCCGACTAGCTGCAAGTTGAGACGCTGGCTGCCTCGATTGAAACGGTCTCGAGCTCGCCATTCCATCTGGACAAAATCAAACTCTATACTGTCAATGCTGAAAGGAGCATCGATAATTGATAAAGGCAATTCAAACAGCTTGGTGGGGTCGAACTCCACCTTCGTATAAATCTGCTTCCGCGGGTGAGGTTTATGGAAAACCTGAATTGGAGTTTGCCCAAAATTGTGAATAATGCTCACTATGACATTCCTTTCTCTCTCGTCCTTAATTTTATCCAGATCCGTAGACCCCTGGTAGCTCAGATGATGAAAAACGTTCAAAGAGTCTACTGCGTGCTTTCCCCGCTGCTTAAACCCAAACACCAGATCGATCCACTCGTGCAAATGCGCAGAAACATAGTCGCTCTCTAAAGCCTGTCTCATTTTCTCCACAAATATTACGGGATCATTTTTGGCCCATGGAGGCAGATGCACGTCTCCGACTTTGGTGCCGTCTTGTAGATGGCCAAAGTCAAAATTGTTGGAATTGATCAAAAAGTCTGGGAGGTAATAAAATTCGGGAATCAGTTCTCGAACGTCTGTAGTATGGTCGCGGGAAGCACTGTACCAGGTTTTCACCATGGAGTGGAAGGTCCTGTCAGCATGATCAAATTTGCCTCCCTGAAGCAGCAAATATGATTGCACAAAGGGTTTGAGGCGTATGAGATAAGCTGTGACAATCATTGCGGACGAATAGTGCGTTCCGTAATGGAATGGAGGAGAGTCGGGCGACATATCAGCCGAGGCATCGTATCGTTCTCGGAATTGTGCGGCTCTCTTCTCTGTCTGCGCTCCCATTGGCTTTCCAAGGTCTCTAAAAGTGGCCGGATTAGTCAGATCCAGCTCCTCGCTTTCGTAGTCGGCAATGACGAACGGGAAGATAGGATATTGGGTAAGATCGTTGAAGGTGCGACCGGCAAGCGTATTCACCAAGATCAAGTAGTAGAAGTTCGACAGTTCGCCCTTTTGCCATTTCTTCGTTAATGAGCTGAGCGTAGTCGATGAAGCCACAGAGGTAATAGCACTGACAAGCTTGGCACCAATCGTCAATGACGATGAGGACGCCAAGGTAAGGGCGTCTTCCAGAATCGTGTCAGAGTACTTCGCCGACATCTTAGAAGACAATACGTTGAAAAGCCCATCTCTTATTTCCTTAGACGAGCAGGTAATCAGAAAATTTGAACCATCAATGAAAAATAGCTCCAAAGCCACATCTCGCAGAAGAAATGTTCGCTTGCTGATAGAAGCAAACTTGGACAGCTCCCATGTCTTCGTCTGATGCTGCGATGATGCTGCTCTCGAATTGCTACCCGTAATAAGCTGAACGTACGAGTCTCTCTCGTTTGGGGGAGCATCTCTCAAGTCCAAGATTTTCTTATCTGAGGTGAGAAAGTAGTTGCCAATCATGTATATATGTGACTGTCCCAGAATGAATATCGACTCCAGCATCTCAAGGCCCAGAATCTGCGTCACATTAAGCATCTCAACTATTTTATCGCCAACATACAAGCTCCGGAGTATCTTGCGGTTCTTGTCCTCTTGTGCCAGGTCAACATCTATCTGTTCTGACAGAAGCTCGTATTCTTCTGCCAATTCGTTGTACTCCAGCCCAGGGCTTTGCTCTGTGGGGATGTCATCCTCCGTCAGGCAGAGTTGTTTGACCATCCTCTTGCGCATCCGGTCCGGGCCCTCAGTAGAGTCCAGAACAGTTGAAAACTTATAGTTTTCGACTGGAAGCTGTGATTTGAGGTTGTTGAAGACGGAAACAAAATAGTTAAGATCATCCATATCGTCCTGGATGTGTCTGTTGAACTTCTTGGTTTCCGCTTGTGATATTGTCTTGCTCAAAAGCATGATCTCTTTGGAATAAAGCTTCTCGATTTTCTCGTTGCTATCTGAGAGTCGAGAGGGAGCCAGCTCGTCTATGGTTTTCCTAATCGTCAATTTTCCCTGCTGTTTTCGGATCCGCGAACTATAGTTCTCATATTTCTCGTTGATTTCTTTGGAAAGACTAATATCCCTTTCCCAAAGATCCTTGATTTCTTCATCATTGAGTGACAGGAACTTCTCAAAGTAGCCCAACATTTTGGCCCTCTGACTGCTGTTGGAGGATAAGCAAGAAATCACGGATCTAGCATCCAGATCACTCATGAGCTGTATCCTGAGACAGTTCAAAGCCAAACTCGAAAGAGAAGCATCAGGAAGAGTCATACATTGAAACAGAGATGCAACTATAACAGACATATTCTCATCCCCTGCGTAATTTGAGAACAGCTTCTGGTTGGCCATGAGCACAGAGCAGCACGTTTTTGTTTCATTCGAGGCTGTCTCGTTGCTCTCCTTTTCACTTAACGTTGCCTTCACCAGGAGCTCCGTGAAGAGATCGCAAAAATGCCTCTTTGCGGTTTTCAATTTCGGGTCTTCGTCAAAGTTTAGTATGGTGCCAAGTTTTTCCAGCACCAAATAGTAATCCGCCTCTTCAATTTGATAGTCCTTTTCCAGCTCCAGAATTCTTGTAAGCAACTTTGAAACGAACTGCGTGCGGCAGCTCGGCTCAAGTTCGCTTAGGTGTGTCAGGATCTCTGGGAGTACAGTGGACATGAAAGCAGCAGGAAACTTCTGATGGAGTGCGTCCACTGTGAGTGAGTCTGCTTTTTTGGCATTTCTCTCAAGCTTGGCCTTGAATAAATCTCCGACAAAATCTTTGTAAGGAGCTATGATTGATATTTCGTGCGTCTTTTTGATTTCACAAACAAGAAGCAAGAATGTTTGGAGCCATTGGATATGATTAGAAGCTACCATTCTGAAAGAGATATTCGAATCAAGCAGGTGCTGAATCTTTGTCACATAAGATGAAATGGTTTCAAAGTTTAGCTCCGACTCTGATAGTAACGCGTTCACCAATACTAGAAATTCGGGCATGACGACCTGACTTTGCTCTGACGAGGACTGTTTTCCGAGAGCGAGAGCCATTATCAGATTCATCACTTCAAAATTGCTGTCCCACTTTTTCAGCAGCTTGAAAAGCAGCAAGAGTCCTGTTTCGTCAGCAAATGATTTGTAGACTTTGGTATTGAATAGCAAAACCCGTTTCAAAAGCCTCAAGCTTATTTTCACCACGTCCGAGTTGTCATTGTCAAGAAGCAATAGTATCCACTTTGTGGATATAGATTTCATTATGATTTTGTAGCCATGAACGTTGGACATTAATGCTGGATCTTCGATCACGGATTGAATGGCTCGCAAGACAGTTAGTCCGCACTTTCTCTGTAAACCTCCCGAATCTTCGACTGTCAGGGAGTATATCACATATAGGGAGAGAGCCTTGATAGATTCTGTAGAAGGATTATTTCTCACCAGTATTGAGATCGTGTCATGCAATAAGGGCAGCACTCCCTCCTCAAATAAGCCATATTTCATAGCCTGAACAAATCGTTTGATTATCCTCATGTCTATCAACTGTTGAATGTTATAGCTGTGGTAGCGACTGTCATGAGCAAAGACAGAAAACTGGAATAGAAGGAATTTGAAAGTGTCTCTGACGGAGGCGTCGCCAACCTGATCAATGGAGTGTGGCTTCCATATGTCAAAATCGACAATGAGGATTCTGTAAGCAAGTGCGTTGGCCAAGACGGAGTCTATCGGCGACATATCGTTGTATCCGACGAAACGTAGAATAGCATCAAGGACCTTGAGGTCCAGGAGAGGTTTTTTTGTTTTCAAAATTGTGGCCACTATGTTGTAGCCGGCATTCATCTCAAATTCTTGTTTCGACACTGAATCTTTTGACAGCAGCGCAAACAGGAAGTCTAAACATTCGACGAGGGAGCTAGACGTTTTGGCCGTCTCCAACAGACGCAAACAGACAGCCATGCCACCAATCGAGTACAAAGAGTTGAGCAGCAGGTTTGGTTTCCAATGAATGGTGGAGCTGATCTCTGCTGACGAGTTGGCGTTGACATCAACTAGGATAGAATTGGAGTTGATCTTGACGTCTCTCAATGCCTTGGTGTCCGTATTCTCTTGGAGTTTCAAAGTCATCATCAGCTTTGACTTTTCCGAGAGATATCGCTCGAGATGATTGTCTTGGTATGTACCGGCAAACAGCGGGCCTAGGTGATAAGACAGAAGGATCCAGCGATAACTGACACGCTCGCATATAAACAGCAGGTTAATCAGCTCGAAGTACATCCCGTAGACTCCCTGGATATCCAGGGACGTAGCACGATCGGACTTTTTGTACGCCAAATGGATTGACTGTACAAAGTCGCCATTGACATAGAGATCGATATAGGATCTGCGTTTCTCCTCCTTGTGCACAAACACGACGTGATATTTTCGTAGAGGCTCAAACACGAATGCCTCGAATGTTGCAATGTCTGTTGATGTGCTGACTGATAATTTCTGGTTCTCAAAGGAGTACGTGAGGAGCGGTTCTTTGCCGTTAAGAACGAACAGAGAAGATGGTGAGGGCTGTTCATGTGTTGGAGTGTACTGAAACCAAAATTGGATTGTACAATTGATGATCGGGGTGTCGAGCGAGGGCGAGTATCGCGATGTAGGGAGAAATAAATACGAGCGGTGTGAGTCTAGATGCTTTGTGAATAGCCTTTGAAAAGAGATGGCGGAGCCGGAATTTTGAATAGCGTTTTTATACAGATGTGCAGTCTGCTGGTAATTGAGGCCGAGCTCACAGATTGACTCGAAGAAGTCCAGCACCAACAAGTCTCGATTGTCTTGTGTCTGTTTCGTGCAGTAATCTATTAGCGATTGGCACAATGCTTCGGAATGCAGCCTTATTTTGTTGATTGGAGAGATCTGGGACAAGTGGTGGAGCAAGGACAGAGCCAGATCTGACTCGGGGCTATACCTTTCTGACAGGGCTTTATCTACCGTATCCTTTAGAATTGAGGCACACTCCTGCTTCAACAACGGAACTGATTCCAAAGAGTCAAGGTATTCCACCAAAACTGACTCCTCGGACCCCACCAGCCCGGAGAAATCAAAATCTCCGTCTATACAGGAGGACAAAAGGTCGATCATGGAAGACAAGGTTGAAAAGCATGGGTTCCTCTAAAATAAATCTTTTGAGCCGCGCACTTCTTCTCCACCATCTCGAAAAATCTTGACAAGCAAAAAGATTTATAATCACTTGAAAAAGCGAGATGGGTTTCGAACAGAGCGAGGCTGTTCTGCAACCATCCGAGCAGCCTATGGATACAGCAGACTCGCAGCTGACCCAGCGGCGCGCAGAGTACCTGAAGCTCGTTGAGCAATCCTTTTTTGATCTGAGAGAAGGAACCAAGTACTACGGCGTGCCGAAAGAGTGGCTCAACGTTTTTCTCAGAGGAACACCGCAGGAGGCAGCCAATCTGGGGCCTGTCAGCACAAGCAGCATTTTGGATCATACAGAACTTTGCATCAATCCGGCGACTACTCCAGAATTTGTAGCAGAGCAAGTCTTTGCGAAACTTGTCGAGTGGTATGGCGTGGACGGTCCCTCTGTGGAGCGGCAATTATTCATGGACAAGAAAGACGGCCAGCTCAAGCTCGAGACTTATCCATTGTACATAATTCCGCATCTGCTTTGCAATAACCCCGAAACCATCAACAGATACAGACTGGCTGGCGCAAAGCCATTTCTGATCTCTGCTCTCAGCACCGCCAGAGACCTCAAGCTAGCTGTGAAAAAACAGTTCGAGATTGGCAAGGGCACCACCAGAATATGGCGAATCACGCCAGCAACGAGATTACCCGTGATCCTCACTCCTCAAGACCTGTCGAACATCAGTTCGAAGACGCTGATCCCAGCTGGAAAGAAATCTGGCTCTATAAAATTAGAGGACCTAAACATCAATGAGCGCAATATTCTCATCGAAATTCAACAGGAGGATGGAACGTACCCAATGGACACGTCTTCGACAGTTTCCTTGGGGTCAGGATTGGTGGGACTCAATAATCTGGGAAACACCTGCTACATGAATTCTGCCTTGCAGTGTTTGGTTCATATCCCCGAGCTCACCAATTATTTTTTGTACGATTACTACGAGAAGGAAATCAACAGAGACAACCCGCTGGGAAACGACGGCAAAGTGGCGTCTGCTTATGCAGGCCTGGTCAAGCATTTATTTGACAAGCGCTTCGCGGGCCCTTCAAGCTCATATTCACCAAGAGACTTCAAATACACAATTGGATACTACAACTCGATGTTCGCAGATTATCACCAGCAAGACTCACAGGAACTGATAGCTTTTCTCTTGGACGGGCTGCACGAGGATCTGAACAGAATCTTGAAAAAGCCGTATGTTGAGAAGCCAGAGCTGCCGGACGAAAAAGTTAACGATGTGGAAGAAGTGCGGAAATTGGCGCAGAAGTGCTGGGACAGCCACAAGTTGCGAAATAACTCTGTTGTTATCGACTTGTTTGTGGGGCTGTACAAGTCGACTTTGGTGTGTCCGTCTTGCGGCAAGATCAGTATAACCTTTGACCCTTACAATGATCTCACTCTACCATTGCCGGTTCATAAAAAATGGATAGGAAAAGTCAATGTTCTATTGGAGGAAGGATATCCCAAATGTCTTGAGGTGGAACTTCCAAAGTCTTCAACATTTGCTGACCTCAAAGCATACGTTGCAGATAAGTTGAAGGTGCCTATCAATGAGCTGCTTGCTGTTGAGGTGTTCCAGTCGCAAGTGTACAAAAATTTTGAGGCCAAGGATTCAGACACGCGCTATCTGCCTATTTCTGACTTGATCGGGCAGAACGACGAGATCTGGTTCCACCAGATCAAACATAGACCAGGAGATTTGATTGTCCCCGTTTTCAATACTCTTTCAGACTCAAGAAACACCAAACCCTTCGGCATACCGTTTTTCATCACTGTCACCGAGGACGAGTGTTACTCGTTTGGCAGTATAAGGAGAAAGTTGGAACAGCGATACGGCCAGCTTTCGACGTACAAATTTTTCCAATCGAGACAGCGTTTACAGCATCAGGCCGCAGAATTTTCTGGGATTGAGGACGGCGACGACGATGACGTCTCTTTGGCTGATCCTGAAATACCTGGAAATCATGCTTTTAGCGTGAAGGTTTTCGATTCTTCTAACGAGATCAAAATTGCCAACCGATACGGCAGAGGCCTTTACGGTTACTCTAGATACCCTCAAGAGGATGAGGAAGATGATTCGTTGTGGATTCCTCGCACACATAATAATTTCAAGAATTTGCCCGACCTGCTGGAGAAAGTGAACGAAACTAAAAGGAAATATTATTCTTATCGAGCCAGATCTACCGAAACAGTCACAAGTGAGGACTCTAGTTCCGGAATCTTTGCTGATGGTGTGGGTGAAACCAATGTGATGGGTAGCGACGCTAGTGAGCCAAATCTGGCTCCTTTGACAGAGGAAGCCAATGGAATGCACATAGATGATGAAGAAAAAGAGCAGCAGGAAGATTCGGATTCTGAGCTGGAAAGCGTTTCAAGACCTCTCATTTTCGAGAAAAATGCGCTGGTCTGCGAGTGGGAGCCTCCATACTTTGATACTTTTTTCACAGGAATTGAGGAAGACGGACAGGGAGGCAGAGAGACATGGTCAAACCCTGAAGTACTAGAGAACGCGGAGGTCGAAGAAAACAAGCGACTCATGGCCGAAAGCAGGCGCAAGAACATATCTCTGGACAATTGCATGGAGATGTTTTCGAATCCAGAGGTCCTGGGAGAAAATGACCTATGGTACTGTCCAAACTGCAAGGAGCACAGACAGGCAACCAAGAAAATCGAGATCTGGTCTGTTCCGGACATACTCACTATCCATCTGAAGCGGTTCGAGAATACCAAAAGCTTCAGCGACAAGATAGATGCTGTTGTGGAGTTCCCCATTGAGGGTCTCGATATGTCCAAATATGTGGTTGACTCTACTGGGGAAGAAATGATCTACGATCTTTTTGCTGTGGACAACCATTTCGGCGGGCTTGGCGGCGGACACTACACAGCGTACGCCAAGAACTTCATTGATGGGAGGTGGTACTATTTTGATGACTCACGGGTGTCTATCGTGGACTCTACCGAGTCCATTCGGGGCTCTGCCTATCTGCTGTTCTACCGGAAGAGAAGTGGCCAGCCGCTGGGAGGCGAGTTCTTCCGCCGCATGATGGAGGACATTGGGCAAAGAAACGCGGAGAACCAGAGAAGACTGCTGGAGTCTGTGAAGCTGGACGCTCTGAGAGCAGATAGCATAGACGAGTCTCCGACGCCTATGGAGTCCTCAAACACCACGGAGAGTGGGGCCAGCTTTACCACCCCCACAGACGTTGCTTCCGACGAGAACGAGCAAGGCTACAATGAACTGAAAAGCGAGCGAAGCGATGAGACCGAGTCGTTAGTTTCGGATAACCTTATCAAGCGTCGCAAAAAGATGCTGGGCGATGGCCACATCGACTCGACGATCGGCTCCCCTGCTAGTGACATCGACGACAATGTGTCCACGTTCAGTGGAAACGCCATTGCTCCGGCCGAAATTAATGACGGAACGTATGGTGAGTTTATTTAGAGTGTAGCTGAATGCACGGAACGTTATTTTGCTACGCAGAAATTTTTCAAGTAGTAAATATATTGTATATCTAATGTCAGAGACCGCTTCTCTCAAACCCAATAAATTCCCGCCAGACGTGCTGGCGCGGATTGCGCCCGATGTGCTGCTCCAGAAGTATCTGCAGATTGGTCTGCGCCCGTCGTTGCGGAAGTTTGACGAGTTCAGGCCGGTCGCAATCAGCCGTGCGGGAGTTGGAAGGTACGAGGCTAGCGAGCAAAACGGCGACATCAACGGCGTTGGCAGCGTACTAGGATCTTCGATCGTGAAGTCAGGCAAGACCACTGCTATCTGTTTGATTAGTGGCGCGATTGTCGAGGACGACCATGAGCTGATTAACGACTACAGAACAAAGCTGGAAAAAGATATAATAGACAGCGAAACTCATACAGATAGCAAGAACGCCAGCGTTTATACAGAAGTTGAGATCTCGCGCGGCGGCAGTGGGCCGCCGAACGAGGAGGAGATTGCGATCTCGCATAGGCTATACGAAACGATCTACCACTCTGGCCTGATTGACCGCGACGCTCTGAAAATCCAGCTTGGGTACAAGGGAAGCGAGCAGCTGGAACAGGATTTCCTGCCACACACAAGCTACTCTTTTGTTCTATACGCTACCATTCAGGTCTTCTCGCGTGCTGGCCCAGTGTACGACCTGTGTTACGGGGCACTTGTTTCTGCGCTTCGACAGACCCGTCTTCCTGCTGTGTACATTGCCGAGAAACGGACTGAGGTGGGAGTTCGTCGGGTGCGGATCGAGGAGTACGACCTCGTGTGTGAGGCCGAGAAGAATGAGCCTTTGAGACTGAACGAGAATAAATTGGCCTGGAGCTCGACGTTTGGACTGGTGGAGCTCGACAGAGACGTTCCTCATGACGAGGATAAAATGGAGATTGACACAGAAGGCAAGATTTTGCTGGCAGAGCTGGAAGGCGAGGCGGAAGAAGACATCAACACACGGATCACCGTGAGCTCAAACGGCAGTACCTTGAGTGGACTTAGTGTTTACGGAGCCGCCGGCGTCACCAAGGATGATTTGAGAAAAGCATTTGACTTAGCCAGTCGGCATTCCCAGTATGTGCTGAATAGTGGAGGGATGGAGATGTGATATTGAGACTATGTTTTCATGCTAAAGGTATACAAGGAAGGAATTAGATCTTCTTTTTGGTGGATCTGAGGTTGCGTTGTCTTGGAACAGCCAAAGGCGATCCGGTGTTGGAGTCGTAGTTGGACTGCAAAGTTTGCTTATCAAGATAAACGTACTCGTTGACCTTGGCAGCAACACCACCTCTGACTCTGCGGACAACTTTGGCTTTTTTGGAGCTCTTTTTGTAAACCTCGATATAGAATGCGATGAAGAGAACAAGGTAGGACGAAATGATGATACAGCCACTGATGGTGGCTAGAGGCGTGCCGGCGCAGTCGCCGCAATGAGGCAGCGATGGAGCAAGATTATGGACAAGCTTCTGGTAGGTGGCGAAATAGATGAAGGACAGGTCTAAAATGAACTGGATGATCTGAAAACGCGTGACCCATTCTTTCCACCAGACCCGGATACCACGGGCAGCGAGGAAGTAGTACCAGTACATGACGACATGGACAAACAGATTGAGTGTGATTGGGACCCACGATATCGAGGTCAGGCCAATCAGCTGTGTGTAGCACAGGAGGGCGGTGGCGCCGTGGTGGTAGGTGTGCAAAAACGTCAATCTTTTCTGCTTCACCACCAGGAATAGGGTGTCAACAAACTCTGTGAACTTGGTGAGGTAGTTGAGGTAGTACAGAACCACCATCTGCTGAGTCCATGCACCTGGATCGCAAATGGCGTAGTAGAGTCCGTGCTTGTGGATCATTGGAATCAGCTGCTCGGCCATCAGAGTCACGAGCGTCAGGGACAATACAGTGAGGAGTAAATTATGGAGCTGAAACAGGCCGTTGAGGACGAGCGGTCTGACGTTGTTGGACTTCAAGATATGTTGACCACCAAAGATGACAACGTAGTAGAGAACAATGGCACCGAAGACTGGGACCGGCGTGGAGAAGAAAGTTTCTCCGGCGACAAAATCAAACTCTCTAGGAACAAACCGGCCGCCAGTGAGCTTTGAGACCAAATGATCAAAATGGTCGAACAGGTAGATGCCAAAAGGGCGGTCAAAGGAGGGCACGGGAAAAGCTGAGAGCGACATTATGAGGCCTTACTGGTTGGTGTTCATATAATGCTTAGAGCGAAGGACAGATTAAATTCTAATTATTCAACGTTTTCTGTTTGTTTATTTTTTTTTTTTTGCGGCCTATTGAAAAATGCCAAATGCCAATGAATGTCATCATAGCTGGTGCATGTGATTGCTTACATGTGATTGCGAGAGGGCCAAAAAAAAAAAGACTTCACAGAATGTTCGAAGCGTTGCACCGCCAGCGTCGTACAAACGGAAACGATGCTAACGACGCACGCGAAAATTTTCAGCCACACGTATTTTCTGTTGTTTTTGTTATTGTCCGGGCACTTATCAGCAACTCCACGATATTATTAGATACTATTTTTCGTAACTCGGAAGAAAAATAAAGGTGCCGGCACTTTTTTTTTTCCCGAACCTTTGCTTCCGCCACAAAAACAGGGCCCTTACTATTGTAGTTCGGCATCGGAAAATACATGCTGGAAAATAAGTTCCGAATTCCGAGCCACCCACCTACCGAATTCCTTGCATTTAGTAAGAAATTGGGCCGTAATTCTGCGATTCTTCTTGCTGCTCCCCGTCTTCTCCTCAAATATAAAGGTATCTCCTTTTGCTCAAATCTGAGTCTACCACAAGATGAGTAAAGATTCAATTAGTGTTCCCGCGGACATCGACGACCACGAGGCCGAGGTCTACGAAGGGTTTGCTGATGCTGCTGAGGACCAGGTCCGTGAATTGGCCAGAGAATTGACACATCAGAGCCGCGCCTCTCTCTCAGAGGCCAGGAGCGGCGGCGGTGATGATCTCATTAGAACCCTGACATCCATGTCGCAAGTTCCTGGTGTCGAACCAAGCACGGCAGACGACCCTAGACTGGACCCTTTTTCAGACTCGTTCGACTCCAAGTTCTGGGTCAAGAACACGCGCAAACTGATGCAGTCGGACCCTGACCACTACAAGCCAACGTCGCTCGGAATTGCCTACAAAAACCTGCGTGTGCAAGGTATTGCCTCCGATGCCGACTTCCAGCCTACCGTGCTCAATATCGGGCTGAAAAAAGTTAGAGACTTCTATTATGACTTCTTCAGAAAGAACGACGAGTCCCGATACTTTGACATCCTCAAGCCAATGGACGCGCTCATGAAACCCGGAACCGTCACGGTCGTCTTGGGAAGACCTGGTGCGGGATGCTCGACGTTGCTCAAGACCATCTCCTCACATACTTACGGTCTGAGAGTCGACAAGGATTCTGTGATATCTTACGACGGGCTTTCTGTCCGTGATATCAAGAAACACTACCGAGGAGAGGTTGTCTACTCTGCGGAGACAGATGTTCACTTCCCGCAGCTAACGGTCGGCCAGACTCTCCAATTTGCTGCCACGATGAGAACACCAAATAATAGAACGCCGGGCATCACCAGAGAACAGTACGCAAAACACATGGCCCAGGTGTACATGGCCACGTACGGATTGAGCCACACTTTTAATACCAAGGTCGGAAACGAGTTCATCAGAGGTGTTTCCGGTGGAGAGAGAAAGAGAGTCTCGATTGCCGAAGTTTCTTTGTGCGGAGCGAACTTGCAGTGCTGGGATAACGCCACAAGAGGTCTGGACTCTGCCACCGCGCTGGAATTCATCCGTGCCCTCAAGACGTCTGCGATGCTGCTGGACACCACCTCGCTGATTGCCATTTACCAATGTTCGCAGAGCGCATACGATCTCTTTGACTACGTCATCCTCCTGTACGATGGCTACCAGATCTACTACGGCCCAGGAACCGAGGCCAAGGCATATTTTGAGAGAATGGGCTACGAGTGTCCTGCTAGACAGACGACGGCCGATTATCTCACGTCGATCACGTCTCCAGCAGAGAGAGTTGCCAAAAAGGGCTGGGAAAACAAGGTGCCAAAGACGCCAAAGGAGTTCAACGACTACTGGAAAGCGTCTCCGGAGTACAAACAGCTGATCGAAGAGATCGACTCGTACATTCACAACGCAGAGGCAAATAACCTCAAACAGGAGTACAGGGAGGCACACGTTGCCAGACAGTCCAAAGCGGCCAGACCTTCGTCGCCTTACACCCTTTCGTACGGTAAGCAGGTGAGGGCTATCATGACGAGAAACATCTGGAGAACCAAGGGAGACCCTTCGATTACACTGTTTTCGATCTTTGGTAACTCCATCATGGGTCTGATCCTGTCATCTCTTTTCTACAACCTCAGCAAGACCACCGGCTCGTTCTACACCAGAACTGCTGCCATGTTTTTTGCCGTGCTGTTCAACGGTTTCTCGTCGATGTTGGAAATCATGGCTTTGTTCGAGTCTAGAGAAATTGTCGAAAAGCACAAGAAGTTTGCATTATACCATCCGTCCGCCGACGCTTTTGCATCTGTCATAACTGAGCTGCCTACCAAGCTGATCACGGCGGTGGCCTTTAATCTGGTGTTCTATTTCATGATCAACTTCAAGAGAGAACCGGGTGCGTTCTTCTTCTACTTTCTGATCAACTTCATGGCCACCTTGGTCATGTCGGGTATCTTTCGGTCGATCGGATCCTTTTACAGGACGCTAGCCGAGAGTATGACGCCATCTGCGCTGCTGCTGCTCGCCCTGGTTATCTATACCGGTTTCGCGCTGCCAACTCCATCGATGCACGGCTGGTCCAGATGGATCAACTACATCGACCCGGTTGCCTACTGTTTCGAGGCGCTGATTGCCAACGAATTCCACGGTGTGACATTCGAGTGCTCGCAGTTCATCCCAGCATATCCAGGCGCCAACGCCGCTAACCGCGTGTGTTCTGCTGTTAGTTCGATTGCTGGTGAGGACTACGTTGAGGGTGACCGTTACATTTACGAGTCTTTCCGCTACAAATGGGACCACAGATGGAGAAATTTCGGTATTGTTGTTGGTTTCACCATCTTCTTCACGGCTTTGTACCTCACCCTTGTGGAAAACTCCAAGGGAGCCATGCAGAAGGGTGAGATAATCGTTTTCCAAAGATCGACGTTGAACAAGCTCAAGAAAGAGCACGCTTCTCCAGCGGCACGTGACATCGAGGCCACGCCAGAGAACGAAAAACCAGCTGCTCTTCAGGACGACGTTAGCTCTTCCGACGGAGTGGCCAAGCTTATAGCCGGAAAAGACATTTTCCACTGGAGAGACGTTTGCTACGAGGTGAAAATTAAGAGCGAGACGAGAAGAATTCTGGACCATGTCGATGGCTGGGTGAAGCCTGGCACTCTGACGGCGCTGATGGGTGCTTCTGGAGCAGGTAAGACGACGCTGTTGGATGTTCTCGCCAACCGTGTCACCATGGGTGTTGTTTCGGGCTCGATGTTTGTCAACGGAAGACTCAGAGACGAGTCGTTCCAGAGAAACACCGGTTATGTCCAGCAACAGGATTTGCACTTGAGAACGTCTACTGTCCGAGAGGCTTTGCGATTCTCTGCATATTTGAGACAAGGCAAGGACATTCCTAAAGCCGAGAAGGATGAGTATGTCGAGAACGTGATCAACATTTTGGAGATGAACAAGTACGCCGACGCCATTGTTGGTGTTGCTGGTGAGGGTTTGAACGTGGAGCAACGGAAGAGATTGACCATTGGTGTTGAGCTCGCTGCCAAGCCGCAGTTGCTGTTGTTCCTGGACGAGCCGACCTCTGGACTGGACTCCCAGACTGCCTGGTCGATCTGTCAGCTGATGAGAAAGCTTGCCGACAACGGACAGGCCGTTCTCTGTACGATCCATCAGCCTTCGGCTATTCTGCTCAAAGAGTTTGACAGATTACTCTTCCTTGCCAAGGGAGGTAAGACTGTTTACTTTGGTGACCTGGGAGACAACTGTCAGACACTGATTAACTATTTCGAGAAATACGGTGCTCCAAAGTGTCCACCAGAGGCTAACCCTGCTGAGTGGATGCTGGAAGTGATTGGTGCAGCTCCTGGTTCTCACGCTCTGCAAGACTACCACGAAGTCTGGCTCAAGTCCAGCGAGAGACACGCCGTTAGAGAAGAGTTGCGGACCATGGAAAGAGAGCTGGCCAAGCTGCCTCTGTCGACCCTGCCGCATGCCCAGGACGAGTTTGCCAGCAGCCTTTGGCTGCAGTACTACCTGGTCACCAAGAGAGTGTTTGAGCAATACTGGAGAACTCCTTCGTACATCTGGAACAAGATTTTGCTGACTGTCATTTCCAGCTTGTTCAACGGTTTCTCCTTTTACAACGCCGGAACCTCCATGCAAGGCCTACAAAACCAGATGCTTTCGATTTTCATGCTTTCCATCATTTTGCTGACCATGGTTGACCAGATGCTTCCGCAATTTGTGGCCCAAAGATCTCTGTACGAGGTGAGAGAACGACCATCCAAGACGTTCAGCTGGGTTGCGTTTGTGCTCGCCCAGGTTACTGCTGAAGTCCCATACAACTGGCTCTGCGGAACCCTTGCCTACTTCTGTTGGTACTACCCTGTTGGTCTGCAGAAGAACGCTGCTGCCGTGCACGCTACCGCGGAGAGAGGTGCGCTCAGTTGGCTCAATATGGTTGCGTTCTTCTGCTTCTCAAGTACCCTGGGACAAGCTGCCGGTGCAGCCATCGAGATCTCTGATAATGCCGCAAACTTGGTGTCTCTGCTGTTCACCATGTCGTTGAACTTCTGTGGTGCCCTGATCATCCCTACAGGATTCTGGGTGTTCATGTACAGAGTGTCGCCAATCACCTACTGGCTCTCGTCCATTCTCAGCACTGGTGTTGGTGGTGTCGAAGTTCAGTGTGCAGAGAAAGAGTACGTGCACTTCCCTCCTCCTTCTGGCGTGACCTGTGGAGATTACATGACCCAATACATCAGCCAGGCTGGAGGATATATTTTGGATCCTTCTGCCACGGACGAATGTACGTTCTGCCCAATGAGAGAAACCAACGTGTTCTTGAAAACCATGGGCATTGATTTCGATAACAGATGGAGAGACTGGGGTATCTTCATTTGCTATATCGCAATTAACATCTTCTTCACTGTCTTCCTTTACTGGCTAGTTAGAGTGCCAAAGAAGAGCAACAGAGTCAAGGACGAGTCAGCTCTCAAGAGCAAGGGCGAGCAGCAAAGTGCAAACAGTGAAGAGGATTCCTTGGCCAAGGAGTAAATATTAATTTGGATTTACATACATTTAAATTTTAGAGGTATTAAATTTGTGAGCTGAATACACTTTCTTCCTTTGAGCTTGGAGGAAGACTTTCTGGGTCTAGCTTCCGCTTACGGGTTTCAAACCCTCTCTTCACGTCTCTGAGTTTCAGCTGGACGATGTCCAATTGATCCTTATCAAAGCAGCTCTGGTTTTTCTCGATAATATTAGAAATCTCTTTCAGCGCAAGGTAGCCAACATTGTTGGGTCCAAAGCCGCTCTGCTTGCATGAAGACTTAAAACTCTGGTTGTAAAGCTGAATCTTCATGTTCAAATTCTCAAGCTCGGACTGCGACCGGTTGTTTTTGGCCGTCTCTCCCTTCACGAAATATACCATAGACAGCAGCAACGGAGAGATCTGTGAAAACTTCTCCAGGTGAGCGGACTCGATTTCCACCGGCTGTCCCTCGTCGGCGAGTATGTACCGCACAAAGATGTCCAGCGTTGAGCTCAGTAATACGTTCGTCTTGTACAGCGATTGCATCCGTACCAGTTCGCTGTAAAGTGTATTCTTCAATTTCAAAAATTTGGCATAACGGTCCATCAGGAGCTGGTAATCCTCGTCAAATTCCGAAACGCTGCGCAGCTTCAGTCGCCTAAGGTTGTGGATCGTCAGTATCACTAGATTGAGTGTCGCAAGATAGTATAGCTGATTATGATAGTCTTTGGCTTCCTGCAGACAGCCACCCACGCCGCTCGTGGTTTGCTTGTAGGAAGCCAGAATAGTGTCGCTGAAAAAATTGTAGTCATTGAGCTCCGTTGAAGACGAGGAATGGAGCTCTCGGAGTTTGAGGTAGTAGTGCAGTGCTGCATCTAGATCGTTCATTCTTTGACTCTGTAATGCGAGCAGGAAGTATACCTTGTCCACGATTTTGTGGTAAATGACAAGCTCCTGCGAGGAAAAGCGGCCCAAATTGTAGTCATCAATAAACTTCCACAGTTGTGGGAACTCATCCCTGTTGAACGAGTGCCACTGATTACACTGGAATTTGGCAAGGACCTGATAGAAATTAATCAATAGGCCGAAATACTTCAAGCGAAGAACTTTGGCTTCCATCTCATTGCTGGAAATCAAAACAGGCTCGCTGAGTTCGTAACCAATGTATTTCTGACATTGTGCAAACAGCATTTCTGTACGATTCTTGCCGTCCCAAGATTTTATCACGTACGAGACACCACAATAAAAGTAAGATAACATGCTGAACTCGCGCAAGGTGAGCCAATTGATCTGCAACGGTAGCGCAAACTCTTGATGTGCTACCTTGACGTCGACGGGGACACAGAACCGAAAGTTTCGGGCCCAAGGTTCCAAGGTCTTGAGCTCTCTTATCAAAGCATCGATTTTGCTCATTTTGCTTTTCGTGCTTTTAAAGTCGTCATCCTGAATGGATATTAAAAGGTCCAGAATTTGAGTGATGGCCTTGAATTGCGGAGGAAGAGATTTCGTATATTGAGCGTACCTTTCTTGAGACTCCTTTAGTCTTTGGTATTTTTCCAGTGCGATCTCTATCGAGTTTCCCCGAAATAAGTGAAATTGAAGCTGGCATACAAGCACCAGCTGTAGAAATGTGAATGTGTTTTCACTCAAGGTAGCCTCCAGTCGTTCAATTATGCGATCATAGTTGCGGTACATCTGGTCTTCCTCGAAAATCATGCCAAAATATTGAATTTTCAAATATTCTATAATGCTTGTCAATGTAATACTATTCAGCGATTCGCAATGATGTGCTATGCTCATGAAGTAGGAAAAACTTGTCTTCTTGCCTTTGGATTTATCTGTCAAATATTGTATTTCAAAGTTCAGAAGCTCCAAACGGATTTGATACTCTAGTGATTCGCATCTTTTGGCGAGCTGCAATCCGCGACTGCAGTATTCTGACGCGAGATCAAGGCTTGTGGTTTCTCTAAGCAACGTCTCTGTGATTTTATAGTGGATATAAACCTCATCTGCCAGCGTAAGCAAGCCTTTGTATTGTTCGAGGGCATTGAATAGACAGCTGAGGCTAGCCCTCACGTAATTATTGTACTCCAGTAAATTCTCTTCTGCGAGCAGCGACGTTGATCCCTTCTTGTAAGCCTCATCGAGAAACCATTTGGACAATTCTATCAGTCTTTCAGGCTTCTCAGAACCCGAACACGGTTTTGAGCCGCGTTGGCATGTATCAATCTCAGTCATTTGCCAGAATCAATGGGGCACTTGATTCAGAGAAAGGGAGATATTATTTCATCTCAATAAATGTATATAACACCTTTACACCACGTGTTCGGGAGTGAGAAAAGAAGATTTGCCAACTAAGACTTGCCACGCAAAAGGGTAGATTGATCAAAGTCATTAGCAATAAAAGGGGGTGCTGTCTGAAAGCCCGTGGAGCAGGTTCGGTGCCATATGAAGCCTCCTATCACGTGTTCTTAACCTGCTATTTGCCGTTTGCTCTAATATAGCCGTTACCCTACCGCTGGCAGAAAAAAATGCAAAAAAATCGAGAGTATAAATAGGACCCAATTCCCCCTCATTGACGGAGCGAAATTTTTGAGCCTAAATTTCGGTGCAAGGTTTTTTTTTTATAGTGCATCGATATCCTTAGAGATCTAATAAAGCACTTTATCTCATCAGGAAAGGAATCATTTGGTTGAACATCTTTTCCGGAAAACAATCGATTTATAGTTGGATGAGTTGTAATATAGATATATCACAGTTGTAAACATGGATTCACTGAAACTCCCAACGACAGCAGCTAGGGCGAAAGCATTCACTGCCCAAGGCTCCCTAGCCTTCCCTATGATGACAACAGACATGGTCAAAGATGAATCACAGGATACAGACAAATACGATATTCTGAAGAAGGAGCCAGAAGAGAAGATGCTCGATATGAACGATCAAGTGGCGGACGATGCAGCAGCGTCAGGAATAGTGCCAACTTTACAGAATATCGTCGCTACCGTCAACTTGGACTGTCGTCTGGAGCTGAAGACTATTGCTCTTCACGCTCGTAACGCAGAATACAACCCAAAGCGTTTCGCTGCAGTTATCATGCGTATAAGAGAGCCAAAAACTACAGCCCTTATATTTGCTTCGGGTAAGATGGTTGTGACGGGTGCCAAGTCGGAAGACGATTCGAAATTGGCTGCCAGAAAGTACGCTCGTATCATCCAAAAGCTTGGTTTCAACGCTAAATTCACAGACTTCAAAATTCAGAATATTGTTGGTTCGTGTGATGTCAAGTTCCCTATCAGACTAGAAGGTCTAGCGTACGCTCACGGAACTTTCAGCTCGTATGAGCCGGAACTATTCCCGGGTCTCATTTATAGAATGGTGAAGCCCAAGATAGTGCTACTTATTTTCGTTTCGGGGAAGATTGTCCTGACGGGTGCAAAACAAAGAGAGGAGATCTATAAGGCGTTTGAAGCTATCTATCCCGTTCTTAGCGAATTCCGCAAGAGCTAGATTGCATTACTCATTGTATATTATGGAGATAGCTATTCGGGGGCTTTTTATTTATAAAAAAAAATGCACAGCCCGTGCGCGATTTTGATCAGGAAAAGGAAAAAAAAATATTTTCTAGCGTAGTCAGGGGAGAAAGCAAAAAATCAGAATTGGGTTTCATTTTGAAGAAAACAAGGATTTTGGAAAAATAAGTAACCTCTATCACAAGACTGTGTTTAGAATACGACATATTTTTGGCTGATAACGCGTCCACGACGTATCTCAGATCCTTATAAGCGTTGTCCTTCGGAAAAATCTCGTTAATCAATAATTGAACCGAAATTTCCTCGACGGTGGAGAAGATCATCCTACTTTAGAACACACGTCCTAATGTCATTATCAGAAAAGTCCATCAATACAGTAGGTATTGATTCCAAAAAGAAGAGTGGCACACACTTGGAAAAGCCTTCCACGGGGAAAGGCACCATTAGCAACAAGTCTAGTCAGCAGCAACAACCCATGCCACGGCCTATATTGTTCAAAAGTGGCAGTTCGGCTAGCTCGATCGTATCCAAGCAATCGAATTTGCCACCGTTGAATACCACATTCGACAAGACTCAAAAAAGCACACAGCCAATATCGCAACCAACGCCCGTGGGGGAGTCGTCTCCATTCACGCCTTCAACTCAGGCGCACACCTCTGGGGACTTACACTCTGAATCAAGTACGCCTATGAAGTCAGTTAGTTCTATCTCGTTCCAGGTGCCCACCGTCAACCCTCAGAAACATCGTGGTTCCATCAGTGCTCGACCTTCAACCACTAAACTGTCCCTGGAATCCCCGGCTTCTGGAGTCCCAAGTTCAAGACAGCCTTCAGGCACTCATCCTCCTGCTACACTGGCCCACGAGTTCCCCCACCAAGTCAAGCACACGGATGCTGGGTCGTCGAAAACAACCCCAACAACAGTGGTCCCTCTTTATTCCGCTATCGGAAAAGAGTCAAGAGAGCATAGCGTCTCGTCAATTCTAAGTGACAGACACCCAAGCTCGCATTCGTCTCCAAGAAATCTTTCGTCTCCATCTGGCGTCACATCGCCTGTCTCTTTTGACTTGGGTCCTCAGTCATCTCAAAATTCCACCGTTGGAGGCGACACTCTGCGGAACGAGATCTTGTTCCAGCCACTTTCAGGCGAGAATCGCGTGCACTCGCCTCCAATGGCGTCAAAGAAAAAGACCACTACAACGCCGAAAACGGTGGTTTCCACGCCAACAGGTCCGGTGGTTCCATTCACCGAGTATCTCAGCAAAGAGGACGATGATAAAATTCATATTCTGATCGGTGCTACTGGCTCGGTGGCAACGATCAAGATCCCAATGATAATTGACAAGCTTTTCAAGCTATACGGGGTTGATAAGGTGTCGATCCAGTTGGTGGTTACGCAGGCCGCAGAGCATTTTTTGCATGGACTCAAGATTTCTACAGAGGTGAAAATCTGGAGAGAGAACGAAGAATGGTCGACGCCGATGACGAAACCAGGCGACCCTATACTGCATGTTGAGTTGCGAAAGTGGGCAGACATCTTCCTGATTGCTCCTCTCTCTGCTAACACTCTTGCCAAAATTGCCAATGGTATTGCTGACAACTTGCTCACATCGATAATTCGGGTGTGGAACCCGGCCATTCCTATCATCATGGCTCCCGCGATGAACACTTTGATGTACACACACCCGATCACAAAAAAACACTTTGCTGTCATCAAGGAGGATTTCAAGTTTGTCGAGGTGCTGAAACCGATTGAAAAGGTGCTCATATGCGGAGATATAGGAATGGGAGGAATGAGAGAATGGAGCGAGATTGTGGATATTCTCTACCGGAAGATGAAGACATTACAAGCAGAAAAGTTAAGGAAAGCAAACGAGAGGATTGAGGAGGAGGAGGAGGAGGAGGAAGACGAAGATGAAGATGAAGACGACGACGACGAAGACGAAGACGATGACTATGACGACGACGAAGATGACGATGAAGAGGACGATGTGGAGTCCACGGTCGTCGAAAATAAGCCATCCCGCGAATGAACTCGCGTCCTATGGTGTATTACGAACGGTCATGTAAAAATAATGTACCACTCAATTGCGCGTTGTAAAAAATAAATATATCTTGGCATGGTTCTTGCTTTGAGGTGGAAGATAGGCCTTGGTGTTTTAGCCGCCTACTCTGGTTACACCACCTACATCTATGTGAGGGCTCAGCAGGAGATTCGCAGACGTCAGGAAGCAAAAGCCAAACAACTGGAGGCCGGGCACGACGATTGCGATAACTGTCAATATGACACATTGCTCGTGAACGGGCGGTTTGAGAACCCGTTCCCGGAGTACAGACCGCAGACTCTGTTTGAGTTTTTCGCTATGCGGATTCTCGATCTGTGTGAGTTTGGCAGGCGTGGTGGACTGCCGTCCACGAAGGACGAGCTGCGATCTAGCTTGCCAATTGTGAAGCCAGACGCAGAGCTTTTGGAAGCCACGGCGAACGGCAGAGTTACGCAGCATGAGGACAAGCTCCCACCTCTTTCAGATCGGCTTACGTTTACGTGGTTTGGCCAGTCTTGTTCCCTGTTGCAGGTCGGCAATGTATCGTTTCTTACTGATCCGTTATTTGAAAATCATCTAGTCAATAAGCTGTTTGGCCCCAAGCGAATTGCACCCGCTGCGATGTCTCTGGACGAGCTGATGGAGACGGTGGCCATTCCAGAGTTTGTTCTTGTCTCGCACGACCACCCCGACCATTTGGAGGTGGAATCGGTGAGGAAGATCGGCAACAAGTCGATATGGGTTGTTCCTGTCGGCGTGCGACATTTCCTGGCCAAACACGGAGTCTCCAATGTGATAGAGATGAACTGGTGGGACCGGATTTCGCTGGAGACGAACACGCCTGATAAATACGAGATTGTTTGCGTTCCTGCCATGCACTGGTCGGGAAGACAGCTGATAGACACTAATAAAACGCTCTGGTGCTCATTCCTGATCCTGCGAAACGATAAGTCGATTGCGTTCCACTGTGGCGATACAGGCTACTCGCCAGACCTGTTCCAGCTTATCGGACGGAAATACGGTCCTGTGAAGTTTGCTGCCCTGCCCATTGGTCAATATTGTCCGCAGTGGCACCAGCGGCCCCGACACATCAGTCCAGTGGAGGCGATCCGGATCGCTAACGATATGAGCATCGAGAAGATGGTGGGCGTGCACTGGGGAACATTTATCTTGAGCTCCGAACAGTACATGGAGCCGAAACAGAAGCTGGAGGAGCTGGCCCGGATACAGGGCCGCACCAAAAGTATACTGGTGCCTGAGCACGGACAGACAATGATTTTCGACACTTCCAGTATCGACCTGCTGAACGAGAAGGACCCGATCGAGGTGCACGATAGCAAGGTATATAAATAGATCAGACTACCTAGTGGTCCCGTTGCAGGATTTTTTCCATTGCCTCGAACTCTTCCTCTTTAATTGGGTACGAGTGAGTCTCTATGCTTGGAAAACTGCCCGTTTTGACGTCCCCCACGTAGCGGTCGACTGCGTTGACGGCCTCAGAATGGAAGTCCATGTATTTCTGGACGAATTTGGCGGTGGGAGAGTCCAGCATGCCAAGAAGATCCGCCTGCACCAGAATCTGCGCCGAGGTTCCTGGGCCGCAACCAATGCCAATCGTTGGAATATCCAGCTTCTCAGTTAGATACTGCGCAACCTTGTGCGGGATACACTCTAGAAGAAGCATAGAGCAGCCAATGTCTCTGAGATATTTTGCTTCCTTTATGATATTTGCGGCATCCCGCGCTTTTTTCCCCTGCACCCTGTAGCCACCAACAGCATTGAACTGTTGAGGTTTCAATCCTATGTGACCCGTCACGGGTATCCCGATCTCTATGAGACGTTTTATTTGCTCGCCGTGCTCGTACCCGCCCTCGATCTTGAGCGAGCCGATCTTCCCCAATTTCATGAGCTTGACTGCGGATTCTACGCATTGCGAGACACTGGCCTCGAACGATCCGAAGGGCAGATCAGCTATGACAAACTTCTGATTGACCCCTCGGAGAACGGACTTGCACGTGTAATAGTAGTCGTCAAACGGAATTTCCAGCGTGGAGGCATAGCCTTTGGAAACCATGGCCAAAGAGTCGCCAATTAGAACTATATCTAATTTCTCGCTCGAGTCTGCTATCCGACCGGTGATGTAGTCGTGTGCGGTGATCGCGGCCAGAGGTTCCTTCGCTTTATACAATTTTCTGATGTCTGTCAACGTCTTTTGTCTGACGGTAGCATGCGACGAGTAGCGGGCCCCTAAACGTGGGACCAGCGATCTGATTAGGGAAAATGAGCTCATAAATATTTTTTGAATTCTTTTATGTCATTCATTTATACCTACAGAGTAATGCGGCTCGATTGGAGCCCGAAACATTTTCTCTTATGTGGGGGAGGGGAGAGCTCAGGGCATACAGCGTGTTACAGTACAGCAAGGTGCAGAGCAAGCTTTGAATTCATATACCTGCCAATAATAAATAATCACCTGTGGGAACAGCTAGGACAACTTATCCTTCAGTTCCTCTCTGGCATAGCGCAGTCCGCAGTAGCCACAAGTTCCAGGCATATCCTTGTCGAGGTTGATGTAGACCTTCGGGTGGCCCTGGAAGATGTCTGTTCCGCTGCAGACCGCAATGTTGTTGTGTATGTATCTAATAGGCTGTTGGGCAATCAGGTCAATTGCTGCTTGCGGGTTTGGCTGTTTAGTGAGGTCCCTGCCAACAAAGCGAACATTCGTCTTAATGATATGGTCTTTAGACGATTGGCTAGGTGACCATGTAGCGACTCTATTTGGTGCCTGTGCGATCTCGATTTCGTCCTGGCTTTTCCTGGTGATAGGGGCAGTTTTAGGGAGCGTCAGCGAGGACCTCTTTCGAGTTTGCAGGGCAAACTGGCACGACCGTCTGAGCATAAGGGATATCTTTATATTCAAATTATTTCCCCACCATTCCTGCCGGGTAAATTTTGTACAAGTATAAACCATGGATGCTAGATAAACCTACCATGTCCTCCAAAGCCTCCATAAAAACCAAATGAGCCTGGCGGACCTGGAGGACCTGGGGGCCGTCTGAAGCCTCCATGTCCTGGCAGTCCCATCTGTCCTGGAAGACCAGCCCCCAAAAGCTCAGGGTCCTCGTCAGGCCCCAGCAGCGGATCATCGTACCTGATTCCTGACTTTGTGTCCCCCATTTTCCGATTGAACAGCGGGTCAGAGGAAGTTGGGTGCATGCCCCCACCCCTTGTTGGATTGACAGCAAGAGGATCCAAATATGATTTGAATGGAGGATCTTTCATTCCGCCTGGATACAGATCGTTGACACCTGCTTGTGCGTCGGCTGACGGAAGCGGCTGAGACCGGCTGGACTGGATCTGGTGCTCGTCCTCAAATGGCGGTGGTGCGAGAGCGGCAGGGAGCGGTTTTGGAGCGGGCGATGTGTACGAAGGAGTAGGCGTTAAATTTTGCGTTGCTTGGCTGGACGTGTCCTCAGGCATACCTGCCACAGACTCCTGCAGCTGCGAGACATGTCTTTCGGTATGAGTGCCCGATTGCGTGGGGAGTTTAGACTCCTTTGGGAAAAATAGCCCAAATTTATCTGTCAGGATCGTGAATAGGCGATCCACTAGACGGGAGTCAATATCGTCGAATTCGGTCGGGTACGTAACGACAGCAAGTTGAGGCCATTTCAGAGAAGCGGTGTAAGTGACTTGAGTTCCGTCTGCGTCCTGCCTGCTATTTTCAATGGTGTAGGTGTCGTTGCTATAAGTTATGATCGATTTGCCCTCGGACGCAATAATCGATATCCGGCTGTCGGAACGGTCAATTGCAAATGGATAGATATTGCGCGACTGTAGGAACTTCTCGTAAATAAGGCCCAGCAAGTCCAAGTTATCCTTTAGCGAGCCCATTGTATACAGCGATGTTTTTATTTAATTAGCTGATAGCGAAAGAAAACATTAGAAAAAATAATATTGCTTTAGGGCGAAACAGGTTCAAGATTAGAGGGAAAAGAAAGTTCTGACAAGTGACGAAGCTTGCACAATTGCTCAACAAGCCCTTACTATTTACCAGACTGTATAAAGCAATACCAGGTCCCAAATGACGACTGCAGTTCCCTTAATTTATTCATTCCCTGAGTTCAGCGGAGTGGCTGAGGCCGTCGCAGACCACATCGTGGCGGCCCAAAACCATGCTTTGTACGGCGACTACAACAGGAAGAAGAGCATGTCAGATACTAATATTGCTTCACAGTTCAGCAGTGCGGCCGAAAGCATGCGCTTAACCAAAAGCGTGTCGGAACACCAGTCAGCCAGCGGAAACGGAACCAACACACCAAGTTCGTCCAGAGAGCAGCGGAAAAAGAAGAAGGAGGAGAACAGAAGGTTCCGAATTGGTCTTAGTGGAGGATCATTAATTAGTGTGTTACGCGAAGGATTGCTTAAGCGACAGGACGTGGAATGGTCCAAATGGGACGTTTATTTCGCCGACGAGAGACTGGTTCCCTTTGACTCGCCTGAGTCGAACTACGGAAAGGCCAAATCACAAATATTTGACAACATACCACCAGAGAAAGGATATCCCAACATTTTCCCTATCGATGAGAATCTTTTAAACGACCCACAGGAATGCGCAGACACTTACGAGAAAACTCTCATCAAAGGCTTTGCATCTAAAGACTCTGTGAAATTGCCTATGTTTGATTTGATTTTGTTAGGATGTGCTCCCGACGGGCATGTTGCATCTCTATTCCCTAATCACGAGACCCTGAGAGAGTCCTATGCTTGGTGTGCCCCGGTTTTAAATGCTCCGTCTGGACCTCCAACGAGGATCACCTTGACCGTTCCCGTGATTTGCCACTCTCACAGAGTGATGTTCGTGGTGGAAGGTGCCACCAAAGCGCCAGTCATAAGCACGATCATGGAGAGACCCGACAAGGGACTTCCCGCTAGTATTATCAACGAAAAGGCTGCTGGACGGATTGCATGGTTCGTTGACGATGACGCTGTCAAAGATGTCGTGGGTATCACAAAGAAGAGATACAAGTTTTTGGTCCATTCTGAATAGATGGCTAGAGTGCTGTTTCCAAGCTTCAGATTGTAGTGGCTAAGTTATCCAGTGTTATATTTTTTGTATGTGGCTGAGAACACAAAAAACAAAAAAAGATATCGTAGTTTGAAGATGGTGAGTGTTCTCAATAGACTATCTGCTAACTGGTATAGTGGATCCCAATAGCGTTTTTCTTGGTATCAACCTTTTTGTTATCGGGATTCTCCATCAACCGTTTCATCCGGCTCACCAAACAGCCTCTGTACCTGTCGGTGATTCTGGTGTTCTCGCTGTTCTTACCTTTCTCCATCATATTCCTTCTTCCCATCGACCTAATATCCACATCTGCAGACACATACAAGCAGTTCAAGGAGTCTATATTCTATTTGAACCAGCCCACTGTGCTGTTTCTTTGGAAATTCAACTACTGGACCACCTTTACGCTAACATGGATCGTCTTGCCCTTTTTCCAGTACTGGTTTGGGTCCGGATATTACAGACGGGGGGATCGCTTCAAGTACTCTTTGATTGAGCTCCTCAAGTTTCAGATGATCATGATTGCGTGCGGGCTCATCATCTTCTTCTACATCCTTGTCCGACACACCTCTTGGCTCAATTTCAAATTCCTCAAGTCCCTAGTTATCACAGTCAGCCACATATACTCGCTCGTGTTGGCCTTGTGGCTTATGGCTCACGGCCTCATATATCTTCCGCGACATGAATGGGAAACATCTGGAAACTACTCAAACCAACTGCACAAGATGTACCTTAAAGTTCCAGAGATAAATGAACAGCTAGAGGATACTAAATTTGAGCTTCGAGAGCTCTGCGGAAAAATCAAGACTTTGAGCCATCTCGATAATCTTGAGTACAGGGACTGGATTCTCAAGCTTGTGGGCTCCATCCCTCCAGAGTTCAACGAAATGGTTCATCATGGTGTCGAACCGTTCACCAACTCAGAGCTGAATACGAAACTTCTAAACAAGCTCTCTAAAAAGCTAAAAGAGCTGAAATGGAAATACAACCATAGCACTATCGAGCTCCAAATCACCGTAGAGAAGGTGATAGTGCTGGAAGACAAAGTAAACGCCCAACTGCTCGGCGAATACCACCCAAGACTGGAAAAGCCATTGATTTCGAGCCCAAAAGTCAACTACTACCTTTACCAATACGTCAGGCCCCAGTTGGGAAAACTTCTCTCGCTATGTCTGATTGTGCTCTCTGCTGTCATCGTCGAATCAGAAACGCTTCACGGATTCCAGTTCTCTTTGATCAAGCACTTGATAGCTGCCATCACAAAAAATGCCACCAAAATATACATTCAAATCTTCACGGTGTGTTTTCTCGTTCTGACATACATGCTCGTTTGCGCCATGCTATCACTGTCACAGGTCAAAATCTTCAATATCTACCACATCGAGTCCAACCAGTCGTCGGACCCAGTGTCGATGATTTTCTTCATCAGCTACGCGTGCCGGCTGACCATCCCCTTGAGTTACAACTTTCTGATGCTGCTGGACGCCAAATTCACAACCAACTCCTCGTTCCAGCTCTTTTTCGGCAACTCCATTCAGCTCATCTCCTTGGGCAACTTCCTCAACGACCTGCTCCCTCGGCTCATCATCATCCCTATACTGCTTACATTGTTCAGGTTCTGGGAAAAGGCAAAAGCTTGGCTCTCGAGTGTTTTCCTGTTTGATTACCTAATCAGAGAACTGGACTTTGAGGACGACGATCTCGACACAGCGGACAACACTGGCGATATTGAAGGACGGCCTGGATCGCAGGCTACGCGGGAGAATGCACGGGTCCATGAAAGCAAACAGATTATACAGCGTCTTCTGAACTCGGACCAACGCTTTCTGAGCACCCCAATCAGGCCGTTGACTCTCTCGAACAACCCAGCTTCTCACGAGCCGCCGCTAACGTCTCTCCGCAGTTTTGCCAGCCGTTTGCTCTCACGGTTCCCTTTCCGCAGCCCAGCTTCTCAGTACGAAGGGCTGAGAACATACAATCTGAGTCTGGGCACCGACACCGGTAGCAGACGAACTAGCACCGATACGGGCATCTCGCTCAACACCAACATCTCGTTCGACAACGACAATCGACTGCTTCGGGACGACGATATCATGCTTATCGACGAGGACGACGTCTCGGAGATATAGTTATGTAACAACGCTAATAGATCGAAACGGATACACCTCGCGCCATACTGTAAATAAATATAAACTGGTAAATATACAAGAAAGCCCGAGATAAGTCCGTGTTTTCGATGGGCCGGCTATGTCAATGAGAATGAGACGAGGATTATGGAAGCCAGGAATGGAGAGCGTGGCGCGAGGGAGTTCTGTAAGACGGTTATCCCAGCACCTATCGATTATCGCTCCCAATTCCTCCCAGAGTTCGCTTATCACATTCAGTGTCAGCTTGCTTAAAGTGCCTGCAAACTACGGTTACTATACCTCGAGAGTCAATCGTATGACGAACGAAGACGCACACCAGGTGGGGGTCATGGACATAGATCTCCAGCAGAAAACGGTGTCTACAGATGGTGTAGAGGCAAACGAGGAGCTGGAGAAGAGAATAGGACAGATCGATGAGCCTGAGTACAAAAATCGTTTTGAGCACAGCAAGGTGTTTAGCTTTAGCGTATTTGACGGCCATGGCGGCAGTGAAGGCAGCACCTATGTGCGAAACCATTTGCTGGAGAATATCGAGAAATTAAACGTCAGCGACAAAAGCATCAGCAAGCTGTTCAAGTTCTACCAGAAGGAGATTGGAGGATACTGGAGACGCTGGGTGCGACGCAAGAATCTTCATTTGATCAACAGCATGGGGCTGGAAAGCTATCTGGTATCGCCAAAAGGTAACTACACTGTCCGCGATCCGGAGCTAGAGGAGAAAAAATTATGGGATCTGCCAGAGTTCAAGGAGATGGTTTCCGGAGAAGACTTCTTCAAGATTCGGCTCCTGCTAGGGTTCCTGTACACCGACTACCAGTTTCTGAACTACGAGGACAAGATCAACGATGCTAAACACAAGGAACATTCGCATCTGTTGAATGCCGGCTCCACAGCCACATCTGCATTTTTCTACACCATAGAGAAGGACAAATCAAACCTGAACGGGTACTTTTACGAGCCAGACGTGCTGAGCCGATTGGTGATTGCGCACGTGGGCGACACGCGTGCGATCCTCTGCGACAGGGACGGCGTGGCAAGGAGTCTGACCCAGGACCACCATCCTTCCAATCCCATCGAGTCGCGCAGACTGACCAGATACAGCGCAGGGCTAATGATGACCGACTCTTTCGGGGAAGAGCGTTTTGCAAACTACGCCAACACGCGATCGTTCGGCGACCTCACAGCGAAAAACATCGGCATCACGGCCGAGCCAGAGATCAGCGAGTATCTAATCGGTGACATGAGAAAAATCGAAAAGTACAAGCGAGACAACAAAAACTATCTAAAGAAAACCAATATTCTGGATTTTGGCGGAGACGAGTGTTTCCTTGTGCTTGTGAGCGATGGAGTGACCAACATGCTTTCCGACCAGGAGGTGGTCGACGTGATCACGAGCACAACCAATAACAAGGGCTCGTTGCGGGGCACGCCAAAGGAAGCTGCTCAGGAGGTAGTACAATTTGTTGAGTGTATTGGGGGCATGGACAATGCGACATGCCTGGTAATAAAGCTCGGCGGATGGGGCAAGTGGCCAATACTCGATCGAACAGGGCCTCTGAGGGAGTCCAAGATGATGAGCGGGCGCAGAGAAAGATGAGCATTTAGAGGTTTTGGCACGCACTTTGACATTGTGATTCTATGTACAATATATTATTTATTCTTGGTTTGGGTGTATTTGAACCGTTTCCGTGTGTGGGAAAACTCGCCGAGCTTCGATCCCACCATGTCTTCGGTGATATTTATATGGACATAGTCTTTTCCGTTGTGGACTTGAAATTTGAGCCCCACGAACTGAGGCAGTATGGTGCACGATCTGGCATTCGTTCTGATAGGCGTACCGTTTTTCTTTGCCTCAGCAATCGGTAAGGGCACCACAAAAGGACCTTTCCATGCAGACCTGCCCAAAGCGACAAGGGACAATCTCATGAGGAATAGTTTCGGTTGATATTTTTTTTCACCACGGTTTTGGACGATCGACGTGATCTGTCGCTTTGGTTTTTTGGTCTCCGGTATCTTTTATTAAATTACACATGTTCCATCTGGCCCAAAGTCTGTACAGCTCCTACACGCGCAAAGACGAATATTCGGTGCTGATCTTGGGGCTGGATAATGCTGGCAAGACAACGTTCTTGGAACAGCTCAAATCCATCTATGTCCCTAACTACAAACAGCTACGGCCGGAGCGGATTTTACCCACCGTGGGTCAGAACGTCGGCACGATCCAGGTTCATGGAATACTGCTGAAGTTTTGGGATGTTGGGGGCCAAGACAGCCTGCGAGAATTGTGGTCAGAATATTACTCGAATTCGCATGCCATAGTATTTGTCATTGACTCGTGCGACAAAGAAAGACTGGTGGAATGCTCAAACGTTCTGACCGGCGTGATGAGCAACGAGCTAATTGAAGGGCTGCCCATACTAATGCTGGCCAACAAACAGGATAGAGAGGACGAGACAAAGCTAGAGCTCGTGGATATCAAGGAAATTTTTAACCCGATCGCAGAAAATTTAAACGCACGAGACTCAAGAGTGCTCCCCGTCAGTGCAATAACAGGTGAGGGAGTCAAGGACGCTATAGAATGGCTGCACACAAGGCTAATTCGCAACAAGATGAACCGTCCCCCAAAAAAGCATTAAAGGTGCCGGGGTGTGAGCAAATTATTTTTCCGCGAGCAAATATTTTTGGCGAAAAATCCCATAATATCGGTGTGTCCCATAAAGATATAAAAAGGCCCGCTCTCGGAGCCCCATTTGCATAATATTTGTTCCTCATCATGAATATGGATATGGGATCTTCCAGCTCTTCCAGCTCTTCGGGCATGCACATGCATATGGCCTCGGCCACGAGCTCCATGGACATGGCTACCGCATCATCTACCAGCTCTATGGATATGGACATGTCCATGGACATGAGTATGAACTACTATCTCACTACCCAGTATCATCACTACCCAGTGATTTTCCACACATTGCGTGCCGGCTCTGGAGCTGGAGCTTTCGGCATTTTCTGTGTTCTCTTCTTTGGAGCCGTTTTCTTTAGAGGATTATTTTTCTTGAGCGCATATCTGGAACAACGTGTCTTCCACAACCTTACAAACGCAGTTTTGATTCAGGAAATAGACAATTGTGCTTGTGATCCCGAGGAGGACCAAAAAACTCAGCCCACCGGTGCTACTAGTGCTACTGGTGCTCCTGGTGGAACCCTGAACGCCAAATCTCTCGGCTTAGGTAAGATCGTCAAGCAGACGTTCTGCCCAGGACTGGGGGAATTGAAAAGAGATTTCATTAGACTACTTATCGCTTTCACTGCGGCGATGTTTGGTTACGCATTGATGCTTGCAGCCATGAGCTTTGTTCTGCTTTACTTCTTCGCAATCTGTCTCGGAATGGCTTTCGGAGAAATTTTCTTCAACCGCCTGTCCATCGTACTCGGAATCAACAAAAACAGCTCCTTGTGCGGTTCGCTCCACTAGACCGAACTTTTGTACTTGTACTCGTTTAATTAATGATTCAGACTATGGCTAATCGTCTTCCAAAGGTAGCGAGTCGAGCTCATCGACCAATGACGACAGCTCAGAAACGACATTCTTGTGATAGTTGAGCTGGATTTTCATCAGCAGCTTCAACAAGTTCAAGCCTTCAACTGGCTTGATCAGCGTCTTCATCGATTCCACAGCGGACTCGGTGGCACTAACCAGTTCGTCCTCGGCATTCTCCAGTTTCTTCGACAGCGCAGGCGGAAGCTCGACAGACTCGTCTCCACGCTGCACAGCCTTCACCTCGGCTCTAACGGTGTCAAAATTGAGCCTTGAAGTCTCCACTTGTTTTCTCAGCTTGGCCGTGTTCAAGAAGTCGCCATTCAGCGTGTTGCGGATCCTGTCGTTGACCTCTGTGATCACCAGCTTATCTTGCTCCAGTCGTTCCTCTCCGATCCTGGTCTGAAACTCGCTGATCTTAAGCAATGCCTTGCACAGAGACGACGACTCGTCTTCGCTGGTCGACAGGACTTCATTTGCATTGAAACAAGCCTTGGCCAATTGGTGTGCAAAGGTCTTTGGGGTGTGATCCTTGGATGAGGCCAGCAGAACGGCTTCCGCTTCTGATGTGGTGGTAGCTTGCGAAAGGCCAGTAAACTTCTCATTGATTAGCTTGGTGTAATCATGGATGGATTCTTTCAGATTTGGAGGATAATCATAACTCTCAATTTCGTACTGCTGTGTGATGGTCAGCACCTTTTTATAGAAAACCTTCAAGTTGTCAACGCGTTTCTCCAGATCCTTGTATTCTTGCGGCAGCTCTGAGATGTCATCAATGGACCCAAAACGCTCCTGCAGAGACCTCGTGGTCCTCTTGAGAAGGGGGGAGATGTTGGAATTGAGCGTGGAAACCTCCTTCTCCAGATTGACTAGATTGTCCTGCAGACTTGACGTGAGCTGCTGGGTGGTCTGCTGCAAAGACTGCTGGATCGACGAGAGATCCACTTTGGGAAATTTGAAGGACATCCTGAATTGAAAATAAGCTTTATCTTGGTTGGCTGTCTTTTTTTTTATTTTATTTTGACAATGAACAACCGTACACCACCAGTTACCAGATCCCACGGTGTCTGGGTGGGTTGCAGGGCCAAGGCCTTTGGGAATATTACAAAGCGAGATACCGCGATCTAAATGTGAGAAAAAGCAACTCTATAATAAACACTTTACACACCATAAATACCGTAAATGTTGGATCTAGCCTTCAGCTTCATACCTATCATGTTCTAGGAAACCACTTCTCTGATATCGTTGCGGAGTGGCTGGTTCTCGGAGAAAAAAGGCTGTTGGCACTGGTTATTGCTGGAGCAACGCCTCCACCAATGCCTGCGGTGTAGCCTTTCGCATGTGCTGGAGCTGGAGTGGGCCTCACACCAGCAGTGTAGGAACTGTTGCGCTCGTCTTTGTCTCTTGTCTCAATGCCTGCTGTGTATCCAGAGGATCCGTGGCTGCGTGAGCGGTCGCGGATGCCCGCTGTGTACTTCTGTTTGGTCGATTTATAGCCGTAGATATTTGACACCATGATTGATTCTGTGGTTAGACAAGTGCGAGAGCATCCTTATATATTGCCCTCGGACTCATCTCGGACAGATTTTTTTCGCTTGCGGCTCGCCTTCGAGATGTACTATCTACTACGATCGTGCATAAAAAACGGTTTCGTGTGACGTAAGTGTCTAGAAATCGTTCGAATATTAAAAATCCAGCAATGTTTACAAATCTTAGCTCATCAAATCGTATCATTCAGTCACATATCCTATACATGAGCAAAAAACAAACACAAAGAAAGTAGTACTCATAATTGCGCCCACATCAGTTGAAAATCTTTTTGATTTTGGTGCTCAGCTTCTCCTTGTGTGGGTGTTGTGCCTTTTCGAACTCGTCATAATCTAAGATCTTCGTGCTGGACTCACCCTGCTGCGGCTGTCCAGTATAAGCCTCGTCGTCTTGCTGGCGTGCCTTGCCGGATTGGCCGAGATCAGACGCTCCACGTTTATCGTGGGTGGCTGCTGCGGCGGCCCTGTTAGCCAGCGCATTCTGGTCGTCATTCAGATAATCGTTTCCGTGAGCACCATGGCCGCGATCCTGGGTCTCGAGGTTGTCTCTGGTGCCAGGGATATGATAATGCTTGCCGGTAGACGTTTGTTGGGTGGCTCCATACGTAGCACCCTGGTTTCCGTAGCTCTGACCTTGGCTTTTTTCGTGGCTCTTTGAGGCAATTCCGGCCCCTGCCGCGCCAGCGGCTGCACCATAGCCTGATCCAGAAGAGTACTTGCTCTGTCCAGCGGTGTCAGAAAATCCTGCCGTGTATGGAGTTTCCTCGTCGTCTCTCACACCCGCAGTGTACTGGTCCTTGGCATGGTGAGGATGTGTGTCACCGACACCAGCAGTGTATCCAGAACTGGTCTGCGGCTCGTCGCTGCCAACGCCCGCAGTATACTTGTTGGTTTCTGGCTCGTTCCGACCAGTGGTTTCTCCAACACCAGCAGAGTACTTGTTAGTTGTCTGAGTGTGTTCATGGGAGCTGCCTCCACCCTGAAGGGCGTCCCTAAATCCGCCTTTAGCGAGCTCTGGGTCCTTTTGAGCAGACACGTTGGCTTGTTGGGTGGAGTCCTTGCCAGCTTCTCTGCTGCCCAGATAGCCCGCACCAGCCCCAATAGCCGTTCCTGCACCTGTGGCGTAGGCAGAGTGTTCACCGTGACCGGCCTTGTTGAGCTGCTGGCCGCCTTTCTGCGACACATCCTTGGCCTGAGAGCTGAGCTTGTCGTGATCAATCTGATTCCGAGCACTCTTAGGGTCCAGAGAGCCAAACACCCTCTCGTCGGTTTGGCCCTGGCTACCGTACGAACTGTCGTAAGGGTCATTTTCGGTCTTGGTAACACCTGGAGCACCTCTCAGTTCCTGAGTAGAAGCATCGTTGCCCTGCTGCTTTCCGTAGCTGCTGTTGTGCGGAGCAGCCTTGTAGCCGGCAGCAGAAGCCACAGCGGCGCCTATTCCGGCACCCGCTCCGGCACCGGCTCCAGTATGCGATCCACCATGGGCAGTCTCGTAGCCCAGCTCGGCCTGTTTCTGAGCGAACTCAGGCTGGCCCTTTTTCTCGCTTTCGTGGAGTCTGGAGGAGTCGGACTTGAGCTGGCCGGCGTTTCTGGTGGCAAAAGTGTCGTGGTGCACGTCCTGGTAGACGGTGCCGTGCTGCACACCCGTGTCGTCGTTCTTCTTGCCGGACTTGCCCCATTTGCTGGTCTTACCAGACTTGGAGCCAGCTCCCGAACCGGAACCGTAATCAGACGAGTCAGAGGTGGTGCTTGTCGACTTCTCGTGACGGCCAGCGGCTGCTCCCAGACCCGCGCCGGCAGCAGCGCCAGCAGCGGTTTCGGTAACCCCGTGGTGGTCATTTTTCGACTTGAACGCAGCAGTCTCCTTCTGGCTCAGATCATTGTGCTTGTCCTGAGTCTTGTGAGACTTTCCCTGAGCGTTCTTGCTGCCATGCTCTCCAATTGGGTGTCTGTAGTCTCCCAGGTCAGCAGGAGCAGTGGCTCCATGAACAGGATCTGTGTCGGCAGCCCCTGTGGTGTTGTAGCTGACTGGTTTTCCAGAGGTATACGCAGCTCCGGCGGCAGCACCGGTGTTTGAGAATCCCTTACCACGGTCAGTTTCGCGCTTTGATGCGTGATCGCTAATGCCATAGCCTTGTTGAGTCTCTAGAGCCTGGCTCTGCTTGGGATGGTATGTCTGGCCTGGAGCGCCGGCTAGCGAGCCAACACCAGCTCCAGGAACTTCAGGACCCAGGTTCTTGTCTGTAGTGTCGTGTTGGGCGGCAAAGTCGGACTTCTGGTACTGGCTGGCAGAACGATGCTCACTGGTTCCGCCAGCGTTGCCGCTTGAAGTGTGTCCGTAAGACCCTGACTTGCCAAATTGGCCGTGATTGTCAGTGCTCGAAGAGCTATAGGGGCCGGCAGCTGCGCCAGCACCAGCCCCTGCACCAGCCCCAGCAGCAGCTCTACCCGAATGAGCGCCCGACTGAGTGTCGGGAACAAACTGCCGATCTTTCTGCTGTGTCTGGGAGTCCTTGGCGTTCTTAGTGTCTGCAGGGTCGACTGGACGTCTTTGGGCTCTCTCCTTTTCAGACAGTCCCTTGATATTGTCCTCGGTGCCATGGATATCTCTCTGGTCGACGACCGGGTCGACTAGCGACGAGTACTTCACATTTCTGTCGGTAGGAACGACTTCGAACTCGTTACCCTGGTTGTCAACGTAACTGTGAGCCTTTCCAGCCTGTTTCTCAAGAGTCTTGGTTGACACGGAGTTCTTGGCTGCGTCTTCGCCAGCCAAAGGCTTGTCCTTCTGAGAAGTTGCACCTTCGGAGCTACCACCAATTCCAATGGCAGACATCAACTTATTGGCCAGCGATGGCTGTTCTCCAGGCTCACCGTGGGCGCCGCCCTCAGAGGCCTTGAAAGTCGGCGAGGTGGAATCGTAGTTGTGCGATTGCGACGTATAGTTCGAGTCTCCAGCAGAGTAATTTTTGCCCTCGTCAAAGTCGAAGGATCCGGGAACACTAGAGTGTTGCACAGATCTTGGGGTATCCTTTGAGCCAGAGAGCTCATCGTAAGCATTTTGCGCCTTGCGTTGGGCCTGGTTGGTCCAGGACTCGTCTTTCGGAGTACTAGATTTCAGGTCAGCCATAATTAAGTAGATTATATCTATGATCCATACAACACTATATATAAAGCCTTCTCCGCATTATTGCTCTTAGCAAGGTTGCCATACGGGCTTTTCTTTTTGAGAGGCAGCAATTTCATTAATGACATAAATGTCACATATGTCACATGTCCAACGGTGAAACAGGGTGGTTTGCTACCACTATTGCTCTTTAACACAGCCACATATAATTTTATTAAGCGCATTTATTTAGAGTTACCAACCACACATAATTTCAGGAAGCCACAAGGTCAAGCCTCGCTCCCTGGCTCGGTATATATCGGTACGGTGGCGTATTCTGTGTCGTCGTCCAAAAGTATGTCAAATTGTTCCCCATTGTGGCCGTCGGATGGCCCTGGGGTAGGCATTGGTGGCAGCTCCGACGGAGGGCGAGCGTAGTCCAAATCATTGAGCTCTGTCGGGGGCTCGCTAGGCATCAATGCCTGCTCCCGCAGCCGGAGCAGCTCTTTTTCGTTCACCGAGGAACTTTCTGGGATTGCGGAGTATTGTAGCGACGAGGAAGGCGGACTGGTTGCCTGCGGAGAAAGCGGCGAGTCTATCGATGTGCATGGCGTCTGCGGAACAGAAGAAGAATGACGGCTCTTTCTGCGCACCCTAGACTTTCGTTCTGTGCCAACGACAATCTCGGAGTTAAGTGTAAGCACGTTTTTCGTTCGCTTCAGCCTGTCCACGTTGTAGATGTTGCTGGACGTGTCCTTCTGGATAATCTCATCGTCCATGAACCCTACCTGAGTGGCTCGTATCTTGGAGTTTGAGAGATTCACCAGGACCTCGATGTAATACTGGAAACTCACCATGTTTGCGGTGATGGTCGGAAAACAGTCGACAGGGACCCTCAGGCTCGTCGAAATTTCACTTGTAAGCGTGGTTGGGTCGACAATGAGCGGGACTATGGACTGGCTCAGGTCTTTTCTATACGACTGGACCTCATAGTCCTGGCCCAGATCCAGACGGCAAATTCTTATCAGGGTGACTATTATTCCCTCCGTATTGGCAATCTTTTTGTGACACTTTACGTTCAAACGAACGGGTATCGATTCGCCGCGCAGATACCCCATCGACGGGATGTTCATCTTTATTTGGACGTAGTTGTCGAGATTGTCTTCCATGGACTCCGACGACGCGAGCGACGACGTGGACGATATAGAAGACAGAGTTTTGTTCAGTTTCCCTTTTGTGGTCTTGAATCTGAGAATCTTGGGCTGCGGTTCGGGCAAGAGCGTAAGGTTGATGGGCTTGACAATACTAAACATCTTCTCCGCCGTTGCCAGCACGACATCCTGGTTATCTCGCTCAACAATGGTGCATTTCAAGCCGTATTTGATTTCTCCCTTCTCAAATGAAATGCTGGTGTATGCGTTGCGCTTGGGAAGCTTGATAATAAACGGAAACCGATGTTCTCCAAATGTGAGCGCAGTCTCTTCAGAGTCGCCGTAGAGAAGGATTTTGTGATTGAACAAGCTTTGCTTTCTATCCGAGCGCAGCGGCGATGTGGAGTTAACCTTGATATGGCCCTCCAAAGAAAGACTTATCATCAAATTCATCACATTCTTCTTGAGTATTAGGATTATTTGTCCACTCAACTCCTCCCCCGGTCGATACAATTTGTGGGGGTTTTCCAGAACAATGTAGAACTCCTTCACGGCATTCTTTGGCTGGAGCGGCCCGCCAAGAATACGTGAGGATTTGTGCGGGAGAAGCTGATTCACGGCCTTTCGCATTAACCAAAATGTTGATATTTAATATTCTCTCTTAACACAGCCCTAGAAATTCGTACTCCAGTACGCAGCCTTAGAAAATCGGCGCAGTTTACCGTTCTCTTTGTTATAAGCGACTTGGCCGAAAGGATGCGGCAAAACGGCCACAGGAGCAAAAATTTAAAAAAAGTTCCGATTCCGATACCGGGAGTCGAACCCGGGTCTGCCCGGTGAAAGCGGACCATGATAGCCGTTACACTATATCGGAGAGTTACAAGGAATAGGGGGCCCCGCTGCGTAGATATGCCTTTGGGATTGGGCACTCACATAATAATAATAAAAATTAGAAAAATAAGTTATATCTCGCTAATGATTAGATTTAATAGAACAGGGTGCCGTCTTTTCTCAACAACGGCCCGTCTGTTTGCCGAGGCGCCTCAGCCAAAGAAAGAGCTTCCGCGGCTGTCTATGGAGGAGTATAAGGCGCTGCGCGATCAGTACTACAATGCTAAAAATAAACAGAGAGGCCGAACTGCGACCAACTATTCACTTTCGCTCTTTCTCGGCTTCTTGACCCTCTCCTTTGCCTCTGTGCCTCTGTATCGAGTTGTCTGTCAAAAGACTGGCTGGGGTGGGACTCCAATGACCGACTCCTCCAAAATTACCCCCGACAAGTTAGTCCCCGTGGATACTGATCGGAAAATAAGAGTCTCGTTCACAGCAGAGACCTCTCGGTTGTTGCCGTGGAAATTTGTTCCTCAACAGAGAGAGGTGTACTTAGTTCCTGGAGAGACCGCGCTAGCTTTCTACAAGGCGAAAAACACATCAGATAAGGATATTACTGGTATGGCAACTTACAGTGTCACACCAGACCATATTGCCCCATATTTCAACAAAATCCAATGTTTCTGTTTCGAGGAGCAGAGATTAAATGCCGGGGAGGAGGTGGACATGCCGCTGTTCTTCTTTATCGACCCTGAGTACTCGCAGGATCCGTCCATGAGAAACGTGGAGGATGTTGTTCTGCACTATACATTTTTCAAAGCTACCCACGATGCATCCCATGAGCAAATTCTAGCCGAAGCTCAAAAAAAGAGAGAAGAAGAGCAAAATGAGTCCCATAAAGATTGATCTGTATATAGTCAAGGCCCATGAGTAACTGATTATTCAGGGCCTGAAATCATAATTTTGATGGATTTACCTTCCTTGCTAAAGTCGTAGGCTTTTTTTACATCCTCAAACTTGAATCTATGGGTGATCAAAGGCTTCACGTTGACCTTTGAGGAGCCAATTAAGCCGACAGCAATCTTGTAGTCATCAACTGTGTACCTGAAAACACCAGTGATCAACAGCTCTCTCTCTGCAACCTCAGCAATAGGGAAACCGTCCATGGTCTGTCTTCCCATACCGACTTGGACGTATCTTCCTTTTTTCTCCAGCAGTCTTATGGCATTAGCAATGCAGAACTGGTTTCCGGTAGCATCCATTGCAACTGTTGGCCGTTCGCCGTCCCAGGAAGTTTGGATGAACTTCAAAATTTCCTCAAAACTTTTATCTTTGGAATTAATGGAATGGGTTGCAAAACCCTTGGCAACCGCAAAATCAAGCTTTTCGCTAACAATGTCAACGATGCACACCTTGCTAGCACCAAATGCCCGCCCAACAGCAGCACAGAGCAATCCAATTGGACCGGCACCGAAGACAACCAGATTGTCCCCAACCGTTAGTTTGGCCAGCCTAGTGGCGTGAGTGGCGACAGAAAGGGGTTCAACTAAGGCGCCTTCCTCCAATGAGACGTTTTCTGGCAGCTTGACACAAAAGTCCTCAGGGAGAAGATAATATCTGCACAGAGTTCCGTCGTAGGGTGGAGTGGCAGCAAAAGCCATCTCCGGACACAGGTTGTAGTTTCCGCTCTTGTATTCGTAAGAGTATCTGGAAGGAATGCCCGGCTCGCAGGCAACTCTGTCACCGACCTTCAGAGTCTTGACTTCAGAGCCAACCTCCACAATGACACCGGACGATTCATGTCCCAGCACCATTGGTTTTTCCACGATGAAAGAGCCAACGCGGCCGTGTTGGTAGTAGTGAACATCGGATCCACAAAGTCCAGTATACTTTATGGCGATCTTGACGTAGTGAGGATCCTTGATCTGAGGAATTGGTCTATCCTCGATGACGATTTCGCCGACTTTCGTAAGAACAGCTGATGGATTATTCATGGTCAAAGTTTGGAAAAAAAAAGTAGGAAGAGATATATTTCGAAGATGGCAGAATTATGGGGTAAATAGTTAGGAAATAAAGCGGAATGCTTGGGCAAAACAATGGGTGCCCTAATAAAATATAGTTTTGGCTACAGCGAACATTTACTGGCTAAGAAGATGGGCCAACTGGACTACGTAGATGAATACCAATTACAAGTCTATTAATCACAATAGCTTTGGGTGATCTTGTCATGGTACTCCATAGATTTATCCGGAACACCGTGTTTTGAGCTCAGTCTTTATAATAGAAGCCTCTGAAGAAGTCCATGGTTTGAGTGAAAACGACCAGCAAAATTCCTCCCCCAGGACCCAATCTGAGAACTTTTGGCAAAAATCCCTTGTACAAAGCACTGAAACCCTCTTCTTTCATGACCAAAGCCAGCGATGGAAGAGTCCAATTGTACTTTCTGACCACGCCTTCAACAATTGGGGTGTTCTGGATTCTCGACTTGACAACATCAAACGGAGTGTTCAACAGCGTACCCACAGTTCCACCAATGGCTCCGGAAATCAGGTCGTTTGTTGTCTGCTGGGTAGGATTCTTGGCCTCTGGTAGAAGAGACCTGACTTGGAAAATGACACCGAAATAACCAGCATTCCAGACAATGTGTCTCCACATGGTAGCTTCTAATCCGTTGTAGAGAGCCAAAACACCTTCTTTCTTAATGATTTGTCTCACCACATCACCCATACCGTTGTACTTCGAAGTCTTGTCCTGCAATCTGATTTTCACCAGCTCGAATGGAACCACAACAAACGACTCAGTCGCACCAGCAGTGGCACCGGTCAAGATGGCCAAAGGTTGGGTCATCTGGCTCACACCAAAAGCACGCTTGTAAACCTTACCCCATTCGTCGTTGGCGGCAAACTTGGTGGCCCGCTTTGGGGCTTCCATCAAAATTGGGGCAGTGATACCACGATAAAGTCTCGAAGGTCCTTCGTTCTTGACGATTTTCGTCAGACAGTCGATAATACCAGTATATTCTCCTTTACCGCCAGTGCCGACCTGAAGCTGGATTCTGGTCTTGACCACATCCAGTGGGTACATGACCAGAATCTCAGAGACACCAGCAATGGCACCGGCAAGAAATTGATAGACAAATGGCAATGGCCGTTGATCAGACATATTTTAAAATTTGAGGAGTCACCAGAAATTCGTTTAATAGTTTATAGGTGAAAAATTAAGTCGGCTAACCGCAAGGACCTAAAATGCGCGAATCGTGGCTTCATACTTTCGCGTCCTATTTATGCATTCGATAGCTGTGGGTGGATGAGGGGTAGCTTGTCATCGCTGTTGTAAATCTCGCGTAGTGTTGCGAAGCACTGTCGGCTATCCTTATCCTCCCCGTAATCCGGGTAACGGCTTTCTCGATTTTTCCTCCTATTTGCGCCTTTATAATTTTGATGACCAAATAAATTAATTTAGATAGGCAAATTATTTCTTAGACTTCAAAATGTTTGCTCGCAATTTATTGAGACAAGGTGTTAGGTCCAGAGTGGCTCTTGCCAACGTGTCAAGCAGAAGATTGTATCATCCAAAGGTGATCGACCATTATCAGAACCCAAGAAATGTGGGAACGATGGATAAAAACCTTACTAATGTCGGAACCGGGCTCGTCGGTGCTCCGGCCTGCGGAGATGTGATGAGATTGCAGATCAAAGTCAACGACGAGACAGGAGTCATTGAAGATGTCAAGTTCAAGACGTTCGGTTGCGGTTCCGCCATCGCCTCCTCGTCCTTTGCCACAGAACTGGTGAAGGGCATGACTCTTGAAGAGGCTGCGAATATCAAGAACACAATGATTGCAAAGGAGCTCTCTCTTCCTCCAGTGAAGCTGCATTGTTCCATGCTGGCGGAGGATGCAATCAAGAGCGCAATTAAAGATTACAAGGCCAAGAGAGGCAACCGCAAACCAACTATGTAGTATTCGTCGATCCATTCGTTATATGTATCAACTCAAGATTCTAATTTTTGCTCCGCCAAACTCAAAATACCAATCCCGTCAACGTAGTCGTCCCAGTGAGTGGCGTTTCCAAGCCTTTCAACATCATCCCAGTGGAAGTTATCGGAGAGCCACTTACTGTAGTCTTCCCTAACGGAGCCGGACTCTGTGGCAAACGACCAAAGCGATTTGAAACAGCCGCCCAAAGCGCATGCGTCACTCAGGTCGATCTTATAGTTTCCATCTTCGGGTCCTAGAATGTCGCAATACTTGGAAACAATTGATCTATTTTTTGAGGAACCGCCAACATAAAAGACCTTGCTAGGGCGACAAAGCAGAGCGTTGGTCGAGTGTATGGTACCACCAGACTGAATCTGGCCGTACTTTTCTAGCTTTGGCAAAACGCCATGTTTGTCCTCTAACTTGTGAGATGACGTTGAAGCAAGCAGCGGTCCCATTCTGAGTCTGCATGACAAAGCCTGGGACTCGATGATGCTGTTCACGTCCTCTTCCAAAGACCAGGACTCCACTTCCAATAACTCCTTCTTTGCTGGATCAAATCTGAACCGGCGTTCACACGGCTTGGCGTTGGGAATGATCTCTCCTAAGGGAAAGTAGATTCCTAGCTCATACTTTCCGTTCAACGGAACAGATCTGTCTAGGAGAGAGTTGAACTTGTCCCAAGAGTTTTCGGGCTGGTGATATTTTTCGTTAATTTTGTCTCTCACGTTCTCTCTGGCTAACGCACCGTTACAGTAGCAAAGCATACCCATGTAGTGGCCTTTAAGAGTAGGATGCTTGAACATGTGGTAATTCTCAGAAGGTTTGTAAGCATTGGTGACAAGAAGAGCTGTGGTGGAGGTTCCCATGGAGATCAGAGTGTCGTTTGGTCCGAGAGGCAAAGCAAGGATGGTTGCTAGGTTATCTCCGGTGAAGGAGTAAACTTTGCAAGAGCTTGAAAAGCCGTACTTGTCTACGAAGTAGGAACCAATGCTGCCGATGCTTTTGTAGCCAATAGGTTCCAGAGGACCTAGCTTCTGCCTCAGCTCCTCAACGCCTTTCTTCGTTTCCGACTCAGAGCATTTGTCTATCTTTGGATGAACTCCGGCCGCGACAGCCAGCAATCCTTCGTCGTACTCTCCTTTTGCGATATCGTACAAATTCATGCCGCATCCATCGCTTTCTTCAATGTTGGTCAGTTTGCCGCAAAGCAAGGAACTTAAGAAACTTGAAATGAGCGAAATCCGGTACGTCTCATGGTAGGTTTGCGGGTCGACTCTTGTTGCAAGTTTTCTGATTTGGGTTCCCGTGAATCGGTAGTGAGCCCTGGAACCTGTGATCTGTGCCAGCTGGTGACACCCTCCAGCTGCATCTTCGAAAATTTTGAGTTCCGGACCGGTAGAATGATCCTGCCAATTTGGAGACGTCTGAAAAGTGAACGCTTCAGGACAGAGCTGGTCTTTCAGTGTTTTTTCAGCCGACAAAGATTCAAGCAGTTCTGGTGCACGTTTCGACCAGTAAACAGAACCGTGCTGCTGACACGAGCCGCTCATAGCTCGCACATCCTCGAACGGGAAGTTGTCTTTTTTCATCTTGTCGAAGCACAGCTCCAAAGCCTCGACCCACATCTCAACTGGGGCATATATCTCACCCGCGCTCTCATTCGTGAGAACACCTTTCCGGATGCCGTACTTTGGGAGCTCCTCGTCAAAGTCCACCCTGTATGTTTGGTGATGTTTTAAGTCCGAGTAGATTGAAATCACTTTCAACTGTTGAGTTGACAAATCGAAACCAAGAAACAGCGACATGTCTAATAGGAAACGTCGACTTTTTCAGGCGCAAGCCAGGTGATTGGGTGTTTTCTGTAAAAGGAGTAAGGAGGAAGAACAATCACCAAAGTAGACACGATGGTCACTAAAAACACGTATATTGTAAGCGAGAGGGTTTGTGTTAAGAAACCAATTATTAAGCTCAAGATTGTTCCTGTTGTAAGCAATGTCAGGTATATTTTCTCAGCTAGCTTCTGGCCTTCGAAATCTATGGTCGCCTCAATGTAAGGCTGTAAAGAATCCATTTAGAGGAAAATTTGGAGGGGGACCAGATTGCCTAAAAATCAGACCGACTTTTTCCGGGAACGGACGCGACGATCGACCATACGAACCTAAATGGAGTAGCAATTCAAAGTACATGACTCAGGCCCTGGTGTTGGTAGCCCGACTTTATACGACAAAGGTCATCAAGCTACCAGTCATCTGTGCTACCGGCTCTCAAGACCGTCACCAACCCCGACCGCGAAGCCAGCTGCTACTCAGAACCAAGGCCAAACTTCGCTGGTATTGTAGATTTCCAATGATCCATCATACGGTTCATCTAGCAACTAAAACGCAGAGACTTACCGTGATTAGTACCTAAATAAGCTCCCCTGCAGTTGTGCATTATGAAAGGCTGAAAATCTTAGATATATGGAAAACGAAAAAATGATATATATAAGAAGAAATCGCGCAAGCTAAATCAACAGTCTAAATATCAGGTATGTCCACTATCGATTCAGGGAATATACGATCGAGTGTGTCGCCGAACTCGCTGGAGGAACTCAGCAACCCGCTCCCTGTTTATGAGAATAAAGAGCAGGACCAAGGAGAGCCAGATGACCGCTTGCATCTGACCAAGGAACTGACCAGAACACTGACGCTTCCCCCGCTCGCCGATGATGACCCCTTCTTTGACCGATTTTCCAAGCGTAAAAAGGCGCTTTTCGTGGGAATCGTTAGTTTTACGTGCTTTTTGTCTCCAATCTCTAATCTTGCGTTTACTCCAGCTATTCCTGAAGTCGCCGAAGCCATGAATACCACGTCGCAAATGATCAACGTCTCGAACGCAGTCTACAACGTCTTCATGGCAATCTCGCCAATGATGCTTTCTCCGCTGGCGTCGCTCTACGGCAAAAAGCCGATCATGATTCTCAGCTCACTTGGCTACACTATCAGCTCGATTCTCACGGCTGAGTCACAAAATTTAGCTATGTTTTTTGTCTTCAGAGCGATGAATGCATTTTTCGGAACATGCTGCTTCAGTGTTGGTGGCTCTATCATCGGCGATATCAAGGTCCCAAAAGAGCGTGGCAGAGCCATGAGCTGGGTCTTGATGGGGACACAACTGGGTCCTGCTTTTGGCCCGGTGTTAGGTGGTATAATAATCACCTACACGCACTGGAGAGTTATCTTCTATGTCGTTACTGGACTGGGAGTGATTAATCTGCTCATGATCATCTTCTTTCTCAAGGAGACTAGCAGAATGGTGATTTCCAAAGAGATAGCCAAGAGAACAGGGAAACGGTTTGTTTTCGTCAAGTACAATCCCCTTAGAGTTATTCTCGCTTTCCAGTACCTCAACCTGATCATCGCGGGAGTGATCAGCTCCTCGATCATGTACAACATGTTTGGCCTGCTCACTCCTATAAGGCATGTGATTAACCCAAGATTCAATCTCAATAGTCCTGTGCTTGGATCGCTGTTTTACCTGGCCCCCGGAACCGGACTTATGCTTGGAGGACCAATTGGGGGCAGGTTTGCCGATTTCACGGTCAAGCGTTGGATTAAAAAGCGTGGTGGTGAGAGAATTCCTGAAGACCGTCTGAGAAGTGCCACTTACTCTCTCGGATTTGTAATGCCTGTCTTTATGATCATTTACGGCTGGTCGCTGCAGAAAAAGGTAGGAGGCATGGCATTGCCAATTGTGTCGATGTTTTTCTACGCCGTTGGACAGACAATTGCTTTCCCGTCCATCAACTCGTACTGCGTGGACTGCCTGCCCTCTCTAAAAGGTGACGCCATCGCATCAAACTATTTTGCAAGATACATTTTGGGAGGATGTGTTGCGTCTGCTACCTGTCTGGTCCAAATAGACAACATTGGAATCGGCTGGACCGCCACTATCAGTGCATTTGTCTCCTGGATCGGGTTTCTGGCCAACGAGATTATGATCAGATACGGTGCCTCCCTGCGTCTTAGGGCCCTAGCCAAAATCGAGGCTAAGAAAAAGGACAAAAAAACTCGAGAAAATTAAAAATATCGATTTGCAAATTAAATCAGCCTATTCACGGCTGTGCAAATAGAATTGTGTGGGGTCATTACCATTGCTCACATGTGATATTTCTGTGGGGTAGAGCATGTGATGTGGACCCTACTATATAGACCTTAATATTCCCTCAAATTTAAGCAATGGACTCTACTATGCCAGGAGTGAAAGAGCCCAATCCGGCAGATCTGATCTGGTCGGAGCGGCTCAAGACCACGTTCGATATAAATAAAATGCATGAGTTCATCGAGGGCTCCGAGTCGGAAGCCCTCGAGACTCTACGTCTGATGCAACAGCTGGAACGTGACCCGGTGCTAAACACTGGGGCGGCCTACTACCAGCTATCAAAGGACGAGCATCGTGAGATCACCGCGCGCAAAATCGCTCGCATGGCCCAGTACATGGAAATCGATGCTCCCAACTACTCGCGCTTCCAGAACAGGCTGAATCTGATTGCTGTTGTCGATCCTCAGCTTGGAACACGGATCGGAGTTCATCTGGGACTTTTCTTGGGAGCAGTGCGCGGCAACGGGACCGAGGAGCAGTTCAACTATTGGGCTAAAGAACGGGGCGCCTTGAGCATAAACGGGGTGTACGGGTGTTTTGCCATGACAGAGCTGGCGCATGGATCCAATGTTGCTGCCCTCGAGACCACTGCCACGTATAACAAGCAGCGGGACACGTTTGAGATCAACACTCCCCACGTGGGTGCGACAAAATGGTGGATTGGGGGCGCTGCCCACTCTGCGACCCACACCGTCTGCTATGCACGGCTGATTGTGGACGGAAAAGATTACGGAGTCAAGACGTTTGTCGTTCCTTTGAGAGACTCGAGACACGTGCTTCACCCGGGTGTTAGTGTCGGCGACATTGGAGCAAAAATGGGACGCGACGGTATTGACAACGGATGGATTCAATTCAGCCATGTGGAGATTCCTCGCAAGTTTATGCTTTCGAAATACACTAGCATCACAAAGGACGGAGAGGTGCTTGATCCTCCGCTAGCCCAACTTGCATACGGAGCTTTACTGGGAGGAAGAGTCACAATGGTGACCGACTCTTTCAGGACCAGCGAGAGGTTTATTACCATTGCATTAAGATACTCTGTTGGGCGGAGACAGTTCACGAAGAAGGGCCAGAACATTGAGAACCAGCTGATCAACTACCCCTTGCACCAGAGACGGCTGCTACCTTATCTCAGCTGGGCATACGGTATGGCGATTGCGTCCCATGCGATCGAGCTGTCCTACAAGCAAACGCTGGAAAAATTAGACGAAGGGGTCGAGTCTGGAGATTTCCAGCAGCTCCAACAGGCAATAGCTGCACTCAAGACATTGTTTGGCGAGTCTGCCTCGCTTAAGTCGACCTGTACATGGACCTGTCTGAATTTGATCGAGGAATGTAGACAGGCGTGCGGCGGCCACGGATACTCGGCATACAGTGGTTTTGCCAAGGGGTATGTGGATCACGCCGTGCAATGTACCTGGGAGGGCGACAACAACATTCTCGCCCAGAACAGTGGACGAATCACCGTGCAGAAAGTGAAGGCGTTCAAAAAATCTGGCAAGGCCTCCGGGGAATACGAGTTTTTGGCCAAGGCATGCGAGACAGGTGAAATTTTGGCAGCAGACACGATCACACATTTGGGAAAACTGGTTTCCGCATTTGACGCTCTGATCTTGAGGCTAAGTCTCGACTGCATCGAGGCGTTGAAGGAAAACAATGATTGGGACTCGATCGCCCCGGAGAAGCTGACCCTATCGAAGCTTTATGCCTGCCGGTTTATCTTGGCAAAGTGGGTTGACAAGATGAACAGCTTGAACGAGGACAATGGCGACATTGTTACCCCTTTGGTGCTGCTTGCTCAGTTGTTCGCATTGTCGAACATTGAGGCGTTTGGCTCGCAATTTTTGCGGTTTGGGATCGTCTCGGCTAGTACGTTCAAGGCAGTGCTAGAGAAGATCGGAGTGCTCTGTCGCGAGATCCGGCCGCTGGTGATTGGTCTCACGGACTCGTTCAAGATGAGCGATTTCTTCATCAACTCGACCTTGGGATCGTACAACGGTGACATATACCACCACTACTACGGGGTGGTGAAAATGCTTAACGAGCCGTCGAAAATCAAAGCCGAGTACTCTGCAGATTTCGAACAAAACCTACATCGAGGCACAGTCGAGGAGCGAGAAAATTTCGAGCGGACGAGCCAGACCTTGCGGAAGTTATAGTATATGTTTGTATGTGCTAAAATCAAAATTTGGATACAACTATGGAGATTGTCAGGTACCGATGCATGGAACTTGCCCGTGGCTTGTTTGCAGTTCCTAATGTGGCATAATTGCAACGCGTAACGTGGAGTTTTATTTTTAGCCCACGCAGATTAAGTCTGTAGATTTCGTCCCGATCCGGAAATTTGGCCATGATTCATGTTTACACTTTTCTACTACGGGCAATTGTTGTTCTCACTTATGCAGGTAATTTAAGTGTACATGGCCATCACCTAGCTAAGAAACCAGCCTCCCAGATTAGTGTTTTTCTAGGGCTAAAATTGGAAATGAGATTTGATTTTCACTGATCATCGGCAGCAATATAAAAGGAACTATTTCTCAATTCCAGTCTCCATCAGAACACACAGCTGAATCAACTATCCATCTTCAATAAATACAGATAATGCAACACAAACTCTCGCTCATCGGTTCCCTTGGTCTGGCCCTCAACGGTATGGCCGCCTACGTCCCTTCCGAGCCATGGAGCACCCTGACTCCTGAGGGCACTTTGGCCGGTACCATCACAGACTACTCGTACACTTTCGGTATTGCTATTAATCCAGTCACTGCCGAGGGAGGCAAGAAGGTCAAGAGAGACGTTGTCACCCAAATCGGGGACGGCCAAATCCAGGCTACCACTGCTACCGCCTCGTCGACCTCTACTGCCGCCGTTGTGACTCAAATTGGAGACGGTCAGATCCAGGCTACCACCAGCACTGCCTCCGCCGCTGCAGTCGTGACTCAGATCGGCGACGGCCAAATCCAAGCCACCACTGCCACTCCATCCACCACCTCCACGGCTGGTGTTGTCACCCAGATCGGTGACGGACAGATCCAGGCTGACACCACCACTTCCTCTGCTGCTGTTGTTACTCAAATTGGCGATGGCCAGATCCAAGCTACCACCTCTCACAACACCGTTTCTGCCGCATCCCAAATCAGTGACGGTCAAGTGCAAGCCTCCAGCACTGCCACCAACTCCGCTGAGGCCGCTGCCCAGAACGATTCTACAAACCCAGTCAACAGCGTTTCTTGTTGGAGCGACAGCGCTCTTTCCATGACTCTGAACGGCACCATCCTGACAGACTCGCACGGAAGAATCGGATCCATTGTTGCTAATAGACAGTTCCAATTTGACGGACCTCCACCACAAGCCGGTGCTATCTACGCTGCTGGCTGGTCCATCACTGACGAGGGAAGATTGGCTATTGGAAACACCACCGAGTTCTACCAATGTCTGTCCGGAAGCTTCTACAACCTGTACGACGAGCACATTGGCTCCCAGTGTGAGAAGGTTTACCTGGACGTTGTCGACTTGGTCAAGTGTTAAGGGTCTTGTAACTTTACTTCTACTTCATCATCGTTTTGCATTTAAGGGTTAGTGTTTACTTTTTGGTTTCGAAAAGGAAAACTGCATTGGTATAAATTAAGCTAAAAAAATCTTATATGAACATTATATTGTGCTACCGTAGTTGAAAAAATCTTTAAAGTAGACTGATTTGTTCTGTCCGTGCAAGGGTGTTTTATGGGCTGAAAATTCTTTTTCTCTTCACCACTCATTCGTCTAGATGCTGGCACTTAGAGCTCATCCTCCCCAAGCGCAAGTGGTCCGCGTCTCGCAAGTGCGGTATAACCGCGTTTTGGCATACCCGTCCTACACCACGAAAGGTTACATCCCGCCATCGAGAGGCGGCAGAAAGCAGACCGTGTTCAAAAAATTGATGGACGAGTTTCTCGGAGACAAGAACTACAAAGGCCAATACTACGACAATAGATTTGCATTCCTCAACCAAAACCACTCCACAAATTACATTGACGCGCGCTTTGGAGAAAACAAGAACAAGCTCTTTGCGGAAGAGTCTGAGGAGGACGAGGCGTACGAAGAGCGTCCGCCTCCTGGACCTAAAGATCAACTGCGTCCATTTTCTTTGAACAGGTTCACAGTCACCAACACTATGGTCAGCGAGGACATGAAGAAACAGCTTGTGAGCGAGGTCCTTGACGAAGGCAAGGCTCTTTTGGAAGTTGCTGTCAAGTACAAGATGAAAATCCAAAGAATTGAGGCACTGGTCAAACTGCACGAGATCGAGAAGCAATATCAGGAAGAGGGGAAAATTACCCCAACCATGGAGAAGTTTGCAGACGTCATGTACAAGGCATTCCCGCTTTTCGACCCCGAGGTTCACGGCGAAAACCTGACAGAGATTCCAATTCCTTCAGAAACTTTGCATTCTCGGTTCGTGACAATTGCCGAGTCTGAGCCATTTGGTCCCGTGGACGCAGCAAAGGAGTTTGGACTGGAGCCTGCTGCGGAGACTCTCAGAAAGATCACGGAAGAGGGGGAGCACGCTTTGTCCAAGACAAACAACGCCAAGGTGCACAAGTCGTTTGTTGCTCCAATGCACGAGGGAGATCGGGTCGCTTACAAGTTCACTGATGTAAAGGTGGGGGAGATCGGCTATAGATACGGAAAGCCATACCGAGACAACCGGAAAGACCGCAAATATGCGTTCGATAATGCGGGAAAGATGTATCCTGTTCTGGAGTAAAACCTTGTTTATATTGTTAAGTCCACATGCTTGGCCTACAAAGCCGTGTATTGCCGTACAGAATGCCAGAAAAAAACTCTGCCCTACCAGCCGCCGTTTCGCGCTTCTTTGGAGGTCCCTGTGACCATTTTTTTTCTCTAGCGTGCGGCTCTATTCTTTAAAGTATTCAAAAATATAAATGCCGTTCAATGTCCTCGGGAAAAAAATATGGATTTCATTACTCAACAGTCCTCCACTGCTCAGCAGGGCAGCAAACACCTCGAGGTGAACTCAGATGTCTATGAGCTCAACTCAGAGCACGACAAGCCCGTCTACACAACCAAGCGTGGCCTGAAGTCCCGCCATGTCCAGTTCATCGCTCTGGCAGGAGCCATTGGTACAGGTATCTTTGTCGGCAGTGGCTCCACACTTGCGACGTGTGGTCCAGCAAGTCTCCTGATCGGCTTCCTCATTCTCGTTCTCTTCGTCTGGTCTATTATGAACCAGCTTGGAGAAATGGTGAGTTTCATTCCTGCTCCAGGAAAATCTACGCTGTACGCACTCTGCGATCGCTACACAGGAAACAAGACCATGTCTTTCACGTGCGGCATGAACTTGGTCTATGCTCTCTGTATCTTGACCCCGGCAGAGATCTCGGCTGCTGCTTTCGTGATTGAGTACTGGTCGGACCTGAACGTGGCAATCTGGATTGCAATCCTGTGGTCCTCCATCGTCGCAATCAACCTGCTGGCCGTCAAGTTCTTTGGAGAAACAGAGTTCTGGATCGCGTCCATCAAGCTGATCACTATTATAGGCCTCATCGTTCTCGGATTCGCTATTTTCTGGGGTGCAGGTCCCGACAGACACGGCATTCTGGGCTTCCACTACTGGAAACACCCGGGAGCGTTTGTTGAGCACCTGGTCCCGGGAAACACAGGAAAGTTTCTTGCATGCTGGACCTCCATCATCAAGTCCGCGTTCGCGTTTGTGCTTTCGCCTGAAATCATCACCTCGGCCGCTGCAGAGGCTGAAGCCCCAAGAAAAAATCTGCCAAAGGCGACCAGCCGCTTCATCTACCGTCTGATGATTTTCTACATCGGAGGTGTGCTCGCCATCGGCATCATTGTGGGCTCCGACGACCCAAGACTCATGAACGCTATCAACAGTGGCAACACGACTGCCGCTGCCTCGCCTTTTGTCATTGGAATTCAGAACGCAGGCATCAAATACCTCAACCACATCGTCAACGCTGCTATTCTCACCTCTGCTTACTCAGCAGGCAACTCATTCCTCTACGCAAGTACCAGAACACTGTATTCTATGTCTCTCACAGGTATCGTGCCAAGATTTTTCTCAAAATGTACTCGCTACGGTGTGCCAATTTACTGTGTGATTTTCTGCTCTGCAATTGCTTTACTTTCTTTCCTCAATGTCTCCAACTCGTCCACGGCTGTGTTCAACTGGCTCTCCAACATCTCAACAGTTTCCGGTTTCATTTCGTGGATATTTGTTTCCATTACCTACCTGCGCTACCGGAAAGCTATTACATACCATCAGCTGGATTCTCGTGTCACATACAGACCAAGATACCAGATTTTTGGTGCTTACGCTTGTCTGATCTTCTTTACGGTTATTGCTCTCACCAACGGATACGCTGTGTTCTTCAACTGGAAGACGTCTGACTTTTTTGCCGCATACATCACTCTTCCTATCGTGGCTGTCATCTACGTCAGCCACATGCTGTGGACCCGCAATTTCCGTCTCTTTGCACCTCCAGAGCATATCGACTGTTTCACGGGCCTGGAGGATACAGAGAAAGAGGCTGCTGTCTACGTGCCTCCAGTTCCTCGGAATTTCATCGAGAGATTCTGGTTCTGGCTCACGTGATTATTTATCATTAGATTCTAGTTTTATTCGATATCAAACACTATTCTGCATTTCTGGTGTCATGTTCTGATGAGTATCTGCGGGGTTCCACAACCCTGGATGCCGTTGGTGCATTGTAAAAGTTTTGTAGCGGTATGTCCACCAAATAGCACACGCAACACATATTGGCAGCTGTCAACGAATTTCCGAGAATAGTCAGTTTGTCCGAGCGGTTAAGGAGAAAGACTTGAAATCTTTTGTGCTATGCACTCACAGGTTCGAATCCTGTAGCTGACGAATTTTTTACCTTTTTATACCAAACCATGTAGCCTACCTGGAGACTCCGTCGGATGCGGATCGCTCCGAGCGGCTTCTTGCTGTTGTTCGCTGATGTGGCAGAAGTTCATCAGCAAACAAAAATTGCGTACCAAAAGACACTCTTTTGTAGATAGGCAGTCAACTTTGCGAAGCAACCGTATCGGTAATTTTCTGGCTAGACTTTTTCTCAAAATTTCTTGAATCATTTTCTCACTAACGACTATTCCGTAACCTAATATCATACTCCAATCAAGAGAGCCAGCGAGCATCACCATTCTAAAGGAGCAATTGTGTTTCCAACATACAGAATATTGAGAGTGTACCACGCCCTCTTCCCTCAACAACGTTTCGTCTCAAACAATAACAAAACACAGATTTTGCTGGCGTAACCCGATCCAGAGCCAGCATGTCCGCACAAAATAAATCCCCCGGGCTACAAATAATAGGCTCAAAAGGTAGCGTAGATCCCCCTATCGCTAACCGAACGGAACTGCTCTCTGTGAAAAGTTCCAGGGGCATGGATTCCCCTAGAATTCTAGAAGAGGGCTCACCAGATACAAAGGTCAGGCCGGGCCTGAGCAGGCCCCCGTCAATTCAGAAGATTACGGATGCAGCCCACAAAGTGGGCGACTACTTCTCTATCTCCATGGCCAACTTACACAGCTCACAGAACACGTCCGAGTCACCCAGTTATTCCAGAACAAGTTCCACCTCGTCTTTGGGAAAGCTTCTCGAAAGTTTTCATCACCACAAGCCAAATGTCACAACCAGAAAGAGCACAAACTCAATAGCCACGAGTCCCTCAAGGGACAGTATAGGTATCCTCGCACGTGCCAGGCGCAGTAGTGCGAAACTGGACGAGTACGACCGCCAGACACACGAGGAAACAGTTCTACCGCTCCCTCACCTACCGAAAGTGAAGGAGACTCATTATGTGCGTGTGGAGTACGATCCGATAACGCACAAGAGAATACTGAACACATACGAGATTCTCAAAGATCTTGGGAGCGGTCAGCATGGCAAAGTGAAACTGGCAAAAGACCTCAACTCTAACGAGCTGGTCGCAATCAAGATTGTGGACCGTGGCTCAAAGCCGAGACTGGGTCGATTGACGCGACCTGGATCGTCCCAGGAGGACAAGATTAGACGGGAAATAGCGATCATGAAGAAGTGCTCGCACCCGCATGTTGTCAAGCTTTTGGAGGTGCTGGACGCAGAAAGCTCAAGAAAAATATACATGGTGCTAGAGTATCTGGAGAAGGGTGAAATTCAGTGGCAGAAGGAAGACGAAGAGACGGGGTTCAAACCAGAGCCGCTGCTTTCCTTATCGGAAGCAAAGAATGTGTTTAGAGACGTTGTCAGCGGGCTTGAATATTTGCATAATCAAGGGATCATCCACAGAGACATCAAGCCGTCCAATTTGCTTGTTTCCAAAGACTACGTCGTCAAGATATCGGATTTTGGAGTTTCTTTTGCAGCAAGCTTGGAAGGAAATGACGAAGTCGAGCTCGCTAAAACTGCCGGCACTCCGGCATTTCTAGCTCCAGAATTGTGCAAGACAGATGGGTCTTGTGATAAAGTGACCTACAAGATAGATATATGGGCCTTGGGAGTCACCTTATACTGTTTATTATTTGGTTGTCTTCCGTTCAACGCAGAGTCTGAGTTTGCATTATTTGACACCATCTGCAACAAGCCACTAACCTATCCGGATACCAATAAATGGAAGTGTTCTCCGCCAATACCGGATTACGATTTGAATCAAGCCAAGGACCTCATCAATAAGCTTCTTCGGAAATCGCCTGAGCATAGAATTGAGATCAGTGATATAAAAGCACATCCTTTTTTTCTCGAAGGGCTGTCCAGGGCCCAATCTAGAAAATACAAGGCCAACTGGAATAGCAAGATGAAGATCGCCGTCAGCAACGAAGAGGTTAATGAGGCGGTGGTTGGCATCGGCAACAGGATTAAGAAGAAACTGTCCGATGTTTTCAGATTAACCGGTCTTTCAGCTCCAAAAACGAAGCATTCGCTCTATGTCCAATCTCTAAAAGGCATGATGAGCCCCTGTGACTCGGAGTCGTCTACAGGCTCCCCCACCAACGGCGAGCATTCTTATTTGCTGTCTGAAGCGCTCAGCACAAGCGGGTGGTCGAAGAGTTCCAGTCTTCCTTCGTCTCCATCGGCCCAAAGCGCCACACCTCCAAGACTAGTCACCCGTCGGAGCGAGTTGATGCCTGGAAACCGTGAGTCTCTGGCTCTTTCCATTGACTCGAACACAACAGACTCGTCGTTGTTGTCCAAAGCAGTCGAGACCAAACACAATGCGGACGCAGACTCGCTCATTGCCCCACGCCAAAGGGGCTCGTCCGCACTAAGTCAACTTTCCGAGATTATTAGAACGACGAGCAACCCGGACTCCTCAAACATGCCTATCTCAGAGAGCGAAATGACCATCACCACAGATACAAGTGACCGTGAGCTGATCGATCCGTCTGACAGAGTGGATGACAAATCAGATCACGAAAACACTGCAGAGGAGGAAGACTCATCAAACAGGGCCTCGCTGCCAGTGGTCCCAAGCTTTGCATCGCTGGACAGTTTCTACGAAAACTCGTCCAATCCAAACTCCTCGTCGTTCGAAACCTCCGTTTACACAGGAATACCATCACAGAGATTGCCAACTAACTTAGGAACGCAACATGGCTCAGTGAGCTCTTCTACATCGATGTCCCGTGCTTCCGCTGGAGAGCTTCGTTCTGCTGCTTCGCACACATTGGCAAACGACGTTCCCTTGCACACGATGAACTCTGCAGTGTCCGTGCCAGAACATATCAAATCCGACATGGAATCCATCGCGCCGGCGGTCACTAATGACTACTACAGTACGAGAAACGTGCTTTCGGTGGGAAGATCTGCGAACACTGCCGTCCCACAGCGCCGCAACTCGCGCAAGGTGGTCTTCGATAACGACTCCGAAAATTCTGCTTCTTCTGACGACAACGGGCCTTCTGAGCAGCGCACCATCAAAGTACTGGAAAAACCTCAAGGAACTCAAAAGTCCTCAGCCAGCGTCGCACGAAATCCTCTGTACGGCAAGAAGTTAGTGATTGCGCCTGTTTCTCACGACTCTGAAAGCGGGTCAGACTCCGAAGACTCCGACGACTCAGCAGAGCTGACGCTGTCGTTCGGAATGAATCGTTCCCGTCCCCCACTTGTTGCGCGTCCGTCGCTCCCGCGCGCTACTAGCCACGCCACCTCAATTATCCAGGATAGCATACACGACGTCCCGGTGAACCTAATATCACCAGACTACCAGACGGAGGCCAATAAATTAATTCCCGGGATAGGAGATACCGAAATGAGCGGCAAGTAGTCTCCTGCGCTACTTTAGTTCTGAGTACTATGTACTGCATCGATTTTATTGCGCTATTTCTCTATTCGCTGTAGAATATTGAGGCTGGTTTCGGTGAGTGCGTTTTTTAAGATATCATCCGCTGCAAATTCGTTCCCGCATAGACTAGCCAGCTGCGTGGTCACCCTTACCGGCCCGGAAAATGAGAGCAGCTCGTCCACGTTAAACTTCGCATCTAGCTTGTACAGATCTGATTTGGTGATGGTGATCACGACGTCGTTGCCCTTTTGCTGGAACTGGTAATATAGCTGGAGAATACAAAGCTCTCTGACCAGCTCTTTGAACTGTTTATAAGATTGCTGCACTTGAACAAAGTAATCTCTCAAGCAAACACCCTTTACAGACTGCAAACTGGCAGCGAATCTGGAGTACAAATCCCTAAACTGCATGTTGGTTGGAGAAATCGTCAGTGTCCTGGCGCCAGTGGAAAGGTCAACACTGATCCCAAGCTCTTTCATGATCTGCACCTTGAACTCTTTTTCGTTCAGCACAAGAAGCTCCACCTGTGTGGTTCTTTGGAGGTCAACGAACTGCCGTTGCAAGAGGTCTAGCTCATTTTGGGATGGGAGTTTGAGTTCCATAACACGTTTCTTCAGCCGCTTGTCTTCTTCGTGTGCTTCTAATAGTTCGGTGGAGACGCGTTTAAACATATCTTCCTCTTCGGCAATCTCCTTCTGAAGCTTCGCCTTGGACTCTCCAAGACGTGCATTTCGTTCTTGTGCAGCTTCCACTCGGCTTTTCAACTGTTCTAGCTTGTCAAGGTCAACATTCGCGAAATTCTTCTGCCTGTCTTGCAGTAAAGCCAGTGTCTTCGTGAGATCTGCTTTCCTCTTTACACAATTTTGGTATTCGGAAGTGAAAGCTGCCCGAATTTCCTCCATGTCTGCAACCTGAGAGTTCACTGAAGCTTTGCGGTTCTCGTACGATTTGAGCAGTCCTTCCAAGGAGTTTGTCATAAACACCAGGTTGCCATGTTCAGCAATAGTTCGCGCCAGACTTGCCAGCGCTTGGTAGTTGACCTTCAAATCCTTTTGAACCTCATCTGTGCTCTCGTAAAACTCTCTGACGGAAGTTGGGTTGTTGTTGATGATTGCCTCACTGAAATCATCGATGCTCCTTTGCGAGCGATCAATACCCGACTTGCGCTGAGCAATTAGATGATAGAAGTAATCAAAGTTGGGGAACTCTGTCACGGCATCCACATATTTATGAAGAGCCTGAGATCCCGATCCCTCACTGGCCACAGTCAATTCGCGCTCGGAAGGTCCAATGTTGTCATAAAATTGAACCTGAACCTGATTGAGGAACTGTGGAAGAGTCACATGAACATAGTCGTCATCCTCATCTTCAAAATTGGGTTCCTCATTTTCTGAATCCATAGTCACCTCGGCTAATGGAACTTTCTCTGCAATGATAATGGACTCCTCAAAAGCACTCATGTCTGCACTTGCATTCTGTTCTTTAAACTCGTCATCTTTCTGCTCACCTTGCCCCTCCTCCTTCTGACAGGCGTCCACCTCATCTTGTTGTTCTTCTGCTCTCTTCAGGTTCTGGATGATGTCTTTCGGCTTTGTAAGCTCTCCCAAATCAAGCACCGACTCTTTGGAAGCGCTCTGTGGAGAACCAAACTCATCAGTGCGGATCTTTTGAGCTCTGGCACTTGAATTAGGAGTAGAGATATGCGATTTATCAGAACGTGGCGGAGTTTTCAGGCTAGAGGAAGATAGATCTCGTGCAACGGCTCGCACTGGCTGAGTGAGCTCCATAGGCTCCTGCGAGTCGGCAACAGATTTATTTATTTGCGTCATTTCCATCGTTTCCTCTGTGTCTATAGGTTCTCCATGATCGTGACGGATGGCTTGCGTGATTTCCATTGAATCCTCCGGCTCCTGCTGCGAAAGCCCTGTATTTTCATCGGCACTGTTTTCTAGGCGAACTGGCTGTGTAAAGTCCATTGGTTGCGAGACTTCTAATTCGAGCACAGACTCGGTGTTTAGTGCTTCCGGTCTCTTGACAGGCTGAGTGAGTTCCATCGTGTCCTCTTCATCTATCTGATTGAATGTAGCCTCCAAATTCGGGGCATCAGCAGGCTCGAACGTCTCTGGTTCTGAATCGTAGTTTCTGCGAACAAGGTCACGCACCTCAGCATTCAACTCTTCTGACATCTCCATCGGCTGACTCAAGTTATCCTCTTCAATCAAACCAGGTGAGAATTTGACCTTATCAACAACTTGTGAACAGTCTTCGTTCTCGTCTGCACTCGGTGAATTGTCATTGCGCTCAAAGAATGATATTCTTTTCTGAGAGTATGAGGGAGTTATCTGCAGCGAGTCACGTCTGCGTGGATGAAATCCAACGCTATGTTGGTTCTCGTCCGTCTCATGGGTCCGGTGGATGATGCTGCGAACATCGACGTCTGTGGCAAACGAAACCCGCCTCTTCTTTGATTTATTTTTGGGTATTATAGCGATCGTATGGTTCTGATCCGCTGAAGCTTTCAGAATGCTTCTGGGAGGCACAGGCAACAACGTGTGTCTTCTGTTTGGCTTTCGCACTTTGTAAGGGAATTTTTGAGGAGCAACATTCTCTTTCTCGGGAGCGAACTCTGAAGAAGACATGTCCAGATTATTTTATCTTGTTTGTTTATCTTTTTTGATTTGATTTCGCGTAACTATTTATACACACCTCGCACCGACTAGACATGCTCGAGCTTGAACTGCCAGGTACCTGAGATGGAGTCGTAACCCACAAACTCCGTGTTTGGAATCATTTGCAGCCTTCTGATATGCTTCTTCACAACGGCGTGATGTGGATCGGTGATTGGCTTTTTGGTGTCCTTGGACAGCGGGAAGCATCCTTCGAGAGACACTGTTGCTGGGATGTTGAAACCTTCACCAACGGGCGGTCTGCTATTAAGATCGGGGTAGATAATACAGGACTGCTTATCGAACACAATAATCTCTGGAATTTTCTGCAAGAGAATTGAAGTGAGATCCACAGGTTGGAGAAACTCGATCTTTCCGTAGCCGGTGCGGCCCACCTTGAAATTTGGCACAGATTTGAGCTGTGTAGCAGACATTTTCTGCAGCTCTTCCAACGAAGGAGAGATCCAATAGCCCTCAGGCCACTCCTCATTCGTTGAAGTCGATTCAGACACGGCTTTCGGGGTGCTCGAGATTCCTGCTGGGTGCTCCTGGCCGTTTCCGTTCTCGAGCACGGTCTTGCTAGGAGACACGTATGGTTTTGGGGTCAGGCTGCTCATCGGGGCCTTCATGGTGATCTGACGACGAGGAGTGACCAGATTGCTTGTCTTGAGGCCTTCAAACTCGTCTTCTTGCTTCGTTTTGTCAATGATCAGCTTGGTGACATTTCTGGACGGAGCAAAAATGTAGCTAGACAAAATGGCGTCATCGGTAGTAGGCGAAAGAATTTTTTCGGACTTGGAGCCGTTGACAGAGTCTTTGGAGTCCTCGATCAGAGTCTGTGTGGCCGATCTGCTGGAGCCGTTCGAGCCAGCGGTGGATGGAGATGAAACAGCCACAATGCTGCCTGGCTTCGTGACCAGAAGATCGTTAGGTGAAAACAGAGGTTTCGGGTTCAGTTTGTAGGCAGAGGTCAACATTGGCTTTTTCTTGGTCACCTGCTTCACCGGAATAGCCTGAGGAACTGGAGGTTGTTGCACAATAGGATTTGTATTAGCTCCCACAGACGAAAACAGGGGATTTGTTCCATATGGGTCCAGATTAGCCAGAGGCTGTTGCTGTTGCTGTTGCTGCTGTTGCTGTTGCTGCTGGCCTTGTCCAAATGCGATCCCGCTCGATTGCTGGTTGTTGTTGCCAAAAAGGCCGCCAGAAGCTGTTCCAGCAGGCTTGTTACCAAATAGTCCTCCTGAAGTGGTCGATGCGGACGGTTGATTGTTGTTTCCGAAGAGTCCTCCAGACGTTGCTGGTTTGTTTCCAAAGAGTCCTCCAGAGGTTGTCGATTGGTTGTTGTTGCCAAATAGACCACCCGACGTTGTTCCTGCCGGCTTGTTTCCAAACAAACTGTTGGTGTTATTATTGTTTGCGCCGAAGCCAGGAGTGCCAGTGGTGGATGCTGGCTTATTGCCAAATAAGGAGCCGGCTGCGGTGTTTGTCGAACCGAATCCGGTTCCACTGGAGGCAGGCTTGTTGCCAAACAGAGTCCCCGACGATGCATTGTTGTTATTGTTTGCGCCGAATCCAAAGCCGCCTCCAGTTGTCGTGTTGGCTGTGTTGTTGTTTCCAAAGAGGCCTCCGGCAGGAGTGGTTGATGGTTTATTGCCGAAAAGTGATCCACTCTGGTTAGTGTTATTGCCAAATAGTGGTGCCGATGTATTGTTGTTGGCAGAAGCGTTATTTCCAAAGAGTGATCCGTTCTGAGCGGTGTTGTTTGAGCCAAAGCCAAAACCAGTACCTGCAGGCTTGCTAGACTGGCCAAAGAGGCCTCCCGACTGGTTATTGTTGTTGCCAAACAGTCCACCGGATTGCTGGTTGTTATTGTTGTTTCCAAACAGGCTACCAGAGGTGTTACCGGTCGAGCCAAACCCTCCAGACGTGTTTCCAGACGAGCCAAATCCGCCAAAAGCAGGCTTGTTGGCAGTGTTATTTGCACCAAACAGGTTGCCCGTGTTCGTTCCCGTGCTACCAAAGGCGCTTGTCTGGTTGCTGTTGTTGCCAAATATGCCACCGCCAGTCTGTGTGTTGGAGCCAAAGGCAGGTGTCGTGCTCTGCTGTCCAAAGGGAGAGCTGGTCTGGTTATTGTTGTTCCCAAAAAGGGTGCCAGTGTTGTTGTTCTGTTGTCCAAAGGGCGAGCTCGAGGACGCTCCAAATGTAGACGACTGCTGCTGCTGGCCGAACGGCGAGTTGTTCGTCTGTCCGAAAGGAGCAGCGGACGAGCCGAATGCAGAATTGGTGTTTGCGCCAAAGGCAGAGGAGTTGTTGTTGGTCGACCCGAAGAGGCCGCCTGTAGACGGCTTGTTGGCACCAAAAAGGTTTCCACCCGTGTTATTGTTGGACTGTCCAAATAGGCCGCCAGAGGTAGTATTGTTGGACTGGCCAAACAGGCCCCCGGTGTTGGACGCGGTTCCAAAGCCACTGGTGGTACTGGAGCCGAAACCAGTTCCTGTGCCAAAACTTCCCGTCCCAGCTGATCCAGCATTGTTGCCGTAGCGTCTGCCATCGATGTAATCCTGAACTCTGAGCTCCTCGACGGAAAACTTGGAGTACTCAGGCATGGCGGTGATCGTCTCATAGTATTGCGTTCCGTTTGTTGGATCCTTTTCGGTTACCGCCTTGAACGGAGTCACAGATGTGCCTCTGTTTTGGGTGTTGGTAGCTCCCAAGGCCGATCCAAAGCGAGGTGCATTGGATTGTTGGCCAAACGGAGACGTCGTAGCTGTAGACCCAAAAGCAGAGCCAGTATTGTTCGATGCTCCAAAAAGACTGTTTGACGTGGTCCCAGTGGAGCCAGTGTTGCCAAAGGCTGATTGGCCAAACGGCGAGGATGAGCTGTTGAACGATGATCCTGTTCCAAACAAGCCGGTGTTCGAGGAAGTGCCATTGGCAGGAGCAGCGGTATTGGTGTTGGAGCCAAATGTGCCTAGCCCAGAGGAGGTGTTGGCAGGGGCCCCAAACAAGCTTCCCGTGTTTGTGTTTGTGTTCGACCCAAACGGAGACGAGGTATTATTGTTTACAGTGTTTGTTCCGAACGGAGACGAATTGTTGTTGTTCCAAGTGCTGTTGGAACCAAACCCTCCAAACCCGCTGGTGGTGGATGCCGAGTTGCCAAACATTATTAATCAGGGAACTTGTATTAGCAATGGGATCCAGCAGGGATGATAAATTAAACCAAACTGGTTTCTGCAAAATTTGCTTTCGAAACGAGAACGACAGCGTCGCGTCGAAAATAAATTGAGCTTGGAATAAATTATTTCAGCTATCGACGCGTACAAATTAAAAGGACATGGGAATCAAAGGGCTCAACGCTCTTGTGGCCGAGAACGCGCCACGGGCCATCAGGTCGAGCGAGATGAAGTCTCTGTTTGGGCGCAAGATCGCCATTGACGCGTCGATGTGTCTGTATCAGTTCCTGATTGCTGTGCGACAGCAAGACGGTAACCAGCTGACAAATGAAGCAGGAGGCACCACGTCGCATCTCATGGGGTTTTTCTATAGAACCATCCGGATGGTTGGTAACGGAATCAAGCCGTGCTATGTGTTTGATGGCAAACCGCCTGTCTTGAAAGGAGGAGAGTTGGAGAAAAGACTCAAGAGAAGAGAAGAGGCCGAACAGAAAGCTCTGGAGCTGAAAGAAACGGGAACAGTGGAGGAATTGCAAAGATTCGAGAAAAGACAGGTCAAGGTGACCCGTGAGCAAAACGAACAAGCGCAGCATCTGCTCAGGCTCATGGGTATACCGTACGTGATCGCGCCGTGCGAGGCCGAAGCACAGTGTGCGGAACTTGCTCGTAAGGGGAAAGTTTACGCTGCCGCGTCTGAGGACATGGACACGCTGTGTTACCAGCCGCCATTTTTTTTGAGAAACGTCACCGCTGCAGAATCGAAAAAGCTCAAGGTCGATGAGTTCACCACTAGCGCGGTCCTGGAAGGCTTCGGGATGGATATCAACACCTTTGTTGACCTATGTATTCTTCTTGGGTGCGACTATTGTGAAACCATAAAGGGCATTGGCCCAGTCACAGCTTTCAAATTGATCAAGGAGCATGGGTCCATTGAAAAAATCATAGAACATATCGAAAATGATCCCAAGTGTAAATACAAGGTTCCTGAAAATTGGCCATATAATGAAGCCAGAGAGCTGTTCTTGAACCCAGAAGTGCTGAATGGAGACGACATTGATCTGAAGTGGGTGGACCCTGATCTAGACGGCTTGATCGAGTTCATGGTGAAGGAAAATGGATTTAACGAACAGCGGATCAGAGACGGCGTGGAAAAGCTCAAGAAGGGGCTCAAGGGAGGCGTGCAAGGCAGATTGGACGGTTTTTTCAAGGTCAGTGTGAAGGCAGAAACAAAGAAGCGTACGGAGACCCAGGACACCAAGAAAAATAAGCGTGCAAAGAAGAAATGACTGAACAAACCTGTATAAACTGGTCTACCGCGCAGGCGGCACAACAAATTTAACTTCTAATGATAATCACTCTGGAATGATGTCCAACTCTTTCGTAGGATCCACCTCTTCGCCTCGAAATCCACCGGAACCTAAAAGACCCGAGATAATAGAGCCCGTTTCGGAGATCGCATTTGTCAGCGCAGACTCAGAGGACTCCTTGATTGCCATTGTTTTGCCTACAAACTTCTTCATGCTCGTGTCCATTCCGGAGAAATACCTTGCAACCTCGACAACTGGCCACGGGACAGCACGGAAAATGGGCAGGAAGTTGCCATAGAAGGGAAGCTTGATCTCACCTCGTTTTCCTAGCTCTATAGCGCTGAAAATGGCTTTAGACACATCCTGGGGCTCTAGTTCTGGCGCTAATAGGGTGTGTGGCGTTCTAACACCTTCAAACATTCTGGTCTTCAGCTGGCCAGGACAGATGAGCAATGTCTTGACACCGGTTGTGTTAAACGAGGGAGGACCCAATTCATAAGTAAGCGACTCGTGCAAAGCAATGAGACCGGACTTGGTCGCGCCGTAAACACTAAGACGCGCAGGCGACATGTATCCCAAGGTGGATGCCACTGTGACGATGTATCCTCTCTTCACCTTGAGCATTGACGGAAGGAACGCTTTAATGGTGTAAAAGCTGGACAGCAGATTGACCTCTATTGTCTTTTCGATTTCTTCAAAACTGAGATCAAGGACTGTTTTGCCAGTGGTGATACCAGCATTATTGATCAGGATGGTAATTGTTCCCACTTCTTCAGCCACCTGTGCACTTTTCAGCAGCACGTCTTTGCGGTCGCTAACATCGCACACGTAATAATGGACACCAGGGACCCTGTCTTCTGGTTCTGGGAAGTTGACATCAAATACCACGACGGGGGCATGGGCCCTGGTGAACACCAGCACGAGCTCTTTTCCCAAACCACCGCAGCCCCCAGTGACCAGCACAATGTCACGATACGGATCGAAGGTGGCCCCAATAAGCAGCTCACTGAGTTCTCTGAGCCGCCTGTTGAGTCTGTATAAAAGAGAAGTTAGAGGACCTGTCATCTGGGATAATAAAAAAAGGGGAACAAGGGATTTATTTTTCTTGCAGATCGAATACAAACTAAATAAATTTCAATATCTAGAAATAATATCTAAAAGATTGTTTAATTTACAATGTCATCGGGGCCGCAAATTTTGCGAATCAAGCGGAAGAGGACGGAAGACCCGTTGCAGGCACTTCTAGTGGAGAACCGTGGCTCGAAGCGGTCGAAGCCGGCGAACTACGTGTTCAAATTGACCAGAACAGATGAGACCAATAACGACGTTGACGGGTCCAAAATTTTGGAGCGAGACGAATCGACGACCGGCAGGAAAGTGTTCAGCATTCCAAAGAAAGATGACGAGGTCGACCCCCAGCTGATGGAGATGTTACAGGACTATCTCCGAACCAGCGACGTCAAGGAGGAACACCATAAGCCTCCAAAAAGACGAATGTCGAACGCCTCTGCAGAAGTGGAAAAGCCGCCAGTCCCCGTCCAGGAGGATAACGACTACGTCTACGACGTTTACTATCGGGACAAGGCGGTGACAGAGCAATGGGAGAAGGACAAGATAGGATACATTCAGTTTGACGAAGACGATATGGAGACGATTGACGAGCAGGAGGAAATTGCAGAACAGACCGACGACGAAGACTCGAACGACGAGAACTTCTACCGAAACGACTATCCCGAGGACGAGGACGGAGGATACGAGGACAGCGAGTTTGAGGAGCCGAGCGACGACCAGGACGACGAGTTCGACATCCTGCACGACCGGCGCCGGTTCAGTGTTCAGGATGTGCGGGAGACAGAAGGTCTGACGGAGGAGGAGGTGGAGGAACTGTACAATAGGTTTGACGAGAGCGTGCTAGAGGACTAAACGGGGACGGTTACACCTGGCACCCGGATATATAATTTTAATGAATTTGGGGCATTTTTAGTAAATTATAGGACAAGATGTCGTTGAAGGGGGCCAGGAAGGCCCTGTACAGGGGCCCGCATCAATTGATAGGCAAAAAGAGCGCGGACGACCAGCTGATCAGTAACTGGGAGCACGATCTACAGAGCGCAATTGCCGGGCTTGAGTTCCTGATAGTCCAGGAGCGGAAATGGTGTAGATGTTTAAGCAGCATTCTGGACAATCTGCTGGGCAGCATGGACACATTTGAGAGGTTGCACTCGCCGTTTGACAGAAAGGACAAAAAGGCCGACCAGGAGCTGGTTTCAGACCACAACGAGGAGTTCTCGAACGTGACGGTGAACGAGATCCGGCAGGCGAAGCGGCTGTTCCGGATCATCTACGACCAGGTGACGCAGCGCGTGGAGGTCAGCAAGGACCGGTTTGTGGACCAATGCGAGGAAATGAAGGAGTATATCCGGTCCTCGTTGAAGCTCATCACGAAACGCAACCACAAGAAGATCGACTACGACATGTACCACAACTCTGTGGAGAAGATCTTGAGAACGAGCAATTTCAACGAAAAGGAAAAGGCCAAGCTGGAGACGACGAAGGGCCACATGTACGACACGCGCACGGTGTTTCTTGACCTGGACGCCAAAGTGAAGCTGATGATCCCGCAGGTTTTGGAGACGCTGTCTGAGTTCCTGCACAAGCTGACCATGAAGTTCTACTACCAGTCGCGAGACATTTTCCGTTTTATGACGCGCAACATGGACAAGTTTGTGCAGCTACAGGGCGTGGTTGTCCACGGCCAGGAAACAGAATACACTAATATTTTGAACAACTGGAAAGAGCGGATAGAGCAAGCACAACACAAACTGAACTCGCTGGATTTGCTGAACGACTACAAGTCGTATCAGGAGAAAACGTTTCTGGATAAAACAGAGCAGCAGGTGAACCAGTTCACGGGTCACGTGGTTGGCTCGGCCATGGGGTTCACCAGCTCGCTGTACACGAAAACTCTGAACCCTCGCCAGAAACTGAACTTGCGCACGTTCAACATCGAGAACCCCGTGCGGCCGGCGTCGCGCGACGGCATGTTTGCCACCGCGACAGACCCGCTCTCGTACATCATCAACGAGACGATCGTCGCTGAGGAAGACGCCGACGAGGAGGACACACAGAGCTGGCTGAAACCGCTGTCGTTGGAAAAACGGCCGGACGAGACCCCAGCGGCGTCTCCAAGCACGCTGGAAAGCGCCCCGGTGACGCCGGTGACGCCGTCGACGGCGTTCTCGTCGCCGTTGATCGAACAGGGCTCCGAAACCGCCAAATATCTGTCGGTGTCTGTTGAGGCAATCAAGAGTCGCCTGAGAGACACTGCGACGCACCCCGAGGTCGCCGCGGCGCCGGTGACGGCGCTCGAAGACCGTCAACTGGCAGAAAGTACGCTACTTGAAGTTGCAAAGGCAAAATCCTCATTTGCTGCAGCTTTTATGAAAGAGCGTGGTATCATTCGTGCAGTCTAGCCCCGCGTGCTAAACCGTTGGCTGGGAGGCTTCATGCCGGTCTTCTCGTATACATTGTTGAGGTGCTCACAGCGGAACGACGAGCCGTAGTCTGGCAGAATATGCGAGTCGAGCCAGAACTGGGCTGTGCATTTGAGTCCGCAGTGGCACTTGCCAACGTGGGGGAGCTTGTCGCTCAGGTTGTGCAGCTTTTTCGCGTCGCGGTCGTCAAACTCGAAGTGGCAGTTGAGCAGGTGTTTTTTGAAGTCGTACGGTCTGTTGAACTGGCCCGTCTTGTGGATGCACATTTCGCGCGGATACACGCACTTGAACCGCGAAACCGGCTCGTGTGTGCGCAGGTGGCGGGACATGTCTCTGGTGATGTGTTTGCGGCAGACGGGGCATTTGGAGGACCGCGAGCGCGACACATGCACCCCGGCCCGCGGTTGGGGGTCGGGGTCCGGCTGCTCAGACGGCGATTTGATCTCTGGCGACACACTCAGCGGCGAATGCTGCTGTGGGGGAGTGAAGTGTGTGAGGTCTAGCGTGGCGGCCATGGACTCGAGCGACTGTTTGGGCTGCATATCTGGGAACTCGGGCAGGCCGAGCTCGTAGTTGGACTCCCAGTCGATATCGTGCGGGATGGGAGGCTGGCAGGCCTGAGCTGGGGCCATGTCGAATCCGAAGCGTGGGGTTTCGTTGCTCATGGAGGTGCTGCGTGGCGACAACGAGGAGTCGAGAGTGGAGTTTGTTAGTATGTCGAGCGTTTCCATAGTGAGATAGAGACAAAAGGAAGCGGACAAGCCAGTATAAGTATCAGATCTATGATTTACGCTTCTTTTTTTGCTCTTTTTCGCAGCATACACATCAAGTCGATCTGCTATGTTCGCTTACTCCGTCCCACTAAAACTGACAGACTACCTTATGGAGCAAGCATTACCCGAAGGGGAATGGTGCGCGGACGGCTGCGCCAAAAGCAATCCTCCGGCCCGCGAATAGGAAAAAAACATTGGCAATGCAACAGAATATTATGCACTGTGACTTACACGTAAGGGGACTTGCATGACGCTATAACGATTGCTTATTCTATTTTAAGCTTAAACATGAGGTAATCCTCCTACTCTATGTGCTCACCTTCGTGCTTCATCTCGACCCACTCCTGGTTGTGCACCGCCACACGCTGCTGCCGGTATAGAGGCTCTATCTTCGGTATCTCCCGGCGCAGAATCGTCCGCTGCACCCAGTTCGACAGGTGTCGGGTTTGGTACGCAGCGTGCTTGTACGACGGCACGTCAAACACGTCGTCCAGCTCCTCCAATGCAAGACCCTTCGTTTCAGGTAGCAACCACAGAACGAGCAGAAACCCTATCATGTTCCACGCCGCATACCACCCGAACGCACCCTGTGGGGTGAATGCCTTGAGCAGCGACGGCCAGGTCAGAGATAAGATAAAATTGAAGAACCAGCAGGTGGCCGTCGCAAACGACATGGTCACGTCCCGTACGTACAGCGCAGCACACTCTGCGGAGTACGTGAATGGCACGGGGCCCTCGGACGAAGCGTAGACGATCGTAAACAGATAGATGCCCAGCGCGATGACCCCGACCCTGGCTTTTTCGTCGGGGATCCAGAACGCAAAGCCTGCCAAGAGCAGGAAAACGGACATCAGCGGGAACGAAAACAGAAGCAGCGTGCGGCGGCCAAACCTGTCGATCGAGAAAAACGCCGGCAGGGCAAACACCCAGTTGATCATACCGTAACCCCACGACGCGAGCAGTGCGTCTCTTTCGGAGAATCCCGACTCTTTGAAGATCGACGACGAGTAGTACGCAATGACGTTGATGCCGCAAAATTGCTGCATGAACATCACGACCCAGGCGCCGACGGCCCCGTTTCTGTTTCTTCTCACGGTGAATATCTCCTTGACCTTGGTCCAGAAGGGCACCTCGTACGAGCTCTCCTCCAGCAGCAGCACGTGTGTGTAGAAGGTGTCTCTGGCGGCCTGGAGCGGCGATTTCCGGATGCGGCTGTACGCCCCAAAGGCCTCGCGGTGCCGGCCCTTGCCCATGAGCCATCTCGGCGACTCGGGACAGAACCAGACCTGGAGCATCACCAAAATAGCCGGGAGTGCTGCCGAGCCCAGCATCAGCCGCCAGCCAAGACCTTTATGGATCGCGTGCGCAGGGACCCTGTAGAACGCCAGCGACATCACGTAGCCGAACATGATGCCAAAGGCGGTCCACACCTGCCACATCATCACGAGCGAGCCGCGGATCTTGGCCGGAGCACATTCCGACGAGTACACGGGGATCGTGGACGACTTGGGGCCGATGCCGAACCCGAGAAAGAACCTGGAGATGAACAGGTGCCACCAGTTGTTTGTCAGGCCCGACCAGATGCACGTGATGGCAGAGACGAAACAGGTCCAGAAAATGGTGCCCCTTCTTGAAAGCCGTTCGTTGAGCCAGTCGGACATCCAGCACGAAATCGTGGAGCAGCAGAGATACGGGGCAGAGTTGATTAGCCCTATGAGCCAGGTATTTCTATCTGTATCTTCAGCAATGCCGAAATACGAGGGATACTGGAGCTGGGCGCCGTTGATCACCGTCTCGTCCATTCCCTGGACGGCCGCCCCCATGGAAGCCATCACAATCAGCCAGTACAGCTGGCCAGACAGTCGCCACGGGTGCTCTGCCTCCTCGAAAAGCCGCTCTTTCTCCTCGTCCGTCAGAAACTCCATCGAGTTGAAAAAACTGGGTCTTCTCGCCACGGCGGCAGCTTTGGAAAACAGGTCTGGGTCCATGCCGTACTTGAGAGCATAGTTTCTGCCCATGGTCCGGACTTGAGCCTCGGAATAGTTCGACAGAACGTTGACGTCTGGCTCTAAACCATCAATAGCAGACTTTTCTGCGTCCCAGGACGAGGCAGAAGACCTGGCTTCGTCGCCGAAAAACCCCGAAGGAGTATCGTGTTGCTTGGAGTTGTGTACTTGAGTGTCTGCTTCCATACTGACTAAAAATTACACTCTAATCTTTTTTTTCCTCTCTGGATTGCTAATGCTTGCTACCAATATGCATACGACTGCGAGTTACAGTGCATAAAAAAAATTAGATCAACACTATGAGTACTTATTTTGCCTCGACGTGCTCGGCCTCGCCGTGCTTCATCTCGACCCACTCGTTGTTCTTGATGGCCACGCGGTGCGAGTGGTACAGCGGCTCCATCTTAGGAATGTCACGGCGCAGAACCTTTCTTTGAACACCGTTCCACAGGTTCTTGGTCTGGTACTTGGCGTGCTCGGCTGCAGAAACGTCAAACACCTCATCCAGCTCCTCCAGAGTCAGATTCTTGGTTTCTGGCAGCAGCCATAGCACCAGGAAAAATCCAACAATGTTCCAGCCGGCATACCAGCCAAAGGCGCCCTGTGGCTTGAATGCCTTCAGCAGGGATGGCCAGGTGAGCGACAGAATGAAGTTGAAGAACCAGCACGTGGCAGTGGCAAAGGACATCGTCACATCACGAACGTAGAGCGCAGCGCATTCTGCCGAGTAGGTGAACGGAACAGGCCCCTCTGACGAAGAGTAAACAATGGTGAACAGGTAGATACCCAGGGCGATGACACCAACTTTGGCATCTTTGTGATCCTCAGGGATCCAGAACGCGAAACCGGCTAGCAGCAGGAACGCAGCCATCAAAGGGAACGCAAAAAGTAGCAGCGTTCTTCTTCCGAACTTGTCAATGTTTCTGAAGGCCGGAACGGCAAACACCCAGTTCAACATACCGAATCCCCAAGAGGCAATCAAAGCGTCACGGTCGCCGAATCCTGACTCCTTGAAAATCGAGGATGAGTAGTATGCAATGACGTTAACACCACAGAACTGTTGCATGAACATGACGACCCAAGCACCCATGGCTCCGTTTCTGTTTCTTCTGATTGTAAACATCTCTTTCACCTTGGTGAAGAATGGCAGCTCGTACGATGCCTCCTCTAGAAGTAGGACGTGGGTGTAGAAACAGTCTCTGGCAGCGAGAATCTCGTGTCTTCTAATTCTCAGGTACGAGTCGTATGCGTCCTTGTGTCTCTCTTTTCCCATGAGCCATCTTGGCGACTCTGGACAGAACCACACCTGGACCATCACGAGAAACGCTGGCAGCGAGGCAGAACCAAGCATCAGCCGCCATCCAAGTCCCTTGTGGATATTGTGCGAGGGAACTTTGTAGAATGCGAGAGACATCACGTAGCCAAACATGATTCCAAATGCGGTCCACATCTGCCACATCATGACCAGCGAACCACGGATTTTGGCTGGAGCACACTCAGATGAGTAAACTGGCACGGTGGTGGATTTAGGACCAATTCCGAAACCCAGGAAAAACCGAGCAATGAACAGATGCCACCAGTTGTTGACGAGTCCCGACCAGATGCACGTGAGAGCCGAGATCGTGCATGTTATGAAGATTGTTCCTCTTCTGGAGAACTTCTCGTTGAGCCAGTCGGTCATCCAGCACGAGATGGTGGAGCAGCACAGGTACGGAGCGCAATTCACCAGACCCACGAGCCAGGTGTCGCGATCGGTGCCGTTGTCGATGCCAAACTCGCTAGGATAGTACAGCTGCGCACCGTTAATGACGGTCTCGTCCATACCTTGGACGGCAGCACCGAGAGAGGCCATAATAATCAGCCAGTACAATTGGCCCGACAGCTTCCAAGGATGGTGGTTTTCCTCGTAAAGGGCTTCTTTTTCGCCTTCGCTGAGGAATTCCATCGAGTTGAACCTGTTTGGGGACCGAGCCACGGCCGCGGCACGGCTAAATAGCTCCGGGTCGAGGTTGTATTTCATCGCGTAGTTCCGGCCCATGGCCATCACTTGCTCCTCAGAGTAGTTGCTGAGGATGTTGAATTCCTGGAGCAGAGATTCGTCTGGGGAGTCCAAAATCTTTTCAGAAGACATTTTTGGAGGTACGACAGGTGGGAAACACGGCCTATTTATACAACGCCAAGATGTCTCCCCTCCTACGAATGGTTGTGACTTGGGGATGTGTTACGTCATGAGGCCTCTGTTATGCAAATCGAAATAATCTTGGCAGCAAAAACACTTGCCTCTTCCCAAATAATTAACCCCACCACACAGCCGCACACGACCTCCGCGATGTCATTTTTTTTTCACTTTTTTATTGTTATTGTGGCTCTCACAATACAGACAGAGCCCAGCTACTGTACTCATCTGACAAATAAACTCGCACTTCATTACCCTACTTATCTTACTCGATGTGCTTGACCTCGTTTTTGCGTGCCTCCCAATCTGAAGTCACTGCCATACGCCGTTTCGTATAAAGAGGTGGCAGAGGCTCCACGTTCTGGCGCAGCACTCTTCTGCGGAATCCGTTGACAAGGCTTCTGGTTTGGTAGGCTGCATGCTCGGCAGCCGGAACGTCAAAGACCTCGTCCAACTCTTCCAGTGTGAGACCCTTAGTTTCTGGCAGCAGCCACAGAACCATAAAGAACCCAGCAATGTTCCAGCCGGCGTACCAACCAAACGCTCCTTGAGCTTTGAATGCTTTCAGCATAGATGGCCACGTCAAGGAAAGAATAAAGTTGAAGAACCAGCAAGTGGCGGTAGCAAACGACATGGTCACGTCTCTGACTCTCAGCGAGGCACACTCAGCAGAATACGTGAATGGGACAGGCCCCTCTGACGACGAGTAGACGATCGTGAACAGATAGATACCCAAGGCAATAACACCGACCTTGGCGCCTTTGTGTTCTTCAGGAATCCAAAAGGCAAATCCAGCGAGCAGCAAAAAGATAGCCATCATTGGGAACGCAAACAGCAGCAGCGTTCTACGGCCAAACTTGTCGATGGAAAAGAAGGCCGGCAGTGCAAACACCCAGTTGAGCATACCGAAGCCCCAGGAGGCAATCAGAGAGTCTCTCACAGAGAATCCAGAGTCACGGAAAATGGTGGACGAATAGTATGCGATAACGTTGATACCGCAAAATTGTTGCATGAACATACAGACCCACGCACCAACAGCACCGTTTCTGTTTCTTCTGACGGTGACCATTTCCTTGATCTTGGTGAAAAATGAGGCCTTCATGTCTCCTTCCTCGAGAAGCAAGAGATGACTGTAGAATGCGTCTCTGGCCGCCTGCAAAGGAGTATGTCTCATTTTGACGAGCGAGTGAAAGGCGTCACGGTCTCTTCCTTTACCTAAGAGCCATCTCGGAGATTCTGGACAGAAGGGGATCTGTGCAAGAATGATGATCGACGGAAGACAAGCAGAACCCAGCATCAGACGCCATTGCAGACCTTCGGCTATTCCGCGGTCTGGCACTTTGTAGAAAGCAAGTCCGAACACGTCTCCCAGCATGATTCCAAAAGCGGTCCAGATCTGCCAGTTCATCACTAGAGAGCCCCTGATTTTAGCCGGAGCACACTCAGAGGAGTAGACAGGAACGGTGGTCGAATTAGGGCCGATAGCAAAGCCGAGGAAAAATCTCGCGATAAACAGGTGCCACCACGTGTTGGTCAGAGCAGACCAGATACAGCAGAGGGTACCCCAAATACTGCACAGGAAAATGACACCACGTCTGGAGAACTTGTTGTTGAGGTAGTCTGTGCACCACACCGACATCGTGGCACAGCAGAGGTAAGGAGCGCAGTTGACAAGGCCGACGAGCCAGGTGTCGTGGTCAGAGCCGCTTCCAATGCCCAGTTTCTCGGGATAGTACAGGTTGGCGCCGTTGATGACGGTCTCGTCCATACCCTGCACGCAAGCCGCCATGGAGGCTGTGGAGACAAGCCAGTAGAGAGTTTTCGGCAGTTTCCACGGGTGGTGGATTTCGTCGTAGAGAGCCTTCTTTTCCTCTTCGGTGAGGAAGTCCATAGAGTTGAATTTCGAAGGACTTCTGGCGATGGCAGCGGCGTGAGCAAAAAGGTCCTCGTCGAGGTCGTTTTGTCTCGCGTAGGCGCGTCCCAAATTCATCACCTCTTCCTCGCTATATTGCGAGAGAACGTTTTGATCAACTGGCTCAGCCAGACCGGTTCCGTCCTCGCTGGTGGAGGCAAAGAGGCCGTTCTCATGGGGAGAGTCAGAGAGCTTTTCAGAAGACATCCTGTACACAAAGTTGAAAGAGTTTGTTTTTCGAACACGGCACTTTATATATACTGTTCTGACCATCTCGGGTCGCAGATCTTACCTTCGAAAAGCGGATTATATTTCTGGAGAATCCATTGTTTTTTAAGCAAAGGGGGCTTTACATGCTTGCGGTGGAGTGCCTAGGTCTGCGGAACCTTTAACTGCTTGAAATGGGTTTCGTTGACCGTGGTTTGATGATTTCTCGCTGTGCAACAGCGCGCCCCTAGTCGGAGATCTCAACGTCGCTTGGCAAGAATTTGCCCCTCATTTTCTGGTGAATACAGCAAAGTGGGTTAATTCGGCAAGCACAAGAGCCTCTCCAACCGGGATTATGACGATTTTTCTGGGGACACACTTCAGGTTTCCCCAAAAAAACTATTCTACGGAATTCCACAAACAATAGAGAATTTCATCATCACTCAATAATTTCCCTGCCTACCTGGACGCACCTCCGCTTCATTGGAATTCCGTGGTATGGAGACTATCTGATGCGTGACGTCACCGACAAAGTTAAGCTAGCGCGTTCTTGCTTATCTATATACAAGTCTACTAGTGCCTCAATTTCTTGGCCCTCAGCTCCGCTAGCTCACTTTGTACATTGTCGATGTCCATTCGCAGTTTCTGGTTCATTTTGTCTATTTCTGCGTTTTTCTCATTGTTCACCTTAATCACCTCGAAATTGGACAGTTGTGCATTAAGCTTCCGTTCGCACTCGTTCCGCTTCAACCTCAGCTGTCCGTTGTTCGCTTCCAGCTTTTTGATCATTGTTTGGTTACTAAATCGCTCTTCGTTCAGCTGCTTGTAGTTATTGAGCAACTCCGTGTACTGTCTCCTCTTTGTCTCCAGTTCCACCTGTAATTTGTGCAACTTATTCTGCTCACGGAGCAGGTCGTGGGGCTCTCTGACCGGCTCATTTAATAGCTCATACTCGTGGTCGTCCCATATGAGCTGGCTCTCTATACTGCTCTTTGGCCTTCCGCCACACAGCATACTAGCAACATCCCCGACAATAGAGTCAAACCCGTAGATTACCACCCTGTGGGCCACCAAATCTAGCTCCTGTGCCGTCAGCTGTCTCCAAAACTTTGCGCTCTCCAGCTGTCTCTGGACATAATCCGCGACGTCCTCGTGTTGCTGGTGCCAGTTGATCAATATCGACGCGTCTGTCCTTTCTATGGAGCGCAGAACCATAAACACCCATCTGGTCATGTCTATCTTGCTATACAGTTGGGCAAGAACAAACGCGATTTCGGGGTCCAGGAGACGGCTGTGCACGAGTGTAACCAAAGGCGGCAGCGTCTTTGTCCCTAGTTTGCCGCAGACAGACGCCAATTGGGGGAAAATAGATTCGGTTTCGATTTCTAGCGACTCGAGTTGCGCTAGCAGTTCCGGATTATTTGCGGTGACGGCGCCAAGTTTCTTCAGCTTCATGCTTTTCAGCCAAAGCCTGTACACCGTGAGCTGGTCCGGGTTGTCGAAGTTTCTGGCCTCCACTTCGCTTCTCACCTCTATCATATGATCTTGTGCATTCAATTGGGTGTAATATTCGTTGTCGGAAATTTTTAGGTCTTCCGGCAGCTCGTAGAACAGACCCACCACTCGGGAAGTCTGGTTTTCAAGCAGGAGATCTAGAGTTCTCTGCTGAAGGCTTCTAGTATCGGAAGCAAGCCCAGCAGGCGACCTTGAATGTGTGCCCGGTTCCAGGTCTCTTGGAGACCCGATTGGCGTGGTGAGCTCAAAGTCTTCCGTGGACACACGCTGCAGGCCGTACTTCTTCGAACGAGGTGGCCTATGCGGTAATGCCGGAGGATGATCCCACGTGTAATCATCTGAAGCACGCTTATCGGTGCCAGTTGAGTGGCCCTGATGACGCATTGGAAGAGGCGGACTCATTGAGACCGGCGAATTGGCCGATGTGACATCAGATTCTGTTGCAGACGGTAGCTTGGACGACTCGATCGCGTCAGACATTTGTGACAAGGGAAGAATTGTATTTAAGTGTATTTTTGATCTGGTGTAGAGATGAAATATAGAAATTTGGGGTGACGGAGACAGCTGGGCAGCCTAGACAACAGGATCCCGGGCAAATATGGGCCCTACGGCTGAGGAATAGCCACCCGGGTGGAAGTGGTAGCCGATCGCGACGGACTGCTGGTTCGAGAGATCCCAGATATTGGCTACGTCCAGGGAACTGTGGAGTGGTGTGGGGGTTGTACGTCAACTCTACTCTATTTCTCTTAATGCTGTGCCACTCAACAGAACCGTCGGCTTTCTTTATGTAGGTCTCACTCAATAAGCAGAACCAGCTCTATTTACGTATGTTGTTCGATATGCACGTAAATTTTTTTATTTTTCTGAAATATTTTCTATGTCTAATATCATTAATATCGAGCACGATCGGGTTAGCAATACCACGGCGACCGACTTCCCAGGATACTCCGCGAACGGAGAGCATGCCTGGAATTTGGAAAAATTTAAGAAGAACTTCCAGCTCAATATCTCCTACCTCACACAGAGAACTGCAAACTTCGACTTGGTGGGCCTCGACACATCTATTGCCAACGCGTTCCGTCGTATCATGATCGCTGAGGTGCCTTCTGTTGCAGCAGAGTATGTGTACATCTTCAACAACACTTCGGTCATCCAGGACGAGGTGCTCGCTCACAGAATCGGTCTGGTGCCTTTGAAGGTTGATCCGGACATGCTGACCTGGATTGATCCGAATGCCGAGGAGGAGGACAAGTTCACAGATGAAAACACGATTGTCCTTTCACTGGACGTGGCATGCACGAAAAACCCAAATGCCGTCCCAGGAAACAACGACCCAGAGAATCTATACAGAAACTCCAACGTTTATGCCAGGGACCTAAAGTTCGAGCCAAACGGACGCCAGGTCACCCAGTTCGCTAACTGTCCTGTTGTTCCGTGCGATCCAGACATTTTGATTGCCAAGCTGCGTCCCAATCAGGAGATTTCGCTCAGAGTTCACTGTGTCTTGGGCATTGGAGCCGACCATGCCAAGTTTTCTCCAGTCAGCACTGCATCCTATAGACTGCTTCCGACGATCGACATACTGGAGCCTATAACTGGCGACGACGCAATCAAGTTCCAGAAATGCTTCCCATCCGGTGTTATTGGCATTGACTCCAACGGTGCAGCATACGTCGCCGACGCTAGAAAAGATACCGTTTCCAGAGAAGTTTTGAGACACAAGGAGTTTAACGGGAAGGTGAAACTGGGCCGTAAAAGAGACCATTTCATCTTCAACGTCGAATCAACAGGCGCTATGCCTCCAGAAGAGATCTTCTACAAGTCCATCAGAGTGCTCAAGACCAAGGCCGAGTACTTGCGTAACTGTCCTATTGGAAATATGTAATCTACAAATAGAGTGCCACTCAGACCCCCAACCGCGGCATCATCTCGCTCAATGACGGCGTTGGTGCTTGCGCGCGTTCTATAAGGTTCACGTACTGGACTATCCTGACGACGTCGATCGACGCGACGACGTCGCTGTCCTCTGCATTGTCCATGTCTTGCTTGACAAAGTTCATGCTGTAGAGCGAGAATTGCAATGCCACCAGCACAAAGTCCCACAGCAGCAGGTAGAGCAATTTGTAAAACCATCCTTCGAACCTGTTCTCCCCCATGATGTTTATGATGTATGCACCGTACGATATGCCTTGGCCCAAACCTCCGCGCGCGGAAAATGCAATGTGGACTACCAGGCCCAACACATTGAACGCCAGGCCCAATGACAGCACTTTCTGTGCCAGTATCCGTTGGACCGCTGGCGTGAGCACTGCTGACGCCTCTATGCTGTTTGGCGGGTGGCCAAGCATGAACTGCTGGAATCCTCGCAACAAGAGTAGTATGAGATTTTCGTCGGCAAGGTACAGTATTATGAGCACCAGATAGCACGAGACGTCGAGCCTGGCGGTGAGATTTTTCCTGTGTTCTATTTTCCTCGCTTTCAAGACTCGTTCATCGTTCATTGAAAGTTGTCTTTCCAGTTCCGCTCGTATTTTCATAAATAGGCAAATGGAGTCAGATTAAAAAAAATAACTAAGGATCTGATGTTAAGTAATCGAGCTTTTTTTATCCACCTCTTGTTGCATACTGTAGGTAGTGACGGTGATTGTGGGTAGTCTGAGTTTATGGTGAACACGTGTAATTGCAGCCTTTAGAGGGACCAGTAATAAACTTATAACTGGCCTGCTCTCAAAATAATGCCCCCTATTCCTAGTGTAGGACTTGAAGATCTATAGTCCTGTGTCTCCTTGTGACCTAAACAAGATCAACACGACATGTGTGTGGATGTCTGTTTGAATCTAACTCCTGTGAGAATTTCATCAATTCTGAATTGATCCTCGAGTTGAACTATTATATTGATTAATCTATATTATTCCCACCTATTTAAGTCCACAGTCTCAATTAAATCACCGCCCAAGAGCGAGATTTGACTGAGCAGAGAACACTTATTAAGCTTTAGCTGCTCATCATCGGTAGGTTCAACGTCGTAGCCAACGTTGACCCGGAACTTCTTCTTGGAGTTGGCGATTACTGGGTTCAGGATCGCCGCAACAACGTTGCAACGGCCCTCTTTGCCCAGTCCGGTGTACTTCCCGCACGAGATGAGCATCACGTTACTGAAACGAGCCCTCAACTCGTCACAGAACGCAGGAACAGGATCCTGCTCCGAAGAAACGTCGTCGGAGGCCACCAACGACGTAGCCACCAAATTCTTGAACTTGTTTTCTGGCAAGATCCCAGACTTCGAGGCAAGCTCGGTAGGCGTTTTGATCTTCAGCACGATATCATAATCTTTAAGTGCTGGAGTGAATATGAGTTTCAAAGTTTTCTGATTAAGCGTCTTGCTGACGGCAGCCACCGCAGCCTTACTGAGCGCAGTCAATCTTGTCGCAATAGGCAAAGAAAGCCCAAATGACCACAGTTTTCCAGATGGGTCTTCCTTGGAGGCAACGAATAACTGTGTCTTGATAGCCTGTGGGTCCTCTTTGCGCAGTTTGCTGAAATTCCCGGTAATGGACTGGTAAGCCTGGACGGTCAATCTTTCTGAGACGAGGTCAATGTAATTTCCGCTTTTCTCAAGATCTTTAGCAAGATCAAGAACCAGCGGGTCGTCCTTCCAGTTCCATTGGCTTAGAAACTGTAATGTGCGAAGAAAGCCAGCCTCGACGCTGGCAGGAACAGAGTATGGAGCAGGGTCCACAAACACCTTCATCACCAAAAGCTCCACAAGCTCGTCGTTGAAATGAGACAGAAGAAGCTGGGCGTCGAGCCAGCGCTTGAAAAGACGCACTGTCGCAGAATAAAATGGGAAGTACGTACTCAGAGAGGCAATAGCCCGGTGGTGTTTGACTGAGCCCATATACTTCTGATTGAATGCCAGATAAATATCTGCGACGGTCTTGCGTTGTTTTTCGGGAGCGTTCTCGATAGCACGAAGATACAGCACTTCGTCACGTTCTGTCAGAACACGGAAGCTAAATCCGTAGCCGTCTGGTGTAAGCACACGGAGCACTTTGATTTCGGTGTTGTAAGGAACAGACGTGCGATCCTCTTCCAGGTAGGACTTGTAGTTTGTGTTTTTAGCGAGGTAGTCGTTGATCTTTAAGAGGAACGCTGTTTTTGTCTGCTCGAGAGCAAGCAGCTCGTCCGGCCACTTTGTCGATGATTCGAATTGGAGAATCGACTCGTTGAAGAAGTCTGGGTTCGACACGGCATGAGGAACGGGCAGTATTAGCGACGTGTTTCGCAGAGCAGGGGAAGCTGGCAGAATGGATTTGACGCTCAGCGGGAGATCTATTTTATTCAGCACTTTGCACAGCTCGGAATACGAATTTTTCAGCTGCTGGAAATTGGACGGAATTAGTTGCATCGAGTTGGACGTCAGTGGCACAGGCAGCATCTTCCAGAATCTGTCTGTGATGAATTCGAGTCTTGCGCTGGAATTGATATGGAGCTCGAATATGTATTTCAGGATGGATACCACCGTGAGCTCGTTGGCTGGCCACAGACAACTATACTGTATGTTTCCATCTTTATATTTTCTGACTTGAGCTTTTGCGCCCCAGAAAGAACGGAAGCGAATGGCGTTTTCCTCATCGTTATGGAGAGGACCCTTGGTGATTTTCTTTTCGCACTCAATGGCATTCAAATACAGTCCGATCTCGACCTGTTTATCCTGGGTGTCAGGACGTCTCTTTTGTACGCTCCATTTGTCGTCAGTGCTGGAAAGTCTAACGACGACATGGGATGCTCGTTCGGCCATTGCACGCAAAACCAGCTTGTGGACTTTGCTGCACACAAAGTTTTCGTATGTCAAGAAAGTGATTTTCTCTATAGGGCCGAATTTTTCGTGTTGGTTCAGATCTTTTAACGGAACTGACACAAGCATGTCGTATTGCAAGTGCTTCTGTGTATTTTTGTAGATGAATGTTTGTTTGAAACGGTCCTGCACAACGTCGTTCAAAAGGTCCAGAGTCTCAGCTGCCTGCTTCTTCAACACTTGGTAGGAAGAAGCAGTCATTTTCCAGAAAATGTTGATTTTGGTGGTCTTGTCGAACAGAGTTGGGACGTTGAATCCGCCTTTCTTGTAGACTGAGCCATTATCGCCAACAACAGAGCTAAATGAGAGGTATCCGTCGTCCACCAGGTCTTGGGTGGCTAAATACTTGATCGTACCTTTGAACAGCTGGTAGCTGGAGTATCCATGGAGCAACACCTTGTTCCCATTCTCACCACCTCCCGCCAACAGTGCAGCCATCAGCACGGCAAACTCAAAATGTCCAAAGCCGCCCTTATTAAAATGGGAGCCGAGCCCGCGTTGTCTGAGCCACAGCTTTCCCAGCACCGTCGCATCTCTAAAAGAGGTTGTGGTTTTCTTTGTAGCGTACAGATACTTGAGATAGTATTTGTAGGTTGTGGACGACAGAATGGAGGAGTTGTATAGAGGCGTTGGAGGAAGCTCGTCGTCGGTTTGAATGCGAACGCAGTTTCTGTCTGGAAGGAGTTTTTTGCTTTCAAACAGCCCGTACTCGAATCCGACCAGAAGTCTGACTCTGAAATTTGTGTCCTCGAAAAGTAGGTCGTTGTCGTGAACTTTGTCTGGCGTAACACTGTCTATTCTGATGCTTGGACACAACTTGTCTCCATTGACGTACTCGTAGGAGATTCTAACTGGCAGGTGATTTTTCGCCGTGAGTGTGATTAGCTGGTCTGCAAGGTAAGCGATGTAAAAAGCTCTCTTGTAGAGAGCTTTGTAGTTTAGATAATCTTTTGGCTGGAACATGGATTTAGGCATGGTCAGAGAAACATCCACTGCCATGCCATCCGGCTGCTGGATGCCGGTCTTCAGGCCAAACGATCCAACCAATGAGACGTCTGTGGGAGCATTGTACTGCAGCTTGTAGTTGATTGAGGTAGGCTTGGGATCAGGGAATGGTATTGCAACCTTGTTCTTCGACTTTTCAAAGTAATTCTCAGCTTCCTCTAGAGAAAATGCCTCTGAAGCAGAAATATCCTGAATAATCTCATACAGTCGATGAAGAACACGCTCAATCAGCTTACAGTGCGAGTCCTTGAGACGTAGTTCCTTCACAAGCTCGTCGATCTGGAGCTTGAAGATGTTGGACTTGAACAGTTCAGCCGTTTCTCGGGCGATCTGGACATCCTGTGAGGTCAGCTGGGCCTTCTTGTGAGGTCTGTGGTTCACCTCAACGGCCGCAGGACCCTGCTCAGTGTCATTGACGCCCGATTCTGGCTCTCTGTCTCTTTTAACCATGAAGAAGATTTAGTAAAAATTTTAGAGTAGTGTAAAGCACATAACTCCAACCGAGGACCGTCACAGTCTGCGACGTTGTGCTACAGACAGCTCCTTTGAATGGTGGCAGGAGCATCGCAGACGCCTGATCACATAGCCCAAAGTCTCAGTTGCCCCTCGTGCCCCCAAGGATGATATCCAAACCTCGCCCGAAACCGCTTGCCTCCGGTCTCAGGTGTGGACGAGGATATTTGTGTCCTTAATTATTATTTTGCCCAAATTATGCTTCGAATCCACGATCCGAGACTAGTCACGAGGACCGTGTTTTTGGGCGGCAGACTGTGTGCTGGCCGGCCGGCGTCTCTGAACCATGGCCTGGGCCTCCGCTTCAATTCGTCGGCCCCGAAAACCACCATCTGGCAGAAAGTCAAGCACGAGGCCCAACATTACTGGGCTGGTACCAAGCTGTTGGGCCTAGAGATCAAAATATCGTCCAAATTGGTGCTCAAAGCAGCTTCTGGATACGAGCTTACAAGAAGAGAGTACAGACAGCTACAAAGGACCACATCCGATGTTCTTCGATTGTTCCCGTTTGCCATGTTTGTGCTGGTTCCGTTTGCGGAACTGCTGTTACCAGTTGCCCTCAAACTATTCCCAAACCTACTTCCTTCCACGTATGAATCTAAAACCGACAAAGAGAAGAACCTCAAGAAGCTGCGGACCACGAGAACTAAAGTGAGTGAGATCCTGAGGACCCAGGCCAAACATATAAAACTTCCTTCCACCATTACCGAGGAACAGCGTGCGGACTACAAGGATTTCTACCTGAAGTTGAAAAGTGGCCGTTCTCAGGAGATCACCAAAGAGCAGCTACTGCGTGTGGCTAAGCTGTTCAAAGACGACCTGATCTTGGATAACGTTTCCAGAGGTATTTTAATTGCCATGGCAAAGTACATCAATCTGCGTCCGTTTGGCACCGACCAAATATTGCGGTACCGTATCCGGCACAAGATGCTCAAGATCAAGAAGGACGACAAGCTAATCGACTACGAGGGTGTCAAGTCTCTTTCTCCGGCAGAGCTTCTAGTTGCCTGTGGATCTCGCGGGATCCGTACTGCAGACACTCCACCAGAAAGGTTGCGCGAGCTGTTGCAGATCTGGCTTGATATGCGCTTACGCGAGAAAATCCCATCTACCCTCATGATCCTTGCCAACGCGTACTCGTATGGCAACACAGAGAACTACTCCCATTACGAGGCGTTGAAAAATGTTCTGAACTCGCTGCCTGAAGAGTTCTACCACGAGCAGGAATTGCATGTTGATGACGAGAAGGCCACTTTTGAGCAACGTATGAACGTGCTGAAAGAACAGGAGCACTTGATTGAGAGCGAAAACGTTGAGGAGAAGGACCAGAAGGTCATTGTCAAGGACAAGCTGAGTTTGGACGATGATGACAAGAAACCCGACGAGGAGGAGAAGAAGCAGGAAGTCAAGTAGACGTTATAGAAACTATTTATGTAAAATCAGTCAGAAGCACCTCACTATCTGTGGAGCCTTTATTATTTTTTAATTTTTCAATGGCTAGATATTGGTGCAAGACATGTTCTAAGGTATGTTATTTGATTGCAGCTCCTAACGCAGTTTGTTGACGAGAACCTGAAGACCACCCATGAGGCCAGTGCGGGCCATAGGGCTGCAATAAACCGTTTAGTGAGAGGGTTTCGAGAAAAGCAACAGGAGCTAGAGAAACTTACACGACAGGCCGAGAAGGAGCTAATCCGAGCGAGAGAGAAATCTCCAATTCGGCAACAAAGCCTTCCGGTTGCACAGCCAGTGAATGAACATCATTATGAGTCCGAACGGCCAGCATACTCGGTGCCTACAGGGATCCGAGAAAGGAAGATCACTAAATCTGAAAAAGAGCTAAGAGAGTGGGGGCTGAACGAAAAACCAATTGACGAGGAGCTCTCGAGCGATTCGGACACAGAACGCAAAGAGCCCAAACCCAAACCCACGTTCAAAAAAAGAATACCGAAGAACCAGCACAGTTAGTACATTATTATTTTTCAGCTACCAACGGCATAGCGCGCGGCATATCTATGTACATCATCAGGTAAACTTCCGAGATCCACCTCTCACGAACTCCAGGATCTTCCATCCCTCTGTCTCTGGGTTGTCTATCTCCTCTGGGACACGCGTTATCACCAACGCGTAGGCAGACAACAGGATATCCTCCTCGGTGCCTGCCACCACTTCTCCAGTCTTGGCTTTTCTGTAGAGATTAACCTCCTGGACTCTGGCACTAACAACAAAAACAGGGATCTGGTTAGGCTCCAACATACGTGACGACACGATCTGGACGTCTCTCACATCCAGAATACGGCCGTCCGAGATCAACCCCTGGTCCCTGAGCTGTTTCTGCTGTGCAGCAATGATATTGAACGGAGCCTCCGAAAGCCACGTCTTCAAAACTTTCTCCTCCCCAGTAATATATGCCTCCAAAACCTCCGGCACAATGTACTCTCTGAGCTGCTTGGTCAGACTCTCTGTGTTAAAGTTAGGGTCCAGTTCTCTGAAAGCCTTGATGACTCTGGCGCCCTCGGTTTCCGCGAAAAAGCTGCCGATCTTGTCGATGACAGTACGGATCAGCACCAGTAGTGGGTTCTCGGCCTCCTCCCATTTTTCTCTGAGCACCACCAGCAGTCTTCCAATGGCAGAGTTGGGCTTGATCTTGATCTTGTCTTTGATGCTGCTCTCGGACTTAATGTTGGTGGCAACTATGGCGGTGCCGGCCTCCTCGTCTCTTTTGATGGCCTTTGGTTTATTCTCCAGCTCGCGCAGGCGCCGCAGCCGTCTCTGCTCCTTGCTTTCGTACAGTCCGTATTTGGAAGCGCCTTCGTCGAGACTCTTGGTCACCTCTTGGTAGGTCTTGGTTTTCCGGATCGGCTCGATCACCTGGTCGACCGTCTCAGCAGTCTTCTCAACGGTGGTCCGCACTCCTTTTCCCACAGGCGACTCCCATGCCTTGTGTGCCACATCTCCCACGACCTCGGCGGTCTTGTGCACCCCCTTGGCCAACGCTCCCGACGATTTCTGGGCAGCGTTGTATGCCTCTTTGGCTTTCTTAAAAGCCTCGCTCTCCCCCATTTCGTCGGTGGCGCTCTTGAGCTGTTTTATTTGGTCAGTGAGCTCGGTGCTCTTTTTCAGCTCGCTGCGGAATGTGTCCACAAAAACTTGGATAGGCGACTTCTGGCCTGAGGAACGAGCTCCATATATCGAGAATGTCCTGACTCCCAGGCCTGTAGCTTGCAAAGCCATGCGCTTCTGCACAATATGTCCAGCCAACATGACGGTCCTTGGGTTCTTCTGAAAATTTTTTGATATTTCCAGTTCTGTCATTTACTAGTGTTAATAATTTACAAGGAAGGGACCAAAGCACAAATATTGCATTTTTGCTGTCAATGTTTAATAAAGACCCTCCGTACAAACGGAAGGCGTTTGCTTCTCTAAACAATCTGCGATTTCGAAGCAAAAAGCTCAGACAGCTTAGGCCCTCGGACAATCTGCAGAAGCAGCCCGCTACAAAGATCGCCATACCACGCAGCATAGATATAGACACGAGGGAGCAGCCTGCGCCTGAAAAGGAGGACGAAGGTGTGCATGTGGCTGTACGACGCGTGAAGCTTTTCAAATCGGCCGCAAAAAGCCCCAGCACCGTGTCGGATCAGATCTGGCTCAACTGTCAAAATCACCGTCTGACTATATACAGTTTGCAACACACCAGCGATGTGTATGTTTCCGTGCCGTTTCCGGACGTCAGATTTGTGGATATCTGCTCGAACCCGGATAGCTCATTTCATTTCGTTGTCACTCTCAGATCAAGCATCACTGGAACGCTTCGCAACGAAAGCGTACGGATAGACAAGTTATGGGTGTTTCTCAGTTTGAGCGACCGGGAATCGTACAACAAGCTCGTGCGTGACTTTGAGGACCAGGTGGTATGTAATTATCTCACAGCATCGGACATGAACAACTACTATTTGAAGAGCGAGCCAGATAGAGAACCCAAAATTGGCAGCAACCACCAAACACAGCTTCCTGTGACTCCTCCCGCAAAGTTCTACGGGACAGCGAAAACTTTCAGCTCAGACCTGGAGCCGGGCAATATTCTCAACACGACTCGCACACGCTCATTGCGTTTATCTCTGACAGACAGCATAGACGATCCTTTCGAGTACCGTGCAGAAATCCAAGACGAAGACATCTCGCGCGACGAGCAGATTGTGTTTGATCCGCCCCTAAAATATAGGTTTGCATCCAAAAAGTCTATCATCGTGTCCAACAAAGACTTCAACTCGTTATACAACGGGAATTGGGTGAACGACTCGATTGTGGATTTTTTCCTCCAGTACAATCTGCAACAGGCAAGAGAAGCAGGCTCTCTGGGCAGTGCGCGAGTGGAGCTGTTCAATTCTTTTTTCTATACCAAATTGACGATGTCCAATCCCGATAACGACTACTACTCCAACGTCAAGACGTGGTTCAAGTCTAATGACAGTCTATTTGATAACGATTACATTGTGATCCCCATAATGACAGATTTGCACTGGTTTTTTGTTGTCATTACGAACCTGCCTCGTCTTCGCAGATACAATGAGATCAACGAGCCTGAGCCTATGGACGGGCTGCTGATCAATAAAAAAAAGCCACTGGCAAGCATATTTGTTCTGGACTCTCTCCAGAAAGCACATCCCAACATCGCAGTACCAATAAAGAGTTTTCTGGTAGAGTATGCCAAAGACAAATACGACCTAGACGTCCCCATAGGGCAGATTCGCAAGTACAGTTGCAACATTCCACAGCAAAAGAACTTCAACGACTGTGGACTGCATGTCATCTATAATTGCAAAAAATTCTTTGATAGTCCAGAGGAGTTCAAGGCCATGATCCTCACAGAGCACCGCCGCAAAAAGTCCACAACCTCACTCTCTACCAAGCTATTTGATGATGAAGAGCGTAAAGTCATTAGGATGCAGCTACGTGAGGTTTTGCTTAAGCTCCTGAAGGAGCAAGTTGAAGCCGACGGTGGAGACAGCTCTGCCGTTGGTACCGAAACCTACGGAACACTACGAGCCAAAGGCATCAGGGAGCCTTCGGCGGAGGCGGAAAAGCATAGTGCTGATGAAGCCCCAGATGACGAGATAATGATTGTTGATGAAATTACTAACGAGATGGCTCCGAATATAGAGCAGCAGACTGCATGCGTGGCATCATCCCAGCAACGGAATATATCGTTGTCATCTGAGGACCCAGAAACAGAGATCAAGACACAGTCGCCACAATCCTCCCAGGTCAGAGAAATTCACAGCGAAAGGCTGGACGATTCTCAAAGCACACAACCAAAAGAGCAAGAAATTATCACATCCGACACGCAGTCCAGCGACAAACTACAAGATCAAAAGGTGTCCATGATTTTGGAGGACAATGGGTCTTTGAAGGAAATAATTGAGTTTTCTGATGGAAAAAGAAGCGAAAGGAAGGGAGAACCGACAAGTCTGGGCCATCAGTCTGGGGTTACGGTAGCAAACACCTCTGAGGAGCCGGTAGCCACTGGTGAGGCTTCCAACCCTGATGAAGACAGAGTTCTTTTTGTTCGTAACCCCAAGAGCTCGATCAAGTTTGCTGGCAGGACTTATCACACGCAAAGAGCGAGGAAAAGGAGATAGCATATGGAATAATACAGGAAAGTAGCACACGTTGATAAAGTACACTAAAGTTCCGCAGACGCAATAAAAATAAAAACTAAGCACCCAAGCCGGGAGTCGAACCCGGAATCTTTTGATTAGAAGTCAAACGCGTTAACCATTACGCTACTCGGGCAACACTGACCTAGGGGGAGGTCCATTCCACATATCGACAGTTCGAACACCCTGTCGTGCACACTCTCGAACTTACAAATTGAAAAACATTCCTGGGTTATTAGCATGCTGTCCTTAGCGTTTTTGTTATTATGTGTCCCAGTCTGGACTCTGGAACTTGCAAATGGCTTCCTTAATATTGACGGCGCAGCCGTTTCTTTTGAAGGTTCTCCAATTGAGTTGGAACCTACAAGCAAATCCATTGAAATCCAGTTTGATATTCTAGACGAGGGTAAAAAGCTGAAAAGCCCTCCCCAACAAGTGAGCATCATATTCACAGCGGATAATGTTGACTCCTACTACTACCCGAAAATCAAAGATTCTCAGGCAAAGCTGAGCCTCCCATTGGGCAAACTCTCCAAATATATTAAACATAGTCCCGAAATTGATGTTAGCGTTTTGATTGGAGATAACGTCAAGGAAAACAACCTGTTCCAAAAGGTTGGACAAATACACTCACACTTACGCTCTGTGCCCAAGCCTGAGCGCTTTGGCAGCAAGCCAGAGATAATACATCAATTTAAGAGTCCGCAAAGTCACGTCAACCCAATCATCTCTATTATTTTCATAGGTGGTGTTGTTGCTTTGCTGGCGGCGCTGTTCATCACGTGGAACCAGCTTGATGCAATGAACTTTAACAACATTGGAAAACTGCCTTGTGGATATACTGTCCAGTTCTTTGTGTGTTTGGCATTGCTCGAAAACATCTTCATCCACTACTTCTTAAGCGCATCAATATTTACTACCATCTACAGAACCCTGATAGTGGCCCCTGTGGGTGTCTATGTTGGCTCCAAAGTCCTGAGAGAGCTGCATCAGCTTCGCCAAGCAGGCAAAAGATGATTGACTGTCGCCGTCACTCCTCCACAAAAGTATTGGCTAGTTTTCTAGGTGAATTGGTAAACATAGAGAGCATTCCCGTCAAATACCACGCGTAGACCAGTTTCCCTTCAATCATAGCGAGTGGAACAACGGAGTAAGTTCTCGAATCAAGAGACGCGTTCAGATTGTCACCTGTCACCCAGACATGGCCTTTGGGAACGATCACATAGTTGTCGTAGCTGCTGCTGTCCAGAGGAGCTATTTCTTGCATGTCGAGGTTTTCCTGATGCAACCGTCGGAGCGAGTTTTTGGACGGATCAATGAGAATAATGTCTCCTGGCATCCCAGTGATTCGTTTCGTGACCAAACTCGAAGGCTCAGTAGGCTTGCGTGCCACGATTAGGTCCCCCATTTTCACATTTCTGCCGTACTTGTATCGCTTGTCTACCACGGCACTATCATTGACAACGGCCAGCGTCGGCAACATGCTCTCACCCGTTGTATCACTTATTTCGAAAACATTCGAAGAAAATATGTGCAACACGGCGACAGTCCTTATGGTGTATGACAGGACTTTGCCTGCTGAGTACAGATTATTCATCAATGCAATAAATTATTATTTTTTTTCAGACCGTATTTAATGGCTTACGAACAGCGAAAGCTGCTTGAGCAGCTCATGGGCAGAGATGCTTTGGTGAAATTACCGCGAGATTATGACGTGCGAAGGGTTCAATCCTCAGATCCTTCTGTGCTGGATTCTCCAAAAGTGTGCAAGAGTTTCCTCGTAGGAAAATGCCCGTACGACTTATTCCAGGGCACCAAAGAGGACCGGGGCAAGTGCCCAAAAATACACCAGGAGAAACTTAAGATTCTATACGAAACGTGTGTGAAAAACGGGGTGCGAATGCCAAACGATAATTACAAACTCGATTACATGCGCGATCTCGAAGGAGTGATCAACGAATGTAATAGGAAAATCAGAATTGCAGAAAAAAGACTGGAGCTCTCTGTAGAGGAGAGGGAGAAACTCTCAAGCGTGACACAGGAGCTGGATAAATTAGACGAGCAGGTGAGCCTAATGCTTCAGGAGATCTCATTACTGGTAGAAAAGGGAGAATTGGAAATGGCCTTGGATTGGAATAAAGAGCTAGAACAAGTGGTACGAAATCGAGACGCTGTTGCATCGCAATACACCGAAATGGTGGAGAACATCAACCAGTCGGCGCAGCAGAAACTGCAAGTGTGCGAACAGTGCGGCGCATACCTCTCTCGCCTCGACAACGACCGCCGACTTGCGGACCACTTTGTGGGTAAGATGCATTTGGCCTATGTGGAGATGAGACGCGCATTGGCTGAACTCAAGGGCCGCTAGTTTTCAACTTTTTCTCTCAGCAATGCCAACAGATGGAGGGAGTGCGTCGGCGACGGCGCTCAGCCAGTCTCTCGTTGGCAGCGTACTGGAGAACAAATTAACAGCAGCATTTACTGCCAAATATGCCAGGCTCACAGCCGCGGTGACAGACACAATGACGGACATGCTGATGATGAAAATGGGTAGGAAACCGACTCCTGCTGCAATTGCAAGAATGGTGAACCCGGTGGTGAATAAAAAGCCAATGAATGAGGTGTAAACGGCCATTAGCAGAATGAATATCAAAACAGGGGGGATGATGCTGAGCACAAATACGGTTACCGAGATGTTAACCAAATACGAGTTCGATTTGTAGAATATAAGCAGCTGCTCCCACCAACCAGAAACGTTATTTCTGACTTGTTCGAGAAAATTGAGGGTATTCCTGGAGTGTTAGAGATCCCTCTTTATGGGGGGGTTATGAGCACTTACAGAAAGATCAGGCTCCGGTACGTGCTGTTCTGTGGGACGAGCACGTCGATCAGCCTGGTTAGCAGAAGGAGCACATCGTTGAACAGCTGGATAAAATTGAGGGAGATGGAGGGCTCCGCCTCCGGTTGCGTGTCGTTCTTCTCCTCGTGGGAAAATGGTTGCACGGGTTTTTGGAAAAAATCAATCACCTCGTCCACGCTCTTATGTGGAGCAGCCCTCCAATTCCTTTTGTTCTTTCCAGGCGTCAGATCTGATGCCAATGAGTTGATAGAAGTGGAAGTGTCTGAATCGTCCATATTTTAACGTTTATGTAACTAGTTAAGTTCGTGAGCCTTGGTGATATGTCCACAAAATGGGGATGCGGTGCACGGGTGCGGTGACTACACGCGTTGGATATCGATGGTTATTTCGAACTGCTCGCCAGATTGGTCCATATAGTCGAACTCGGCGTTCAGATCGACCTCTGCCGCCTCATCTTGGCACATAATGCTGCGGATAATTCGAGAAGCATAGAACCTCATTTTCGACTCGTCGTCGTCGGAGGCCCCAGCCATGCGCATGCTGAGAATAACCACATATATTTTGTGGTTAACCTTGGAGATCTTGAGCCGTCCAATCTTGTAAGACGATTTGTACACTTCCAATGATTGTATATTCTGGACAATGCGAGGCTCGATGTCGGTGCGCGGGTTGCGCAGCAGAAGTATGCCTGAGAGGCGAGAGATCAGTCTCCATGCTAAGAATAGCACCGTGAAGGCCAAAATTAAGCTAGAAAGCTCGTTCACAACCGTCACCAGCTCTATGTGCGCAAGTAGGGGATACATCATGGCGTAGGTCGCGTATCCAATCGACAGAATGCTTGTATAATTGGAGAGTTGGTTTTGTGTCTTTTTGATTTGCGACTTAATACTAACCACTGGCTCTTCTTGTAGGGTGATGGAGCTTATTCTTTTTGGACGCGAAACGACTGGCTCGGCTGGTTTTTTCATTTTGGAAATTAGTCGAGGTGACAGAAGCGTCACAAAACAGATCGCCAAAAGGTAGCACTCGTAAAACATCAGGTTGAGATGTCCCTTTTCGCCGTGAACATGGTGAGCATGTGCTGCTTCATCGAGGTCTCCAAGAGCGAGGGTGAACATTATATTCTCAAAAATATGCGAAAAAAGATCAACACCCACAAAGAGAAGAGATACCGACAGCCCAAAGCCGGCCAGCACCTCTATTCTGCCGAGTCCAAACGGATATTTCAGCGACGAGTCGTTCCATATTGGAAAGTTGGTCATGACCTGCACGATCACCGTTATCAAGTTGCCTATGGAGTCATAAAAGACGAGATGCGAAAGCGTTGACAAACACAGATTGCCGTATTTGAAGCCTATTAAATAGGTTGCCAGGCTGAGCAAAATCAGGAAACCACAGTATGTCAGCTTAAGTTTATCTGGCAAACTCAGGGTTGCCACCACTTCTTTGTAAGTTGGAAGAGGGTACTGTTGAGGAATGGGCACCGATGTTCGTTTGGGCGGCTCTTGAAACATGTTCATCGACACAGAAGAATGCTTATATCTGTGACCACGTCTGTACGAAGCTCTTGGACCATTCATGGGGAGCGCGCTTCCAGGCTTCAGGGAGAGATTCTCGTTAGAGTTATTCATTGTGATGGATCCGAACCTGAAAGGCTGCTGGCGCGTAGGAGAGCCTTTTCTTATTGGTGACGAGACACGTTTGGGAGAGCGCGATCGCGAGTAGCGGTAGGCGTTTGAATGTGTAAACGACGAGTTTGAGCCATTGGGATGTGAGTACAGTTCAGAAACAGGCTCCTCAACTGTCGGCTCTGCCGACTCGTCAATCTTTAAATCGGGGATGTTCCCCAGGGGAGCAGGCATTAATTCAAGAATAAAATTAATAAAAATAATTTAAAATAACCTCTAATGATTGAAGTTGTATGCAACGACCGGCTCGGGAAAAAAATCAGGGTCAAGTGTCTGCCAACTGACACCATAGGAGACTTCAAGAAGCTCCTGGGCCTGCAAATTGGCACAGACCCGAACAAAATCGTTCTCAAGAAAGGATACATGATTTTCAAAGACCATATTTCGCTAGACGACTATGAGATCCACGACGGCATGAACCTGGAATTATACTATTCATAATCATTACAGATGCGAACTTAATATTACATAAAGTACTCCACATAGGGAGCCTTTTTTGCGATTTTGTTTTCAGGAAGGGCCAAGAAGTCATCTTGCGCAGACTCGTCCATCTCTCCCATATTGACAACCTTGAGAAACTCTTTTTGACTTTCAGGAGACGCGTCAAACACATTGAACCGAAAACTGTCTGGCTCTCGATAGCTGTTGAAGATCTCTAGTATACTGGCCTTGTTCCCACATCTATAGCAATAATTAGGGGCCGACCACACGGTGTTGACCTTTCCCTTCCAGAACACCTGGTATCCTTCCTGGCACAGCTGGTGGGCTCTGTATATGCTTTCAAACTTGTTTACCTGCAAAAATTTGTTCACGACATTGATTCCAAACTGGTAGCCTGCTCCTCGCGAAGAAATGCGAAAATTGAGGAGCTCTAGATCGGGGTCACTCCAGACGAGATCGGCCATGGGCCCGTCGTGGGGGATCTCCTTGAAGCGGTCAATTACCAGTATTGAGTCTATTGTTTGGACATTTGGCGATAGTCCTCCGTGGACACAAAATAGATTGTTGTCGATAATGGCGGCGAGAATTAAGTAGTCGAATATATCTGTGAAAATGGACCATATTTGGGACTGGTTGCCATACTTGGTGAGACACTCGGTGTAAAAGCCATAGTTCGTTGTGATCTGGCGCGACTCGTGGTTTCCTCTGATGAGATTCACCCTCTGGGGATATTTCAGTTTCAATACTATGAGTAAGCTGATTGTCTCGACCGAGTGGAACCCCCGGTCGACATAATCGCCAAGAAAGAGGTAATTCGTGTCCGGAGGGTATCCACCAATCTTGAAGACCTCTAGCAAGTCGTAAAACTGTCCGTGTATGTCTCCCACTAGCGTGACTGGCGATTGGACGTGTACTATGTTTGATTCCTTCACCAGCAGTTCCTTCAGCTTGAAACACAGCTGGTCTATAACGGGCTCGGACAAAAGCTCTCCCCGATAAAGCTTTTCCAGGCAATGGTCTAGATCAAGGGAAACTGGTTTGTTAGCATGCTCGGTTATACCATAATACTTACACCCAGCCATTTGTGAGGACGAAGTGCGAAAAACAATTTTTTTTGCTAAAGGCGAAACAAAACAAGTGATAAGGTGTTCTAATACTTCATAATTCTAAGCTTCAATTGTATTCACTCAACAAAGCATGTCGCCCACGAGCAAGGATAAGCCGAGTGATGAGGAGATCCACAACGAAGACTCCGAAACGCTACGATCGCTGTCGAAGTTAAAGCTTCAAATTCCCTCTCAAGGCGTTTTACTTTCACCGCGAGGAACACCTGTTTCGTCTCCGCATAACACTGGCACGTATACTGCCGACCAGATGCTAAAGATCCAAACCGATTTAAACAATGGTGTGCCCGTCGAAGCTATTGGTAAGTTGGACGCGACTCCCGAACAGGTGCCGACAAAGAAAACTGTCAAATCGAGTCCCGATGAGCAGCCTCAAAGGACGCCGTTGCTCAAAACACCAAGCTTTCATTATATCACCAATGGTACCGGACCCATCAGCTCTAGATCCAGTCGAGGAAGCAACAATTACCAAAAGTTACGCACCCTTTTTTCGAACCAAAGCAATGGCTCTTCAGGACCTATGTCTGCGACCGTCGAAGGCGTGCGTCCCCATTCATCCATATTGCGGTCAAACTTGAACACAAAATACTCACAGCAGTACCAGCAACAGGAGATGTTGTATCTGAACGGTATCAACAAATTCAAAAACAGGTATAAGGTGAACGACGATTACTATAACAAATCGGTGGATATCGAGGATGACGATGATCCAGCGGAAGTTACAGTGGATGAGGATCCAGAGGCCCTTAAAATACAAGACAAACTTGAGGAGTTCCAAGAGGACCTGAGTCAAGATGATAGCAAGGAATTCAAGGCGTTGAAAGCTTTGAGTCATCAGGTGGGAATGACCAGTAATGAGTGGGAAAAACCATCAGAGTATCGACTGGACTCCACGGTTCTTCTCGATATACTGAATCAAAGCGATGATATACAGTTAAAGCACACCGATGACAATGCTGCCATCTTGGAACGTCTTGAGTGGCAATCTCTTCTGCAATCCGTTCTCACTGGTGACGTCTTGACGGGAGAAAAGACAAAGTTGATCAAGCCACTCAATGAAGTGGAAGGTGAAAGTTACTTGCGCGCCTCGTACAAAGAGGATCTTTGGATAGGGATACGGTCCAAACTCTTCGGTAGAACAGAAGAAGACCAGAAAAGACTTGTGCAATACCACAGGGGCCTTGTTGATGAAATTCTTGACGAAATCATGAATTTCAGACTGGAAATGCCAGAAGAAATCCAAAACTCGCCTTATATCACACAAGTCAGGTTTGGATTTGACAAAGTCAACGATTTACTTAATAGGTATGAACGTTGTCAGGAACTTTGGAGGGCTCAGAAGGAGATGGAAAATGAAAAACCTTTGTGTGGAACACCTGAATTCACGTCCCGCTTGCACGCACTTATCGCATGGACCTCAATTACGTGTGCTATCGAGCGAGAATCTGATGTGTTGAAGAAATGGGTTGGCAACGACGATCTCGATATTCTAAGGTCTCCTGGTCCTTCGTCTGCAGGTAGCGAACTTCCAGAACCGGAATACCAAGATGATCAAGACCACTCAGACAGCGAGACCAGTTCCAGCAGGAATAAGAATGGAAACATATTCAAGGAAGACAGGTCTTTTGTGGAAAGAATCATGAAAGAGAAAGACATTGAAGACTTATTCAACAAGAGATTATTTGCTAGCTGTGCACATTGGACTTTTAAAGCGAAAGAGTCGTATCTTGAGTACCAGCAATATTTTGAAAAGCTAAATCTTCCCTCTTATGTTGACTCTCTATTGGTCCTCGCAATGTTCCCATCCAAGTTGATGAAAGAATTAGTAAACACCAGACTCTCATACGCCAAAAAATTGAGAAATCCCACAATGATGATGATTGATCAAGTTCTTGAGGATTTCAAACTGTACATCACTCTCGCGCTAGAGATCCGCACATCATTCCTCGAATACTGTTCTCCTCGTGAAGGCTGGATATCATCGCTGGACTACCAAGACGCAGATTTCGACAACGCTATTTTGGAGTGTGTTCATCACTATCTATTGTTGTTGAACAGAAAGTTATTGGATTCTCCAAAGTCATCAAAATCGTTCAGAACATTTAAAGAACCAGAAGAACTCGAACGCGAATGGTCCTTCCTTCAAAACCTTGGATTTTACATTGAAGGCGGCTCTGCAGAGGTTGCAACCCAATTCAGCATACTAACATCTAAGCTCGTCGCTAGGCTACATCAATACATGCAACAACAGTTCCAGGGACCTCCTTACGATGGCACTCCGTTGGACAAGCATAAGATGGTCAGATGGTATACGTCGATGATGGAGAACTTTGGTCAACTGAAGAGAAAGTTCTTCCGTTTCCATGCGATTCTCAACTTTTATTTCCAAAACTCCATATTGTACAATTTGAATGGTGCGCGCATGAAGAAATTCTTGGATATGCTGAAAGAAAGTAACCATGTTCTTTATCACAACGCGCAGTTGGCGGAGGAAGGTGTCTACGTTTTTGCATCGGAATCCATTGCGAGTAAGCCATACGAGGTTTCTCGCATCTTAAAGAGTTCGCATCTTGGTGTTGATTTCAGCAAGATACCTAAAAGACACATGGAAGCTGCGGAAAATTATACTTACTATGCTGAGCCTATTTATGCTGAAGCTGAACACTTCGGCGAGAACCAAAATGAGTTTGATGAGAGCTATGATTACGTTCTAGTGGTTTATCCCGCCAAAGCGATGATGTGGGACGGTATTGTTCTGCCACTAGATCTCACCTCCCTACCTCTAGGCAACCTTGACAAAGGAAAAGTTTTGTTAATTTCCAAGGGTGGCTCTTCGTCCAAGGTTGATGATTGTGCAAACTGGTTCAAGGAATGTGTGGGGAATACTATAGGTTCAGCAGTTGGCAAAAGATGCTCTTTGCCAAAAGTGCAAAGAGAACTTCAAGTCATATCAAAGCAATTTTTCAGAATGTCGTGCTTTGTCATTGATGCCGTGCCTTCCGTGAGAAATCAATGTCGAGGAATAGCGGATACGCAAGAGCTGGCAAATACCGTGTTCACATACATTCGTGATTCAGGCCGCGATTTCCTGAGGACGTTTGACAATGCTCGAAAATCTGTACTCATCTTGAAGCTGCTCCAGTTCGCTATCGAGTGGTTGAGTTTTATTGTGGATGATTGTATACCCACAGACCCTAAGACATTCAGATGGTGTGTTTCTGCTTTGGAGTTTGCCATGGATATTACGACCGGATTCAATATTCTAACTCTAGACAGCGAGAAATTCTACAGACTGAAGGACAAAGTTGCAGGGTGCATGTCTTTACTCATATCCCATTTCGATATTATGGGAGCCAGAACCAAGGAAATGCAGAAAAAAAGAATGCTCAACTACCAGTCCATTTCAGAAAAAGACTTGTTTACGCTTGATGACGAAAGCCTAAGCTCATTGAGAGAACACATTATGTACCAAATTGGCCGTTTGGAGGAAGAGAGAAGATTGCTACAAGTCGAGCAACAATCTGTTGGCCGTGTCCTCGATGATACGGATACCGACAACCAGTTCCTGACATACCTTGCCTCCTCCTTCTCATCAGTCTCCATCAGGTGGCAGAAAGGAAAATTCTTGGGTGGTGGAACTTTTGGTTCAGTTTACGCATCAATTAATCTGGATACTGGAGGAGCTTTAGCGGTGAAAGAAATCCGGTTCCAGGACAGACAGTCTATCAAATCCATTGTGCCGGCCATCAAGGGTGAGATGACTGTGCTGGAAATGTTGTCGCATCCAAATATTGTTCAATTTTTCGGTGTTGAAGTTCATCGCGACCGTGTTTACATTTTCATGGAGTATTGCAGCGGTGGATCTTTGGCAAGTTTGTTGGAATATGGTCGTATTGAGGATGAGTCTGTTATTCAACTCTATACACTTCAAATGCTTGAAGGTCTTGCTTATCTCCATCAATTTGGTATTGTGCATAGAGACATCAAACCGGAAAACATACTTCTGGACCACATGGGTGTCATCAAATTCGTTGATTTTGGATCTGCTAAAGTGATTGCAATGGCTGCACACGGTAACACCTCCAATACCACAGGTGGCTCATCCAGCAGCGGAGGCAACGGCAGTGGTTCCGGCACTGCCACTTTGAACTCGATTCTCCATTCTGGACGCAAAACGCAGGCGTTGACTGGCACGCCGATGTACATGTCGCCGGAAACTATCAGAGGCGAAACCATTGGCAAGTTTGGTGCCATTGATATCTGGTCGTTGGGATGCTGTTTGTTGGAAATGGCTACCGGAAGACGGCCATGGGCTAATTTGGACAACGAATTTGCCGTGATGTATCATATTGCTGCAGGACATCTTCCTCAATTCCCAAGCAACGACCAATTAAGCATTCAAGGACAGCACTTCCTGGCGAAGTGTCTGGATATTGATCCAACAAAGCGTCTTACTGCGGTGGAGCTTCTACAGGATCCATGGATTCAAGCTATCCGGAATGAAGCATTTAGTGATTCGAGCAATAGCTCGACTACGGAGCTCTCAGGAGAGCACACTCCAGTATAACTAGAAAACAATATCTGTGGTATCTAATCTTTCAGGACAGAATCTCCAGTGAGATCCTGCTTCGGTTTCAATGTCTTTCGACGAGCCCTTTTTGGTGCCGGAAGGAACATTCTTCAGCGACAGGTTTGCCATGTTGGCAAGCTTGACATATCCCGTTTCGTCGTCCTCTTCTGTCAGAGATGTATAATCAATTTCTTCAAAGAATTTCTGTTTCCAAGGAGTGTCATCGGCAGCTTCTTTTTTGCGCAGCTCGCGTTGTTCGTTTTCGATCTTTGTTTTCTCTTCGTGGATCAAGTTGTAATCATTAGCCCTGATTGCCTCGGCAACCTTCTGCCAAGCTCTTCTGCTTTCCAGCGAGCTTTGTTCTTCGATAGGTTTGACCGTCAGATGTTGAGGTTGGGAGCTTTTGGCGTCGAAGAAAACCTGTGCATCGGAAGCAACGGTATTACCCCTTGATATGGACGAGACGCCCGACCACTGGCCGCTGACGGTGTATAAAGCCTTTGTCTTGTCCTCGGCCTCGCGAATGTTCTTGTAGATTCTGGCTTTAAAGCTGTTGCTCTTCCCGGAGAAGTAGCCCTTGCCGGAGTATTCAATGACTGCAACGTATCCTGTTGACGACTGAATGTAAGATTTCTGTTCTAGTTCGACGAACGGAGCAGCCATCAAAATACCTTCGATGTGGAGAGGTGGTAGGGTGATTAGGTACTTCTCGTTGAGGTTTTCGTACTCTAGCAATGCATGGCCATACTGTCTCACGTTCAATGCTGTTGCAGACATGGAAGCTCTAACTCCGTTGTAGCCCTGGAGAGTGGTCTTATTAGTTTTATTTTGGATTGCGTAGGCCGTGATAGGAGGGTGGTGGCTGACCTGTTCGCTCACCAGCAGTGTTTCGCCAAACTTCTTGGAAGGCGACTCATCGGTCCACTTGCCCACAAACAATTCGCCTAGAAATGGGTTCAGTGGTTTCTTCTCGCCACCAAGGGTCTCGGCTCGGGAACAGTATTGGCTTTTCAGGGTGGAGATGAACCAGCGCAGAACGGCAACCATGTGCTTGAGCTCAACAGAGTCAATGTCATTGGGTTCCTGCTGGATGAAGTTAGGGGCCAGAAACAGATCAACATGTTCGGACCAGTACTGGGAGTACTCCACCAAAGACGTTGGCGAGAGGATGAATGGCGGTGCAGTCAGCGACGACAGGTCTCCGTTGTAGGATGCCAAGCTCTTGATAAAAGAGGTCCAGGAAGCAGATGTGGACGACATGGAGGCTGAGGTCGTATAAATTGCGTCTAAATATTTTTGTCCACCCACGTACACAGCCACAGACAGACCAAGCTTTTTTACAGTCTAGCAAAATAAATCAGATCCGTCTCGTCAGAAAAAAATCTTTCATTCTGTTCTACGTACAGTATAGCAGGTGGGCGTCACAATTACCACCAGTCACCTTGGGCCTTCATGGCCTCAGCGACCTTAACGAAACCGGCAACGTTGGCACCCATGACGAGCGATGGCAAGGTGTCCTTGTTGGTCTCGGCGCTGTAGGAGACAGCAGTCTCGTAGCAGGTGTTGAAGCAGTTGACCATGATGTCCTTGAGCTTCTTGTCGACCTCCTCAGCACTCCACTGGACTCTCTGAGAGTTCTGGGCCATCTCCAGGCCAGAAACAGCAACACCACCACAGTTGGCAGCCTTACCTGGAGCGTACCAGATACTGTCGCCAATGGAGGAAGCGCTCTTTCTCTCGGCCTCGAAAACGTCAATGGCCTCCTGGGTGGAACCCATGTTGGATCCCTCAGCAAGGTACTTGCAGCCAACAGCGACCAAAGCCTTGGCCTCCTCACCAGAGACCTCGTTCTGGGTAGCACATGGCAGAGCGACATCGACCTTACCGACGTGGACCCATGGTCTGGCACCATCGATGTATTGGACAGGGGTGGTTTCGAAAGCGGAGTACTCACCAATGATGTCCTTCAAAGACAGGAACTTGACCTTGGCCTCGATGATGGCCTCGATGTGCTCCTTGGTGATACCAGATTGGCAGATGATGCAGCCCTTCGAGTCGGACAGAGAAACAACGGTTCCTCCGAGCTCGATGACCTTCAAAGCGGCGTACTGAGCAACGTTACCGGATCCCGAGATAGCAACTCTTTTGCCAGCAAAAGACTCCTTTCCGTTGGTGGCCTTCTCGATCATCTTCTCGACGTAGTAGACCAGACCGTAACCGGTGGCTTCTGGTCTGATCAAAGAACCACCCCAGGTCAATCCCTTACCGGTCAGCACACCCTCGAACTGGTTCTGCATCTGCTTGTAGGCACCGAACATGAATCCAATCTCACGTCCAGTGGTACCGATGTCACCAGCTGGAACATCGGTGAATTGTCCAATGTGTCTGGCAAGCTGTCTGATGAAGGCAGTGCAGAATCTTCTGATCTCGTTGTCGCTCTTTCCCTTAGGGTCGAAGTCGGATCCACCCTTACCACCTCCCATGGAGAGACCGGTCAAGGCGTTTTTGAAAATTTGCTCGTAACCCAGGAACTTGAGGATCGAGAGGTTGACGCTTGGGTGCAATCTGAGACCTCCCTTGTATGGACCCAGAGCAGAGTTGAACTGGACTCTGTAACCTCTGTTGACCTGGACGTTGCCCTGGTCGTCCTCCCAGGTGACTCTGAATTGGATGATTCTCTCTGGAACAGAGACAACCGGAATCACCTTCTCGTACTCTGGGTGCTTCTGGAACAGAGTAGACTCCTTGAGGGTGGAGTACAGTTCGTTGTATGCTTGTTCGAATTCTGGCTCTTGTGGTTGGACCATTGTGTATTCTATGGGGAAGGGGCAGAACTGCGGCGGAACCCGTATTTATATTACTACCGAGTAGCTGGTTGTTTCTCGAAGCCGCACTCAAAGATTTCCGTTGACGGAGATCTTTGTGAAAAATTATCAATGGACTAAATATTATCTATAGCCAATCACAGCAGAGCGCCAAGTTACTTTTTCCACTGGCACTACGCACCAATTACACGCTCCGCGGGCCTTGCCGCACACTGTAGTTGCTTTTCGTGCCAGCAAAACAATGCGGAAATATCGTTCAGGACAACTGCAATTTTTCGCACCAGCTTAGCGGCGTACATGCCGGCAAGAGACGCCGGCACTGTCTTCCTACATGAGGGCTATTGTTCGCCGACACCGGTAGCAATAAATCTGGTAATCCCATTTGTTCTGTGAAAAATTTTCCAGGGGATGATGACTCAGTACATTATTTTCGCGACCTCGAGCACTACAATACGTCCCGGATCCCACCTCCTGAACCAGGCGAAAAAGAAACCGAGACATGGTGGACACGCGTTTAGTCCGGCGTGCCTCATGGCAATGCGGCGTTGTGTTTCTAACGCTCGCTGAATGCCGGATAGCTAGCCTCTACTATCGCACCAATCGCTGACTTTTGAAGCATAACCGAGTTTTCTCTTGCTCACCTGCAATGCACACCTACCGGAAAAAATCGCCCTATACAGCTCAAATGGCTTATTTTCACTCGGCCTCCCGACGGTGTCTGGTGTGCTTCATCGCCGGTTCAGGCATGGGAGTCAGCACGTCCAACTCTTTGCGTCAAGCTCGTTCCGTCTTGCGGGGGTAATGCGAACCTGTTCGAATCATCCTCGGCGAGTTTATCGCGGCTCCGCCCGTAATCAATAACTAGGAGGTGAGCAGACCTAATAATTTATTTTTCGCTATGTTAAATATCTCGCCTCGTCACTACATATCCCCCACCATTTTTAGCCAGTCCGGGTCAATAGCCAGTTGTCCATGGTTGTCGCCGGTTAAAGCTTGGCCTTTTCCGGACCAACAAACTTGAGTAACTTCTCTACATTGGCAGCCTTCATGACGTTACCCTTGATCTTGAGCTTACCTGTCATGAACAACTTTTGAGCGCTGGCCTTCCCGTCTATAAGTTTGCGAAGTTGTAAGTCGCCAATCTTGATCTTTATCTCGGCATCGTCTGCCACCTTGTCTGTCTTCTTCAACGTTCCATCTGACTTGGCATCCAAAACCCAATATTGAGTCTCACCCGTCTTTTTGTCGTTGATCTCAAATGACACCAGCGAGTTCAGGGACTTCAAGGCTTCCTTTCTCAGACTCTCGTTTGACTCGAGAGCCTCCGATAGCTTTGTAAGTAATTTCGTAGATTTCGACATAAGCAAATGCTACTCCAGGGTCCCTTATATATTTAGGGTTCCCCACACTGGCCAGCATGTGATAATATAATCATGACTATATTATCACATTCATGCAGGCAATCCAGTTCGAAGCAAGCTTATGGTTTCGCTTTCTTAAGACAGAGTTATCGTAATACATGGCCACAAAAGTCTACACACATCTACATACAGGCATTCAAATAAGATGATTCAATTTTCTCTCGACACACTAAATCTCGGTTGCAGATGTTTTGCCCCAGATCGGGCCCAAAATAATAAATAATTCTAGAAATTGAAGGCAAATTAATTTTGTTTCATTATGGGTATCTACAATCCTTCGGACTCAAATAACATCGAGTCTTTGGTGACCAAAGAAGAGAAACCGCTGAACACCTCTGCATTAAGTACCATCAATGACTCATTTGAGTCATTGCTGTCTTCGGCAAACAATTTGACCTCTTCTTCTGTCTCCAATCTCCTTGATTGGTCTAGCAAGTATTTGGGCGAATCCGGCCACGATTTCCACGACAACCTTGTCAACGCCGTGGACCAGGTGTTTGATATGTTCCCGCTATTCAACGATTCTCCGTTTGGATCATTTGGTCGCAGATTCAAAAATCAGGAGACTCCTTACGGTCTCTGGGCCTATCCAATTCCTTCTGCCAAGTTGTACGCCAGATGCCAGGAGATGAACGGCCTCTCTGTGTGGGATGCTAACGGAGCTTGGAGATGTTTGTTCCCAAGAGCCAGCATCCCAGACGACTTCGGTTCGGCATTGGCTAGGGAAGACGTAGAGAGCGACTCGACTCATCAAAAGGGTTTATTTTTCCCGCAATACACGGATTATCTTGGCTTCAAAGTTAAGATGACGGAACTGGCCAACAAGAAGCGCAAGGAAGAATGGGAGAAGTTCAAAGAAGAGCAGAAGTCTAAGTGGGACTTTTACAAAGACGATAAGAAATGGAGCGATAGCCCTAACTTCACGGGATCAAGTAGCTCCACCACCATTCGCACGTTGGACGACGGCGATGTGGAAAAGGTCACTGTCATGAAGCAGTTTTTCAGCGACGGATCCAGCACCATCAAAGAAACCAAAGAGATTCTCAACAGTGCTGGTGAGCGCAAAACCATTGATGAGAACTGTCAGAAACTTCCAAGCCAGAAGAAATCAGGCTGGTTTTGGGATAACGAGAAATGAATTGTTTGATTATACCACTTTTAGGATAGGCGTTGTGAATAGGCAGTAAATACACTAAATTTAACCGAATGCGACAATGTTGCAGTAGCTGACAATAAGCTCGTCACCAACGCGGAAAATATTATACAGGTTTTCGAGCTCCTCGTCGGGATTGGGGCTGACCGAGTTATTGAGATAGCAGTACACTTTTCTGCCTAATTTGAGCTCAAGAAAACGCAAGATGGATGAGAATTTGGAGCTTTTGCTGATCTTGAATACGGCAGGGCTCACTTGGTCCACGGATCCTATTGATTTGAAACGAATCTGTATTTTGGATTCAGTCGGTTTGGACACTGAGAGCACAGCGGAGGTCGTTTTCGCGGGCAGTTTGGAGAGCATCATACTCTGGTTGAGGGTAATCTTCGTTTTCTGCGGGTCATTCTTGATTGTGGTTTCGTCGTCAAGCACCTCTTCCTTATTATCTGTCGTCTGACTTTGTTCTTCAGCAATGGTTTGAGGTACGTCGGTTGTCCCCACTTCAATGTTTAACTCCATCAAGGAGCTCGCAAGATGACTATCGCTCATAGATAAAAAATTAATTACTCCAGATTCTTAATTTTATATTATTATTCCCTACTTGCGTACGCATCTACCAGATTTCTAAAGTGTGCCACTTCGTCCATCCCAGGTTTGTTGGATTCCTCCAACTCGCCCAGAATAGTGAGGACAAGGGAGAAATTGCTGTAAAGAAATAACTCTCTCTTTTTCGGATCTAGCGTTGAGCTCATCTTCATTAGTGTGTTTTCAAACTCGTTTCGAAGGCGGACAATGGAATTTGTCAGCGGCTCTGACGTTTCCTGCTCTATCACGTTATGAGAAAGGCTAAGCAAGGCGAGCAGTACACGCCCGAAGTTCTGGGTTAGGCCTAGCGGAATCATTATGCTTTTATTGATGCTCTTGAGTATCACAGAGGACGATACGCTTTTCTTGATATTCATACAATTTTGGTCTATCAGTTTTTGAAATCTTGGCCAGAGAATAATCAGCTGATAGTTCAGATAGTCTTCCATCACTGGTATGCGTCTATGCTGCAATTCGTATTCCAGCTGCTGGGTCAGACGAATAGCTATGAGCACCCCAAAGTAATCGTAAGTGTTGGAGGTAAGATATTTGGTGAAGCTGTGTCCAATTTGGTACACCGGGCTGAAAATTGTCTTGAAAATGTCATCCAATTGCTCGCTCTTGGTCAGGTTGAAAAATTCGCTCATAAATAGGTACTCAACACAGACGTTGTCCAAAAGTGCAACATTGAAATTTCTAAACGCAGTTTCGAGCCAGTATTTTGCGTTGTTAGTTTCGGCTATTTGAGCGGGCATGACCGTCTCATCAAACTTGCTCAGCGACTCCAGTCTTTTTGTCAAACCAATCAAATACTCGCTAGGGGTGACCTCATGTTTCTGGTTAGAGTATCCGAAAAACGATCCGGCCCCAGAAGGGCCTCCCTCTTCATCGAGGGACCCAAGCAGGACGTTGTTTTCAACCCTGTGTATTCTCAGTCTCTCTAATGACGAGCAATATTTAGCAAAATTCTGATAATAGTACCAACGCATGGTATGACAGTATGCCTGACAGAGATCATTACTCAAGTTGGGATTCTTTTCCTGCAAATAGGTAAAAATCTCCTTCACCTCGAGCATCTCGCTCTGAACCACCTGCGATGAGACCGTCTGTTTTCTTAAAGCTTTAATTTGCTTGATCAGGTAGTCTCTGATTCTTTCGACAACTTTCAACTCCATCATATCCAGCAGTTTTGTGAGCTCTGGAAGACACTTTGGCTGGTTCCCGGAAGAGTACTTGGAGTAGATTTCTCTCTTTTCGGTGAGGAACGTTATGTTTTCCACCCACTTTTCGTCTATCTTGTCGTCTACTATGGAATTTATTATGGTGGGAGGGATAATTAAATCGTTAATGACTGGAGTCAACCTTGTATCTAGCTCCTGCTTGCTTTTTATCTGCGAGTTCAGCACATCAGATCGTTTTTGAAGAAATTCCATTTCCTGAGATAGCTTGTTGATGTTTTGCTCAAAGTTTTGGAGGTAATCGAATAGAGGCTTGAGATATGTTCTTGTGTTTTTTATTTCCGACTGGAAGTTGGCAAACTTCTCGTAGTTGACCTGGTAATCGAACTTCTCAAGTTGCGGATTCAATGTGCTGAGGAACCGGTACTCCTGCAGAGTGCTTATTCCCTTACTGGCCCGCAATTCCTTCAAGAGCTCTTCAATTCCATCGTCGCCGTCGTCAAGCTCTCCGCGAACATCGATCTCCCATTCCGGATTCAGCTTGCGTCGAAGCCACTCCAGCGCATCAGGGTCGTCCTTGAAAGGCTGCGAGTGCTTCGAGATCGACCTCCTGGAAATCTTGCGTGTCAACTGCGGCGTGCTCGCAACACTCTCGGCAGGAAGCATATCAGAGCGATAGATAGATTGGACTGATATTTTTTTCCAACACACATTTCGCGAAAATTAGTGCGTATAATCAGTACACCAGAAATATGTACCGAAGCATACGGCTGTGGTTTGACGTGCCCTGAAAACCTGGCGCCTCCAGGCGCATAACGGCATCAACCAATGCACTGAAATAGGATTTCCTGTTCTCCGAGCTCAGACGGAGCGCAACACTTCCCCCCCCGCACTATGACGTCAGACCCCACAGTCTCCAGGTTGAAAATTTCCAGACTGCAGCTTTGCGCTCGTCCATGCGGAAACAATGTATGCTGTTTTATCTGTGACCGCTAGCTTCAAAAGGATACGACCAGAAGGGGAAAGACTATAAAGAAAATTCCATACGCGTTGCTCGGTTTCAGGAAGATCTTGTCCCAAATGGATGAAGCCAGTTCGCAGCCTGTCAACCAGAGGCATCAGACAAAGCCAGCATCTCTAGCATCTAATTCATTATTGCTGCCGCCCATCCTGTCCTCAGTCACGGCACCGATACCTCCGCCCTATACGCCAAGCGCGGCCTCCACCAATTATGCTACCCGAATTCCCTCGTTACCCTCGCACCATTCCTTAGACGCCAAGACTATACCGAGTCCGATTGATCTCCGAGGGACAGCAGAGAGAATTTCTTCGCAGGTGGGCCCAATCGCCACTTCCCGCGTCCCGCGCAGTTTGCCAGACAACGAGAAGGAGAAGATCAGGAAGCCACAGAAGGTGTCCAAGCGGTCGCGGAAAGGCTGTTTAACATGTAGGTTCCGCAAGCGCAAGTGCTGCGAGACCAAGCCTGTGTGCACTGAGTGCAAGCGGCTAGGCATAAAGTGCTCCTGGATCACGAATGGCCTCGAAAACAAGAACAAGTCGAAGAAAAACCCTGACTTCCTTCGAAACGACGAGTGCTACGACGACATATTCGGCGTTATCAAGGTTGTCAGAGGCAAGATAGACTACAAAATTGCAGACGGCGACTTTGTTGAAGGCAACAAACCCCCGGACGATGAGCTGTACAATACAGAAGCGGAGACACACGAAACGTGAATTATGACACTCTATCTGGTTTTCTTCTCCTCTTCTTCCTCCCGGATGGCAATGTCGGCGGCCTTGAAGTCCATGAAATAGTGCTTCAGCACCAACTCGATGATCCAACTGACTCCAAAGTCAAGCAACATAGCAACCGTCAATTTAATTTTGAACAGGTCGCTCATCTTGACGAACTGCATTGCCTCGTTGAGCTCCGGCATAAACTCGGTACTTCCAGCAAAACACAAAAATGTAACTCCCAAAAGACCGTAGTACATACCTCTGTTGTCTTTGATGGATTGTCTAAACGGTGGTCCCTGGTAGTTGATTGTGAAGGTGGCAACCTGCTGCGAGAGCTGAATCAGGAACATGGCAGTGTTGAGCAGAGATGGACTGAACTCTTTCTCCAAATCCACCTGAGGCTCTCTTGGCTCAAGGATATACACTTCTTTGGTGATATAGATCAGAGAGATCAAGTGAATTGCAAATTGGCCAAGAATGGATCCCATAATGTAAATATTGAAAATCCCGGGTTGTGGTCTCTCTTTGGACAGCTTATCAAGTGACTTTCCTCTAGAAATCGACAAAAAGCACACACTCAACAACAATCCAGAAACAGTGGCTTGTCCATCCCCAAACTTAATACCTGCAAGGTATAGCACGGAAAGCGAATAGGCAGAAACCAAACAGTTCAAGGCCAGGATCTTGTACATTTGGATCGTAGACACCAATGCACATCTTCCCTGTCTAATGATATGGACGACTGCAGAAACGTTCGCAAGTTTGGAAGTAAATGGCGCAGCAACCGAAGCGTCTCCAAGCTTCAACACTGGAGCCTCATTTTCGTCCTCTTCCTCTTTCAGGCCTGCTAGCAGCTGCTCTGCAAAGTTCGACTTTTGCGTCGCAGAACCGTTTGCATTCGCGGAAGATGGAATTGGCTGCTTGTTGGCAATCTCAACAGCCTGTCTCATTTCAGTGGTGATGGTATGACCTTGTTTCTCCATGGTTGCCAGGTAATGAGGATTCAATGGACCTGGAGGATACAAGTGAGCAATTGGAGCAGGAACTTTTGGAGGAGGGTTTCCCCATCTCTTCATGATGTCACACTGTTTCTCGTACACTTTCTGCAGACTCTCGATCTTCTTGTTTTCTTGGATCTTCTTTAGTCCTTCTTCAGTACCGTTCAATAAAGCAACACCAACATGTGCCTGTTTCAATGCACCAACATCGTTCGTACCGTCACCACACATGAGTGTCTTGTAGCCCAAGTTCTTGTAAGAGTTGAGAATGAACTCTTTTTGTGATGGCGAGACTCTCGAGTAGACCCAAGTGTACCTGATCAGCTTTTCAAGTTGAGGGTGTTCCATCAGTTTAGACAACGCATAGCCCGTAATACAGATATCGTTCTTCTGCAAAAACTTGATATCAAAGTCCTGGGTCGGGTTGAAAGGAATAATCCTAGTCTCATCAACGTTTCTCCAAGCCAGCTCTGAGTCTCCAGGATAATGAGTTTCAGGAATATCCAGAATAAGCACATCCTTGGTCACAATAGCCACCTCTTTGGCAACATGGCACGCAGTCAGGGGGTTGTCACCGGTGATCATGACACATCTATGACTGGACTCGTTGAGCATCTGAACCGTTGAGATAGCATCATCCTTCAGGGGACAGTGGAAAACGATGAATCCAGCAAACTTCAGGCCACTCTCAACAGAGTGTCTCTCGAGGCCATCAACGTTTTTGTCGGAGCTGAGGTACTTGTAGGCCAACGCCAGAACTCTGGATCCGGAACGGGTAAACGATTTGTACACTTCTTCGTAGTTAGAAGGAACATCCACAAGCATCTCCTTGATTGTCTCAGGAGCACCTTTGCAGCTGACAAGAACCTGATTGCCAACCTTCGAAATAGAAGATGATCTCTTGAGTGCAGAGGAGAACTGGAATCTTCTCAAAATCTTGATGACTCTCTTGTGGCCCTCTATAGTATTCTTGGCCTTTGGAGACAGTTTCCAATTGGCAGCCTTCAACGTCTCCTTTTCCATTGGATCACCGACGATTTCCCCGTCATCAAGCTTAACCAAAGCGTGTGCAGAACCAAGAACATCCAGAGTCACAGATGGAACGTCTGCGTCTTCTGGCTTGAACAGTCTTCTGATATTTGAAGAATCAAATCCTGCCAATCCCTCAAAGTTGAGGTCTTCTCCAGTCAGAGTTCCAGTTTTGTCGAAACAACAGACATCGATTCTACCGGCCAGCGGAATTCTGAATGGCTCAGTACAATAAATGTAGAATTTTCCAAGAGCAGCCAGAGATTGGTTGACAGCCATGGTCAATTCCATAGGAAGTTCGGGAGGAACAACAGATGTCAACACGATGATACAGTCGAGAATCAGCTTAGACTGGATTCTTCCCATCTTGGTTCCCTCGACCCACACGTACCACGAGGCAATGACTGCAAACACGAGCAAAAAGAGAATAAAGAAAAACGCCTCTTTGTTTGCCACGGACATTCTCTCACTGGAGAAAATCATCACTCTGACAAGAGAACCCTGGGTGGTCTCAAAACCGGTCTTTGCAACCAGGGCCAAAGCACCGTTGTCAGGAGCCAGTTTAATCAAAGGCTTTTCTGGAGGAGTCACTTGCAAGCAAGATGTTCCGCCATGCAGCTGAGCGTTCTTGTCCAGGCCATCAGGCTGGTACAAATCAGCATCCTCTCTGAGCTTGATCGACTCCTTCAACAGCGGAGTGGATTCTCCAGAAAGCATTGCCTCATTAACAATGCAGGATCCGTCAAGAAGCACTAAGTCACAAGGAATGGAAAGGTCTTCGTGCGGAGTTCTTGTCACGGAGACAATATCGCCAGGAAGCAAGTCCTCAGTGGAGATCTTGGACCATTTCTCGTCTCTGTAACAGTAAATGTCGTACGGCTTGATACCCATGCTCTGGAACTCGGTCATGGTGCTCTTTCTCTGATAAACGCTCGTACTCTCAAAGCTGACTAGCATAAACAAGGAGAACAACGACAAGTACCACATATCATCCATCAACCACAAGGCAATAGAAAACAGCTGAAACACGAAGAACGGAGCCAGTGCGTGTTCGATGAACAGCTCGATAAAGGTTGGGATCGGGATGTCGAACTTGTTCTGGCCGTACAGATTTCGAAGGCCAGTTAGTTGATCGTTCTTTAGGCCTCTAGATTGCTTTAGACGACGTATGGTGAGCTTTTCATCGTCAATGGCAAATAATGGAGGCGAGAACTTTGAAAGCTCGCTGTTCCAAAAGTACTTTCTTTTTTGATAGAGGAAAGAGAGCAGTTGTGTCTTGGGGTCAAACTTGATTTCGGAGATCTCACTGATACCAAAACTTGGTTTTGCCCTTATAAAAATATGCGACGCCTCGTCCAAAGAGTCGACCCTAATATACTTGAAATTGACATTCAAGTCCAAGTTCCATCTAGGGAGCAGCCAAACCAACGCATGGATCGACACCAAAGTCAACGTGTAGACGAACGTCCACTCTCTGCCAACGAAGTACTTATCGTAGTGGTTGGCGTAGAGATTATAATACACCGGGTAGATTGCCAAGAAAGGAAGCACATACGGTTTGAGGACCAATGGCTTACGCTTGAGCAGCTGTGACGACTCGATGGTGTCACTGTTGATCAGGTCTTGGGACATGGTGTAAGATAAAAAACGTGGAAATTTTCAGATAGTGCGGCCGGGTAAAGACGAGGCGAGAGACTGAATAGCTTTACGCTGGCAGTTAGGTCTCATGAGCTGATTCTTCGTGGTTGCTGTGTGATGGCAAAGGCTTGTACGATCGGCCTAACGCGACTGCGTGGTTGCCATATGCTCGGCACCAGTGCGTCGTACCTAGTACAAATTTGCGGCTGTGCAAGACGCGTATGGAAAATGTTGATCTGATTTTTTCTACACCATGAATTATCCGTTGGATTTGGAACTTCCTTGGTAAGTACTGACATGGCACGGTCTAACATTAAGGGTGGAAAAGTACAGGCCCACTAAATTGGAAGATGTGGTGGGCAACAAGGAAACCGTTGAATCGCTAAGAAGAATCGCAGAGGAGGGAAACATGCCCCATCTAATCATATCGGGTCTGCCTGGTATTGGAAAAACCACCTCTGTGTTGTGTCTGGCACACGAACTCCTTGGGGATCAGTTTCGCGACGCTGTGCTGGAACTGAACGCATCTGACGACCGTGGTATCGAGGTGGTGCGCAATAAAATCAAACAGTTCGCTCAGAAAAAAGTCCAACTTCCACCAGGAAGACACAAAATCGTAATTTTGGATGAGGCAGACTCAATGACTCCTGGCGCACAGCAGGCGCTACGGCGTACCATGGAAATATACTCCAACACCACCCGCTTCGCATTTGCTTGCAATCAATCAAGCAAAATCATCGAGCCATTGCAAAGTAGATGTGCCATTTTACGTTACAATAAGCTCGAAGATGAGGAAATACTAAGAAATCTGCTGTACATTATAAAGCAGGAAAAAATTGAGTACACCAATGACGGCCTGGAGGCATTGATATTCACGGCAGAAGGTGATATGAGACAGGCAATCAACAATTTACAAAGTACATTCTACGGCTTCAACTTCGTGAACTCAGAAAATGTTTACAGAATTGTCGATTCTCCGCATCCTCTAGTGATTTCCAAAATGCTCAGGAGTTGCATTCGGGGCGATTTCGAAGGCAGTCTCGACATTTTGCGGTCGCTGTGGGCAAAAGGGTACTCTGCGATCGATATTGTCAGCACGAGTTTTAAGGTTCTCAAGTCCATGTACGATATTGAAGAGGATAAACGGTTGGAGGTGATCCGCATTGTTGGTTTTACCCACATGCGTGTTCTGGAAGGAGTCTCCACCTACTTACAACTGAGTTGCATGCTGGCCAAAATTTTGGAGCTCAACAAAGAACTGAAAATAGATACGTGAAGATTAGATTTAAAGATTGGTGTTTTTTATTTCCTTTTAATTTTTTTCGCGTCATGACATCTTCCAAATATACTACTACTTTTCTGGTTCGATTGTTTCGATCTTTAGACACTTTGGTCGCGCTTCATTACAGCACCAACTATCTTTCATCACTAGTGCGCTTTTCAACGGTATCGAAACAGGTGCTGAACCTTAATCAGGAGGTACTCTGCACGATCAAGTCAATCTATCCCGAGTCTTATGAGATTGCCAGAGCAGGGGACGACATCACAATCGATGTTTTTTGTGAAAACCCTGCCGACAGAACCGAGGAACGAGCCCAACTGCTCCAAAAGATTGAGGAACGCCAACAAATCTTTAGATCAAAGCTCGAAGAGTGGATCGCAAATAGGTGCCCCATTACATTCACACTGGAGTCAGAGCAAAAGCATCAAACGTCACCTAAGAAAATTGCGAAAATAGTCAAACCAAAGAACTCGCGCACCAAGTACGAATTCCATGAAAAGCAACTCCTATCTGACCTGCCACTTTTAGAGCGCATTAAATTGAAGCAGGCCTCAAAAAAGATGAATATTCCTCGCAACAATAAACAAGAAGCCCTTGATTCCAAAATGGTCCCAATCTACAACGTGATCTACGAGCAATCCCCCAAATTTGACAGTTCCAAAACTGTCAGTCTGAGTGTCACTCGCCTTCAACAGCTGGTCAGAGACTCCATGACGCTACCGGTTTCCGAAAGTGACGTGCGCAAAGTATTGCATCAGTTGGCTGAAAAACTCGGACTGCGGCTGACAGTCATTGGTGAGACCCAGGTTCTTAGAATTCCAAAGCTGAACAGAAACGAAGATCTTGCCAAGCTGGGCAGCTGCCAAGTTGAGCTAGTTGATTAAATCGACTCGGATTCCTACTGCATCCTTGCACCGTCACTCAAGGGCCTCTATTGTTCTTCTGGAAATTTCTGCTGGTATAGTGAGCAAGGCACTACCCGAAAAAAATGACGGCGAAATATTGAAAAAAAGCTGGAAAATTAATTTATATATCTTTGTTTTGCCCCTGTGGATTTACAACAGCAGGATAATTCAATAAGTGGGTAGCAAGTGCTAGTAATTGAAAAGATGTTGGCAAATATTGCTAGAAACGTGAGAAGTGTGAGTATTGAGCATGCAATCGCCGTTCGTCCGCTAACCCTTCAGTCTTCTCTCAAACAGCTGAGATACAACTCCACCAAGGTGACCGGTTCCGTGATCGGTATCGACTTGGGAACCACCAACTCTGCCGTTGCTGTGATGGAAGGAAAGACCCCAAGAATCATCGAGAACGCCGAGGGTTCCAGAACCACTCCATCCGTCGTTGCTTTCACTAAGGATGGTGAAAGACTGGTTGGTATTCCAGCTAAGAGACAAGCCGTGGTCAACCCAGAGAACACCTTGTTTGCTACAAAGAGATTGATCGGTAGAAGATTTGAGGATCAAGAGGTGCAAAGAGATTTGAATCAAGTTCCATACAAGATCGTCAAGCACACTAATGGTGACGCTTGGGTTGAGGCTAGAGGCCAGAAGTACTCCCCAGCCCAAATCGGAGGTTTTGTTCTCAATAAGATGAAGGAGACTGCTGAGGCCTACCTTGGTAAGCCTGTCAAGAACGCCGTCGTTACCGTTCCAGCATACTTCAACGACGCTCAAAGACAAGCCACTAAGGATGCAGGTGCTATCGTTGGTCTGAACGTCGCCAGAGTTGTCAACGAGCCTACTGCTGCTGCCTTGGCTTACGGTCTTGAAAAGACCGATACCAACGTCGTCGCCGTGTTCGACTTGGGTGGAGGTACCTTCGATATCTCTATCTTGGACATCGACAACGGTGTCTTTGAGGTCAAGTCCACCAACGGTGACACTCACTTGGGTGGTGAGGACTTTGATATTGCTTTGGTTAGATACATTGTCGACGCTTTTAAGAAGGAGTCCGGTATCGACCTTCAAAACGACAGAATGGCCATTCAAAGAATCAGAGAAGCCGCTGAGAAGGCCAAGATCGAGTTGTCCTCTACCCTCTCTACCGAGATCAATCTTCCTTTCATCACTGCTGACGCTTCCGGTCCAAAGCACATCAACTTGAAGATGTCCAGATCTCAACTTGAGCAATTGGTTGAGCCATTGATCAAGAAGACTGTCGAGCCAGTGAAGAAGGCTCTGAAGGATGCTGGTCTCTCTACTTCTCAAATCTCCGAGGTTATCCTTGTCGGTGGTATGACCAGAATGCCAAAGGTCGTCGAGACCGTCAAGTCCCTCTTTGGTAAGGAGCCATCTAAGGCCGTCAACCCAGATGAAGCTGTTGCTATTGGTGCCGCTATTCAGGGTGCTGTTTTGTCTGGTGAGGTCAAGGATGTCTTGCTTTTGGACGTTACTCCATTGTCTCTCGGTATTGAGACTCTGGGTGGTGTCTTCACTAGACTGATTCCAAGAAACACTACTGTTCCAACCAAGAAGTCCCAGATCTTCTCCACTGCTGCTTCTGGCCAAACATCCGTTGAGATCAGAGTGTTCCAAGGTGAGAGAGAACTTGTCAGAGACAACAAACTGATTGGTAACTTCACTCTTTCTGGTATTCCACCTGCTCCAAAGGGTGTTCCACAAATTGAGGTCACCTTCGACATTGACGCTGACGGAATCATCAATGTTTCTGCCAAGGATAAGGCTTCCGGCAAGGACAACTCCATCACTGTTGCCGGCTCCTCCGGATTGTCTGATGCTGAGATTGAGAAGATGGTTAACGACGCCGAGAAGTTCAAGGAGCAGGACAGAGCTAGAAAGGAGGCTATTGAGCAAGTCAACAGAGCTGACCAACTCTGTGCCGACACCGAGAAGTCTCTCGAGGAGTTCAAGGAGAAATTGGATGCTACTGAGGTCGAGAACATCAACAAGAAGATCGCAGAGTTGAGAGAGATCATTGTGAAGGTCAACGGTGGCGAGACTGTTGAGGCTGACGAGATCAAGAACAAGTACGAAGAGTTGCAAGCTGACTCACTGAAATTGTTTGAGAAGCTTTACAAGGACGGTAACGCTTCGAGCTCCGAGTCTTCTGGCGAGCAAAAATAAAGTTGTTTATAGTTGACTAATTTGTATATACGGGAGTTAGTAAAAAATATTGTGTGAAAATAAATAAATAGAAGTAATTTAATAATGTTCAAGCTGAACCCCCTGAGCAAGCTGATATTTCTGAGCATTCTTATAGCAATTGGGTTCCTCAATATTGTGCTCAGCTGTGCATTGTATGATAATTGGCTTCCTCTGATCGATGTTGCCATTTTCCTCGTTGCTCCGCTGCCCAATGCTTTAGCACAATCTCTTTCGAGCGCATACGAGGCTGATTTCTTGTCGGATTCCCACCAAGAGATACCGATCAAGGAATTTTTCAAGTTTATGACAGGGTTCCTTGTGATCAGTGGTATTATCTTCCCAATTATTCTCTTCCATTGCCATTTGATCACGCACTGGAGTCTAATTTTAAGTGTCGCGGGAGGTTTTATCATTTATCTAAGCATTGTGCTCTTCATTGTGGGTTTCAAAGAGGAACCAGACGAATACGATTTCTGAGTTTATTTTTGCAAGTCAACAATACAAACCTTGCCCGACTTTGGACCACCATACAAAATTGCCCATTTTGTCCCCTTGGACGCCTCCTTCGAAAGCGCATTGTATATATTAGCCACGAACGAGCGAGGCGTCGAGCTGGAGACTCCGCCGACCTTCCTTTTCCATTCGTCTGGCTGGTTCAGCGACGTAATACTGATCATCGCAAGCACTTCGTCCCTCGCTTCAATGGTGAAGATAGGGGAACTCTCCAAGACCCGGATCAAAGACTCTGCAGACTCTGCAGCCTGATCCACGATCGCCCATTTCTCCTTCTTGTTGTTTTTTCTGTTGGCTCCCGTTGCATTGTTAGGAACAACAACCACCCGTTGACGGTTATCTGCGAGCGCCTCGGCGTCCTGCAACACGTCCTTGGTATCGACTTCTATCTCCTTTGGTTGCTCGCCTTTTAACAGCGACACGAGATCGTGCAAGTCAACTTCAATATCCACTTTGGCTTCCAGATTCTTGAGTCGCAATGGTTTATACTTGTTACTCTTTGAGTTGCCCTTTAGTGTCTCCATATTAGTCTGAGCCTTCACCACAAGCAGCCATTTGACATTAGATTCCACTGCCTGATTCACCATATCATCGATCGTGACCGAGTTATTCACCAGGTCAGCGCTGATGTCGTTCGACCAGAGTACTTCCAACAAAAATGGCGCAATCTCTTTCAGGATACCGGCAGAGAAAAACCCAATAAGAACGTCGCATTTCTTAGTCTGCCAAACAACCTTCAAATTCTCCTTCTGGAATTTGCGCTTCGTGTCTTTACGACTGTTGAACATGTCCTGATACCGTTTCATCGAGTTGAAAAGGAAATCCCAAGCCAGACGGAGCCCCACGGCTCTTGGCAGGTCACGTGGCGACTTGTTGCGGGCCAATGTGCTTATCAGCTCGTCGTAGCGTCCGCCAGCGCAGATGATGGATTTGAACTTGTCCTCGTACACTGCTGTGAACATGATTCCTCCTTTATAGAACGCAGAGTTATAGCCGCTAAATGGCCGAATTTCGATGTTGAGCCCCACATTGAACCATTCCAAATAATTCATGATCTTCGAGATGTAGTTTAAGGAACTGTCCACCTTCCCTAGATGCGGGCTATCCATCATGAGCTTGTGAAGCTTTGATCTCGCTTGTCCTATCGGGAGTCCAAAATCGAACTGCACAAGCTCGTTTAAAATTGTGGATGACATGTTAAGATCCTGCTTCAGAATAACTTTCAGCTCCTTGATAGTCTTTCCAAAACCGACTTCGGCTAGGATTCGGCTGACAATAACTCTTTGCGGTCTTTCTATACCGCAGTACTCCAGGATCGTATCCAGCAAATTGCAGTGGTTCAAAATTATTTTCACATTGCTCTGCTTCAGGAACGGCAAAATAGCTATGATTTCACTCATCACTTTGATGCACTCCGCGTCATAAAAGGGCAACAGTTCTGCTGAGTCACTCGGACGGGAGACAATATCAAAATCAATTTCCTTGAACTTGCTTGGACCAGATCCTTCGTCTTTGTCTATCGAGCGATAGACATCTTCGATTCTAAAGAATTTGTGTATAGCCAGCGGCTTGCGTCCAAGAAGTCTAGCCAGGGGAAGAGTTAAATCATACGGAAGCTGAAGGACCGAACCAGCTTTGTCCAGCACCTCGTAAACCTGGTATGTCGAATCATACAGAGGATTTTTGGGGAATAGCAGAGCAGTGTGGTCGACAAACTCAATCCCACCATGTCTCATGAATATCCTGGAGATCTCCTGGAGTATTTTGGAATGCAGCAGGTAGTCTGAAATCCCGTATGACTTCTCAACGTCCCCAAACAATAGGTCTCGCACATAGCTATAAGGCTGGGAGAACAAAATGCTTCTTGCTTGATGGTGCCAGGAAGAAGAAGGATCAATCAACGCATTCAAAGCCTCCTTCATTAAATCGTCCTGCTGCTCAACCCTGATCAGGCCGCTTTGAAGCAATTGTTTGGCCGAAGGTCTCCTGTCAACGTTATGGTCGAGTAACATCTTAATGATTTTTTTCTCGGTAGCAAGACGTTCATTATCAAAATCTTCCGGGAAAACAATCTCGGGAGCTCTCAGGTTACTGATCACAGTATACCGCTCCATCGATGTACCAAGCTGGTACACCATCTCGAAGAAAATTATGCCTAGAGAGTAGAGATCGACCTTCTCGTTGTATGCGCCAGAGCCGTTCATCACCTCAACAGCGACGTACAGTCTTGTTCCAATGTCTGAAGTGAGATCTTCTCCGCTTTCCGAGACGTCTAAAACTTTCCTGCTTGTTGATGGGAGATAATGAACGTTTTTTGCAAGACCAAAGTCTCCAACTTTGACGTTCTGGTTTTCATCAATGAAAATATTCATCGGCTTCAAATCTCGATGAATGATGCCCTGAGAGTGAATATGGCTGAGAGCTTCAAGTATCTGGCGCATAATCCGCCAGTAGAAAACAGAGTCTTTGTACAATCCTTGGCGAATGAGATCAAATAGGGTACGGTTTTCACAGTACTCCATCTGAATGAACAGAACGGATCTCTTTTTTGAGGCAGGTGCCTTTTGTGCTACGGTGGTGCTTTTTTCCTCTTCGCTTTCCGTTCCAAAAGTGAACGCTTTCTCTTCTTCGGGATCAGACTCTTCTTCGTCGCTAATGTTGAATTCCAATTGAGGATTAACAGAAGACGAAATAAAATCAGTATAGGTCTGGCTTCCCGTTCTCGTGTACTCAGATGTGGTTTCTGGCTCGGTCTCTAGCTCTTCATCGTCATCTTCAGAGTCTGAGAATACAGCGCCGTAGCTTAAATCATCCTCTAACCATGCTGCATAATAGCGAACGACATACTGGTGGTTGAGCCTGGCCAGTAACATTACCTCATTAAGAATTTTGGCCAGTTTATCCTCCGTATGCCTGATTTTTTTTATCGCGTAGAATCGGCCATCCAACTTGTTTCGCACTTTGACAACCTCACCAAACCCGCCTTTGCCCAGACTTCCCACTTCTTCAAAATCCTGAACATATCTGGAGTACGATTTGAATTCGTGAGCAGTGACGCTGTTGAAAGAATCTCTCTTGGGCTTATTCTTCGGGGCCGAAAGCAGTGGAGCATCTGATATATCGGAAAACCCGTTGATTTGAGCAGAACTCCGCTTGTCAACAGAGTCCGACCCTATCGACAGGGCAGGGACTGTATTGAGACTGAGCCGCAAAAAGCGACAGGGGAGCAGTTCCAGAGGATCTGGACGCTTGCGGGTGCGGACATCAAAGATAGCCTTGAGAAAATCGGCAATCGGTTCCTCCAATTCTGTGTAGTTTGCTAAGAGGTCTGATGGACTCTCAAAGTCATAAATGACATCAAAACCCAATACTAGCTGGACAAAGACAACTCCTAGATCCCAGACATCCGTTTTGCGCTGCGGCTTGTCAAATAGTGAGGACCCGTTCTTTTTCCTTTCGGGTGCTATCCATCCAGGAGCATCAAAAGGCAGCACGTCGTCATACTGTCCCTGATTTGGGTAGCTTGACACCATGTTCAAAATGGTGTAGCCATAGCATACGTTAGCAAGCTTGACCTGGCTCTGTCCCATGGATGACGGACACACCTGGATAGCGTCTAGGTTGAGACATTTGTGGATCATTCCTTGTTTGTGTAAATACTCCAAACTTTCTAACAGTTGGATTATCCACTCACGGGCAGAGTTGATGTTGATAAAAGATATCTTGCTCAAAAGATTGGCCAGCGTATCATTGTAGCTGGACAGTATGGCAATCTTCCAGACATCAAATCTCTCTTCGTCCATGGACACTTTTTTGGAGACTTTTTTGGCGGCGGAGTTTTGAAGCGAGACATCCCCACTAGATGTCATTTCGAATTTCTCGATGTTAAAAGCGTAGACCCTGTCGATGTTGTCATGCCGTAAATTGGTAACCGCCTGCAGCTCCTTCTCGAGGGAAAAGATCAGCTTTTTGCCTTGGCTGGACCTCCAAAAAGGATTTGACAGATCTATTTCTGTGAAGAGAAACTGAAGCTTATTCTTACCTTTGGTAAGATCCTGTATCAAAGCATACGTTGGGGAATCTTTGTGGATATGAGGCTTTACGAGATACTGCTGGCTGCAGTCTTTGAGTAGTCCAGCAGGCTCAATTGGCACAAAGCCGGACACTGCTCGGAAATTAAGCTTGTAATAATCCAAATGGGTCTCAACAGTCTTGTCAAAAACAAATATTCGCTCGTCTGTGGAGCTGTGAACGGCAGATTCCAAGCTTAATATGTTTTCCTTCAGCGTTGGTGAGGATGTCTGCACCTCGGATATGCTCTTATTGGATCTTCGTTTCAGCTCGGTGGCCACCATCTGGTCCAGTAATTCCTGCTCTTTTTCTCTCTCGAGTTCAATCTTATGTCGCTGTTCCTTCTCTTGCTGTTCCATGAGCTCCTTTTCCTTCTCAAGTCTACGAAGTCTTTCCTCTTCCAGGGTGCCTGTTCTGGCTCTCGTCTGGAACTCGTTCAGATGGTCCAAGATGCAGGTCGTGACAGAGTAAACCATAGGACCGCCTTTCTCTTGTTTCATGATTTTGTCGATCTCTGTGCGCAAAAACGATAGCTGGGAGGAAAGGATATTTTGAGAACGTCCAAATGACACCAATGGAAGCGTCTGCGGATACGTGGCTGTGAATTCAATCTTGAGCACTAGTGTCAATATGGGGTCGCTATTGGTATCGGAACGAAGCGTAATTTCAAATTTGGGACAGGGCTTCTGGCTCCAAGCGCTCTGCTGCGGCGTCTTGTCTTCAAGATCGTCCGCATAGATGGCTTTCAAAACCTCGAGCTCCTCTATCTGTGTGTCATGGTACTCGTTCATAAGGTTATCAGCCTTACCCGGCACACAAGTTTTTCAAGAGCAAAAAAAAAAGATAAACTAAAATGTCGTCAGACAAGATGGACGCCGCTTCGCTGATCTCGAAATTGAACCTCAACAAGGATGAATCCAAGGAACAGAAGCCCGAAAACGCAGACGGGGTAAAGGAAGATTCCAAAACCGAAACCGAAAGGGCAAAGAGTCCTACAGAGGAGGTCAAGGAGGACAAGCCAGACAAAAAAGATAACGCAGAGAAACCTCAAAATTCTCTCGTTGATTCGACCTACGAGGTGAAGGTGAAGCTTGCAGATCTTCAGGCTGATCCAAACTCGCCATTGTACTCCGTGAAGTCGTTCGAGGAGCTGGGATTGCGCGAAGAGCTTCTCAAAGGACTATACGCAATGAAATTCTCCAAGCCGTCCAAAATTCAGGAAAAGGCACTTCCCCTGCTCATCCAGAATCCTCCACGTAATATGATTGGCCAGTCGCAGTCGGGTACAGGTAAAACAGCGGCATTCTCGCTTGCCATGCTCACCAGGGTGGATGAGAATGATCCTATGGTGCAGGCTCTATGTTTGTCTCCTGCCAGAGAGCTGGCCAGACAGACTGAAGAAGTCGTTTCCCAGATGTGCAAGTACACAAACATCAAAGTCAAGCTTGTGGTTCCCGGCTCTTTGGAGAGGGACGAGGCAGTCAATGGACAGGTAGTGATCGCTACCCCTGGCGTGATCTTGGATCTTTTGAGAAGACGCAAGATCAACTTTAGTCATTTGAAGATATTCGTTTTAGATGAGGCAGACAATATGCTGGATAAACAGGGGCTTGCCGATCAGTGTCTTCGTGTAAAGAAAAACATTCCGCAATCAACTCAGCTGGTTCTTTTCTCGGCTACTTTCCCTCAGGAAGTTCGCAGGTACGCTGAAAAATTTGTTCCTAACGCAAACTCGCTAGAGTTAAAGCATGAGGAGCTTAACGTGGATGCCATCAAGCAACTGTACATGGACTGCGACTCGGACCAGCACAAGTTTGAAGTTCTTTGCGAGCTCTACGGTTTGTTGACCATTGCATCTTCCATCATATTTGTCCAAACGAAGGACACCGCCTCGAAATTGTATGCCAGAATGAAGCAGGAAGGCCACGCGGTTTCTATCCTGCATGGTGATTTGCAGCCAGCAGAAAGGGACCGTTTGATCGACGACTTCAGAGAGGGCAGATCGAAGGTCTTGATCACCACCAATGTCTTGGCCAGAGGCATTGACATCCCTTCGGTTTCCATGGTGGTGAACTATGACATTCCTCTAGACAAGTCAGGAAAGCCAGATCCGTCCACCTATCTGCATAGAATCGGAAGAACCGGCCGATTTGGCCGTACCGGTGTGTCTATCTCCTTGATTCACGACAAGAAGTCTTATCAGGACCTAGAGGCCATCAGACAATATTTCGGTGGAATTGAAATGATCAGATTACCGACCGATGACTGGGATGAAGTGGAAGAGATTGTAAAAAAGGTTGTCAAATGATAAAGCAGTGCATAAGTAATTAATTAATTAAGTCCCGTGACCTATCTAAGAGGGTGTTTGACGAAGTCGAAGATGTAGTAGTACCATTTTTGGTTGTAGTCTTCCTTCTGTTCCCCTTCAACAGCGTTTATTCCGTCTCCCAGGTAGAAGTTGGTCTGGAACAGGGAAACAATCAAGCAGACGCAACTGATGCCGAGAGCACCGCAGAATAGCAGGTAGCAAACATCCTGGTAAGCCTTGATACATGCAATTCTGTCATCAGAGCCCCATGGGAGAGCATAGATGACGGTAACGGACTCGAAGTACGAAAGCGCCCTGGTGGCATCACCGACGTGCTCGGTAAGACGTTTAGGAAGGTTGGAGGACCAAACGGCAGCGACGATAGCCTGTCCAACACCAGCACCAATACTGGTATACAGAGAAAGGACGGAGATCGTGGAAGCCAGGTCAACATGCGGAACACAAGCTTGAGCAGCCAGTTGGGTACCCATGGCGTCACCACAGTCACCGATGGAGGTGAGGACAAGGGCAGCCACGATGACACCGAGAGAAGGGCCGTTCTCCATCTTGGTAGAGTGCACCATCAGTCCGAGGCCAATGAGTCTGATACAGGAGCCGAACACTTGGAAGACCTTGTACCGACGGAAGTATCTAAACAGAAGACCGTAGATGACACCGAAAGAACACAAACCCATGGTCTCAGTGTTGTTCAGGTAAGTCCAGTCTCTGTAGGAAAGATTCAAAACAACCAAATCGTAAGAGCTGAAGTAAAGCAGCCAGAAGTAGCCACCCATCTGGTAGCAGAAGTCGATGATGACGCAGCAAATGAAGGTTCTGTTCAGCAGAACGCGCTTAGGAAGCAACGGGTATGGAGCAATCCAAATCTCGTAGATAGTGTACATGATGAGGAAAATTCCTCCGACAACTTCCATAGCAATCATCGACGGGTTGTGCCATCCGCCGTTGGCGTAAGAATAAAGCGAGCAAGGAAGAAGCATGAGGGAGAAAGCAAAACCGAGAAGGATGAGTCCCAGAGCGTCGATCTCGATAAGAGCGACCTTGATTTTGGTCAGCGTAGCTTTGCTTTTGAGAAGAGTGATCTGCGGAAGTCTGACGTTGAACTTGAAGGACCCATAGTTGATTTTGTGGTCCATCCAGAAAATCATACCAATGGCCGGAATCAGTGCCGCAGGGGTGATAATAGCGAACATACCGTAACCCCATCTCCAATTGGAAGTGGTGATGTTTTGGACGATGTAACCTGCCACCCAGGTGGTGCACAAGTACGGCGTAGAAAGGAGACCGTCGACGGTGGCTCTCCATTTGAGGGGAGTCATATCAGCGACCAAGATGCTGTTCAGTAGGCCAATACCAGATTGTCCGATGGCGATGAAGACGGAACCAATGACGTATGCCGAGATCGTAGGAGAGCAGGCCGCAATGACAAATCCGATGACATACAGCACCAGTATAATCATGTAGGCGATGGCTCTGGAGGTCATGTCGGAAATCTTGGCAATGAAAGGCTTACACACAGCTCCGATGATGGAGTTGGCGATACTCAAGGTGGAAAGCATTGAGTGGCGGTCAAACTGAGAGGTGGCATATGGCTGGTAGCTATACGTGGTTGAACTATCGAGCGCATATGTCCACGAACATAAGTACAAGGACAAGATCAGCACCAAGATGTATCTTTTATCTAAAGTCTGCTTGACTGCCTCAATTCTGGCCACACCCCGAGGCTTCTGTTCCTCTGTGTCATGCTCCAAAGTGTGGGAGTCAAGAGAAGGTTCCTTGAGATCCTGTGACATAGTCGTATTATTGATTTGAGAGATAATGTCGCGGCTATTTATCTGCTCCCAAAAAGTGAAAGTTTTTTAGATTTTTCTTATAGCCGATGCTTAGAGCCGAATTTTAGAGCCGAGTGGTCAATAATATAGCTTGTCCGATAAAACATGGTTTGCATTGCATCTTGATGAATAGGAAGCAAAATTTCTATTGTAAGTCTGCGAAATTTTCAAGTACCCTTGACTTTACCGTCTCGAATCCGGGTGCACCTTTTTGGTTTGAACAAAGATCAGACAATGCACTGACTCCTCCGAGCTTGTTTTTCTCCATGAAAGCTTCTATTAACTTAACTGCTTCCAGCCTGCGGGCCTCAATGGGATGACCACTCAAATCACGTGCAATTTCCTCTATCAAATTTGCAACTCGCTTAAGTCGATTAAAATAGGTAGTCTGGGTTGATTTCCACGTCGGATATCTCTGAAGTATTTCGCAGACCGAAGGCTTTCCAATGTCGGGGTCCCCGATATACCACACATCATGGAGCTCGCGCACTGTCAGACTTTTGTTTGACCTGGGTCCTCTTGGCAAACGGTAGTTCATTATTTCGTAAGGCATACTTTTCGGCGAGGCAGGCTGCAGGCTATTATTTACTAGCGCATGATTGTTTGAATCTTGGTTGTAGCCTGGCTCTCCATTGGTCATGGTTTGATCAATCAGATCCCGAGAATTGCCAATTCTCTCTATGAATGCTGCTTCATTCTCTTCTGTTGGATGATCGTCTTTTTGTAGTAGGCAGTCCAATTCGCCCTGTACGCGTTTAATGTTTTCACTCAGCGAAGCCTCGACCTTCTGGTAAACGACATCCTCCAGCTGTCTCTGGAAGTTCTCAACATTATCAACTTGTTTTAGTAATGAGTCTATGGTATTGCGCGCAGAAACACCTTCAAAAGCTCTCGACAAAATATGATCAAAAACGGTTTTGAGATCTGGTTCCAGTGAGGAGGGGTCGGAAAGATTTCCAAGAATCATCTGCTGTGGGTTGCGCCTCAGCTGCTCCTCAATGTCAACCTTAACATCCATGAGAGGTGATTAAGAGGTGGATATTAATTCTCAGGATTTCTTTTTGGATCTCAAAATAAACAGTACATCAGCTGACCTGGTGCACGTGATGCCACAAAGATGCGAGAAGTTCGGGTCAACTTATCGACACCCACAAGGTTCATCTCATGGCTTTGGGCTGCGATAAGGTTCAATGAGGGGACTGTAGCACTTTCACTGCGAACCGTTATCCAAGAACCCCCAACCCAAATCTCGAGGGTGTATGTCTAAGCATGGCATGTGTACTATAGACTTGCTGTCCTTGATTTAGTCGAACACTATGAGAAAACTTGAAAGGTGATGCTAGTGTCATGATCACCGTTTTTCATTCGAATCTTCCCAGCGTCAGGATGTCATGCTAAATGGTAGCTCCATGCCAGAGCCGCATGTAGTGAAATACCTACTACAGAAACAATTGCTTCAATGAAAAGTTCACTCTTGCTGACCTGTGCAGTGAAGCAGTTATGAGTCCGTTTGCCGGCTACCAAGTCTTCTACATGTCTGCTTCACTTTCCCGACTCACCGAGAATATCTGAAGAGCGATAAATGAAATTGGTGTACAGATGTAACTCAGATAAGAGTCGACCAAAAAGATATGATGCAGTCCTTTGAGACAAGGATAGTTGGGTTCATAGTTGTTGGCTTTTTCATAGTCTTCTCGGTGTTCTGGAGCTTTCCTGAAGAGTCCGGGGCTGCAGTCAAATGTCCTGAAACAAAACCACATCGGCCATCCAATTTTGACTCGCACAAAGCAACTCTTTCCAAAATATTGCACAGCAAAGAGTTCAGAAATGCTTCTGTGATGAAATTGCAAGCTGCAATCAGAACAAGGACTGAGGTTTATGATGATGATCCCATATCTGTTGAGGAAGATCTTACGTACTGGTCGAAATTCGAAAAGTTCGAACAACTACTCAAATCTACGTTTCCTCTATTTTACAGCAAAACCACTCTCCACAAGGTCAATTATCATGGATTGGTGTATATTTGGGAGGGAAGTGACTTGTACTTGAAGCCCCTGGTTTTGATGGCTCACCAGGATACGGTGCCCGTTTCAAATATTACCCTCAGCCAATGGGAACACGATCCTTTTAGTGGTGACTACGATGGAGAAAACGTTTACGGTAGGGGAATTGCTGACTGCAAAGACCAGCTTATTGGACTATTGGAAGCTGCAGAAGAGCTGATCAATAACGGTTTTTCGCCAAGACGGACCATTATCTACTCTTTCGGCTTCGATGAAGAAGTTGGTGGCCCAAGAAACAAGAACGCGGAATGGCTCGAGGCGAAATACGGCAAAGACTCCATGTACGCAATTCTGGATGAAGGAGGGGTCAATTTGGACACCATTCAAGGAGTTAAAATGTCTGTCCCAGGAACAGCGGAGAAAGGCTACATGGACCTGAAAATTATCCTAGAAACGCCAGGAGGGCATTCGTCGATTCCGCCTAAGCACACATCAATTGGCATGATTGGCGAGATGATTGTGGAGCTCGAAAGAACGGAATTCCCGACGTATTTTACCGAAAAAAATCCTGCGTTCTGGGAATACGTCTGCGTTGCAGAGCACTCGCCCGACATGGATTCATCGGTTAAAAAAAGTATTCTCAGTGCAGGACACAACCAGAAGGCCAACGAGGTTGCAAGGAAATACATAGATGTGGATCTCGGCAAGGGATTTGTTGTCAAGTCAACAAGGGCCCTTGACATCATAACTGGAGGAGTCAAGGCCAACGCTCTACCAGAATATGTGGAACTCACGGTGAACGTACGGATTGCCATGGAGGAGACGGTGGATACTGTGACGAAGAGAGTTCTGGCTACCATTGAGCCGGTTATTGATAGATATCATCTGGGCCTTGCACTTGACCTTGATGGGCGTCAAGAAATCAAGCCTAGAAAGCCAGCCGGAAACTGTCTGGTTAAAGTCGTTCAAGCGGTTCCGCCTGCTCCCTTGACCCCCACTCGGGGTAACCATTGGAACATATTTGCCGGAACCATCCACCATGTCTATGAAGACCTTGTGGCTCCAGATTCAACAGGCCTCATTGTTGCTCCGGGTATAGGTTCTGGAAACACAGACACCAAGTACTATTGGAACCTCACAGAACATATCTACAGATACAGGCCCGGCTTGTTACCAGGTGTCTACTCTAAGGAGCACGGGATCAACGAATATATTCCAATGGACTCTCATCTGCACTTGATTGCGTTCTATTATGAGTATATTTTAAGTGTCGACGAGACGGACGATTGAAAGTTCGGTAAAGCCAAATCAGGAAATTTTAAAGATACATTTTTTAGACGCAGTAGTCAACTAGTACTTCTGCGTCTTTTCCAATCATTGACTCAATGTAACTGATAAAATCATGAAGAGGGATCATGTCAATTTCTCCAAGGGGGCCTGTGGTTGTCAGTATTCTTCCCATGTAAAGAGCTCTTAGATACCATTCACCGTCTTTGAGTCCTTGGTAGAGCTCTAACACAACCTCCGATCCCATTCCTGGCCATCTGAGATAATCAATCTGGAGAAACCCAAGAATACGTGCAATGGAACCATCATGGGCTACGTTGTGAGAGTATTTGAGACTCGTGGCCCCGGTGGTTTTCTCAAGAAGACGGTGCTTAAGCTCATTAAAGTATGCTCCGTAACTAGTTGCCGCATAAAGAGTCGAATTTTCATGAATCCGGTACTTGTAGTTGTACTCAAAGTCTCCCAGACGAAATATTTGTTCTGCCTGGTCCTGTGTCATACAGAGTGAAGAGTTTTCGGAATTGCAAGCAAGACCGTACCCATGACACAATCTGAACGCAGTGTTGTCGAAGTAATGATCAAAAGACACATGCCAGTCCTTAGATTCTGGATCAACTCCAGATATGTCGTCTAGCTCATCGTACAAATCTGCAGCCCTAGCCAAATGTTCCTGCCATACAGTTGAGGAGGTAATCTCTGATGCTATGTCATCCGCAAATCCGCACGAATAGGACGGCTCGAGTACATCAAAGCCATCAGCCTCCACCTTCACGTCAATTTCTTTCTCGTGAGGATACATGGCCTTAACCACTGCACTAGCAACTTGAGAGGTGATGACATTATTGGTCACTCGAAACGTTACTAGCTTGGGATCATATGACGCTGGGAGAAAACTCATCAGCTCCCCGTACACACCATAAAGGTCAAGCCCGTGTTGGTATGAGTCTTCTAAACCTGCGTAAGAGATTTGAGGAAACTGACAAGTGCCATTGTAGCCGTTGTGGATGAAATTGAATGGGTTATACTGATTCTGGTAGTTCGCCCAAGAGAGTTTCGTAGTGTTACCACTGTGAGCTGGAGTTTTGAATTCGGAATAATAGTTGTTCAAAGCTTCATCACAATAAAGCACCAGGGTTTCCACAGGGAAGCAGTTCTGTGCGTATGGAGTTCTCTTGTGATGGCGATGGATAACCTCGACAAATTGTAACTTGTACTCGGACTGATCTACCTGTGGGTAGATATCCTTTCTTACGTGGGGCATATTGCAAAAATCATACTGTCCGTAGCTGCTATCCGGGACGAAAGATGAATTGTAAATTCCCCCGTTGGTGCCTCTTGAGGTGTTGAAAACCTGGTCCAGCTCTGAGAATTCATTGTCGATAGGCGCATGGTGGATGATCTGAGCAGAAGCAACTGCTGCTAGGGCCACAAGCAAAAACATATAGGAAGGTAAGTTTTTGTGTGCTATTTATGCGACTCGAAGAAAAACACGTGCTTCGAGGCCAAATCTCGAAAGCTGGGGAAGTTAGTCTAGCGGAAATTAAAAAACCGTTATCATATTAGCCACGTTCGTGTGCCCACGTTCCTCGGCTCGAGTTCTTATATCACAAAATTACCGATAATCGGTGAAACTTTCAACATTTTGCTATTTAGTGGTACAAGGCTGGCAGCTTTCTCACGCCGTAGGCCTCCTCTAGATAATGCACCTCTTCCTCAGACAGCTTCAGGCTGATAGCAGCCAATGCATCGCCCAGTCTCTCAGGCTTGTTGATTCCCAAAATGGGATATTGTCCTTTGGCCAAAATCCATGCTGTCGCAACGGTAGCCATGGAAACTTTGTGCTTGGCAGCAAGAGCTTCCACCCTGTTGATAACCTCTATATCATTTTCGGTCAGCTCAGCAAGACCAAGGTAGGAAAGGAAAGAAGAGTTTGAGGAGCGGACTGTAGTATCATGCGCCTTAACAGCGGGTCTAGCTAAAACACCTGCCGCCAGCGGAGACCAAGGAATGAGGCCGACACCTGTTTCATGGCAGTATGCAATCAGTTCGTCCTCCTCGTCTCTGTAGAGAAGAGAGTAGTAGCTCTGCATGGAGACAAATTTTGTCCAGCCGTGCCTCTCAGCAATGTTTTGGAGCCGGATAAACTGGTATGCCCTCATGGACGAGGCGCCGATGTATAGAGCCTTGCCAGATTTAACGACATCGTGTAAAGCTTCCATGGTTTCCTCGGCTGGAGTTGTTCTGTCGTACCTGTGAATTTGCAGCAGGTCAATATAGGTTCCGAGTCTTTCAACGCTCTTGTCAACGGCATCAAAAATTGCCTTTCTCGACAATCCGACACGGTTGATAAAGTCAACGCCCTCTTCCGAGCCATTCGAAGGATCGGCGCCAGGATCCTCGCTAACTGGGAAATAACACTTGGTGAAAATCACAATAGTTCTTCTGTCGATGTTGTACTTCTTCAAGAACTTGCCAACCAAGATCTCAGAATAGCCATTGGAGTAGTTTCCAGCGGTGTCAAAGGTTCTAATGCCGCTGTCGTAGGCTTTTTTCATAATTTCAAAAACCTGTTCCTCATCCTCAACGACATAATCAGACCAACTCTTTTTGCCAAAAGACATGCACCCGAGTATCACTCGTGAAATCTTGAGACCAGAGTTTCCCAGCCTTGTGTAGAGCTGAAACGGCGCCTGATCCCATTTGAAGGACTTCTCTAGGAAAGACATGGATTGGTAATGGAAGTTTAGGAGGTTGAATTTCCACTTTGAACCCTGGCTCAAAAGTATGGCTTCAACAGATAATGTAACACGTGCTGCCCAACGGGAGCACATTATTATGTCACTTGAGTCTTATTTGAGTCCATAGAAGACTGCCAGATGAGTCCGGCTCTAACCAACTAGAGCAGGAGCCTGCTCATGGCCTTATATAAGCAATAGTAGTCAAGAATTCCGGACCAGATCGTATGGTACCACATACTATCTACACCTCCCACCTGAAATTTCTCCGAGCTTGCAACTGCCACACCTTTTTTCTTTTTATCACGTGCAGGCTTATTGTCGCAAATTCTCGTTTAGGAAAGAGTCTGGCCTATCAATAACGTCGCAAGCTTTGACCCTACTTAAGTAAATATTGGGATCTTATCAGGAATTAAAAATAAATTCCCAAACGAATCTCCGACCTGAACATTTTCTCATGTTCAACGCCTTCACTGTTACCGATCTCGCTCTTGTGGACCAAAAGCCAGCAAAGTCTGCTGGTAAGACCCTTGCCGACTTCCAAACTCTTCTCAAGGACACAAACTCCACGGGTCGGTCGATCCGTTCGCGAAATGGATGCGGAGAATGTCGCAGACGCAAGTAAGTAGCAATATTCTGCCAGCTAACCACAGAAAACGCTGTGACGAAACAAAGCCCGTCTGCAAACTGTGCAAGAGACTTGGCATCGAGTGTGTGTGGCGTCAACCTGGCACAGAGCGTAAGAATGCCAAACGACGACAATCCCAGGCCATCAGAGTTCGACTGAGTCCTGTCGAGAAAACTTCTGAAGTATCGTCCACTCATACTCTTATTGACACACTTAGGACAAATCTTCAAACTTCGGTCGAGTATGAACCCCAAATGAACGTTTTCTCGCTGCCATTTATTCGTCATCTAAGTGAGACTGAGAGCCGGTATCTTGATTATTACATCAACTATGTCTCGGCGACCCTTTCCCTTCTGCCTCAGGAAACAAATTACCTCCTGAGTCTCTACATCCCTCTGGCAGTCCACAATAAAGCCATCATGAGCGGCCTTATTGGTTGGTCTGGGCTTTTCTTGGCAGGCACCAAGTCAGAGGAAACTCCGATGAAATACATTCAGGACGCTGTGGACTTATGCGACAGGACGCTCAAGTCCGAGAATCTAACAATATCCGACAAGCTGGAACTTGTGTGTGTGTTTTTCATCCTTTGCGCTGCAGAAATCTGTGTCGGTGACGTTAAAAACTGGTACGATATCTTTGGCAGGCTGCACAAGTTTATTTCGGATGAGTGCAACGGCAATCTAAAGTCCCTTTTGGGACTACTGGGTGACACAGAGGGGGCAAAATGGTTGCTGTCTAACTTTCTGTACCATGATGTCCTCAGCAGTTCCAGCCACGAAAAAGGCACTCTTTTTCCAATTGATCAATATTGCGAGGCATTGGACATAATTCCTGGCACCACACAATTGTTGGACTCGGGCACCGTTTGTGACCCCCTGCAAGGATGTGTTCGGCCAATGTATGTCTTGCTTGGCGAGATAATCAATACGAAGAACAAATTGGACAAAATGCAGGAGGATCTGAACGTCATCGTGGACCGTGATACGTATAAACAGAGAAAATTTGAGTTTTTGACGACGCTAGAGTCGGACTTCGAGGAACTGGAAACTAGGATCAAGAACACGAATCCACATACTCCCTCGTTGTTGCTTTTAAAGGATGACAAAGAGCTCGAAGACCATCTTACGTTATTCGAGATCTACAAATTAAGTCTCAGGATCTACCTCCGCTACATGGTGCGGAAGACCCCTCCAGCAGTACCAGAAATCCAGCTGATGCTTCAAGAGCTTACGCTCTGTATGGATGTGATCATGGACACCAATGTTCAGTCGGGCCTATGTTTTGCGCTAATGGTGGCTGGGATTTCGTGCGTCGATCCAGTGGATCGTGAGCAAATGGAAGCCAGATTACGGTCATTCTGTTCCAAATTCCCCGTTAAGAATTTCGAGCTCGTTTTGATTCTGATCCGCAAGGCATGGGAACTCAACAAGGACGGAGCACATTGTGTCAACTGGTTTGACATTTCTGAAAGCATGGGATGGTACTTATCATTAGCCTAACTAGTTAATCTATTCCAAGCTTTTGTATTTAGCAATGACTTTTTCTGCCAGATCAACGAGACCCGTGGCAAGGATGTCCGGAGTACCAAAAATTTCTGTACAAGGATCGTACTCGTGGACACTGCTCCATGCAGTGATAAAACCAGCCTGTTTTGCAGCACACGAATCCCACATATGTGCGGCGGCAAAAAATGCCTTTTCAGCACCCGAAGGAATTTTTTTGGCGATAAACTCGTAGACTTCCTTTTCAGGTTTTCCCGCACCGATCGAGTCGCAAGAGATCAGGTTTTCGGATGGCATCTCAACTCCGGAGCGCTTGAAATATCCAGCCACTCTCTCGTGCGAAGCATCTGTCAGACACCAGATAGTGAAGCCGTTATCTCTAAGCATCCGAAACATTTGCTTAAGCTCAGGACGTCCTTCCAGCTTGAACCATTCACCATAGATAAACTCAAGATCGTCATCAGTAGCATAAGATTTTGGATCTTTCACGCCAGCAAAAAATAAGGATCTATAGAATGTGCTCTTGAAAACCTTCTGGAACGGCTGATATTGCCCGCACTGGGATAGGTACGAGTAATCTCTTTCGCAGCCTGCTAGCCAGAAAAAGAAAAACAAACGGGGATCAATTCCCGAATGTTTGAACCGTTCTCCCATACGTGTCTGAATGCCCTCGATGACTTTCTCATACGAGATACACGTTCCCACAATGTCAAAGATTATATCTGGCATTTTTTGGTTCCTAAAGCACGGAAATTGCATGAGCTTTATACCGCAAGATAAGAAATCTCTGAAAACAGGACTGCAAGGGATCACAGTCGGAGAAATTCTATTTTGGGTTTTCGCGACGAGGTCGCCCGATAAGATACTATTTAGAGTTTGGCAACCGGAGTGCTCAGGGAGGCCAAAATCTCGTTTCTGGTCTTAGTCATTCTCTCTTCGGAGATCTTGAAAGCCGAAGGGACTTCCAATTCCTTTCCCATGATATTACTGGCTAAAGCTTTAGCTGACAGCAAGACCCGCGGCATACCGTGACCATGGAACCCCGCAATAATGAATTTGTTGGATTCGTGAGGCATTTCACCAACATACGGGAAAGAGTCGTCAGTGTAGCCAAGAATCCCGCTCCAGATGTGATCGGTCTCCGTTTCAGTTAACTTCCAATCGTGGAAGAGCTTCATATAGTCATCAAAATACTCCTTAGTTCCGGGGATCAGAGTGCTATCATCGACAACATTATAGAAAACGTTCTTGAAAGGGAAAATATGCTTTTTAGCACCACCGACAATAACAGTCCCATCCGCACGATTTATCAAGTAGTCTTGATCTGCGCCATCGTATCTGATACCATATGTATGTGACAGATGGGAGGGACGGACCTTTGGAGTGATATGGCTGCAGATGCCTTTGATAGGAACGATCTTGTTCACAAATTTTGGTTCCACTGAGGCGGTGTACGCATTAGTAGCGATTACCAGTTTCCGAGCCAAAATGGTTCCTCGGGCAGTTTTCACTAGCCATTTATCCCCGAACTTCTCAGTTCCTAGAACAGGTGTGTTTGTCTGCAAATTAAGCCCTTTTTGCATACATTTTCTGAGCAGTGAAGTCACAAGCTTATACGGCCAAAGCTGGCCCGCGGTGAATGTGACACAAACCTCAGAGTCTAACACATGACTGATAGTTTTAGCATTTTCTCCAACGTGTAATTGAACATCGTGTTTGCACGTAACGTAAGGATTTTTTGTAAACTCCCGGTAATTCTCCAGAGCAGCATTAACAGCAGAAGGAGTCAAATGAACGTCACATGACCGGCCAGCAACGAAATCACAGTCAATGTTCTCGCTCTCAATGAGCTCTTTCATTGCAGCCAAGTGAGCAAACTCAAAGTTGGCGATCTCTGCCGCACCTTTCTCTCCAAACTTTTTAGTCCAGGACTTATGCGAGTAGTAGAGGCTGGGCTTCAGATGTCCACCATTACGGGCAGTGGCTCCGCTACATACATCGCGTGCTTCCAACATAACAATCGTGCCAATGAATCCTTGCTCCATCAAGAAGTGTGCCGTCGTGGTACCAGCATAACCAGAACCAACAATCACAATGTCTGTTTCGGCTGGAAGATCTGGAGTTGATCTATGGTCATGAAAGTCCACTTCAGCTGTTAGCCAAAACGACTTTGTAGAGTTGGGAACGGGGAGGTAGTTAGTCATATGAAACTAAGGTAAATGATGGTTTATTTTTTCATTCCTTATCTAATTCATTGCCCGACCAATGAATAATTTTGTGCGTCCCGGTTGGAGAGGTGCGTGGCGGCAAAAACTGATAAAGCCTGATTGAGATTTCCGCCAACCTATATATTACCAAAGATCAGAAGGAAAGGGATATCATGTTTGAAAAGACTTCTGAAACAGAAAAAGGATACGACGACTCTAAGGGGGTCTCCACCCACGATATCCACGTCCAGTCGATACTATCTCCTCAGGACGACCAGGAAATCAAAGATCAAGCCTTCGAGCTTCTCAAAGATAACATCGATGAGGAACTGGACGCTGAGGAAGATAAATCAGTGAGACGTAAAATTGACTGGAGATTCCTTCCGCTGCTGACTCTCATTTATGGCCTTAACTACGTTGACAAGGCATCCCTTTCTTGGGCAGTCATGATGAATTTCAGAGAAGACACCAAGTTGAAGGGAAATGAGTATTCATGGGTGTCTTCCATTTTTTACTTTGGGTACTTGGGGGCTGAGTACCCAGCTAATATTCTCGTCCACAAGTTTTCAGTTCCTAAGATTCTCACAGGAGTTTGTCTTTCCTGGGGTGTTTTGATGCTGGCTCATATTGGAGCGAAAAACTATGCTGGAATTTTAGTTATCAGGTTCTTGCTAGGAATCAGTGAGACTCCAGTGTCGGCTGCAATGATCAAGTATGTTGGGTGCTGGTGGAAGAAGTCCGAACAGCCTATGAGATACTTGTGTTTCAACTCTGGACAAGGTGGGTTGTATGTTCTTTTCAGTCTTGTCTCCTACGGTTTGGGACATGCTGGTGGAAACTTGTCGCCATGGAAGTACATCTATATTGTTCTGGCAATTGTCTCCTTCTCTTTGGGAGGACTGGTTTGGTTTTTCTTACCGGCTTTACCTCAGAATGCGAAATTCTTGAATGAGCACGAGAAGATGGTTGCTGCAAAAAGAGTCTCGAAGAACATGACAGGAATCAAGACGGTGGTTTGGAAAAACTACCAGATACTTCATGCCTTGAAGGATCCAAAGACATATCTGCTGACCCTGTATATGTTCTTCTCCATGATTCCTAACGGGGGTCTTACCAATTTCAACACAATCGTGCTACAATCCTTTGATTTCGACAAGTACACTACGCTCCTAGTGAACCTCCCATGGTCATTTTTCTCTGCTGGTCAGATGTGGGTGTGGGTCATTGTCGGTCAAAAGTTCAAGAACCTGAGAATTGCCGGCCTGATCATTCCGATGTGCATTGCAATTACCGGACTGTCTATCGTGTATGCGACCGAGGGTGGTGGGGCAAATAAGTGGGGAAGAGTGTTTGCTTACTGGATGATCAATTCCTGCTCCGCAACCTATCCCTTTGCAATGACCTTGACGGGACAATTGATAAGTGGCCATACTAAACAATCGTTTACCAACGCGCTGGTCCTGATTACTTTTGCCTTGGGTAACATTGTCGGTCCGTTCGCCTTCAAAGCTAGTGACGCTCCAAGATACACACACGCTCTGGCTACTATCATTGGTACCTTTGCAGCCTGCATCGCGATCGGAGCAGTCCTCGGAGTTTACATCTTTTATGAAAATAGAAGAAGGAACAAGCTATACGGAAACCCGGCCGAGGATGAAGACCTGCAGCTTCAAGGAGAAATCGACGGTCTCAAGGATAAGACAGATCTGGAAAACAAGTATTTCAGATTTGTTTACTAATCTTCGAACCCGTTAGCCTATCTAGCCGAAATTGTAAATTTGTACCGCAGAAGAGTTTGGTCCGGCTCACTACCTATTATTTTAATTCCAACAGTTAAGGTGTACTTGTCGTAACTTAGTTTTTATGACTTCTGTGCTCTTGGCTTTGAACACGGGAGCATTGATGCCAGCCATAGGGCTCGGTACTTGGTCTCCTGACGATAGATCTCAGATTCGTGAATGTGTTGAATACGCTATCTTGGAGGCTGGCTACAGACACATCGATACGGCTTACTTGTATGGATGCGAAGATCAGGTTGGAGAAGCGGTCAGAAACGCCATTGCCACAGGGAAAGTGACCCGTGAGGAGTTGTTCATCACGACAAAAGTCTGGCCTACATTCCATAAACGCATGGAGGACGGCCTGGATTTGTCGCTTAAGGCTTCGGGCCTAGATTATTTCGATCTGGTGTTGGTGCATTGGCCGATTCCTGTTAAGTGCGACAGCGAGGATGGAAAACCCTTCTGGCCGACAAATGAGGACGGTTACATTGCAAGGGATACGTCTAGCAACCACATCACCATGTACCAACAGTTGGAGAAGTGCTTGGAAAACGGGAAAGCTAAGGCTATCGGAGTTTCAAACTATTCGATTCCGAAATTGGAAAGCTTGCTGAAAGAGTGCAAATACGTTCCGGCAGTCAATCAATGCGAGCTTCACCCACTGCTTCCACGTCGCGACCTTTGCGATTTCTGCACTTCCAAAGGTATTGTGATGACCTCGTATTTTCCTTTTGGCGGTGATGGGGCTCCGATTTTGAAAAACGAGGCTATTGCAGAAATTGCTGAAAAGTATTCAGTCAGCTCGAGTACGATTCTATTAAGCTACCACGTCAACTTGGGTGTGTCTGTCGTTCCCAAATCGTTCAAGCCGCACAGAATCAAGTTAAATGGGAAGATTGTCTACCTTCAGAAAGAAGACCTGAAGAAGCTCATAGACATTGGAAAAGAAAAGCCACACAGATTCAACAACATTAATTACGATGTTGATCTGGAGTTCGGCAAGGAGGACTGGTAATCATTTCCAGATCGAATATTGAAATGGAAATTCCATCTACTTAATTTTGTGGGCATACAAATTTTTTTTTTTTTTTCAGTTATAATTTCTTGGCATCTTCAGCCACAAACTTTGCCAAGAAAGCAGTAATAAAGCACATGGTCTCTATAGTTCTCGACTGTGTTTTGGTCTCGACGCCAATACCGAGCTGGTGAGATGTGATAAAGCAAGAATTGTGTCTTTGCCAAGCTGTGAAATTGCTCTCTCTGACCAGTTTCGAACCGCATTTCTTTGATCAAAACGACATGTTTTGTTGAAGTGCCTTCAGAAGTTAATAAAAGTTAATTAGGAACGTGGGCTGCCAAGAAGTCAGCTCAGCCGGTAACCACTAACTATAAATTACCACCAAAATGTTCAGTAGAATCCCATGACAGACGCTGCCTTACCTGAGTTCAACTACATATTTGCAATCGCGGTGATATTTGCATTCTTGGATGCATTCAACATCGGTGCAAACGATGTTGCCAACTCTTTCTCGTCATCTGTGTCCTCACGGGCTCTAACATATTGGCAAGCAATGATTCTTGCCGCAATTATGGAGTTTCTGGGCGCTGTTTTGGCAGGATCTAGGGTCTCCGACACCATCAGAAGCAAGATTATTGATGTGCAGTCATTTGAAAACGATCCGTCGGTGCTAATGCTTACCATGGCATGCGCGCTAGTTGGCTCGTCAATTTGGTTGTCGATAGCAACATCCATCGGGATGCCTGTTTCGACTACTCATTCCATTGTGGGAGCAGTGATTGGAGCAGGAATCGCTGCAAACGGTAGCGACCATGTCGAATGGGGCTGGGACGGATTTTCTCAAATAGTTGCCTCGTGGTTTATTGCTCCTGCTATCACCGGTGCTCTTTCGGCAACTATCTTTCTGATCACCAAATACTGTATCCTCGAAAGGAAAAATAGTATTGCAAAAGCACTGCTTTTTGCTCCTGTGATTGTGTTCATATGCTTCTCTATCTTGACAATGCTTGTTGTGTGGAAGGGAGCACCGAACTTGAAGCTGAACAACCTGTCAACTGGTGCAACCGTCGGCTCAATCTTTGGAGTCGGTGCAGTTGCTACGCTTCTTTACCTTCTTTTCTTCCATCCTTATTTCACCAGGAAGTTGGTGTACGAGGACTGGACGCTCAAGTTCTATCATGTTCTTGCTGGACCAACATACTACTTCAAATCAACCAAAAACATTCCACCAAAGCCAGATAACGTGGAACTTGTGATTGACTATTACCGTGGAAGAAGAGCCGAAATTCCAGTCGTTTTGACCGACGATGAAAAAAATGCTGGCGACAGTTCTCCGCTAGTTGAGTCCCAAATAAGCAACATTGATCCATCACCACAAACCCCAGACGATATTGGATATTTCGACTATGTGACACCAGCAGAAAGAAAGCTCTGGCGGAGCATGATTCTCAAACCGAAGCACTGGATCAAACTCTTATGGCTGCTACTGACTCATGGTTGGAGACAAGACGTGATCAGCAACCAGGCAAATGCAGGTGGTGTTCTTGGACACGGGGTTCAAGATATGTACACCAAGTCAAAATTCTACGACACAAAAACGGAGCATGTGTTTTCCTTATTGCAGGCTTTCACCGCATGCACAATGTCGTTTGCGCACGGATCCAATGACATTTCCAATGCAGCCGGCCCTCTTTCGTCTGTCTACAACATTTGGATGACAAACACAGTTGGCAGCAAGAGCGAGGTGCCAATTTGGGTTCTCTGTTTCACTGCCGGATCGCTTGTGCTTGGATGCTGGATGTTTGCGTACAAGCTGATGTCAAACCTAGGAAATAAGATGATTTTGCAATCTCCAGCAAGAGGTTTTGCAATTGAGTTGGGAGCCGCCTGTACGGTTGTGATGGCTACAAGACTTGGAATCCCAGTTTCCACCACCCAGTGTGCAGTTGGTGGAACGATCTTTGTGGGTCTGTGCAACATGGATGTGCGTGGTTGCAACTGGAAAATGGTTCTTTGGTGCTATCTTGGATGGTTCGTCACGTTACCTGTTGCAGGTCTCATTGCAGGACTTATCAACGGAATCATTTTGAATGCTCCTCGATGGAGCTGAACAAATTACGTAAAAATTGTGGCTTTATCTAAATTATGGGATTTACATTAATAATCAAAATGTGCGTATAAAATTATCTTTTGAATTGGAAACGTAAAAGTTACGAAATTCACAACATGTCACTGGGACGCGATGCGCAAGCGAACCTTGCGGGAAAGACTGTTTTGATAACGGGGGCGTCTGCGGGCATTGGCGAGGCCATTGCGCATGCGTTTGCGGACGCGGCCGGAGGCGACATCAGGCTCGTGCTTGCGGCCAGAAGGGCGGGCAGGCTCGAGGAGTTGGGCCGGCAGCTAGCACGCAGCGGGGCGAAGGTACACGTTGCTGGTCTTGACGTGAGCGACAATGTGGCGATCGATGGGTTTTTTGCGGCTCTTCCGTCCGAGTTCCGGGACATTGACGTGCTGGTGAACAACGCCGGCACGGCGCTGGGAGTCGAGCACGCCGGGAGCATTCGGGACGATGACGTGCAGAGCATGTTTGCCACGAACGTTCTCGGGCTGATCAAGATGACGCAGACGGTGGTTCGCGGCATGAAGCAGCGGAACCGCGGCGACATTGTGCAGCTGGGGTCGATTGCCGGGATCGAGAGCTACCCCGGCGGCAGCGTGTACTGCGCGACGAAGGCCGCTGTTCGGAGCTTCACGCAGGCGGTGCGGAAGGAGCTGATCGGGACCAGGATCCGAGTGATGGAGGTTGACCCCGGCGCTGTCGAGACGGAATTCTCGCTCGTGCGGTTTGGCGGCGACGCCGCGAGAGCGAGGAAGGTGTACGAGGGATTCGAACCTCTGAGTGCGCGGGACGTTGCGGAGGTGGTTGTGTTTGGGTGCAGCCGCCGCCCGAACGTGGTTGTAGCCGAGTCGCTCGTGTTCCCGAGCGCCCAGGCGGGTAGCTACCACCGGCACAGAAGTACGACTAGCGATTGAGAACTATACCGATGAAAACCCACGTGCTGCCAAAAGAATCATGTACAGGGTGGTTGGTCTGTACGTGGTTGCGGTCTTCGTGTTGACGTTGGTCGTGCCATAGAACGACAAGAAGATCGCCGTGAACGACGGAACCGCATCTCACTCGCCATATGTGATTGCCTTCGAGAGAGCCTGCATCAAGGTGCTTCCCCATGTGGTGAATACGCTGACTCTCACCTCTGCGTGGTCAGAGGGAAGTGCAACCGTCGAACTCGGCCCGGATTCTGTTGGAGGGAGCCTGGTGCAGTAAGAAAATCTCTTGAATGTGGAGAGTGGAACGCTGTTTTGGTACCAAGGAAGCGAACAACTGGAGAAGTTGCCAAAGAAACTTACCTTCGTGTGCTGACCTTAACGACCCAGCTTTAACAGTGCGTGTGGACTGCTCCATGCGGGGGAAAAGACATTTAGTCCAGACCGCGAGCACCAATATAGATCAGTCAGAATGTGGTCCCACTGGCGGGTGGCGGTCCATCTCTCAGCATAAGAAGAACAAATCCAGAAAGCTAAGACCTATACCGAGCGTTTGCCGGCCCGGGGGACGTGGGGGTGGCGGGTGGGTGTTTTCGGTGGGCGCAAAAACGCGGAGCGTTCTGCGGGTGTTTTCTGCGGCGGGTTTCCACGGCGGGCGCGCCGCTGGCGGGTTTGGTGGCGGGTCTTAACTATGAGAGCGGTGGGTGTTTTCGCCGGGAGCAGAGGTGGCGGGTTTGGTGGGTGTTGTTTACATGGCGGGTCCGGTGGCGGGTCCTCCCATACAAAGTAGTGGGTGTTGTTTACGTGGCGGGTTTGGTGGCGGGTTTCTATTGTTCGGACGTGGTGTTTACATGGCGGGTCCAGCGGGGGGTATGAACGGCGGGTTTTAGTGGCGGGTTTGCATGGCGGGTTTTAGTGGCGGGTTTCAGTGGCGGGTTTTCATGGCGGGTCCGATATCTCAGCAGCCAGTGGTTGTAGGCCAATAAAAAACGCATAGCCATTAAGAGCGGTTTCGCATCATCGCCGGTGGCCGTTGGAGAGCGCAGTAGAGAGCAGCAGTAGAGAGAATGTGTAGATGAAGAGGGCAATATGGTGTCCACTAGCAGTTTTAGTGGCGGTTTAGTGGCGGGTTTTCACGGCGGGTCTGGTGGTGGCGGGTGTCATATCTCAGCAACCAGTGGTCGTAGCCAGCTCAAACCTAGACACCCAGAAAGCTCTTCCTCAAGACAGTACGTAGCACACAAAAAAGAACGAGGTGAGCAAAAGTTATAGGAATTTACTAAAAGCATATATTTAAATAGGTAACTGGATACAACCCACCAGTAGATGACAAAACCACATATCTAAAACGCACCTCTCCCACACCCCAGTAGACCCCAGTAAACCTACCTCTCTAGCACAACCCATCTAGGTAATGGTGCAGTAAGGCAATAAGTGCTAGTATGAACTATTGGTAAAGCCTCTCCTCTGATTGGCCAGAAAACCCGCCACCCCCTGGACTCCCATGTCTGATCCCGTCGTGTCATTCCCTCGACTCCACGTGTCATTCCCTCGAG